GAATCCTGGGCGTTGGAAAGGGATGCTGGATGTAACCCTTCTATCCGGGTGATTGCACGGATTATATGGCGACTTCGTTCTACCCCGCAATGCTTGATACTATAAGAGGCTTGGGCGCGGTCACGATCCTTCCAATCATCCTCCCCTGTTCGTCGGCTCAGCCTTTATCATCTCCGTGAGAGGTCGTACAGACTACTGTATTAATCTCAGGAGAATTGAGGTGTGGCCCGCTAATGTCGCCAGGTGCCTGCTGCGTGAGACGGCTCTCGTTCCGGGTGGTGGGCGGAAATCTCCCACGTCCCAGACTGGACTTGTGTTCTGAAGGATCAGCCCTGGTCTAAAGTACAGGAGGACCCTGTACAAATGTGTTTCGGAGGTACGTACGTACACACATACGGTGTACATACATGCGTCCGATGTGCAGGTCATCTTCTCAGAAATAGGCCGGTCATCGGATGCCGTGACTAGAGTAGTAACGGTGAATAACATGTTCATGCGTACGGAGGAATCCTGCTTACGGAGCTGGATATATTAGATCCCACTCATGGACAGTCAACAGACAGACATCCCGTACAGGGACTCCCGGCTGATCCCGTGTGTGCGTGCACAATACACATTCCCATGCTCCCCGGATTTTTAAGCGACGCGTATGTGACTACGGTAGGTACATCATCTGGCTCTTATGTAATGCCCTCCATCTCGTAACTGTGTCCGATGATCATGGGTCATCCGGGCAAGGATGTGCAAGCTTCTTCCTCTGCAATGTCGATCTATCAATCCCACGGACCATTCAGGTTATCGCTTGGAAGCAGATGGTATCACACCCGATCGGATTGACGGAGAGGCGAGGGAAAGTGTGTTTGTGTGGGTGGGTGGGTGGTACTGAAAGGGGGATTTGCTCAGAATCCGTACCGGGTGCAGATGAGAGACCGAAAGAAAACTCTGAAAGCATTAGCAATGTGATAGACCACAGCCGATATGCAAAAGTCATGCAGTATGGTCTGATTCGACCCGACCTGGCCACTCTGATGCAGGTGGGGAGGGGTGGGAGTGTGTGAGAATCTTTGTTAGCAGTCGAGACGGGAGATGGAAAAAGGGATGGACGATGAAACAGTCAACCGGTTTTACCCCCTTGAAAAAGAAATCCGAACACCCAAGAATAAAAAGTCCGGTCGAGGAAAGGGGGAGATGAAAGTCATGTCGGACAAGACCCATGATTCTTTTATCTCGGACCGTTTCAGTGAAAGGCGGGGTTGCCTTCTGGCATTCCCAGATGAGGCTAGCGGCTTGGCAGTCATGTGCGCCAAGGCCTCCCAAGCCCTTGGGTGGCCTGGTGGCCTTGTCGCCTTGTCGCCTGGGTGGCGGTGTTCGGATTACCTCAGCCGCTCGAGCCGCCAAGCCACAGGGGGTCGGCTGCAATTCCGGTGGGAAAAGTGGCGGTCGTTGGGGCGGTGTGGCTTTTCTGACGTCGATGTCATTTCATCATTGCCTGGCAGCGGATCCCCTTCTCTTCCCTGTCGTCCAACCTCCGATTCCCCTAGACTTTCCTCTCATCATGAATGATTCCCAACAATGACATCGGCGGACCGGTCTGCAAAGGGTGACATCTATGATCCCAGCTCTCTGCCGGATTATGACCGTCAGTTCATCGACCCCGACGACCTGCGGCAATTCGAGAATGCGCTGAATGGCAACGAAGCCGACCCGCTGGTCGCGCTCAACGACTGGCGTCCCATCTACCAACGCGTGCGGAAGAGTAGAGGCCGCCGGGGCAAGCCCAGACGAAGCAAGGATGAGACGCGGGAAGGCGTGCTCTATACGGTGCTCAAGTGGCCATTCCTCTTCATCGTGTTTGGCTGGATCATCTTTCTGGGGTTCGGCTACACCTTGACCCGCTTGTACATCTTCCTATACGAACAGTGGGTGTCATGGAGGGGCAAGCGGGAGTCGCTTCGCCGGCAGCTGTCGGCGCAGACAAACTACGGCGATTGGTTGAACGCTGCACAAGCCCTCGATGATCATCTCGGGAACCAGGCGTGGAAGGAGATAGACGAATATGCATACTACGACCATCTGACGATAAACAAACTGGTGACGCAACTGAAGAGCGTGAGAAGTCTGGTTGAACAAGAGCGCAAGCAGGACGGTTCTGGTTCGAACGAGACGGCCGCAGTGGAGGAGTTGTGCGCGCTGTTGGAGGCGTGCGTCAAGAACAACTTCGCCGGCGTCGAGAACCCGCGACTATACAGCGAGTCCTACTCGGGGACCAAGGACCTGGTCCAAGAATACATTGACGAAGTGAAGACGTGCATTGATTTGGTTGCAGACAATAAGCGAATCAGCAGCGAAGACAAGTTTCATCATTTTAGACATTTGGATACCAATTTTGGACGGACGGCCCTCTGCTTGTCAGGGGGTGCTACTTTTGCATATTATCATTTTGGCGTTGTCAGGGCGCTTTTGGATAACGGTGTTTTGCCTCAGATCATCACCGGGACCTCGGGAGGAGCTCTCGTTGCCGCCCTGGTGGCCACTAGGACCGACGAGGAGCTGAAAGAGCTGCTTGTGCCCGCCTTGGCTCATCGCATAAGGGCTTGTCATGAGGGGTTCACGACGTGGATCTGGCGTTGGTGGCGGACAGGCGCCCGATTCGATGCCGTCGACTGGGCTCGTGAGGGTAGCTGGTTTTGCAGAGGTTCGACCACGTTTCGCGAAGCCTACGAGCGCACGGGACGTATCCTGAACGTCTCGTGTGTGCCATCCGACCCTCATTCGCCTACTATTCTAGCAAACTATCTTACCTCCCCCGATTGTGTCATATGGAGCGCCATGCTTGCGTCTGCGGCAGTTCCCGGCATTTTGAACCCCGTCGTCCTCATGACGAAGAAGCGCGATGGCACACTCGCTCCTTACTCGTTTGGACACAAATGGAAAGACGGCAGCTTGCGGACGGATATACCCATCAAGGCCCTGAATTTGCATTTCAATGTCAACTTTACCATCGTCTCGCAGGTGAGCCGTGAACCCCAATTCGTCTCTACCCTCGTTGCTAACGCGCCTATCAGGTCAACCCCCATATCAATCTCTTCTTCTTCAACTCTCGAGGAACGGTCGGTCGGCCCGTCACTCATCGCAAGGGTCGTGGCTGGCGTGGAGGATTCCTCGGATCAGCTATCGAGCAATACATCAAACTAGACATGAACAAATGGCTTCGAGTCCTCCGCCACCTCGAACTCCTTCCTCGACCACTGGGCCAAGACTGGAGCGAGATCTGGCTCCAAAAGTTCAGCGGCACCGTCACCATCTGGCCCAAGACCATCCCTTCCGACTTCTACTACATCCTATCAGACCCCAGCCCTGATCGTCTAGCCCGCATGCTCCGCGTCGGCCAACTCAGCGCCTTCCCAAAGATCCAGTTCGTCAAGAACCGTCTCAAGATCGAAACGGCCATCACCGCCGGCCTCAAGGAATTCGCTCCCGCCGGCGGAGCAGGCCGTATCATGTCTCCTCTCCGTCGCCGCCGTCGTCCCATCGACAATATCACCTCGCGCCTCGATGGCTCTCTCAACGAAGACCAGGAGGGAGACAACTCCGACTATTACAAAGACGACGTGCAACCGTTCGTCTTCGACGTCTCGGACCATGACCATTCCAGCGCCGATCCAGCCTCGTCGGTCGCTTCTTCTCGCGACTCGTCCCGTCTTGACACCCATCGTCACACCTCCAGCAATATCTTCCAGGAAATGAGACGACAGTCGGCTGTCTTCTTCGATGACTCTGATATGTACGCGGAGGAAGACCCGCGGAAGATGCAGTGAGGTTCATTCGGGTTGTTGTTTCGTTATCATTCATACCTACCTATGTAGATACCTGAAACCTTATTTTTATCCGCCGTCGGGCCTGTCTGTCACTCTGGCGTGGGAGTTTGGTCAGCCGCCGTAGCGTACACCTAAGTCTGTATGCTACGATATATATACCGTGAGAGGGCTTATTCATATCGCATTCCTACTCATCGTTATGTACATTAATAAACTGTTTGATATTGTTTCGTCCGTTTAGATACCTAAATTTTATATCTTTACCGAAGCAGATATGGTCATATATATATTTTCCGGTAATCAACATTCGGAACCCTCATTCGACAAACACGATCACTCTTGATTTAAAGAGGACGTACAATGTTTGTGAGAAACTAGACCATGGGGTTTATACGAGGATGTGGCCACCAGGACGAATAATATAATCCTGATGTTGCATGCTCCTGGAGTACCTTATTGCCTGAGGCAACCGGGACAGAAGTGGCAAACATGCACGTGATCATGGTTTACGCTACCTATGTTACACAATCACTACATCAAGACAGGGACCAACACTCTCAAGCCTTACATTGGACAGTGAAGATGTTCAAACACATCAGACGACGAAAAGGTCAACATAGAAAAAAAAAACATATTGTACTCCCTAGTCGGGATCATTCATCAATTAATCCATAATGTACTCAGCATTAACATCCATCCAGAAGACTTTCAATCCATCAATCCGTCGTCATAAACCGTTTACCTTGACATCACAATCATTTGAGACACAACCGGGTCTCCCAAATCTGCAGATGGCCAAGACCAAGAGAAGAGAAAAGAACGTGTAAAATGGAAAAAAAAAAAAAAAAGAACATGAAGAGACAGATGGAGCTGGTCGGGAAGGCGAGCTTCCGGTGCAGTACACATCTGGAAGAAAAAGAAGGGGAAAAAATCAGACAGATACATACACAAAAAGTGGATAATGAAAACAAAGGGTCAGTTATTCATCCAAATGTAGGTGGCCAAACCAAGTTTGCGAATCGATTAATGAATAAAACCTCTCCTCCCGATAAATCCGTAAATGAGGACGTCTGGCTTTTGTTTTGATAGGAGAACAAATCGGATCCTGCCACTTTTGCCCAATCTCAATCTATTTTTTGCTGCTGTAGGAAACGAAAACATGATAGAGGTTGAGTACCCCTATTATGCAATGTTGTCCAGCTTGCCATCGGTCTTGGCGTCTCTGACCTGCTCGAAGACCTATGAAATACATAGTTAGCATGAGTCGGTCCGCCCGTTCTGTGTGTTCAAAGTCGTCACTTACCTTGAGCATCTTGTTCCTGGCACCAAGAGCGTTGACTCCACGCTCCTCCAGTGCCTTGTCATCCAACTCAATCAAATCGGTCCATTTCAGGTCCTTCAGGTTCTCCGTGTACTTGTGTAGACGGAGAGACCGCAGCCAGCTAGGAATATCCTTCAGCAGGCTGGGGTCCGTCGGGTCCTCTGGCGGCTTGGAGCTGCCACGGCGCCCACGCGGGGATCGACCCCGGGTGACCTCCGAGTGGTCCGAGAGATAGCCTTCGTGACCGCCAAGTCCAAACTGTCCCATACCGAGGGTACCTAATCCGTTGCCCATCAAAGGATTGTTGGGATCATAGGCCGCCAAGAATCCGTTGTTCTGCGGAGACGTGAATCCCATCGGTCCCAACGAGCCACCTTGCATGGCGATGCCGGGGGAGGTGGGACGCGAACGTCGGCCGGCCATCGCGGCCTGCTGCTGTGCCTGCAAAGCGGCCAGTTGCTGAGGGTTGAGAAGCTGGCCTGCAACGAGATGATTCGGGCCCGGGAGACCAGGGCTGGCAAGGCCGCCTTGGGACAGGTGGGGGTTGGCGTTAGAGTTTTTGCCCTGCCCATCGTTGGAGCGGGCACGGCGGTATTTGCGAGCATCGTCCAACGCGATGCGGTTGTTCACGGTCGACAACGCGGCCAGTTTCATCGCAGTGGCATTCGCCACCATGTCGGCCTGCGTGTTCGGTTGCTGAGGCTGCTGCTGCGCCTGTTGTCCAAACGTGGCCGTCATCGGTGTGTTGGTCATGGAAGCCCAGCTGGCATTTCCAACGTTGTACGGGGACAGCAACGGCGCGTCGATGTCTGGAGCGGGGATGGTGGCGGTCTGCGGCAAGGGAGAACGCAGGCTGGAGGCCTGACTGAACTGTCCCATGGGCTGCTGACCGGAGGACGACTTGGGCCGAGCAATCGGGGGCTGAGGTTCGGCACCTCGCTGGGCCCACGGAGACACGGGGGCCTGACCCAAGTTATCCGTGTTGTTATCGGGAGCAGAGATGGTAGGGGCAACGAAAGAAGTCCGGTCGCCAAAAACGGCGCTGTTGCGGTTAGAAGGAGGGGCGTTGCCGGTCTGCTGGGTGAACTCGGCCTTCTTCTTGGCAATCGCGGCAGCCGCATCAGGGAACATGGCATTGATCGTAGAGGAGTCAAGTCCCGAATTACGCTTGGCACCGGGAGATGGAGGAGGTCGTCCAAGCGAGTTGCGAGAACTGTCCACATTCAACTTGGCCATGGCATCATTCAGCCGATTAGACATGGCGTCTGTTTGACACGTAGCGTTAGTGATGCTCTTTTTTTCTTTTCTTTCATTTACAAATTAAATGAAAACAAATGGGCCTCCGTGTGGTTTACGTACCCTTTTCGCCAAAGTTAGCCGGAGATAATAATCCCGACATCGGATGGCTCTTGGACATCTGCTGGAGGACTTGAATGAAGAAACGGATCTGCACCTGCGTGGTCTGCTGGAGCAGAGCATACAACGCAGCCGTTCTTTCCGCTTCGCTGAGCACGCGGAACCATTGTTCGATGGCGCTCAGTTCATCCTTGAAGTCCTGGTCCAACGTAGCAGCGGCCATTTCCTCCAGTGTAGTTTCGTACTGATCGATATCGGCAAGCCACTGCTGGGCCGCACGATCCAAGGGATCCTCCGCGTTGTTGGGGGTCTGAGATTGCTGATGATTATAATACACTTCCGACGCCGGGCGGATGCTTCGGGAAGAGAGAGGGGACGGAAAGCCCGACATATCGGCGGAGGCTCGTAGTTGGTGCGATCCTAGGTTCCGAGACGAGGAAGGAGGACGAAGGCTCGATTTAGAGGCTTCCGGAGTGCTGTTGCGGTTTCCGATAATGTGGCTGGCCATGGGGAGCAAGGAGTGAATAGTTATTCGCACAGAGAGGGAGTCGAGAGAAGGCTTCGGATGATTGCTTTACACAAGGCTTCGATGTATAATAAATACAGAAAGAGAAATATTACTGCAAAGCACCTGCAGCACCGGCTGAGTTTGCGTATGAAACGAGGCGAGCCTTGATCCGAGAGAGGACACTCTTGTCGAAGACGAGACGAGACGGTTGAGGGGCCGTTCGAGATAGCAGATATCCAGGAATGGAAAAGTATGCCTCTCTAAGGACGGAGACAGAAATTTCCTCACTTGGTGGAGTTGGTTTTTTTTTTCTTTCGGGGGGATTGCGTGGAGAATAGACCACAGCGCAACGGCTCTAGACAATTGACGATTGGGGCACAGACCAGTCCAGTGGCTGCACTACCGGGATCGAGAATCTGGAAAAGATTCGAACCGAAGGAGCATCAAAGGATTTTTCGTTGTCTAAAAGGTAGTGGATTCGAGTGGACAGAGCGGAGCGACAACGGATATATTAGGGAAAATGTGGGTTCTGGCCTCTTTTTTTTTTTTTTTTTTCTTCGCTTTAACTTTCTCTAAACGAAAGGATGTCAAGGGTCAACTGCAATAGTGTGTCAAACACAGCAAGCAGAAGTCTTGAAGCATCAAAGAACAGAAAGAAAAGGAAAGTAAGAAAAAGGGGTGGAGAAGGAAGAGATGAGAGGAGGGGGGGGATGGATGGCAAAAAGAAGAGGAAGAAGGAAGAGAGAAGGAGAGAGAGGGAAGAGAGAGAGAGAGCGAAAGGCAGGGAAAAGGAAAGGTGGGAAGCGAAAGGGCGCTTTGCCGTTTGGGTGCTGCAGGTCACTGGACTGCCGCTTTTTCTCTGCCGTCGTTCGAACACTTCTCTCTTTCTCTTCTCTTCCGTCCTGCGTCTTTCGTCTGTCTGGTTGACGACAATTCCTTTGATCGGGGAATTGATTCTATTCGGCTGATTTCCACCGTTCAATCGGAATTTTACCTCTTTTTGATCCCTCCTAGTCCTGTGACTCGGTGCAAATCTGACAGCTGGAACATATCCTGTCGAGCTTCTCGCCCTGCAGCGGTCGCCTTAGCTTAGTGTCGGCTGGGCGCTTATTAAGAGGTTGCTATGAATAACTAAATGTACACTATTGCCTTTCGTTTTTGTTATTCTTATGTTCTTTTATATCTTCATGTTTATCTGTTGCTTTTAATTCACGTTCGCCAGTCTGTTGCTGCTGCGGCTTCGCTAAGATAATGGAATCAATCTCTAATTCAAATCCCTAGACATTGCGTGACTCGAGGAATCACTGTCGAAGCGACTTGATTAGCTTGGTTCTTCAACCTCAGGGTCGCACCAGTCATCTTGCGCCGTAATAGTTGCAGAGGCAGTACTCCAACGCTTCACCTATAGGCAGCTTGTCTGGCCCGTGGTTGTTCTGGGCCCCCGAAGATCCCCGTTCGGTTTTCATGCATTGGTGGACACGGCAGAGATTGCGCAACAACATCGATACCGGCGGATAAGTCGTATCTCACCTAGACAAGATGGAATACCCTGACCCTGACCATGTGGATCCTCATCTTTCCTCTCAGGAGCCTGCTTACCCTGACATCAATGAGTCGATTCACTATCCATGGCAGGGAGAAGAGCAGCCCGCCCAAACCGAAGAATCCCTGCATTCGGTGATTGATCCACGTCTGTACAAGGATTTGTTCTCAGCGAGTGCTTCGCAACTGCCGGATCAATCACTCGAGGGTGACGACGACGAGGCTGAAAGATTTGCTGAAGAATTGTATCCCAGGACTGATGACTCAGCCGAAGACGAGAATTATGAATATCCTGGAGAAGAAAGCTCAGAGTATGTGTTCAACGGATGCGACTTCGTTTTGCATCATGTTTGGCTGACCGTCAACGCAGGGAAGATGGGTTTGATGATATGCTAACGGATGAGGGAGACGGCGATGAGTCGGATTCTCGAAGACGACGCCGTCGTCGCCGAGGCACTGGGCCCTTTTCTGGTCGATATGGCGCCAGAGGTGGTAAAGGCATCAAGAGAGGACCTCGTAAACCGTTGGAACCCAGCCCCGAATTTAAGATACTTCATTCCGAGGCCACTTCTGCGTTCATTGACGGTGACTATGACCGGGCTGTTATATTAACCAAACAAGCGATTCAGACCAACCCGGAGATGTTTGCTGCCCATTCTTTGCTATCGGAGATCTTTCTCGCGCAGGGCCAAAGAGACAAAGCTTTGACGGCACTGTTCAGCGGAGCTCATACGCGTCCTAGGGATCCGACAGTCTGGGCGAAAGTTGCGAAAATGATCATGGATCGGGCCGGAGACGATCGATTCACAGCACTAAACGACGTCATCTACTGTTATAGCCGTGTTCTGGAAATCAATCCTAGGAACCACAATGCGCGGTTCCAACGAGCTGCGATCTATCGTGAGTTAGGTCATAATGGACGTGCCGCTACGGAATACGAAAGGATCCTCAAAGAGCTCCCTCATAGTATGAGGGCTCTTCGACATATCGCCGAAACCTATATCGATAGTAAAGAAGTCCAGAAAGCAGTGAATCATTGGTCCAAAAGCGTCAAGTACTTCACATCTCTAGATCCCTCAGCGGCCCCAGACTTTTCTTGGTCAGATGCAAACATCTTTGCCGAGCTTTATGGCTATCAAGGCGAGCATGCTACAGGACTAAGGTCCTTGAAGGCTCTCTGTAGATGGCTTCTGGGCCGTGGGGAGGATACGATGTGGGAAGGATTTGACGAGGATGACCGTGAATGGGATGCCGATGATTCTCCTCGACGGATCAAAACCAATGGGTATATGCCAGGACAATGGTCGCGTGACTCGTACGGTCTAGGTCTTCCCCTCGAACTGCGCATCAAGCTCGGGCTCTTCCGGGTGAAGATGGGATACGAGCACAGAGAGGAAGCCTTGGTAAGTCCACTAGAAGCAGGGGATAGTCGAGGGGTTGCTTCTTTGCTAACACATTCGGACAGCATCATTTTGAATGGTTGAACCCAGAGGACAATTCCGAAGGGGCTCGACTCTTTGACTACGGAGACCTGTTTAGAGAGGTCGCCGACGCTTTGAAGGAGGTGGGATTGCTTGAGGATGCGCTCCGATTTTATATGCCTCTCCAGCAAACCAATGAATACGCAGATATCAGCTACTTCCTTGCCATGGGAGATTGTTATGCGCAGCTAGAGCGGTTTGAAGAAGCGGAAAATTGCTTTCTCACCGTCGCGGATTATGACCTGACAAATATCGAGTCGCGTGTTCAACTAGCAAGGCTGTATGAGAACATCGATATGACCGATCGGGCTCTCAAATACGCCAACGAGGCGGTACTGCTTGGCAGACAGGAGAGCAGAAGCAATCGACGAAGAAAAGATACGAGGCTTGAGAATTTGGCGATGGAATTCAAAACGGCGGAACTGGGGCCCGAAGCGATGGCTTTCAGGACAATTGCGCCTCGACCTTCCGAGGAGGAGGAAGAGTCAGCAGCCCCAGCCCTGACAACGGCTCCGACGACCAAAGATCGCCCAGAAGTTGAGAGCAACAGGACAGAGAATGTCCAGTACCTTTACTCGAAATTACTGCAGCTACAACCCCATGTTAAAGATGGGCACGTCGAAGCGACGGAGGACTGGTTGGATATTGCAGACGCCCTGTTGCGCGAGTTCCGGTCTAATCGTATCTTCTACCCAATGATTCGAGGTACCGCCTTCTTAGGTTATTCCAAAGAAGCACGAAGAAAGGCCAACAGATCGAAGAGTCGATCGTTCATTGATGAGATGCAGGAAATGGCAGGCCGTCTTCAGGAAACTCTAGGTAAATTGCATTGATTCACAATGCACTCATTCACAAAGAATGCTGACCCTCAAATTTAGGAAATGATCCTGAGGAGGATACGCTGGGCTCAATCCCAACAGATTATCATGGGATATCGTTCGACGATTGGTTTGATCTTTTCCTTCAGTATGCTCTCGTTGTAGTCGATCAGAATGAGGCCGACGAAGCATATGATACCCTTGCTGCGGCCGCGGAGGCCAGCATTTGGTACCACTCGAGAGAAAGCACCCGTCAGATCCACATTTGCTGGTTTACCTGTGCCTTACGAGCGCAGGACGAAGAAGCCCTAGCAAACGAGGCACGCTGGTTTATCAAAGAATATCAATTTGTCACCGACACATATCGCCTCTTCGGCATGCTCAGTCGCCTCAGCGGAGACCCTCATCGATCTTTATTCCACTCTTCCCCCAACATGAAATTCATGCTGCGTCAGATCAAGGCCATGGACTTTACCCTACCCAAGAAGGGAGGCAAAAACGTCCGTTCCATGAGGCCCGTCCGAGAATCCATATACCGGGAACGCGCCGCGCTTTCGACACGTGACGACGCCGGCGAGGCCATCCCAGCCGAGGAAATGGACGTCGCCCTGCTGGTGTTATACGGTCACATTCTCTACTCGGGCAACAGCTTCGTTCCCGCCCTGAACTACCTTTTCCGTGCCTACGATCTCGACGACCAAAATCCAGCCGTGATCCTCTCTATCGGACTCTGCTACATCCATCACTCGCTGAAGCGCCAATCCGAAAACAGACACTACCTCATCATGCAGGGCCTGTCATTCATGCACGAATACCGCCGCCTCCGCGAGCAAAAGGGGACTCTGCACGTGGAGCGCCAGGAAATGGAGTTCAATTTCGCTCGTGTGTGGCATATGCTCGGTCTCGCTCATTTAGCTATAGAAGGGTATGAGAAGGTCCTGGCTCTGTCAGAAGAGCGTAAGATGCAGACGCAGACAATGCAGAATGGCAGCGATGTCATCATGACAGACGCGGGGCTTTCGCAGGAGCGGGATCAGGCACAAGAGCAGGAGAAAACTCCATTCGAGGAGGATTTCGCGCCAGAAGCGGCTGTAGCCTTGCAGAATATTTATGCGCTCAGTGGAGATTTGATATCTGCGCAGGAGGTTACTGCTAAGTATCTGGTTATTTGAGAAGTAACAGTAGTTAAATATCCTATTGAGATCAATTCAATTCGAAACATGTGCAAGATGAACCTGAGCACTGCAATGTTTAAACCGCTAACGCCCGGGAAGAAATATAACAAGTAACTCGCGCGGTTTCTAATCTCTCTTAGTTTCCTTCTTTCTTTCTACTTTTGCGTCTCCGGTCTATCCATCTAACAAAAGCCAACTCGCAGAACAGACCACAAACCCAAAAACACAACAACGACAAACAAAAGTCAATCTCACCCTGCAAACCGACTCCTCGCCCTCATGCGCGCCCCATACTTCCAAATCACAAACATCCCCACCACCCCAAGACACGAAATAGCCGCCAGAATGGTCACACCTTTGCTAATGCCCAGATTCTCATACATGTACGGGGTCACCATAATGAAGACTGCAGCCGTCGCTGACCGGGCAAAGTCGTTCCCCGCCATTAGCGAAGCCACGTACTGCGGATACGACGGCGGCAGGTAGACCAGGATGCCCTGGAACGTGACGAACGTGCCGCCGGCGTACAGGGCGATGCCGAGGGTGGGGACTACCCAGTGGACGGATGCCCGGGCGGTCCAGGCGAACACGAACAGGCCGATAGGCGTGAAGCAGACGGCGGGGAGGGCGGGGAAGAGACATGCTTCGAGGTTGTTGGTGTCGACGAGGGTTTGTTGCGAGGTGGGTCGGCGGAGGAGGTATAGGGCGTAGAGGGCGGCGGCGACGACGCAGCCGATGACGATGGAGACGAAGATCAGGCTGAAGGAGAAGAGGTCCATATGGTAGGTGTTCATGTAGACGAGGTCGAAGGCCTCGAAGAAGGAGTAGTAGATGGCGTAGATGAAGGAGGTGTAGAGGCAGGTGAAGCCGATGGCGGGGTCTTTGATGCAAATCTCGATGGGCCGGGAGAGGGTCTCGCGAAGGTGTGTGCTGAAGGGGATGGGTTTGAGTTCGCTGGGCGCGAGGATGGTGGGCTGGTGGGAGGAGTTGAGGGTTTGGCGTCGGAGACGACGTGCTCGATGGAGGAGGATGGTCTCGCCGTAGGTTTCGGGCAGGAGGCACGCCATGAAGATGCAGATGGGGCCGGCCATCATGGCAATCTCCCAGAACGGCCAGTGCCAGGATCGTGTTTCGACAATCTTGCTGGCGAAAAGAGGACCCAGTGCTGGGCCGCAGTAGATGCAGCTGACCCAGGCGATGAAGGCGTAGGGGACTGCATTCCACGAGTAGATGTCTTGAAGGGATGCGCCACCGGTGGCTAGGCATGGGCTGCCGAAAAAGCCTTGGAAGAAGCGGAGCACGACAATGGCAGGGAAGTTATTGACTGTTGCCAGAACAATGGAGATGACGAGGAAGATGGCAAAGGAGATGATATATGGTGGATTGCGGCCAACAGAGGCAACTTCGCTTATTGGCGAGAAGAGCAATGGACCTGCGCCGTCTGTGGTTGTTTGGGCTATGTTAGATAGAAATGACTGACAATAGATGAGCGTGATTGAACTTACACCCGATGACGTAGAGAGCGAGTATCAGGGAGACAACGTGATGCGATGTCCCAAACTGCATCACAACGCCCTGATAGCTGGGCACGACGATGGAGGAGCCGCAGTAAACCACAAAGGAATAGATTCTGGAAGACACATGGTCAGATTTTACTCGCTTGAATGTTATTTAAAGGGGATACTAACGAGATTAACGCTGTCACCCATGCCTTATAGAGAGTCGGCCAGTTTTGGGGACTTTCAGGGTCATCAGGACCATCCCAGTCTACCACGATAATGTCTTCGGAGCTAAAAAGGAGGTGAGCGAATGAAAGATAACACGGACCCAATGTAAACAGCGTCAACACACCTTAATTCTTCTTTAGCGTACTCGATGCTAATATCGTCTTTGACCAGTGGCGCATCGGGACGGGACATGCAATACTGCACTACCTGCCCCACGACTGTGGTACGCAGCCAGGGAGAGAGCTTCATGTTGGCTCAGGAGGAAATATAGGTAGTCGATGTCGATTCGAGCTGAAGGGTGCTCAATGCCTTCCCAGACCGTGTATATATAGTAAAGAGACATCTATAGACAAGGGAGACATACCAGCTCTCGACCCACGGAACGACATATGTTTGGGCCTGCAAAGGCATGTTCAACCTGGCTTAGTAGGGCACCGAACCGGGATTACACGTGCAGGGCAGGTTTGGTCCGCCATCCCGGTGTCGCAAAGTTAATCCGCGACATCATTGCATCGTGCGTGGGTCCGATCTCCCAATAAGCCCACTCGCGGAGATCTCCTAAAGGTAGTTCCACCAGTATCCGCATAGGCAAGATTGCGGGAAATGAAGACGGAGAAGAGGATACCGACAATCATGACAGCTTTCGGGGATCGGGGACCCGCCTGATGGGGTACCAGGAAAGTGACAGGCATGACCGAATGTTTGACGGAGTGAACCCACATGAAGCCAAAGCTACGAATCCTCACCGGGCCCGATGACGGCGAGTCACATGTCCAACTGGTAACCTTTTGGGCAACAGCACACGTTCACTTGCCTTCTCGCTTTCTGTTCGCGCGACGCAACCAGAGAGGATAGCTTTGTCGACGGGGAAAGGGTACGTGGGGCACCGTACAAAAACCCGAGTTCGTCTAATATAGACGAATTGAGAAAGTCGGGAAGCTAGTCGCGGTCATTGTTACCTTGTCGAACACTGGAGAACGGCGTATCGAAAATGGGTTGGTTCTTGCAGATGAAGTTCTGTCCCATAAAACTCGCACTGGTAGTTGACACCTGTCAGGCCGTTTCTATCGAAGGACACGGAGTCGGAGCTAGGATCGATGAGCAGCATTTTAATGATATCATTCTCGAGATGACTATATCCTGGGGCCTTGAGAGTAAAAATGCCAGCAGCGACATCCATGAACGGACCAAAGTTGGTATCTCTTTCCGAAGAGCCGAAAGGAAAGACCCAGAAGCACTACAGGAATACTGACAAAACCTGTGAGCCAAGAGTGTTTCCGGGCTCAATCGAGCTAGAACCTCCTTACCCTAGGAATCTCAAGATGGCCAAAAAGAGCGCAGCTCATACTTGAACCTACCTTGTACTATGTATGAATATTCCTTTGATGTGCCCTCTGGCGATCGCAGTTCGCGAAGGCGAAGATAGGGCAGATTAGGAACGCCCGATGGAGTGAACTTACTAGGGTTAGCAGTGACTATGATCTCATTGAATCTGGCTTTATTGGGACTAGAGATACTGCTACGAGATCTACTCATTCCCAGAACGAAGACCCAAATCTGGAGAATTGATATCGCCTAGGAAATGGAGGGGGCTAGGGTTTGAGTTTAAGTGCTGCCGTCTGGTTGTCTCAAAAGAAGCTGAGACCATGCTGGTGAACACAGCACCGAGAATAGAAAGGGATCGGCAACTGTTACTATAAGAATAATCCAATGCAATATTTTATCGGGATGAAATATTCTCAATGTAATATTATGGGTCCTACGATTCCAACGAACCCAGTTGAACATAGTCGAGTTGCATGCCATGGAAGACAGGATTAATGATTGCCTACCCGTAGAAAGCTGCATCGAAGCTTGTATTGAACAATGTACCACGCTACTGCATTCAATTTTGAACCGCAAGTTCCCCAGAGCGAGAATTTCCAGCCTATTAGAAGTGCCACAAAGAAAACTGTTCCTTAGGGCGATATTAAGACTTTAGCAAGGATTCACGTAGATGATATAGGAAGGTGCATTCACAGGAATAGGTAGCCAAGCCCGAGAGCCTGCTAGTCACAGAACCTACACTTCGCAGCTAAGCTTAATTTTAGTGTTTCCTAATACTTGACTATCGTACCGACGACATATTTTTGGAGCCTAAGGGAGAAGCTAACATAAGCTGAGCCCCAGGAACAAACATACCTAAGAGGGTAGGAGTCTTAGTGGTCCACAAAGTATTACGAGAAGCCTTTGGGTGGACATCACCCCCCGAAAACAGACCCATGGAGGGGTCCACATTCATGTCGAGTCGCGGTGAAAGACAATGCTGAGGATGGTGTTGCTGTGGAATTGACAACTTTTGCGAACAGTGTGGAAATTAGAAAGCCAGAGAAATACCGCCACCGAGTCGGACCCTGAACTTTCTTTGTTTCAACTTTGTTGTTGGCGGTAGCTAAAACTTTGAATTTCGAGGGGTTCTCGGATCGGTATGACGTTTTGGCTTTTATGACTTCCATTCCGTCAGTTATGCTTCCTTTTACTTGGATTGAGCATGAGAATATCTGCTGTAGTGTTTTGATGATGCGCATGTAAGAGTGGCAATGCTACTGATTTAGTTCGTAGCCGAAATAAATGGAATAATATTTTTATATGCTTTTACAGTATCATAGCATTGATCCAAACGAAATTCTGAGAAGCAGGGGTAAACCTTTTCCAATGTTAATATTTCTGGCTAGTCTGTAGGCAGATAAGTACTATGTAGTGCAGCTTAGATGATCGTGAAACACTTCAGGAAACACGTCAATTTAGATCTGAAGTGAGTATACCGGCGAAAGATTGCCTGGAGATTCCAAATGAATAGATCACCTTTCCAGCCCATCTAGATGAAGAAGATGGGGTAATCATCAGACTCAGACCCGATAAGAAAAAGCCGGCTCTCTGTCCCGTTTCTTGCTTGGAGCGCTTTGTGTTGCCTATGCCACGGGGACAAAAGCGTTGCTGCGCGTGCTTCCCCTTATTCTGATACATAACTTTGCCTTTCTTTGATGGCAATGCTAGAGAATAGGCGTGATAAGGAGAATATATACCAATTGAGCCAAACCGAAACGGGCCATCCGATCGCCGGGCTATGGAACTGAAACCTAGCAGTCTGGATCTGTAAAAGACATTCTTATTCAAGAAAATGTAGCTTCTATTTATAGCAAGCGGAATATTGCTGGCTTATACGAAAGAGATATTCAATGAATCTCAAAAGCTAGCATACCATACATAGTACTATGCTAGACATGACCATAGCCTGCGCACCTTGAACGAACGACCAACCAATTCTTAGATTTCAAAATCTAGGAGCGACTGATTCATAATCTTCCTCAATAACAGACCGAAGATGAGTCGAATCAAATCTGGGCTTCTAGCCTAGGTCTTTTTGCCAAATCGGACTTTGTTTTCGCACTATAGATCGTGATTATGTACCTGCCAATCTCTAGGTTAAAATGTATAGCTAGAAGCCAGAATAACAACACTGAAAGTTTTCAAGAATGAACTTTGCTTATGATCAACATAATTGAGATCTCCAGCTTTCTCCAACCACCCGTTTAAGTCTAGTATGCAGATCAATGACCGATTATTGAGCGCCGAAACGTCACTCGGCTTATAAAAGATTGCTACACCTGTGTCCTATGAGCCTTTACTTTTGTGCATAAATACTTAAAAGAATTATAGACCTTGAATCACACCACAAAAATCAATAATTGAAATCGGGGAGCCCTGAGATGCCCCATAATGGCTTGTAGCACGGCCAGCTTGATGCCCAACTGTCTAGAAGCCGGAGATGAAAAGTTAGAGGATCATCAGAAGTTCAAAGAGTAATTGAGAAAATTTCAGGAGTACAGCCGTCAATATGATCGGTGGTATTTCTCTCACCCCTACGTGGTTCTGAAACGCGAGTTCCGAATTTTGGGTAGTAAATGCCGTTGGAAACTGTAGTTTAATTCATTTCCCCATAATTGGGTCTTGTCGCCTACTGTTTCAAGGGGCCACACTAGTAAAGACATCTTAGTAGAAAGTGTTGATCGTATCTATTCGGAGGTAATATTTCGCAATATCTCGCTTCGCATTAAACAGATAATGGAGTTAAAGTAAACATCACAACCAGTGCGTAGTTGGAAGGATTCACTGTCCCTCCTTACTCCTGGCAGTACTTGGAAGTGTTAAATATAAAGCCCCTTTATCTCACTCAATTTTACAAACTTATCTTTCACTACGCTTGATCGTTAATTTGACCTCGTTCGATACAACCTACTCGTTCCCTCACACATCATCTCACTGGCAGGTATGTGTGCGCAAATTATTCAAACAATCGTTGATACTAATATGAACAGCTTCGACTTCACCATGCGTTCATATATCCTCTCTACCCTCCTGCTGGCTACCACAGTCTTCGCCGTGCCTCACAGCCCAACCCAGCAACGCAGCGAGATCAACACCGACAACATCCCCGTGGTCAATCTTGTCACTGACCTACTGAAAGCACTCAATATTGACGCCGACGTATCTGTCAACCCCGATAACTTGTTGAAAAATCTCAGCAAGAGTCAGATGCATGGTCTAGCAGCATGTGCTAGGCAATATCTTCCTGAAAACGCTGCTGTTCCTGTCTCAACGTCTAGGGAACAGAATTAAGGATCGAATGATTGAGGATGATGTTTTCTGTCGAAATGAAATGCTTCCTGATTTTGGATTGGATTGGTCGCTGTGCTTTTGAAAGGCGCTTTATACACACATTCTTTTGTTTAAATGTTGCGACTCCACCGTGGCTTCCAGTACTAGATTTTACTAAAACCCACACTACGAACTTCCTTCGACGCTCCTCACCTAGGAGATAGTTTGATGATGCTTCGCCAAGGCGCCGCTCAATTGAGCTACACATTTTGCTGATTTTTTGAAATATTGCTGAATGAAATAGTAATACCCAATCACATGAAGTGTATCTGCAGGAACCCTTGCTCACGCTACGACACGAAGCAAAAAGAAAAGCAAGGTAGGAGACGAAAAACTCGGAAACTGACCCTAGTGACCACTAGGGCCATAGGTCTGATCACCTTTTGTTAGTGTCTTTGGTTCCGATGCCAGCCTTGTCTCACTCTAGGATCGGTTTTGATGTATGAAATTCCTTGTTTTTGCATTTCAAGGTATGGGTAATTGATCTATTTTGGTAGCATCACGTGACCCATTAAGCCCAAAAAGGGTGAGCTAAGCTGTCCCTAGCCAATGAAAGATGATGGAAGTATGGTAGCGAAGAGTTGCCGAAAAGTTCTTGAATGTTTTGTTTTATCGGAGCCTTGAGGAAAATTGCATGAAGCCTAAAAGCGATCACTAGCGCATTTGACCGATGTGTAGCTATCCCACTGTCTCAGAGTTTTTCTTAATGGCTTCTTTGAACCTCTCCCATGTACTCGATTTCGCCTCAATACAATCATGTCCTCTCAAATCGAAGCCCTTCCCTATGAAATTCGCCAGTTCATCTTGGAATATTTGGATGCAACCAGCCCAGCCAGCCTCACTGCCCTGGGCTGCGCCAGCAAGCAGCTTTTTGACGCCGTGAAGCCTTTTCTGTTTCGCACAATCAGATTCTCAGTGAAAGATTTCAGGGATTACTATAGCCTGAAACAAGATCGTATATCCACCGCAGTGCAAGAATTCTCCAAGCTTCTCCAGCGCTATAATGGTACGGAACATGTTCAGAATCTCATCCTTGGCGGAGATATGATACACCATGAATACCACCCACGTGGTTCATCGACCCGGGGTGATCTTGGCCCTTACCATTGGAGACAATCAAAAATTTCCCACGATGATCGTATAGCAATCGCATCAGCGGATGGTGAACCCTGCGATGAGCCAACTGCCTGCGGATATTCTTTTGCCAGTGGTTCCCAATTTGAGGACTGTCACACTGACGACCATGTCTGGAAGCCCCTGGCAGAATTTATAAAAACGCTTCCTGGGTTGAGACATCTGATATACCAGTACTTTTCGCAGTTCCCACCGTGCTTACTTGAAGCGCTGCATCATCACCGTCCCGGATGCAAACTACACTTGTATAGTTTCAACATGCGCAGTGCTTCTGATGAATTGGGCGCCTACGAGACCAAGTTACTCACGTCGCCATGTGTTCGCAGTATCAATTCGTGGTGTCAAGGCTTCATAGAGCCAGGGCAGGACAATCAAATAGTACTTAGCCACCCGGGCGACTTTTTGATGTGCCACGCCGTCGTAACGGCGCCAGCTTTGAAGAGAGTCCAAGTTGATATACTTCCCGTCCGCGGTGGCGCACGGAGGGCAGGATATTCACAGAAAGGGCCTAAGATTGTGGCTGCTCACGAGAATATCCTAACTTCTCTGCATTCTCTTCGCCTTCATCGTCGTTACGCGAAAATAACTAGAGATATTCTAGAGCGCTGGACAAAACACGCCGATTTCTCTCAACTCAAGGTACTAGGCATAATAGGGAGTATTGTTACAGAAGCGTTGGAATATCTAGGATCAAACTGCAACTTCCCTTCCCTTCAGAGCTTGTTTCTAGATCTTAGTCTGGATTACGCTGACGACCTTTCGGAATTTGACAATGACGCCTACCAAGAAGATATGGTGCATTTCCTGTGCCGTGTGCCACCATTGTTGTCCTTATCTCTGTCACACATGCCGCGCGGAATGGATGTTGAACGCGTTGCGCAACATCACGGTAGCAGAATCCGAAGGCTTACAATAACCAAATATCCTCTGAAGGAGCACGACCTGAAATGCTTGGCCAAATACTGCCTTCGTCTCGAATATCTGAAATTATCCCTGGAGCGATCATTTGGGGATGCGAATGAACTTGCCCTCTACAGTGCACTGGGGTCTATCCCGCGGCTAGTCGAAATTGAACTAGATCTCTATACGCCCGATCGACACACTCGCAATGAGACTCATCCTGAGCATTCGGAAGGCGACTCATATGATGAGTTTCATGAGCAAAACTGCACCTTATGGAAGTATGGAAAAGCCGAGTACATCAAAAACGGCTACCTCCGAGATACGTTCATGAATTGTGCTCTTGACAAGGACCTGGCTTGTTCTATTTTCCGAGCCATATCTGCGGGGAAACCCCAAAACATCAGTCGATCAATCCGGAGACTGAGTCTCAACATGACGGGTGGCAGAATTATAGGGCGGCACGATGAATTCAATGACAATTGTATTACCCAATTGGTGATAAAGGTCAGCGGACGGTGGAAAATCGAGCGAAATCCTCGTCATGATCAGCAAAACGACCTGATCGCAACGAACCTGGACCCTGGAAGCAAAAAGAAAATGCGAAGTCATAATAATCCTTCAAGGAGCAACGTTGAGGAAGTTCTGAGCCGGCTCTGGCCAGGAGTTCAAGACATGTCCGATTGGGAAAATCACTGGCATAGTTTTCCTCTAGCCGAAGTTGACAAGGAGGCCGAAAATTAATGCCCTCACACTCTCGTTGCTCCTCAAATCCCAATGTTCCTTCACCGATATCAGACTCGGCAATAGTCTATCTTAGAGAATCGAACTTTCACAGCCATATGTTACCTGATTTTGGCATCGAGAAATGGGAAAATATCGAAATAAAACAAAATATTCAAAGTCAAAATCCCCAGCGACAAGTTCATTGTCAGAAGGTGTATCCATATGTCAACAGTTCAGTCGTCCTTTTCTAAGACAAGTGTCCAGTCGTCATGATCGTCCGTCTTCGGTGGCGCAAACTCCTTGATTGTTGAGTTGCTCTCGCACTGCGCATATTTTATCGAAGTATAGTCGCCAGATAGTGGATCATACCATCTCGCCTTCACGTCGCAGCCCTCGATGTCCTTAGTATCAATAGAGAATTGTTTCCCCGTTGGAGTGTAGACCATGATCCAGGACCCTTTTGAGTCCCGAAGAGCTTTGATTTTCTTGTCATTCACACCTTGGATTTCGAATAAGCCAACCTGCAACTTTGCCTGTCGTTTGAGAGGGAATTTTGACGTACCTGCGTTGCCGACAATGATTTCAGAAGCTGGAACCCTATCAAGAAAGCTGCTGTTTCCACGATCCAGAATGGCCTTCTTTACGAATTGAATCTGTTTTGAGCCCGGGAGCTTGATGGCTTCATACCAGGGCAACGCAGGTCCACCACCATTGGACTCGTAAAATGCCGGATTGTACATCTGCCAGACCATGTCTGCCCCGTACACAGCCCCTGCAGCGCCGGAAAAGACCTGCTATGATATGAACACTCTAACCGAATCGTGTGTTAGTGCAGCGGAGTAGAACGTACAGTCTGCCATGTACCCACTCGCACATCACTTGCATTCCAGGACGGCAACCAGCCACGCGCATTGTTATAACGTCCCTCGTAATGTGGTTCATTGTCTAGCGCAGGCCGCTTCTTACCAGGCCATCTCTCCCCAACAGCATACATTAATTCGACGGTCTCGTAGCCGCGTCTGCAATTCCACCAATGGATCGGTGGGTTGGGAGGATAGTCACTATGGCCGGACTGCGCGATATCGAAGGTCAACCAGTCACGATGCCCGGCTTCCGAGCTTGCCAACGCTAAAGGCGCACCGTCGAACCATTGGTTCTGGTTATGGAGGCTAATCAAGGGCGTATATTTCGCACTGGCGGTGCTATTCCGTACAGCAGCCCTTTCGCCTCGAATGATCCCTTCTGCTAGGGCATTGTATACAGGTAGCCAGTCGACGGTCTCATACTTTGATGGAACGCCACCGGCTGCGTATTCTTCCTTAACCTGCGTTTTGTTCTGCCATGTCGGATTGATATCCCCGAACAGAATCTTAGGGAGATATGGGTATCTTTTCCCTATAAACTCGCCCAGAATGCCCGCATTGCTTGTGTTCAAAGGCCCTGCGATGTTCTCGCTGTTGTGCACGTAGTTTCCCCACGCGGGAAATAGGGCTATCCGGATCCCGTGCCTCTTCCATGCCAATTCGACCACAGAGTCCACGTGATTCCAGTATGCCTCGTTGGGCTGGTGAACGTCCATGTTGATGAATGCTAGATCGCCCTGTCTGTTTGCACCATCTAGACCGGAAAATGAGGGTCCGATTGCTTCTACGACATTGAAACCTTTCGAGGCACGGTCTGCCAGGTATGTTTCGGTTTCGGTGTAGTTGAGTCGCGCCATGAGAGTCCATGCTGTGTCGGCTTGCCAGAAGAATGGCGAACCATTGGAGAGCTGGAAGAAGTGTCCATTATCTGAGGTGTAGAGTGCATAGTCGGGTGGTGGGGACCAGGATGCATGGGATGTTCCAGAGAGAAGGTAGAGAGCGGTTAAGGTGGCACGTTTTGTTTTCATGTTGCGAGAATGCTCGAGGACAAGCTGAAACATAGAATTGAAATAAAAGTCGGGGAGGAAATGATCTGTCAAAACCTCTTACTTGCCTTTAAACAGCCTTTATAAACGAGATCCAGCATGAGGGACCTTGTGAGGGGAAGACGATCTATCGTAGCCATTGGAATGCGCTAGTACTGCCATTGGTGGAATAAACACAATAATCTAGGGCATACTACGTCAACAAGCCTTGAATTGTTGTTTGAGTGCCCGCAGAATTTCTCCGAATACTGCAATAACGCCTGAAGACTTGCTAAGACCTATGCACTACACGGCCGGCGTCCCCACAAGTCTTCCATATTTCGAGCTCTCAAATATTCATCAGCATGATATCGCTTAGAATGTCTCGGCAATGCGATAGTGGTATCTGGACGCAAGTGTCGACGAGGGCAGTTCCCTCTCCTCAACATAGACATTAGCTATGTCTATGTAGTTGACACTCCGTCGGAACAAACGGATAGTCCAGGTGCATTCGACATGCCATCCCAATCTCGAGAACCGCGATAAACATTTAGGTGTAGATATCAATGGAAGACCGAAATCCCGTCCTCTCCCCTGCCTGTCAAGATCTTTAAAAGTTGAACGCAGCAATAATTGCAAAGCGGAGATTAATTGAACTGACAGGAAGGCCTAGCTAAACGCCATACACCTACGTTGTACAGATATCCAGGTCCGAAAGAGCAGTCACTTTGCGTCATGAACCGTCTCCTCGTCACCGCTTCCTTTCCACCATCGCCATATCGCCCGACAATAGAAGTATGTCTCCATGGTTCCGAAAATGCTCAACAGAACAATGACGAGTATCTTCATATTCCTACCCAGGCCTAGCGAGTCCAGATTCAGGGCGGGTAATTCCGGAGCGCTTTCGACAGGTTCTCTCTGCGCTGCAATCTTAGACTGCGCTTGAGAGGATGATGCATGTTGTTTATTTAGAAGAGTAGTTCGAGTCGAGAAAGGCTGACGAGCGAGATTCGGAAGCGTGAATTGCGCCCCGCGCCGGGTTAAGAGTGGTACATTCTTGCGGAGGCTTCGGGTGTATAGCTGAAGAGATCTAGACGCTAGCGACATGAACGTGGATATTCTTGGAGATTGAGGTGTTAGGTTGTTTTGCTGTGTTTTTGGATTGTGCTTAATTGATAGGAACACAGATGAGTGAGAGAATGGCATCCAGCAGATACCTTCTGAGTCATTCGGAATAGGCTGAGCGCGCGGTTTGTCCCGATGCAGCTGACCTTCTCGTGTTCCTTTTGCGCCGATCTTGGCCTAATATAGGCAACAGTCTACGGTTGCAAGATTCCAGCCATAGTGCCCCAGATGGAGCAGGTAAGGAACCAGAAAATCTTCATGATTAAAATGGCGACACCAGAAAGTCTTAAGGAGATGTGGTACAATGGTTGTTTGCCCTGGAAATGGGCGGGGGTTGCTGATAAGTAGTGTGAACTATATATGACGTCATTGGATTTAATATTCAAAAGCTCAAGCTCTACTTGGCTATAGGTGTTGCATCAATAATTGTCATTAGAGAAAAGTTTTCAGACATTATACAACAATAATAATAAGCGTAAAACCTATCCGTTAACCACTACTCCGCCATTGGGATGCAAACTCTGCCCTGAGATATAGCTGCTGTCCTGGCTAGCCAAGAACACAAAACAAGTAGCGATCTCACTTGGCTGGGCGGGTCGACCAATAGGGACGCCATGGAATTGGTCCATGGCCTCTGAAGTCATTGTCGCAGGAATAAGGGGAGTCCATACTAGCAGGGAAATAACATTAGCACTGGAGCTTCAACCGCTCTGAAAGAAAGACCGATATACATACCTGGACCTGGGCAGACTGCATTGACTCGAATGCCCTTGCCGATTACTTGGTTGGATAGCCCTCTTGTGAATGAGATGATGGCTCCCTTGGTGGATGTGTAGTCTAGCAGATCGGGGCGACCGATATACGCGTTGATGGAAGCACAGTTGATGATGGCCGAGCCATTGTGCAGGTGGGGAAGGGCGTATTTGGATAGGTAGAAGTACGGATGAATGTTCACATCGAAAGTATGTTCCCATTGATCCCTAGAGTTGTATCGTGTTAACAAAAGTATCGAAGTTCAAAGCGGAGTGGACATACTCAGTCAAATCATGGATATCCGGGATCATGTTCTGGTAAGCCGCGTTGTTGACCAGAATGTCAATCCCCCCAAGGGTTTTCAGAGCGTGGTCAACCACTTTTTGACAATTTTCCTTCTTTGTCAGGTCAGCTGCCAATAAGTGACATTGGCGACCCGCTTCTTCTACTCGCTTCTTGGTCTCCTGCGCATCCTTCTCCTCCTCGGGCAGGTACACAATCAAGCTCGAAGCTCCTTCAAGAGCGTATAGGATGGCAATAGCACGGCCAATTCCTGAGTCACCGCCCGTGATAATCGCTCTTTTGCCTTCTAGCTTGTTCGCCGACTTGTATGTCTGGTACCCGTTGTCTTCAGTGGGAATTTGTGTCGAGGTCGGCTTAGGCCCAGCCATCTGAGACTGGAGCCCGGGCTTTTGCTGGTGCTGGATGGGGACCTTGTGGCCTTGAAAAAAAAAATCATTAGCATTATGTTGAATTTAGTCAAGGTCAAGAAGTCTACTGGGAGACAATACCAGGCTGGAATTGGGACTGCGGTCCTTGGGCTGAGCGCTCAGTGTGTTCCTCCATTGTGATAAATTGACAATGAAAAGACGCAGATCAACGAGGTTTGATAATTCAAAAATTGATGAAAATCCTATCTGAAAATGGGTGGTCTGGACACTTAATTATAAAAGCTGTATACTTCACTTGGGGTATGACGTTAGCATGATGGCATCCCTATCAGACCCGGAACATGGCATCATAACCACCATCTCACCCTGACCTCATTCTTCTATAATTGCAACTTGCACAAGATAAACCAAGTCAACCCTGCAATACTTTATTTTCGTTTATTTCATATTGACAAATCTGGTTCGTGTCTGTGGTGTTTGGCCACTTCGCCCCACTAGGTCCGGCTTCATGCATCATCTCGAAGAAAAACAGCGTCCAAAAGGAACTGCCTCACTATCTTTGCGACCCTGGATTTGCCCGAAGTAATATGCATCGAAAATTATATTTTATTGCTAAAATGTGCCTGGGGCCTAGTTATTGCCAGACAGCGGTGCTTAATAGTAGCGTACATCTAGTGCTGGAGCAAAGAGCGGCAGAAAGAAAGCGGTCAACTCGCCCTAACATGTGGCATCTGGTGATAGTCATTTTGGAAATATTATTGATCGTTTCAGGCGAGATGTTACAATTCGCTCATTTGAGACATTTTACCAGTATGACGCTCCATACTATTAACTGAGCGAAGCGACCCATTTGCATAGTAGATGCGGTGAAATTTGACGCGATTCACTACCAAGTGTAGCATATATGTATCTTGATAGAATTAAAATCTAAGAATCGAAGCTCTAAATGACTAATGATCAGGTTCTGACATCCCTCTTTGGAAGCCACTGGCGAGACTAATACACTTTCAAACACATTCGGACGTTCTCTTCTCTCAAAGGTATTCTGCATTATGAGAACCACAACAGTCAACACCAAGATCTCTGTCGAAGGCGCAACCACTTTCGCAATACAATAACTGCTCTCACGGCTAGCCGTAGCACGCTATAATCTGTCTCCAATTCACAAGGACAGGCTGTGGAGGGGAATACCAGGGAAATAGGATGAATGTGTATGACGCAAAGCAGATTCTTGTGTATTGAGCATGTTGAGGATCTGAAGTATAAGGACTAAGATTAATATAAGGTTATGCTAGAACATGGAATTCACACCGTGTTCATCTGAAGAGGCTGCGATGTCCATCAAATTTAAGCCGAGGGAACGAAGAAGCCAGCCAGCCTCACAAAAGCTTATTCAAAGAGGTTTGCTCACTCGTGACGTAGGCGGACTAACCCGATATTCACTCGAATTCATCAACAATCTGAACAGCTATCTTGACGGACCTGACCTGTATCGGAATACATTGCTCCGAGACAGGATTCAAATACAAATAAATCCCGCGAACAATGGTTCTCACAATCACCCATTAACAAGACACCCCCGGATACTAGTAGAATGGCCCAATCTCACGCCAGTCTAATCCGATCAATCTACGACGAGCGGAGCAGCACATACGATGACTCATTCCATGGCATCTTGGCGGACGATTACATTCGTGTCGCTGAACCGAAAGAAGGAGAATATGTCCTTGACCTAGCATGCGGCACAGGCCTAGTGGCTTTACAGGCCTCCCAACGCGTCGGTAAATCGGGCCATGTCGTCGGTGTCGATATCAGCGATGGTATGTTAGAAGTTGGCTGTCGGAAGGCCGAGCGCCAGGGTCTCAATGTTCCTTTCATTCAGCATGATATCTCCGACCTGACTGGGCTGAAACTTCTCCCCGACGGCTCTCAGGGCTTCGACCTGATCACGTGTGCTGCGGCTTTGGTGCTTCTTCTTGATCCTCCGAAGGCGATCAAGCATTGGAGTACGTTGTTGAAACCAGGCGGACGGCTCGTCACCGATGTGGCGGCTAAGAATGTCAATGCTCCAAGTCGACTGTTTGCGCAGATTGGACGACAGCTTGACAAGACGCTGCAGTGGGATCAAAGTTGGGTGCAGTCAGAGGAATCTTTGGCAAAGCTGTTGCAGAATTCTGGGCTTCGCGTGGAGACTGTGTTCTCGACGCGATGTTACCAGACACGGGAATATACGACTCAGGAGGCGCCCGAGGCGTTTGAACACGCAGTTGCGAGCCCGATGTATAGGAACTTTGGAGAGCCTTCTGTTCGAGAAGAAGCAAAGAGACTATTTGTGGAGGCATTCAAACAGGAGGCGGGGGCTGAAGGGGTTTTGCTGGATGAGGCCAGGATGTATATGGCTGTCGCCTACAAGCTTTGATATTTAAAGGCAGTATACAAGATAGTAACTCTATTGTGCCGTAATCACTCTGTAGTATCCCATGAACGTATTAAACCAAATAATGCTGTAACGTATAAGGCGACCTTTGACTTGAATTTAATTCTCGAGCAGTACTAGGATGCTATCCTCGTCTCTGTATTCTCTTTAGAATGATTTTCCTACATATGTATTTCCTTTCATTCTTTAGCTCAGTGTGTGCTAGCCATATATATCTGGCATAGCAATTTCCCAGAGGAAAAGCAAATCATCTTGCTACTTGGACGAAATACCAAATTGTCTTCCTCCCACAAAAACTCAATTTTCTTTGTCCAATTATCAGTCCCGGCCTCGCCGATTGGTTGGATACTGCAAACTGGGGCCCTTTTAGCGCGGGGAAGAGCGGCAACCAACAGCATGAGAGATGCAGTCCGGGCCGAAGGCAGGAAACTAGATATGCAATATTTGAACGCTATCTCTGTAGAGAGTCTTGGAACTTTGCTAGTAGGTGGTGCGGTATGTTGGCTTCTCACGCCATATACCAATTGAACCATCCTTGATGGGTGGGTTGCCTACTCAACCACTCTAGCAACAAACCGGGTTAGTTGCCTTTCGTCGTGATAGACACAGTCTACTATGTATCCCTGCAGCCACAATTCTGAAAGTTGAAGAGCCCTACAAAGCGCGTTTGATGATCGCCATTGGGTTCCTTCTCGCAGGTCAGCACAGCAAATCCTTGAGCCGAGGAGAAAGGGAGACCGCGTCAGCATCACACACATAATATTTTAGGAAGGGAAATCCTATGCTGGGTCAATCTATGGGACATACTGCCAGTAACAACGCCAGCCAGATAACAATAAAAAATATTCACGTAATACTAAAGTTAGCTAAATGGGGCTGAACTTTGATTTTTGACACTAAACAACTGACAAGAGCTGCGTCTGGCTGCATCAGGTAGGACTTTAGTTAAAGCCTCTAGACTTGTTTCACGCTGGCGTTACACTTACACTAGTTCTGCCTATGGAACAGAAGACATAATTTATCGTTCAGCTATCCACTGGTAATAGTACAAACCTTGGATTGGTGTCTAAGCTTAATCTAGCAATCACTCGAGCAGGGGTGCATTGCTTCCGATGCATTGCAACGTCGGCTCGAAGAGAGAGGATCCCTACCGAGTACGTTTACTCCAAGCAAGACATATCGTATCTTCAATCGATTAAATGCTCATTGGAAGGACAAAAGTACATACGATGAATGTCGATCATCCCCAACCCCCGCTGTCAACGGTCCAACCCGCCAATGACCGTAAAACATAAACAATAATAGCATAAAGACCAGACCCGTTGCTGTTTGCTTCTCCGGCCCGTGGATCTACAAGATATCCCAATCGGGTTTGCTAACTACTCGGGTGCTCCACCCATCGGTCACTTTCCAGTCTCCCTCGGTGGCGACTGTTTCCAATATGCATCTATCACGCAGCAGACTCACACCAGAGAACCAGGCACTGAATCCTTTAAGTTATGTTGGAACCAATTGCAAAAATCGCGCAGAGCCTCTATTTAACTTACGATGTGGGATGGTCGATTGCGAGTATTCGTGTTCAAATACTCCATGCGCATTTATATAGCAGATTGGGAGCAGAATGTTAATTGACAGAGCGCATATTCTTTCCTGGGCAGTATCAACTCATTCCGACGATAAAATGGCACCTGCGAAGAATCACTCCTCCACTACTACTTTCAGCACCATCACGACAAGAAGTTCCGTCTCCACCGACCACGAACGCCATGGACTGAAGCTCGAAGGCGAGACTCTTTGCACCGATCTAGAGCACAAAACCTGGGCATCCCAAACCGAAGACCTCCCGCCTCGCTTGCCGCCATTACTGTATTCTAATCGAAACGCCCCTGAATTTTCCGCAGGCTGGCATTGTGTTACACGAAAATTGAGTCCCTCGTTCGGCTCAAAATTCCAAGCCATTGGTGCAGATAATGGCGTCTCCCACACTGCATTATATCTTACCGGGCTTAGCGTGATGATCTGCCGCATTTTGGAGATTGACGCCGAGTTCTGTATTGCGGTTGATGCTTCTAAGAAGGGAATGGTGCCGGTAAGGTTGCACCCAAAGCCCACTCAGAGTGTTCAATGTGCCCTGAAAGACACCGAAAAGTCGTTGCATAGAGCCTTGCATGATTGTATCTGTGGCCAGTCTAGAGGAAATGAGGCTTCGTTCTCGACGATTACATTCCGTCATGAAATTAGTGGTGCACGACCCGAGACTCTCGAGGCTGTGCATTTCAAAGGCGCAAATAAAGGGGGAACTGAAATTAATGTGAGCATAACAGAGTGGCATGTGGATGGATCGGTCACAGTCATTTTCCATGCTGTCAAGTCACTTTATACTCAGCATGATGCTGAGCTGTTGACCGACTGCTTTGTACATGTTGTTCAAGACATGGAAATGAATATCACAATGCCGTTAATTGAATGTGCTCTATACGACAGAATTGAAGCCAGGGAACACCTAGAAGTAGGTAGAGGTCAACCGGTCGATCATGCATGGCCACCGACACTCATTCACAAGATCGACGAAATTGTTGCATCACAGCCTGATGCGATTGCAATTGAAGATGACGCAGGAAACGGGTGGACCTATTCCCAGCTTTCCAACCGAGTTCAATCATTAGCACGGGCTCTTTTGGAAGAAGGCGTTGGGGCTGACTCGACAGTCGCCGTTTTCTGTGAACCAGGCCTTGATGCTATCAGCGCACTGTTAGCCATAACACGCATCGCTGCTATCTATGTTCCCCTGGACTTGAACCACCCCATGGAACGGCTTTCTCTGATTGTATATGACAGCAAGCCTCACGCTATCATTACCCATGCATTAACCAACAAGAGGATCAATAAGCTTCAGCATTCTGCCAGAGTGATAGATGTCACCAATCTACTCAGTACATTAGAGTCAGTGCCAGTCTCATGTACGTCTTCGGACGCCGCGGTCGTTCTCTACACAAGTGGTTCAACTGGTCGTCCAAAAGGGGTGCTCTTGAGTCATGGAAACTTCCTGGGCCAGGTTGCCTCCGTCAAAAGCAAATACGGTCTCGATAGGGAGCGTGTCCTGCAGCAGAGCTCCCTCGGATTTGACGTGTCTCTGCAGCAGACCTTTGTGGCCCTTACGACTGGAGGAACCTTGATTATAGCGACAAACGCGATTCGCCGTGAGCCAAACCAGCTGGCGGAGCTTATGAGAGTGACAAGAGCCACCTTTACATTGGGCGTGCCTTCCGAGTATGCTATTCTGCTTCGTTATGGAGAGTGTCACTTACAACAATGCCCGGATTGGCGATATGCTGTATGTGGAGGTGAGCGTATGACGGTCTCGCTTAAGCGCGCCTTTCGGAAACTGGGGAAGACAGGACCAATCCTCTTGAGTTGCTACGGTCCCACGGAAGTCTCGCTGGCTTCAACATATGGCGTTCTTTCATATACCGACCCCGCGGCTGGATCAGAAGACGAGAATAGCCCTGTGGGGTTTACGCTGCCCAATTATGCCGTCTATATTCTAGACAAAGACCGGAACCCTGTCCCAACAGGCTTTCCAGGAGAGGTATACGTTTCCGGCGTCGGCGTCGCAATGGGGTACTTGAACGACAAGGCCCGCACAGATGAGCGGTTTTTGCCGGATCCTTTTGATCGCGAGGGAAAGAGCCGAATGTACCGCACTGGGGATCGAGGACGTCTTCTACCCGATGGATCACTTGCTTTTCTGGGTCGAATGGAAGGTGACTTTCAGATTAAGCTCCGCGGAATACGGATTGAACTGGACGAGATTGCAAGCGCCATCGTTACTGCATCGAAAGGCGTGCTCCGGCAGGCAGCCGTCGTTCTTCGTGGAACAGACAATAAATACCTTCTTGCGTTTGTCGTATTCGTGGAGAGCTGGCGCGAGAGTAGAGAGCGTTATCTAGCGACACTTCTGGAAAGCCTTCCGTTTGCGCCATCAATGAAACCTGCTCAGCTCATCCCGCTGGATAGGCTTCCTACCAATGTCAACGGCAAACTGGATCGGCGAGTGCTAGATACTTTGGTCATCCCGGATACTGAGGTTGACAGTACCCGATCCTTGAAACGGGGTCTCAATGATGCTGAGAACAGGCTGATCAGGGTGTGGAAGACGGTCCTGGCTGAATCCAGCTGCACAGATGCATTCGATATTGGACCCGACTCCGATTTCTTCCAGGTCGGTGGGAACTCACTCCTGCTTGTGAGACTACAGGCTGTCATTGCCCAGAAATTCGATATTATAATTCCCATCAGAGAGTTGTTCCAAATTAGTGTGCTACGACACATGAGTGCACGTCTTACTTTGACAAAGGCCCAAGCGAAAGAGATAGATTGGAACGAAGAGGTCGAAACGCATCTGAACCATTTAAACGATGCTCTTCCACACATGATTATTAACTCCCTTCCGGCGCAGAAGGGATCGCAAGTTCTCCTGACGGGCGCAACTGGGTTCCTGGGCAGATATATCCTCGGTAACTTGGTTGACGACCCCACAGTTCACGTTATCCATTGCATTGCAGTCCGTCAACACAACATCTCATCAAAGGGGACCGTGTGCGGGATATCGTCCCCAAAGATTCAGATCTGGCCAGGTGACCTGTCCAAGCCCTACCTAGGCCTCATGGTTTCCACATTTGCACGTCTGGCGCAATCTATCGGTTTAATCATCCACAACGGAGCAGATGTATCTTTCCTCAAGTCTTACAACAGTCTCCGTGCGCCAAATGTTCGATCAACCGTCGAACTAGGAAGAATGGCCCTGGTCAGAGGTGTTCCTCTGCATTATATCTCATCCGGCGGGGTCATGCGTCTTGCTCCTCCCAGCTCATGCTCTACTCCAGGATCTGAGAATCACGATCGATCTGGCTATTATTCCGGCTCAGAAAGCAGCACTGAGGGCTCTGCTGACAGCTCAATCTGCCATCCACCGACCAATGGCTCAGACGGCTACATTTCCAGTAAATGGGCCAGTGAGGAAATATTGATGCGAGGGCGCTCACTAGGTCTGCGATCACATATCCACAGGCCCACAACGCTGGTTGGGAAAGGTGTGCCCAGTACTGATCTTTTGGATAACGTCCTGCATTTCTCTCGCCTTTTGAAAGCCGTTCCGCAGTTTGATAGCTTTGACGGGGTTATCGACATGATTTCTGTCGAGGATGTCGCTAGAAATATTGTATTATCCACACGAAAGGAAGCGGATACTGGAATGTCTCACTATTCTGGAACCCAGGTGCCTCTTTCCGACCTGGCTGAATGCATCTCCGAGACTGCGGAGCCGTTGAAGTCGCTGGAAATGAGCGAATGGGTTCACCAAGCTACCGCTGTCGGTCTTGATTCTCAAGTCGCGTCAATCTTGCTCACGGAGGGGGGTCGACAGGGCCATGGGCTCATCATACCGCAACCATAAGACGCTTTCGCAATCAAACAATGGATCAATAAGCGTTACTCCCTACGATAAGACCCAATATATACAAGATCGCATTATACCCTAGTCCTATAGTGTACAGCCAGCTTCTTCCCGTACTTCAATTTTGAGAAATGACAAACCATAGTCTCTCCCTACCGATATTCATGTAACTCAATACTCTGCCTAACGCGAATCCCCTCAATCCCCGCCTCACTCTCATGATCATCTGACACCCCCGCTTGCACCGTTGTCTGGTTCAACGCTTTCATGGATCCCGCGTCATCGAGGCGCGCGAAGAGTCGTGGATCAACAGAATGCGTCGAGCCCTTGGGGTATCCCGAGGCTGATTTCGTCTTAGTTCGAGTTGCTGAGCTGAGGGAGAGTTTTCGGGGGAGGAGATACGAGAGGACGGGACGGAGAGTTGGTAGGCAGGCGCAGATGACTGCGACGGAGGGTTCGACCACGGTCCAGATTAGGGCGTCGAGGTATACCCCTTGGTTTGGAGGATTAGTTTGAAGCTGAGGGTTGGAAGGGGAAGGGAGGAACAAACATGTTAGATCGGGGTCGTCGACGTGGAGGATTGAGACGAGGAGACGCATCAATGCCGTTACGCAGGCGCTATTCGGGTGTTAGTATTCATGAAAGGATACGGCGGATATAGGAACGCATACAAAGAACCCAATAGAAAGATAAACGTCAACGCAACCTTCTGCGTCCCCGTCAAGGTCAACCGCCAAATCATATGCACGGGCAACACGAGGATGAACACGTCGAGCACGATGTTCACCACCGCGTATCCGATATCATAATCCAGAAGACTCATGCATTTCCTGCCAGGTAGGTCCGTGAGCCAGTAGCCCTGGACCGGAACGCAGGTGAAAATGCCCGATATGCACATGCCAATCCACCAGGCGATGTTAATACAGACGAGCCAAAATACGACGCGACGGAAAAGTGAGGTGTCGAAGATGCGTCGGTAGAGAAGCAGAAGGGAGATTTTGATCGTGGGCCCCGTCGCGATGTAGATCTGGTTGAATGCGTAGAGTGTCTTCCAGAATTTGACGTAGGGGAAAGTGTCTTGAATGGGTTCGAGGTGTTTGCCTATGCCGTATTCAACGCCTGGTTTTGTATTGACTGCGTTAGCTGGAATGGTGAAGGGGTAGAGGAAACGGAGAAGCTGGCATACATAGGGTTGCGCAGACTGCACATCCCCAGGTGAGGATCTATTTGGTTCGTCACTATGAGCGCCGGTTTCCGGATTCTTCGGCCGAGTCGCACTCACCAATCCCGCGATCACCATGAAGTCGTCCATCAGCCATGGCTGATTTTTGATACGCCGAGATATGAGCCTGCCCACGACAGCTAACGTAGCCACCGTCGCAACGGGGAAAACGCTGCTGATGAGGACAGGACCACGGTTGGCGTGCAGGTCCATGATTGCTGTCTTCACTCCGGAGCTACGCACATAGTAAATAAAAATAGAGGGTCAGGCAAATTGCAACTGCAGGCTGAATAGGCTGGCATTTGCAGGGCTACAGATTTTAGCTGAAAGCCCCCGGTCGGAAATTACGTAGAATCGGCAGTGACATGACAAGGATGCTTCGTACTATGATAGCCAGTGAACCGGGGGGTTAGGCCAAAAGGTTCTACAGAATAAAGGGGAAACAGGAGGACAAGACTGCGATATTACATGGAATCGACCAAAGGAACGAAAATCCTGCACAGGATTGCAATCTGGCAGGGAAGTTCATCCTCTCCTGTCTCTTTTCCTCCGTCGAATCGGCCGGAATCCATTCCTCACAGCAGGATGACACCCCGGTCGTGCTATCGGTCAGGATTCTAAGCACAGCTCCGAAGGGGGCAATGCGGACCACAGCCAAGAGAAGTGATGTTTCAGCGCCGATGGTGGCCACTGTTGTGCAAAGGTTAGGGCCGGCTGTGGAGATGGTGGACCGTCGTCCTATAGAACTGCTGGATATGCGCCGATCACTTCTGGCATGCGTTGCCATGGCGCACACCAAAGAATGTGATTGGGACGGCCCATAGGCAGTGACTGGGATTGCGGTCTTCTTCTCCTCACATTGCGGCCAAAATAAACCAGCGCTTAATGCAGTGGAGCAAGGCTGATCCTCCCGTGCTTCCGGCCGGGCAGGATCCTAGTGGATGGATCCACGTTGCACTGGCAGGTGTTAGTGTGGATATTCTAGGCTAGCCCAGCTGTACGTTTGTTTTCTACGTTCTCGAGGTCGCACAGAGAATTGGCTAGTCTGAAATCTGGAAGGAGTAGGGTCCTGCGGGGCTTTCCCCCTACCAGTGAGGCCATACTGAGATATTTGCTGCTGCACGGGCTGAACTCTCTTCCTAATCCTCTTCTACTGTACTGTACATATGTACAACTAGCCAGCTGGCTAACTGAGCTAATTTTGGTTAATCGTACTTCTGGAACCCTTTTCATCGCAACTCACATCCCTAGGCACCACTACCTTCTCTTCCTGACCGTAGTTCGTTGGCCGCACGCAGAACCAAGTCACGAAGACCATGCACAGCAATCCCACCCCTTGCAGAGAAAACGTCCAAGCAACTACATAAATTTGATCCAACCCCGCAGCTTCGGTGCCAAAGGTAGCGCAGAGTCCACCGGCCAGACAGCCTTTCGCAAACCCCGCAAAGCGAGCGAGCGTTTCGGGGTCGTTACTCAGAGAGGCAACGATCCACTGCACAACCACTTGATACTATTTAGTTCAACAAAAAAAAATTAGCTTTTCTTATGTCTGTTGCTCGATCTGATCTTGGCGCTTTTTTGTTGGGAAATAAGCCGTAAAGGCAGAACACAACGTGGGGTCCAGAGAACACTTACAGCAACCATATTGATCCCAAACAACAGCGTCAGGACGATAAACCCGCCGAACGGGCCGTCCGTCCAGTCCCACAGTGGAGGGTTTGTTAGATTGATGGGATGTTGTGACAACCACACGCAGAGGCCGATCCACAGTCCGAGCGTGAAGAGGCCCATCACGGCGATCGAAAGGAGGCCTCGTGCGCGTCGAGTGCCGATCCTCCGACTATCCAACAAGGCCATCGTCCCTACGGCCCCGACGGCCTGAAGGATGACGAATATCACCGAGTTAAGACTGCGCGTGCGGATGTTGAAATAGAGTGCTGCGAATCGTTAATTTCACCTGGACACTTGTTTGGAAACGGCACGAAAGGGAAGTATAGGTACAGTTAATAGACGAAAATGCGATAATTGCCACCTCGGAGCCAAACATGGGTAGGAGAAGCGCCAACATGCGCCAGTCCATAATTATCTGGCGTTGGCCCTTGAGCTCTTCCCACACGCCGCGATGAGGGTAGTGTGCGATAGGAGAGCCATCGGCGCGACGCACGTCAGCAGGAGAGATGATCCCAAACAAAGCGACCGGCAGCGATAGAGCCATTAGAATGATGAACACAATGTATACAGAGTCGGGACACTCGAGCTCCCCAGCGTTGAAATTGATGCCGAAGGCGACGAACGAAGCAATGGTGCCTGAAAATTAGCATCATTCGAATTTCCCTCTTAGGGGCTGTCAAAGATTGGAGAAGACGAACTTCCGACGCTTAGAAGACCCCATTGCATGGAGATATACGTTCCCTTCTTGTCTTCGGTCGCATAACTGAAGGCGATGAACCCTGCCGCCGTCCACAGATGAACGGCCGTGAGACCTAATATCGCACCCCCGAAGATTGGGAACCACAGGTTGCCCGTATTGCTGACTGTTGCAGTTCAGATTAGCATTTGCCGCGAATTTATTATCTCAACTGAGTTCTTAGACAATACATACAGTACCACAAGGAACCGACGTAGATGGGATACCCCAAAGTGCCAAAGACCAGGGTGTACTTAGGGCCAACGGTCGTCACCACAGAGCCGCTAAAAAAGCCAACGACGAAGTAAATCCTGCCCAAAGGTTAGTTGGCGGGGATCTGAGAATAAGGAAACGCTTCTAGACGCACGCGTAAAGAACCGAGTTCACGATGTTCTGCATCTGCGTGGCATTGGCGGGCCCGCCACCTGCCCCGAGGTTGGTGACAGCGACACTTGGGCGGTTAGAGACGTCGAACTATTGGTGACAATTACAATCACAGCGGCACTTACTAGAGCCCCGGTCCTAGTCCGACCACGATCGAGGCAAGGAGGTTCTGCACGAACGGACTAGAGGCGGTTAGCATGGCCTCTCGTGATCTCGAGTTTCAAAAGTCAAGCCTCACCTGTTCAGTCTGCCCAGCTGCATGATAAGTAGCGAAGGAGTAGCGAGCAGGAAAGAAGAGGGTCTAGAAATGTGACGGAAGACACAAGAGGGCAAGGACAACAGTAGATATGATGATACAGGGTATCGGACTCGTGGCAAGTGGCATGAGCAGGGTTATCTCAACCGTGAGCTCTCATTGGATTTAGGCCTAATACTCCGGAATCCTTTTGTCGGAGAAATTTAAACAAATGGCTCATTCATTAATCATCAATGAATGTAACGCGCAGGGATCGAATCCTGCCGAGAGGCTACTTAAAGCTTTAGAGCATCCCTAAACCCTTAGAACAATTAACCGGGATAGAGGAAGGAAATGAAATAGAAAGAGAAAGGCCACACATTTCGTATTCATCCTGCCCTAAGCCATTTCCCCTTATTCCCATACTGATTGTCTCCGTGTCCGTGTAAATGGCCGCAACCCACATTATCGGATACGCCGACCCTCTGACGGCCTCGCCTGGCCAGACCGTGGCCATTCACGTCTCCTGCCACCGTGAGAAATACACCAGTGAATTAGTCCGTTTGGGCCCCGGCCAACTCAACCATCCTGACGCTCCGCCCGAGGATCGTCGTCGCGTAGACTCCCTTGCGTCCGTCTCCCACGCCGGTCGCCCACAGTACTCCCGTCTTGGGTCGTTTGCGTCGGTGCCCTGGAAAGGAGAGCTTCTGGGTCAGAAGGATGCAGTGACCGTGTCCTTCTGGGCGCAGCCCACTCTCCCACGTGCTGGTCATGAACAGTATCTGTTTTCATCCCTCGAGCCGGACGACCGGGCGGGACTGGCAGCGCTGATCGACAATGAGGGAACTCTCGTTCTGTGCTCCGGAAGCTCCGATGGCATACGGCGTGTTACATCGTCAATCCGCCTCGAGCGTGGGCGATGGTATCGTCTAGCCCTCACCTGGGATCAATCATCCAACGTTGTCGGCGCCGACGTGCAGGCCAAGGCCGGCGATGTCGGACAGGCTTCCACCTCAAAGACCGAAACCCAGTCCGTGAAGGCAATGCAGCTGGTGTCATCGCAGACGTTGACAATTGCCAGTCACTCCAGTGCTGACCGCGTGGCTCCCCACCCTCTGTCTTCTTCGAGTTTCAACGGCAAGATCGACGGTTTCCGCGTGGAGGTCGGATCGGAGCACATTCTAGACCTAGATTTCAGCAAAGACATTACTACGGACGCTCTGCGAGATCTTTCCCCCCGGGCCACCCATGGAGTTCTCGTGAATTCTCCCGCCCGTGCAGTGACCAGTCATGATTGGAATGCTCGCGACGTGGACTGGACTCGCGCATCGTACGGTTACGGTGCCATTCACTTCCACGACGACGATCTAGACGACGCAGCGTGGGAAAAGGACTTCGACGTCAAGCTCCCCGAAGATCTTCATTCGGGATGCTACGGCGTCGTCATATCAGATGGCGAGACCGAAGATGTCATTCCGATCTTTGTTCGACCTGATCTATCCAAATCGTCTAACCCCCCGGTTGCTCTGATCATGCCCACCTTCACCTATACTGCGTACGCAAACGACCGTATGTACGACACCTCTCGTGATGTACACATCGACATCCCCGGGTCCGACTCTGTGACAAAAAGCCGTCACATCCAGATCCTCGAGGCCCGACCGGATCTAGGGATCTCGCTGTATGACAGCCACAATGATGGCTCTGGCACCACGCATTCCTCGACCAAGCGAGTTGTTCTCAACATGAGACCCGAGTAAGTCTCTTCTATTCCCTTTTACTAGATGCCTTCATATCTAACACATTCCTCTACAGCTACTTTCACTGGGGCTTCGGCGGACCTCGTGAATTCCCAGCAGACCTCTGGTTCGTCGGCTTCTTAGACAGAGAACTCGGTCGCGACAACTACGACATCATCACCGACCACGACCTCTCCATATACGGGCCCTCCCTCCTTCTTCGCTACTCCGTCGCTCTCTCCTGCAGCCACCCAGAGTACCCGACCTTCGCCATGCTTGACACCTACGACGCCTTCCTCGCTCAAGGTGGCTTCTTTCTCTACCTCGGCGGCAACGGCTACTACTGGGTGACGGGGCATCAAGCCACACAACCCCATCGCATCGAAGTCCGTCGCGCCGACCAAGGCTGCCGCACCTTCAACCTACCCCCAGGACACTGGCACCTCGCCAGCACCGGCGAACTGGGCGGACTATGGCGCTCACGAGGCCGCACCCCGAACCGACTAATGGGCCTGGGCTCCGACGCCTGCGGAATGGGCCAAGGGGCTCCGTACGGGATCGTGTCCGAGGCGCGTCGCAACCCAGCCCTGGCCTTCCTCTTCGATAGTCCCCGTCTGCGAGACCCGTCAGTCACTACCATCGGGGACTTTGGGCTCGTTCAGGGCGCCGCGTCGGGTGATGAGATTGATCGGTTGGATTACTCGCTCGGGACGCCGAGGAATGCGATTATGGTTGCGACGACGAAGTTGGCTGGTGGTCATTCGGATAATTACGGTTTGTTCAATGAGGAAATCCTTTTCCCGATGGTCAATACAACGGGGACGACGAGTGATAAGGTCCGCAGCGACCTGGTTTATTATGAGACTGCGGCAGGAGGGGCGGTCTTTTCGGTCGGATCGATCAATTGGGTGGGTGCGTTGGCGTGGAAGAATTATGAGAATAATGTCGCGGAGATTACGGCGAATTCTGTCCATGAGTTCGTGAGGAGAGTTAGGGCAAGAGAGGGATAGTTTACCTTGGGGTTTATTGGAGTGGCATATCAGATAGAGGGTTGAGGGTTTGGAATTGCCAGCGTTCAAGGAGATTGTGAGATAAATGGAAGGGTGGTTCGATTTAAGAAATCGAGTCTTGTCTCAATGCCGTCCTAAATATCTCAAATGTTTTAAGAATAAATCAATATGCTCAAAAAGTCGTCCGGATTTATTATCGTCGATCGATTGGCTCCTGTTGGGTTCATGGGGAAGTTAAGTTATGACCGCAGACGGGATACTGGAGTTGAGAGAGATGAGTAAAAGAAAGAAGAAATGAACAGACAAGGAAAATAAGAGAAACCAAGAGACACAGTGAAGAAATGCGGCGATGGAGTTGAAACAGTCTTGTGGGTTCTGATTTGCAAGTTGAGCGAAGTTGAGACATATTTTCGAACTTGTAAATGGCGCGGGACCAAAGTACGGAGCAAGAAGATCAATGAAGATGTCTTATTAGATAAATATCTATTGATCTTATCTACAACACAAGAGACATGGACAGTCAAATATAAAGATGGTGTTAATGTAGTAAGGTATTGAAATACTCAGACACCCTCCTCAGTATCCTTCTTCACCCTCCCCCAAACCCTCTGTATCAGATCGATGCCGAATCCAGTAAACAAGGTCAAAGCAACGACAAATGCAAGTCCACTCGGCCACCCATATGTCTTCTTGAACTCAGGAGCTTGTCCGCTAGGAAACTGTAACTGCTGAAAGGGAATAACAACCGCATATCCGAAGCTAACCATGAAGCCCAGCGTGAACGCCCGGAGTTGCTGGTCCCCACCACAGATGGAGTTGACCCAACTTGCGAGCAAAGGGGTATAGCAGCCATAGGAGCCCGTCAGGATAAAGACCGCCATTTTAAGCTTATGCGGGACATCCCAGATAGTGAGGATGATGTAACAGAATGTGAGCATACATCCGACGCCGAAGCAGACAATGTTCCGACGGCCTAGCTTATCCGATAAATAACCCGTCGAGATCATGAAGACGAAGTTGACGGCTCCGATGCAGGTCGGGATGTTGTTAATTTGTGGGACAGAGTATTGTCCCGTTGATTTGAGCCACAGGCTGAAATATTGCATCACGTACGAACCGCAAGTCAGTGTCCAGAGGGCATACGCGGCGGAAAACGTATATAGTTGCCAGGAGGTGAGAACGCGTTTGAAGATCGTGCGATCGAGACGCGCGTTAGATGCCCGACCGTCTTCTTGCATTCGTTCGAGCGCGCGATGTCTTTCCCACTTGGTGAGGTAGAATGCGGTCGTATTTTCAGGCGTGTCGGGGTAGAAGAAGAAACCGTAGATAGCGACGGGAATGGCGAGCAGGAAGTCAAAGATGAAGAGCCAACGCCAGGCGGGCATCCCATGTTTCCCTTCCATGCCAGTGTATAAGGCCGCTTGGAGATAGCCCGAAAACATTTGACCGAGAACACCAGACATTACAAACAGGCCGCTACGCCGAGCGATTTCGGACTTTTTATACCAACATCCGAGCACGTATTGAATGCCTGGCCAGGCCGCGGATTCGAATAGTCCGATGCAGAAGCGCAGCGCGTAGAATTCACTGGCAGTGTTACACTTGAAGAGGAAGAGCACGAAAAGAGACCATGACATCAGACAGAACGGAAGCCAGTATCGCGGTCGGATGAGGGTCAGGATCAGGTTGGAAAATGGGCCACCGATGATCTGTCCGGCATTGAAGAATGTGTTCATCCAGCTGAGTTCGTCACCAGGACCGAAGCCCAGATCCTCCTTCATACCAGAGACGTAGGCGTTGGATATGTTGTTTTGATCGAGTTGCTTGATGAAGAAGCAGAGGCAGCTGTAGCTCAAGAGGAACCAGTCCAGCTTGAAGATCAGGACCTTTTCCTCTCTAGACGTGCCAGGATCGTGCCAGTGAAATATATCCCAGCGTCGGCGTTGCGAGTTTTCATCGCTATGAAGGGACTCGTTCGTCGTAGTCTCAACAGTCACATCTTTCACCTCTAAGTTCCTGGCGCTGATATTTTTGGCGCCTTGCTCTGACGGATAGAACCTTGAAGAAGTCATATTCCCCAGCTGATAATTTGGTTATGCCCAGTGGGACGGTATGTATTGGAAAACCATTATTGAGAAAACACCAAGTGCTAGCATTTTATAAAAGCCATCACCCACCATCAACGAAAGCAAGATGGACAGCCCGATGGCGCAATCAACAAGCCGAGTCAAGACCTTGGCAGCGCGCAAATCGCCGGCCTATCTCAACCTGCCCTGTCGGGAAGTTTAGAGCGGAGTGGGGCCGGCGCGGGTTCTGCTTCTTAGTTCTAGCCGATGCAATGACTGACCAGCATCTCACTGGAACCTATCAAGTCACTGTGACATTGTCGCATGGACGGTGAATGATGAGCTAGGGGAACAGGTCTGCCGGGCCCACTTACATGAGCATTGCAATTGCCACCGGTCATTGCGTGAGGGGTCTAGGCCGTCCTAGTAACGCTTGTCATTTGATGTCATGTTTTTGTGTCACAATGATTCAGAGAAAAGAGAAATGGTATCCGCGATGGGGTGAGAAGGAGGATGAAGGCGACACAACCGCTGGTGACTCGGGTCCGGTGCATGAATGATGGTTGGATTCCGGTGCCGGTGCGCCCCAGTCATCCAGAATGTTCAGATAGCAGGTTGTCTTGCCCGCGATTTCTCCCAGAAGAGCGGAAAGCTCTTTCACTAACGAGTGAAGCCAATCCTGGTGTGCTGGATCTATCACGCATGGTCGGAGGGAGCCAGACTGGTTTATTAAACTAGCCTCGTAGGCAGATATTAGATTACTCAAGTCGACCATCACTTGAATGAGACCGCCCGCTGATGTCCATTTATCGGAGAATGCTCTCAATATGTCAATGCATGTTCTTATATCTTCCTTACCAGGAAAGGAGGTGTAGCATTCCCAAGAGAAACAATGTATCAATATCAGGCAAATAGGAACAAGACGGCATAATGTGACGCGATTCAAGGGTAACTGCCGATTGACCAGGAGGACCTGGTTATACTGCATGAACTTTCTGACGAGTGCCAATAAACTTGGTTCTTGGGGAGTCTTTGCCCGAGAATTGAATTGACAAGGGTAGTGAAGCAAGAGCATGAGATGATAATATCGTGCATTTAGCCATGCCATTGTGTCGTGGACTCGGACATTGTCGGGCTCCGGCCGAGCGATCAGGCAGCCATGGCTGTACCAGTTCTCGACATCGGCTCGAAACCGACTGATGATCGCATTGCGATCCGAGATCGAGAGGTTGCTAATACTTGTACGATTCTGTAGGTGAACCGTGGATAGTATCCTGCTTTCTAGCTGACGCAGCTCAATTACATGTCGACTCACTTGGAGCATAGTAGCTAGATCCGTGCGGTCGGGCGAAGCAAATTCCTCCACGGTAATTGCCGGGTAAGGAACATCCATTTCGTCAGAAACCAGGCCCGGCGACTGCCCGACGGAGACTGCCATCATTCTATCTAACACGAAGATGCTCCAAACAAGGCGTCGGCGAAGCTCGGTGGCTTTGGAGTTGTTGTGGGTTTGGTTCGTAGAGCGAGTGAGACCTTGGGTCATGGCCTGTCGGGTAATGATCCCAACGATGGACCAAGTAGAGGGGCCAGACGGATCAAATAGCGAGTATAGAGCGAGAAGGACTAGAATTTGGATGGAGTCAATATCTTCGTGAAGAATACATCGTTGGAGAATATCTGAGTAAGATATGTCGAAAGCCGGAGACCTGTCATACAGTGTTTTCCCTGAGCGTTGCAGGCTAGTATGACCTATCGCCATGATAATATGAAGTATCTGCAGCAGTTAATTCATGAGCCCTGGGACTAAAAATCTAGTTCACGCACTATTGAATCTGCATTCCGTATGTTTGGTTCCAAGCCCAAAGAGGAAAGATGAAGGATGCGTGTCTTATCGATGAAGGGATAGGCTCGATAGACATGATGGAAGAAGGCATCCACCAACGCAGTCCTGCCAGGGATATTCAGACGAGAGTCGACAGATGCTTGAGGAGGTGAAGAGGTTGGAAGTACGCCAGGGAGTTGAAGGTTTGCCTCTCCAGCGGGAGTAGCAGTTGCACGTGTGTCCGCAGTGTCACGTTTCTCCTCGTGGGCCTCGCGTCCTCCCGACCCCAAATCCTGACTTCTATCGACCATCGCAATTTCTCGCTCAACGTCATCCACATCTCGACCCATCACGTTCGCGATGTATTGACTCAATGCATCGACCCTTGCCTGTAGAAAGCGATAAGCGCCCGTCGAAGGCCCTAGTCCGCCAGAATAAGAGCATCTCTGACCCGCATGGACACAATGACCACATTCGGGCAAATTCCGGCTACATCGCTTTTTCAATCGTCGACAACGATCGCAAGCAGGATTCGACACCCTCGCGCTATTCCCCGAGCCTTCCAATCCAGGAGAAAACTCCGTCGACAGCCTGGGTCCAGAATCCGGGGTTGAGCGATGCAAGCGAAATCGTTGGGTTGTGAATCGGTGAGGCGGCTCGGCATTCTCCTTGCCTCTCTGCGGCGGCATGGCCGTCGAAATTTTCCAGGAGGGGAAGTTGATGTGGGGGGAGGTGATAATGCGCGATGGGTTTATCTTGAGCGGCAGTTGGTTCGTGATCCTGGCGCTGATGGTGTGATTTGCGGACCTTTGTCGATTGGATTTCCTCTCTAGGCGATGGCTTCGTTTAGCTACGTCAGTTTAAATACTGCAAGAGTATTGGGATGCTCGTCTTTGGGTCTCACTGGTCGTGTTTGTTTATATCTGGTCGCCTTGACTTTTGGCATGGTGACACGAAGAAGTCTCCATCATGAGCAATCCAGACGAGATCAATATCTCCATCGGTACGCGCATTTCGCATCCTCTTACCGACTTGAACTAACAATCAAGATCGTGGTGGCACATTCTGCGATGTTCTCGTCCAGGTCACCGGGCAACCCGACCGTGTGTTTAAACTCTTATCGGAAGACCCTGGCAATTACAGCGATGCCCCGACCGAAGCCATCCGGAGAGCACTTGAAGTTATTGAGGATCGGCATATTGCAAAAACCGAAAAGCTTGATGGCTCCCGGATTTCCTCTTGTCGCATAGGCACAACGCTGGCGACCAATGCTTTACTGGAAGGAAAAGGAGAAAGGTTCGCGTTCATCACTACGAAGGGATTCAAGGATGTGTGTGTTATCGGTGACCAAACGCGACCGAAGCTCTTTGATCTGAACGTTCGCAAAGCCTCTGCGTTGCATGACAAGGTCATGGAGATTGATGAAAGAGTCACTGTTGAGGATTATGACTTGAATCCGTTTCCGCTTGACAAGAGCAGTGAGCTGAAAGATCCATCTCTTGTTCGAACCATGAGCGGCGAGATCATACGAGTAATCAAGCCCTTGGACGCCTCCGAAGTGACGGCTGCCCTTCAAAAAATCAAGACCGAGGGGTATGATTCGGTCGCTATCAGCTTCATGCACTCGTACTTGTTTCCCGATCATGAAATTCAGGCGGCATCTCTTGCGCGGCAAATGGGCTTCAAGTACGTGACTACGTCGTCCGAAATAAGCCCAACAATAAAGTTTCTGCGTCGCAGTAACTCTGTATCCTCCGAAGCCTACCTCTACCCCATCATCAAGCAATACATCACAGATTTCGAAGAGGGATTCGCCACCTTGCCGATGAGGGTTGAATTCATGTGCTCTGATGGGGGATTGCGATCGTCTCAAAAATTTCGAGGCAACGAGGCTCTTCTTAGTGGTCCAGCTGGTGGCGTGGTTGGAATTGCAAAGACCTGTTTTGATCCCATAGATCGCACCCCGGTCATAGGATTCGACATGGGAGGTACTAGCACTGATGTGTCTAGATACGACGGCAATTATGAGTTCTTGAGTGAGACGACAATTGCTGGCCGCATTATTACTGTCCCCATGCTGAATATCGCGACCGTGGCTGCGGGCGGAGGCTCTATCCTGTTTGCCCGTAACGGACTGTTTACTGTCGGCCCTGATAGCGCCGGTGCACATCCTGGTCCTGCTTGCTACAGGAAAGGGGGACCGCTGACTGTCACGGATGCGAACCTCTTCCTAGGCAGATTGGTTTTGTCGGCTTTTCCACCTATTTTTGGAAAAGATGCAGACGAGCCACTCGATTATCAGGTGACTGCTCGGAAGTTTGGGGACATGACGAAGGAGATCATTATTCAAACAGGCCAAAATCTCTCAGCAGAAGAAGTTGCGTCGGGATTTTTGAACGTGGCCAACGAAACAATGAGCCGCCCAATTCGCAATGCGACCGAAGCCCGGGGATTCCATCCTGAGCATCATAATTTGGTTAGCTTCGGTGGTGCTGGCGGGCAGCATGCCTGTTCTATTGCCACTAGGCTTGGAATCCGACGAGTTCTAATTCACAAACATTCATCCATCCTATCTGCCGTTGGTATTTCTCAAGCTGATCTGCAGTATGAACAAGTCGAGCCATACGTTGGTACCTTCAACCTAAGCGCCCTGCCTGGGATTCGTGCTCGATTCGGTGCCCTCAAAAATAAGGTGAAAGAGGAATTGGTCGGTCAGGGTGCTTCTGTGGAGACAATAAAATTTGACGAGTCACTTAGTTTAAGATACAAGGGCACTGACACAAATCTGGTTATCTCGAAACCAGCTGACGAGAACTATGGCGCTGCCTTCAGAGCGGCGCATCTCCGAGAGTTCGCCTTCGTCTTAGAACGGGATATCATTGTCGATTCTGTCCATGTTCGTGGAACTGGAGATAGTAGCAGTGGTGTTCGGTCGGCTTCCCTATTCGAAGGGTTGGAGCAGATTTTGAACGATCAAAACCAAGCTTTAGCAAACACTTCACAAAAAGTATTTCTTGAGGGAGCATGGGAAGATGTACCGGTCCACAAACTTGAGTCCTTCTCTAACCATGCTATTGTGACCGGTCCAGCCTTGATCATCGATTCAACCCAGACCATCCTGGTCGAGCCACAATGGCAAGGCTATATACTGCCAAGACATGTCATTCTTGAACGAGTATCTGATGCCACTCCACTCTCTCCTGAGATCTTGTCGGAAACTATCAACCCCATCCAATTGTCCATTTTCTCGCACCGCTTCATGTCCATCGCCGAACAAATGGGCAATACGCTGCAGCGGACCTCAATCTCTACCAGCATCAAGGAACGCTTAGATTTCTCTTGTGCAATTTTCTCTCCGGATGGAAAGCTTGTGGCTAATGCTCCACACATTCCAATCCATCTTGGTAGTATGCAATACGCCATCCAGTATCAGCATCACCTATGGAATGGGAAGCTCCGCCCTGGCGATGTACTCATGACCAACCACCCGGAGTGTGGTGGGACGCATCTGCCAGATGTTACAGTTGTGACACCCGTCTTTGCAAAAGACAATGCAACCGTTATGTTCTATGTGGCAGCGCGAGGACATCATACCGATATTGGTGGGAAAGGAATTACTTCTATGATGCCTGATTCGAAGGAGCTATGGGAAGAGGGGCTGAATGTTAAATCCCTCAAAATTGTCAGCCACGGAGAATTTCTCGAGAATGCGGTCAGGGATGCCTTCATTCATGCAGGGACGTTTGCTGGGTGCAGCCCCACTCGTCGACTGGATGACAACATTTCTGATATCAAAGCCCAGATATCATCTAACCAGCGAGGTATCGTGCTTTTACAGAAGTTGTGTGACAACTTTACTATTCCGCTCGTTCACCGGCAGATGTACGCCATCCAGGCCAACGCGGAAGTTGCAGTGCGACAATTCTTCAAACACGTCAGCAAGGTGCACCCAGAACCACTCACAGCAGTAGATTACTTTGATGACGGGACTCCATTGAAAGTAACGATAGCGATCGATAAAGAGACGGGAAGTGCGGTTTACGACTTCAGCGGGACAGGTCCGCAAATGTGGGGAAATTACAATTGCCCCGTCTCTATCACTCATTCTGCTGTTATATATACAACTCGATGCCTAATGGATGTGGATATCCCTCTTAACGACGGATGCCTTGCCCCCATTGACATTCGCATTCCGAAAGGGTCAGTCTTACGGCCAAGCGCATCGGTCGCTATTTGCGGCAGTACACTTGCGAGTCAGCGCGTGATCGATACGATCCTAAGGGCATTCGGTAGATGCGCCGCTTTCTCTGGCTGTGCGAACAGCTTTGGCTGGGGAATTGGTGGCAAGAACCTGATTACAGGGGAAATTGAGCCCGGGTGGAATTACGGAGAAACTGTGGGCGGTGGGTGTGGTGCTGGTCCTTCATGGCATGGAGAGCATGCAATCCAGGCGCACTCGACCAACACAAAGATTACCGATGCGGAAGTCGTCGAGAAGCGAACTCCGGTGATTATTCGCCAGCACAGCATCAACTACGGAACTGGAGGACGGGGTCAGTTTAACGGCGGAGACGGAGCCACAAGGCTCATTGAAGCCAGGGTGCCGCTCAAATTTAGTATCTTGAGCGACCGACGGGTGTTTGCACCATATGGCATGCATGGGGGAGAAGAAGGAGCTGTGGGAAAGAACTTCCTCTATCGCTGGAACGATGATAGGAGTGGGTTTGAGAAACTATCCTTGGGCGGGAAGGCAGCTCTGAGCCTGGAAGCAGGAGAGATGATGGAAGTGAACAGTCCTGGGGGTGGTGGATGGGGAAATGCCACACAGACTCCGGCAAGTTAGTGCAAATGTTAATGAGTAAAGAAATACATACCTCTGGACGATAGCTAGACTGTCTGAGCACGTGCTCGGGCCCTAGTCAATCCCACTCGACCGATTGATCCTGCAAAGGCACTGTCACAATCCGATCATCTGCGAGTCGTTCCATAGTGATTCGGCATTCCCCCGATGGTTGATCATATGTGGAAATTTCGATCGGAGGCGATCCGCCGTGTCACAAGCCAGACCCAAGCTATATAGCTGCCTTCATCCCTTGGTCGATCTTCGCTCACATTGCCAACCTTGAGCACGATGGTGGATTTCATTTCGATCAACGGCGCTCAGCTGGCGTATCGTCTGACTGGACCACAGAACGCACCGTTAATCATCACTCTCCATGGAGGACGGGGATTCGGTAGTTTCTTCTCGCCCAGACCTCGTTTCTCCAATACTAATGGGATATTAGGAGACCACAAGTCCGATTTTGCAGCGTTTTCGCCTCTTTCAGACCGATACAGGGTGCTCTCGTTTGACTATCGGGGTCATGGACAGAGCTCGCGCACCAAGCCATATTCGTTCCAACAAATCGTCGATGATATCGAGGCACTCCGGGTTCATCATGTCGGGCCAGAACGGCAGTGCATCATTTGCGGCGGCAGCTTCGGAGGCTTCTTAGCGCAGCAGTACGCGATCCAATACGCGGACAAAGTATCCCATTTGATATTACGCGGAACTGCGCCTTCGCATCATCGTGAGGGTTCCCTGCTTGGTGCCAAGGCTTCGCTTTGGTATGCTGACGTTTCATCCGCAGACGAGGATAAAGCGATCCAGACGCTCGAAACTCGTCTTCATCGATCCCCGGGACTATCCGTGTCCATGCTGAAGGAGAAGATATTCGGGCAGTTTCAGAACGATGATGAGTTCCGGCTCGTGATGCTCTGCGCGGCGCCTTTGTATGCTGAAAAGTTCGACCCGGACGGGGCGCTGCGGAAGAATCTGGAGACGGTGTTTGATGCCGAGTCACATAGTAAGCAAACGAGCGCTCGATTTTCAGGAAGGGTTGATGTGTGGTAAACAGGTACTCATGTTCTCTAGATGATCTCTACTCAATATCGGAAAAGTATTTCGATTATAGAGCTGATTTGCGTCTCATCACCGCTCGAACGCTTGTTGTGGTCGGTGAATTTGACTGGATCTGTCCGCCGGGTCAATCGGAGATCATAGCCGCAGGCATTCCTAACGCAAGACTTGAGATCGTACATGACGCAAATCATGCCGTTCATTTAGAGAAGAACGAATACGTGGTGCAGGTGATGCGAGAGTTCCTGGACTGAGCAATTTGTTCGAAAAGACGTGAGAAAGATGGCCAGATGAGCGTGTGAGTGTCGCACGTATCATCCCACGTGGCATACACGTGGCGCGCCTTTAGTCATTCTTGTAAGCGAAACAGATGGGATATTTGTTCGGAACCTTCTCAAAATGCTGGCGCCACACGGACAGGAAGTGGTCGGCTCGTGTTCGACTGACGAGCGGGACATTCGTATTCAGCGTGGATTGATATCGTTCTTGACATGCCATAACATTTAAGTCGAGGCCATGACGCACGCCGTTGTTCCACGGATGAGAGATGAGAGAAGTGACTGTCAGTTGATGCAATGCCAAAATCCGAGACGATCGGTCGCTTATTCCGTACCAAGCGTCAAATGCCCTCAGTAAATCCCCAAGAGCAATGTGCACTACCCAGCTGCCTAATGCGTGAGATCCGGGACTTGATTTGGGAAGAAGTACTTGGTGGAATGTCCATCCATCTAGTCCGGACGAAGTCAAAGGTCAAAGCGATCCTGTGTGGGCTACGCGATGATCACCAGCGTATCATTTGCAAGGATCCATGCTGGGGAAAGAGCGAGGATGAGATCAAGATCAAACCGATTTATCATCGATCGAAAGTCGGCGGATTGTATACAGGCCCACTGGAGGAATTCCCTGTGACTTACACCAACTTACTCAGGTTGGTTTGTACGTGTCGACGAATATGAGAATGCGCTTTCTATTTCATCACCGAACGTTATGTATTTGGACAAGGACTAACATATGTGACAGATATGCAGAAAAATCTCCACCCTCTACACCCACAACTCTTTCCAAAGCAACCAGTTAGCTACCTTGATTCAGCTCTCTGCCACTCCAGCCCTGTCCCACATCCGTACGCTGAGCCTTTATCAATTCTTCTCAGTGGATTTCGACCCAATTCGCACGCCCAAGTGGATGAAAGTCTGCGGACCGATTGCACCGTATGATCTAGCAACCTGGCAGGAGGGGTGTCGCGCGCTCGTCCGGATGAGTAGACTGCGAGATCTGAACATCCACATTGGTGGCTATTCGCTGTGTTTTTTTGAGATGTTTTCAGCTGCTGTAGAGCCATTGAGAGATGTTCAACCCTCACGACAATTTGATGTTCTTCTGTCATGGGCCGATAAGGTGGTGGGATATGTGCTCCATGGGATGCCATTCGTAATGCGGGGGGTGTTGTATAAGGACTGTTGTTGATAATTTTGTCTTTCGGGCTTTTGCGGGAATTATATGGCGAGGCTGTACGGGAGAGTATCGTCATCTGGGTCAGGATGCGTATAACCACCGCTTTTCCACATCAACACAATCAGCACTGATGTCTTGGAATTCGTAGGCTGTCATAGATGGATCTTCTTGCTGGTACTGCGGTTGTCGACTTTTAATTTTATCAAAACGTGCGTCGCTCAACGGTTTGTCTTTGCATGTTGCCATTGTCGGTTCGGGATCGGATACGGAGGTAACTTGAATATCTCGTGCTGCTCGCGTCAAAGGGTTTCCAAGCAGTCGACAACGACCTATCAATCTTCCAGGGGCATTCTCGTCTAAAGCTTCCTCCCAGCGAGTCGATGTTCGAGTTCTCACTTGTGCAAGGCGATACGAGCTTCCTTCTGGCCTGACCGTCACCACAACTCTGTGTGTTTGAGTCGAGCTGGTTTGATCAACATGAATGGTGAGGTTCTGCCGGAAGATCTCAACGGGTATCGCACTGACAAGCTGATAATTCCATGGGCTTGATGGGCTCGGCTGGTTCACGAGGAAGGGTGGCACTTTTCTCCGTTCGCAAAATAGGAAGACGCTGGGTTGTGGACAAGCCCCTTCTCGCTCCTACTGCCGTGACTGAGTAGCCTCTATATGGAGTCTCCTCACGCATTGCTCTGCCTCTTCGAAGTCATGTTGAAATGTTGGTCTAGTCGAGGTCCCTAAGTTTCTGAACTCGAAGATTGGGGCAGGTTCTTCTGTGCCAAAAACCCACTCCGTTCGATCACGGAGAGCACCGATTTGGCTGTCGGCTTTATTGTCAAAGTCTCTAAGTAGGTCCTCCCCACCCTGGATCCCTTCAATCCAGTCACGCACTGACAGCCTGTGGCTCGCGATTTTGAATTGCAATGTATCAAACTGCCCGTTCGGTGCCGGGTTGGAGAGGGTGTCATCATACCCGCAGTACCGGGTGTCCAGCCTATACAGTACTTTGTAAGTCGCTATTAAGGATTGAAAATAAACCCGGTCACCTACCGAACTTCGCCCTCAACGGCCTCATAGCAAGCAGCTGTTCTCACGATGTTGTACAATGATTTACCTTGCAGCAGGTGTGCTAATCCGCTGATATTGAACATCGTTGAAAGTCTGTCCGAGGCATAATGGGTAAGATGAACTTGGGACTGCCATCACTCCCAGAGCTCCCGCATCCCTTTGCGTAGGAGAGTATCAGGGCAAAGAACCCAAGGATATCTTCCGAGAGGTCTTCCGGATTGATTCTCTCGGGCTTTGCCTGGAAAAATTCCCGCTGTGCCCATATCAGACTTCCTTTTCGTATCGCCGGCTTCAGTAGAAGACTCTCTTGCCCACGGTGCATTTGATGAATCAACCGATGGACAGCTCTGAGAGGCATCGGTGCCGTAATTTGTCGGGTCCAGGTGACCTCGTCGATGTTTATGGCGCTTTTCGGTGCCACAATATCAAATGGATTGAACGCATCAAAGTATCGGCCATCTATTCTCACTTGACTTTTGTCGCCCGGAGCGTCTGCGCGAGGGTTCCACGTAGCCTAACACCATGTTAATGTACAAATCATTCCAAGAAAGGTGAGACCGCAACAGATGTTGCGCAACTTCCGCTGCAGCAAGTGATGCCGTTTTTGTATTGAGCTTTATCTTCTTTCCATCCAAGATATATTCGGCTCCTAATTCACCTGGGGTTCCGCGCGTGTCGTCACCAGTAAGCTTCCATAGTTCAGAGCTGTGTCCATCAAGAGCCTTTCCTTTCGCCTGCTGGGTTTGCTTGGGTGTCATCTGAGTATTCCAACTCTTGAACCGAATCTCATCTGTCTCAAATTCGACCCCAATGCCAGGGGAGAAGTCTGGCCCCTGAGTGTTGAGAGAGGGCAAGGAGTTGGGTTCCGGACTTTCTTTGGAACCTAAGCACGACATGACAGTCTCTGTCTTGTGTTGAAGAAAGATATCTAGAAATCACGTATTCCAAGGGAGGCCTCAACAGAGGGAATGTGATAGGAGGTAGAAAACCGGGAATCTTCTGAGCAAATGCCAGCCTACGCTCAGATTTCTGGAGATTTTGAATGGCCATGGTCATCAGGGGCTACAGTTGAATAATTTACTGCCTGAAAGGCTTAAACATTACATTGTTTCTTCATCTCTTTGAAACCATTAACCGGAAAGTATAATTGATCAAGCGAGCTTATACAATGAAGGTTTGCTCTTTGTACTTAGCGGATGGCTATAAAGCGTTTGTGATTTCGCGTTTATCGGATGACATTTACACGTCTTGTAGTTCGTCTCCGTTTTACAGTGTATTTCTATACGGTAAATATAGCAATCACTATGCAAAGCCCAACAGCACCTCCGAACGGTTACTCACTACAGACGCTTCCTACAGAACTGCTGGTCAAGATTTATTGTCGTCTTGAATCCTTCTCTTATGTATATCACCTGGCGGCAACATGTCGCCGTCTTCAGTCTGTGTGGTCGGAAAACACAAATTCTATATACAAGCGAATTGCTCCAATCGAGATACGATGCCTCCGTCATGCGCGAAATTTACTGGCAGATCTAGGAGGATCAGCTCCTGGTTCCCCTGTGACAGTCTGGGATGTCCACCGCTTGACGCGCAGCATGTGCAATGTGCATAAAGCAATCAACTGCTTTGATAAAGAAATTACTCCTTTCCTAAAGCGTCAGTACACTTCCCCACCCTAACCCCACATTCTGAGACAGAATCTAATTGATGACAGAAATGCACGATCACCTGCACTTTTTTGCTGGAGGAGGAATACGCCCGCCATACCTTACATCTACGGAGAGTCGCCGGTTCATCCGTTGCTATTATCAGATGTGGGGGATCCTAATGCTGGCGAATGAGGACCAGGAGCCTCGTGCACAGTCGCTGCCGCTGAAGGATCTGCTCATTATGGAGGACATAGCTAAGTTAGAGGACTACAGTGTCCGCCCCAGTTATTGTTACCCAATCGGCGACGAGACTGTTCCAGAACGCAGCCGATTCCTTGACGCAATCGGTCATCAGACGATGGTAATGCATGAACGTATATATGGTTCGCGCTCGCATGGGTCTAATTCTACATCCTGGCAATATGATGGATTCCGATCTCATTACGCCGTGTTTGATCATGCACAAGAAGCCGCGATGTATGAAGCCTGCGGACGGTTTCTTATGCCACGCTACGAAGAAAATCCCCTGTGTCCGCCGGAATGGAACGTTGAAACCGACGAGGAAAGCTAGCGCCGTACTCTTGGACTACGCAAGAAGCCGGCACTTTCCAGAGGTTTAGTTCCCAATGACAAGCCAATGCAGCCAATCGGTTCGTTTTCATTTCTTTTGTTCTGTTCGCTATTCTGCCCGCCCACTTCTTTGTTCCCCTGCTTCCCCATTTTTTTGACATTTGATGAACCTTCAATTATGGAGCCTCCGCGACACGCGTCACGAAGAGCTCAGCAGTCAGGTAACATGCCATGCCAGATTGAATTCAAAGTCCCGGGTGATGAAGATCGATTTACGCAAGCCTCGCGGCAGCAGCTAATGTTCTCCAAAAGGGAACGCGATGAAGTCACTTTCTCTACAATCGTCAATGATTTTCCCGGAATGTGGCGTGGATGACTGCGTTCATTTTCTTTGTCCACGGCGGCTCAGAGGTCCAGCAAGCTACCCGGCCCCTGCCTGCATTGCGCTCTTCTAAGGAGGCGGTGCTGAGACAACTGAGCATCTACCGTTTGTTCTGGTCCCTGCCAATATTTGCGTGAGTTTGCTTCCTTCCTTTTTCGTGATTCGCTTGAGCAAGACATATTTACAATACAAGTAAAAAAAATGACATGAAAATCAAAAACACATTGCCACGGATGAAGTGGTGTCAATAAAAAAAGAAAAAGAAAACTTAAAGTCATGGCCACGTAAGATCATCGAACTTTTCCATTCTGTATGGATGATTATCGCTGCCTGTGTGGCAGTAACTGCTGTCATGTTCCGTATGCCAACTTCCTGTTCCTTGACGCGAGACTGTCTATCGACATGCGAGTTGCTGTGGCCTGGCCGGTCGCGGTATCACGTGATAAGGGACTCTTATCAGATCGTCAGGCCAGGCGGAGGTCGATCCGGAACGGTCCGGCACTTCCGACTGTGGACCGCGGAAGCGAAGCGGCTAGGTAGCCAACTTCGTCGGCCGAGACGGACCACTCGCGCACCTCGGGGATTAGTCTTTTTGGCCCTGGATTTCAGGCTTTTGATCCCAGGGCGCCTGGATGCAGTCCAAGACCTCGCCAACCGGCCACCCTGTTCTGTTCCCCCAGTTCCGAACAGCGTCGATCAGTTCAAGCGCCTTCTTACGCTCTCGTAGCCATCTCGCACCTAGGGGCGCAGTCAGCAATAAACTTCACCCGGCAAACAACGGGTTAACCACTTACAGAACGAGATGGGTCCGAACGAATTGATCCACACTGGCGTTGAGGAACTGTTAATGGCCAGCGCGCAGATGTATGTGGCGTGGTAATCCAGCGTATTCTGGAAGGATTGTGTCCGTTGGATTTGCTTCAGGGCACTGCCTTCCGACGGTCGCGGTTCCGCGAGACAAAGGATTATCATGGCAGTATGCCAGTACTGCCAGCTGGAAGCTACCATTGGTGGACCAGAGTCAGCACGAGGACCAATCAAAAAGGGCCGCTCGGTCGCACTCACTATCCCAGTCACACGGCGTCCAGAGCGCTGGGAAATAGCTCTCGCTGTTGAGGCCAGCGCTGTTTATCGGCTCGGAGAGGAATCCCCCGACGTAGGTTTCCGTCTCCTTCGACAGCTCTTCCCATTCTTCGCGCTCCATTGCAGGCGCATCGTGTTGAAGACATCGATTGATCACCTTTGCTAGCTGGCATGTCACCTTGTTGGCAAAGTCGCTGTCTTCGCGGCCAAGTTGCGGCACGCAACCTTCCTTGAGGTCCATCAGGAGCCCTCTCTTGCAGATGAGAGCAACGGTGATATCTTACCGCAGGTAATTCCAGAATCCGGCGTCAAACAGGCGACTTTGAGGTTCGGTCCGCTCACTGGTGATGAGCGAGTACAGCCCGTGTAAATGGTTCTGACAGCGAACGTCTCGGGCTACCATGGATCAGCACGAGTTCGGGTCGCGAACATCGCATCGTGGGGTACGGCTACGCACACATGATAAGCTCGTAGGATCTCAACAAGCAGATAGCCGCCAGGGTCTGTCCGTTGTGAAAATTCTCCGGGTTTTCCGTCGCCGTGATCAGCATTTCGATGCTCTCGGCATTATATGCCTCGGCTACTTCCCGGTGATGGGCTTTCTGTTCTCGAGGCGTTGAAGAATCAGCGCAATACTGGGACGCGGCGGAAAACGCCACGGTCGCACTGAGCAGCAAGGGGTTGGTTTGTGCCAGCGATGGAACAGTGATTCTAAAATGGCGTTGAGCATCGTGTAGATCGTACCAGTCCGCTAGGAAGAAGATGTAGTGGCGGAGGCGTTCGGCAACTTGCGTATGCTTGAGAGCCTCTCGGGGCGGGTGTACCGATACAAAAACGTCTTTCGGTTCAGGGCGCGATGCGGGGGTGGCTCTGGCCCGACCTGGAGATAGCGCTATCGCTCTGGATGATCGTGATGCCGGAGCTGCCGGAGCTGTCGGAGGAGTGGATACTGGTGCTGGCAAGGGAGCTTTAGGGGCATCGAGCCATGTACATTCCCTGGAGGCCGTCTGGCAACGAACGCAGACAGGCTGAGCTCCATCACCTGCATTAGTGGTGGACCTGGTCAACTAATATCCATGCAATGGTTCTTGACCGTATTAAGATCTACCTACACTTAACCTTGCGTGCTCGACACTGCTGACTACAAAACCAAGCTTTCAGTAAATCCAGTTTGAGAGACTACAGAAGTGAAACGGAGAATACCAGCCTATTCAATAGAACTTCAGTTAGCGAGGAAAGGATTTTCTGCGAGATTTCACCACTTACGACGTCTGAGAAGCGGACGAGGCATGTCTGCGGTGGGTGGGCAATGATGGACACAAAATGCACTGCCGACCGCGCAAAATGCGTTATTCTCGCACTATCGCTTTTCCCTCGCCAGCGAGCCAGTCGGCTACGTTCCACGTGCTTTACGTCATTATGCGCGGTAATGCGAGGCTCTTGGCGCTTCCGGGCACCCCCCAGGAGAGAAAATCGTCAACAAACGGATTTCCCAGAGGTGAAGCTGTTCGGCAGTCTTGGCTCCATTGCCATCTTGCCACACGGTCGTCCTTTCGGAGATCTTTCTCGAGCCGGGTCAACTGTTCCGAAATACCCATGGTCAAATGTTCGTAAAAACAGATCGGTTGGAGGAGCGAAGTATATAAAGTAGGCATTTCCCCCTGCATGATCGAACCCCAGAATCCTCTTTTTCTGCGCATCAAGATTCGATCTTGCCAAATATTCAGCTTATTCTCAGTCGCAATTTACTAGCAATGATTCCCTCCAGGATCCTTCGACGCAGCGGGCCCCTCTACAGTACAGTTAGAAGAGCGTCGAGTTTTCCCGCCCGCATCAAGCCCTCCAAGGCAGAGGTAGAGCAAGGCCGCCTGAAGCCCCAGAATCTGGAGATCGCGATCCGCAGTCTCCATCATGACGGAATTGTCGTGGTTGAGGATGCCATTCCTCACGACAGTCTGAATCGATTGAATGAGAAAATGGTCCGGGATGTGATCACCCTGCAGAACAAAAAGGAGGACAGTCCGTACAACTATAACCCGGGGAACATTCAGCAAGATCCGCCTCCAATCCGCGAGTATTTCGAGAAAAGCATCTTCCTGAGTACGTTTTCAAGCACACTGACTTGATGCGGATCGAGAATCGAATTAACTTTGCATACAATAGACCCGCTCGCCCTCCAAATCACATCCACCGCTTTAGGTCCCCGTCCCAAATGGACCTTTTGCTCGGGCAACTCCGCCATGCCACCGACAGCCGAACATCCACCCATGTCCCAGCCCGTACACTCCGACGCCGATTTCGATCACCCAAAACATCCCTTTGCCTACGTGGTCAATGTCCCGCTGATTACGATGACACCTGAGAACGGATCCACTGAGGTCTGGGCGGGCACACATACGGATTCGGGCCTGCATGTCCAGGAAGGTATGCATGGCGAGCGTGCGAGCGGACGAATCAAGCTTGGGGAGCTGGAGAAGCGACGCGCCGTTCGGCCGCCGTGTCAGCCAGTCGTGCCTAAGGGGTCGTTTGTTCTGCGTGATCTTAGGCTGTGGCATGCTGGGGTGGGGAACCAAACTGATGAGGTTCGGATCATGCTGGCCATGAGTATGTATTGCCTCCCTTACATGAATAAGATTTGTGCTGATAGATGGGACTGTAGTTCATTTCGCGCCATGGTATAGGAATCCTATGAAGTTGGAGATGGCGGATGACTTGAAGCCGCTTGTTGAAGGCGAGAAGGGCTTGGACATACCCGTGGATTGGGTGAGTAAGGAGGAGGCTTTGTCTAGATATTTGAACCGTGGCTTTGGCAACGCGTATGACTTTAGCCAAGGAAATGGTGAATGAACTGGCTAGTGAATGATCTGAACCTCTGAGCCATCAATTAAACACATGTTCACTTATCATCAAAAGAAAGTCATCAAGAAGCGAAAGGAAATGGCAACTAGGTTCGAAGGTTATTTGAGGATGCTAATCGTATGCTCTAATAGTTAAAGGACAAGGTACAAAATAACTAAGATACAGAATAAAGGTGCTAATGCGTGTTTCAAGCCAGTCGGACCTGAATCGATCCAAGCCCTACTTAATCGGCCTTTGCGTCTCAACAACGGGGTCGTAGCAGAAACTGCCACGTAGTTCTTCAGGATATCCAGAGAAGGACAATATCCGAAGTAGTCAAAGTTGGCTGCTGTTATAACGCAGTTCAACCACCAAAGTAAAAACAATCGGAGCCGCAATCCGGCGGCTCTGGCATTATAGACGCGTAGCGCATGGTAGAAATGGCGAGCAGTTGGATGAATAAGTCGGACTGTTCCATCAGGAGCGAGGAATATCAATCCATGGCAGACTGATATCAAGAAGTTTTCATTCATCATATCGTCATGACAATCCCCATCTACTCCACGCCAACTGAGGGCATGCTGCAGTTCTGCCATGGTCAGTGGCTTAGACGTGTAGCATACCATATCTAAGACGCGAGTTGCAAGAACGATGGTATCTTGATCCTGCTCATGAATTTTATGCCACGATTTTCGATAAATATAGTTGATGAATTCTGGGTAAGCGTGAAGCGCTGCTTGAATATCTCGCGCGCAATGCTTGGTTGCAATGAGGTCAAAATGTAGCTTTGCCATGAGAAACCTGAAAATGAATTAGTCCGAGAGATTCACTTCAACTGCGGTTTAGGGACATGAAACATACATTCCACAAGACTTTTCAACAATGATATCCACAAGAGCGGATTGAAGTGAGGCATCACGAGCAAGAAGGTTCTGAAAGCCAGGGACCATTGTAGTCCGATATTCAAGGTAGCTTTTCATGTCTTGAGAGCTAGCTGATATATTGACGTAAGCTCTCGGTCGTTTTGAGTCCGTGAACGGCGTTTTTGAGCGAGCGGTGATCAGTAAATTCAAATGAGGCCAGCCTTCCAAGGTGTTGAGAAGCCGCGTCATGGATTCATTATCAATCCCCAGTTGATCCAAGCCATCGATTACAATAAACACTTTGGAGGCTTTGTCCATGGAAAGTCGAAAAACATCTAGATATTCCTCCCAGCTGGGTCGAGTTTTCCTTAGACGATGCGCCGTGTACATATTCTCCAGATGAGAGCAGTACGTAGAGAGCTCGGTTTCGATCAAGAACTGTTTTAGGAGGCTTGTTAAAACATCTTCGGCGGTGTTTCGGTGGTCGGTATCGGTGCCCGCGAAAATGAACGCAACGTAAGTGGCAGAGTCTTGCTTGTACTGAATGAGACGATCAGCGATCAGCGACCTTAAAAGGTCTGTTAGCCAGAAATCCTTCGGCGCTTGGAGCATCATTAAATACCTACGCGATGACAGACTTTCCGCTTCCAGCTTGATGATGTCTGTTAGAATACTTAACCCTATGGTATTTGATACATTTTCGTTGCCTACCAATTCCATGACACCAAAGGGTTTGACCCTCATCATTCACCCACTTGTGGAACTCAGGCGTGTGTAGAAACCACTCTCCGGTTCTGCCATGGCGCTTGGCCAGTAAATCAATCCGACGTTGGTAGTGGTTGGCGGATGGAAGCCAGTCCGCAGCAGCAAGGACTCCTTTCGTTTTTGATTCTTCTTCATCTATTGGTAATGTCCAAAATTAATACAAAGTCAATCAATGTGTGTGTGTATGAGCAAACATGCCTTCTAGGATAATTCTGTTTCCCAGATGCACACGACCAGTGCCTTTGATCGTAATGCTTTTGAAATTGTTTACTGCCACCGGCGTTCTTTTCATTGTGAGAGTTGGTTTGGTGGTTTAGAAGAAGAGCAGATTGCTGTGTGCCTTGAAACATATGGAAAGTCCGGATAGTTATATTTGCAAGAGAGGGGAAGGAGTAGCTACCCCAAAAGTGCTTCTAATTTGAGATTGTGGCTATAAAGAGATGATGAGTGGATGACGGATCGATTAAGCGCCAGATGAAACAGCACGATAACTGCCTGCACGCCAATCATTCTAAGCGCCCTACCGTGGATCCGATGAGGTTGCATCAGTCTGCCTTGCCGCCCACAATTAGATGCTTCTAGCTCCATATTTTGAATTGCCCTCCTCTCTCGTTCATGTCTATATATCCTCAAGAAGGGCGTTTGTGGAGTGCAGGTAATAAGTTTTTTGCCCACACAATGACAGACCCATTATCAGTGACATTCGCGGTTGCGGGAATCCCGGGCATCTTTACTTCCTTCGTGAACTGTTTCGATTACATTTAGCTTGGGCGTAAGTTCGGCAGAGATTATGAAGACAGCATGCTTAAATTAGAACTTGAGCGACTTCGTCTCTCGCGGTGGGGAGAGAAAGTTCACATCAATCTCGCCGATCCCAACTATGTGCAAATTCAACTTACACTCGACTCATGCACCGACACAGGACGCGCCCGTGAGGTCCTTACCCTTGTTTTGGATTTATTCCGGGACAGCGAGAAGGTGGCGAATCGGTACAGAGCCAAAAATATGACACATTTGGCGCATACAAGCACCACCACCCGATCCGAAACCATGAGCCTGTATCAGAAGACTCGCGAGATGTCGATTAAACAGCGCCAGAAAGGTACTAGCACCTTGAGAAAAGCTACATGGGTCCTATACGATCGCGCATATCTTTGTGGACTGCTGAAGGATCTGGGAGAGATGATCAGTAAATTGGAAGAATTGGTTTCAATTACAGAGAAGGAAAACTCCACTGGGGTAAGATCGAGCGAGGGTGAGATTACGCCATGGGGAGCCAAGAATGATATAGTCAGCACAACCGATCCGCAATTTCAGGAAGCTCTGAAGAAGAAAGGGAAAGGCCACTTATATTACAACATGAAAGTTGGGGAGAATGCGCAGGTTTACAATGGAGATCTTCTTGTTCCTGGAGACAAGCCTCGGGGGCGAGGTCACGTTTATTTGAACGTCAAAGTTGATGGAAATTGTAAGGTGAGGTTCGGGAATGATCAAACAGGGGGGATGGCACTATTGAATATGTGATATACGAAGTTTCTGCCATCGAGTGGGACATTGCCTTGGCCGACGACTGATCTCCAAACACTCCGTCGAGGCCATGAATTCTTGACCCGAGGGTGCTATAATCAGGAGTTATTGATACTGAAATTGTTGGACTAGATAGTTTGATGTATGTAAGAGATTTGAGCTGAACTAGGTAGTCTGAAAGGAATAAGCTTCAATACCCCCGGTCATTGACAGTTATTCAATAATCGCATGGACGGTAATGACGATAATCAAGGATAGCAATCTAAGGGATGACACCCTAAACAACGGTACAAGCCTATTCCCAGTCATAGCAAACAGCTTATCTGGTAAAGAATCGACCGATCTTCAAGATCATGTACTTCTCCCAATTACTCTGTTCTGACAGCTGAACCTGAGATTGGGCGACATCCTGTACCACCAGTTGCGACGCAGGAGAGCTAGCAGGCAGTATCTCAGTCTTTGTCTTCGCAATTCCAGTAGAGACCAAAATACGCCCATTGGCACCAACAGCATCGGCGGAGACGGTGTCCAGCTTGACGTGATTGACCACCAGGGACGTCTCGAAGCCAGTCCGCTCGGTCTCGCCCAAGAATTCACGCGAGCCGTACTCATCTACAACATTGTAGAACCTCCAAACCTCGGTCTCGGTATCTCCGTTCCACGACACATAAATGGTAGTGCCATCGTTGTTAGCGAGCGACACAAGAGCGGGTGTCTCATTAGGAAGACCAGTCCAGTTATACCGGAAGCCCCGATAGTTTTCCACCTCTTCTCCTAGGGACCCAGAATCCATATAAGCGTGAAAAATGGGGGTTCCGTCAGACCGGAACTCGGTCAACGCTCCCTCGGACCCCCAATTCACAATCACATTTCCATTGGGTAGGAGCTGGGTGCTGCCCTGTGATTTGGACAAGAGACCATCGGGTGGCTGGAACGCTTGAACAACGGAGGCAGTCCAAGTGGCCGTGTCAACTTCAAGAATCTTTCCCTGGGAGAATGGATGGGTGTGAACTTCGTGGCCGCGACCATCTTCAGTCCCATGGGCAGCATTGTCGTAAAGAGAGATCACCTCTTTGTCACCGTCCCGGGAAACGAAGCGCGCGTGATGCTGGAAGCAGAAGTCCGCGTTCGGGCCGAGAGTGAAGTCTGATTTCTTGCCGGCTAGTCGCCAGATAATCTCGCCGGTCGTGCCGTTGATTTTGTGTACTGAGCAAGCGTCACGGGCGGAGATCAGATAGTTTCCGTCGGAATCCTTATCGACAGAATTGATGTGAAAATAATCCCACGCGTCGGAGGAGTTGTAACCGGAACCGGCCTGGCCGGGGTTGATTGGGAGAATTGCCTCTGTTTCCACAATGAGTATCTATCTTAAACAAAGAGGTCATATTCGACTTACCATCCGGAACAACATGCTCTATGCTGGACCATTCGAACAGAAGCTCGCCAGTCTCGATATCGAGTTCTAAGCCCGTTAATTACCAGAACTATACGATTAGACGGAAAGCCTACCCTGAAACAGAGAGTCCACGATCCATTGTTGCTCAGGACCAGCTCCCCACCGCGTGAGGTCCGCCGGAACAGGCTGGTAGATCTGAATGAGCGCGGTCTCTTCATTGATGACGTGAAATTCATGTTTATCAGTTAATTTGTGGTTTCCCGCTCGCAGCTCCCGAATAGTTTCATAATGCTGATCCAGGATAGTCGTATGGCCATGGCCATGACCATAACCAGCGTTATGATCGCCTTCAAATGAAAATAGCACATCTTTGCCCTTCCAGCGCGCTTTCTGGAAGTTGGTCGACCAGATAGAATAATATCCATATCCCGACCAAACGAGCTCTCCGTCATCTCGGAGGATATACGGAGCCGCCTGTCGAGGGCCGTGCATTTCACCCGCCTTGTCAGGAAATCCGGCAAACGGCGCGACGAACAGGTATCCCTTCTCGACATCAGGGGCAGCGGGAATGGTGATGTTCAATCTGGGCGGAGCGAGATCAGAACGAGACTTGAATTGCCAGTCTGCCACCACGAGGGGCAGAGCAGCAGCGAGCCAGAACGAGCGCATGACGCGTGCTAAAAGCACAATGATCAGCCCCGAGTCGATCCATGTTGTTCAGGATGGGTACATTAACCTTGGTAGAGTTTCTGCACTGGAACAGGTTTGCTTTCTTTCTTGCGTGTGTCCTTATGGCGGTTGGATACTCCCCCAACCAAGAATCATAAGGGAGAAAGAGCTGTATTTATGTCGACATCCAGTGTCAAATCATCCCGGACTCCCGTCGAGATTCCTCCATCTGTAGGTAGTTTGCGTGATTGCCCCGCATGACGCGCCAAGCCCTAAGTCATCATCGGAGCCAATCTGCCATCGCCACTTATTTCGGCTCTGGCACTAGAAAACTGGGTCTCTCCAGGGGTCTGCAGCAGAGGGTTTGGTCGATTCTTGCCCAATACAGTGCCCGCCTACCGTGAAGGGCGGTGATTGTCTCCAAGCGAAGCGTCGGCCAACATTGCACCATCCGGTCCCAATCGCTGCTGCAGAAGACGCAAATTAGCGAGACTTGACCGCTTCGCGCCCATTCGACGTGTCGAGATGTGGGGTACACGGTATTTCTATGTGATAAAAATTGTTCGAGGGGTTCTAGAAAATTATCTTTCACTGAAAAATCAACTTCGGTTCAGTGGGAAGTCTATTGGAAGTTGGAGCAAACTGACTATTAACATAACCAACCCGTTTAGTGCAAACGATTGTTAACATGCCGTCTCCTGATTACGGCGTTTTGCCTTCGAATTCAAATTCAGGCGATCCGTCGTCCGTTGAAATTAATGAAGATGTTGTCTCAGAGTCGCGGCCATTGCTCTCCCCAGATCCAGATAAATGGGCTCCTCCGAAAGGCTTCATCTGGATAGAAGTCGGTATGTAAATTCCAACTACTCGATTTTCCGGCAGTTGTGATTGATGTGTCTCGTAGCGATTTTCGCGAATGTCTTCTTATCCGGCTTTGATGGAACGATCACCGCATCGACCTATGCGCTGATCAGCTCGGAGTTCAACGCGGCCAATACGGCCTCCTGGTTGACGACCTCCTACTTGATCACGAGCACTGCTTTTCAGCCATTGTACGGTCGCTTCTCCGATATTTTTGGTCGTCGTGCATGCTTTTTCACCTCGACTGTTACTTTTCTGCTGGGGTGTCTTGGTTGTGCTGTTTCGCGCGATGTCGTCTTTTTGGATCTCATGCGAGCATTGACAGGAATTGGCGGAGGCGGATTGATGACGATGGGTGAGTGCTTAGACCTAGAAACATTCGAAAAATTGTTGAGGCACTAACAAATCAGCAACAATTATCAACTCCGATATGATCCCGTTCCAGCGGCGTGGGATGTACCAAGCAGCTCAGAATGTTCTCCATGGATTTGGTTCGATTTGTGGTGCGTCTATGGGAGGTGGCATTGCTAATACCATCGGCTGGCGCTGGTGCTTTTTACTGCAGGTCCCAGTGTCTGTGTTTGCGTTGATTATGGGTCGTATCATGATTCCTGTGCGGAACGTGTCGGTCGCGGATGCCAGCAATCGTGGTCTGCGCGGCGTCTGGAAGCAGGTCGATCTCACTGGCGCACTTCTACTGATCCTGGGGCTGTCGATTCAACTCGTCGGCCTGAGCCTAGGGGGAAACGAACTTCCGTGGAGCAGTATCTGGGTCGTCGCATCGCTTGTCGGCAGCGTTCTTCTGCTCATTGTTTTCCTATTTGTAGAGGCTCGGACCACTGCTATACCAGTGATCCCTCTGCGCATGTTGCAGGGCATCCTTCCTCTCTCAACACAGATAGCCAACGTGTGCGTGGGAATGGCTGCTTACGCTGTCAGTATTCACGCAATGATTGTACTTGCTCATACTAACCATGTTTAGTTCCTCTTCATGCTTCCCTTGTTCTTCCAGGTCATTCTTCTCGATTCCGCCTCCAAAGCGGGCGCTCGCCTTGTCATCCCCTCCCTGGCTACCCCGATCGGCGGTCTCATCTCCGGAATCATTATGTCCCGCTGGGGCAAACTTGCTCATCTCGTGCGCGCAGGCGCCTTTCTCATGTTCATCGGCAACGTCCTGGTCATGCTTCTTGATTTTGACGACGCAAGATGGAAGTACTTCGTTTACGTCGTTCCCGCGAATCTAGGACAGGGTATCGTTTATCCGGCTATTTTGTTCACCTTTCTGGCAGCTTTCGACCATTCCGGTACGTTGTATCATCCTGGTCTTCCCTGTAATTCTTCTGAATCGCGAATGCTCACATTGAGGGCCAGACCATGCCGTCTCCGCCTCAACGGTCTATCTCATCCGCTCCCTCGGCACTGTCTGGGGCGTCGCCATCACATCTACGATCCTTCAAAACCATCTCAATGCGGGCTTACCAGATGCCCTGAGTGGAGTACCTGATAAATGGAAAGTAATCTCGAATTTCTTCGACTGTGGTAATGCTCTCGGTGGATGTTTGCTTACAATCCCGTTCTTTTGGCTAGGTTATCTCCGAGATCAGACATTCCGTATCCGCCATCTATACTCTTCCGCCAGACATCCAGGCCGCTGCGAGAGGGGTTTATTATGGCGGTATCAGGATGGCGTTTGGGGCTTCGGCCGTCTTTGGGGGCGTTGCGAGCTTGGCTGCGGTGTTTGCGAGGGGGAAAGGGTTAGAGAGAGGTGGTCGTTGATTGGTTTGTGGGGGACGTTGAAAATTGCAGGGAGGGTCATAGGGGTTCGATTGGATGAAAGCACTGGGGTGTGGGAGATAGTTTTGGGGGGGCTGTGCGTAGATAGGTATAGTGGCGTGGACATACGGATTTATGTTGGAGCAAATGTGATAGATCCTTTTGTTGAAAGAAGAGATTGTCGGATGCTGTCCGTCACTTTTTGAAGTGATCTACGTACTCTATGTTGTCGTGATAGGAGAAGAACACAGGAAGCTTCGGAAACGCAACGCAGCCTTATCCACAACAATGTAGAGCATAGAATTACTTCTTTCTGGAGTCGTCATTGTCATTTTGGCTTTGCGATCGCCACAAAACCAAGTCACCCCCATGTCGATCTTGGTAAACAGACTAATTCTTGACACTTCACAGGCTTCTTCCGTCATTGGCGGCTTGCTACCGTGGTCCGCGTCAAGAACGGCTGGTTGCTCAAGTCAAGATATCAACCTCGTACGAGAGATTTACCCCGCTCATAGGAATTGAATTAGCGGTGTACCTGGACAAGTAGGGGGATTGAGAAAGATCTCGAGTGTCTCGCTGAGTGCAAGTATCTGGCCCGGCTCTACCCAACAAGGCAAATATCCGCAGGGCAAATGCTCTCTTTACGAGCAGGATGGCCTTGCAGTCTTTCCATCTCTTTCCATCTCTTCCTACAGAAATTCGTCGGATGATCTACATTTTCGCCACGCCGCCTCGCGTCGTCCGTATCAAAGGGGTAGCCGAAGACAAGGACGAGTTTCTGAGGAATCTCAATACCATAGCCTTTGAGCGACGGCTATGCCCTTCCCTGACACATTTCGCTCACCACTGGCGCGGTTATATTCCCAAGAATTTCAGACATCCAACGCTCAAGGGCTTCGGGTTTACGGGCGCCCGGCCACGCTACCAACCGTGGGAGCTGTCAGATGCTACACCGGAAATCAGTATAAAGTGGCTGGCTGAGGAACCGAGGCTAGCATGGGTGATGCTCCGCGAAAGCTACATGTACAGCGACACATCAATCCCAGCACTACTGCACGTCTGCCGTGAATCGCGCAAGGAGTTGGAAAGGCTCGGATACGAGCTTGCCTTTCGAACTCGCCTACAGGGCCCTCGAACATGGTTCAATTTCAAGGGCGACGTGATGTACATCACTAGAGTCAGGCAAAGCCTGCAGGGTTTAGAAAATGATTTGGAAAGCGATTCAGAAGGTGACATGATTCTCAGTGGCAACATGATTTACGATGTCGGGCAGTTCCATCCGTGTGATCTAACCAGGGTGAAGAGATTAGCCTTAGAAGGGGGCGGTCCACTCTTATTCCCGTTTCGTAGACAGTTATCCTTGATAAGTACGGTGTCCAGTATCTTGAGCCTCTTCGGACACCTAAGTGAGCTGCTGCTTAGCGAATGGGAGGAAGAAGATATCGCCCGTTGGAAGGAGCTAGGACCTCATTGGGAAGGGAACCTGTTCAACTCGATTAATCAGCGCGAGCACCGATGCTGCTTGGCTGTTGAGGAGATCGATGCTTTACATTCGATCGTCTTTCCTGATGGTTGTCGCAATGACTTAGGGTCCGTTGGGCAAGTTGCCGAAATACTTAAAGCCTATCAGCAACACATGGGGAGCAGTTTCCGCTACTTTGAACACCGACAAGATGTCATCGAGCGAGACCTTACCGCAGCGAGGGATGCCATGATTACACTAGGCCCTCACATACCCGTCCTCCGAGATCCCTGGCCAATCCCCAAGGTTCGCGCCGTACACACTCTACCAGAATCCATGGCCGAACGAATGCGCCTTGAGCGCCAGGTTGCGTGGGAAAGGCTCTACCAAATGAACAGAGACTGGAGAAAAGCTATAGAGGGTGACCCGACCAACACTTACTCAAGGGACAGGGCCATGACACCTCAGCTAGAAATGGCAGATAGTCCGCCATTCAGCTGGCAGACAGACGACCACGACGGGTATTCAGACACTGTAGTCTTTAGCATCTACTCGGATGAGCAGATTGAAAGTGATACTTTACTATGGGGTCGATATCGTCCGAAGTCCTGGTGGACACAGAAAGGAGTAGTTTCGAAGCCAGGGCATGAGATCCTGCTCTAATGTCATACCCAGAGTTAATTTAATTTCGGGATATGTACTTGCGTGAGGGGCTTCTTATCTCACAATATCAAGACAATTCCTACTACCTACTTCTACTGGTGGATACATGTTATCACATTGACTAATTTATATGATGCCACTTCCTAAATACGCATGGTATAAAACATTGAATAATATTCTGAGTAAATATGAAAGTGAAAGTCCCTGAGTGTGAATTCTCCTAATCTCCGAAACAAAGGAACCTGTGGGCCCAAGAACAAGCGAGTTGGGGGCGGACCCAAATTAAAGGAGCCACTCGTTAGCTCTTTCAAGACTTGGCAAAGCACCAGGCAGAAGGCCACTAGGCACACCAGGCATCGTCAAAAACCTTAGCAAAGACTCATCTATTTAAGATACCTGGTTAGACTGTCTGGCAGTTTTGCCTTGCAAAAACTCGGTTCGATTTTCATCGACGAACACAAATATGGGTAAGTGACTTTCTCATTGCGTGCAATGACACTGAACTGACAGCTCGAAACAGGCTACTCCGAGGTTCGACCATGCACTCCCCTAACCAAACGTAGCGGACTAACTCTCTCGTTAGATTTACTGCGCGCTGTGCGGCATCAGCTTCAACATGGCGCGTATCCGAACGGCCGACGAGCCCGAGGAAGCCGCATGGGCAACGTACGGCCCAGCTGGATGGATCAATCCTCTTGGGCGTGACAACGTTGAGTGTTCCACTGAGGAGACGGGCTGTTTCTATGTCATCCGGAATTGCGAGTGGTTCAAGCACGGCGTCAGCGAAGGCATGAAGTCCGATCTTTGGAGAACCATGTTCTTTGACTACGAGCCAGGAAAGCTTCCCAAGGTCGGAGACAGATTACCCATGGCCGAGCCAGTGATGGAATTGGATGGGCGAATTGGACTAAACAAGTCAGACCTCGAGCATGTCGCTGGACCGGGGTGTAGACTTGACGATGGATACCTGGGACATCGGATTTCCCTGGAGGAAATGCGTTATTGTCAAACTGCTCAGGGACTTGCCCTGAAACAAGATGGCTGGCAGCCTCAGCTAGATGATCACCCAGCGGAGTTGCAGAGTAAATACTTTTTGACCGGCCTAGCGGATGGCATGCCCGATATCACAACAGGTTACACTGGGGTCAGTCCTGTGAGACATGGTTTTGATGAGCTTGATCCTGCGGATCCATTTGGTTATGTAAGATTTTGGCTTCCTGCTGAGCGAATCTTTGACATGCTAATCATTCATTAAGTGTTATGATGAAGCATACAGCCACCCGCCATTTCATCCATCCTGCTTCGCCATCTTCATGAAGCTCAGCCGCCTTCGGTTTGGCCACGTTGAAATCGACGGTCTTATGGATTACTTCGCCCGTATCGGTGGACAGGGACACGAACCCGCAGAGGAACTGAGGGATCCCGACGCCGCACAAAGCATCGAACAATGGTGGAATCATATCCCGGGTGCAGAATGGCTCGCTGTCAATCCACTTTATGTACCTCGGTTACGAGAAATCTTCAAACAGGCTATGGACACTGAGCCAACCTTCAGTCAGCAAGATTCTGTATTCAAGGCCTCCTCCCTTCATGGTTCTAGCTCCGATGACACCAGTGATCCCTTCCCCCGGCTCCCTCCCGAGCTACGGACCATGATCCTCGACGGTCTTGACGCGAAGGACATTGCATCATTGCGTCTTGCCTCGCGCACCTTCTACGATCTTCCCGCGTCTCTGTTTCGCAGACTCATTAAAGAGGAAATGCCATGGTTATGGGAAATTTGGGACAACGAGCCGCCGTACTTCTGGGCTACAGTTACTGAATCAGACATCAGGGCCAGGGGGATCATGGAGAGGTCAGACGATGGAGACCGGGCTATAGGACATAATATTGACGTTCAAGAACACTTGCGCCAGTGGACATTGCCGATACCACCTGCCTCCACCACCAATTGGTACATCATGTATCGTGACATAAAGAAGCATTGGATTGACTTGAAAGGATTGCGCAATCGGAGACGGATTTGGACCTGGCAAGGAGGGATTCTTGATGAGATGGCGAAGTGCTTAGAAGGGATTGACCTGAGTTGAGTGGAAAAGGTTGGCTACGAACTTCTAGTCCCCTGTATGTTGTCTTTCGACGTCGGGCTTCATTTGTGGCTGGCGCAATGTGAATTGAATTCCGGGTTGATGAAATATCAATAATCTATCTTATCTGTATCTAGGAACAGGGATTCCCTATTTCTGTTCTTTTGTTGATCCTTGGTTGGCCTTTTTTAAAAAGAATTATTCCTTCAACACACTCCCAAATACCACCACCAAGTCTGACCATACCTGCCCTTAATTCCTCTGACAGCCATTAGAGTCTTTGATCACTGATACATCCTGTGCTAAGCAAAGTCGGGAAACTTGGCAACAGGTCCGATCCTGATCCTCGCAATTATCTCTTTCATCCTAGTCGGGCGTAGCTAGCGTTATCGCCTTGCAAAGGATTGCGGGGGATAATTGCTTTAGGCCACTTTAGTAACCCAGAAACGCTGGTTTGGCATTGAAAGTCATCTCGCTGGGTGGTTTCTGCGTCATATTGGTTCAGATAGGCCATGATCATGCCGCCACCACGTAGTGTTATAGATATGACTCGTGTCAAGTACCTAAGGTCGTAATCTTGTCCGTCCCTTTTTCCTTATTTACTTTTCTGCTTAGCTTCAGTCTTCCCATTGCTGTCCAGAATTCCGATCGGTATTTATATAGTTCCACTCCTAAATCTAATTTCCAATTATAACTTCACGCGCAACTCAAACGCTTAACACTACGTTCTACTCCAGCTTCAACACAACATCTGAGAAGCATGCCGTCCCAGCACATCCAGAGAGTTCCTTCCCGAGCCCCGTGTGACAACTTCATAAACGCCTTGAAGAAAGGCGGCTGCGTTATTGTTCAGGATTTCACAACCCTGGAGGCCCTAGAGCAGGCACAACAAGAGCCCGACCCATGGTTATCCGAGAAGAACAAGGCGAGCGACATCGGTGGTAAGTAATTTATCAGTCATAATCTGTACGAAAGCCGCATCTGAACCACCATTATAGCTCTGAAGGGAGGAACGAGAACCTGCACCCGCCTACTCGGACGCAGTCAGACCGTTCGCGAGAAATTCTTCTCCGATCCTCTTTACCAGGTATATGCCCTTGGACCTTAGCCCCAACTCACCTCGACCAATGCATTCTAATTGATACCCTGTCAGGACATGGCCGAGGAGTTCCTCGCTATCGAAACAACAAACTGGTATAACGACGAACCCCACCCGCCCTCTCCTTTCTATCTCAATCACAATGGATATTCGGCCCGCGCCAAAGCTCAGAAACTCCACCGGGACGACAAGAACATCATGCTCGAGACATGCTGCTCGGTCTTTTTGTGCCAGGCTGCGACACGACGCGGGCGATCGGCGCCACGCGTGTCGTTCCGGGGAGCCATCTCTGGGGCGACGAGAAGCCTGACTTTGGTCCGAATCTCGATAAGGGAGTCGTTGGCGCGGAGCTGAAGGCTGGTGGGGCATTTCTTTATGCTAGGGAGCTTGTATAATGGGGGTGGGGGTGAGTGCTACCAGGAGACGGGGAATCGGATGGTTCATATTCTGTTTACGTGTAGTGGGATTTATTGCCAGGAGATATGTCTGTTCATGCTTTGTTTTGGGGTCAGGAGGTTGGGTTACAGATGGGAGAGGAATGCTGATTTGATGTTCATAGGAAGTTTCGTTTATTTCGTACTCGATTGTAGATTTGAAGACGTACTCTAAGTTGGTCCAGCAACGCCTTGCTTGGAAGCAGTCGGAGCCGATTTTGGGGCTGGTGGATCTGGTATCGCCAGAGGCATTGCTGGTCTAGAGTGAGCTTCTAAATCCCCCAAATGCAATAGTGATTGCAATCAGCTCTTACATATAGCAGCGGGGACTAGGTGAGCAGGTTCTAGTGGCGTAGGCGTAGGCGTTTCTGATGACACCTCTCACATCATATGAGTATTGAATTATCACACGTATAATGAGAGTTTCATATCCCAGTATATCCCCTTGCAGCCACTTCTTAACCATTGTCTTTATCTTCTTTGGCACTCAATTGTTGGATCCATCATGCTGTGAGGTTTGATTGATTGGACAGCCGGCTACGAGGGATATGTCTAAACCTCTAAGGTGCTGATACGACTCTAACTACTCAGATTTTCAGTCCCAGCAGTAAGTTGAGAATATCTTCTGGTGTCTCTTTGACTGATCACAAGCCCCACAGCCTCCCCATAGCCAAATGCAGGTATATAGCAGGAACACCAACATCCCCATCTATGGCCAACACCCTCTAAATCCCTTTCCTTGCGTCTTCTATCTAGGGCCTAAAGAATATAAGCCCGCAGATTCCCACCGTCCATATGTTTCTGGATGCCCCTCACCCCAGAATCCCCGATTATTGCGCCCTGTCCTACCTCGTCTGCAGGGTGCCTCTCGAACATCTATCCTCATTCACCCTTTTCATCGTGTTCCATGAGATCTCTCTCAAAGCTGTAATCCTTGTAGCTAGGCTAGCCAGGCAGACATACATCATACACGTCCGACTAAGTATACGCCCATTCCCCAGGTTTCATTACTACATGTGCCATTAGCGCCACATACCCGCATTATTGGTAAGACGTATCATAAAAACGCCCTGGTGCTTCTCGTGTTCGCGACAACAGCCCAATGTCCCTTAGTCTTGTGGAATGGGACACAGACTCTATTGCGAGGTCCTCGGTAAGAGGAAGTAAGGGACGCGGGAGGCGCCATATACGAACAGGTGGAGTATTCACCGCTTGTGCTTGCTCTAGAGACAGGTCAGATTCGGTGTCTTATCTTGGTGGTTGCTCTGCGGCGTTTGTCCTTTCAATCTGGGTATGATTGAGGCAATTTTTGTGGATATAGGATTTGCTGGTCAAATTCGCATTTCTGTCTATAGGTTTACGAAATTAGAAAAGAGATACTGAGCTAGACAGAAATCCGGTCTAATCTTGGAATAGATTCTTTCATGTTAGTTCCTCGGCCCTTGGAGTTCAACTCAAGGTTATATAAAGGCCCTGTCCTCCCTCTTCCTCAGCGTCCTGTCTCACCACCAGAACCAAGAACCTGAACTCCTCAACTAAATCAAGAATCAACCCAACCCAACTTCATTCAAGATGTATAACGTCCTCCTCCCAACCCTCCTCCTCTTCCTCACCACTGCCATCACCAGCACGGCAACACCCATCGACCTCACCCAGCGAGATACCTGTACGACCCTCGCCCCCTCAACAATCTCCATCCTCAACCTCTCAACCCCAGACACCCCCAACCTCGGCACCCAACTCACCCTAACCCGGACCACCAACCCCTCTCGCAACACGCAAACCGTGTCCCTCACATTCACAAACATCTCCACCACCGCAACAGGCTGTATTCTCCAACTCGCGCTGCCTGAACTCACCGCCGCCAACGAAATCGCATCCGGCCCCGCCACGCAAGCCGATATCTGGAAAACAACACCCTGGGAACCAGCAAACGCGCCGACTTGGAACCGTCCTCCGGTGAAAGATCAGATGGTTGCGACGGCTAGGTTTCCGACGGAGAGAACGAATGAGGCGCAGGTGAGCTGGTTGGCGAGTGGGACGTGTGTTGAGACGATGAGTTTCTTGGTGGAGTTGAGTGGCTGGCAGGATGGGGAGGGGAATGTGGATTTTGTGAATCGGGTGGATGGTGGGGAGGGGGATTTGGGGTTTAGGTTGGTTTATGGGTGTTAGAGGTATGGGATTCCTTTGGGTTGGGGGTTAGTAAAGGGCTGGATGAGGGTGTAGGTTAGTTAGATCTGGTTAGGGCTTGTGTTGGATGTGTTCCTGGAAGGTGGAACCGGACTGAGTTTTTCTTTTTGTCCAATATGTTATTGTTTCTGGCTTTCTTAATTGCTTGTCTCTCTCTTTCAAGAAATAAACCTGCCTTTTGATTCCGAACTATCTTGTTCTATATCATGTCTCAGTTCGCGAACAAAACATAAACTAAGCTTGTATACTCAACTAATCTAAACCCGAGAGTTTCGAAACCCTCCCGCAAAAACCCAAAAGATTCTCCTATTGCTGCCTTCAAGTTTATAGCTTTCCTCCGAACCAACATCAAAAGTAATCAAATATGCCACCCATCGCTCAAATCCTCAACAGATAGCCTTCCCACCATAGAGAAATGACAAAAGTTCGACCGAAATGTACCATATGAACCGAGACAATTTGATCATGCATCAAACATAACATTCCGACAGCACGTAATAATAGCCTTCAGCATAATGCTGATCGGCTTTTTCTCCGTCTGCTCGAGAGAAGTCCTCTCGACAAAACACCCGAGCCAAGCCATCAGGCCGAGATCGGCCTGGGCATTCTTGTGGGTTGGGTCCGCAAGGATGCCCCAGCAGAGAATGAAGAAGGGTACGGCTTCGTACATGAAGTATATACTGTAGGAGTTCCACAGTTAGTCGAGCAAGATGGCATTCTCTGGTGAAAGGCACGCATACCTGATACCCCAGTATTGGTTCGTAGAAGAGCCCACGATCTTCTGGATCATTATCATGGAGGCTCTAGCAACTTCAAGAGACCTTTCTGACAGGACTATATTGGCCTGATTGTCTTTTTTGGACTGGTGGAACATTATCAGCATCTTATAGCAGCTGACGAAAATGTCCATGCAGAATCGCAGGTCGATGTGGTTGTTGGTGTTGCTAAACAGCTCGTCCTGTCGAGTGGTTAGAGAGAGTAGGCTGTTAACAGCACATTCAACCTACCGCGTTCCAATTGCGCATGATTGACTCGACTTCTGTTATAAGACTATCCAACGACTCGTCAAACGTGGCACTGTTATCATCTGTAGTAAACTCCAACAAATCTAGGTATTTTAGCAATACTAGCGTAAGACGCATCGAGGCCAGAAAGTGGATTTGGATATATCGGGTAGACATGTGAGTAACGCCGTTGATGCTTGGGTCGGGGAAGTTAACCGCCCACGACCCGGCAGTGATCAGAGCGGGTTTACCGAAATGCAGGCGGAAGACGCAGTCCATACGCAACAAATGCCAGAATTCGAACCGCATTCGATTCTTGCTGACCTGTTGCGCATAGCGACTGTCTTCCGGGAATCCCTGCTGGTTCGGCACTTCGGTGTCGGCATCGACGGTCAAGTAACCCAAGGCTCTTGCAATAGTGATAGTATGACCGAAGCTCCTCCACGCCAGCTCCGTTTTGCAGTTTTCCAGCGCGGTGGAGAGCTGATATGGAGAAATTAGTGAGACATGTAGAAGTGAACAACACAAGTTTGGTGCCGGCACCTACCACGAAAAACGATGCATATAAATCAGGCACGGTGATTTGGACTGAATTGACCCAGCTGTCTGCCAGTTCTGCCACGATAAGGTAGATATCCCGAACAAGAGCAGACCGATTGGGTACGGGCTCCGGGTCTATGAAGAGACCCTGCACAAGGGCACTGTAATAAAGTATCTGCGAGGTGGCGTCGAGTTGAACATGGGGGATCTCACGCAGGTCGGGAATCGACAGCAAAAACTTCCGGTCCAGCGGTACACGGAAGGCCTCGAATTGATGGCCATCAAAGTACACTAAACAAAACTAAATTAGCACCGCAATCTGCAGGCGAGCTCTGGTTGGTACGGACAATTTATCCATCGAGCTGCCCTTTCTTTGTTGATTGAACTGGGTGTAGGTGCCAAGCCGCTATCCTGCATGTCTTCCCATAATTGAATTTCCGCCACCGCGTTCTCGAGGGCATTGCGACACACCTCGTGGTCGAACACGTCAAAGCCCACGTAGGGCAGCTGACAGAAGACGGTCGACCACAGCAGAGCCTTAGTATCGTCTTTCTTCAGACGATTTAACAAAGTATAGATCGCACCCCGCATCGGTCGGATGGGCTTCACGGGGGCCATAATATCATCCTTCCACAGGGATCTATGGGTCTCCGAATCCACGTCGGAGACGGACATGGAGCTCGAATCATCATCTTGATCTCCATCTCCGGACTCCTTACTGAGCATACAATGTTCCTCAAGTCGCTCTAGACGATCTAAAATGCGAGAGAGGATGTCCTTCTCCGGGTTTCCCCTACCGTCATAGAACCGTCAGACGCATCCACCTGGGATTAGGGGCTGTCATGCATAAATCGGTGCGACAGGATGCACTCAGGGCCAAGACATCGGCATACCGTGGCTTCTTTGCTCTAGCCTTCCGAGGAAGGTAAATACATTCCGTGCCAATAGCATCACACTTGTCGCACCGAGGGTGAACCCTATTGCATCGAATCTAGGCAGTACACCGTAGACAAAGGGCCATGGTAAGCTAGTCGGGCCATTTATTCAACGGACGGCAAACTGCATATATACATCTCACCTTATACCAGAGGACAGTACATACCTTCTTAGACTTGCAACGGGTGCACTACCCAAGAACCAGCAATAACAATGATCAGCACACGTCACGATAGCAGCGACCCATCCAGGCAGATTGAGGCGCCCCACTTACCGAAATCTGCATCAAAGGTCTCTGGGCAGTCATAACCACTAAGAATAATAATAGGTAGAGACAACTACGTCCAAGTGGGGGGCGAAGGGGGGTGAGTGGGACACAGACACTGTGTCACGGTGAACAAGGAAAGTGGAAAAGGAACAAGGGGGAAGGAATTTGGGGATTTCCTTGAAAGTCCGAAGTCACGCCGGACATTTAAGGAAATCCCGAAGGTCCGGGCGGGGCGGCAGTTGCGCCAATCACGAGCGCATTGGAGAGTCCAGCCGGTCGATCCCGTATTCTTTGTCCATCCTGAATCCATGGACACTGGTTAGGCGGGTTACATTGTCGGTCTAGCTGACATGCAGCCTGTATCCACTTTGTGAAAACCTGCGTCTGCCTTACTTGAATGCAGCTCATGGGTCATGATATAATTTCACCCTGTCTTCCACCCCATCCCTTCCTGCGCCGCAAGGATGATTGAGGTGGAATTGGCATTCTTTACTGACCTCCATCATGACCAATTCTGCACAGGCTGAGCCTCTCAAGTGCTCAAGCGATAACAATGGAGTTCCTGGGGAAGCGTCGGCATCGATTACTCTCGATGGGCAAAGTACCAATCCTACAGACTCGGATCAGGCTGAAGACCGTCACGATGAAGCCGAGAAACAAAATGAATCGCCTCAGCAATCGGTCTCATTAGCCAACTACTTTGTATGACTCGCTTAGGATCAATGTTTAATTCTTCGCTAACACGATACCAGAGGATTCTGTCTTATACCAACAGAAGAGACCGCATCGTACTGGCTGTGGGAGTCCTCAGCTCAATCGGTTCGGGAGTGGTATGTTCGTCCCCGCTGTGCTTGAACGCCTGCTTATCGTTCCATCCAGCCTCTACCTATAATGAATATTGTATTCGGTGGTCTGGTGGGGGAATTCACGGAATATTTCACGCCGGGGAGCTCGGTATCGGAGAGCGATTTCAAGTCCCAGGTGAGCCAGCTGAGGTAGGAATCAGAAGGAGAAACCTCGGTCACTTTCTTGCGCGCGCTGACCGGCTCTAGCTTGTATATTGTATACCTGTTCATCGCCAAATTTGGTCTCACGTATTTCGCGATGGTGGGTCCGGCTTTCATATGATAAAGCATCGATCTAACCCCTGCTCAACAGCTCTGTTTCCGTATCACGGGCCTTCGCGTATCGGCTTCGCTACGTCTAGAATACATGGAGTCCCTCTTCTCCCAACCGATTAGCAAAGTCGATCAACTGTCCGTAGGAAGCGTCACGAACACCATAACCACGCTGTCCAACAGCATCCAACAGAGTGTCGCCGACAAGCTAGCCATTCTCATCCAGTCGCTCACCCTACTGCTTACAGCCTACATCATCGCGTTTACCTACTCGTGGGCTCTAACTCTCGTCACCAGTGCATCACTTCTATTTATCTTAATCGCACTCAGTCTAAACCTTCCGCTCATCACGAAAACCCAACAACAGGTTGACAAAGCGGACGAGAAACACTCGTCGATCTCCGGAGAAGTGCTAAGTTCTATCCGAACGGTCTGTTCGCTGGGTGCGGAGGGCCCCTTGTCGGCCAAATATGGTGCCTGGGTGCGGGAGTCACGCCTTTGCGGCCAACGCATGGCTGTCTTTCTGGGTATTAACTTGACGTGTATCTTTTTCGCCATGTACTGCAGCTACTCCTTGGCTTTTTGGTTTGGGTTGAAACTGTTCCGCGAGGGGCATATCTCGAAAATTAACACCGTGATCATGTATGTCATATCAATTTCTTGCGGATTATATGGAGTCGGCTAACTCTTTATACGCAGCGTCTTCTTCTCGATCATGCTCGTGGTCAGCATTCTCGGATCGATCGCATCGCCGCTAATGATCATCACTAAGGCCGTTAGCGCATCCGCCTCTTTTTTCGAAATCATGGACGCCCAGAAAGTAGACACTTCGGGTCTCCGTGAACCCGAGGTCTCGGCTCAGGTGGATATTGTTTTTCGAGATGCACATTTCTCGTACCCCACGCGGTCTGAAGTCCCAGTCCTTAAGGGCCTGAACACTCGTTTCGAACAGGGCAAGACGACGGCGTTGGTTGGACCGTCAGGGTCGGGAAAGAGTACGATTGTCGCGTTGGTCGAACGGTGGTACCAATTAGATTCGGATGACGAGCAACAAGGATCTATTCTCGTCGGTGATCATAATATTAACAGTCTAGACTTGAAGTGGTGGCGTTCGCAAATCGGCCTCGTGCAGCAGGAACCTTTCCTTTTTAATAACAGCATTTTCGATAATGTCGCCTTCGGTCTTATCGGTACGAAATGGGAGCACGAGTCGATTGAAGTAAAAAAGCAGCTTGTCGAAGAGGCGTGTCGGGAGGCATTTGCCGAGGAATTCATCCTTCGTCTGCCAGAGGTGTGTTGATTTCTTGATTAGTAGACGTCCGCTAATCTTCCCAGGGTTATGACACGGAAGTTGGGGAGAGCGGCATCAAACTTAGTGGCGGTCAGCGCCAGCGATTAGCGATCGCGCGAAGCATCATCAAACAACCCGCAATTTTGATCCTAGACGAGGCAACGAGCGCGATCGACGTGCGTGGCGAAAGAATCGTCCAAGCTGCTCTCGAGAGGGTATCCCAGAACCGAACGACCATCGTCATCGCTCATAGACTCTCCACCGTCCAACAGGCCGATCACATCGTGGTCATGAAGGCCGGTGTCAGTGTTGAACAAGGCACTCACGACGAGCTTCTGACCATTGAAAACGGCGTGTACAGCGGTCTTGTGAACGCGCAGCAACTCGAACTCGCAACGGAGGCGGATACCGACTCGACGGAAAGCTTGCACGAGTTGAAAGAAGAAGCCACCGCTAGAACCTTGTCCGTGCATGAAGATGAGCGCAAAGGGGTCAACGCAGACGAGACAAAGTCCAAGGGTTTCTTTGGGACAATTGGTTTGATGCTTTATGAACAGCGTACTCTCTGGCCATATTACATCCTGACTTTGATCGCCTGCATGGGGGCTGGAGGTAAGCACCCTGGGCTTTTCGTTTTCTTTGCGCAAGTTTTACTAACGTTCATCTAGGTGCATATGCTCTCCAAAGCTGGCTCTTTGCTAAATTACTCGAGGTGTTTCAGTTCAGGGGCCAGAAACTGGCCGATGCTGCTAACTTTTGGGCCTTGATGTTTTTCATTCTCGCTCTTGCCATTGGCGTTTTCTACTTCTTCCTGGGTTTTGCTTCTCATATGTGCTCCATGGTATGCTCTCCTCTCCCCTTCTCCTGGCAGCCAGTGTGAGCTAATATCCCACCAGAAAGTTTGCGCCACCTACCGCATGGAGTATTTCCAGAACACACTACAAAAGCCGATGTCGTTCTATGACTTGGATGAGAACGCTTCTGGATCTCTCATGGGCAGATTAACCACCGACCCTAAGCAGCTGCAAGAAATTATCGGCATGAACGGCGCCCTGCCCGTGGTTTCTATCTTCAACATTCTCGGTTGCGTTGCCATTGCTTTCTCATTTGGTTGGAAGCTGAGTCTCGTGGCGGTTTTTGCCGCCTTGCCGGTCATCTTCTTCGCTGCGTATATGCGCATTCGGTTTGAGGTGCAGTTTGAGGCGATGAATGCGAAGGTTTATAACGGTAGCTCGCAGTTTGCAGCGGAGGCTATCGGAGCATTCCGAACCGTCTCGTCGTTGACGATGGAAGATACTATTCTCGGTCGGTACGCAGATCTTCTGCGAGATCAGCAGAAAAAGGCTTTTAATAAGGCTTGGTATGCGACGTTGGTTTTTGCTTTCTCGGATAGTATTGAGCTTTGTGCGATGGCGCTGACGTTCTGGTAAGCTTATTTCTTTTTCGTTTTCTATTTTTTTCATCCGTTTGGAGAAGGGTTACAATTGAAGCTAACGTGACCAGGTACGGAGGCCAGCTTCTTGCGTCCAGAGAATACGAGCCAACCACCTTCTTCGTCATCTACATGGGTATCGTCCAGAGCGGTCAACAAGCCGGTCAATTCTTCAGTTACGGGTCGAATTACGCACATGGCATCGCATCCGCAAATCGTATCTTGAAATCTCGCCTGGGCATTCAATCGCAGGACCATTCTACCGATGAAAAACAAAGCGAGGGTTTGAACAACGATGTCGGAGCGAGCATAGAGCTGCGCAACGTCGCATTCAAGTACCCCACGCGCGATACCCCTCTCTTCACCGGCTTGAACGTCGACATCAAAAGCGGCCAATTTGTCGCCTTCGTAGGCCCATCTGGCTGCGGCAAAACGTCCGTCATCTCCCTCTTAGAGAGATTCTACGATCCTATCCGAGGTTCCATCCTCATGAACGGCCACGATATCTCATCCATCGACCTAGCATCCTACCGCCACGCACTCTCCCTCGTGGCACAAGAGCCTAAGCTCTTCGAAGGCAGTATCCGCGAGAACATCACCCTCGGCCTCAAGGACGACGACTTCACCGATGACGAAATCATCCAGGTCTGCAAAGACGCTGAAATCCACGACTTCATCACCTCCCTTCCACAAAGCTACTCCACGGACCTCGGCGTCAAGGCGCAAGCATCGATGAGTGGTGGCCAACGTCAGCGGCTCTGCATCGCGCGCGCGTTACTGCGTAAACCAACTCTTCTGCTTCTAGATGAGGCGACGTCGAGTTTGGACTCGCAGTCCGAGAAGACCGTGCAGGCCGCTATTGAGAATCTGGCGGGGAAGAAGAATATGACGATTGTGGCTGTTGCGCACCGGCTTGCGACGATCCAAAAGGCGGACACGATCTTTGTCTTTGGGGAGGGGCAACCGGGGAGGGGTTCTGGGGTTGTTGAGTATGGTACTCATCAGGAGTTGCTGAGGAGGAGGGGGACTTATTGGCAGATGGTGAGTTTTCTTTCTTTCGGGTTGGTTTGAGGTATTGCTAACTGTTCCATAGTGTCAGGAACAAGCGTTGGATCGATAGATTATACCAATGATCACCACAACGGTTTAATATTCTTAATTAATATGGTTGTATATCCCTTAAAAGCTCTGCATACACACCATGGCGTGTTAGAAATGATATTATTCGAATGGAAAGCTCCAAATACCTTCAAGCCAATACGCATCCAACTTATTCCTCAATCCCGATGACCAGAAACCCTCCCAAAGTACTCCCCCAAAGACGAAGTCTCACCTTTTACCAACTCCTTACTTTCATTCAACCTCTCCTCCCCTCCCACAAAATACCCATACTCATCAATCATCAGATGAGTCTCCATATACTCCACTCCACATCCCTTCGGTGCCAGATCCCTAAACCCCTCGGGCGTCACTTGGCAGAATATTCCTTTCTTTCCTGTCACCTGAGAGAATGTTTCCATGATTTCACAGGCAGAGTAATACCGATCAGCGATGAGTATGCGGCGGCCTGCGAATTTATCTAAATCTTTCAGGATAGCTCCCACGAATAGCCCTGTACGAAAAGTTAGCAACCCTGGATCACAAACCACCTCACACCTCACCCCATGTAGCCCCAAAAACAGCACAAAGAAAAGTCCACAGCCCAGAGTAGACATAGATAAAACCCAAGCAGAACAAGAAAGAGAGAAACAATCTCACCAACATCCCTCTCCGCATCAACCAACGGCAAAACCCTTCTCTCCCCTTCAAACGGATACCGCAACAAATATTCCTCCTCCCCCTTCCCCTCCATCTCCATCTCCTTATCCACGTCCCCATCACCAACGAACCTCCCCACCAACCCCAAAAAATTACTCATATAATACCCCACCAGCAAAACCGTCCACCTCATCCCAGACGCCCGAAGACGAAGACGCAGTCGAAGATATTCTTCCGCTCTAGCCTTCCCCTCCCTGTGACCGACATTCCGATACCGCCCGTCTGTCTGCTGGACGGTGCTATCCAGAGATGAAAAGATCAAGTGGCTCACGCCGGTGGCGATCGCGGCGTCGATGACGTGCTTGGCTTGTTGGTATTCTCTTTGGGGGTTTTGGTGGGTCCAGTAGTCTGTTGTTAGGAGGATGGTGTGCGTATCATGGAGGGTGGTGGGGAGGGTTGGAGGTTGGTTTAAGTCGGCCTATATGTATAGATTAGATATGTAGTTAGATCTGGCGGGTGGGTTGGGCTTGTGAGTATAAATTAGCATGGCTTGGGGGTTGGGAGTGGGAGGTGGCTCGCATAGAGAAAAAAGGAATGAAGGAAAGTGGAAGAATACAGTAACGAGTTCGATGCCTTGATCGAGTAGCTCCTGGGCTGCTGGCTTTGAGATATCGCGAGTAACACCGCGGATGCGGAATTCCTTGGACAGGTCGGGGACATTCAGGACGTGCTGGATGACGGAGGTGCCTTGAACGCCGGTGGCCCCGAAGATGGTGATCATTTTTGACATGGTTATTGGGTATCTGAGTAGGCTGTTGAGATGACTGAGGCTGTTTGGATGCTCTTCGGGAATCTTGGACTGGAAGCCATATTTGTATGTGGTCGTGGGCACGAATACGAATCGTATTCGATCGAGGATTATTAAGGATCATTTGGTCAGAGGGTAGCATTATTAATTCTGTTATCATATGATTTGGATAGGTTCTGGCGTCTATGCCAGTGAAAGCTAAATTGAGCTACTTGAAGAGTGATAGCAAGAAAAGAACAGGAGCTGAGCAGCTGGGATGCCCATCAAGGACTTCGCCGGTATGCCCTCGAAGGTAGGCATGAGAAACGATCAGAACGCAGAAGCAGAAAGCCCAAGCACAAAGCACATGTGACGATCAATTTCCTATCTCCGAGGAATCATCCACTCCGTCTATTTCTTCAAAATCCTCTGTCTCATCACCGATCCAGGACCAATCCTCTTTCGTCTCTAGCTCCTCAACGTCCTCAATACCCTCTTGGCTGTCCGGTCTAGAGGGAAGTTTGCCTTGGAGTTTCGTTAATTCTTTTTTCAGGCCTCGCTGTGCCCTGCATAGTTGAGCCATGCCCTTTCGGTAATCTTCGCTGAACAAGACATTCCGATCAAGACCGTGCAGCCATTCTTTCCATGTTGCAACCTGAGTAGGTTTATCTTTAGGCACTAGTGTTGCCACAAATGGTTCCGGTCTCTCCTTGAGCGCAGCTCCGCCCGCAACGTCTACAAGCACCTCGCAGCAACTGAGCATGCCCTTCACCATGTCGATCATCTTTTCCAAAAATTGTTCTTCGAGATTGGGATCCTTGGACTCCTCCGTTTGGCCATCGGTATTCTGTGCGCTTGACGCTGGTGTTTCCGCAACATTGGCACTGGCGCCAACATCGCCTGTCCTTGCGGGGGGGCCTCTGGCTCTCCGCGGCTTTCCTCTATCCTTCTTTTCCTTCACCGTGGCTGCTAACAGTCGAGTGCTATTGGCCAGGGCCTGGTAGAGTGTTTGCACCCGCAACAAAGGTGAGATGTCCACCTTTCCGATCTCGGGTAGTGGTGTGTCTATTAATTTTTTGAGGCGGTCTTTGTCATATTCATGTCCATGTGTAACAACCAGGCTCGACTCTTTCGGTTCCTCCATAGGGTAACGTAAAGTGTGTGTGGACCCACTGGTCGATCCGGTACGGATTGGGTTGTCTAAAGGACATGTGTTATAGAAGTGATTGCCGGGACATTTGCATCTGGGGACAGGGCGCGCCATGGGTATGACAAAGGTGGGGAATTGGGGGTTGAGCTGAGATGACATGGTCGGTTGATGGGTGTTCGTGTATCAGATAATGATGGTATTGATAGTCTGGCTGATGCGGTGATATTTCGATATTTTGATAGTGGGAGAATATAAGGTAGTGATTTCCGACATCCTGTGAATGGGAAATCAGTATGAAGGGGGCTGCTCGTCATCAGTTCTAGTGTTTCTGAAGGAAAGCGCGTCTCGACGCCAATGATAAGGGATCACGCGCCTTCCGCATGTCGGAAAGAACTTGACTCGTACCCTGGATCGTTCGTCTTCTAGTCACAGTCTTACTCTGTTAGATTGGCCCCCTCGCTACTTTACGCGCCATCATCCAGGCCCTTTGGACTTGAATTTCTGTAGTGTCCGGCTCAACAAATTTTTCAATTTCAAGCGAGCTAATTCCTCTTTGTCCTGTCCGGGCACCTGCTGCCTCGGCGCCGTTTCACTTTAAATATTAGTATTTGATAGATCTTTGACGTTTAGACCAGCTATCGAACATCCCCATCGCCTGTTATGCCCTAGTAGTGGTTGCCTCGCGGCGACCGTCGTGATATCAGAACTTTTCTGGGTTCGTAGGGACGACTTAGTAGATATCACCGAAGTCATATTGGTGTGTGCGTAATAGGAAGGCCCAGTGGGATCGGTTGGCAGAATCCTCTCCGGCAGCAAAGATTCCGATGCACGGTTTGTGCGCTATTTTACAAGGCATAGGAAGGAGAGGTTCCTCGCTCTTTTATCGAATAAGGACACAGTGTGCCACGTAGTCGTTTGGGCACTTTGATTATGTTTAACAATGCGTGATTCTTGTTTCTTTACCTCAGTCACATCTTATACCTGGACTCCTCCCACGTAACAAGCCATCCCTCTTATGAGCTGTGCTACGGTTTATGCACATCCACGGGAAAACGCTCGACTTCGCGAACGAAGCCTGAGAGCGGGGGGAAGGATCAACGATCTCCGACTCAGCAGAACAGTAGAAGACACAATTTCGGCCTCGGGTAGCAATCCAATCACTCGAAGGCCCTGGAGGGTGTCGTTGCGCCTAGTGGAATGATCCTAGGGGTTGGGTCCGGTATAGATGGTTAGAAGTAGTAGGCGAAGGGAATTTTCGGTAGAAGTTGTGTTGTGTAGAAGATACGATGAGCAACGGTTGCACTACAAGGCATTTCCCGCTAGATGCTTCAGATATAATCCTATATACTCTCGATCGCAACACATCAGGACCACCAAGATAAGGTTATTTAAGATTGCTCGCTTTCCAACATTCTTTCTCTTGAGGGCTGTCTTTGTCTTGGCAAAAATTGGGACGACTGACTCAGCAGCACTAATCCCGATCGAGCCGTGTCAAATGCCGCCCCTCACCGCCTGATTATCCTGTTATCAAAGAATTTTTTTATCGTCAGTTTAGACTCCACACCTCCCCAAACGACTGAGAGCACTCACATCCGCCAAAATGAGGTACGTTGGTGAAACAAATCCCCGAGCAAGGAACTTGCGCGCTGACTAGCTGTAGGATTGAGAATTGCTTTTTCTGCAGGTTCGTCCACCCCCACTAATCGAGGTCGCAACCCGAACTCCGAATTGACACCCATCCAACAGTCGCCCGACGTATCCCTCGAAGGGTATCACCTTCGTTAGAAACGATGGTACGCAGGCCCGCGATATTCTGGATCTTGAAATATCCCCACCCCCCGGAGTGCGCTAATACCGGTGTACAGCCAAGGCATTCAGATTCTGCCGCTCGAAATGCCAGCGCGCATTCACCAAGAAACGCCAGGCCCGTAAGGTGAAATGGACCAAGATCTCCCGTCAACACGCCGGCAAGGAAATGCAAGTCGACCGCACGCTGCAGTTCGCCGCCCGCCGGAACGTTCCCACCCGTTACAACCGCCAGCTTATGGCCCAGACCCTGCACGCCATGGAGCGGGTCGAGGAGATTCGGGCGCGTCGCGAGCGAGTCTTCTACAAGAAGCGTATGGCCGGTAACCGCGAGCGTGAGACCGCCGAGAACTTCAAGCTGGTCTCCGAGAATGAGCACCTGCTGCCCCGTGAGCTGCGCGAGAACGCGGACGCCAAGGTCGCCGATGTCGAGCCCGCCAAGACGAAGGTCTTCAAGACCGAGCGACGCAAGTTGCGCGCGAGAGTCGACGGTGGTGTGGAAGAGGTTGTGGAGGGTATGGATATGGACTGAGTTGACGGAACGGCTGGATTTGATTAAACCATGTTACCCCATTTTTTCTACGAGCGTGTCTTTTTTTTCTAATGTCAAAAAGATTTCCTTTATTTTCTTTGTCTGTTCGTTCAAATACCTCAATGCTATGTGTTGCATGCATGATAGCCACCTGAGTTGAATTACATTAGATTGTGGGCAGAATAGAAGGAATTTGCTTCCTATACGTTGGACCTGTCGAGCTCCTAGTAGGACCCTGCTCAACCTGGCTTAGTGCATATGCCTTTACACCTTTGCGCCTTTGCAACGATCGTCGCCGATTAGAATCCGCCGGATTTTCTGGTCTTGGCGCTGGCCACGTGCCGCTGGGTATCCGTATCCGTATCCGTTCCCCGCGCGTATTCGACATCGAGTTCGCTTTTCTCCCATCCGTCAGCTTCTTCGACTTTCTTGATCAATCCCATTGCTCTGATAGTCGAGCTGATCCAGTAGATCGAAATTCTTTGCTTACTCACGTGATAGAAACACGAGTCACTGTGGAATTACTGACCACACAATGGCTCCTCGACGTACCCATAAAAAGTCTCGGAATGGTTGTCGAGAATGCAAAAGACGACATCTCAAGGTAAGATTTGCCTGTTTTCCATCTTTTATTCTCGGTATCTGCACATGTGAGTCAGCTAAAATCGGACACGACAGTGCAACGAACAGTTCCCCTGCAGCAACTGCGCGAGTCATGGCATTGCATGCAGCTTCGTTCCTCCCGGAGGCCCGGCTCTCAGCCATGACGTGTCTCGAGGCCCTCAGGGCTCCCCAGCTGGACTTTCACCAGCAGCTCCGACATTAAGTGCCGTATCAACTCACCGTTCTCCGTCAATGCCAACGCCCCCTGAATCCGGGTACTCGGGGAACTCGGCACTCTTAGATCTGCTTTCAGACACCCTCCACGATGTACCGGCTGTACCCAAAGAGAACTGGGTCCGCGACCTAGAATTGATGCACCACTTTTGCACGGTAACGGCCGACACGCTCGCTATACGCGAGGATATGCGGTATACCTGGCGTGTAATTGTTCCAACCGAAGGCTACAGTAATGAATTTGTCATGCACGGCATCCTCGCAACGGCTGCCATTCACCGAGCCAGTCTCTTTCCCTCGCGCCGATCAATCTACCTTGAATGCTCCGATTACCATCAAGCCTGTGGTCTGCGTACCTTTCGAGCTATTCTCTCCTCTCCCTTAAAGCGCGAAAATTGGCAGGCTATCTTTTGTTTTGCCTCAATGCTCGTTGTATGGGTGCTCGCTATGCCAGCCAGGTCTGCCGATGGTCGCCTGCCCAGCCCGATTGCAAACGTCATCGAACTATTCTCTGTCATCAGAGGGATTCAAGCTATCTTAGAGCCTTTTCAACACCCCCTTAAGCACTCTTCATTAACAGCTTTTGTGCACGGGGTCTGGACATACAACGATGACAAAGATTGGTCACTAAGGTGAGAAGCTCCAGAGACAGCTCTTTCAATTTGATGCCTTCTCTTCCTGAAACTCACGTCTTCCTCAGCTCCGCATCCGAGAGTCTCCTTCCCAGTGATACTATGTCCCAACTAGGAAGTCTGCGGGGTTTGGTCGAGTCCAGCAACCTCAACCCGGATAAAAAGGAGGATCACATGTCCGCTATTTCGACTTTGGAGCTCTCAGTCAAACACATGGCCGTAGCTGGCCTGCGTATCGAGGTTGGTATGACCTTAATCTGGCCTTTTTCTATCCCACCACGTATGATGCGTGCTATTGATAACAAAGAACCCCTGGGGCTTATACTCTTGGCGCACTTCTGTGTTCTCTTAGCCTTTTTTGAACACCAGTGGTTTACAAAAGGCTGGGCGAGACAGGTCCTTGCTGACATTATACCTTGTATTCCGTCTTCTCATGCTTCTTGGCTGAATTGGCCGAGGGAGCATGTTTGGAAATCTCGATGAGTGCGGTGATTGGTCGACATTCGATTACGAACGATAAGATCTGCCTTACTACTACACAAAATCAATGTTCAGACCACCAGTATCGCGTCCTTGGCCCCAGCTGTCGTGTCAGTCCACCAGCAACCAGCATGAAACAGCCGTGAGGCTCATGTGGTTGCACGCAACATACAACCGGAGATCCCTAATGTCTGAATGCACCTTGTTGGTCTCTCTGACCCTCGAACCCTAGCGCTACGCCACTCTGGAGGCAATCAACAAACGAAATCTCACGATACAGCAGCCTATTGATCGCACTGGTGACCTAACGAGGCTGCATACCATCATCGGCCCCAAACCTTTCGCCTTGACTGGAGAATTTGAGCCGCAATGCCCAAGGATCTAACTATCATCCTTACGAAAACGAGATGCAACCTCCCAATCCATGCTCTCGGCCGCCAAATCCAGTACGAAACCACCACTCTACAGTAATCGGTCATATCCAATCCATCCTCGAAATCCCAGATCACCCCATCTCGCTTCGATCGGAGCATGTTGCGGAATTCGAATCCCGCATCCAACTGAAAGCTGGCGCGAACGCGCTGGATGCCACCAGATTACACGATTCAGAACAACAAGGGTGCTCTCTCCTATTCACAGTCCTAGAGAAAGAATGGGGAAGATGTTACGAAATCCGCGACGCGTCGGGTCTACCGCTCCTTAAAATATTGCATAAATCAAGCCACCTCAAGCAAACCGTATATCTGCCAGGGATCAGAGAAAATCCGTTAGCATCGGCCTGGGCTCGAGTTAGAGCCGCCCGCTTTCAATTCCACGCTTCGTTTCAGGATTCCTCGGTACTTGGGGAGAGTTCGGATACCCGCTGTTGGAGGTCCAGCGGGACAGTCCCGGTATGGTTCACTTGTCTGTTAGTACCATAGGCCGCATTGGTTTTACTTATGATGTCAGAGCTGAAGGGTAAGGTCTTCTAAGCGAGATGCTAGAATGCGCGGACGGCTTTTGATGTCTCCATATTGATTCATTCGATACCCATTAGCGATAAGCACAGAGTAGCGTTATATTCTTGGCTTCAAATTTCTAGTAAAGCAGTCATATTACGATACGTCTTCTGCTCCCGAACATGTAGGGACAATGTAGGTGTCTTCCCTTGCGGCAGGTTCGTAGGTTTGAGAAAGTGGTGTTATTGAGTTAATAGTCAATGATAGGGGCGCACGTACACTTTGAAAGGGATCGACTTTTACTATTTCCAGTGTATCTGTCTCGCAGGCTTGGCTTGAATCGCCAGCAAATGTGGAACACATGAAAGCGATAGCACTTGCGAGATTTTGTACGGATTCTGTTGGCTGGCCAAATCTCAAACTAGCTGGTCTCTCAAAAGAAGTTGTGCTGAGCATGGATATATATCTACCTACACAGACGTATGTCAACTGTTGAGCATGATTCAACAATAGAAGACAAGCCCTTAGAACACTAATACGTATAGAGATATAGTAGTGAATTGAGCGATGAGTTTCATTATGGTTCGATACCACGCATGGGGTCGCCATCACACCTGTTGTAATAAGATGCTAGAGGAATAGACAGCCAACTGAAAGATAGGATGGCCAATAACCTTACTATTATAATGCACATTATTTTCCCCATAAACAACAGCAGGCCGGCTGGCCCAATGGCAAGGCGCTTGACTACGAATCAAGAGATTGCAGGTTCGACCCCTGCGTCGGTCAATCTTTTTCTTTTTGGTCCCGGACGATCGCTTGGAGAGGCCATGAAAAGAACCCACCATGTTTATCTTTTTATTTATTCATTGTTCTTTTTGAAAATCTGGTCTAAACAGCAGGATATCAGTTCAACAAAATGCCAATCTTCCTACCCATGCAATTAAACATCCCTTTCCCCCCAGTTCTCGAACACCTCGACTACCCGGCACCTAGCGGCCGTTAAACTAAACCGGCACTTTTTAATGTACGCTTTACCCACATTCTGACTTTACCATACTGCTCCTGGTAGCTTGCTGACACCAATTGCACGGGAATAATGTACCCAATGGTCTCAGTACATACACTAAGCCGGACAGCTTGCCGTTGTTGGTTGTCCACACTAGCACTGACCCGAAGCACAAAGAAAACGCACCTACCCGGACTTACGAGGCTCCCCGTTACAAAAATAGCTACGAGCCTCGCAGTTCCTTTAGTCAAGGGAAATATAGCGGCAACAGTGAGTATGCAATGTTGGAATAGACTCCGCGACCATCTAGTTGTAAATACGGCCGCAGCCTCGGCCACCGGCCAGCGTGCATTTATGCAAGTTTTATTGGTCGCATTGATCAAACAGGAGTTCTATCTATGAACTATATATAGAGCATTATCCATATTAAGCACGCATCTCTTTCGTTCTATGAATTTGGTCTCGTATAGAGAGTGGGAGGTGCATTGTCGCCCTATGTCGGAATGCTTGCCCTACAGATGATGAATCTAATACCGAGATATTATTGAGTCACACAGGAGTATGCTACCACCTTGCTGCGTGCTGCGAGCTCGAACCCACTCACTCCTCACAGAGAATCAAAGAGCCTAACTCACCCACTATATTTAGTGCACTGCAACTTGATCATGAATGTACATTTGCCGCATAGGGATAAAAGTAGGCACATGCATATACAGCAAGGTAGGTTTAATGCGGTGGCTGGCTAAGCCACCTTGGCATCTGTGTTTGCATTCTATCTACCATTTATTGCAATCACCTCCGAGAATATGGAGATGGAGATCGGGATGTGCCCAATAGCCCCAACTATATCTGATGATCCCGAAAGGGCTGAGATAGTGTTTTGTTGATCCTTGATCTACTGACGATCATTGGGCCCGGGTGGGGAGGTATCATCGAGCCTCAACATCAAGACAGTTTTCTTGAACGGAGAGTTATATACATGATATTCTGGCTCTAGTAACATGCTATTTTAAGTGTTGGGATTGCATTGAAAGATTTGCCCAGTGTACGCGAGAATGCAGTTCTGTGGCTGAGAGTAAAGAAAACCGGTATTTGTGCATTTTTGTACAGGAAATAGATAGACATGACATCTTGATTATTCTAATCCAAATAAAAGAATATTAACATTTATATACAGTTCATAGCGTCGTAAATTTACGGGACCTCCTCATACACCCGATCACCCTGCTTCGGCGGCTCCAGGAAATCCGACGGAACTGACTCCGGCAGCTGGTTATGCTCGGCCCAATCACGGATAGCATCGAAGTTACGGCAGCGATGCTTCGTGTTGAAGTCGACGAATGGCTCGGGGCTGTCGGGGTGAACCCAGACTTGACCGAGAACTCCGACGTCGACGGTGCACATGAGCTGCTGTCGGAGGATGTCGAGACAGTGGGCTGGAGGAGTCAGGACTTGTCAGGGTCGAGGTAGTCGTGTGGTACTTACAGACGTGACGACGGACAATAAAGTCGTCGTTCTTAAAGGCACCGTGGCCCTGCTTATGGTAGTAGTCGTAATTGTAGTAGAGAGATTGGCGGAGGAGGTTCTGAGGTTTTGTTAGTGGGTTTCATAGCTGGTCTGGGTAGAGAGTAGTAAACATACCAGGCAGTGGAGGTGATGAAGGCCCTCAACGTTTGCCGGATAGCCTCCACCGTACTTCTCGCTGATCTTGACCTGGTCCTTTGCAAGGCCTGATCGTTGGGCTTCCTCGGCAGGGACCCGAATGCTTCGGTCTAGAGGTTGTTAGCATGGCGAACATCAACCAGGAGGTGAATTGGAAACTTACAGTCAGCACCCAGGGACTTCCACGCCGCATCGACCTCGGGACCGGCGTCCTTGCGGTAGATGTTCTCGTTGAGGAACGAGCCATTGAATTGCTCCTGATGGTACGAGATGCCGACGTTGGAGATCACGGGAGCTGCTTGGATTAGCCAATGTTCCCCGCACATGACCGGATGAAGCCCTACAATATTGAGCAACTCGCAACGTGCAGGTTTTATCAGAGTCTTGTTGCTGATGCCCGACCAGTGCGCCTATTCCCAGCGATACAAGAGCCGTCGCGATGACGAGAAGGATGGTGCCCCATCTTTCCCAGTTGCTCTGAGGCTTCTGTTCTTGTCTCCACCGTGCCTCTTCGTCGGGCAGGAGCTTGTCGTTGATTTCCATGTCTTCGGTCGGAGTTGAGTGTCCCATTTCCACGATAAGAATTTAATGGCGGACTTAAATCGTTTAAGAAAATAAATAAATAGCCGACAGATGCGACCGCAGCAGAAGCTGGTGATTTATGAGGCCGGCCAGCCGGATAAGAGAAACCCAAGCAGATGGAAGTATCCCGAGGCCACCGACCCAATAAAACCGGCTGAAGACATGCAATGAGGGTAAAAATAACTCAGGCCGCTGAGTTGTGAGACACGAGACCCGGTTTTCTGCAGGACGCGGCAAGCTAGTTGGTGTGGCTTGAGACATGGGCCGCCTAGCCGCATGTATGTCTCATTGGGCATATTGGGGTAGACCGGGAGACACTTAACTCGACCCTCTAGATTCATGGTAGAAGACCCTAGGGCCACGCTAGCCTTCGTGCCACTGCCGCATAGATGAAGTTTAACCCCGCCTGCAGCTTCGATCCGCATCCACCGGCTGATTTCCCGAGCTTTCGACAATTTGCCAGGTGAGACAATGAGGCAAGGCTGGGGGGTTTCTGTCTGGCATTGAGACAGAGATTGGGTGATAGGAGGACACAAAATTAGCACGGAGAGCTGCACTGTACTGCATTGTATTGCATCACATCTTTTGGGAGGCAAGTTGGGTGAGAAATGAAAAATCTTCCGTGGAAAGATCCCCGCGTTCGTAGGGTCGATTGGCGATGATACCATTCTCCGCAACGGGCTGGCCGGCTCATTTTTTGAGGTCGCACTGCATGCGATGGCCCTCATGCGTCATCGGAATCTCTGCTGATTGGAACACGCCAGGTTCCAGCTCGTTCTCCATCATGGAGCCGGATGGGATCATCCGAGACATGCCCAATTGTGGTGACTGGCGGTCATCACCGTGGAAGCCGGCACTAGATCTATTTTTGTTCGGTGTGGTATAACCGGCCGGAAATTGATATAAATATGCCCTTAGAAAGCATACAGGAAGCTGGGAAGATATCCCAAAGCAATTCATCAAGCTCATCTCCTCTCCTCTCCATCCTTTCTTCCTATTCTCACCTCCAAAATGCACTTCTCTTCTAAGTCCCTCGCCCTCTTCCTCGGCAGCAACTTGCTGGCCGTCAATGCTGCTCCCGTGAGCAGCTCGACCTCGACTGCACCTGCCACTACCACCACTGCTCCCGCCGGCTACGGCGAGTATGGCAACTACGGCAACTACGGATCGTATGGCTCCTACAAGCGCGATGCCATCCCCAAGAATGACAAGTCCGAGACCACCGCTGTCCCTACTACCACCGCTCCCGCCGACTATGGCAGCTACGGAAACTATGGTAACTACGGTACCTACGACAACTACGGCAACGTGAAGCGTGAGGCCCCCAAGGAGGAAGCCGACACCACCTCGGCCGCCCCGACTTCCACTGCCCCGGCCGACTATGGCAGCTACGGCAACTACGGCAACTACGGCCAGTACGGAAACTACGGGTCCTACAAGCGTGATGCTGCTCCCGAGAAGAAGGAGGAGCCCTCTACCTCCGCTTCCTCCGCCGAGCCCACCTCGACCGGCCCTGCTGACTACGGCAACTACGGCAACTATGGAAACTACGGCTCGTATGGTTCCTACAAGCGCGATGCCCCCAAGGAGGGCAAGGAGGAGCCCTCGAAGACTACCTCCTCCGCCGAGCCTACCTCCACTGGCCCTGCCGACTACGGCAGCTACGGAAACTATGGCAACTACGGCTCGTACGGCTCCTACAAGCGTGATGCCCCCAAGGAGGACAAGGAGCCTTCCAAGTCGACGACCACTGCTGCTGAGTCTACCTCGACTGCTCCCGCCAGCTACGGTGACTACGGCAACTATGGTGCCTACGGTAACTACGGATCCTACTAAGGGTCCGTCTCTATGAGGCAAGGTGCAGTGGTGCGGTAACACATCGCAAGAGCGTGTTACTGCCGCTGCCTACAGATCACGCATGGTGCCGGGTAAATACAAATCAGGCACAAAGCAGGCAACAAGACAAGATGCATGTTGACCACGGTTCGGAATAATGATAAGTGTTAATTAGACTGAGTTGTTACATAGCGATCATAATACTTAGCAGCCACTTGCATGTTTAATTAAGTTCAGTTGATCTTCTCTCAAGCCACAACGGGCATTCCTCTCCACATTCCACAGATAGATAACACGGGTGTCACCTGTTCTCTCTTCCCGACAGGGCAGTTTTAGTGGACGATGGTTCGTGATCAAATCGCGCATCATCCCCTGTTTGGGCGAAATTATCAGTGCTCATGCATGTTCTCCCCATAGTCTGGGTGGATCATCGTTATCGTGCAGCCAATATTGGTTCTTCAGCCACGGATCGACATCCATGCATCTCGTGCTGATCTGGACGAGTCGTCGCCACCCCCTAGCATGAGAAGTAATTTTTGCTAGCCACATCTCACTTCCCAGGTGCAGTTGGGTTTCATTTCCCAATCTCACGGCCTCGCCCTGAAATGCGACACAAGCACCGTTTATCCCCACCCTTTGTTTCGATGACAATACTACTCGTGTCTAAGCTGAGATACTTGGATTACGAGCACCCACCATGGAGGGACCAGGTTTGTTTGCTAGGAGGATTCATGGTCGGATCTCATTGCTCACCACCTTACGCTTCAGAGAAACCTCCTCCATACGACGATACCCTAAGACCCGCCTCCGATGTCGAAGTCACGCATTCCCCACAGTCGTCCACTATCAATGAGCGCAAGCTCGTGGCCAAGATCGACCGACATATAGTGCCATGTCTCTGCGCCATGTATATACTCTCATTCTTGGACCGGTAAGATGGCATTCTCAAAGGGAAATGGATGCCAAATTAGCTAAGGGACGGACAGGGTCAACATCGGGAACGCGTCTATAATGGGTTTGAAGGAGGAATTGAACATCGAAAATGGAACCAGGTATAACACGGCACTGACGATACTCTTCGTGCCTTACATTATATTTGAGATCCCGTCAAATATTCTGTTGAAGAAGTTCAAGCCGCATGTCTGGCGTGCGTTTCTCCTCTCCCCATACGGCAGACAGACCAAACACTGATTAGAGACATGAGCAGTGCCTCTATGTATGTTTGGATTTGGGTTTGTCACGATATGTCAAGGTCTCGTGCAGAATTGGGGCGGATTGATGACGACTCGATGGTTTCTGGGCATGTTTGAGTCGGGTCTTGTTCCTGGCTGTCAGTCGCCTGGCTTCCGATCGCCGATGCTCTAGCTGATCGGTCATTTTTAGGTTACTACCTGATCGGAATGTGGTATAAGCGTAGTGAGGCCCAGAAGCGATTCAGTTTGTTTTTCTGCTCCACGACGGTGGCTGGGGCCTTTGGTGGGCTGCTTGCCAGTGGGATCGGCGAGATGGATGGTCTCCGAGGTTATCGAGGTTGGCGCTGGATTTTTATCATCGAAGGTCTCTTGACATGCGTGGTTGCGATTATTTGTTTCTTCTTCGTGGGAGACTTCCCAGAGGATGCAAAATGGTTGAGTGAAGAGGAGCGGAAATTTGCCATCGCGCGGCTTGCGACGGATGCAGGTAAGTCGGCTCCGCAGGCTCGGATGGGGATCAGGGATGTTTTGGATGTCTTCAAAGATTGTGAGTGATGACGATAGACATCTGAGGATTGTTCCTGACTGAATACCAGACAAGATATTCGTTGCTGGATGCATGTATTTTGGAGTCTGCATTCCGATCTACTGTGAGTGGAGCCCAAATGACATTGAGACTAGGGCATTGCAGCTGACAACAATAGCGTACGCAAACTTTGCACCTACAATCATCAAAACATATGGCTATGACAGTATGTCTCCGTCGACCTGCGAGATGCCCATCTGCTAACAGCACAGCCATCCATACGCAACTCTTCTCCATTCCACCCTGGGTAGCAGCATTCGTCTGCTCCATGCTCATTGCATACATCTCCGATCGATTTCACCATCGCTATATCTTCGCAATGATTCCATTACTGATCGCACTGGGAGGATTGGGAATCCTACTGAATATCTATGGTCCCGTGCATCGGCACGTGCAATACGGTGCCCTATTTCTGGTCGTCAGCGGATGCTTCAGCGCGCCGCCTGTCCTGGCATGCTGGTTTGCTATGAACCTGGCGAGTCATAGACGACGAAGCGTGGGTATTGCGTGGATGGTTGCATTTGGAAACTGTAAGTCTCATGCTTTTCGTTTCTTGTGATTCCTTTTTCATTCGGGAAAAGGAGTTCTAATGAATTATAGTGGGTGGGATCATCAGTCCCTATTGCTTCCTGTCGAAAGATGCACCAGCTTATCATGATGGGTATATTATTTGCATTGCATTTGTTTGTCTCTCGGCTGCTACAGCATCGATCTATTTATTCGGCGTGTGGTTTGACAATGTGAGGCGGGAGAAAGCTGCTGCAAGTGGAGCTGTTGCAGAAATCACAGAGGAGGAAGAGGAATTTATGGGTGATTTGGCGCCTAGTTATCGCTACGTTTATTGATGGTAGTTGGACCAGTGCTAGAAATGTATTCGAAGAGGAATGTGTAAACCTCACCAAACCATCTTGTCATATATGGTTCCAAACCCTTTCAATTGATCCATAAGCTATCGGTTTTCCCCGCCATTAGTTGACATGAGACGAGAAATCTGGGAAATTAGAGAATGGTCAAAGTTTGTGAAGGCGTTCTGCTCTCTGAACCCTTTGGCGTATAGGTCTCAGCCAATATGGCAGCCGGCAATGGTCTTAGAGAAAACCTACATCATAGTGGCAGTCTAAATCAGGCAAGCTTAAGCCCTTCAGGTATCACGTAGCAGCAGGTTTTCACAGCTCGTTCATTGCTGGTCAGCCACCCAGTTTTTGAGGTGGCGCGAAGGTAGATCCTGTTCTAGTCAAGCAAGTCTCGTAGCGGGCTACCTGTAAGGTCGGTCACCTCGGCTCTTGACCTTTGGGGTTCATACCGGTGTTGATAAAAACATAATTGAGGGATTAATCCCAGATCAATGAGGAACAAGTATCTTGGCTAGATAACCAAAGCGCCTCTGGCCTCAAGTAGTATCCCATGTTGCTATTTGTTATATATGCTAACACTATACCTCTATACCTAACCTTACAGATCAAATATGGGGTACCATAGAAGCCATGGTGGTGAAAATTTATATATGTACAGCACAATCGTACAGCACTGATATACCGCCACCAAACGGGGATTATTGGCTAGATAATGGCCAATCTGGTACGTTCTGATTTGACAAACCAAGCAAGATTATTCGATCGAAAGCAATTGGTTGGCGACAAGAACGAAATGTGCTATTGAATTTTGACACAGCAGAGGACGGGATCAGGAGACAGAAGGCGTATGAGATTTTGCCTTTGTATAACCAAAAAAAATGAGCCATTTCAACAAGTAGCTCGCATGGCTTAGTTGGTAAAGCGCATGACTAGTAATCATGAGATCCTCGGTTCGAATCCGAGTGTGAGCATTTATTTTTGCATTTCTCTTTTGCTCCCTTGGAGCACCCGGATTGTTTTCCTCTCTGGTCTTAGCGTGTGCGCCACTATTTGTATCTGGTGGGTCTCGTCAGGAAAGGCAATATCACCCGACTCCGCATACTCCGGCCGCCTGTACCCTAAGAAGATGTTTGTCGCATTCCCTCGCAGTGAGCAAGCATCATAAGAAAATAGGTTGTCTTTTCATCACGGGATCAAATAATTAATAGGTTAATTAGCATTCAGGCTCTACCACCTCTGCACACGGGGACCAGTTTGTTGACTAGCAATTGCTCCATAGCCTCCCACTGTACATGTTCCAGTCTTTCTGCGCGAGGCGGCCGGCCAGTGCGCTGCCAGCCAGGCCGGCACCAATGATGATGTAGTCGTACTCGTCGGTGATGGAAATGATGAGATTGAATCAGTGTGAAGTGAATGTGATTGGAACAGCGAAGGAATGGAGCAAAAATAGGTAATACGATCGAAACCGGCACCATTGGCAGCAATCACCGTGTCCGTAGCCACCACCAAGACGCCGCGGATTTAAATCACTGGATTCTCAGCCTCGCGCCCCTCATGGTGAAGACTAACATGGAGTTTGATTTTCATGGGACGATCGAATCGGAGTAACTCATTTGCTGCTGGGCAGACCTTGGCTAAGCGCTAGGACAGTACAGCAGTAGGCGCCACACGAGTGACGCGACATGTTTGCGATGCAGCAGGGCCCATACTAAAATGAGAGGGCTATTCTTAGTCTATCAGGGCCAATAGAGCTTTTCTAGCCGACCGTTTATTAATTCGACGCTGATTTGCAGATGGAGCGGGGGTAAGGTCAGATTAGATGAAGGAAGAATTGGCTTTACGTGGAACCATGGGCGGCTGATCTCACCTTAAGCCAAGCAGGACCCTCAAATTCTCATAAAGCAAAAAAGTGCATTGGAATAGTTGGATGGCGGAACCAATACTAATCAGAGAGCAAAGAGATCGACCTACCTCAGTGCAACGCCAGATGCATTCCCACCCAAACCGGACAGTCCCCCGATGCGAGGACTATATGTGAATTATATCGCATATCCCAATGATTGTTACTTCATGGCCTGGACCCCAAATTCTATGTAACTGAAATTCAATCAAAAACCAGTAGTGTATAGAATGGAACAAAACATGATGAATAAAGGGGAAAAGAAAGGAGCCTCATGCCTCCCCTGTCACTCGGCTCTCCTGCATCTCCCATTGCGTCTGCACCATGATCTGGCCCGCTTTGCGACCTGTCCCCGGGTCCGTCTCAGTCGTACGTCAAAGTAGCATGGTCTCATCGCTGGCTTCGAGTCGATGAATCTTGGAAATCTGCCGGAAGTACTGGAATCAGCGTATTAGAGGGCTGAGTAGAGGACCACAAGCTACCGTAATGTCCAAGCTGGCTCGAGGAGGCTCCACAGAAGTGGGTAAGAAGCGGAGTAGGTGATATCCACGTAGTTCGTTTCCATGAGACTTTGGATATGGAGGATATTGATTATCATGGTGCTGTGGGAAAGTGGCTGCGTTAGTGTCTGTGGTCGTGCGAAGAGGGGAGAGTAAGAAAGATTGAATGAGGATAAGATAAGATGAACAGAATCTCTAGTCTGAAGATGGCGAATAGCGCCACACGGTTGCCTTTGTTGACTCTCAGTTTGTAGGTTATGGGCAGTGGCAGGACAAAGACGCAGACGTTTTTTATGAGATCAAGAATGCTGACAGGGAGAAAGACTGCTTTTTGGTTGGTATAACGGCCATCTGGGATTGTCTGGTCCCAGTTAAAGGCCAACGGCGTGCAGAGTAGGAACGTGGTTAGGATGATTATAGCCCCCCATGACAGGATGAAGCTAATGGTGATCCATGCGGCGATACGGAAGGTGCGCACGAAGAAGATACGGCTGTAGAACAGATAGATAGACGTCTTCATCAGATCCAAGGTTGATCCGTAGAATGCCTGCATTGTCACTAGAATCTAGGTATGGGGTAAGCAACCACCGAATAGTAGGTGGCAATCTAGCCTAGTTTTTAGGAATTTAACGAGTGGTTTCCGCATACCTTTAGGAAATTGGTGATATGAGACGGCGGGATTTCGCTGGAGTGATGAACGGCTGAACCAACAAAATCTTCTGCAAGAACACGATGACTAGCTCTTGTAGGTTTTAAACAGCCAAGAATAAAGGAGTGGATGGCTGGAATCAAACCTAGCACCACGGCAGCACCAATGCCGTAGAGAAGACTCTAAGTGTTCAGTTAATTTAGAAGACTTCGGTGACCCTCGGGGCTTGTTCTCTGCCGCAGATCATACCTGTGCCACAAGGATCACATAGTTTCCTGCCAGCAGTTTTATGTGATTCATACGCTTGGTGACTAATCGAAGAAAGACCGACGCTGTGGAGGTGAGAGTGAATACAATTGCCACGACGAAAATGGCCAAGCTGCGAGAAGAGCTAGCTTGTCGGCGGCCGTCCGATGGGCGGAGGACTGGTCTATGGGCGCAGATATTGTTGACACGCACACGCACACATAGATTCTTCTGCAGTCAATCTGCTGACAGGGAGCGTGGGATAATGTTGGGACCTTATGTAGAGCTTTATAGGTATCTGCAGCGGCTGGAAGATGACTAGTTGGCTGGGTTCAAGTGATTGTACTTGGAAAGCTATAATCGGGCCATCGTACATGACAAATTCCTTGAAAGAAAGCATGAAATGGGTCAAAAACACACATTCGGTTGACTCAAAAGATGCCTGGTAGACTGAAGACGGAAGTATTGCAGGCAGTTACCCAATTGTGGGAATATCTGGGAGGTTCCCAGGTAGCGAGAACTTAGATCAATTATGGAATGTCTTGAAGATGGACTGGATCTCCATCGAGAGCCACGTCAGCTATAGGCAATCATACCGGGGTAACATGGCTAACTCAAATGTTGACTTTCGTCAGATTGCGGCCAACCAATTTCCCGTCGAGACACATTGCGATCCCACAGGCCAGATTCCAAACACAACGACAACGCCATACGGCTGTTTCGTCGACCGTCCGGACCTCTTCGACGCTCACCTCTTCAGCAAGTCTCCGAGAGAAGCAGCGGCGACAGACCCCATGCACCGACTACTGCTCCTAACGACCTATGAGGCGCTTCAAATGGCAGGATACTCCCCCGACCGCACACCGTCGACGCAGCGCCATCGTACTGGGACGTCCGTGGGACAAATCAGCGATGACTGGCGTGAGGCCAACGCCAGCCAGAAGATCGACGCCTTCTGGACCACCGGTGGCGTGCGTGCCTTTGGTCCCGGCAGGTAACTTCGTGAGTGACAATGGAATTCAGATTTTCCATGCGCAGCTACTAGTATGTTCATTGCTTTCCTTTCCCTGCAGAATTCCACAAGCTTAACCTGAACTAGGCAAAATGGGTACCTCCGAAGACCCTCTCGCTGTTGTGGACTCTCAACGCCGCGTTTTCGGTACCTCGAAGCTTCGCGTTGTCGACGCTGAGGCCTTCCCATTCCTTCCACCTGGGCATCCCCAAGCTACAGTTTGTATGTACAGCATTGCTGCTGAACTTAGACAGTCCTCCAGCCTAATTGTGGAATCAAGCTAACTTGCGTACCCTTACAGATGCACTGGCAGAGAAGATCGCGGCGGACATCATCGGGAATTAGACCTAAACTATCAAGCGCATACACAGGAACGTGCTCAACGTGCTCAACATAGTAATACCATAATGGCAAATAATTAGCTTGGGCTGTTTCTGTAACCGTAGCGCGCACCTGTATGTGTATGGGCGTACTGAACTTTGTATATAAATCCTTGCACAATCTCCTTCACCATCCGACATCTATCGGAGCACTTTAAAGGTGACTCCACAGTATGGAGACTAAAATGGAGAGACTCAGGTTACAGCTCGGCCGGGTCGTCCCTAAGGTGTGTCGCGACTCGCGAGTCGAAAATCGCGCTAGTAGGCGCTAAAGTAGCCCACGTGACCCACTCACGAGGATCCGCGACCCACAATTTACGTTGACCCCGCTTAGTCAGCGGGGATAACTTATTCGGCAAGCGAGTCGGCCATGTAAGCGAGTCGGCCACCTCTGTATTCCATATAAAATGACACCTTTTTATACTCTAATATCTCAACAACAAGTAGGTTTAGAGGCATAGTATAAGCTATTTGAGATATATATATATATATTTCAGATTATAAATACTTCTTTTTAGGCTCTATAGTCTTATATTTAGCTTCTAATTCTAGAATATTATAAAATACCATAAATACAGCTGTCATTTATATTACCTAAAGATCTACTTAGTTTAGTGCGCTAAAACTTGAGATACTTAATTTAGACTATATTAATAGACTATATATTTGACTTTATGCCTCTAAACCTACTTGTGGTTGAGATATTGAGGTTTGAAAAATGGCCATTTTGTATGGGATACACGGGTGGCCGACTCGTTTACATGGCCGACTCGCTTACCGAATACGTTAGTTAGTTAATGGACTCCCTCTCCTCTCACTAGGTGCCTTCTCTGCCACGAGACTACAACCCACCAGTCCGACAACAAAGATCCTGCCTCTGTTTACCTCTGTGGTCTGCAGCCCTTGCCAAACAGAACTCTACAGTCTTGTCATGTCTGACCCAAATTCCATTGGCAAGACTAAGCCTAAACGGGTAATTCGTCGCCGCCGGAAATGTCGCGCCTGTGATTCCTGCTTCAAGAAGAAGGTAATCATTCCTTTTCCCTCAATTTGTCTCCAATTGAGGCTTTTGAATGACTCGTTTATGGGTATAGATACAATGTGATCGAGCCACACCCAAATGCAATTGGTGTTATCATCACAATATTCCCTGTACTTTCACGCGCAATGCAGAGCGCTTCAAAGATCAGCAAGTGCAGCATGCCATGTAAGTCGTTGTCGTATCAATCAAGAATAAAGTATCATAGAATGCTTAATGGAAATAAGCTCTGAACCAGCGCATATACCCTGCCGATCACCTGCACCAGAATATTTGCTTCCCGATCCCGATGGTATGTATGCCATATAGCCAATTAATCTGTGCTTCCTCGTATCCACATCAAACTTTGACGCTGACAAAGGCAGCCTCTCATAATGCGACTCATACAGACCATGGCTTGTCGTGGGATTCAGTTGGCCCCTCTCCTGCACTCTCCAGACCCGGAGGTAGACCTCATCATGCTAGGTTAGCCCTTGGCAACATCTGCACATTCAACGGGCTGCCCTTTTTCTCTCCTAGTGGCAGGAAATGGATCAAGGAGCAGACCGGAGAAGAAGTTCTCCTAAGCCCGTTCTCCCCGGACCGAAACCGTGCACCTTTCACAAGTGGGCCGGCCACCACCACGGGATCCACATCTCATCGTCCAGTACCTCTTCCGACAAAGAGATTGCTATATCAAGTCTTGAGCGCATATAACTCCTCTGTATTTAGCCACATATTTCCCTTTATAACACCTTCACTTTTCGAGCATACTATTCGCGCAGCGTACCAACAAGAGCTCTCTCTTACATCTCCTAGTGCGGCCAGCGCTAGAGCGTGCGTGATGGCATTTCTTGCTATGGGGTCAATGTTTTGCAGCTCTTTAGGTACCGGCCAAATGGAAGAGTTTGCATCTGAGGCGTATCAATTATTGCCTCAACTCCTCAGGGACTCTGTCACCCTGGATGGTCTACAAACACTTCTATTACTGGTGAGATTTGCTCAGTGGGTAGAGAGATTGAGTTTTCTAATGGCTCCCATCACAGTGCATCCACAGCCAAGCTATAGTTGGCGACCTATACACCCTGGAGCTTCTCATAGCTGCAGCAACCAGATTAGTCTTTCACCTCGAAGGGAACATACTCTCCTCCCATGTTGATGGTCCGTCATTACCACTGCAGCGACACACCCGCACCCTGTTTTGGCTATGCTATATTGTGGATCACGAACACAGCCTGCGAAGCGGTCTGCCTCCAAACTTTGACGACACCCACTGTGACCTCTCGATTCCGGACTGCTACGGTGAACCATCTTCCCCTAGTACCTGCTCCCCTCTATTTATCCCACTCATCCGTCTGTCGATCGTCCAATCGGAAATATTCCGTCGACTATATGCCGTTTCCGCCCTCCGACAAACCGATGCCCAGCTACTCTGCACGATTCGCGACCTGGATGAGTTGCTAGAGAACTGGAAGCTTTCAGTGCCAATTGATAACAGACCCACATTCACCGAGCGACCCTCTGACGCGGGGAGCATGCCGTCGTCCGTCATGCAGCTACAATATCACTACTGCATGGCCACTATCCACCAAGCAAGCGGTCGCTGCATCTCCTGGGCCCAGAACCAGAACACCCATGGTCCGGGTTCTAGTCTAGCAATCAGCGTCGAAGCTAGTCGGTCGCTTTTGCGGAAGTTCTCGGAGTCGGAGCTCGACTTCCATCGCTATAACTTGCTGTGAGCCTGAACCTATATAGCAGTCTGTGATTGATGCTTATATGCTGACCCCTAATCCTCTAGGTTCTGTCTCCCGTATTTCACAGCTGCCATGATTCATTTGTTTTGCAATTTCCTTCTTCACCCGCTCGACCCGGGCTGTCAGGCTGATTTGGATATCGTGGAGAGAGTTCCGCACCGGATGATGGCTCATATGTGGCCGGAAGCACCCTCCACGTTTCGCATGCAGGTGGACTTTGTGAAGGAGTTGAGTAGCGAGCTGAAGCGTCTTGCGCAAAGTGCGCTTCGAAAAGCTCTAATAAGAGAAGCCTAGTGTGGGGTTTAACGCTCGGATGGCATGTACGCAACCTTGTCAGAGGATCATCTGGACCTATGGGAGGATTTGTCAGAACAGCGAGAAATAAGGGGAAGCGTCTCCATACCATTGCAGAATCGATTTACGATGTTGCCCCGTACCTACTTACAATTAAACAGCCGTGGGTAGCTGACCTACAGGTGATCAGCAACAAACTTGCTCAAATTCCCCCAGCTCATAGGGGCGGGAGCAACATTTGGACATGCCGTGTTAATTTATAAAGATAAGTAAAGGCATAAGTATAGTAAATGACATGGAAGGGCTCCTGATTATCTTCAATGGAGACTTGAACAATCCTACATGGCAAATTACATGACTTGTAATATATTCAGGATCGCTGATCTCCAATAAAACATAAAGAGAAGAGACATTGACAATCCTAGCCTATTCATCGAGCCTAGTTAGCCTTCTCGATCGGAGCGATGATTTGCCTTTCAAGAATGTAAAAGACAGAATCGACAGGATAACACAAATTGATGCTACACAAATAGTCAGCTTCAAGGGACTAAGCCACAATCACCATGTTATAGGGTGATGAGTATCAACCTTACCGAGTACTAAGTTCATATAATAATACCCTACCGTATCTGCCAACGTACCGGAGACAAGCGGCCCGACAAGTAATCCCATAGTGAAACTAATATTGGAAAGAGAGTAGCTGCGCGAGTATCCGCCATGAGGGCCGAAAATACCGGGGTGTTTCGTCTCTAAATCATCGACCGTGCCTAAAATTGATAAAGATGGAGTTAATAAACAGAAAAAGGCTGCGATTGCGGTTTCGACGGCAATATAAGAAACGTACAAGTAATTTCAATTGTCCCGACACTTGTCAAGAGGTTCTGAACACAACCGATAGCGACGATGGTGATAATGTATATAATCTTGGCGTTTTTCTCAGACCCAATCCATGGGTGATGGTCCAATCTGTGGGCCGATCCTAACAGCCATAACAGAGGAGCCAGGAGAATAAAGCCCAGAGATGTTGGTATTCTAGTCCCAATCATATCTCGCAACCAGCCACAGAGCGGACTGAGTAGCACAGTGGGCGCCTGAAGACCCAAGAACAAAAGTCCGGCGGGTAAACTACCCCATCCAAAGGCCTGCTTGATGTGGGTTGGGAGCGTAGTATTGTAACCGGCAATTAAGGACGAGTGTGCCATGTAGCATAGCAGACCGACAACGACCCTAGACTGACCAAGTATGATCCGGTAAAAGGAAATGGCCGACATGTTGGTGTCTTTGGTGAGCAGTGGGCTCTGTTCATTAGCATGCTCTGGCCCCTCGTTACCATTGCTTTCTCCTGTGCAGATATTATGTTGAGTATTGACATCATGTCCCTTTCTTTTTCGTGGGTTCTCAATCATAACAATTCTCATGATGATATCCAGCAGAAGTATGACCAGCACAACTGACCAGGTAGCCCAATACCCGGCCAGCTCAAGGAGTAATCCGGCGACCGCTGGACCCGAAAGAGCACCGGCACTCACGAAACTATTCACTAAGCCAAACGTCTTTCCCATATTCTCTGCCTGTATCGTGTCTCTGAGGGTGGCATATCCGACAATCCAGGCCGTTGTGCCACCTATTGCTTGGAGTGTTCGGCCGATGAAGACGCCAGCCACTTGATGGAAGAGCCTTAGCATGTATGGTAGGCTCCCGCTAATTATCTCATCGCTATCACTTACATTTAGTTGATACTGCCAGAACAAATGTTCCGACAAAGGCAGTGCCTAACCCAAGTATCAGAGGCAGACGCCGAGATCCGAGTCGGTCGGCCAAATACCCCACCAGCATACCAGCTACCACTGCCACCGCGCCATATGAGGTGAGAACCTGATAAGTCAGGCGCTGAATATCAGTGGGATTGGCATGGTTGCGTTGCTCGAGGATGTACGGTAGGATTGGCACGACAAAGCCATAGAGGAATGTTTCTATGAATGACAGTTAGAGTTTGTATGCTGTTGGTGATGTGGGGGTGATGTGGATATAACAAATGAACAGAGATCCGGTTGTCGAGGGCCTGAGGGAGGGCTGTTGATAGGAAAAAGACATGATGAGAGCCTTGCCAGCAAATAATGCAATGATGATACAGGTAATTATGAATGCCGATGATGACCTCCACCTATAGCCCCAGGGCTCCCGAATAAAGTGATGGGAAGGCATTAAGACAGTGTTACAGCGATATTTGCCATAAATTGTGTGTGTAGAAGAGATACAGGCGTAATCTGTTTGTGGGAACCAAGGATGGTCAAGGTGATCAATGAAAGACTAGAGTTGGGAGGGAATATGTGGTATTCTATCTGAGGCGATCACGCGGCATGCCATTGCATCTAGCCCAATTTTGATCATGATTAATGCTTACGTTGAGTCACAGGTCGGTACTCGCTCATGCAAAGGATGTTTGAAAGCCTTTCCAATGTTGTTTAGTGGGCTGCATATGTCGTAATGGGTGTCTAACCTTCCCTTTTTTGGGATATAATTAGTGACCGAGCATACGTAATCCGTGGAACGACGCACATACGAATCCTCTTGAACAAGACCTCTCGCACTATAGGTTGGCAATTATTACCGAAGAGATATTCAGCAGGGATGCTGTGCAATAGTTAGGTTGCTATATGTTCACCAGACAAAACCCGAATCACGAAAATATTTTGTGCTTAGTTGATTCGAGATCACTGTGCAATAGCCTATCTCGTTTGATGAGTTGCTACCTGTTTCACCCCTCGAGAAACTCGATTCATATACACTTCCTAAATCTTTCTATCACTATAGTCTGATCAACCTTTCCTGCTCCTAAGCAGATCCCACAATTATGGAAGTCGAAGCAGAGCTCATGTTCGACGATATCGCCAAAAACTACGAAGCAACCTTTGCCGAAGACCCTAGCCTGCATCAAGTCATTGACCAGGTCCTGGGCCTACTCAAACCAGAGTCCCAAGTCCTCGATGTGGGATGCGGAACAGGAAAGCCAGTATCCTATCGACTCGCGGAGGCTGGCCACGATGTCACAGGGATCGACATCTCCCAGAACATGCTCGACATTGCCACCCGCCAGGTCAAAGGACAATTTGTCAAGTCGGACATGACCAAGTACGAGCCAGTGAGACGTTTCGACGCCATATTTGCCATCTTCTCATTATTCAACATCTCGCGACTCCAGGTGCAATCTATGGTGGCTAGGTTTTACGATTGGCTTAATCCAGGCGGCCGACTTGTTCTGGCTACTATCCCCAGTGAATGCCTATTCCAGGATCCATGTGTGTACGACGAGTCGGGAGAATGGGCTGACCAGAAACCGATGTATTTTATGGGGCATAATTTTCACGGGTCCGCCGCGACAAAGCGTGGTTGGGAGAACTTGTTCGCTGAGACCGGGTTCGGGGTGGAGGATCATTTCTCGTATCATTTCTCGCCGCCGAGCATGGATGCGCATAGGATGGACCCTGACCATTTGTATTTTATTGTTCGTCGAGGCTACTGAGCCTGCCTCATCAATGACTGTCTGAGGACATCTTTAACCTCTTATTCACGACATAATTCGAGTAGTTCTTCGAAACTTCATGTAAATGTGGTGTATAACCACACCCTATCTTATGGATAGATTATTTTCCCTCGCTCGGTCTAGCCACCAAAACCGCTACTTGATCTCCAATAGCATGCGGACGATCCAGAAAATGGAACCTAAGTCGAGGAATCAGGGCCTGCTTCATTCCATCAAAGTTCCCATCCTCAAGACACCACAATCCAGCAATCACCTCTGCCGCCTTCTCGCATCGCTCCGACAACTCCTGCTCTTTAAACTCGCAGTACGCATCGACTCGATGGAAGGTAATATTCCCGAAGCCACACGCAGCGAACACCTCAGCTGCCTTGTGCAGCAGGTATCCCTGGTGATTGGGGAGCGGGTTCGACGCACTAACAGGTGCGCAGACGGTGTTCATCAAATGGATTATCTCATTATCCGGCGCCCCTTGAACGATCACGATGCGGGAAAACGGCGCAGAGCGGTCCGTGACTCGAACTATTTCGCGGAGTGATTTCTCTAGATCCTCAACATAATGCATGACCCACATGGCTACTACAGCATCGAAGTGGCCATCTGGATAGGGTATGTTCTCAGCGGATCCTTGGGCGATCTCCACGCCGCGGTCGCGAGCATTCGATGTTTGGATGCCGTTACGATCGGCGTTGGGCTCGATTGAGAAGGCTTTGCCGGTCCTGGCAGCGACTTCGATTGGTAATCCTAGGATAATTGTAGCGGTGAGAATATAGAACTCCACAAGGATAATGTGTATAGGTGCACGTGTATGTGTTGCTTACTTCCATACCCGCTTCCAACATCCAAGACTCTTTGGTTGTTTTCCAGCACTTGTAGAACAAAGCCGAACTCATCGCGAACCAACCGCTCTACGAACGGTTTCCAGGCTGCCTCGCTAAGCGGAATAGGGCCTCGATATTTTTCAGGAAGGGGATAGGGTCCCAAGATCGAATGATTCACAGATTTGTGGAAGCGCATAAGACAATGATGTTCCGAGGGGCGGTCCTGTTCAGCCGGAAGGTGTATGTCTGCACGTTTTTCAAAGGTCAACCCGGCTTTGGCGAACATGGAAATCCAGGCCTCGGAGGAGAATAGGGTAGAATGAACGATGTGACCATTCCAGTGTAAGGGGTATTGGCGAATACAATATTCCTTCGGGTTGTGGGAGACATCAATGGCCAAGTGCTCCACTGGAGACGTAGCTAACAAAATCGAGCCACCGGGCTTTAACCAATCGCCCATCTTGCAAATCAGGGAGTATACCTGTGCCTGACTTAGATGTTCCAGGGAGAAGATGACTAGAACACTGTCGAAAGCCTGCTGCGGCATGTATTCCATCTCGTTGGTTGTATCGAAGTGTCCGGGAACCTGGCTCTTCACGAGGTCGACCATCTTATGGGATCGATCAATGCCATAAACTCGATGGCCTGCGGACGAAAGCCGAAGAAGGATGGGCAGCGATGCAAGACATCCCACAGAAAGGACAGATGATTCAGAAGAAATGCTTTGGACAAAATCTTCGATAAATCCGTTCGCACTCTCACTCTCCATTATACCACATGGATCGGAATTGCTGTCTATGTTGGAGCCCATCTTCAGTGGTCGTGCCCAGCAAATGTGAACAAACAGGTCGGGAAATAAGAATGACCTAATTGATATATTGCGTGCTGAAGGCTTTTGGAAATCTCGAATATTGCCTGAGAGTGTTGCAAGGCTTGCGGATCAAGTATTGTAACTAGCCTTGGACTTTGATCATTCAAAGGCCCATAGAGCATCTGCTTTCATATCGCATATGTGATTGCCTTGCATCGCTGTTTGCCAAAGCAGACTTTCTCCAATACAGCCGTCAGGATATTATTACAAGTTGGAATGCAAAGAGCAGGGTAGGGCGGATACCTCTAACAGGAGTATGGTCGATAGAAAGTCAGAATCCTACACTAGTTGGAAATATGTTCGTGGTGGACCGTTACTGGCTGCCTCAAAATCCCCCTGCAGCGCAAAATGACCCCCGTCCACAGTTTAATTCTCTGCCATGTAATATTCCTAGCATTTAAGAACCGCTGGCCATAGGGTACCATGTCTGTACTACATCTTCGGTACAGACATGTGACAAAGGCTCTGACTGTACTGGCCGCAGGAACAATTCGGTTCAGCTCGGTCCTGAATAATTGGTAAGAGATGACGTGGGATACAATCCGTATGCCGAATTGGCTCATCAAAATCTTCGCTTCGTAGCTTTTTGTTAACGTAGAACTAAAAACCCCAAGTCTGTCTTCGACATGATTCGGCACGGGATAAATAGTAGCGATTGGAGACCTGGCGGGGAACTATACCCCACAGCGCCGAGATGGTCTGTTTGGAAACAAGGAGCAAAGTTCATCAAGTAGTAAGATGACGATTGCTCATCGGTCAATTACAGGTTTGCTGTTCAGGGCTAAGGCGTGTGATCTCACTATCTCTGAAGCATTTAACCACGGTGCTCCATCCCATTATACATCAACCCTTTGCAGATACTCGTGCTAATTTATCAATTTATTACTTCCATCTCGTTATTCCTCGTTGAATTATTAGAGTTAGAATGGCTTCGTTATCGGTCGACTTGATAGATACCACCAGCCCTGCGCAACACACAAACCCTACAGGGACTTTATCCGATGGCCCCAATGGCATCAAACCCCTGGATCTGAACCCATCTCTGAATGGTACCAAAGGTTCAAATAAGAACGGCTTCCTCACCTCGGTGAAGGATTATACTCCGCCGCTCGAAGGTACAATAACAAAGCCCTGGAACAATCGGTGATATACCGAAACACGATGGGCCTTGGCTAACCTAGTCCACCATTAAAGGTCACAATGTATCCTCTCACAAGCCGAACGATGGTGCCGAGGTTGACACAAGGATTGCCACTGCAATACGAATGATCCTAGAATGTCTCGGCGAGGACCCCAACCGAGACGGCCTCCTTCGAACCCCTCAGCGTTACGCCAAAGCCTTGAAATTCTTCACCCAGGGCTACAGCATTAGTCCCGCAGATGTTGTCAATGACGCAGTTTTCGATGTTGACCACAGTGAGCTCGTTTTGGTCAAAGACATCGAGATCTTCAGTCTGTGCGAGCACCACCTGGTGCCTTTCATGGGTAAAGTATGTTTACCTCAGTGGCCAATGGCTAACAAGCCGGATACTGACTTCTGTGTTCCTAAGATTCATATAGGTTACCTTCCCCAAGGTCGAGTTATTGGCCTATCTAAGCTCGCGCGGATTGCTGAAGTCTACGCTCGTCGGCTCCAGGTTCAAGAGCGACTTACGCAGCAGGTCGCAAGGGCTATTGATGAGGTTTTGCACCCTCAAGGCGTGGCGGTGGTAGTCGAGTGTGCGCATATGTGTATGGCGATGAGGGGAGTACAGAAGCCAGATGCAGTGACTGTAACTCAGTGTAAAATGGGTGTGTTTGTGGATGACGCAAGGCTTGATAAGAGATTTCATGCCTTACTGGACATGGGGAAAAGAATGAAGTAGCTAATGGCAATGTTAAGAAGGTTACACTGTAGATGGGGTTAGACTTACACTGTTACCTTGAAGTGATAATGCCGCGATAAATGAACCGTTCGAACCAATGTCCCCCACTGGTGGTAAAAAGGAATTGACACAGACATTTTTCACGGGACTAAAACGGAATAGAGGAACATGACTACGGCGTAGGAATGAACCGATTTGATTGAGTTCAATGGCAAGGGTCTAGTACACCTGCCCAAGTAGCCGAAACTAGCAGTTGCCAGAAATGTATTCTATGCTTGGGCTTTCTTCATTTTCGCTCAATTGCAAAAGGCACTGGACCAAACTCAACAGACCGCGACATATGTTGCCCACATCAGAACCATCAGGAATTTATCTTTTTCTGCACGCGTAGAGGGCCGAGGTTGCCGATGAATACAAACTACAGCGTCTTGGGCCATTTAGCAATTTGCTGCATCCTTGGACAGATAACCACGGAATTTGATTTCAAGCTGCAATGGCAAATTAAATTACACTACCATTATGGAGTCTATGAATGCACTATAACCTTCAATTCCCGGGACAATAACCGAGTGAACGTGATTTGGGCCATCCTGCGTAAGTACTCAACTTGCTACCAGCAGGGACGGCGCACATCAGGGCTGTTATGAGCTAGTCCTGTTTAGAATGTTGACACAGTTTGCAGAAGATATCCCAGTTCTTTCATTCTCTGTGGTCAGTAGGGATGTGTATCTGCATTGTGTAGGACTCGTCTCATGAGCACTGGTATGTGTTCTTCACTTCACGTTCATGTTTCAAACCTGCCTGCGCGATGTTTTCACTTTTGAGGCGAAAGTAAGAGATGATTTCAAATAAAATCTACATAGGTTAAGGCCAGTGCTGGGTGATGAATATGATATAGATAGGTAGTTTTTGAAAGAGATAGAAATATAGGCTACATTGTTCAAACCATATGACCTAGATATTAGCATGTATGAGAAGGGTTTTTGTCTCAAGAAAGTTCTCAAGGCTGTTTATGTATCCTTCTCGACCAATTCCACTTCTCTTACATCCCCCCAAAGGCATGTCCGTGGCTACTGTTGGACTGGTACAATTGATCGCCACTGTTCCAGCCTCCAGCTGCTTGGCAACACGCAGTGCGCGATCAATGTTCCTAGTGAACACTGACGCGTAAAGCCCGAACTCACTCTTATTGGCACGTTCGATAGCCTCGGTCTCGCACTTGAAGTGGTTTATCACGACTACCGGACCGAAGACTTCCTCCTGCATTAGTGGAGAGCTCTCAGGGATATTTTCGAAGATGGTCGGCTGAACAAAAAGTCCAGGCCCGACGTTTCCGCCAGCTAGGAGCAGACCATCTCGACGCCCAATTTCAATGTAGGATTCGATTCGATCACGCTGAGCAGCATCGATCTGAGGCCCATGAGAGGTATTCATTTCAAGAGGGCTACCTATCCGAGAGGAGGTGAAGGCTTTCTTGAAAAGGCTAATGAACTCCTCTCCGACAGATTGATCAACGTAAAGCCGGGAATTTGCTATGCAGCTTTGTCCACTCATGAATGTCATGCTTGCTGCCGTTTGCTCTGCCGCGGCCTGGAGATCTGCGTCGTGGAGTATCAATGCAGGCGACTTGCCACCTAGTTCCAGTTGCAGATGCTTCATGTTAGAGCTCGCCGCTGCCATTTGAATCTTCTGTCCTGTAAGAGAAGAGCCAGTGAAGCTTAAGCATCGGACATCCATGTGTGACGCCAGGGCACAGCCGGCCGGCGTTCCGAATCCCGATATCATATTCAACACCCCAGGCGGAAATCCTGCTTTATCTGCCAGGGTAGCTAAATATAGCGCCTAAAATATCTACAGTCAACGACGCAGACCTACAAGAATGGCAAAGTTGATGAGTTAACTTACTGATAGCGGAGCCCTCTCACTACTCTTGTGCACAACCGTGTTTCCTGCCGCCAACGCCGGCGCCACCTTGTATGCAAACAAAAGGATTGGAAGATTCCAAGGTGTGATGCAAGCCACGACTCCGAATGGCTGCTTCACCGAGATATTGACATGACCAGGCGTATTAAGGCTCGCTGTCCCTTGGGCATTCCATCCTGCCTCGGCGAAATAGCGGAAGAACGATGCCGCGACTTGGGCCTCGAAGAACTGGCTAACTGGTTTCCCTGTCGCAATAGCCTCGATACCCTTCAGCTCGTCTTGTGATTCCTCGATCAGATCCGCGAACCTGCGGAGGTAGACTCCTCTTTCGCCGGGACTAAGGGCTTTCCAGGTCGCAGACGCGGACTTAGCTGCAGCGACTGCATTATCAACGTCGGTTTCATCCGCCTCGTAAACTGCAAAAATCCTATGCCATTATTATATAAAAAATAATTGCGAGTGAAAAGAATATGTAGCTGACCTTGAGCGAGTTCATCCTCTGCTATCCGACTGTGCACAGAGAACTTATTTCCCGTGCTAGATGGACAAAACTGCAGGCGTTGAGTTTTAGTATAATTTCCCTTTAGAAATTTCGTTCGAACACGCAATTACCCTGCCATTAATAAATAAGCGCCTTTCGAATAGCTTGTCTATCTTCATTCCGCTGTTTCTTTTAGATTTGGATGTTCCGTATGGTTAGAGAAAAACACGGCGATTCAAGTCCAATTTATCGATAGGCTCGTGGGTCGCTACGTTCTCTGTTAAGGGGCCTTATTTCTAGCATGGTGGCTTTCCCCATTGCTTGGCGTTAAGATACATTATATGCCCACTAGCTCGCAGTTCCTTACTTTCTTGTTGCTTAGGCAGACGCTTGTGCGTCATGTCCTGTCGAGACCGTGAGTGTCGGAACACCCATGCGTACCTGGCCTGATATGTTGATTCCCGTAGCAAGGTAATGTCTCGTTGATCCAGGGGTTGCGTAGTTTCTCGGCGTGCTATAGCACAGGCATATCTTAGAAAAAGATGAGTTACACGTCATACGTAAATGGGAGACATGCAGGTTTGTTACCCAGTACAATGCTGCCAGGTAGCCCCCAAGTTGCCGGTTGAGTGAGGACTTTTACAAGTGATATTGAAGAAATTGGTTGATCCGTTGTGTGAGCATTCTACCAATCAAGCCATACCAACACTGATCATACCTCGCTGCCTTGTATCTGGGCATCTGCATTTGAATCCTATTACCCAAACACCAGAGCTCTAATCTCAATGCTCTCCCTTCCCGGCGCCCCCACCGGAGTCCTCGGATCATCAAACGCAGAATGAGGCACCTGCATTGCCACGTCTTCATTGGAATCATTACACTTCAGCAGCAAACACTCATTCGTCTGCATCCCAGACCAGTACATCCACCTCTGGCTCGGATTAAATGCCACCCCCACGATTTCGCCCGTGCGATGTGGCAACCGGAACTCGATAGGAACCAACTCCCCAGGCGTAACAGAAGACCCACTCGCAAACGCTAGCGGACAGGACTGCACCGGTCCTTCCAGTGGCTTCCAGACATTCACGATGCGGTAGCGCCCACGGAGCAAGCTCTCCGCTTCGTCCGTGTCCGGGATGCATAGTCGTACGCGGGCGGCGGCTGCTCGCGCCGTCTGATCTGCATGCGCTGTGTGCAGGGGTTTACTGGCTGTGCTCCCTTGCTCTTTGTGTTCCATGCGGATGACGTGGTCGAAGATAATGACCCGGTGAGCGCCAGGGATGTGGGCGAGTAGGAGCCGTTCGACTTCTGGGTAGAAGTTGCATTTTACAGTTTCGTCGGAGAGAAATGTTTCGTATGATATATTCGATAGCACGTTGGAGAGGGCTTGAAAAGCGTCTTTGTCGAGGGTATAGTCGCTTTCATGCCCGCGTATGTCATGTAGTTGAACTGGAAGCGCTGGTTGTCCGTAGTTCAGTGCTGGAACACCATCTGGTGGGTCCCCGGCATACTGGAATGGTTGAGAGCCATCTGCAGGCGGTTCATAAAAGTTAAGCTGCACTTGAACACTGCCGCTCGGAACAATGCTAGTAGCATCAGAGGGGTTACTGGCGACGCTTGACATGATGACACAGTATTGCTAGCCTGCTTAGGGCGGTTAAGTATATACCGTCTCTCACTCGATAATGTTGAGCGTTTTACCGCGTGATATAGGCATACCGTTAATGAGTGGGCTTGTATTCTGGTCTGGTTAACTAATATGTCTGTCAAAACAGGCCGTACGGACAGACTGGTCGCGTTACGGTATGCACAATAAATATCGCTATTTAGACATAAATAGCCTGCGAACTCAATATTCTGTTTGCCGCCGTGTTCCTGATTCATGACATCACTTATTTAGCTAGGTTTAAAAAACGCCTTGATCAGTTACATGGATGCTGAGACACATCAACAGCAAACATGACACAACATACACCAGGCTAGAATCCCCAATAACGGCATGCAGATGTTGTAAGGGCTTTTATCCTGAGCTGCATAACTAATTTTCTGCTGACTGTACATCAAACTACGGATATGCCCAAGATTGCACTTTGGCCAAGCATCGCCACCTGAAGTTCCCTAACGATTATGCCAGACGAAGAGCTAATAATAATGACCACAAGACTACCTAATCATACCCACCCCTGCCTGATGAACTGTACAAAACAAAGAATTCGGATCCCACCTTTGGCAAACAGCGGCAACACGCTGTGCATTTCGGCCCCAATACCAATCGTGGGCCATTTTCAAATCGCACTCCCCTAGGTATGAACCCACCGCATGATCTTTGACCTTTGCCATTGTTTGCTCCGCCCAGGCCCTGCATCGGGTGGCTTCTTCCCGGCCATTACCGATAGCATAAACAGCGAAATAATGATCCGATGGAACATTTAGCGACATGCCTAGAACATTGCGCCTACTGCGCGGGTATAGAGGGTACCAGAAGGCGAATGACCTACCTTGGGGAATTGTCAAGCAGCATTCTTTCAAGGCTTGCGTAACATTGGCTGAGTTCGAGATAAAATAATTATCTGTGTAGTAGTAGTGCTCATTAGGGTTTGCTTGAAGCTGGCCGTCATATAGACTTTGCAGACTGTCCTCTTGGCACACCCACTCGGTGATTGTTCCGGGGGGTCGAGTTTGATGGAGTTGGTTTAGTGTGTGCTCCGCTTCCGAGGAATTCGATTTCATTGTGACAAAGTGAATTTTCAAACAGGTCTCGCTTGGCAGTCCTGAAGAAAAAGCCACCATGACAATCTCGGTGTCCTGGTCCGCGCTGGTGACAATAGATTGCACCCATTCGAAGGCTTCATCGTACATTCTTGCGGGATAGATGTAGCCGGAAGTTCGGAGACCACCGGTTGGGTCTGGCATCAATTTCAAATAGAACTTGGTCACGATTCCTGGGAACACTGGTTTGTTTTTGTCAGTTCCCTGAAGAGATCGTACTGACTATTCCTGAATAGATCAATTTCAAACACTCACAAGGCCCTGATCCTCTAGCTGCGAAGAGTAATTCCTCGTTTTGGTCTTCGTTGCACAGCAGCAGTTCGCCCTGCGCAGTCACAATTTCAACACCCACAACTCTCTCACAGGAATAACCCCAGTTCTACTCCCCTCAAGCTGTCAGTAATCCGGCTAATAATGAATGTGAGGCAAAAATGTCACATATCTGACATACTCGACAATTCCATCCCTGTCCCCCATGCAGCAAAAACCCGCCCAGTGCGACATCCGGACAATGGCCCACTGGGAAGAACATGCCATGATGTGATTGCAGGTAGTGATTCAGCTCAGCACCCGTCACACCGGGAGTTACCTGCGCGATGCTTGTGGTCGCATCCACGGCTATTTCCTTCCAGTCGCCCAGATCGACCAGGATTGAGTTGTTGTGCAAGCTCCAGACGAAGAAAGAGTGGCCGCCAGATCGGACCGCAACTTGGTACCGCTCGGGCTTTGCAATTGCCTCCTTCACTGCGTCGATGACATCTTGCGTGCATGTCACCTGGACGATGGTACGCGGGAAATGCGACGGCCTTTCCATGTTGAAGACATTGTGGAAGCGGGCACTGTCATACTCATCTTTCCTGTCTGTGGCTCTCGATATGGTTGGCATGGTGAGGCTGATGTAAGTGTTGCACCTTTCCTATACACGCTTAATTGTGGACTCCTAGGTCTCGATCGTGGCCTGCATTAAATAGCCAATTCAGTTTAATACGCTTAGACCTTGCGTTCTCTAATCGACTGTTATTCAGTTGTACTTGCTCGTTTCCTTGGATAGAACTTGCATGTCTTATTACGGTATTATTTGAGTATGGGATGTGCGAGGAATTGACTTCTCGTCCGTTACACAATCTGCATATCCGTAAGAAAGAAGAAGAAGAAGAAGAAGAAGAAGAAGAAGAAGAAGAAGAATAACACCTATTTACTAACTAAACAGCGCAGTTGCAAAGGCAGCACATGATACTTATTACCATGGCTTGTAATTGAGATTCAAGCACCGGTTTATGAGGAGCTATACAGACAGACCAACCTGCCAACCGTGGAATTCAATGTAAAAGAGAGAGTATACACTAAGCCCAACCACCGTAACACCCTTTGAACTCCGCATCCTAGAGCACCATTGCTCCAATGTCACAATCAACCTCTTCTATCCAAGTTATCTCCCGACCGCCAACAATCGACACAATCCAGCTTAGAGACGTTCAACTTCGTCTGCCGCGTGCACCAGAAGCATGGCACCGGGTTGGAACAACTCAGCCATGCACCGCGTCGCTTAAGTTCTCTTACTCGTCCCCAATCGCCGCAGCCGAAGCGGACGATGTTTCCCGGACAATCGATTACGGGAAGCTCTTTCGACACGTCACCCAATCTATTCGAGAGATGAATGAGATCTCTAAACAATATGAGTACAAGCTCGAAAACTATATCATCGGTCAAGACGAAACACCACTGCAAGACACGCTACATGGCGAAACTCAGGATGTTCGCTTGTTCGCGGCACTTATTGCGGAGACTTGCTTGAAGATATTGGATGAGTCTGCGGTTAGTGTTTTAGACCTCCCTGGCCTACTTTTCTCCCCCACATTCTTTGCTCTGTGTTGTTTTTATTATGTCTCTATATGTCTAGACGAGATTAACAACAGACAGAAAACATGCCCTCACCCTACCCCCATCCGTACCGACTACGCTGAAGTCGAGCTCAGGGTGCATCTTCCGAAAGCCATTCTTCGAGCAGCCGGGGGACTTTGGCATAGGAGCTTTTTTGTTCTGAGAACCATTCAAGAGCAAGGCCGTGCCGCTCGACGTCTGATGCTCCTCGAAGAAGAGTTCGAAATCCGAGAGATCCGAACATTCTGCATCCTGGGAGCCAACCGCTGGGAACGGCTCGAGAAACAGGCTGTGAATATCTCGCTCAAGTTTCAGGGGCCCGGAGGCCATAAATGGGGATCAACCGTCGTCGACACATACCAGGCAATGAGCCGTGATGTCGCTGAGGTATGGTGCAAATTTTTTCATGAAAGCTAGATTTCATTGCTAACAAGTCATGTCTGTTCTTGGGGCAGCGGGTCGAGAGGAGCTCATTTCAGAGTGTTGAGGCGCTGGCTTCTTTTGTTGCACGCACAGTCACTGTCGACTTTGAAAATGACAAAGTCACCGTCTTGGTTGAAAAGCCTCATGCTTTGGCATTCGCGGGTGGATCCGGTTTGGAGATTACGCGCTTACGGACCTTTTACATGTAGATTTGCAGTCATAAGGGCAGTTGTTCTTGCAGTCCATAGAAAAGCATTACTTATCAAGTAAATGACAAAGAACATTTATCATATCTATCAAGCTGCATTACCTTTGTCAAGATCCTCCTTAATGAGGTCTGCTGCCTTCTCAGCAACTGCATATACCGTGGCCAGTACATTCCCACTAATCTGAGTAGGTATGACACTGGCATCTACGATCCTCAAGCTAGACATCCCCTTGACACGCAGCCGTTCATCCACCACTCGACCCATGGCACACGTCCCTAGTATATGATTGAACGACGTAGTCCAGTCTCGCACAAAATGCCGAACCCCGTCTCTATCTCGCAGATCAACATTCGTAGGAGGAACTGCTCGGCTTACAACCCGCTCCGAGACATGACCTGAAGAAAATACTCGGTCGGCCAATTCCAGTCCAGCAGCAAGTAGACTGACATCTGCTTCTTCGCATAGAAGACCTAGGTCGATCGCCGGTGCGGTATGCGGATCCGAAGACGTAATATGCGTGCTTCCTCTAGAGAGGGTGCTGGCTATTGTGACAAGAAAGGTATAGTACGTGTACTCATGATCCGACGTGTCACGGAATAGCTTGCTGCGATCGGCGAACCCTTTCTCGACATCAACGTAAGCCGAAGTCCCGTTGAACTGCACGGCACCGGACTTAGGATCCCGCAGTCGTGAAACGATGGCTTGTCGCTCTATTTCGGACAGTGATGCGACTCGTTCGACTTGTGCCACCATCTCTTCCAATTCACCGTTTGACACGAGGCTGCGGTACGGGAGAAAGGCAATCATGCTGACACCGCTGTGGGTAGACGGCTCCTCGTTGAGCGCGTAGGTGAGAGATGTCATAGGGTGCTCGCAAAGGTTGTTTCCCACGTCGGGGATTGCTTTTGTGCAGGGTATGCCGGCAGCTTGCAAGACCTTGGGGTCGCCAATTCCCGATAGCTCCAAGATTTGAGGAGTTTGGATCGAGCCCGCGGCGAGTATAATCTCTTCGGATGGGAATATGCGGTGCAGAGTACCCTGATAAAGGAACTCAACCCCCGTAGCGGTTCCAGTGTCTTGATCATGTAGAATCTTGCACACTGTAGCTTCAGATAATACCTTCAAGTTATCCCACCCTTCGTGTGGACGGAGAAAAGCGGATGCGGCGTAGCTCCTGGTGCCGGTATCAGGATCAATGGTCGATACGTGATCGTATAGACCCAGGGGCTTCCCACCGTAAGGATCCTCTGCTCTCAATGATCCGGACGTTTCGTCGAACGCAGCAACCATGCGAACCTCGATTGAGGGCTTTCCCGGTGGGAATGAGGTTACAATAGGTCCAGAGCCACCATGCGAGCAGACAGGCTTTTCGCAGACACTTCCTTCTGGGCATCCGCCCTTATCGTCCGTCCCATAGAACCTCTCGCTTTTCAGATAATACGGCATGAGTTCACCCCACGACCACCCCTTGTTTCCCATTTTCTCCCAAAGGTCAATGTCCTCCGCCGCAGGCCTAATATAGGCCATGAAATTGATTCCACTTGATCCGCCCAGCATCCTACCGCGTGGCACATGGTGGACTCTGTCGTTGTTCCCAGTCTATGCCGACAGGGCTCTATGTTAGCGTTGCCTCAGCAGGCATCAGAAGAACACCGCACCTGAGGAGTCGAACGAAAAGTCCAGTCGTACTCTGGATTATGTAGTGTATTTGCTGATCGCTCGGGCCGATCGACGTTTGGGTCCTCGGCTTTTGAACCGCCCGCCTCGAGAACTGCGACTTGGATATCGGGGTTCTCTGTCAACCGAGCGGCGACGAGTAGACCGGTCGTGCCGCCGCCGACAACCACATAGTCGAATTTAGTGGAAAGAGAACTTGATAGGGTCTCGGGGGTGTACATTATGTTAGCGGTCATTGTGGACAATTGATATTAAAATAGAGAACAGGTTTGGCAGCCCTGCTTCTTGGGAACGCGTGGGTGCCGGGTTGTTATGGGCATGTAGACATGGCAATTGGACACCGTATTTATGCACATTCTAGTCGCTTTTCACGATGCAAACAGAACTTCAGTCCGAGAGACAGGCCTATAGAAAGTCCCGTGCGGTGGCTGCGGCTACTGAATGCATACAGGGAAGGCTGGTCACCCGATTCTAAAATCGAGATAGCAACGAGGCAAACAAACACTGTGCGGAACTTATATGATTGGACGATGATACGGGAGTTTTGCATCAATGAAGGGGAATCTAAGGCAGGTGAGTCAGATGTTAAGTAGTGGACAGAGATGCCACCAATAGCTCTCATACCCATGCTGCAGCCCACGTCCATGGCTGTATCCTTTGCCACCATGCGACAACAGTCATCTACTTCTGGTCCTATATATGATGTGTACATAAATAAAACACCCTTTACGTCTAGATGGATGGTGGCATGATGGTATTCTTGATTCTCGACCACCTTGCGCAAAATGTATCTTGTACCAACGAAGTATTTGCTATTGGCCGAATTCGGTGTGTTTATTCTGCACAAAATCATCAAGGTGTGTTTGTCCCTCCACAGTTTCCACCCATCTCAACTAACACCACCATACATTTCCACTCAGACATTACTCAGGGCCTACCAGAATGGCATTTCGTCGATCCCCGGCCCTTGGCATTCCCGTTGGACTGGCCTTGTGGCTGAATACCACTGGATGATGGGAAATCGACCGCGATACGTGCACGATCTGCACCAGAGCTACGGTAAATCATGTCGCCTCCCTCATATCTCTATGGCCTACTCACAGAGACTGTTCTCCTCTTGAGATAGGTCCAATTGTCCGAGTCAGTCCCGATGAAGCTGATATCTGCGACATCGACACGGTCCACAACATGTACAAGGCCGGCAGCGGATTCTTAAAGTCCACCTGGTATGACAAACTAGCCATCAACGGGGCCAAGAATATCTTCAGTGTGCGGGATCCCAAGGCGCATAGTATCCGTCGCCGTCTACTTTCGGCTCCCATGTCCAACGCATCGCTCCAGTCCATGCATTCAACAATTGACGCAAAAGTTCAACTTGCTGTGCGCCAGATGCAGCAAGAATTGGATACTCAAGGATTCATGGATATCTTCAAGTGGTGGTATTTCATGTCGACCGATCTGATCGGACAGTTGACGTTTGGTCGGTCCTTTCAGTTGTTGGAGCGTGGAGAGGTATGCTTTCTGTCTCTATTCTCACTACAATGCCAAATGTACCTTCTCCCAGGATCAACACATCTTAACTCTGATGATATCTCTCTAGAAAACCCAGATGGCCACTGACCTCGAAACCCTCCCTCGTCTGGGAATGATCGGCTCTACGTTCCCTTTCCTCCTGCGTCTCGCCAGAACTATTCCCATGCCTTGTTTCAGCTCCGCCATACACGCATCGCGTCGTATCAGGCAGTACGCCAATCAATCCATTCATTCCTACCAAGCTCTCGTCACGGAAAACCCGTCTCAACCCCCGCCTACCACTCTCTTCACCAAGCTGTTCCACACCGACCCCACCACCCTCGCTGACATCCACATCCCCAGCGAAGCGCAGGGCTATATCGTCGGCGGCAGCGATAACACGGCGATCACGCTAACGTACCTCGTGTGGGCGGTATGTCGGGACGAAGAGATTCGAACTGCGCTGCTGCAAGAGCTCGATTCTCTCCCGACGGGGTTTGGGGACGAGCAGCTCAAGGAACTGGCGTTTTTGAATTGTGTCGTGAAAGAGACGCTGAGGCTGTATGCGACGAATCCGTCGAATCGGCCCCGGAATCCCCCTAACCCTGGAGCCAGGCTGTGTGGATTCTGGATTCCCAGTGACGTGACGGTTTCGGCGCAGGCGTGGAGTTTGCATCGGGATGATGGTGCTTTTCCGGAGCCAGAGAGGTACGATCCCTTGATTTGTCTTTGCTAGGCTATGTTGTTCAGAGCTGATATGTTTTTGAAGATTCAATCCCTGGCGTTGGGAATCTGCTACAAAGGTCATGAATCGCGCCTTTATGCCCTTTGGAGGCGGGTCTAGAAGTACGTCCCCTTTTCCTTTCCCCCTTGTACTCCATCTCTATCTCCAACCATTTTCCTCCGCCTGATACTTCGAAGCTCCATATACCAAAACGTCTTACCCTGCATAGTCTGCCTCGGCCTCCACCTCGCACTTCGGGAGATTCGTCTCGGCGCAGCGCACTTTTCCCGTACATTCCCAAACGCCAGGATCTCAAACCAAGAAGGGATGAATGATGCGGACATGGAGCAGGTGTGTTATTTTATTATGTCGCCGGTGGGCAAACGGTGTTTGGTGGAAATAGATCGATAGAATCAAATCAACTACGGCGTATGTAGGGGTGGGTAGTTTGTTGCGCAATTATTTGGCGCTGGGAATTGGTAGGTAACGAAATATATATTCAATAATGACAGTGGTTGGAATTAATTGGCCTTTATGCAGAAAAGCGATACTATTTAATCCGGACCATTCGTAATAACTATCGTTGTTGAATGTAAAGCCCAACAATATATTTCGTGCCACCCGAACACCGTTGAAGCGAAAGGGGAGGGAGGGGGTGGGGAGAAAAGAAGAATCCAGAAAGGAGACACAATAACAAAAGCAGACCCAGAATACGATGCGATCATCCCGACCGGATGGGAAAGGAAAAAAAGAAAGAAACAAAAAGAAACCGTCAGCGACAGGACTCGAACCTGTGCGGGCGAACCCAATAGATGAGATAGATGAGGATCTATTCTAGTCTATCGCCTTAACCACTCGGCCACACTGACTGATTATTAATAATGCTGTAACTTTTTGGCAATATAAGGCAAACACAAAGTGCGAAGAGTACCAACTTTTGGTCCGTTTGACAGTCACTATGAACTCAGTATAGATCGCTTTCCCTCTCCAAATTCTCCTTTTGATGTCCAATTATGCTGCAAAGGGAGACCCTGGTTGAGCTTCCAGAATCACGCCGAGCCGGACAACGTTCCTTTTCGATGTCTTCCCATAGATCTCCATATCTGCACACGGGACGACCATGCCCTGAAGGTCGAGCAGCCTCATATATAATGCACAATAACATCACCCTCTCTCCAAGGCCCCAGGGATCTGCACTGCAGTAGTACCCGCCTGCCCGGACAGCTCCAAGCCATCAACCTCCACCAAATTCGCGTCGTCCCCTTCCCACCCCTCCCGCTCATCCTTGACCATCCTCACGAAAAGCACATCCAGCACTAACGCCACGATGCTAATGCCGACACCAAAGTATAACGCCGCACGGTACCCAAGAATTCGGCCCCCCGTCTTCGCGATCTGCGTCTCGATTGTCGACGCAAACCCCAATCCCAGGCTATTCCCGTAGAGATTCAGGGTGCCGATGATCGAACCCGCAATGCCCTGCTGATTGCGCCGGACGGAGTTACTCGCGATGATCTGTCCCGCCGTGTAGACTAGATCTGGACAGAACGAGAAGAGCACAACGCTAGGAAACATCTGTGCCCAGTATGTCTGGCGCAAGGGCACGGTGGCCATGAGTACGTTCGAGACGAGAATCGTGATCGTCCCGATGGCGAGGATCCATTGCGCTGCGAGGCGTGGGATCAGCCATGCGGCGAGACAGGCGGCGCCGGTGGCGCAGACCACGAACGGCGTCCATCCGACGGCGAACTCGAGGGGTGACCAGTTCCAGACTTCGAGGAGCCAGAGGACTTGGTACCAGATGAGTGTGCCGACGGCCATGTAGTTTAGGAGGACGACGAAGATGAGAGTGAGGAAGCAGGGGGCTTTGAAGATGTCGAGGGGCATGATTGGGTGTAGGGTGAAGTTGCGTTCCCAGATGAGGAAGCTGGCGAAGAGGAGTACGGAGATGATGAGGAGGGCGATTTCGTATGGCGTTTGCCAGCCAACGCTGGGGGCTTGGCTGGGGGAAATTAGTATGGCGATTAGTGGCCAGGGAGGATCAAGGAGGATACGTACTTCCAGACGAAGTTGAATAGGATAAGGGAGCCAGTTCCCAGAGCCGAGCCGATCCAGTCAATTTGGCCATGTCGGTCCACGGCGACTTCCTTAGGGGTCAGAGCCCACAGGGGGACAAAGACCGTGGCGTTAAGGCACGCTCTGTTGCAGTCAGCATGGCCGATTCTCCCTACACCCTGGTATAGAGGACAGGACATACATGAAGACAAAAAACCACTTCCATTCCGTCTTCTCGAGGAACGCGCCTAGAAACAGCGCCCCAAAGTATCCCCCCATCGGCGCCGATGCACCAAACAAGCCCAAACTGAGGTTGCGAACCTTTCCAGGTGGATTGGTCGTCGCGATCATTGCAACCGCGTTCGGCATGATCGCGGCGCCGCCAATCCCGGATAAAGCTCTCATGCAGACAAACGCGAAGAAGTTATTGCAGAACGCGCTGATCAACGTGCACACAGCCAGCCAGATCCCGCCGAGAATGAGGAGTCGGCGATGGCCGAATACATCGCCCAGGCGACCGCTCATTAAAACGAACGTGCCCTGCGTCAATCTAGTTTGTCGTCAGTGTGTGAAGTCGAAGAAGGCCAGGTCGGGTTTAGACACGCACCCATAGCTGGCCCCGATCCACGAAGCGTAAGAGTCCTTGACCCCCATCGATTCAGTGAGTTTACTTCCCCCTGCGATGCCAGAGAAATTGACCGTCATCTGTCGCCTTCAGTGCCAATTCGTGGTATCGAGTCAGATAACGTACCTGAACCAGATTGGCCAAAATAATCAGTGCCGTAACGGCCAGTCGCCGGGGTTTATTGATGACCGTCAAGGATGCACGTTCAAAGACCTGCTGACCGGAATCTGGAGCAGGAGGTTCAGGTTCGCTTGTTTGGACGCCGACTGAAGTGCGTGAGCTGGGTGTCAGCTCTGGCCTGGTCTGTGGAGCTGCGCTCGCAACAATCGGAGGCGTCTCCGATGCGGGAGTGCTGAGCTCAAAGTGAAGTGATTGAGCCAATGACATGGTAAGGGATTGCTCGGAAACTTAGAGTGGCGAAGGGAAAAGACTGCATATAGAGAAATACGAGGACTGGGTAGATACAAGGGGAGGAGGATATGATAAAGAGGATAAATATCTGCATCTGGGGTAGGCCTACCCTCGTGAATCGCCTCCGCGCGGGGAAGCAACTGAAAGCTCATTTGTAATCCACACCATTTTGGCTAGTTAAATGCTTCATGCCAAGTAGGTCAAGTGGATACATCATATTCGCTTCGACTCAAGGATTCTGTTCGGAGGCTGCTCGGGTTGGGTTTTGATAGGTCGCTCGGGATTCGAATTCCTAGTCGCTCCCACAGTCGAAGAGGCTGGGATTTGGCTGCTTGACAGTCGACCGTTAATGTTCATTGCTCTGAATTAAATTGGTTTCAGGTGTCTTCAAAGTTTGATACTCAACCTGTCCTGGGATGGTCTGTACGGGAAACCTCATCTGTCTGTAGAATCCTTAATCTTCGAATTACCCAAATCTAAATAATAAGTCGAATATATATACATGAAGCGTAAACCATTACCATCCATCTAGACCACCCACAGTGCCTGCGGACACGAACCCATCTCCTGCACCAGAGCATCGATTCTCTCCGGGATCCAGCCCGAACTGATGCCCGTCGCCGCACTTCCCAACTTCGCTGTTGCAGACACCCAGCACGTATCAGCCTGCTGCGAATACTGTACGCAATCTGGGTCCGACAGACACTTGCGCCGACACTCGACCGCACTGCGACTGCGACTCGATATGGAATTCTGCGGCGCAACCCGATTATCCCAATCATACCGCACGCCGGTCAACTGCGGCCGGACGACCTGCAGGAACACATCGCGATAGAGCAACAAGTCCTTGCCACCGGCGAACCACTCGCGATCCAAGTGCCAGAGACGGTCGACTTCGGGGAGCGTCAAATGATGGAACGTGACGGGCGCATAACACCACGGCGTCTTGTAGTAATCCGGCGAGAAATAATCCAACTCGGACGGCGGCCCAATCTGCAGCGCCGGCCACGACCAGAGCAATCCCACCCCGGACTCAGCGAGCAACTGACCCAGCACGCAGTCGCCGGCCCAGTTCTCGCGCGTGATGCTGTCCCACCGCGCGACGTCCCTGCGTCGCGTCTCGGCCGCCCTTTCCATCGCCGGTCGCGACAGGACGATCCCCGAGCCGCCGTGCGCAAACAACACATCTAGGATCTGCATCTGATTGCCTAGATAATACGGGCGTCGGTGATCCAACTGCGCCAACCAGGCGACCAAATTTGACCACACGAAATATGTATCCGCTTCCATGAACACGTACCATTTCGCCTTCTTCGGATGGCGCAGCGCCTCGTCGATCATCGGCAAGAACTTCCACTTATCGAGCTTCCACCCTGGGTTATTCGGTTTGCCGAACACCGTATTCACGTCCTCGTTCAGGTCCGCGCGTGTCAGCGCCGCTCGCCCGGCCTGTCGCACGCGCTGGTAGACGTTGAATTCCGAATTCATCCACTTGACGGGGTCTGGGATGTTGCGCAGGACGTCGTGGACCGGGACGCCGTCGATTTCCTCCGCGTAGTCCGAGAAGATGACGGAGTTGGGGACGCAGCGGAGGGTGGTTTGCAGGTGCGTGGGCACTTTGTCGCGCGCTTCTGTGACGCCGGTTTTTAGGATGACGAGGATATCCTCCATGCCGGGGATGGAAGGGCATGGGGCCGTGGCATTATGCGGGGCGTGGTCCGGTCGGGCGGAAGAATTGTTGTTGGCCGATGAAGAGGAGTCTGAACGGCCGAAAAACAGATACAGTGTGAATAAGAAGCCCAGGAGAGGCCAGACCCAGGGGATGCGACGGCCTGGCGGACGGCGAGGGTGGAATAATGTCGCCATGGGCGAGTGTTGGTGCTATTATCTAGTTGTGTTTCTCGGTCGGCGGTCGGTCGGTCGGTGTTCTATCGGTATACAGCGCGCATGGTGCCGCAGAACACAAAAGAAAAGAGCGAAAGAACGAAGGAACGACCTGGAAACCCAACCCCGGGCCATACCCATGATTTAATATGAAATCCTTGCCAAAGATTGGCATGATTGGCACGATTGGCAAGGGAGCACAAAGTGAAAAACCACGACGAGAAAAAGGGGTGGAGAAACAGCAAACCAGCAGCTGCAAACCGCGCAATTCCCCCTTGCACTAAAGCTTGAATGCGGGAGGATCGTCGCGCTGTTTGCCTTGGCTGGGCCCGTGTTGACGTACGCCAGAAGCCCAAGGGATTCCAGTCCTTGGAACCGGGGGCTGGTTTGGTAGTTTGATTGGTCGGCTGAGGCTGACTGGGTCTTGGGAGAGATCTCGTTTGCTCAAGCGCGTTTGTTAATCGTGTTAGAGAGTTGGAGAAGTGCCGGAATGCCAAGAGGGAGAGTCAGAAGTTAGGGCTTGGGTTGGCGCATGACTTGACAGCTCCGGGGGTGGGTCTGTTTCACCGGGTTGGGGGTGAGTTTATTTTCGATCGCGAATGCGCTGGTTTTGCATATTATTATCTCTGTAGTTTCATCTGTGTTCCTCAAGTAAGGTAAGGTCTGCATGCTCCCTGCCTTCAGTCTGCAGATCCTGATCGCCACCACATTATGTAACTGTCGTATTCGTAACACTCCATATTCATCAAGACTGTGTGATCTGTACGACGGAGAACACGATGAGTGAGATTAAAATTCTCCTAGATGATCTGGATCCGTTTGACAGTCTGTCATGCCACTATCGCTCCGTTTTATGCTTAACGCAAGAGCTCCTTTTGGCCCCTGCGCCCGACTGTGGCTCGGCGTGACTCAAGCGCCAACAGTGGCGCGCAAGGCTGAACTAACGGTCGATGACTCGACGGTTGGTTTGACTGTGTTAGATTCTAGCACGATGGGTGTCCCTTTAGATCGCGCTAGGCTACAATGTTGGCTTATTTATACCTTGTTGGCGTGGATGTGGTTGTTGCCAGTGTGACTTGAAATAGAGTATGGACCCTTCAGGCGGATGTCTTTCGAATGAACACCCGAAACCGTTTGAATTCTAGAGCGAACATTACGTACATCATGGCTGTTTCTTGCGAGCCATCCGTGATCATGAATAATTCTTTTTCCAAGGTCTAAACCTCGGCGCGTGGAAAGAGCACGCATCAAGAATCATCTGAAGCAATCCAACAAGAACAACAAGACCAACACCAACACCGCCACCCCAGCATATCCAACCCAGAAACTCACGAACCTAACCTCATAGAAAGGGACCAAGCCTAACCACCCCCGAAGAACGTTCCCTCACGAAACGAAATCTCAGATTCTCCTTCCTTCCCCCAGAACTCCGCAACCATATCTACCGCCTCCTCGTACAGCCCTGCAAATGGGACATGCGCCATTTCCCCAATTTAGTCTCCACCCCAGTCGCCTTCGACAACGCGGGTCTTAGCACGCACTAGTTTCCTTCCTCGTCCAATGTCAGCTACGTCTGCGCCGGATGCTACTGCTCCATGTGACTATGGCGTGGCAGAGCCCCCGTGCTCGTTTCTCCCCTTCGAAGCGTCTGGGCACCTCCGCCCACGAATCCTTTTCTGTGCAAAAATTGCTACTCGTAGAAGGTGCTCGCGAAGAGGGAACTTCACCCAAGGTTAAGACCGTTGAAGTGTCTTTGTGTGAGGCGCGAAGATCTACATATCTTTTTGATCAATCAGAGGTTTTATAACAAGGCGGCGCGTGTGTTCCGGATGGAGAATACGTTGTTGTTCGAGAATTTAACTATCATGCGAGATTTTTTGGAGTCGATCAGACTAGGGACTTGATTACCAAGGTCTCGGTGATCGCGGATCCAGATGGGGGTAGTGAGGAGCCGTTGCTGTCAAGAGATGCCCTTCGGGGGATGTACTGGCTGGGACGGTGTCCGGGGTTAACGGAGCTGGAGCTGGATGAGTTTTTTCTTGAGAGGGTGTTCTGGGCGTTGAAAGTCAAGAATGTGATGTCGAAAGGTTACATTAGGGTTACATTATCAATGTCCACCTGTGTGTAACGTTTTGTATTGTCGGAAGGACTCCCTGGATCCTGTGTCAAAGGTATTGGCTCTCAATACTCCTCTTGGTCAGAAACCTACAATTCAACTCAAATACAGTACTTGCTGCATCCCTCCTAAGAACTCAAATTGCTCATCAATGTCTCGTCTATTATTCCGCCTTTCGTTGGTCCGTAGAATGTCACAGACAGCCCTGTCTACTCCAGTCAAGCCTCTGAAGATAGACACGCATCATGATCTAGTCCCGGAGTTCTACGCCAGAGGCATCAACCCTTCCATATCTACAGACCAAGTATCTCTAACTCCCTCTAGCTGTCCAAGATGCTGAGGAGGGCCCATCCGGCTGGCCCAAGCCCCCCTGGAAGGCCACATCCTCTCTACAGCACATGCGCACCATCGGCACCAAAAAGTCAATACTCTCCCTCACAGCCCCAGGCCCAGCTATCGCCTCAAGCAAGCAATCCATCTGGATATTGCTCGCCAAGCAAACGAATACGCCGCCTCCACCCGTGACCAAGACCCAGAGCACTTCGGCTTCTTCGCCTCCCTGCCCTCCCAACTCGGCACGGACGGCGCCCTCGCTGAAATCCAACTCCCTCGGTACCCTGCGCACAGATGGCGTGACCCTTCTCACCCGCTAGGGCGACGGAAACTACTATCTGGGCCACCCAAGCCTTCACACGTATCTGAGAGGAGCTTGACCCCGACGAACCATCGCTTTCATACACCCAACACACCCCGTCGATAAAAACAAGGCAAGTCCCCTCCTTGCGCCCCCCGCCATCGACTATCCGCACGAGACAACACGTGCGACGGTCGATCTGATCATAAACGGCGTTACGGGGCGGTTTCCTCGCTGCCCGCGCATTCTATCGCACGCGGGCGGGAGGCCGCCGTATTTGATTTCCAGATTAGCCGTCATGGCCGACAAGACGAGGTATCAGCCAACGTTCAGGACGGGAAAGACGTCCGACGAGCTGGTGGCGGGATTTCGTTCGTTTTAGTATAATCCTGCGTTGTCGAGGCGCCGGCCGTCTTGAACCTGTTGTTTGGTGTTGGTGCCGTGTGAGCATGTTTCTTATGATGAGTACTTTAGTGTTTGGCTTGTGTTTGTCCCAGCTGTTTGGTGCTAACGATGACTCCGACTTTCCGTATGCTGAGGTGGATAAAATTGGGTTTAGGGAGTCATTGGAATCGGATTCTATGGAAGAGTTGCGCGAGAAGGTTTGTTTTCGGAAGGCTGAAGTCTTACTCTCACACAAGACGTATTGAACTTACCTTGTTCTTCTCGACACTGAACAGCACCATGTAAAGAATCGAGTGTCTTCCCAATATGTTGAACAACCTCACCTGTTGGATAACACTGAGGCAAAGTGCATGACGTCATAGCAAAGGATCGGCGAGATGAACAGATGGAAATTGGATGTCGATCAAAGTTTGTCATAATTTAATTCGAAGATCTTCATGTACTAGAGCGTTCATATATCAATCAACTAAGACTGAAATTTCTGCATCTCCTTTTAGGCGCCGTAACACCAACCGCCGTCGACACAAAACTCCCTGGTATCTCGTCTAATCACACAATACCACACCAATGCTCTCGGCACAGTCTGATCAAACTAACTTTAGGCAACCAAAACTCCCCGATATCTGATGTTCCCCTCGTTCAACGCCTTCAAACACTCGCTCGCGCCGTCCGCGTTCAAAGGATAGGTCATCTTGATCGGCTTGATGCCATGGAAAGCCGCGAACTCCAGCATGTCTCGATGGACCTGGCGCGACGAGACAATAGAGCCCTGCACGCGCAGGCCCTGGCCTAGAAGAGTCATGTACGGGAACTTGAACTCGTCCATGGAGACAGACAGCGGCGAGATGACGGCGCCAGCGTCCAGCACACTCGTGTACAGGTTCCAGTCCGGCTGGGCACTCGTCGTAACGATCAAATTGGTCAATTTGTTCCCGATCTTTAACTCCTTGGCCCCTTTCGTCGCGTAGAATTCGGTAGCGCCCAACTTCAACGCCTCATCGCGCTTACTGTCCGTCCCTGAAAACACCACTACCTGACATCCCATCTTCGCCGCGAACTGGATCGCCAGGTGTCCGAGGCCGCCGATGCCCACGATACCCACGCGCGACGTCGAAGTCACCCCGGCCACATGCATGGCGTTGTATACCGTCGACCCGCCGCACATCAGCGGCGCCGAGTCCTCGTTGCTCAGACCCTCAGGGATCTTGAAAAGGAAGGCCTCGCGCCAGACGGCGTGCGTGGCGAACGAGCCCTGGTCGGTGTCTGCTCCCGCGTACATCTTCCGGTCTGGACACATCGTCTCCCAACCTGTTAGGCAGTGAGAGCAGTATCCGCAGCAGTCGTGTTCGTAGCCCCAGCCCACGCGGTCGCCTTTCTGCAGGAACTTGACGTCTGGCCCGGTCTGTTCGACTATGCCGGTGCCTTCGTGGCCAAGCGCCATGTCCGCTTTCTGGTAGTGGAGGTCCGTCCCGCATACGCCGGAGTGGGTGACGCGGACGAAGACATCGTCGTGCGAGAGGTCGGGGCGGTGCGTAGTGGCTTTTTTGATGGTTCCGTCGCTGGAGCCTTTATAGACTGTGAAGTCGAATCCCATGGTGAATACTGGTTTTAAAATATGTAGATCGAACTGGAAAGTATGGTTTTATTCTAGCCGGGTCCTCTCATGGGAAGAGGGGTTTCTGATTTATGATTTATAGATCCTCGCTGTTTTCATGATGTCACTAGGAAGGTTCGGATATCGAGGAACCCTAATCTTGCGCTTAACGTCATGCGGTGGACACCCGTCTCCACGAGCAGCGTCCCATCATCCAGTCAATTGATCCAGGGTTGCAGCTAGTTACAGTTCCAGCTGAATCGTAAATTCTTCAGCTGCGGCAAGCTTTTTCCGGGTCTGGATGCATGTCGTATCACTTGCGTAGGTCTGTTGCTGCTGTTGCGTCCATCCCTCGCTTCCAAGGGATGCCGCAATTTTCTTGCCACTATCAGGACCGTGTGCCATCTGGACTTGTTTCGAGCAGGAAATGAATGTAAATTGCAATTATCTAACGAATGACAAAATTCAAATGTTCAAATATTCTACAGATCAGCCAACCAACCGCCCGTCACCCACTAGCCACACCGTAGATCAACCCGTCCACTCTCCCCGCCTCCAAGCCAATCCAAACTTCAGAGTCCAGACTGACCTAAACATGGTGGAACCGACGCATGCGCATAGTAGTAGCGTTACCATGGAAGCTCGAAGTCATACCCTTGCCCAGCCCGGCGACCAACTTATCACCCAGCGCAGTGATACTCTCCTCGAACTCCTCATAGCTCTCCGCATCCCACTTGGCCTCGTCGCCAGGAACAGCCTCCTTTCCAGAGAATGCGATGTACAAAACATCCTTCTCATCATGGCCGCTGTTCCCGTTCATATCCTCGCCAAAGCAAGCCGTCGCGGTCGCCAGACTGGCCTCGCCCACAAGCGGCTTGCCATCGTCGCCGTTCGTATCGCCCCAGATCCCGTAGATCAGTTTGCCGTTGCACACGACCGCCACGAGACTCAGGGGCTCGACGCCGTGCGCGCGCGGATCGAAGGTCGGGTCGTAGTCGCCTTCGTTGCCCAACACCACATACGGGTGGATGTAGGCGTTCAGGTCGCTGATGCCGTACTTGGAGACCTCGTCTTTGAAAGACGTCTGGCCCTGAGTGTCCTGCGAACTGCCGCAGCGGCCGTCACCGGAGGTTTGCTCGCCGTCGCAGTCGATGTCCATGTTCACGAGCTCTTTGCCGGGCCCTTTCAGGTAGAAGCCCGATTCGCCCATGTACCGGCTGCAGTAGCTGTAGTCGGTCGCGCCTTCGTCGGTGTCGTGGAAACCGCCTTGCAGGAGGTCGGAGCCGGAACAGTCGCCGGAGTTCTTGACGTGCGTGTAGAAAGCGGCGACGTTGGGGGGAATTTCCTTGGCGAGGACGGTGTTGGTGCTGAGGAGGAGGGACAGCGAGGCTGTTGCGAGGGTTTGTTTGAAGTGCATGGTGGTGGTGGTGGGTTGGTATGTAAGTGAGTGAGTGATTAAATGAAAGTAAAGGAAAGACGAAACAATTGGCCTGCAATTGTACTGTTGTAAAGTCTGGAATGAAAGTGAGTGATGGGATGAGATGGAGGGATTTACAACGGGGGATCTGTCTAGCTTTATATCCTCGTCGAGGCTGGTGATCGCTGTCACTGCACCTGAGTCCTGGCCCAGCAGGTATAACGTATCGTCCGGTGGGCTTGGGGCCAAGATCATGCGCTTCAAACAGTCTAGGGGCCCGTAGACCTGTCAGTGCATGATTGTGGATAATGACTCGATCTAGAATGCCCCGTCGTATATTCTATCTAGCGCCACCGATAGGCCCGAAACGTCGCCGGCTGAGAAGAACAAAGAAGGGGAAATTCTACCCATCCAAACGCCTCTCGCTACCTTATCCTCTAGGGACGATCCGCGCAAGCCGTGAAACGCCTCCCGCTAAAACAGCCCTCGTATTGCATTTGACAAGGCAAATTGAGCCGATCTAATTTCCACCTAACTCTACTGACAAAACACTGAAAATAATCGATCATTCAGCATTGCGTTTGTGGCGACTTCCCTCGGTGTACCTACAACATCTGTTTCATCTCCAGACAAAGAAAAGACGGCAACAGGAACAGGACTAGTCGATCTGGGGCCAAAACGGAAGCTTTTTTTCGGACCCTCGCTTACGGTGTTCACGAAGAGAACGTTCAGACCAGTTCCCCAATTCGGATGGTACTTTGGCGCCGACAGTCCGTGGCATCTGATTGATAACCCCTGTCGACAGCATGGCGGGGACCAATTCACTGAACTGCTAGTCGGTTGATATTTCCGTCAGCAGTAACTGGATTCAAATAGCCCTGTGGATCGAGGAATACGGGGACTGCAGATTTGGGTTGTGGCAGGTGTTTCAGGAGAGGGTAGGCAGTAGGCACTGGGTAGATTGGCGATTGCTCAGTGGGATAAAAATAGACATCGCGAGGGAGAAATAACCTGCAGCCAACTGAAAGCACTAGCAGAAATCGAGGAGAAACAGTCCCGGTGGGCTCAAATTGGGGGCGGATAAGGATCAAGCCACAGGGACACAGGGACCGCCATCCGTGTCCGTGGCTGCAACTACTTTCATTGGGTTATTCTGGGCCCAGAAATAGTTAAGACTTAAAAATTGTTCCGGAATGCTTATCGTTCATATTAATTATTTCCTAGTTGCTGACGGTTCCTGGCCTGTCAGTTTTCCTCGTGGTGGAGACGAGACGGCGTCTGGGGGCCGGCGGTCGAGTGAGGTAGGGCTGGTCTGGATGGGTTAGCGATCGTCAGGTTATTCTGGGACCTGATTTCGTTTGCTTGCTAGCGGCTTGTTAAAGTGTAGAGATCATTCGACTCCGTGCCTATCTTCGATCTAGTCTAGGAATTAAATTCGGCATCGGGGGCGGATAGCCTGTTTCTCACCATCGGAGCCGTTTATCTTCCGTGATAGTCTGCTTCATTTGGACTTTGTAGATCAATGAAATGCATGGTATGGCACGGTTTATTCTCATTTTCCTCAATTTCCTCGTCGGGAGTTAAACACGGATCTGTCTGGTGATCCTCATTCGAGGTGATGAGACAGGCTGTCAGACGCTGAGTCGGGGGTGTATCCGGTCCGGTGTCAAGTGTGGTAGTATTCTTGACAAATTATCCGATTATGGTTTCTAGGTCGTGTCGATCACTCTATCTCAAACGGTTAACGTTCCCTCGTGGATGCTGCCTTGTGGTATCCCGAGTTCGCCGAGTTTGCCGTTCGGCGATGTTGCTCGTGTTCTGCGCCGTGGGGTCCTTTCTGTCCTTTCTGTCAACTCTTCCAATATCATATACTGTAAGGTGTTTGTGACAATCAAGTCGAAAGTGACTGGCCGAGATAATTAGAGTCAATTCTATGCATTTAGAAATTTTTAGCTCCCTGAGTGTGATCTCATTTTTAACCGCTTGTTTATCTACCACCCGAACATGTGTTTTGGTTTATCTTTAGGTGTCGGTTTTGCGTCTCCGTTAAATTCAGAGTTGAGCTTGTCTAGTAGCTGTTGGCGCTAAAGTCTACCTTATTTACTCGGAGGATCTCCAGTCCGGTTCACAATCAAGGAAATTAAAATCCTGCTGAGTAACCGAGGGCGTTGAGATTTTGTTTTTGCCCTAGGTTATGTTTGCGTGGGGTTTGGGGACAAGACCGTAGCGATGCATACGTGCTTGGAGTTATCTGCCATAACTTCAGTGTCTACTGGCCATAGTTATATATATTGTAGCTTAACCGACGTATCTATCCGATTAGTAGTCTATCTAATCATGCTAACTACCTGAAAATAACCTTTTCTTTGCTCATCACCTGTATCAGTTGGTAGATATATTGTCCACGAGACACCAGTCATTGAACCCCGGAGCTGCCGTAGAGTAGTTGGCAATAAGTCGATCAGGATACGTGATGCTCATCTTGTATATCTGGTCACCTGCACCACAGCCAAAGGGCTAAAATTGCATAACAATGGCGTGCACTCAGGCCAGCGCATCTCAAGAGATATATGTTTGGGTTTGGCAAGGCAGAGGTGCATTATGCCAGATGCTGTGTTCGTTGGCAGCGGTAGTCGCGGTGAAGTGGCTGTGGTCGTCGGAGGATATCATGCCCATGTAATCTCCGCGGACCCAAGGCCGCCCATGCATCCCATGAGGGTCAACACCAATCCCCGACGGTATTTCCAGGCTGGATAGATCAGATTTGACTGTTGTCACAGACTCACAGTATCTACAGTTCTACACTGCTCGGCCCGGAGGAAAGATGCCAAGACCGTCGGGCCGGGGGATTCTCGCCCGGAACGAATTGCGTTAAGCCAAGTGGGTCTGTTTTCCGCACCCGGCACCAATGGCAGTCCGCAACCGGACGCATCTGGCTTTCGATTGGTCCGTTGCGTCCCGGCCCAAAGAGCGCCAAGGCCAGCCTTACCGGATTAAGCGACCGCGGCAGCGTGACTAATACGACCCTAAGGCACCCAGGCCACCGTTGTTACGTCGGCCGGTCCAACGTTGAAAACTGTCTCTCTCGTCATTCCCCTTGACCTGTTCAATCTGCTGGTTCACTGCAAGACTGGAACGTAGTCCCAAAATCCATAAATTATCCACCGGTCGCCCAGCCAGCATGAATTGCCCGTCTCGCACCGACGACACCCTGTGGCACTGCGAGTGGAACCAGAATCCACCCTCGCTGGCCCCGGATCTCACCACTCGCCAAGACCTGAATGGCATCTCTAATGTCCGCCAGCGTGAGGACCGCGGAGGCTTGACCGGTGTATCATTTACCTGCTTCGACGAGGCAGGGGGCACGCCGATACACCCTATCGACCCCGAGAAAAATACATCTTTCCGGAATGGGGTGTCTCTGACTCAGTCAGGTATGTGGATGGCATCAAGGAGGCGTATCGTGTCGATTGAGCTAACGTATATCGACAGAACGCCCCGTTTACCCTTCGACCGGCGGTGCTGGTCAGGGGAAACCCCCGAATAATATTCACTCAATGCCTCAGACCCTGAAAGGTTGGGCACTATGGCTGCTGTCGGTTCTATTCACTGCGGCCCTTATCTCTCACGACACTATCTTGCGATATGTGTACTCTTTCCGATCGCCTTCTATCGAACTTGAACCAGGTATGAAATGCTTCTGACATACAGTCGATTTCCTCTGACCCAAGTAGTCGAACGTTCCTACGACGTGCCCCTTCTTCCGAAACGGGACTCCTGCGCTTCCAATAACGTCAAAGGAAGCGAGTACAACACCCCTCTGCATGTCGCAGCCCTCTTCATCATCTTGTCTGTGTCCACGCTCGCCTGCGTATTCCCAGTGTTAGCCAGCTGGTCCCCTCGGATGCGCATTCCCGCCTCGTTTCTCTTCTTCGTCAGCCACTTCGGTACCGGCGTCCTCATCGCCACAGCCTTTGTGCATCTCCTGCCGACAGCATTCCAGTCTCTCAATGACCCCTGTCTGTCTAAATTCTGGACTTCCGATTACCCCGAAATGCCGGGTGCCATTGCCTTGGCCGGGATCTTTCTTGTGACGGTCATTGAAATGGTATTCAGTCCGGCCCGCCACTGCTGCCGCGGCGGCACCCGCCCCGGCGAACAGCCCGTTTACATCTCGGGCGGCGAGACCGAGAAGGGCCCATCCATGCCCCAGATCGACGTTACGGATCACTCGACTGCCCTGGAAGGTGAGGGAGACGTCTCGCAGACGCAATCGCAAGGCCAAGATCTCGCGCATCTTCGCGACATGGGCCCGCTCATGGGCCGCTCCTCCAGCATGAGCCGTGCAATCAACCGCATGGGCGAAGACCCGGAACGCATTTACCGTATCTCCTCCGTCCCTGAGGATCCGCAATGCTGCGAGTCGCAGCAACCGTCGCAACAGCCTAAAACCGAGGCCGTCGCCCAGGACACAGAGCCTAATGTCCACGACGATAGCACAGACGATGCACTCACGCTCAATCCGCAGCAGAAACACAACAAGGCCGTGATGCAGGTGTTTCTACTAGAGATGGGAATCCTGTTTCATAGTGTTTTTATTGGAATGTCGCTCAGTGTGTCAGTGGGGAATGAGTTTGTGATTCTTTTGATTGCGATTGTTTTTCACCGTATGTCTCCTTGCTCCATAATTACTCTTTCCCCCTCTCTACAATCGTCTTGAATGACGAATCGCTAACTCGATCTAGAATCCTTCGAAGGTCTCGCTCTCGGCTCGCGCATCGCCGCCCTCGACTGGCCCGAAAAAGCCCTCCAGCCATGGCTCATGTCTTTGGCCTATGGATGCACGTACGTCTGCCTAACCGCTTCCCAAATCACCTCTTCCACAACCCCCCTTCTATAATAAAATCCCCCTCTCTAACCCATATTAAACAGAACCCCAATCGGCCAAGCCATCGGCCTCGCCACCCACACACTCTACAGCCCGGACTCCGAAGTCGGCCTCCTGCTTGTCGGCACCATGAACGCCATCTCGGCTGGACTGCTCATCTTCGCTTCGTTGGTGGAACTCATGTCTGAGGACTTCCTGTCCGATGAGAGTTGGCGCATCTTGAGGGGACGGAAGAGGGTTTATGCTTGTTTGTTGGTCTTTGGGGGCGCGTTCTGTATGAGTTTGGTGGGGGCTTGGGCTTGATTTCTCCCCCCCGGTTTATTTCTGTTGTTGGGGAGGTGGGTTTTTGATGGAGTGGATGATTGTTTTGGGTGAGGATTGTGTGTGTGTGTGTGTGTTGGAAGGTAGGAGAAGGGGTCATTGAGGATGAAGGTATTCCAGGTGCTGGTTGTGCAAGTCTCGTGGTTGTTTACGTGGTGATTCTGGTGTACTGATGACGTGGCGCGAGGTGCCGAGAAGGAGGTGTAGATAACAGGGTGAGAATGCGTGTGAATAGCGAATGGGGAGGTGATCATGTATATAGATGACTCTGGATATAGTTCTTGTCGGTTCGAGTGCAGATAGTCGCGAAATAGTATATACGTGATGCCATGAACTCCCATCTTTGTTTCTAGTCTGGTAATCAATTTTCTGATTGTGAACCTTCAATTGGTATGGATCTAAGGTATGCAAATGTCTTATTAAATAGTCTAATCTAGAAATTTGTCTATGTCTATGGCTTCAAATGCATCGATGTCCTTCCCCAGAATCCCATATCGGGGTTCCATCTATCCCAAAACCTATACCCAACCAACCATTATACGACCCACATCCTCACCACCTTAAGGAAGCTCACTCCGACCGCGCACTCTTCGTCTTCTTACTCCTCAACTTCATCATCAAAAACACCAGCGCATATGACGTGATACAAAACAACGCAGTAATTCCCGTCTAGAAATATCATAATCAGCATCATCCAATAATGAACACTGAACCCATAGCCAAACGCAAACCGAGCATAAAGGGGAAGGGAAAAACTCACATCTCTCCAAGAATAATACCTCTCCAACAAATTAAACCCCTTGGCATAATCCGCGCCCGAGGAATACTTGCAAAACGCACACTCCCCACCAGCAGTAGAAGCAGCATCCACCAAATACCCCGTTCCCCGCTGGATAAAATCCCCCATATAATCGGCACAAGTCTGATTGTCCGGCGCAGTGAACCGGACCAGTTCATCGGCCTGGCACTTCACCTCCACATCCCAGAGGACTTCGCCGAGAAGCCCGCCCACTAGGTACGTGAACGGATCGAGGTAGTAGAGCCAGTATCGCCAGAAAGGTTGCATTTGGGCGTAGGGGACCACGACGCCGCAGAAGCTGACGAGGCCGGCGCCGATGAGAACGGGGTTCATGATGGCGGCGAAGTATTCGTTTGGGGCGTACGCGGCGATGGCTTGGCCGATAGAGGTGTAGAGGAATTCGTAGACTTATTTTCATTTGTTAGTACTGCGGGTTTGGGGGGAACGGAAGGGAGGGGAGGGGAGGGAAAGGGAGAGTACATACAGATCATTTGCAGATACACATGTCCTGAGATGCTAGCTTGCACTGGGAATCCAGCAGTGAAGTACCAGCAGGCGAAGTATAGCGTGGCGCAGAGGATCAGGTAAGGGATTTCGGAGACGGCTTGGGCGCCGATGAAGGCGAGCCAGTGGTAGGTTTTGGACTGATTGCGTTAGCATCCTCTGTTTCTAATTCTATTTAGTGAAGATCAGGCAGGATAATATACCTTCTTCTCTCTCGTCTCGAATATATCCCGGTTGTGCAGAAAGAACGGCTGCATCTGGTTAATGCACCCGGGAGCAACGAAGATGAAGTTGAAGATTGCAAAGAGACGAAGTTGCAGCGCAAATGTGCCGTCGCCGATCTTCCAGAACGTGAAGCCGCTGAATAGAGCTGCGAACACGTGCAGGATGATTTTGTTCCACATGTAATCCTGCATTTTCAGTGTCAGTTTCAAGGACTCAAATTGGAAGGTTAGTAGGGTGTGTTGAATGCATACCGGCGACCGCCACAACTGAATCATAATCCTCTTCAAAACCATCTTGAACTGGAACCAATGTGAAGTGGCGAAGTCCGACTGATCCTCTTCCTCCTGGTGCTTTGCCTGGTTTTCGCGGTTGAGGGCTTCCAGTTCCTCGACTGCGCGAGCCCGTTCTTCGGATTGGCTCCAGACGTCCACCCAGTCGATCTTTTCTTCCGTGTTGCCTTGAATGACCTCGACGATGTGCTCGGCGGGATTGGCGTCGGGCGCGCAAGGGGCGCCGTTCTTGCTGAAGTATTCGAGCACCTTGGTGGAGTCTTTCCCGGCTGTGTTTGGTTAGATCAGGCATGCTGAGCAGGGGAGGAAGAGGACTTACTCTCGCCGAAGTAGGCCATTTTGCCGCCCTTGGCAAGAAGAAGGAGGGAGTCGAACGCTTCAAACAACACGGCCGAGGGCTGGTGGATTGTGCACTGCGACTGTTAGATCGGGTTTCTCGTCGAAGAAAGAATACGAACCAGAACCGCCTGTCCACCGTCAACCAGCTTTCGGAGAAATCGAATGATATTGTACGCGGACTGTCCGTCAAGACCGGATGTGGGCTCGTCAAGAAAAAGAAGAGTCGGTTTGGCAACCAGTTCAACGCCTAGTGTTACTCGCTTGCGCTGTTCAATGCTGAGACCGGCTCCCGGGACTGGTGTCGATGTCAGTATGGTGTTCATCTCACCAGTGCATGTCACTTACCGCCGATCAAGGCATCCTGGATATCGCTCAACTCGAGCAGTTCAATGATATGATCCACGTAAGCCAATTTCTCTTCTTCAGGAACAGCCGCCGGCTGACGCAGTAGAGCCGAAAACACCAAAGCCTCTCGAACTGTCGCGCTGGCTTCGTGTACGTCCATCTGTTCGCAATATCCCGTTGTTCGCTGGAAGCTGATCCCCTGCGGACGGCCATCGATCAGGATAGACCCGTAGATCTCCCCGCTATCTTTGCGCTGCGCCAGCACATCAAGGAGTGTGGTCTTTCCAGCCCCCGACGATCCCATCAACGCGACCAGATTGCCCGGTTTCACGAACCCAAAGACCTGATCCAGTAGTTGCTTCTTCTGTCCATGGAACGGAACATGGTAGTCGAGATGATTCCACGAGAAAGTCGACTGTTTGGCTGTCTTACTGAGCGCCGCCGCAGTCGCAGCCTCTGACTGTCCTTTGACTTGCGCATTTTCCTCATCAAGCTCCTTCGTCTTCTTATGGCCGCTGCTGCCTCGCTTATACAGCAACACCGACGACCCGCCCTGGCTATTCCGCATCTCGAACCCAACCGCCGTCAAGAAGATATAGAAGGCCCACATCCCGACGATGATCCCGAAACTGCGCCAGATGTGGTGGACCGAGTAACTGTATTGTTCGCGGATATACGCCGCTCCATCGATGACTCCGTCCTCGTTACTGCCCAGCACAGCACATCCTCTATTCGAAGACGCAGCATCCGCATAGCCTGGCCCGTAGGGGACATAGTCCGGCTCGACGCACTGGAGTTGCAAACCAACGAATTCATTCGCCATGAGAGCCTCGAAGGCATACGAGCCGGGATTCAGGTAGAAGATCCATCGGAACCAGACATGCATCTTCTCAAAGGGGATGAGGTAGCCGCCGTAGACGAAGAAGACAGTGGAAAGGAGACCCGAGATCTTGGATGCGTTGCCGAACTGTTTACACAGCGCGCCGACGGATCGGAAGAGTTGCATGAAGCAGAGGGTCTGTGCGATTACGATGATCCAAAACGTGAAGAACCGGCCGGCGTCCATTTGCAGGGCGGACATGAAGTAGAGAATTAGCGAGAAGCAGGATACTTGGACGATCACGATCGGGATGTCGGTTATGGCGTTGGCGATGCAGAAGGCTGTGGGTCGGTAGAAGCCGAAGCGTTTCTGACGGGAGAGGATCGGGCGGCCCATGAAGGAACCGGTGGTTTCGGAGAGAGACTCGAGGAGAAAGTAGAGGACGGGGAAGAAGAGAACACCGGGACGTAGGAAGATGGAGCTGCTGTCGAGTTTCAGATTGTAGAAGAGACTGCCGCAGACAAGAGCTTGGAGGATGGCCGAGACAATCTTGATGCAGAGGGAGAGCTTGTCGCCGGCCATGATTTGAAATTGCCTGGAAAGTTAGTCTCTGTTACTAGTGTTCATGCAAGGCAGTACTCACCGGATCGTGCAGGCCACAATCTGACTCCATAGACTGGCAGTATACGGACTCTGCGGACGAGGAAGGTGTTTCTTTCTCTTCTCGCTCGCCACAGCAATGGCCAGATCTTCCTCTTCGTGTGTCAGTTTCTCTGGCGGATCGATCGACTCCATGGCCTGCGCATAGATCGCACTGGCCTGGAACCGAGCCTCGAATTCTTCCGGCGTATTGGGGACCTGAGCCTCCATTCCTGGTTGCACGATGCGCTCCGTCACCACCGTCACCGAAGTCAGGAAGTCCGCGATATTCGCCCCCTTGGGCACAATAAATCCCATGTCCTCGAAGTATGGGCGCGCCAGACTCCGCGGACCGTAGTAGGTGACTCGTCCGTCTGCCAGGACCAGGATCTTATCGAACTCGTCGTAGATACCATTGCCGGCCTGGTACATCGTCGCGACAATTGTCTTCTCGTTCTCGCTGGCCTCGCGACGCAGCATTCGCGCAAACTCGACTGCCGTCTTTGAATCCAGACCACGTGTCGGATTGTCCCAGAATTGAACCGGACTCTGCGATTTATTAACATCATTCATGTCACAGACGGTTAGAATGAATATGTCATACCTGACCGGCCATAACCTCCGCCAACGAAACTCTCTTCCTCTCACCGCCAGAAACACCACGAATAAACTCATTCCCGACCAACGTCTTCTTCGTATGGGGGATACCCAGAGAGCCCAGAATGCCGTCTCGTGTCTCCTGCACGTAGTCCTTCTCGTTCTGCAGATGCGCTGGTCTCTCGCGAGGAACTTTATTACGCAGCGCAAACTTCATCGTCCGGTTGACTGTCAGTGTCGGGAAATGCGCATCGTCCTCGTCGTTGAACATGATTTGTTGTCGGAACCGTTGCGCTAATTTGTGGTCCATGCTGCCGTAGCGCGTTTCGCCGAGCACTTCGTCGAATGTGGCACGGTCGTTAGAGAGGACGCGGAGGAGAGAGGTGCAGCCTGAGCCGGGGCGACCAAGTACGAGCATCTAGAGATGGAGAGGTTGTTAGCTTTTGCTTGGATTTGGGACAATTGGGGGAAATAAGTGGAGGGGAGATACCATTTCGCCTGGCTTGACTTGACCGGTTACATCTTTGAGGATCGTCTATTCTTATTTTTTAGCCTTTCTGAATCTGTCCTATGGAGTATTAAGATAGTAGATACCCTCTTCGGCCGCTGATTCTTCCTGAAGATGTCTAAATACTGGCGTGGATCGGCGACAGAGAGCAGCGTATCACCCAGCGCCGCATCAGGCGCGGTAACGCGGACGTTAACATTGCGGAATGTCAGTGTCAACCTCTTGCGGATCTGTTGGTTGACGCTTTCCAGATCAAGCGTCCCTGACGAGGAGTCCATTGTGCCTGTTGCCTTCTGTCTGATGGCTTGGGGTTAGTATATCGTTGAACAATGACCACGTAGGGGACCGGCTTACCAACCAAATCACTTAATGACTCTTCCCAGCACATTGAAAGCTTGGTAATTAAGACATGCAGCTCCGCGGAACTTATATATTACCCATGAATTTAATATCCCCCGTGAAATCATAATAGACCCGGTATGCCGTGCAAGCTCTTACATCCGTAAAGCCGCATCGCCGCATATCCGAAAACCGTATTGCCGGACCCACTGTTCCCACTATCAGCCAATTAACGTCGTGTATTGAAGCGCGGAATCCACCCGCGGAAAGCTTCCCTCGAGAATGCGGATATATTAGAAAGCGGGCAGGTCGAGGTCCAGTCTGGAAGGTGGATAGACGTAGCCAGTCGTAGTAGTAGCGGCCAATGGAGCCAGGGTTACGTTTACGCTCCTATAAATACACATGGGACAAAAACGATCATATAAGTGTTTTCGGGGGTTTTGGCCTTCTCCGTGCTCTTGTATTTCTAGAACGTTCCTCTGCCCTCTTTTATAATTTCGAGAATTTCCTGTACTGCTAAAGTTGATACCAATATAGCTAATATTCCCAAAAGTATTGTGTGAACTGCTAACCCAGATAGTCTTATGGGAAATAAATGACCTGGGATTCCCGTTTGGATCATGACCAGAAAGCTAAATGAACAGCACAGAAAGTAATCATCACGACAACACATAAGAAATAAAGATGTTGCGCAAAGCCTCTGATGTAACATACAAGACTAACTAGCGTGAGAGATAATTGATCGTCACTAATGACTATGCAAGAACTTCGCACGAAGCGTAGCTGACACAAACAATTTGGATCGATTGGCCTTGAGTTGGAAAGAGTCTCTTCCTCTTGGCTTCACTCTTCGTCCACCAGGAATCTACCCTTCATGCTGGTCGTTTTCCCCCGTAGCATTAGAAACACAGCGTATGCTTAGTACGGGTGCAGGGGTCGTTTTAGACCGTCCACCTCGAACGCGTCGTGTGGTCCCTGGCCCTTGCGCATAAAGAAACGCTCGGAATTCCTTTACCGACGTTCGTTAAATTAGTCGACGCAGAGTTTCCACTAAATAAGTCGCATACGAGTCCTCCATCAGCCTCTTACGGTCTGGGCACGCGCGTGTAGTTGATGGAACTCACCGTTGCTCCGCGATCTGCGCCTCGTCTTTCGGCGCGGCGCTATTATCCTCTTCGGTCTTATCGGGTACCTGCTCGTTTATTTTGATCCTGACCGTGCTCCTACGTTCCTTGTTTTATATCGGGTACGGTGGGGTAGTCGCCGACGTATCTCGTTCTTTTCAGCCTCGTCGGGGCAGGATCCGCAACTAGTAGACCTCGTCTGAGCGTCTTTCTTCAAAACTGGTTATCCACTGACTCTCCGAAAGAATGTCCTCCTTCATCTTCTTATTTCCAAGCGGCATCGTTTCCCGTAACACTTCCGTGTCTAGGTTAAATCTATACTAGACTTGAAGGCGGTTAATACACGCTTGTCCCTATATAGGTGTACGTGATATTAGAGTGGCGTTGTGGTTATCGCTAGACTCTCTATCTACTATTAAGTAGAGGCTGAGAGCTGCTAACATGGTCTTCGCGGGTGGTCTAACACAATATATCATCACGTTCGACGGGAGGTGACAGAAATATGTAAGTCGTGCCGAGAAAGAGTGGGCACAGAGCGCAACCGGTCGCGGTAGAACAGGTGGCTGATTATGTTCCTTATAGCCGAAGACATCCGGAACTGTGTGTCAAGCATGCCGAGCGACATGCCGCTGGGGTGGAGATACATATAGACGTTGCGGACACGTTGTGCAGGGGGTTTGTGTCAAGGGTAGATAGGACCACCGGCGCGAGCTAATAATGGTCCGATTAGGAAGTAGCCGCGGGATCTGAAAAAAGCAAGCAGCGGCCATAGCTCGCTCTCAGTGGCTCGGGCAGCCTCATCAATAACAATAAGACTAGATTGGACACTTTTCTGGACGATCGTCTGGCTGGCACCAAAGGGGGTGGCGACAATAATGTCGGCTCGACAGAGAGTAACAATTAGCAACGCCTTAGTTTTCGCGCGCAAAGACTCGAGTTTATTTAGAGCTATCTTGTTTTTTTATACTTCTCCAACATATCTCGGAACGCCCGGTACTTGTTAAGCTGTGTCGTCTTTCTCGGTAGAACGTCATTCGGCTGCTGCAAGACCTCGATACTATATTGGGACCGGTGATAATCTGTCGCTGATGGCTGGAATATTGTTGAAAAAAATAGTTTTTTCTTTTTTCTACTGTTGAAGTTGGTCTTGGTGATGAGCCTTTCGATAAAGCGAGGAATCAAGAAACCCTTCTCCAGCAAGTCAAGGGCAAGGGCTTTCTTAAAGTATCTTGCAGCCACTGCCTTTTCAAGGGTAACAAAGTCCAGCCAGGTCGCCCCAAGGGTTAGTCTCCTGATGTTGCCCATTTCTCAACGATATCTCGAGCTTGCATGACCTAGCTTTTAGGAAATCAGGGCTGCCCAGTAAAGCTCATAGTAATGGTATTGCGGTAGTGTAAATTTCATGGGACTTCCCATGTCTCATCGGTATCTTGAGCTTCCGCTGTAAATTTAATCACGGGAATGTAGAGGCGGCTTTCATGACTAGCCACCACGGGATTTTTTTTTGGGTACCTGCCACGACGGGGCACGCAATTCTGATCAAAATCGAGGGTATAATCCGTCTTTATCATCGACGGTGTGATCCAGCTTTAGGTAGTCATAACTACCGAATGTCCATCCCTGTACCGCTCATATTAATGGAACTGCGAAGTCTGGAGGTGTAGAGGGTTTGGATTGATGAAGGAGGAGAAGACCGCTGACTAGGTAGCCAAGATTTACCATGGATCACATTGGGCCAGAAGAGTGAAGTAAGCCTCAGGATCTTCCATTCACCATTATTGTGCACTACCAAAATCGTTCACTCAGGTGGAGGTATGTCTCGGTCAATTCACGGATCACTTGCAAGGCGCAGAGGCCACTACTAGCCTCAATATCCTTTCTATACGTATTGTATTGACACTCTCGATGATGATTGCGTTCCCCAAAAGAAAAAGAAAAAAAAAAAACCAATCCCCGGTAATCGACCCCCATAATGACTCATGAAGCTTTGGAGGTTTACTGCTGAATGGTTCTATAGAAGTTGTATAGCATTTTTGGCTATGAGGCTAGCCAACTTGATGACGTGACCGGTTGCTCACGGGATATATTCACTAGTTAGCTAACTAGTCAATTATTTCAAAGCAGTGACAAATCAACTTCGAATCTGACAAATCTATTCACCACAAGTCACTGCAGGCGGTATAACTGTCTATCTTCAGGGAATAAAGTCTATAAAAGCATGGTCTGCCTACTTCACCAAACAAGTAACACACTTCTCAATCCCTCGTCATGACCGCTCCATTCCCAATTCCAAAGACAACTAGACAGTGGACTGTCGTAGGTGATAATGGACTTGAATCCTTGCAATACACGGAACAGCCTGTACCTGAACTTGGCGACAGGCAGGTCCTAGTTAAGAGTAAGTTGCCTAACTATGTGCCTTCTTGCCTTTGTAGTACTAACTGGTCTCCCATAGTTCGAGGTGCCTCCCTCAACGTACATGCTCTTCGGCCCCACTCTTCCCGCGGACCATAGTAGACTAACATATGCTTAGTATCGAGACCTCCTCATCATCCAAGGGAAATACCCCTTCGACCTGAAACCAGGCGTAGTCCCCGGCTCCGATGGAGCCGGAACAGTCCTCGCAGTTGGCAAACACGTCACTCGATTCCAGCCCGGCGACAAAGTCGTCACTATCATCAACCAGCAACACCTTGCAGGGTCAATGAATGCCAGATCCCTAAAATCCGGACTTGGCGGCTCCCTCGACGGCACTTTACGTTCCGTCGGCGCGTTCGATGAAGATGGCCTGGTCACTATGCCTGAGGGATTGAGCTTCACGGAGGCTGCGACGCTCAGTTGCGCGGGATTGACGGCGTGGAATGCGCTGTTTGGACTGGACGGGAAGCGCCCCATGCCGGGGCAGTGGGTCCTTACTCAGGGTACTGGTGGTGTGAGTCTTTTTGCGATTCGATTCGCGAAAGCGGTTGGCGCGAGGGTTATTGCTACGACAAGCAGCCCGGATAAAGTGAAGTTTCTTGAAACGCTTGGTGTGGATAAAGTGATCAATTATCGTGAGATTTCTGAATGGGGTTCGCTGGCCAAGGAGTTGACTGGGGGAATTGGAGTTGACCTCGTGGTGGAGGTTGCCGGTGGAGCGACACTGAAAGAGAGTGTTGCTAGTCTCAAGCTCGATGGACTGATCAGCGTCGTTGGTGCTGTTGGAGGCCAGGGAAAGGAGATACCAAACCTGTTGGATACTTGGCTTAACCTCTTCACTGCTCGCGGTGTTTGGGTCGGGAATCGGCTTCAGATGGAGGAGATGTGCCGTGCTATAGAAGTGTCTCCGGACAGACTTCGTCCTGTTGTTGATCCGCAGGGTTTTACGCTTGAGACGGTTAAAGAGGCGTATGGGTATCTGGAATCGGGGAAATATTATGGAAAAGTCTGTATTGAAATTGCATGACTTGGTTGATATGATGTTGTGGCCAGGTATGCAGTTTTGGATGCCTGGTTTGTCTTCGGGATTTAGAGATGAATGTGTAGGCGTAGCTCACAGGAGATGCATCTCAACTTTATTATTTCTTATTTCCCTTTACATAAGAATCATGGTGTATCAATACATGGGGTACTCAAACCATATCCATTCAGTCATACTTTGACTGCTCCATACCTAACGCACGACTGTCTATACTCAATGTCTCTTCAGTCTGGGTCGATAAGAAGATTGTTATATTTTACCTTCAATTTTCCTGTATTGCTTTGAGGGAGCACCTTTGCTCGGTATTATCTTCTACTACACAGATCTTGATTTATGAGTGCTTTAATTTGAGGCGGCAGAGGAAACCATAGTGATCAATCTCAACTCCCAATGCGGAGAGAGAGAAACAAATAGGATACATGGGAACATAAACCATTTTAGTGACATTAAAACCCAGAAATACCATCTTTAATGCTTTCGATATTTGGATTGAATGGAAAAGACCAAAAGTTCGAAGCAAAACGACAGAACGTTGGTTTGACCAATAAAGAAGAAAGGAAATAGAAAGAGCCGTATAGAATACTTGAGATCAACCCGGAACAAAAGCAATAACGCAATGATCAAGAGATATTTGCGCATGTTATACCCTATCTATCAGAGTAGCGTAGAGATCACATCAGAACCTAGCCATTTCTTCAAATGGAGTGTCCTATTGTCCATTTCCTTCCGAGGTATCCGTTTCTGCGAGTTCACTAGTTGTGGTAGAAATCATAGTGTCAGACGGTCTGTCCATGACGTCTTGATAGCCCTCAAACTCAACGTCAGACACATCCTTGCTGGTAAGATCTATGTCTCCATGTTAGTGATTGAAAAGCAAGAGAAAGATATTGTCTTACCACTCTCAGAGGAAGTTTCCGAGTGAAGCGACCCCGTCTGCTGTATATCAAAACGAGGATCCCCGAGATCATGCGGATTGTTGTATTTGAGACGGGACTCCGATTGACCAAGCATGCGGCATATTTCGTCAGCTGCCATGGTCATTATCATTCCTTCTCTTTCTTTGCCCGCAGACGCTTCCTGTCCCTGGAAACCCTCGATCCTAGCTTCAATCTCAGCAATCAACGCCGGGAGTGCTTTACGAGTGAGCGAATACTCCGCCCATCGCTGGATTGTGTGGTCTTGGAATAATATCCATGCCTTTTGTTCCTCTGTTTGACCGAGCCGATGTACTCTCCCAATGGCCTGGACGAGCGTACTCAGGTTTCTAGGGGTTTGGAGAACGATGATCCGTGAGCAGCAACGATGCAGATTGAGTCCTTGAGAAGTGCATTGGAATGTGGAGAGGAGAACCCGATCACTGCTCCCTCGATTGGTGAAATCTGCAGATATCTTGAATTTTGCATTTGCCCGCGTGCCCAACCTAATCGCACTGAAACCGATGCCTAGCGCAGTGACGAACATCTCAACTAGCCAACGGACCCGTGGATTTATGCAAAATATAATAAATCGAGGAGCCCCGCTCGCCGCAGGGTTCGGTAAAAGCCCTTCGTCTGAGAAGATCTGTAGCAGGTATCGTAGCTTCGGAGAGTCTTCGGCCAGATAATGCGCGATGTCATATCCGGAGGATGGCATTGTCGATGATTTATCCTGAACGGTCCTTTCCCAGTATTCGCGAAATGAGACAGTGAGTGACTTGACGGAGGCGTCAAGATCGATATCTTCCTTTTTACCGGCTTTCACGAAGTCATGTAAACGGGGGCTAAACGCTAGAAGCCTTGCCATCTGTTCGTCAGTAGGATTTGGAAACCCGAGTCGTGTTCGCATCGCACGCAGAGGTGGTTTATTTGTAAGACTGTTGTCACTAACCCTGACAAAACTGTTGATATACTTTGCGTACTTCTCGTTGTGCTTGACCTGGTATTCTGGAGGGAACCGAAGATCGACAGTTCCGATTCTGGCTGGGGGAATTTGCCCTCCTAAAACCACGGCTTCGGCGTCTGGTCCAATATCAATGAGCTCGCCCAAATTGCGTGAGAGGGATATCATGCCCATAACTACCAGCAAGACAAAACGTCCCAGGTCATCCCAATCGCTCGGGTTTAAGGCGAGTCGGGCAAGAGCTTTTGGTGAAAGAAGGTACGTGGGTAGCTCCATGCCGCGGGAGAATCGTACGTTCTCGAAAGCGCGGTAGGCCTCTATGGTTAGATCTGTTAATGTTCCCGGTGGAATGCTTTCGTCAAAGGAGGACCGGTGAAGAATTTTAAGGTATCCTTGTAAGTCGCCTGGCCTATTCCACAGAGGGGTTGCGGTAATAAACCAGTAATGAGAAGCACCTAAAAGTGCAACCGACTGATGACGGCCAGACTCGGGGTCCTTCACTTGATGGCCCTGGTCGCAGATTACTCGATCGAAAGCACCATTCTTCATCACTGACACATATTCGTTTCTGGACCTTTTCTGTTTCGAGGTAAGTTGAGATTTTTCATCATGACCGCGGCCAATCTGTGCGCAGGACCGCTTTAGCCATGTTTGATATGACGTGAGAATAATAGTTCGACCAGTACGTGAGTCATGCGAAGACAATTTGCCAATTTCATGTTTCAATTCGGCCAATTTGGTGATAACAGGGGCCTTCCATTTCCTTTAGTGATACTTGGAATGGCCGAAGAAGACCAATACACGAAATCTGTCTCCAAAGGATCGCCCTATTTCATTCATCCAGATGTCTATGACCGTAGGTGGACAGATTATCAAGGTTGGCTTCATGGGCCGGAATGGCGAGGCTTGATGGTAGATAGCAGTAAGTGCAGTCAGGGTCTTACCGGTGCCACATGCATCATTTAGCATGCCTCCTTTTATAGGGCCATCCTCTTGCAGGATCATCCATGCGCAAGCGATAATTTGCCATGGCTTCAAATGAATGAATTCATTGTTGCCCAAGTCGTATTTCATGGATGACTTGTCTATCCCGAGCATTGCACAGGCTGAATCGAATGAAGGGGAGCACGCTGAATTATATTTCACATTTGACATGTTGCCGGGCTCATTGAATTCAATGGAATCAGGGTTATCGGGGTCATCGGGGTCATCAGCGATATCTAATCGGGACAGGCGAGACAGGCCCGTGAATTGGTCTTGGTCGGAGTCGAATATATCATGAGAGACGCAATTCTCCTTAAAGCTCTGAGCATTCATGAGACTCTCTAGTAACTCTGAGCGCTGTTCATCGGTCATAATAGCTACCGCTTTTCCTGTTAGTCCCCACATCGATCTGGATCCTGCTGGGAGATGGGCTTCTGGGTCTTTCTCTGTCTGCGCCTCCATTGTTGATACGAGGAGAAATAGACTGTAGATTCTAGATAAAGTCTGCGATCTGTTGTTGGGATTATGGATAGAGGGAAGTCCAGGTAAGGCGTCAGGGTTTTCTTTAATCAATAGAAGCCCCTTAATAAGATGATAAGACGTAGGTATAAGCTAGGCCCAACCTATAAGCCAAGAGAGTTGTCTGAAGGATGATACATTCAAGAAAGGAATTGGGTTTGAGGGGATGATTGCGAGAAGAGGAGGGGGAAGAGGAATGGATGTGAACGATCAGAGAAGATGTTGCTTGATGAGTCTCCATCCAAATTAGGAAAGCGTATGGAAGCTCGTTCCACCGTGAGTGATGTTTGATGGATGTATCTCTTCGGTTGCAAAACTTCGTCCCAGGGCATCTTGACCATGACAGCTCCCATATCAAGGCCTCCTGGGGTGGAATCTTCTAGACCCATTCTCGCCAGAACCATTAGGCAATGTAAACATAGAATGAGTGATAAACCTCGCCTACTTGGATCATGTATTCAGCTCCTAGGGCCAGTTTCTGTGATACCAAGTTCCTCGTTGGTGGTTTTCATACCCACGTAAGCTGCTGCTGTTGCCGCTAAATCCCCGGGCAATTAATGGCCTTCGAACTGTCAAACGCTCTTTTGAATGTCAAGCTTCATTTTAATCTTACCTTGAACAAGAAAAGATTCATTTATTGGATGCCAGTTTAAGGGACAATATATTGTGGCAAATCTCGTCTGAAGCCAAATACACCTGCACATGCTGCGGCTATTCCCTGTTCAGACAAGCCCACCAAGTGCTTTAGACTTCCGAAACCGTAGGGTTGGTGATATACCGGACTGGAGACCGGTAAAGTATGAGAGATGATAAATGATGCGTGATGTGTTTTCGACAAATGGAGTCATTTGCTTTCGGAGGTGAGCAAGATAGTCATTTCTTGGGAAGGCAAGTCCGGGCATTAATATATTTTATCTCTGGATTAGGCTGACTGATAAAATGTCACTTTAGGGTGTTTTAGTCCAGTGCTCCTATGCAAAGATTCATATAAGGGGGCAGTTTTTGTGTTTCCATCGTCAGCTTCTATGATTCCCTGTTCTAAGCGTACTACACAATATATTGTTAAGTCAATGCAGGGCCATTATACTAGAAGAGTATACTCTGGGGTTTCCTTGAAGAAGCATGGTTAGTTCTATCATACTGGACAACTTCTTGCAAACCGTCTCGCCACTCAACTCAAAGAACCATTTTTTACTGGCTAGAAAAATCGGGAAATTGATCCGACACTCCATGCATGTTCAGTCGTCTGCAGTTAGCAACAAGGCTGAGAAAACCACTGCGGCCAGGATATAATATAGTTCGCAGGTACCACAAGGCCGGAGACTCAACCCCTCCAGGCATAAATTCAATCACTGCATCCCAGTCAGTCAGCAGTAAACCCCCGAGATCTGCCGTCCACCAAACAGACATCCACTCAAAACGACAACACAGCCATGTCTCGACCATACATGCATTCCAAGACCGAAGACAAGGATGCGCGTGGGGGCGAGCGGCGTCAGAAAAGGGGAAAAGATCAACACACCACCACGCGGCCAGGGAGATCGCGAAGCCTTTCTTTCTTCCAGTTCGCAGTCCATACACAGTTAGACGCCCCAAATGATAAAGCCAAAAGTGGAGTTCTCCGCGGAGCCATCCGAACACTTTGACCTCCATACCACGGGAGTGTAAATCCTGCAAGGCCATTGCAACACAAAAATATCGAGGTTAAAAGAACTCTGACTTGTCAGATTGCCAAAGCCTGGTCCTTCCGCTGGGGTCCAAAAGTTCTACCCACGCTACTGGCTACTGCATGCTTGGCCCGCTGAGAGTTGTCTCGCTATCACAACGCTCAATGGCCCGTATTTCCATTTCCGCCCCCTTGGGACTCGGGGTTTCGTATTCAGCCCGGCTTGGCTGCAGGAACTCGACCAACGGGTTGTCTGGAGGGAAATGGACTATCAATTAGGGGTGTTTAATATGCATGGGGTTGCATGCTGGTGTGTAAGATAGTCTGTCAGTCTTAGGGTTGGCCTGGGTAGGTATGTTGTGAATTAGTGTAATCGCCCCTTGAAGAGATAGAGAGGGTTAAACTTGACTTATTCTTTTTTATTTGATGCTTCTTCCCTGTCTGTTCATTTCATCCTGATGTTTTGATGTCAAATTCTTCACTTCATGGGACACTCATACATCTTCGTTCCCTAAATCTCCGGCTACCTATCTATACAACCCAGCCAGACAGCCCTACATACCCGCTTACCAACAACCTCTATACAAGATAAACCAATATCAACAACCACACCTCCAACGCTCCTCCCCTTCGCCATGATGCGCAACCACCACCTTCTCCTCGTCGTCTCCCTCCTCGCAACCCTCGTCTCCTCAACCTCAACCCAAAAATGCTACCTAATGGACGGCACATCCGCCCCCTCCCTCTCCCCCTGCAACCCACCCTCCAACACCACCACAACGACAACAACACAACACTCCCCCTGCTGTCCCCTCCGCCCCTCAACCAAAAACCCCGCAATCTGCCTCACCAGCGGTCTCTGTCTCTCCTCCAACGGTCTAATCTACATATCCGGCTGCACGGACCCAACCTGGACCGACCCCGCCTGTCCCTCCGTATGCCCGGACGCGCGCACAAAGTGGACCGGCAAGGCTCTCGAGAATAAGGACTGGAAGCAGGGCCAAGTGCTCGATCATTGGCAAGTTATGACGTGTGCGCCGAAGAAGGTCTGTTGTAGACGGTTCTCGGGGAATGAGGGGTGTTGTGGGAACCGGTCGCTTTGGGTGAATGAGTTTGAGGCTGGGATGCCGAGATTTAGGGTTTGGGAGGGGGAGGGTATCAATGGTTATTTGGGAGGGGAGGATGAGGGTGGGAATGAGACTGCGACGGCTACGGCGACAGGGACGGGGAGTCAGAGTACGAGTGCTGGAGATGAAGGGAAAGAGGTGTGTCGAGAGGCGACGGTGGGTGCTGCCGTGGGAGCACCGTTAGGGGCAGCGTTCGTGGCGACACTGGCGGCGTTGGCTTGGGCGATACGCAAGCAGAAGGTCACGGAGAAGCGACTACGAGGGGTGGAAGCGCAAGTCCCGATGCAGAATCCAAGTCTGTCATCGATGGGATATTATAAAGAAGCCGGAGCAAGACACGTGCAGAGACCCGGAAATCATGCGGAATTGAGTGCGACGAGACAGTATGAGCTGGATGGGAGGTCGAGTGCATAGCTTGAAGGACTGTTGAATAGTTATGATAAGGATAACATCATATTTCCAGATAACGCCGTCACGCCATAATAATACATTTTCCAATATATACAAACCAGACACCAAAGCAACGCTCTATTTGCAGATCCGGACCCAATGCTTCAAACCAAAAGAAAAAACTAAAATCAGCATGTACAACAGGGTATCACCGTCTATCCGTATCCGTGTCCCTCCCTCGTATCAAGCGGTCTATCTTCTCCGAAAGATCATTCGTCTTGTACGGCTTGTGGATGATATCGTCCATGCCAGCCGCCATCATATCTGCCTGTTGCGCCTCCCTCACGTTGGCCGTCACTCCCAGCACAGGGACGTGGGATTTTGTCTGTCGTTCCATGTCCCGGATCTTGCGCGTCGCTTCGTTGCCGTCCATGATGGGCATCACCTGGTCCATTAACACGCAGTCGAACGAGCTCGTCTGCACGACATCCAGCGCTTCCTGACCATTGCTAGCTTCAGAGACTTGGAAGCCAAGAGACTTCAGTTTGCGCGAAAGCACCTGCCGGTTGATGATGTTGTCTTCGACTAGGAGGATGTGTCGCGCAGACGACGACGACGACGACGACCCGGTTGACTGGGAATTCGACCCCGACGACGGACTCGCTGACGGACTCGCCGACTTGGGCAGAGTCACCACCGTCCCACCGGACTTGGTCTGCCGAGTGAGCTTGGACGTATGATCTTTCCTGTCGGTGCTAGATTCCGGAGGGTCGCCCATCAAGTTGGCCATCATCGGCGCCTCGGGGATACTCGGCTCGGTCGTCTGTCGGTTAACGCCGGTCAGTTCGTTCCCGAGTTTCTGGATATCGCTGCACAGCTCGTCAATGGCGTCTTTCTTCTGGCTAGGCGGATCGTTGTCTGAACCAGCTGGACAGCGTCGTACCGAGAAGAAAAATCCGAACGTGCTACCCTCGCCTTCCTTGGAACTAACGCCGATTTCACCGCCGTGCAGATGGCACAACTTGCGCGACACGTTCAGCCCCAGTCCGGATCCGCCGTAGATGCTCTCGGTGCGCGGCGTGGCCTGGTTGAATCGCTCGAATAGCCGCTTCTGCGCCTCGTCGCTAATCCCAATGCCGCTGTCCTTCACGGCCACCATGATATACGCCGCCTCGCCCTTGCCCCATTCTGATCGGGACGTGGCGTCCATGCGCAGCGCCGTCTCGTCAGACTTGAAAAACACTACGTCGGGCGGATACGACGCTGGACGCGCCGCCGACGCACCCATCGACACGCGAATGGCCTTCTGATCCCCCGACTTGGCCGTGAACTTGATCGCGTTCGACAGCAGATTGATCAACACCTGGCCCATGCGATCCATGTCCGCCAGGACCCAATCCACCCCGCAGTCGGCATACGACTGATCCAACACATACTCAAACTGAATCCCATGCTTCCGTAACTCCGGCCGAAACATCGTCAACGAGGTCGCGATATCGCGTCGCGGCATGACCCGTCTCGGCGACAACGATAGCATCGAAGCATCCAGCTTCGAAAACGTCAACACATCATCAATAATCTTCTTCTGATGCGCCACACACAACGAGATCGTATCCGCCGCCGTCGCAATATCCGACACCGCGATATCCGCCTTATCGCGGTTATGGACCGCCTCGAGGATATCCTCGGTGCAGTGCAAAATGGCGGACAGCGGATTCCGCACCTCGTGGCTGATCATGTCGATGAATCGCTCCTGTTGCTCTTTCCGGTCTTGCGCCTCCTGCGCGATCTTCCGCTGCGAGAGCTCGGCCGTTTTCTCCTGCGTGATGTCCGCTATCGTGCAGATGAACCCTCCTCCGTTGCCGTGCCTGTCGGGCGCGAGATTGAAGTGGTGCAATTCGGAGCGCGCGAGCGGCGTCAGGACTACGGACCGCCACATGCAGCAGTGGTTGCGGATCCGGTATTCCTCGCGCAGAGAGCATCGCGAACGTAAAGCGTCTGCGTAACCGCGCGCGACGCGATCGTAGTCGTCTTCGTGGATGGACGGGCTCCAGCGGTCGAATGTCGTGGTGCCATGCGAGACGGCGAGTTCTTGGAAGCGGCGATTTACGAAGATCGACTCGTCGCGGGTGTTCAGGATGGCGATTCCGCTAGGTAATAGGTCGGCGAGTTGTTGGGCTGAGATGGTCCCTGGGGATGGGAGGGCCATGATGGGGAGAGAGAGTGTGGCGGGGATGGTGTGTGTGTGTGGCCGCCAAGTTGAGGTTATTGAGTGGTCGTATAGTGATACACCTTGACACCTTTTTCCTCGGAATATTCTGGATGAGTTTAATTTTCGGAGTAATGAGAAATGGATACTGGATGGAGATTAGAGATTAGGGAGGAGGAAAGGCCAGAGGGTGAAACGGACAAGAATCTGAGGATAGACGGACCCACGGATCTGAGGCGGCGGTTATGATGCAATGGGGCAGGAGGAATGCCGCAGTCCAAACTGGAGAAAGAGGGACAGGATGAAAGAACAGCGACAGAGGGAAGACCGAAAGGACGACAAGAGGATGCAAAAGAAGTCTAGACGAGTCTGAAGGAAGTCGATCCGGACGATCCTCCTGCCTGGAGATGCATGACACCATGTGACGTCAACAACCCTCGCCTCCGCCCGTTTTTCGCCTCACTTTTTCTGCGTTCATCTCTACAATGGAGCCTTCGTCGTCAATCGCGTCTATTATTTCTCGTCTCTCTCCCCGATCTGTCGCTCTATAGTCTATACTTTTCTCTATCCCACTCATGATATACATGCTCCGCCTGTTTAGCTCGGTCTATTTGCTCTCGGCCACCACAAAATGGAACACTCCCGGTTCCGCCTTCCTGCCAGGCGCGTTCTCCGACACGTAGATGCACTTGCGGAACGTCTTGACCAGCGAAACGAGGAATCCCTCGTCCTTGGACTCGTGGTAGTTCTCGCCGAGAACCGACTGCATCGCCTTGGTGGCCTCCTCGGCCTTGTAGAAGGGAATGCGGCTGAACAGGTGGTGCACGACGTGGTAGTCGATAATCTCATGGAAAAAGTGACGCCCGATGAAGCCCATCGTGCGGTCGACCGTCGCCAACGCGCCCTTGGTATACGTCCAGGATTCGGGGCTGTAGTGCGGCAGAGCGGAGTCGGTGTGTTGCAGGTAGGTGATGGCAACTACGACCGTTAGCCTTTTGTCCTCTATTTTCGTTTCTACTATCTTGGGGTTGCAGGGTCTGGGATATGCAAGGGGGACATGAACATACTCAACCAATGGTGCACCCAGAAATACGGCACTCCGTACAGCAGGGCCACATTCCAGCCGCCGATCTGGGTGCTGGCATAGTACAAGATGGAGCCCATGATGATGAGACCGAGATCCGAGAGGGCGATTTGGAGATACTGGCCGCGCGTGAACAGACCACCCAGGGGGTTGAAGTGGCTGCCCGAACGACCAGGCCAGCTCTTAGGGCCAGCGGTGACGTTCATCAGCAGATACAGCTGCCAGCCGAACAGCTGGTGTCCGACCAACTGCAGGAACGACACGATGGGGGTCTCCTCGGTGAGATGCTTCAGCTGCTCGATGCGCACATTCTTCTTGCTCGCCAGCTCCTTGTCGGTCCACGGCACGAACACCGTATCCTTCTCCATATGCCCGGTGTACCGGTGGTGACGGGCGTGGGTAATCTTCCACGAAAAATATGGCACCATCAGGAACGAATGGGCGGCCCACCCGACGAAGTCGTTGAAGTTCTGATAGTCCGAGAAAGCGCCGTGGCCGCACTCGTGGGCCAGGATCCAGAGCCCGGTGCCCACGCAGCCTTGGAAGAAGCCATAGACGGCCCAGGCGAGCGCGCGCAGCGGCAGAGACGGCAGCAGGTGGATATGGAAGGCGGCGTAGGTGAGGACGGCGCAGTAGAAGATGTCGCGGGCCAGGTAGAGCAGAGAGGTGACAACGGAGGATTCAAAGCATTCTTTCGGGATGCTGTCCTTGATGGTCTTGAGATTGGGCACCGAGTCCGTAGGCTGTTGTTTTGTCTTGATTGTCAGCTTTCATTTCCTATGCTTTAGCAGACCAGGCGGCCAATTAGAGTGGTCAAACGTACCTCCTCGACAGCCTTGACGGTGATGGATCCCCGACGGAGTTCAGTCACGACCGACATTTCCACGCTCTCTCACTAATCTTGCTAATACCAGGTTTCACAGAAATCCGGATTTAGAGAGCTTTAAAGCAGGATAGAAAGAAATCAGGGAATTGACCAAACATAGGGGTCAGACAGAAAAAAAAAAAAAATTCAAACCCATACTACGGAGCAACAGTCTAGCGGACTTCAGGCGAAAAACGAAAAAATAATACTACTAATCCCACTCCATCTCGCCTTCCCCAATCAGGACTTTCCTGGAGAATTTCTGGAACGAATTGAGCGAGAGCGATTGGCCATCCAGTAGGGACAAATACAGATCTAGGGGACCCGCCGGCGTGTCAAAGGCGATGGATTCAACGGGAAACGCTGAAACGAATGAGTTGATCGCCTCGCTATTTCGGGCTGCCAAGCTTTGCCTGGAGTCCCAACGGATTTTGGCGTCTCCTTTTTCTGGGGACTTACGGAGTAGTCTTACTGGACTAGCAGCTGTGTACTCTTACAGAGTAGACTGTCGAGTGTCGACAGAGCACTCTGTCTACGAACAGTAAAACAAGGGGTCTGCGAACCAGAGGTCGATCACCGATAGCTCCGTGATCAACCACTGCATGGCGTACAGAAAATATCCAATAATCCCTGAACCGAAAATAGGACGAGATCCAGGGGAAGGAGAGACAGGGGTAACCTTCCCTGCGTGCATCGGAAACAGTTAACCTAATGCACTGTCAGATTTTCCCGAAACTCAGGCAGATTTTTTTTTTCTTGAAAAAGAAAGAAAATCCATTCGCCTCTCCCACGGGCTACTACACTGCGGTGTACTCTCCTCCTAAAATCAAAAGATAAAATCCATGTTAGCCTCAAAATTAACTCTCAACAAATTCGTTAGTTCGCCCGCCAATGCAACGAGTAACGTCCCGTAGTCCCTGGCTCTATTCCCCTTGCGGCTTTAGCTCTGGGGGCCGATTCGTATCGCGATCCACTCTCGCCTCGCCGTCCGTGGTTCAGAAAAGTTATTGATCGGTTGATTTTTATTTCTCACAGAAGGTGTACTGTGGGCTTTTTTACGGGGTGTGTGATTGCCGGCGATATCGGGGTTTGTGTTTGTGTTTGTGTTTGTTTTTCTGTTGGACTGTACCTATGGCTGGTTTAGGGGCTGCGCGATACTGATTTACTGAGCCTCTGGGACTGAGGCTGAGACTGGGAAATGATACATTGACTTTTCTCTGGTTTGGAATATTTTCGGCGTTTTTCCGGCCGCAGGATGTGAAGAAGTTTCTGTCAACCAGGGCACTGGAGGCTAGTACACTTTGTATCGTAGGATCGCCCTCGGCGAGCACAGTAAGTTGCATGTGAATATAGACTCTGCAATTTTCTTATCAGCCTCTACGGAGGAATCTCTCCCAGCCCCATTCCTTTCATTGACAGCAGCCTGGATGTGGCTAGTAATCTCCACTTCCTCTCTCTGCACTGTCGGGGCGGATAATCTCGCAAGTCGCAACACTTCACGCTCCGACCGAGGTCAAAGTCGAGAAATAATCGAATACTCGGATATTTAGTGGTATCGTGTAGTGTATAGTAAGGTTAGTGAACAGAATTTGGTTTCCGATCACATGCAGAGAAGTTGTTGGGTTGTAGTAGGATTGGTCTTGGGCCAAATATATATGTTTGCTGACAGGTACTCATACCTACAGGCCTTGAAAGATCAGAATCACTGCCCGATCTGGCCAGCATGAGTCGACAAAAGAGAGCTCTTCGAGGATGAGTGAAATACCCATTCTTCCATTTCAAAGGACCTGTCATCGCATGGTAATTAGGGATTATTTCAGCTAACAGACAAGGGAATTTTCGTCGAACAAACTCTGGTCCATAAGGTTAGTTTGATAATGGAAACGAGCGATGGATGTGAGTTCATATGGTCAAAATGCAGTTAAACAAGATATATCAGGTAGCCATTAAATACTAATTCATTGATCGTGAAATTATTTCATATCAATCCGATTCTCGCTGAGTGGCTGGGTAGCCTCGGTGTTCAAGTAAACATGCCCATCGCTCATCGGTACTGAGTTCCGGAAGATTAAATTGAGATGACGACGCGCTGGGAGGAATCGTCTGTTCAGTTATTAGGAGTTTCATGTTGGATATTGTGTGTCTATTGTGAAAGAGAGTGTTATCTCTACCGCACAAAGGAGCCGGAAACAAATCTCTGTTGGCGTAGGTTAGGGTTTCGTAGGCCTGTGATCCCGACAGTGAGACGCATATAGAGTCACCATGACATCGACCAACCCCTCTAAAAGCATTAATAATGGTTATTCAAAAAGATTTACAGCTCAAGACACAAACCTCACTTCATCCTTCTCATATCAACACATCTGACAAGTTCAACAATCCCACAATGGGGAAAGCAAAGAATCGCCCACCAGCGAACCCCTACCTTGATTCACCCTATGAAGGGTTGGCAGGGCATACATGCCCCATCTGCACCAACGATTTCGCGCCAACACGGAAATTCGACAGTGAATTTGCCGAGAGCTACCACTGGGACGCCTCCCATTTCGGTATCTACCCGGCAGCAGACATGGAGAATATGATCTTTTTCCGCCGACGAGCATGGTGGACGCTTTACCGGATGAGTAAGTCTCGCGTTGATACTTGTTTCTAGATCGACGCTCTTAACGCTAAATGTACACTGCTAGTTATCTATGATCCCGCTACCACCAACTACCATGTCTCCGGAGTCGCAAAGGTACCGCCAGTCGCAAGCAGGTCAAATATGTATTGTGTCGTCCCCAGGGACCCCACTCTGGGCGTGATTGGACGTCCTGCAGATGGAGTTGGCGATCAAAGTTTCTTGAAGCCGCTTATTATGGATTCATATACAAAGCTGGAAGCAGCAAAGGAGTTGGCCGGGTATCCTATACATCCTCTATGTTGGAATCTGCTTTCATTGGTTATGGGGGAAACCCGTATAAAGAACATGTCTATGTTGTCTTACGTGCTCCGAACCAGCGAATTGAGAACGACGAGTTTCTTGAGAAGCATACATGAGATAGGATTGATGTTGGAGCCGCCTTGTGAGGCACAGATGACTCTTTGCCCCGAATGACTGGTTCTAACGCTTGCTGGCTCTTTGCAGATAATCCTTTGAAGACGAATGAGGTGTTGTCCTGTATCAAATCAGCCAGGATAGATCGTAAGGGCAGAAAGCGAATGTGCTCTTCTATTCAGGATGTCCAGGCGCAGACACAGTCCCGATTGACATGGCTACCGCAGGAGCTTCGAATTGCCATTATGGATTATTTAGGAATTTCGGATGGACTTGCGTTGCAGGAGGCGGTTGGCTGGACGATGTCTTCGACATACTGGAAGGGGCGAATCGACAACGACATGTTCCCTGAGGTGAGGAGCGTGCGAAATGTTGAAGATATTGATTGGCTTCTAGTTGGTTGGAAGCTAGAAAAGTCGGCCGCCAAGATTGTTCGAGAGCATGCATTGGAGATTCTTTCGGGGTTTAGGTTTGTGTTTGATCGCTTGATGTTCGCAAGGGCAACAAGTTTCCGTTCTGGTTGCTGATCTCCTAATCCTCCTTCCTAGCTGTCTCTGTCTTCTCTGTGCAGTTCTCTGCACGTCATGTCTCTTTCCTTTGTTTTTTTAGCGTGTCTTTCCATCTATGATAGAAATACTACTTGGTTGACCAATAATCTGTTGAAACTCCTTCGCCTTCACAAGGGGAGCCCTTCACAAGCGAAGTTCACATTGCTTGCCCGTAGGAGAACCCTCGCTTGGGTGGTACAGCCCCCTAGAGGGAAGGGGGTGTAGCCGAATCGTTCATCGTCTTTTGGAGCCTCCTTGCCATATCCTAGTGTCCCATGTCTGCCACTAGTTGATCAGAGAAGTTGCCCATACAGGCAGTCTCTCACCCTCCAATCTGTCGTCGGAAGAAGCAATCGCCACTTCAAAGCCACTGTGCAAACGGCTGGGCCGTGAAGGACTTTTCTCGACATATCTCATACAAACTACAGAGTCGTCTGTCCAAACACAGCCTGGGCTATCCCACTGAATATACTTTTGTTGTCCACTCGATGGGTAGAGTTAGTCCCGCGAATTATCCGAATGATGTATAGAGTGTAGATGTTTCTGCTACATGTTAGGGCCACAGCCACATCTAATCCCACCTAATCCATCTTCCTCCCAACCTTCCCGATCCTCCCCAGCCCCCAAACACTGACACCCAGACACGCCACCGTCAATGCAAACTCGAACCAGAACGCAGCCCGATATCCCTCCAACAGCGCCCCGGTATCATCTGACCCAACCTTCCCGGATTTCTGCGTCACGCCGTTCGCCACCAACGCCGTCAACGCGATGCCTACACTTTTTCCCGTCTGTGACACCGTATTGAACACACCCCCAGCAACACCCTGCGTCTTAGGCGGAAACATCGACGTGATGAGCAGATTCGAGACGGTGAAGATACCATCCGCGCCGATCGGGTTCAGGAAATTAGCAATAAACGCGCACGACCAATACGGCCATTTCGGGCTCGCGAGGGCCATAAGCAAAGGGGCGACGGCGGACGGAATGAGCGTCATGATAACGATCCAGTCGGCGCGGACGCGGTGCACGATCAGCCCGACGAGGATGTTCGCGAGGGCCCCGGCGACGGGCATGGGGAGGAAGCGCAGCGCAGAGCCGAAGGGCGAGATTAGTTGGATATTTTGGAAGAAGAAGTTCTGGAACTGTTCGAAGGCGTTGAAGGCGGCCCAGACGCAGAAGACGTTGATGCAGATGCAGGAGAAGACTTTGTGGCGCCAGAGGGAATTGGGGATGAGCGCTGGTCGGTTTAGGCGTTCTTGTCGACCGACCCAGACGACGAACATGCCGAGGACGATGAATGATAGCACGAGTAGGGAGATGTTGGTTGGGGAGCGGATTGCGGTGGGACTTCCTGCGATGGCCCTGTCGTTTTGTTAGTGGATGTTGGTTGAAACGGAGGAGGGAGGATACGTACGCAATCACGTAGGATAGTATGGCGAGCGATGTACTAGCAATGATGACGCCCACCCAGTCTATGTCATTCAAGAGACGCTGCCCGATCTCGCGCGCCGAAGGGTATTCGTTTCGGGGTAATTGCCATGCCGCCAGGAAGAGCATCACGAAGCTAAGGATCGCCGCCGCATGGAATCCCCATTGCCAGCCGATTTTGGCTGCGATGATGCCTCCGAGAGTCAAGCCGAGTCCGAATCCCACTGGCTGCGCTCCTCCCATGGCCGCAAAGCTAATGTTGCGCGATCGGCCTGTCGGGAACACCTCGTTAATCAGGCTGACTGCCGACGGGAGACAGAATGAAGCCGCCACGCCGGAGAAACCACGAAAGACAATCAATTGCGCGCCGGACTGAGATAGTCCACATCCCAGCGTGAAGGCGGTTTGCAGCAGACAGCCGAGTAAATAGGTCTGGCGATTGCCGACAACGTCTGAGATCGAGCCGCAGGCTAGAAGAGTGCACCCACACGTTAAGGAGTAGATAGTAACCGGCCTGGAAATCGCAGTCAGCTCACTCATGAACACTAGGATAGTCATCTGGAGAAGTTCCTACCATAGAACCAAATTATCAGGCAAGCTCAGGTCCGCGGCCACTGTCGGAAGGGTTATGGTCACCAGGCCAGCCAGGAAGCTTTGAATCCCCGTACTGAACGTCACGCAGGTAATAACAATGGCTGTGATTCGCGTCGACACCGCACTTCTTTCTGCTTCCAATTCCCGTAGAGCCTCGTCGGATTTGGTCGCAATAAGAGTGACCTTGGATGCCTCACCGGAGATCGTACCGGCCGGCGTAGGAGCCAGCTCAATTGAGGTCGCCGACCCTTCGTTAGGGACAGTAACAGCCATTGTACCAAGAAGCGGTTGGATGGGATGAGAGAGGGAGAAGGTGGATGTGATCGAGAAGCGGAAATGATACAACTATCTGATCCGTTGATTACGATGACGATGTAGTTAGTGTTATCTCCGACATGACAAAGCCAACTAATTCCGCACATGAGTCACAGCTGGAGCTGCATCCTTGCCAAACTGATAAGCAACTTGCCTGTCAGTTCAGGATTTTCGGAATCTCGGAATTCGGAATGTTCACGACTTTCATCGGCCCGTGGTTCACTGGATGATAGAATAGATCGATCAGATTGATACTGTTTAGGTGGAGAAATAGCCAAACACGATGCTTAACAATGTGGAAAGGTGAACAGGAAGAGTGGAAATGCAGAAAAAAAAGGGCCAGAAATTAGGATCAAGGGGCAGCTAGAGCCACGCGTATCTTGATTTCGGCCACACCACCCCGTATCCAAAGCGGCAACAGCTATGCCATATTTGGGTACTTTTTGCCTTAAGGCAACAAAGAAACTTGCTGCCACGCACCCCTGGTCTAAAGTGGACTCAAATCGATGCGTGCTTCTATGAGCGAAAAAAGGGACGCCAGATCAATATTTTAAGTAAAGGGTTAATTATATTCAGTCGCTTGAATCGGCCGATCATGCTTTCACCTCGTACTGCCGTCGGAACTGATCGTCAACATGAGCCAGATAATATGTCCCCGGCGCAAGATCCTCCACGCTGCCCGTAGGCGCATAGTTCTTTGCCTGATAAGCCTGTTCGCGAAGCTGACACATCTGTCCAATCATTAGTCAAACAACACACAGTCATTTCGATTGACTGAACTGACCTCATTGTAAAACTCGGGCGTCACCTCTGTCCTCGCCGCCAGTCTCGCATGCAAATCCATCTTCTGAGCGATTGCCTCTATATCACCGCGTACTCGCAGAGTCAGAAGCGTACTCGCCAGCCCAGCTCCGTAACTATACACCCCAATGCGTTTGTTCTGCAATGTCTCGCTGGGCACGTTGCTTAAGAGACTCGCAAGTCCGGCCCACACGCTGCCCGTGTAGCTGTTGCCGCAGTTTGCCGGGATAGTAAGCGAGGGACTGACGCGCTCTGTAAACTTCGCCTTGGACAGAGACATAAAGAGCCTTTCAACATCTTTGTCGGTCAACGAGCTGTCCGCGTCCATGGTCGCGTATTTCGCCGGAATGGAGCCCGAGTCAAAGGCGGCTGGGTTGGACCGGTAGTCATTGAACAGAACTCGACCGTAGGCTTTGGCAACCATCTTCGTGTTTGGGGCGTGAAAGACGAAGAAGTCAAACATGTCGATTCCCGCTTCCTTTGCTTTCGCCTCTTTTTCCTTCGCATGATCACTCATCCTAGCATACCCACCCCGCTGCTTCACCTTCTCCCGATACCGCCCATAACACCCATCCAACGCCCTCATATAGCACTGATTCGAAAAATGCCCATCAACAAGCGGATACTCGGACCCGAAATCCCCCTTGTAGAAATCATACACATGCTGCATATGGCTCGCACGAATCGGCTCCACCACGACCGGCGCATCTGCCCCGATCAACATCGCCACACACCCTGCTCCCCCTGTCGGTCGTGCAGCGGGCGTATCATACAGTGAGATATCCCCTGCGACGACGATCGCGTCGCGCCCGTCCCACGAGGACGACTCGATCCAGTTCACGGCGTTGATGACCGCGCTGGTGCCTCCGTAGCAGGCGTTGTACGTGTCGATGCCTTCGATGTCCGGGTTGTTGGGGAAGAGGGACATGAGGACTGATTTGGCGGATTTGGATTTGTCGAGGAGGGTCTCGGTGCCGACTTCGAGACGGCCGATGGTGTTGGGGTCGATGGTGTGCTTTTTTAATAGGCAAGAGACGGTGGTGAGAGCTAAGGAGTAGAGGTCTAGGGTGGGTTAGCTAGGTTGTTTGGGTGAGGAGTGTATGAAGGTAGGATGATTTGCTTGCCTTCGCGGTCATCGCAGAAGCTCATGCTTGTTTGACCTAAACCGATGGTAAACTTGCCGGTGCTGACGCCGAGGTACTTCTCGAGTTCGGTTTGCGAGACATACTAATCTGGTTGGTCAGTCAATGGCCATTTTTACGACCATGATTGAAGGGACCATGTGCACAGTGATGGGATTAAGAAGGGGAATGTACTCGGCTTGGAAAGTAAACCTCAATGGCTTTTATGCCGACGTTCTCGGGCCGAGTTGCCATATTGATATCGGAGGGAGGGCAAGAGTGTTTTCGAGGTTTGGCAGAAATTCTGCTTAAAGATCTGGGTAAGAAACGTTGAATTTCAGAACGCAGTCCTGCACACCATGGCACTGCTTTTATACTCAATAGCACAGCCCCTCGACTTTCGGCGTCGTGGTGGTTTAGGCCACAGTGCTCCTGTCTACCGTGTAGATCGGAGAATAGCTCAGTAGGACCCTCTTTGGTGTTGGCTAGCGCTGACCATCGGACAAAAGGAAGAAGTGAAAGGATTAAGAGGTAATCTAGGTCACAGAGGCTGTTCAATTGGAATGGATCTGCAGTCATTATTTGTTGCTTTTACCGCTTCGGTCTAAGTAGTCGTTAGATTCGGTCTGCCGATGTAGATATGGTCTCCCCCGGAATCGCGCCAAACCAACAAGAGCCAAATCACCAAAACATAACACTGAACTCAATTCTATCCCATTCCTAGTCGTGAGCTCCAAGTAAAAGAAAATGGTATACCAGTATCTGTTTATATGCGCCTGAATCCCAACACCAAAACCGCCCAACCATGTATTACCCGCCAGATATTTATTGGATGTTCATAATTCGTTTCAAGTCGTGAAGCGACAATGGTTTTACCAGATAGTCGTCTATGCCGGCCGCAAAGGCCTGTTGCTGCATGCTGCTCGATGCAACCCCCGTCACTGCCATGATGGCGGCTCGGGGAAGAGAATGCTGTTCTTCGTACTCGCGGATCTTGCTTGTGGAGACTACCCCGTCCATGATTGGCATGGAGATGTCTACTCCTCGTTAGCATCAATATTGTGGAATGTAAAGTTAGATACGTACCCATCAAGACGTAGTCGTAGTTTCCACTCGACTCCTTGTACTTTTCTAACGCAGCCAGTCCATTGTTGGCTGTCTCAAAGCTACAACCGATTTTTCGCATAAAGGTTGACAGGATCTGACAAGTCAGTGATGGCTTCGATCGTAGAAAGAACGCTAACATACCTTCAAATTGATATCGTTGTCATCTACAAGCAACACATGAAGATCCGTCGTTTGCTTATCCCGTGGCGATGGAGGAGAGTAATTGGACACACTATCCTTGACTACAGGCGGTGACTCGGTGCCCTTCGCAAGGGCAAAGGCATCGGACAAGGATCGCCCACGAGTGGTGAAACCGGAGAAAGGGCCCGAGACAGCGCTCTCGGTGGTGGGACTTGATTCTTGATGTGAATCTTTAAACCGCCGTAGTGCCTCGTTTATCTTGCGAGGGCCAATTCTACTGGAAGTCAGTATCCGTTGCGAGCGATTCATAGGTCATACATACGGCTGGGATAGGTATATAACGTCAGCTCCTTTGATGGCAAAGCTGCCCGGCAGAGATACCCCGTGCTGGCCAAGGATGATCACTGTTTTGAAGTTTGCGTGAACGTCACCATTTCTCGAAAGCCTTTTCAACATCGACTCCTCCATGACGCCGATGTCACCAGAAGACTTTTCAACTGAATCAGCAAACGAGACTGCCCATCCGGAGTGGCTCAGAAGCACATTGCTTAGCGCGCCCCGGATAGAGAGTTTGCGCTTGGCATCGGTGCTCAATACCTGAGCTGGGACACCATCAAGACCGGCGAACCCATTCAAGCCGATTAGGCAGACTCGGGTTGTGGTCTTCACACTCGGGCTATTCAGCGTTGGAGGGACTCCATCGGAAGCACCCTGGATAAACTCGACAGGGATAAAAACATCAACTTGCGTCCCCACCCCGACCTCGCTCCTGAAGTCGACAGTACCACCAAGGTAGGAAGTAACCTGTCTAACGATGCTTAGGCCGAGTCCAACACCTTCTGTTAAATCGTTCTCTTGCGTGAAAGGCTGGAAGAGCTTATCCTCTAGAAACTCGGGAGAGATGCCGCAGCCCGTATCTCGGATGGATAGGTGTGCCTGCACCGATTTTGATCCATTGGCACGGTCAACCCGTTGGGATAAGCAGACTTCAATCAGCCCGGATTGGGTGAATTTGAAAGAGTTTCCAATAAGGTTCATGACGATACGGCGCCATCCGCCGGACACCGATTGGATAACCCAAGATGGTTGTTCTTCGATGCGAACAACGACAGAAAGGTCATTTGAATCGTCTGACCGATTACTTTCTGAACTGACTGTGCGACTGCTGACACCAGTTCCGCTATCGAGATAGCGGCCAGCAATCTTCGAGGCATTGATACGGGACCGGTGACCCGAATACAAAGCGTCAGCCACGTCTTCCACCAAAGTGCCCACGTCGAACTCGGAAACCAGGTGATCAACATCTACCTCTTGGTTCTCCGTTCGGTCTTTTTGAAGGCGGGAAATGTTGGTGAGGTTGTTTATTTTCGTAAAGTCCAGCCTAGAAATTACATTAACCCCCCCCTCAATGCAAAGAGCGCGATACTTACAAGTGGTTCATCGTATCCAGCAAAGTCAGTCCACATGTCTCAATCATAGTCACCATATCCCGCTGAGCTGGTTCAAGAGTAGTGGCTTGTAGCAATTCTGCACTAGCGAGCATACCGTGCAAAGGTGACCGAAGTTCATGACTGACAGAGGAAAGCAAGTCCGATTTGGACTTCTCCGTGGCTGTCCACCCAATCTGCAGGTATTCTGTGGTGACCAAATCGGCGAAGGTTTTCAAATAGTACAGATCGTCTTCGTCTAGCAATCTTTCATTCTCGCCTGTCCAGATCACAATACCAGCAAGCCAGCGAGACCTGTCCCAGTTCCACAAGGGGTAGAAGATGAGTGACTTGGCATCTGGAAAGTCCCGAGCAAGGCGTGTCGCAGTAATGTAGTTCGCCGAATGTTCATGCTCGTCAATAGATCCATCGCCGTACGTAGATTGGACAGAGGGAGATAGTATCGAAGGATCGGTATAAAAGATATCACCCTGTGGGAACCACGTGAACAGATCATGTAGCAATGCCTCGGTCATAACGAGCTTAAATGAACAGCTTGCTCTCTGGGACTGCGACAGAGATACCCCGAGTGGCTCACACAACTTCTCAGACCAGCCACCGTGAGATGATAATAAAGATGAATGTGTCGAGATGTTTCCATCACCATCCTTGGACTGCGCATCCCAGTCACTGCCGCTGGTCGAAGAAAACCTTTTATCAAAGTTAGTTGCTGCATATGCGGTATGAGACGGGATAGATGAGACGTACCGCCTAGAGTTGCTTCTCGAAGCATCCAAGAACAAAGCTCCGTCCAGGTCCATCACGCTCTGAAGCAACGCACTGGCTCTAGCAAAGAGCAAAGAACTGAGAGGTGAGGGAGTCACCTTTTCTGGCACCGTCACCAGGTGGTTGGATGCGATGGAACATCTTCTCAGGTGTTCTTGGTGTTTTTCTCGGGCTGGTGGGAGGTTGAAAACTGGCTCGGGTTGTTGAAAGAATGGGGACTCTGGCGGCTGTGGCATTGTCGGCAGTTGGGGTATATCATGTGTCTCCTCGACTGAAATTGAAAGGTTGCCAAACTTCTCAGACAGTGCTGACTGAGTTTGCGCTGGCGGTTCTGTATGCCGGTGCGCGGTATCATCGGCACTGGGAAGGCCTTTGATGGTCATGAGGGTTTGAAGCAGACGGTCCGACCGGGCATGAGATTGCACGGTATAGACATTTTCCAGGTGCTGAACAATCCCAGCAGCAACATCCTTGAGGTCCGTGATAGTCTCGTCTTCCAACAATGCGCGATCCTCCTCATCCACCACGCAGTAAGTGCCAAACGTACCCCAGCGAGGGCTAGTTAGAGGTATCTCGGCATAAAAGCGCGTTTCGGGAAATTGAAGGACGAAGGGATGATCCTTGAATTGATCTTCCTTCGTCAAGTCACCAAGAATGCGAGAGCCATCCGTTGTTTCATTTGTATGATCATGCCCAGGTTTCCCATTTGTCTTCAGACCAAGAGTCTTCAACCCGGTGTCGCCATCACGACTAGGAGACCGGCTGCAGGTCACACCCTGAGAGATAACCTTTGTGCTGCCGTCGTGGATGAGGGTGACAAACGCTCTGCTACAGGCAACTCGAAAAGGCCCTAGTTGAGTCAGAGCTGGCAGTGTCACATCCGAGAGGCCGGCTCGCGAGGACTTTCGATTGTGCTTCGTTGGTGCCTGAGAATGAACACCGTCGGCGCCACTGAGAGTAGGAGGGCAGTAGAGACTATTCAAGACAAAGTCAGCACTACATTAGACAGAGTGGGAACGAAAATAAAGGACAGCTCTCGCGCAACCTTCATACCTCAACAGTTCCGAGACCATCTTAGGCTTTGATTGTGACCCCCGCGGGTGCTGGAACGCGGATGAGTCCAACACCACCATGTTGTCTATCGCATAGCAACCCGTTGCCGCACGATTTTAATCCCTGCGTAGCGGCCCAGCAGCATCAACGAGTTAATATATACTGTTGAAGCTCCGAGTTTTTTGCAAAAGGTCCGCCAGAAGAGTCCGCAGCGAGGCTTGTGGTTCCAAGGTTCCTGCAGCGTGCAACGATGTTTCCGAAGAGCCGGTGGTGAAACTCGGGGGGGGGGGGGAGGTTCCAGACCAATGCTGGCAGAAGATCGGGGAAACTTTTCTCAGCCTCCTAGCTAAAGTTTGGAAGCGATGGGTGCGACCCGGCCATACCGGGGTCATTGATACCATGAAGTCTAAGGATTTCCGGGATCGACCGCCGCGTTCCACGGTTCATGCATGTCATCTCTGCCTATCGAGCATCGGCCGAAAGCCCGCCGGGGTAGTCCGATAGACTCGGCTCCGACGCAAGTCCCTAGACAATTCAGTTGTCATGGAATTGAGATGATAGCGATGCATAATTTTCTAATAAAAATTTCTGGACTCCTCCCGGAGATTCGAAGATGGAATCACGTCATAGAATTGTGAACGATGGTCAGGGTTGTGGCGGGTGGTCCAGTATCCCTTGGCTGTGCAAGAAGGGTGCAGCTAACCTTATGGTCAACCCACCGTGGACGAGTCAATGGCAATATCGATAAGGCTTGAGCGGACAGAGGCATTCAGTGGCTCGGATTGGCACGGAGATTATTTCTCGAGGAGTCAGCCAAAGTCAAGGACCCGCAGTTGAAGGCGAAGCGCAAGAATCTTGAATGAAACCAAACTCAATCGCACACCAAATCAACCATCTCCTTCTATTAACCCGTGGTTGCATGGCTGACTCATCCACTCGGTCTCGATCGGCGGGTCATGTGACCTGCCTCGACTCATGCATTCCATTCCCTTTCTTATTTTGTTTCCTCGCTAACTGAGTGGATTGTTCACACGTCTATGACTTCACGGGGCACTATTATACATAGTCATATCCCCTCTAAGTGTGCATCGCCCCGGATATTTGACTCTTCCCTGGTCTTGGCGCCTGGCTTGCACCCCAGTTTGCACTTGGCTACTATACAGGGACTGATAGACCTGTCTAGAACCCGTGTTTTAGTGTACTGTTGCATCCCTGCTATCATAACATAACATAACATGATTCTAACCAGGCCGGTAAAAACTTCCGGAAAAGCCAACCCAAGTACAAATCTAGGTCAGCACCTCGCACAGTCCGTGTCCGGCCGAACCCACAATAGCTACTGTCCAACTCCAAGATTTCCATAACCGAGAGTGAAATTGAAAGTACCCAATCGGCTGTAGTCGGTCGGACATGGGCGAGGCATGGATAATCAATAGCAGCACGGAAAATTCCCCACATGTGTCGGCCACGCCCGCATGGTCTGATGTGCATGGTTTTGCCACCTGTCGCCACCATGTTAACATCCCTGCTATGCAGTAGTTTACCAAAAGAAGCTCGAAGTCGACTCCCTTTCTGAAGGCAGCAACGGCATCTGCCCGTAGCTCTGGATTGTTAGGCGACGCTAACCTCTTTTGCTTATCTAGACGACGAGCCGAGGCTGTTTCAATGGTTCGGTGGCGTTGAGGCTTGAGACACCCAAGCATTACTGACCGATTGTTTGGACTGGCCCTGAAAAGCCATCGCATCCAGGGCCTTTTCCTAGTCTTGGCTTTCATTAAGAACGGCACGGGTGGTATATCACACAGCAGGCGCCCCCATAGTCGGATTGATGGAGAAAAAGGCTTCAAGATCCATCGTCGAAAAGTCAATATCCCATCCCATGTCTGACATGGTGAGATCGAGAAGCTCTTCACTTCCCACACTGGCAGGGTGAATATCATCTTGCAACGAATTGCCTTGAAAGTCGGACAGCATCGGTAGGCCAGCTGCAGCGGGATCAGCTAGGGACCCATCCGCCACGATGCTTCCTTGCTGGTCCGCCATACTAGGCGGTCGAACATCATTTGCGACGGGGTCAATAACAGGACCCTGATTCTTTATGCCGGGATGAGCCACCCATTCGTATGAGGGATGGATCTTTTTCAGGGTCGTCTCGATAGCACCGATTGTGCTTTGGATCGGATCGCCGGCCCGTATCGATGAAAGACATTGCAGGGTTGCGTGTATCCACGGAAGGTGGGTGCTGGCGAGGTTTTCGCCGTGCATTAGGTCGTATATCAGAGCGAACGAGGCGCTGCCGAGGAAATAACCATGGTAGCGGAGTTCCTACTACCACGTTAGCCCAATAGACAACGGATTGGAGATCGCACACGTAGACACACCCTCACGAGATCGTTCACAATCGACGCTTCGTATAGAAAATGTATGGTCCTGCAGGCAGCACTGAGAGCGTGGTTGCAAGCGTCGTTGAGCCATGCTGGAACCTCAGTCGGACGCTTACTCGTCTCGTTTGCAGCACGATGCGGTGCCAATTTCGCGTCTCTCTGCCATCGACCGCGAAATATCAAGAATGGTCGAAACGTCAACAAGATTGTGTGGTAATAAACTAACTCTTCAGTTTCTGTTCGTTGCCTAGAGCTTGTCCAACTTACGAGTGATAAGCATGGCTTGCTGTACACCTAACACCCCTTGCTGAGCACATTTGTCAAGGCCGAAGCCCAGAGCTCGCCGCATCTTCGCGTCATAGCAACGGAGATCATCCGTAATCGACCGAGCTATCCTCCACATTTGCAGGAGCGATTCATGGTGCTGACCGTACATTTCTTCCGCGGAACGAGAGATCACTTTGGATAAATCTACCAAAGCAAGCAAAAACGGCTCTTCGGGCAATGCTATACTGACGTCTCGGCTAAGGAGTGAACATGGTCGGCCCAGGTGAAAGCAGAACCAACTGTACGTCATTAGATGAATCGGTCATTCAGTAAAAGGATGCACAAACGTTTCGAAGAAAAAGAGGGCCCAAAATGTAGTTCTTCTTTCTTCCACACCATCAGATGCATCCTCCGTATTCGGGGCCTCTTTATGCAGTCCTGCGGAAATTGCCTTTCGGGCTGCAGCTCCTGTGTGAAGAAAAGCGGAATTAGGTCGTCCTTGGTCAGTCTGAAAATGGGCGTTCTAGGTTAGTTAGCTAATGCCATCGACCTAGTTTGCTGGAGCACTCATCATCATAAGCGAGATTTGCACGGTCTGGAGATTGACCACGTCGTCTAGCATTGCGCAGGACGTTTTCACCCGTTCGAAAAGTACATCACCCCAGCTGTAGTACTCTGTCCCGAGACACCCTATCGCCAAGGCCATCAGAATCATACAATGACTCCAAGTATCGGTCCGAAAGTCCGGGCTCGGGTTATACAGGTTCCATAGCTGCCGTTCGAACGTCTCCTTTGACTGAAACGGCACCATGACATACAATGAAGACAGGAAACGGCTCAAGAATAGCTTGGCCAGCTCATGCGGTAAAAACATCACCGGCACATCAGCCGCGTTCATGTTTTTCAACGAATCGTGCGTTCCCACGGGGACTCCAAAGAAGACGCGACGAAAGCTGAACATGTCCAGGCCAGCTCCGGCCTCCTGTACCTCTCGCGGGTCTTCAGATTGGGGGGCGTGCTTGCTCTCCACCAAATCTCTGTAGATTTCATGCATCAGCGCAAAATGTGACGTTGATCCATAGTACAATTGCACCTTGCATGATGGCGATTCCATGTGCGTGGCAGAAACACTGTTGTTAACCGTATAGCTGACGGAAGGATTCCGTCGGCCAGAGGGCCGCGGCACTTCCGGGGATGGCGGCCGGGCGCCATTCGAAGCATAAGCATCAGAATCTTGCCTGTACTGGTACTTCTTCTTGCGCTGCCGAATGACCTCGCGATAGGTGCACGGCGTGTTACGAAGCTGACAGGTCTTGCACGGTTCGAGGCCGTTGCACTTGATCTTCCTCTTGCGGCATTCTTGGCAGGCCTTGGATATTCGCCATCCCGATGACTGCGCAGGTGAGCTTGTGTCAGCCATTGAGATCAAATTTTAGATTATGCGACCAGTGGATCTCGTGAAATTCATTGCAGACTTGATTCTGCAGGGAGAGAAAACTCGGATATACGCCACGTGATATTCCCGTAATTCCGATGATAGTGATTAGTCATCTGCCAAGCCACCACGTCCAGGCAGTGCGAAGAGTTGGCTACAGTTTCTTGCAAAATAGCCTATTCTGTGCGTGTATGTGATCTATATAGCTTGGATTGGCTATTTACGATACCTTATACTGCCAAATTGTTGTCTAGAGTTTTTTGTGGGTGCATCAACTCGCAGAAGTAGACCGTGGTGTGCACAAATATATAATCGGAAGATTCCCGAATTGGGGGAACACGACATTGAATGGTCGGGTCTATAGACACTGGGAGGAGCTGAACAGCTCATTTTGACATCTGTATGCCTTATTCACTGCTTTCGTTAGCCCAGCCGCAGCCTACTGATGATGGACGGCCTGTAAAGGGAGCTGCATTCATCGTCCTCATCTTCATTATGAACGCTCGCCTTTACATGGCTTTTTAAATTAGTATCAGTAGAAATAGTTGCTTATCAATATATTCTTCTGTAAGTGGCTATTGGTACCGGATGAGGTGAAAGCAACGTTTACAAGGTGCAAAAGGTGCCAGAGGCCAACAACAGCCACACTGTACTGTTGCTTTGGTGTTATAACGTAGTTAACTCTTTAGCGGTTGTATTGTTTGGTGAATGCCATTGAATTAGAGCCGTCGAAACAGACAAGCTTGTCTCTTCGCCGCAAAATCTCATTCATTATTCCCCACAAAAGGCCGAAGGACTTTTGAAAGGCCAGGAGTATCCGATATGCCATAAAACCATATAATCTAAGTGCATCGAAATAACGGTCATCCGAGCATCCCAACATTCCAATTATATGATAACCTGCAGACGATATTGTCGTCAGTGGCTTTACAGAGTCATACTATAGTTAATGCGTTGAGGCAACTAAAGTCCGTCCGGGATTGGTAAAGGTTGACAGTGACAAGACTTGCAGGTCGATAGTGATACAATAACTGAATGATCTCTTTGGCCTCGAGCTACAGGAATAACAGCCATTGGCTGTGCTACAAAAACGTTGAATATGAAGCTCTTATTCGATACTGTCTTTAGACGTGGTCTCCAGTGATTAGCTCTTATATTATGATATTGACTAAACCGCGTTAGTTATGAGCGCAAAATACGATTCATTTGATCAATCCATATCGAGAATGTGTGCCCAGAACGGAGTCAGCTTAGGTAAACGGCATATCTTGACACCGAACACGAGGATCGAAGTAGCAGGTTCCATACCCTCGATTATCCCATAGTAGGAGCGAGGGGTTATAAAGAATCCGCTCCTCGTCATGAGCTTCTTTAAGTCTTCGACACTCAAAACGAGCCTAAATCGCTTTGTGTATTTGTCTGATCACCTTTACAAGAACAAATCAAAATGAAGTTTCTGATCCTTGTCGCCGCTCTCGCCTCTGTCGCCTCCACTGCAGACATATGTCGAACCTCTAGACGCAACTGCGGCGGAGCTGCAGTGTGCTGCACGGGTATCCGGGCAGGCCAGTGCTGTAACCTGGGAGACCCTGTCTCCCATATCCTCTACAGGCTGCCTGCCAATAGGTGCGTGTCTTCGACTACTCTTAGGAGTCAAACATCGCTAATGAGCTCTAATGTCAATACAGTCGCGGCCGATCGTGGACCAGACGCAGCTGCACGGGCGAGGTACGCAGCTTCCCGAACCGCCGTGCTGGCAACGTTTGCCATGTCCCGGCAAATGGCGCCGGTCGTTCGGCTAGGTGGCTCGAGGGACTAGCGGAGACTGTGGAAGAGCCTGTTATTGAGGAACATCACACGTGTGCGGAGCCAGACACTGTTTACTATGAGGATGAGGAGGGAGGAGACGAAAGTGCCGCCCTTCCAGGCCATCTGAGCGCCGATGAAATTATGGAGGCGTTGGAGGAAGGGGTTAGTGTTAGGACTTTGATCGTCCAGGAGGTTCGGGATAATTAGTATTTGGCAAGAGAGTGAAATTGTACTTTGGGGATCATTTTACCAATCAAAGTGAAGCTTTTTAACGACTATTCATTCTAATAGCAATGCCTGTAGAGAGGGAAGAGTGTAGATTAGTATGACCATGTAGAGTAAAGCAGTAGGTCTAATATCAGATGGGTAGTAGATAAAAGGATCGATATATAGTATTAGAGGCTCAGAGGTTGTCTTCTGCATTGAGTAGTGGGCTGCCTGTTTGTTCGTGTTTACATGACCGATCTGCTCTCGATTCATGGAAACAACATCCTGCTTTACCTGGCTTTAGGCGCCATTTACTTGAATGAAAAATGGCCCATGTGCGATTGGGTATTGGGTCATGCAGTTTGTTACTACCATAAAAGAATGTGTACCACATGCATTGATCTTTCACAACACCTTTGCCCATCAAAGCGCAGAGAAATCTCCCCAAGGCCTACTCACAAGCAGCCCCAATAGGAACAACTTTGTACCCCTTAAACCCATTATACGGATAACAAATATCCCAAGTGCTGCGAATCACATCCGTATGCACCCCACTGCAATCACCGTCTGCATACATGCATAGATCAAACTGTGCGCGCTCCGCCGCCGGGCTCTTCCACGACAGACTGTCCGCTTCTGAGAGATCAAGGTCCTCCCGTGTATCGAGGGCAGTGCAAGACTGGACCCTAGTTCCGATGGCGTGGTATATATACAGACTGATGTCAACGTTCTCGGGATCGCAACCTGGTTTGAAGATATAGAAGTCCCACTGAAGATGACTTGTTAGTGATGGGTGTATCATTGGGTATATTTGCGGAGTGGAGGAGTAAGGTACTTACGTTCTTGAGGGCAGTTGATGTGCCTATAGTGAGAGCTGCGGCCAGGAAGGTAGGTAGGAGACGCATGTTGGTTGATATTCTGTTTCCTGGCTTTGCCTATGAGCTTAGGTGATTAGGGGTAAGTGAGTTGTAGAAACTTCTAAGATTCGAGAATAGAATGCACGATCTATTTATGTCGTGGAAGTTGCCCTGATGTGGCTCCATTATACGAGTACTCAAGGCGAGGCAAGTAATACGAGACACTTAGCGCTTATGATATGCAGAATCCGAGCCAATGCACAGAGACAGGTTACATTCAGGTGGTTAGTCGTGTAGATAGATCACTTTACACTTCCCAGGCCCAGACACTCTCCTGCGTGGTGGCGGCACATCATGAAGCTGAACTTACGGCACGATTCCCAGATCCATTGGACATGTCTCAGTATGGTATATGTAAATCAATTACGTACGGAGCTGATTCCAGGAGGCGGGGTACGATACGAGTCTCCCTTTATGGTGTTCGATATCTCTTTAGATCGGGGCCAGAATAGATTAAAACATGCTAGATCGACTGGCTGGCCAATCCATAGACTGCAGGTCGGTGAAAAAGCTCGCTGGCAAAGCCTCCAACTGGGGTTCATCTGCATGAACGAGCTCCTCCAAACCAGTAAGAAAGCCTTCCTCATCCATGGCAGGAGATGCCGAGCCACTGACTGATGGCACAACATTGACGTCAGGCTCTAGGTCGGGAAATTCCTCCACAAAGCTACTTGTCATGCGCCAGCGCTGCAGGTCGAAGAAGTGATGAGTAAATGTCCCAGAGAATTGATACAGCCCAGACTGGCTGTGCTGCAAACAGGCATCCTCCAATGTGTAAGGCCAGTCAAACCGAAAGCAATGCCAGAAGAGATTCCAAAATTTGGCCGAGCAGTGCTGATGCGGAAATAGCACTAAGCGTTCGCGCAGTCCCGGCCTTTATGGGTCAGCTTTTGCTTTGCGGTTTGATTGGAGGGGACGTACCAAACGATAAAATCAATCAACGGTTTATGGATGATACGTATCTGCGAAGGCCGTTGTCGCATGAAGATTGGGAGCGCTTTCGAGTTGATTTCTGAGGGATCAGTTCGGTACTGGTAAATGCAAAGTTAACTATCAATGACTTCGTGTCCCAAAGCGCCCTCAAACTAGTTGACATACGCGAAGCATTGAGCTGACAACCCTCAAAATTGCCAGTCTTTCGATCGCCCCGCAATGTCGCCAGATGGACTCATCTGCCACTCGCATAATCGTCCACACAGGATCAAGGGTGTATAAACCCTCAACGACCGACCAGCCGTGAAGCACAGCTCTGATCGGAATGTCTGCGTCCAATTCTCGTTGGTCTATGGCCCTCTGAGTGCAGGATGGTGTGTATTCCCCTAAAAGGCTATTGAAGTCAAGTATCGACTTGCAGCATTCACACAAAGGACTGAACTGAGACATTGATTGTAGTGGTGTCAAGGCGTCAAGCGTAGCGCTTGTCTTCTGATGACCAACGCCACATTCTCTTATGAATGGATCATGTTGAAGATTTCTCAGCTCTCCACTGACAGATAGAGCGAAACTGACGTCGTTGGCCCCGTCTGTCGCCCCGCTTGGACAGTTATCATCATAGGACTGGGGACTGGAACGGGTCTGACCTAGTGAAGATTCGAAATCAAGTTCATCCGGGATATCACGACTCGATCTTTGCGGCACGCAACAGCCAGCGTCGGTGGACACGAGACCACGAGCTATATCCAATCCAGGTCGGCTTGGACAGAGAGCGTCTAAAAACATGTTCCATCAGCACCAGCATACACCCGCAAAGCATACTTGGCACCTACTAGCTTGCGAAATGCCCGAACCGATCACCTTCTCGATCGTTCGTAGCGTGGCTCGTAGAGTGTCATTCGCGCTTCGCTGCGACTCAAGCTCATCCAACAAGCTTTTCACATTTCCGCTGTCGTGAAATTTTGTTAACACTTCGATGCGGGATTCTAACTGCGAAATCAGTGTCTTTGTCTTCTCCCGAGCGCTTCGTTGGGCTTGTCGATCTTGTTCTCGCTTCCGTGCCACTCGATCTTCGGACGATTTACGGGGTCTAGGTGACTTCCGAGGTTTATCCATTGGTTGATTGTTAGATAGAAATATTGCAACGGTCCTTTAGTATTCGATTCTGCACTCTCTTGAACTTGCTAAATAGTTGTGTTGAGAGTTGTAGGATTAACCTGTGCTCGATCATGCGAGGTACCAGTCAAGCAGCTGTGAGCTCTCCACAACAGTTATAGATCACTCCTATTAGGAGAATGGCATAACGTAAGACTCGGCCTTCACATGTAAATAGTTAGGAAGCCGCTCTGGAGCCGTTGGCAAAATTAGACTACTTGTTGGCTTCAGTGTTCAGGACTCGTCTTCCCCGCCACTCCAATATAATTTAATCTGCAGGATGCTTCCCCGCCCTTCTCCCATCCAATGAATCCAGATTTCCGATGAATCTAGTCATGATCAACAGTGCCATTCCGGGTTGTCGATTTACACCGAGTCATACCCTGTTGAAAAGGTGTTGAATCGTGGCTCCGTGACTAATCGGGTGACGACGCACGCTTGAGGCATCCGCTCAGGGAGATCATAGCTGCACGATGGCATGTAACGAATTTATTATGAGTGAAGTGCTCGAAGTTTACAAATACTGCCTAATTGCTTGGTCATAGCTTTTGTTGCAAGCAGGTCTACTCGAAAGACATTTCCTGCAAAGTGTAGTCGATTTTTCCCCGTCGCATTTCATGCTAATGTATACTGCCATAGCCATTTCCTATCCAACATTGCACCCCATGCCCAATATCTTGCTTACTGTCTTGGCCTAGTTCCCTGGAGAGGATCCGAACCACCCACAGCCTTGACAGCCTGGTGGCAGCCACAACTATCCCAAAATACTCGACAACAGGGCCGTAATGACCTGAGATATGGCAGACACCAACTAGAAAGAGTCAGAGAGTTAACCCCTTCGCATCTCCAAGAGCGTGGTAACTTACCGGAGCAACATCGTTGATCAGCCCCTTCGTATTGCCAACGAACTCCTTATCTAATAGATCGTGCGCATTCCCCAGCAGATCGGTCACATTGTTAATCAGTTGAGGAGTCACCAGCCCGCCGACATCATTCAAAAGATCCGGCAACTGGTCGATCAGATTCTTCAGGCCCTTGGAGTTCAGCAAAGAGCTCACTGTGCCAATCAATTCCTTGGTTTCCTTTGCGGTTGGCTGCTTGAGCAGGTACGAAAGGTCCGTCACGATAGTCTGGATGTTGTTCAGGCTTTCGGAGGACAGGAGTTCCTTCACCGATCCGAGAGACTTGGTCAGGTCGCCGAGGAGGTCTCCGAGGTTTGACAGGTTTGCGTTGTTCTGTCGTGCGACGAGCGCGTTGGCGAGTTGGAAGTCGGCCAGCTCGCCTGGGGTCTTGGAGACGGCGTCTGGGGCTGGGATGGCCAGGGCCGTGAAGGGCAGGATGGCGAGCGGGAAGAATTTGAAGAACTTCATTTTGTTGGACAGTTGTTATTTGATGTTGGAGTGTCAGGCGAGTACTGGGGAGTTGTTGCTGGCTTGGGATGGGTCTCATTGTTGAACTTGACGTGCCTTTTATAATTGTGCTCATGGAAGCGTTTGCGAGAGGCCTATCCTCTTTACTGCCCTCGAAGCCTGATTGAAATGTAAGCCTCATCCCATTGCAAGAATTAATTTGCGGGGTATAGACATGAGAATCCAATCAACCACGAATGGACTTTGTCTTTCTAAGGAGGCAAATCCGTTCCTGCCGTTCATACGATACACGACTCATACTTTCTGACTCGGTGGCACAGGAACGCGGAGTACTCGCCACAGAGGGATATGGGATAGACCCTTCAAAGACTGTGGACTTCTCTATGCATCAATGCACCCCCCTCTGGATACTGCCGGGCAAGGACACTCGGTCCGTCTATGGACGTCAAAGTCCCAACGCCACCCTCGGCCCGTCCAAGCCGATTTACATCTCGGCATTCTGATCTAGACCAACTCGTGAAGAATCCGGGGTTCCTGCGTGACCGGTCGCTTTTGGATGATGGCATCGTGGTAAAGAGAGTCTGTTGAGTGGATGGAATTTTACATACCCCAGGTCTTCTGAATCAGCGAATTCGAGTCAGGCAATCTAAACCTGCAGAACATTGCAAAGGATCAGACAAGGTCCTAGGATGACCGAGGATCTGATGCCGCGGGTTTTCCGAGCAGAAAGGGCATATTCCTGTGCAGCAAACTTTCAGACGAATGGCAACTTATAAATTGTTTGCGGGAAAAAGGCTGAGGCTGATTGATTCAGCTATATAGTGACCCAAGGTGGACGACATATCTTTCTGCCTCCAGAACCCGTTCATCAAGAAGCGACAATTGACTGTCCACAAAAAGATGAACTTCCTTGTATCGGTCCTCCTAGTACTCACCATATACATCAATCACGCGCTCAGCCAAGACTCTCCAATCTCCGCTAGTAAAGTGACTCTTGACGGTGCTCTTCTCAGCAGCCAAGCGTACGCTCTCCCCATATTAATCACCACTCTCCCCACGAATCCCCACTAACTTACCCCTTTACATATCCTGCAGAGATGCTCTCAAGTCCGCCTTCCCCGACGCAACGCCATTCACCAAGCCGTTTGAAATCCCAGGCGGAAACCTGATCCAGCCGCCCTCGTCGCTGGTCGGGGCCATCATCACCGGTGTTCCGCCCTCTGTACTGGCACAATTGATTCAACCCGCAGGTCGCGAATCTATTGCGTCGGAGTTTCGTGCTGGGAATACTCCAGACTGGTATGCTGGCTTGCCGGCAGATGTGAAAGGATATGTGACGAAGATGAAGGCGCAAGTTACACAGGGGGATGTCGATTTAAGTGCTACGCCGACAAGTACTGGGGGGTTTGGGAGTGGGGGAGCGAGTGAGACGGAGGGCGACGGTGGTGATGGTAATAGTGGGGATGGGGATGGTGGTAAGACAGGGGATGAAACTGGAGCAGAAGGAGGTGCTGCTGCTACTTCGAGCTCAACGGGTGGTGTTCCTCGTCCTACTGGGGAGGTCGTGGGGAGCTTGGTGGGAGTGATGGGGGTTTTGGGGGCTGTGGCTTTGCTTTGAGGAATGTCAAGAGGGGCCCCAAGATGCTCTTTTAGTTAGTTGTTTCAATGGAAAACGTTGCAGTGGGCCTTTCGAGCAAAGCCATAGGAAGCTGTATGAATCCAGAACATGACGATATTCTGTGAACATTCACAAGTATTTTCCTGGCGATATGCCAAGGTAGGAGAGATATATCTCCACGATCCCCACAATCCTGTAGTACGCGCCAATGGACTTATCAATTTCTGCCAACACCGCAAGAAACTGGCATTCAAGTGCCTAGTCAAGCTAGTCGATGACATGGCATGCCAGGTGCTCAAATAGTATCGCGGGCAATCGCGCCCTGAGCTTACGGCACAGTATCTCAATTCGGGACCTGTACTATCATATTATCTTACTGGTCTTACCCATGCTCGACTATGCCCTGTCCTACACTCACCCCGTGGAGCTTTCGAAAAGAGCCCAACCGTTCGGGAGATTACCGTGCTTGGCCCGGAGAGTAGACCGGTCACTCGCAGTCACAGGGTTATCAATCAGAAACTGAGTCTAACGTCTGATGCCTAACTGGGCACATGCTTCTCTCAATCCGACGGGCCACCGAGACCCCTGAGTAGAACGAGACAGGCCATAGTGGGTGATTATTGTCGGCCTGGTCGTTTTTGACGCAATGGTCAACCATGGGACAGCGAAAGCTACACTCTATCGGCAGAACAAGTCCATAGCGAAATACCGAGAGCGTCATTGTACGTCGATACCGCATCCCCTTGGAATCTTTGGCCTCAGCTCCTCTGAACCGATACTTGGCCCTATGCTCGGCGCTCGCTTGGGACGGGGACAGGACTTCGCTTATCATATCCGCACAGACTTTGATGCGGGGAAGCAACCGCCAAGCTGCAGCTGCGGCGTAGAGCCAGGGGAGTCCTAGGGATTATGTTGGAGATAGAGCGAAGAGGAGCAAAAGGCAAGAGACGTACCACGGCGTAGGCTAAGATGCAGCAAGCAGGGGTAGGAATGTAACCTTGATCTAGGATTGATGATCAGCCAAAGTCCACCCGCAGGAGAGAATCATCATGTCAATCGTGAAAAATGTTTCGAAGATAACAAGTCGAGTTTGAAGGCATGGATGGGGAAGTCCCATGACTTCACGTGGCCTCCCCGCTGCGCACGTGCCGGTCGCCCCGTTGAGCCGTCGCGTCTTTTTGCCTTCGCTTTTGCCATCGCCGTCATCATCATTGGCGCGAACCAGCCGATCTGGGGATTTTGTGGAGTTATTGAATGCGGGGATATTGAGCAGCTACTCGCATCCTTGCGGTGTTTTTGTCCCTGTCATCCAGGTGAACTCGCTAGTCCGTTTTGATTCCTGTCATGCTGAACTGGCTTTTTCAAACCATCACCGGTGGTGTTATTCTCATAGTCTCCCTTTTTGTCCTCATCAATGCGGAGCCTTTTTATCAACATCATTCCATCCTCGAGAGTCTGTTCTGCCTTGATAGTCCATCGGATTCTTCGCGAACGTCGGTTTTCCCTCGTTGACGGTTCACAGGATGTCACCCGCTAACTAGCGGTTTCAATTCGGGCCTGTAGACTTTGGTGGCTGACCCTCCTTTCCAGCTTGACAAATCCCGTCCTTCGCCGTGCCAACGGACGCGTCCTTGGCGACTGGCCAAGACCAGGAAAACACTATGGATTATCTCGGGGACACAACCAGAACGAGCGTTGCTGACTGCCAAGGAACGCCGCCTAAAAAGTACTGGGTGCGCGCCTGGCCTCCCACACTGGAAATTCCTCGGTGAATGCTGAGTCGCCTGGACCTGAACCTATATCCCGTCTTCGTGATTATTTCGCCGACCAATGCGAGCTCTGCCTCGGTGACTTTTGGCTTCCCCGCGGCTTCTGGCACCTCCTACCTTACCCGTTTGTATTGGCATACAGGTTTCGAACCTGGGGTAGTCGGAGATAGGACCTTCTCCCCACAGTGTCAAGTGCCGTCCATCTTAAGCGGTAACAATTGAAGGACAGCAGGCGTCCAGCACTCGAGCATCTTCAGCGCCACTCGCCCCACGTTTCGAGATCGACCCTACCCCAGATGCGATACCTGTCTCTGTGCTCATCCGAGCTTTGCTTCCGTGCTAGCATTCGGCAAATCCGAGCAAGCTCTCCTATCCGGTCCCAAGGACCTTTATAATCCTCACAACCACGCTGTGTGGTAGTCTGCTGTGGAGACATTGTCTACCTAGGAGATAACTATCTCACCAGCTCCCCAGGTCCGACAATCTGGACACGATCAGGAGCACCATGGCATCCGACACGCCCCCTGACACGATAGTGGACGAGAAGGGTGTGTCACAACACAAAGAAGATTTTGTCGCCGAAGCTGCCCATGACGCGGCTGGGCGCGGCCAGGCGGCCACTGACCAATACGGCCGTGCGCTTGTTGAATTCGACCGCCGAGCTGAAAGTCGTCTGCGCTTAAAAATCGATTTTTATATCATACCCACGGTCGCCTTGTTGTACTTGTTCTGTTTCATCGACCGAGCCAATATCGGTACGTTGCCTGCACGTGGATTCTGACATAACTGTCGGCGAGCTGACCAATCTTCGGATGAGTAGGCAATGCGAAACTTGCCGGGTTTGAAAAGGATCTCAATCTCCAAGGAAACGATTATAATGCCGTCCTTTCTGTCTTCTATATCTCGTACATCATCTTCGAGATTCCATGCAACATCGCCTGCAAGTGGATTGGGCCAGGTTGGTTTCTTCCAGCTTCAACCTTGATATTCGGCATTTGTTCCGTCGGCACGGCCTTTGTGCACGATATTCAGAGCGCATCGGGTGTTCGCTTCGTGCTCGGTATCTTCGAGGCCGGTATGTTGCCCGGTATCGCGTACTACATGTCGCGATGGTACCGGAGAAGCGAGTTGGCCTTCCGCCTGGCGCTTTATGTCGTAATGGCCCCCCTCGCCGGTGCCTTCGGTGGTCTTTTGGCCTCGGCAATTTTGACGCTGGATCATTTCGGCGGGTTGCATGCGTGGCGGATGATTTTTGCGATCGAGGGAATTATCACGATTGGGTTGGGCGTGATTGCGTTTTTCACACTGACCGATCGCCCCGAGACCGCTCGCTGGCTCACGCAGGAAGAGAAGGACCTGGCCATTGCTCGGCTCAAGTCAGAGCGTGTGGCCACCACCGAGGTTCTGGATAAGATCGATCGGGCCAAAATGCTGCGCGGCATCTTTAGTCCCGTCACATTGGCGACATCGATGATCTTTCTTCTCAACAATATCACCGTGCAGGGATTGGCATTCTTCGCGCCCACCATCGTTCGGACCATCTATCCCGACAGCAGCGTTGTTGGTCAGCAGCTCCACACTGTCCCACCCTATGTGGTCGGGGCTTTCTTTACCGTCTTCTTCCCTTTTCTCAGCTGGCGCTTTGACAACCGGATGATCTTCTATGTTATCTCACCCCCCTTGGTTATGGCCGGATACATTATGTTCCTAGCCAGTACCGATCCCATGGTGCGATATGGAGCGACCTTCGTTATCGCCAGCGGTGCATTTGCCTTTGGATCCCTGTGCAATGCGCATGTATCTAACAACGTGGTTTCCGACACGGCGCGCTCGGCCGCGATAGGGACCAATGTGATGATGGGAAACATTGGAGGGCTTATCTCGACCTGGTCTTTTCTGCCGTTCGACGCGCCGGACTACCACATCGGCAACGGGTTGAACCTGGCAACGTCGTCCACGATCTTGATCCTGGGCGCCTGCCTGTGGGCATGGATGAAGTGGGATAACAAGAAACGGGAAAGGATGGACGTTGATCAGGCCCTAGCCGGCATGTCGCAGAAGCAGATCCAGGACCTGGACTGGCGCAATCCGGCATTCCGGTGGCGGACTTAAGCCAGGTAGTATTCCGAGCACTTTTTGCGCCTTTGGCGGCCTCTTTTTTCCTTCTTATCATTTTGATTTGTATTTTTCTTTGGTCATTTGGTCCACGCACTATGTGGTCATTTTGGACTTGTTGGGAGTCTTACTTCTTTTGGGCTACGCATGCATATCACTTTGATTGAATCCACTTGGGCTACCACACTTTTTTTGAACGTGAATACGGCTACCACCCCCTGCTTTTAACCGGGGATTACGTAGATTTGTCCGATTGGGTCGATAGAGGATTGGTAATTCTCACCTGAGATGGGGGGTTGTCTTGGACAATGGAGACCAAGGCCAGTAGGGCATAAGGCTAATCTTCCAGAGCCCCTCCACGCAGAGAATCCTCCGAGGAAAGCTGGGCCTTAACTCTGTAAGCCCGAGGCTAGGAATCGGCCTTCTGGCCGCATATTGGCCAAGCAGGTAGCGCGATGGACCAGGGGTATGGGGACAAAGATCTCGACCTCATCCTTTGCCTCTCCACTCCGGTCGCATCTGCCAATGGCAACGAAGGCATTATCCTCCTATCAACCCACCGGCTTCTTTCCTGCGGTCTCACATGCGGGCCGTCTATCCCCTCCTCCTCATCTTACGGGGTACGACGCGGGCAACGCTACTCCTAGTCGCTTCTGGGGGCCGGTGAACCGCCGGCGGAGGCCACCTCATCAGAATTTTTCCCTTGTGACTGACTGAATCCTTTGACCGAAAGGAAGGCTTGCCGACCGTGTTGACCAGGATGCTGATTGCTGAATGACAAGGCATGCCGTGAAGTTACATCCGAGAATCTGGCCTGTCGTTGAATTCCGTGCGCATACGGAGCCGAATATTGTGGTCAGAAACAGCTTCTATTCCGTTCATCTTCCCATATGCCCTGTTGATGCAGCCTGTTTGCCCAGACAGATCGGCGGTGACACACGCGATTTTACTCCCCACAACCAAGGCTTAATCGTGTCCACTAGGCACTCTCCCCTCGTGACCCCCAAAGATGCCATGGAATTTCCCCAGGTCCGCCAAGCGGCTTCCCCGGGTGGGTGCCAGAATTCCTTTCGGACGTTGACCGAAATCATCCCCAGGTCAGACTTGTGCGACCCAGATGCACGAGGTGGATGTCCACTAGGATCCCTGGCCACTACTCTGTTGTTTCTTGTCCGACCGACCGAAAACTTACCTAGCGCCTCCTTCCTGGCTCGTCATGACGATATCATCGAAATTAACGAGAATCCCCATGCGGGGTTGCCGGTTACAAAGAGCTTCCCCCAGGTGAGGTCTGGAGGAAGGACCCGTTATGTCCCGCATGGTGCCAAATGACGAGAACAACTTTTTGACTTTCTTTTGTGCGGCGCACCCGGCTGGGCCAATAAGTCAAGCGCTAATAAGCTCCCCCATGGCGAGCGTGTTTCTCTCCAGAATATGCACCCCAAGCTCTCTTGGCGACGCCGGTTCTTGGCCGTCCTCGGATCGGTTTAGGTTGTACGGGATGGAACCATGGTGGCAAGCATCAAACCATCGGGCAGGAGTTCCTATTGATAATGCCGAGGAAATAGGATTCATGTTGAGCTGAATCCCAGGGAGGGTGAGCATTCCACCCCACGCCCCAGTCCCCCGCATCGTATGTGGCCCGTGGTGCGTGTGCTCAATCTCTCTGGGCTGTGTTGGAAAGGAACTAGAAGAGAGACAGGCTTTTTGCTGCCGCTTAGCCTACTGCTGCATGCATGAGCTGCACATATTTAACTGAGGGTTACATCCTCTTGGAATTTTTTGATCTGAACTGTGTCCCTCCTCGCCGTGTCCTTGCCCTTCCTCCTCCTCTGTCCCCTCCCTCTCCTCTCACCTACTTCTCTTTCCCTTTTTCTCACCTTTCTCTTCTCTCCCTCTTGTCATTCCTCCTCTATTACTCCTACATTTGCAGTACCCATAAGAGAAGTCAGGCATTCACCGGCACCATGGCAGGTGGTCCCAAGAAACCCCTCAACGTTTTTCGCATGAAAAACTTGGGGGACCCTAAACAAGTTTACAACTGGCGGCTATGGTTTGCCGTCGTCTCCTTCGGTCTCATGGGTGCCGCTCGCGGTGTCGATGAGGGATTGATCTCAGGTGCTTTCAACTCCAAGGACTTCCAGCGGACCATTCACTTCGACTCCTACAGCGAAGTGGAGCAGACCAACATCAAGGCCAATGTGTCGGCTATGGTCCAGATTGGATCTGTCGGTGGTGCTCTTTTGTATGTTTCTCTTCGTCCACTTCTGCACTTTGATCGGTTAGCCCTGGTACTAACTCGTGTGCTTGTCTGATGCAGTGCTTTCTTGGTTTGCGATCGAATTGGCCGTATCTGGGCTACTCGTCAGCTCTGTGTTCTGTGGATTCTAGGCATGGCTATCTTCATGGGAGCCAATGGCAACCTTGGCGCGATCTATGCCGGTCGTTTCGTGGCCGGTCTCGGTGTCGGACAGACGGTGGTCGTTGGGCCTGTGTATCTTGCTGAGATCGTGAGTAGTATCCGCCGTCTGTACCAGCAACACCATACTGACTATGACAGGCGCCGGCGTCCATCCGAGGTCTTTGCACATGTATCTTCACAGGTTTCGTCTACCTGGGTATAGTGCTCGCCTACTTCACCAACTATGGTTGCCAGATCAATCTGGGAGACAACACTCACAACCGATGGGTTCGTCCCCCCCTTTCCTCCTTGCGTCCCATGCCCCTCCACCCGTCAGTCCTAATATGGCCAATAGTTGGTACCCACTAGTCTGCACATCATCTTCGCCGGTCTTATCTTCTGCCTGTCTTTCCTCCAGTACGAGTCTCCTCGTTTCCTGGTGAAGAAGAACAATTATGACAAGGCGCTGGAGAACTTGGCGCGCATCCGTCATCTTCCCCCTGATCACGAATATGTGGTGGAGGAGATCACCTCCATCCGTAACTCCCACGAGACCGAGATGGAGGCCACTCGCGGAGCCGGTCCCATTGGCGTTATCAAGGAAGCGTTCTTGGAGCCCAAGAACCTGTTCCGCTTGTATATCGCGTGCGGAGCCCAGCTCCTGTCACAGTGGTCCGGTGCCGGGTCCATCACCTTGTATGCACCCGATCTTTTTAAGATCCTGGGTATTCAGGGGGAGAACGAGTCGCTGCTGGTTACCGGTGTCTTTGGTATCGTCAAGCTGGTGTCGGCCGTCGTGTGTGCCTTGTTCCTGGTCGACGTGATCGGTCGCAAGCGGGCTCTGTTGTTGGGGATTACGCTGCAAGCCATCTCAATGATCTACATTGCCGGCTTCCTCACCAGCGCGCCGCAGATGGGCGTTGACGACAGTTTCGTGCTTCCCGAGAAGGACAAGCCTGCCAGCCGCGGCGCCATCGCCATGATGTACATCTCGGGTGTGGGCTGGGCGCTGGGTTGGAACTCGATGCAGTACCTGCTGACGGCCGAGCTGTTCCCGCTGCGCATCCGTGCCCTGGCCACCTCGCTGGCCATGACGCTGCACTTTGTCAACCAGTACGGCAATTCGCGCGCGGTGCCCAACATGCTGTTGAGCCAGGCGGACGGCGGCCTCAGCCCGTACGGCACATTCTGGTTCTTCGCGGCGGTGACGATCTTTGGCGGATTCTGGGTGTTCGTGACGGTGCCCGAAACGGCCGGTCGCAGCCTGGAGAGCATGGACCGACTGTTCGAGCTGCCGTGGTACAAGATCGGACTGTTTGGCAACCGCGACGCCGCCCAGCGCGACCTCATCGTGTCGGACAAGGTGGAGATGGTCGACGGAACGCGCGAGGAGCAGGTCGAGCGCACCGAGCGCATCGATCACTCTCGCGTGTAACTTTCCTCATGAATTGGTTTCGTTCTGTTCTGTTTCCCCGGAGGATCAGGATCCATTAGTTGATGATATGAAATGAATGACACCTACTATTGTTATCTCTGCCTGTGTTCTGTTTATTTTGGTTATCGTAGAGATTCCTCGGTCGGTCGCGCCCGACGACCGCCGATCGCCGCATTCTCCTGTCCCACAGCTCTTGACCAGTCGCTTCGCTGGTCCATCTTGAGGATTTGCCAATGCGACCGGTGGAGGTCACGATGGAGTCAGGTGAGATCCTCTCTTCATATTTGGGCTGGTTGAGATTCACATATAATAATAGCTCTCTTAAAGAAGTAACCTGGGGCATGCACCAGTACTCATTCCGGTGATCACCAGGTCTACTAGTCTATTTAACTAGTCCCCAGCTGCAGGTCCTCAGCAATAGTTGCTACTGTGAGTCTGTGACTGCTGTCTGTCTTATCGGTCTTGGCGTCTTTTGCGGGGAATTTCTCTCCTTCTCCAACTCTCCGTCTGCTCTCTCCGGCGTATATCACCGCTCCTTTCTCTCTTCTATTCTTCCCTCTCTTCCTCTCACTTTTTTTTTATTCTTTTCTCTCTGATCTATCAAATTTGAATTTCTCTCCAATTCTTTATATACAATGACTACCAGGTATCGCGTTGAGTGTAAGTCTCCCTTGCTGTTCACCTCCTGTGGATCCAGATTACTCACCGAGATGTGTGCAGATGCGCTGAAGGTAGGATTCAATTCAGAGACGTCCCCGACCGATAGTTGACCCGCTGCGCCGTCGCAGTCCCATCGCCGCGACCAACTGATCGAATGGATCAAAGGTCTTCTCGCCGTCCCCTTCGTCCTACACTCCCAGCCTACCGTTATCTACCAGGAAGATAGCGAGAATCTGGTCGCCGTCGCTGCTGATACTCACCAACGCTATGCCGAGATCTTTCGCGACGTGGAGAGTCTGATTCGCGATCATAGTACGCCCCTTCCAGCGTGGAACTGACTGCGGGGAAGACCGACAGAACTGACACCTCTCTGTATAGTTGACCACGAAGCCAAAGACCTCCCCGGCAAATCCAAACTGAAACTCCTCGTTCCCACCGTCGGCTCCTTCTTCACGCCCCTACACCTCGAAGATGCATTCAAATACCAGGACCGCCTGCGGTCAATCAGCCGTCGCCGCTTCGTTGCCCCCTCCTTCAACGACATCCGCCTGATCCTAAACTCCGCACAACTCCTCGGCCTTGTCCGCAGCTCACACGTCGATCTCGTCACCTTTGACGGAGACGTCACCCTCTACGACGACGGCGCCTGCCTCACATCCGACAACCCCTCCATCCCGCGCCTCCTGCGCCTCCTCCGCCAGGGCCGCAAAGTCGGCATTGTCACCGCGGCCGGATACACCGAGGCGGAAAAATACTACGCGCGCCTGAAGGGCCTCCTGGACGCTGTGCACGACAAGGCGAGCAACCTCACCCCCGACCAGCGCGCCGGGCTGGTCGTCATGGGAGGCGAGAGTAACTTCTTGTTCCGCTACGACGCCGCCTCGCCGCATCGCTTGTCCTACGTGCCCCGCGACCAGTGGCTTCTTCCCGAGATGACCACCTGGCAGGACTCGGACATCACGGCGCTCTTGGACCTGGCGGAGTCATCGCTGCGCGCGTGTGTTAGCAATCTGGGCCTCCCGGTGACGGTGCTGAGGAAGGATCGCGCGGTCGGCGTGAGCCCGGTGAACGGGACGAGGGTCAATCGCGAGCAGCTGGAGGAGACGGTTCTGGTGGTGCAGAATACGATTGAGCGGTCGGCAGTTGGTGGCCGGTTGCCGTTTTGTGCTTTTAATGGTGAGTTTCCGCTTCTATTCTTTCCTGTATCATCCATGTCCTTGCCATTGACGCAGACCGAATGCACTAGGTGGAAATGACGTCTTTGTCGACATCGGTGATAAATCCTGGGGTGTGCGCGCCTGCCAGCAGTACTTTGGTGGCATTGAACGAACCCGCACGTTGCATGTCGGCGACCAGTTCTTGTCTGCGGGCGCGAATGATTTCAAGGTACGAGTCTTCATCTTCTCTTTGGTTTGTGATTTGTCGTTGTTAGAGTGATATTGATTAAGTGCATGCAGGCTCGCCTGGCGTCTACGACGGCTTGGATCGCCGGTCCCGCCGAGACAGTACAGCTTTTGGATGAGTTGAATCTGGTAGAGGAGACTCACTAAATTTATACTAATTGAGAACTGAGGGACTGGATGGGCTGTTTGGATCCAATGGGATGTTGTACGGGTTATAATTCTCTTGAGACTGATTGCATTATATTTACGATTATGTCCGGTTTCAGGGTGGTCAAGCAATGTTATTCACAAGCTGTGGGGTTTCGACTTGATTTCGTATCTGTCTGCTGGGAATTCATGGCATCGTGTTGCCCATCTCGCATACTATCTTCTTTATCTTTTCTTTTTCGGTATCTGGTTCAAACTGGCGAGTTGGTCGTACCTATTGATTATTATTGTTAGCATGCTATGTTATTCAGTTACTATCCGAGATTGCATTATGCTTCTGCTTCTGATATCCGTGTCGAATGGAGTAGGCGAGCCATCTCTACTTGTAGAGTGCACTTTATCAGTGCTCTGATGCAAGAATCCAAGATCTTCCAGGCACTGGGCTACCAGATCTCGACTATGCCTTCCTCATCCCACCATTTCTCGCCTTACATTGACGATCAACCAAACTATCGAACTCATACTGTAACACCCAGACCAATGTCTACTGGCTGCGCTTCACTTAGCACCAAAGCCAAGCTCTTGGTGTTGCAGTGGACTCACTGCTACCGATGGAGGAGCATATCTAGTGCCCGGCACCTGCGCTTCACCAGCCTTCTCGGACAGGCTTCTCCTCAGGGTTCTGTTGTATATCGTTCGCGAGCTTTCACGGCGTCGGGCACACTCTGGCGGGTTAATCATGAACCCCTCAAACCCGTCTTATCTGTCCATCAGCGTGTTTTGCGGTGCTCAGGCATATGCGACATTTCTGAACACAATCCAAGTCAGTCAAATGATACTCAAGCCACACCAACCAAAATAACGTACCATAGTCCACATGCACAAACCCCCTTCACCGTCTCCAGCTTATCCTGCAACTCCTGCGACGCATCATGGACCTCCCGAAGGCTTGAGCTCCGGCGCCATAACAATATCCACCTCGACGAACAAAGTCCTCGCCCCAGTGATACGCATGCACCGTATCCACCTTCAAGATCGAGGATCGTTCGAGATTACTTCAGGCTAGGCTTCTCCATTGAAAGCAAGCGTGGAGTATAGTATAGCCTGTTTACGGTCCATATCACGATGCGCCAAGCAGGGGGCTCATCGGGTGAAGTATAAGTCTTGGGCTCGTAGCGTCCGTGGCGAGCGGGAAAGGCCTGCCTGTATGGTCCACGCCTTGCTGGATTGTCCGCAGACAGGGAGAATCAAGATGAGTGAAGGGCGTAATACGCATCGCAGTCGATATCCTGTCCTCGCTGATCATGCACGAACCGCTTCAGCGTCTCTCGGTGATTCAACACCGCTGTCCAGAGCTTCAATGTCCCCGCAGATCGACTTGTTGCGAGGAACAATTCCTCCAGACCTGAGAAAGCCTCTAGGAAAACTCTACTGTCAAGATAGTGAAGGGGGAAATGTAATAATTTAGAAGAGAAGAGGATCTTTTCTTTTCATGTCTTCATATCTTCATGCATGTCTTAATCTGAACATAAAAAAAGGAAAGGAACGCCAAATACACCAAATCTCAGCGAGATTCCCTTTTAAACCTGCTCATAACACCCCCAGTTGGTCTGGCGACCCTCGCGCCAGCCTGACCGACCAGACAGAATGTTGACGGTATCTTGCAGCTGGAGCCAGAATTCTGCCTTCGGGCGACGGCGCGCCCAGTCGGTCTCCTTCGCCTCGAGACCGTTCTCTCCGCCCATGGGCGAGAAAAGGACCTGTGAGCCCTTGATACCGATAACGGAGGCGGAGAGATCGTCGGCCGCGATCTCGTCGGGGGTCTTGCCGGCGTAGCTCTCCAGATGCAGCATACAACGGATGGCCATACGCAGGGCACGAATACGGTCCATGGGCGAAGGCTTGCCACCCTGCTGGAAGTGACCGGGAACGGCGGCACGGGATTCGAAGCGGCCTTTGGCTTCCTCCTTGATCATGTCGGCGACGAACTGCGTGGTGTAGGTGTTGGAAGCGGACTCGTTACGCAGGATGATCTTTCCGGCTCGGTTGGCGCCCTTGTCGTTGGCAAAGTTGTCGCGCAGGAAGTCAATGTCGCGGGACAGCATCTTGATATCAATTCCCTCTTCGGGGATGTAGACGGCGGAGGCTCCCACCGCGAGACCGGCCGTGGTGGCGATGTAACCCGACTTACCACCCTGGGTTTCGATGACGAACACACGGCGACGAGAGGAAGAGGCGGATTGGCGGATGGCGTCGCAGAAGTCGATCAGCGTGTTCAGACAGGTGTCGCTACCCAGCGAGTACTCGGTTCCGGGCACGTTGTTGGAGATGGTGGCGGGCAACACGGTCATGGGGATCTTGAACTCGGGGTATTTCTCGCGAGCCTGGCGCAGTTGGCTGACAGCGGTGAAAGCCTCGAAACCACCGATGACGAACAGAGCGTCGAACTTGTGCTCCTTGAAGCACTTGGCCGTGGTCTCAAAGTCCTCGGAAGGCAGGCTTCGGTTCGTTCCAATGTCGGAACCTCCCTCGTTGACCCAGGCGTCTGTCTCCTGCCACTTGACCTCGCGCACGGAGCTGATCTTGTCGTCGTGGTGGCGACACAATCCGGGGAACCCGTTGTGAATGGCAAGGGGCGTGTGGCCGCGAGTGAGACAGTATCCCACGGCAGCCCGCGTGGCGGGGTTCATACCACCAGCGGGGGCACCGACGTGGATGATGGCAATGCGCATGCGCTAGATTGATTAGCATATAAACGAACTCATGGAAGGACACAAACAAACCTTGTTCTCGGGAAGCGTCATCTTGGGGTGGTCAGGGGTGGCAGTGTTGCGATAGGCAAAGTGGTACTCCTTGAATTCCGCGTCACGAAGGGCCATTGCCTCATCGAACTCCTGGTTCTCAATATGCGATGTGACCTTTTTCGTTTCGGAAACTGCGTCCATCAACGGAGTGCGCAGAATCTTGTTTTCGCGGATCGTGATAACAGGGGAGGGGGTAGTGGGCTCCATGTCGAGAACGGCCCGAACGGCCTCCACACCCTGCAGGGTCGACAGCCAGCGGTCGTAGGCACAGGCCGCTCCTCCACGCTGCGTGTGACCGAGGACGGTCACTCGGGTATCCAGGTTCAAACGCTTGGTGAGGATATCTTTGACGGTGGTGCTGGAGATCTTGTTGAGCTGACGGTCGTGGGCTCCTTCGGCCACGATGACGATGGTCCGGCGGTTTCCTCGCTCGGTACGGTTCTACCGAAACCATCGTCAGCATCTAGTTTCAATCCACGAAGTTGGTCAGCATACCTTGGTAATGATCGAGCACATGTCATCCTCCCAGCCGTCGCGGGGTGGCGTCTCCGGCACGAAGAGCCAGTCGGCGCCGGTACTGATGGCAGCCATCAAGGCCAACCAACCGCAGTGGCGGCCCATGACCTCGATCACGAAGCCACGCTGGTGGGAAAACGCAGTGTCGAAAACATCGTCGACGGCATCACAGATACGAGTGAGCGAGGAGTAGCAGCCGATGGTGGCGTCGGTGCCGGACATGTCGTTATCAATGGAGCCCACCAGACCAACGATGTTCAAACGCTGGTAGGGCTCGATCTGCTGCTTGGTCAATTGACCGGTCTTGACCAGCTCCTCCAGCAAACCGGGCCATTCCGAACGGAAGACATCGGCACCGGTCAAACTGCCGTCACCACCACAGACCACCAGGGCGTCAATGCCACGTAGGACGAGGTTCTTGGCGGCCTGCAACCGACCGGCACGTTCGCGGAAGGCCAGGCAGCGAGCGGAGCCGATCAAAGTACCTCCGCGCGAGAGCCAACCACGGACATCTTCCCAATGAAGCTGGCGGATCATGTCGCCGCCCTCCACGAGACCTTCGTATCCTTCGTAGACGGCGTAGGCCTCGCAGTTGGAGTGGATGGCCATGCGGACGACGGCGCGGACGGCGCCGTTCATACCGGGAGCATCGCCACCGGAGGTCAGGACACCGATGCGGCGGCGCTTGGGGGGTTCAACGGGGGCGTGCGTGGTTGCCATCCTGAAGGACTACCGATCAACGGTAGGAAATGAGTGACGGGGGACGAGAGGAGAGGAGAGTGCGGGATGGTGGGGAAATTGGAAATCAAAGACTGGAGACTGATCAGTTAATAAAGGTCCCGTACGATCAGTCGGTGAGGTCGAGGAGGGGAAGTGAGTTGTAAGAGAGTAGCGAGTTGGGATAGCAGGCAGAGAGTAGTGGGGGGGAAAGGCGGTTCCGGTGAGAGAAAGCGGGAGGAGTGGGCAGTACGTCACTAACGGCAGCTCTACTGTACCTCTGGAGTCTGGAGATGGATGAATAGGGAGGAATTGGTGGTTGACGTGCAATTGAATGGATGAAGCACTCAGATATAGGAAGTATAGACCACTGTCTGCCAGGATCTGCTCTGGGCAACAAAAACCAGACAAAGACGAGGAAATGAAGTCAGCGACGCCTCAGGCCTGATGTCACGGGGCTGCCTGATGGGGTTTAGGGCGGGCAGCTAGGGCAGGGCTTGTGGCTGCACGTGCTCGAGCTCTGGCGGGGTCGATGATGTCATCGGTCAGCACTCCTCCGGTCATGATATCAGCTTCTCGACCCTCGTGGGATGGATGCGCGGCTCTGACTTGCGATCTGGGAGGAACCCGGAGAAACCGGTTCATGGTGGTCTCGACTCGTCTGTTGGATTGCTCTGTTCGCTGCATCTACTCCGTCTATTGACGGACGACGCTACGGATATCTATGCTCCGGACCCCTGCACCGCAGATCCACCGACGAACTGTTACGGTCGTGTCAGGTTATGGCACCAACACTTTGAGACAAGCCGACCATCTATCAGCTAATTCATCGGTAGTCATGTATGAAGTTATAGGAAATTTCTTCTTCCACGCTGCCTGATCTTAGAAATAGGTCATAGAAAAGGAGAATACAGGGATGGATTGACCACAGAGGATCGATTAGAATTGATACTGCCAACGTGCATACTGCATACTACACGGCATACTACCAAGAATAAGAATGCTGAAGACGCTAACCCAATGGGGCAGGACTATAGCTCCGACGCAGGAAAAGTCTCAGCATAGTTAGAAGTATGTCTAGTATGATAGCAAAAGCGTCAAGTGACTGTGTAGGATCTACTCTACACGTGAGAAAGACTATCCTGTTTGAATAACCCGCACACTCTTTCCTATATCATCCCGGTAATGCGACCGATGATTCATGACATTCCTCATAGGACTGGCTGACATCCTTTGTTTTCTCCCCATAAATATGATCGTCACTGCTCCTTAAAAAGTCATCTTGTGAATGATATCTAGAGTGTATATGCAAGAGCTAGATTAGTCTACCCCCATACTCGATTTATTGACGTCACTCCCTATGTTAACGATGCATGGACTTAGCATTTCTGCGCATGTAGCGGTAATAGACTGTTCGACGTCCTTTACCCATTAACTTGAGTTCTGTATTCGCAATGGAATAACTATCCCAGGCCCATTGGAGGGGTCTCGGAAGGGCCAATGAAACGATATTGTATTAATGGGGTTGAAGAACCCCCCCCCCCCCCCCCCCCCTATCACATGGCGTTGAGTTGAGCGAGGAGAAAGAGATTTGCTTTAAGTACTGAACCCACCCCCCCTGTAGAAGAAAGCGCAGGCTATCAATACTCCATATCATTCCCATGCTCTTGGCTGTTCTTCTCATACCCCATATCTAGTACCAGTATTCGTCCTGCTCTAATGGCCACAGATCCTCATTGTGTCTACAAATTCTCTGGCCATGACGCCCCGGTCATTGTTTCCTCTGACGGCAAACTGGTGGCATCCGCGTCCTCCCAGTCCATTGATATCTGGAATCCTGGAAAGGAGAAAATTCTCTGCTCCTTCAATCATGATTACTTAGTCCATTCCGTTGCTTTTTCGCCTGATGGCACATTGGTAGCCTCGGGGTCAGGTGACACTACGGTCCGAATCTGGAGTATTAAAGAGAGTGATAGCCCTCTTTTTTCCCACCAATGTCACCAAAGCTATGTCTCCGCAGTTGCCTTCTCCCCTGACGGTAACCTGGTAGCGTCTAGCTCGCCAGACGGGACGATAGTGATCTGGGATTTTAGAGGTACTGGGGCCCCTCGCATACTTCGAGATCCCGATGGAAATATGCCTACATCCGTTGCCTTCTCAAGAGGCAGCGATCTGGTGGTATCTGGGTCCATCGAAGGCCCAGTCCGGGTTTGGACTGTCAATGGTAGCATCGACCCACTTCATACACTCACAGAGCATAATCAGACGGTTGGCTCTGTTGCCTTTGGGCCGAATGATATAGTGGCATCTTGCTCCATTGATCATATGATCTACACCAGGATGCCTGACGGTAGTAATCTCACAAAATACGAAGATACTACTCCGGGTGTCTCGGTTGCCTTCTCACCGAGTGGACTACTGGCATCTGGAGGACAGGACTTCTGGGTCAAGATCTGGAACCCTAAGGGCGGTGATGCACCACTCAAATTCCAAGCGCATACTGACTCTATAACCTCAATTGCTTTCTTGTCTAATGACGTGTTGTTGTCGGGCTCCGAGGATGCTACCGGGAAGATCTGGAAAATAGGAGATGCCGGGGATCTAGCCTATGCACCAATCTATGCTGGCGGGCCATCACCATTCTATTCAGTCGCTTTCTCGGCTAGTGGCACGCTCGTGGCAGCAGGTGATGGGGCCGGTGCCAAGGTCTGGAACACTGAAGGAGATGGCGAATATCCGACACACGTCTATGAGCATGGCTTTATTGTCATGTCAGTCGCGTTCTCACCCAAGGGACTTCTCGCAACTGGTGGGATGGACGGTATAATCAAGGTCTGGGACACTGGATCAGACAGGAAGCAACCCGTCCGCACATATACGCGTGACACTCGGCGGGATTACACGGATGCCGTGAATGAAGTGGCTTTTTCCCATGATGGCTCACTTTTGGCATCCATCGGCTTTGGCAGTGCAATAGTCCTGATCTGGGAGATCGGAAAGGACACCGACAAGCCACGTTACACTTATACCCACTGTACAGCCAACGTTCAAACCAGCTCAGTCGCATTCTCAGCTGATGGAGAGTTTGTGGCATCAGGCGCAGAAGACAAATTGATCAAGATCTGGAAGATAGGACAAGACAACAAGATGCCACAGTATACACATAGCTACGGAAATCCTGTGTATTCCGTTATCTTCCCAGGCCAAACCGAACTGGTAGCCGCAGGAGGAGCAGATGGAAGCCTTCGAGTCTGGAGGGTCGAAGAAGATACCGATCCTCTATACGAACACATGCACCATCCGCAGAGTGAGCGTGGGAATTGGATTACGGTTGCCTCGTCAGATGATGGCACTTTTTTGGCATCAGCAGCGTACATTGATGGGAGTGTTAAAATTTGGAAGACAGAAGAGACTGGTAACGACCCACTCCGCAGATATGATCCTGACGATAGGGATTCTATTCAATCGGTTGCCTTTTGCGGTAATGGTGGCTATGGGAGTTATATAGCGGCAGGTACCTATAATGGCGCAGTCAGAGTCTGGAAGATTGTTGAACCGCTCAGCTCTGGAGACATAGCTGCCAATTAGGCATAATAGCGGTAGTTCCCTGGTGATTTTGTGAAATATGGCTGAGGCACTCACCTACCTAGACAGGTTGATTAAATTTGATAAGGGCTTATAGGTCGGCGTGGGTAGAAGATTCTCTACATAGGCCGAAGCCCCAGAGGTTAGCGTGTCTTGGTTAGGGATGTTTTCCTACTTGTACAAAATCGTGCACTTTCCAAGAAGTTTAAGCCTTCTATACAATGAAAATTGGGTGTTTTTCTTATACAAGTGTATTAATCTATACTAGAAAGCCTGTTACTATTCCAAATACTTGATACGGAATATGCATTGAAATCTTGCTTAATAGTAAATGCTCCGGCACTATTCTTCACATTCGTCAATACAAAAAAGACCAACCTTCTAGAATGCTATACAAAAGAAAAGAAAAGAAAATATAAAAAGACAACACCCCTAGCGTAGGCATAAATGCCAAGAGATCTGGTTGCCCACGTCGAACCGATGAGTCAGCAGACATCACGTGCCATCACCACCCATCGATTACTGCGGAAGGTATTGCGCTCTCTTTCATTCTCCTCTTCATCCCCATTGATAGTCACAATGGCTGAATCGTTCAATCTCCCCCTTCGCCCGGTGGTTGAGAAGCGCGACCGCCCCGATTCCCTCCCCGTTGAGATCGCCCAGATCAACACCCAATGGGGTTCCTTCCGTGATGTCAGCGAGAGCGCGCTGCGCGAGAAGATCGAAGCCGAGAAGGATAAAGACCCCTGGTCCGACGAAGATGATAGCGACAAGACGGCGACCGACCTTGATACCGCCGAGCGGGTGGATCAGTTGTATAAGCGACGCGCGGATATTACTCAGTTTGCTCTGTAGGATTGCCTCGGTGGTTCTTTCGTCAAGACATACTGACGCCGGGATACAGCCAAGCTCACATGGAAACCATGTTCGCTCTCGACTTCGTCTCTCTCCTCCTCTCGAAACATACGCCTCGCCAGTCCGAAACGTCCATGTCCGCTTACCTGAAACAAGTTGCGCCGCTGGGATCGCTGAACGGTGAAATCGTGGAACCTCCGCCCAAACCCGACTCGGTGCTGAGGGATACAAAGACGGTGTCGCGTGGGTGGCGGATGCAGAATTTCAACTCTGCGGCCAACAAACTGCTCGATTGCGCTTCGCGGCTGGACTCTGAAGTCACTTCGGAAACGAAATACTGGAATGAAGTCCTGGCGGTGAAAGCGAAGGGGTGGAAGGTGTGCCGATTGCCCCGGGAGCGACAGGCTCTGGGTGTGCAATATGGGTTCATGGAATGTGAGTGCGCATATGTCCTGTTTCCTTTCTGCTCTAACGTCCTGTGCAGCTACGCCAATATTTCGCGACCGCGCGCTGGCAGCCCTACGTCGTTTAGACGACGGAAGCTTAATCCTGGACAAAGGCCTGGTGCCGACCAAGGCGAAAGCGGTGCGGGTACGCGTGAGAAACCATGGTCAATTGACAGGATGCTCGACACTGCCCAAGCCGGCATCGAATGCGGAGACAATTGAGGGCCGAATTCTCCAGGCGCGAGACACGCTCTATGAGGAGGAATTGTTCCATGAGTTGTTCCGAGAGGCTCGGATTTTGGGTGGCCAGGGCGTCACCACGCGACGCAACCTGATTCAAATCCCCGTCTCGGAAGACCAGGAGATCTTACTGGACCTCGTTGATACCGACCAGGATCCGCTTCCTGACGAGGAGCAGATTTCTTCAACCGAACATAACGTGCTTGCCGATGCGCTGGGCCATTCTACTAGAATCCTTCTCTCGTACTCTCACCGACAAAACCTACGCCGCAGGACGCAGCTCCCACCACCGCTGACCCCCAAGCGCCGACACACGCCAGAATACAGCCTCCTGCGCCCGATCATGGCCTACCTTCAGCACAACTCCCACGTCCGATGGCTGGAATCACACATGAATGACGTGCATCACATTCTGAAGTCCGCTGGTCTCGGCAGTGAATTCACAGCGACACCCTTCTCCTCGGTCGGCCGTCTGTCTCCGGATGGCTCTATCCCCAAGGTAGAATCTTTGGTCCACACGTTCCTGATGCCATTTGAATCGACATTCACAGGGAAACTGGTTACGGCGCAGAGCACATTCAAAGTGCGCATCCGCACCAACGTGGTCTCTCCGCCCCTCGGCACGCACTACGAGATTTCGGTGAACCTGCCACAGTTCCCCGAGGTCCAGCCTCCGAGTCGCATCAACATCCGGGACGAGGCCGCGCGCGTGCTGACCCATTTTACCATGCTGGACCTCCTCTCCGCTATTTCGCAAAATTCATCGGCCTCCGAGGTACAGCAGACTGCCAACTCATCCGAGCTTCTGGTCTGGGAGGTTGCCAATCCGCACCACGGCGAGCTGTTGGCCCGGTCGGAGGCAGGACAAGGTCGGAAGATGAAAGTGAGCCTGTCTCGGAAGGAATTGGAAGCCGACACATACTCCATCCACCACAATCAGGGTTTTGCACGGATTGGGGGTAATTCCCCGACGTTACGGTCGCAGACCTGGAGCGCTGAACCCGCGTCTGAGCGGCCCAGTTTAATGGAGTTTGTTGCGGAAGCATCGAAGCTGTAGCGGTTTTTGCCTTCCCAGTCCGTCTGTCTATTAGTTAAGATACCCTTATCATGTTCATAATCAGCTACGTCTTTGTCCATGTTTCCGATATGCCATTACATTGATGGCCGACATATTATGAACTCCACCTCCTTATCTAACTAATGTAAACCCTCGGAAATAACCCCCCTCACCACGGAACCTCCTTCCCATCATACTGATTCACCCCCGGATTCTCCTCCCATCCAGGAACCCTGATATTCAAAAATTTCCCATTCATTTCCCTCGTCGCCGAATCGATGATCTGCATCGTCGCCTCGGCCCCGGTTGCGGGTGGTAGATCAGCAAAGTCAGCGCCTCCCAGGTCGGTTCGGAGCCACTGTCGCTCCACCTCCCCCAACGCATCCCTCACGCTAGCCTGACTCGCAGCATCTAGCTTCACAAACGCCACGCGGCCTTTCTCACGCTCGATCAGCTCCTGTAACTGTGTGCTTATAGTCTGTCGCGAGGTCGCGAAGATAGTTCCTACTTCCGAGGCAGGGCGCGAAGCGAGGTGGTTGACGATGTTGAAGCCCAGGCCTCGAGAGGAGCCGGTGACGAGGTATGTAGCCATTTTGGAGAGAGAGGGTGCGGGTTTGACGAAGGGAGGAGGCATTTTGTGTTTATTTGTAGGTCGTGGGTGAGGGATTTGTTACTTATTGTATAGCTGGAGGTGACGGAGTTAGCGGGGATAAATGGAGGGTTGGTAGTTCGGGGCGGGAGGGGTAATCTAAGGATCTCCGGTGGGATATTGGAGACGTGTGTTGGATACTAGTGAGATACGGGGGAGATGCGCGAAAGATTATAAAGATGGAGGTGAAGTCGTGCGATTTAAGGTGGTGGTTGAGGTGAGGTGATTGACAGGCGCTGTTTATGCTATGATGTCATACACCGATGAACGGCATTCCAAACATCAGAGTAGCAGAAAGGATGTTATCTATAGCAGGAGCAGAACTTAGCCTGTACATTTCAGTGCAGTGGTCTAGTAATCTGAGGAATTGGACAACTTTGTCAATCTGAATTTCTAGCTGAACCTGGCATAGGGTGATCCTTTTTAATGCAGTGGTAAAATCCCACATCAGTTTGTGGTTCTAAAACGTGACTACCAGCAATTCGTTTCCATATACAAAGGACTAGAGAAAAGCTCTGTACTAGCAATAAGAGGCATATAGCTCTGTCGATTCTCTATGAATAATATAATGGGATTAAGAGTCAAATCCGCTCGAAGGTCTATATGTTCAAGACCATTGGCATGATGAGCATGATAATCCTGAGGACAGGATATGTTTCAGCTTCTATTGCACATTCTATGATGGTAACTCATTTTAACCTATTACCTATAACTGAGAGACCTTCGTCTATCCAGAGGTCTAAAAAGCGGCTTTCCTACCAAGGCCAGCCACCTCGCGATGGTATCACGAATAGAATGCGGGTAATAATCACCGCGACCGTTATTCGGAAGCAAGCCGACGGAGTCCAAGCGCCGGTTATTCCAGATTACGACGCCGACGCGTCGAAATGGTTGGAATTGTCGCATGTCTAGGTAGGCCGATGGGCTTTCTTGTCGCAATATGCTCTCCGAAGTATAGTAGCACACCATCAATGCCGCGGTTGAGGAAGAAACGCGCTGTGCTGGCGCTCTGACCCAAATCTTTTCCAACTTGCATTCGTTGTCTGGGGCGGGAGATGGGCTCCAGATGGGAGATTTCTCAGATCTGGGGGGCAGTGCCATCGATGCAAAGAATGGGACTGATTTGCTTGTGAGGGCCCAGGCTGCTTCGACGGGTTCCTTGTCACTCTCTCTTTCGTCCTTCACGGTGTCTTCCTCGCTGGACTCGGAGCTCGAGCCGCCGTATGATGGAGAAAGCCCCAGGTCTGCGAGAACAGCAGCTACTGTCAAGGTCTGCTCTGACGCGGCATCCGAGCGCCACCCGTAAGAAGTAACATAGATGTTGTCGAGTCTGTTGACAAGCTCTTTCGACCATTTCCAGCGGTCGATTGCAGTGCTGCGGAAGATAGAGTACAGCTGTAAGTGCCATAGAGCCCAATGTACGCGGTACTCTTCAATCCAAACAATCGGTTCAGCTGCAGGTTGTGTTTCCCCGGGGAAAGACGAACGTTCTACCGCGGAGACGAAGTTTCGTTGCATGACATGGAGGGAAGTACATGCTAGGCGCTGGATGTTCGCTGCGATATGGATCAACTGGAGCATCTCAGGGACGGTGGTCTGCTCGGGTAGTGGATCATGATGGCTATCAATTTTGTCAGGAGGAGGAGGGCATAAGCGCTTATAGCTCTCGAGGTCTGCGCAGTGATTGGTAGAACTTTTGATAAGTACAACATCCCGGAGTAGGTGCAGTATCTCTGGCAGTGAAGTGATGGAGCATGATCGTATGAGACTCAAGGTGATTTTGCGCGGTTGCTCTTGGAAGACCAAGTTGACCCATGGCGACACGGAGAGGAGGCTGTTGATTCCCACAAAGTCGTTGTCGTAGGAGAGAATCTGCAGCATAATCTCGCAAGGAAACTTCTCGAAGGGATCCATGATGGAGACCGGACGGAAGATAGGCTGGTTATTTCTAAGCAAAGACACGAGGTATCTTGTAGATCGGGTTATCGCTCTATATGAATCCAACCACAATGGTCGCACCTCAATTAGCAGTAGTTACTGTTGAGATGTATACTATGTGTGTGCGTGTTTATTTCTAGAGGTGGATTGGGGATTCTTATATAGACCCCTGTGAGCCTACCTACTGGGGGCCTCCGCTAAGATATTAAAGAGTCTTATAGAGGTGGTTGAACAACCTCTTAGCAATGTAGCAACCCTTGCGGCAAGTCCTGAAACAAAGAGCCTTCTCTAAATAGATAACAAACACTATACGCAATCTTTTCGAAACAAATCAATCGCCTACGAAAATTTGAACAATTCGCAGAAAGTCATATAAAAGTAATCAAAAGAATTTAGAGTGCGGGTTTCCAACAACTCAAGTATCGTTTCCGAATACTAGAAAATAGCAGTACAAGCTTCTAAGAAAGAGGCCGCAGAAGCTAAATAATGAAAGCTACAAAGGCCGATTAATCAAGAAACAAAGCCATTGATAAAGGCCACATCAAGACATTAAGGGCCCGTTTTATTTCACTGGAGAAACGCACGAAACGGTAGAGTCGAAAGAACAAAGTCCATAATATCAAAACGGAAAGTGTAGATCTTGATCCCGAAATCAAAATACAAAGTTACTACAGCGTGGAACTGCTATGTCAACGCAATAAGGGCTAATTGGCTATATAGGCAAAATCAAGGCATAAAACCTATTTGATTAATTCACATAAAGTAAAGTTATGTCGAGTCATTGCGATGAGTCCCAATCCATTCCATCGCGCACGAAATAGCATCAGCAATTGAAAATACCCAGCAATGTGTCCCTTAGCTTTATAACTAATCGTGGGTATGTCCATATCGGCGGCATTATGTACAGCTACCAATCGTTTGATAATTCCCCGACTAGCCCGACATATTAACACCCTCACTATGAGCTATTGTGAATCAGTGTTGAAAGACCTTGGCTATCAGCGCGCTCTGCAGGGACCCATGTCTAGTCAACTGGCGTCGAAATAATTCCGGCCAGTTTCGCCGTCTGTATTACCTCCCCGCCTTTACTATAACAACCCAGCGAAGTCATCGCCTCGAAGATGTTTCGAAAAGTGTAGAAGCTCTACATGCCCTCATTCATTACTTGACACAAGTTCGTTTGTCTCTAAGAGCGCATAATTTGATCTCAGGACGCAGATACCATGTCCAGCGATTGTTGCAAATCCGGATTCAAATGGGAGGGTATCCCAACAGGCACGGAGGCCACGTTCGCTGGCACCAGGACCTATATCACAGGACAGTCCAAGTCCGCCGCTATTCTGTACATACATGATATCTTCGGCTGGAAGTTCCCCAACGCAAGGGTTCTGGCAGATTATTATGCCGAAAAGGCGAATGCGACGGTTTATGTGCCTGATTTGTAAGTACCATTCCTTAGCCCTACCCTGGAAAAACAGATAAATTAGAATCCTAATTTTCCAACTCTAGCTTCGACGGCGAAATCGTCTCCCCCGAAATGCTCGAAGACCCCGTCAAACGGGCTTCCTTCAGCATTCCAGACTTCGCGGCCCGCCACTCCAAAGACCTCAGATGGCCCACGATCCTGAACTTCGCGACAGAACTCCGGAAGCAGTACGACAAGGTCGGAACCATCGGGTTCTGCTACGGCGGATGGGCTGTTTTTCGTCTCGGTGCGAGAGATCTGGGGCTGGTGGATTGTATATCGGCCGCGCATCCGTCGATGCTGGAGGACAGTGAGATTGGATCCTTAGCGGTTCCAACGCAGATTCTCTCTCCGGAGCATGATTTTGCCTTCACGGAGGAGTTGAAAGACAAGTGTAACATCGTGATTCCGCGGAATAACATACCCTACGAGTATGTTTATTTTCCGGGCTTGGCGCATGGGTTTGCGACGAGGGGAGATCGGAATGATGATGTGCAGAAGAAAGGATTGGAGAGGGCTGCTAGGTCGGCTGTGGGTTGGTTTGGAGAGTGGCTGCATTAATCGATTTTGGTGTTTAGGTACACTTTCCTTGCAGGTGGCTCGCAAATTCCCCAGAAAATGATATCCTCCTATTTCTGATCCCTCGTACACGTTTCCCTACATATCACTGCGTATGCACCCTCACCACCCCCTCGACAGGAGCCAGCCAGGGCCGTCGATCCCGCTCCCAGACCTCAATCGTGGGATGCAAGTCCGCGCGCTCTGCGATAGTCCCGCTTGTCACGGCTACCCATTGCCCTTTCTCTCCTGTTTCGTTAGACACGAAAAGGCTTGATCCGCAGTTTCCGCAGAATGATCGATGCAGGGTCTCGCCTGATTGACTGCTGTTGTCGTGGTATGTTCGTAGGGATTCTTTGCCTTGGGTGATCTGGAGTTGCTGTTGTTGGTGTTAGTTGCAGGTTCTCAGTATGGTGTGAGTGACTGTGGTAAGGAGGGGAAGGGGAGCGACGTACATCTTTATGGAATATGCAGTTCGTCATGAATGCTGAACCGCTGCTCTTTTGGCAGCTGTCACAGTGGCAGATGAACATTTGGTTTGGGTCGTCGGTGAGTTTGTATTGGATGGTTTTGCAGAGACAAGAGCCTGATCTTTGGGGCGGCATTTTGTATCATAGAATTCAGGGGAAGAGTCATTAATGGCTTGAAGAGAAATTGAGCTGAGACATCCATGACAAAATATTCAAAATGCCCTAGATTACTCACGATATATATACCAGCTAAGATAGCAACCTGGCCTGCAAGAATGACAAGAACAAGGCCGTCGAGTCAGCCTTCTGTCCTACCCAGATATGTGTCATATACTGAGCGAAGATTCTCGAAGGGATTGGTATGTTCCACGATGTGAGATTGATCTGCATGTCATCCAGACCCATGTAACGCTTTGCAGCCTTATTCATCAGGCAGTGGCGCTAACCTCCTTGGGAAGTGAAATGGGATGACTCATCGTCTGGCCGTTTGATTCCTTGGCGGCGCTAGTCCTATATTGGCAGGCCTGGTTTTTCTGCCTCAGGTTGACATTGGAATGTATAAATGTATTTCAGCAAACATATCTGAATGTTCGGATACATCCAAGAGAATTTGTCTGTGTTCTTTCTTGGGGATAGGGTGGTTCAGGCTAGAAATGCATGAGAAACAGAATGTCAAATCCGGAGGACCATGACGTCAGTTTGTAACATCTGAAGCACCAGGTTCTCGCATATATATGATTAGAAACATGAAACTCTATTCTATATACATGAAAGTTACCATCCACACTGAATTTATTCCAAGAACTCTCAATCGAGTAGATCACACCCCAAAGCGCCAAGTTTATTTTTGCTCAAACGCCTTCTCCACCTTCCCCTCGTCTGCGATATGGTTATAGGCCCGGTCATACCGATGCTCCATTTCCTCATTATGCTTCCTCACGTCTTCCGGTAGATCCTCGTGCCTCTTTCCCTCCATGTCCGCTAGATTAGACTGTCTGCCGTCGCGGAGCGTGGGGTGGGCTTTGTTCGAAGGGATCGGGTGGTTGGGAGTGTTCTCACGGTCGCAATCTTCTTGTGGATCGTGTTCGTTGGCTTGAGAGAATTTTTGCGACGTATCGTGGACGTAGGTTCGTTGGCTGAGGGAACCGATCGCATTGCGACGGAGAGGGAGAGAGGAGATTGGTGTGTGTAGGCGCGATGGAAGGCGTAGGAAGGAGGCCATATTGTTTGCGGGTCGCGGTGCGTGGAGTGGGAAGTTGTGGGTGAATGAGTATGGAATTGATCCAAAGTCACGGAGTATAGGGCCGTTTAAAACAATATCTGGACAGATTAAGGATGATGATATTGCTGCCAGGGGCGATCTATAAAATCCGGTTTCTAGACCGGCCGCATAACTGTGCCTGACGATGATGACGTGCCTGATGTCATATCTGGGAATCGGCCTCGGAGTTGTCTACCGAGGTGGATCTACTGGGAACCATTGCATAGAAACAACACAATTTTATCTTGAAGACAACGCAAGCACTTTGTCCTAGCGGTGTCGCTTGCGAGACTATCCTCTCGAATTATCAAGGACCAAAGCAGTATGTACTCCGTATAAACTCCCCGAAACTTCAAGCCCAAACGCTATCGACTTCAATTATCCATCGGATTGCCCCCGTACATTGAAATCACACAGTCACATAGGTTTGATTCTCAAGATCTTTCAAATAGTTCTCAACCGGTTCATGCTTATAGCGGACTGCATAACTTAATGCAGTTCGCCGATAGGGATCCAAACGCCACGGGTCTCCTCCACGCTCGACCAGGAAGCGCACAGATTCCAGCGAGCCAGCCCGTGCAGCATACTGAACAGGCGTACAGAGTCCGAACCTAAAGTTCATCGTATATTCTATTGCCCCTTCGTCGAGCAAGCAATTGACACGTTCCATCAGGCTCGGGTCCTTATTGTATAGGTATTTCAGGATGTTGAGTCCGTTCGGATCACGCCGCATCGAAGCAAAGTGCAATAGCTGGCCATGTTCCGTCGATCCCCCATACTGGAAAAGAAGCTCAATGATTTCAAACGGAGCCTCAAATATCGCATAAGACAATGGAGTAGCGTCTCGCAACTTGCAGCGTTTATTGGGGTCAGCGCCGTGCTTTAAGAACCATGTCGCGAGGTCTAAGTCATCGAAAGTGTAACTGGGATGGGTCAGATATTAACGATGATGGGGGTAGCGAATAGGTTACCCAAGAGCCGAAGGGGTTTTGCTATCAATGATAGATTCTGCGTTGATATCCCAGCCCCGGTCGAGGAACGACCGGAGGATATCGTACTGCTTCTTTTGGGTTGCTTTGGCAAAGAACTCAAAATTAATGGGCGCGCCTATATCCAACAGCTGTTTAACATCTTTGGAGTTGCCTGTCTCGATCGCGGTAAGTAGCAGGACCGAGAGGTTTTCCATCCTTGCTGGCGAAGGACAAACGAAGAAAGGAGGATGAGAGAACTTGGGTGGCGCGTAGGGTATGTTTGACAGGAATACCTGGGAAGGACGATTGCCCATCATGTGACGCGAGTGAAGTCGGCTGGACTATCGATGTTGGCTGTGCCTTTAGAGAAATGCTACGCGCTGCCTTTGTAGGTATACCAAAAGGCGCTTGCACCTATTCAGGGCACTGTATTATGGGTTACCACCGTGTGCTGAATTGAGATTCTCGGCCTACAGGGGCGAGACTGGGTAGCAGGTCCTGAACAGACGTCAAACCTGAAGGAGGGTATGAAGCGGCAATGTTTTCAATTCTAGGAAGCAGCCAACTAGAACTGTTATCTTCTAATTATACTGGCCATAAAGCTTTGCCTGAAGCGATTATAGGAGAAAAAGGATTCATATGGCAATGTCGTTGCTAACAGGCGCTTCATTGAAACAGGAAGGCCTCATCCGCCGATCCGACTAACCACACCTGCACATCTCGGAAGGCGTCTAGATCATTCGTCTCCAGTGAAATATCGACAACAGGGTCATGCCAGTGGTGGGTTCTTTTCGTTGCAGTGCTGCTCAACGACTCTCCGATATAACGACAGCTATCGAAGTCGATCAGAATAAATGTGCCGTCTTCATCAAGCATAATGTTGGCAGGATTAATGTCGTTGTGAACGAGCCCTAGCGAGTGCAGATGTTTAATTGCACTCAAGATCCCTTCCAATCTATCTTTCATATTGTCCTTCATCAGCTCGCGTGGACTCGAAAGGAATGCAGCCTTGCCAATACGTTCGGGATAAACTGCTTCAAGTAGCGTGGACGTATATCGCTTGAAACATAGCCCCGAGACTCGACCGCGGGTCTCTGTGCATCCATAGTAAGTAGCGATATTAGGATGGGGATTCTTGCGAAGAATCTCGCATGTTTCAATTTCGCGGATGATCTGCCTTTCAAGATTCTCATCGACATAGGCAAGGAGACTTGGAGTTTTTACATATACCGCAGACCAATCTAGATTCATCGCGGGACCCCTGTCTTCAGTCGTGATTTGCCTGACTTCATACAGATCGTCCAGCGTCTGCGGCAATAGTAGTCGATTTGCCCATTTTCCAGAATATAAAACGCCATCTTGCAGGGCAAAAACTTGGACGTAAGAGAATTTCATTTCGCCCTCAACGTTTTTGAAGGCCTCATTCTTTTGAATAATTTCCATTTTAACTTGAGGTTGATTCAGTTCACGGACTGTGTCGACAGAGTAGATGTTGGAAGTGATGTCTATGATTGTAGCCCTAACTTTACCCGTATCTAATATAGCTTCTACCTGCACTAGATTCATTCCATCCCAGAAACACAACAGGCCCAATACGTCAATGCAATGATAGATTCGTCCATGACTGGAACATTATACGCTTGCTCATGTTGACCTACCGCCCACACAAGTGCTACTAATTATGTCCCGGGCCTCCGACTGGCACAGACTACTGCACCAGACCGTTAGTACTGCATTAGTGCAGCCACTATTCTCTACCCTGTCCTATCAAGTAAAAGTACCATGACCAGCCCCTCGCCCCGGCGGCTGACACGTCGAGGGCTGAAGCTCGGCGCCAATAGGCATTGACACCGCAAGTCCCGAAGGTCAATGACCCAATCAATAATGCCATGCAGACTCACTTCTCCACGACCGCATCTCAGCAGCAACGCGATGTGACATTGGCTTGCATTTACATGAAGCCAGAAGGCCAATCGTGTTGATCCACGACACCTGGGTGCTCCTCAAAATTTCAGCTCAGAATTTGCTTCAATCGTGAGAAGGTTCCGAGACTGCATTGTGTGTTCAACTCTTTTCAGCAGCTTTGAGACATATCAGTCATGGGAAAGCCAAGGCCCAAAGAGGCCATGTCGTCATCTCGGAGTTGTCTGAAGCGATTACTCGGAAGGTTTGGGCCAAGCAAGAACGATCAGTCCGGCAGGGAACAATCACAGGAAGCTGAGCAAGTCTTCCGATCTGTGGAAGAAGAGACACCACGCCACAAAGACTCGGAAGCCCCTTCCCCGTCCGCATTCCCTTCCACAACATCATCCAAAGAAGAAATAACCTCATATTCTGAGACCGGTGCAGCTCCGGTGGAGCTCAAGGGCCTCTGGGGAGAGGCATATGAACAGCTGCTCCGGGATTCCAGCAACGCAAAGTTGATCAAGGCCTATGAGTCTGCTCTCCTAGAAGAAGGCGGCGATAACAAGGATGTGCGGCCAGTTGAATCCGAGATCAGTCCTCGTCTACAGTCGATAATGGAGCACAGGCTCCAGGAAATCAAGAACTCTCAAACCACATTCCATTTAGCAGGAAAGGAGATTGTCGTTAGAGATCAGGTCCGTCGAGCAGTTGACTTGATTCTCTCAGTGCAAGGCGTCGTCACGTCAGCAGTAAGCTCAGAACCACACGCCGCTCTAGCCTGGGCAGGGGCTTTGGTACTCCTCGTGGGTCCCATCACCAGGTCCGTCACTCAGGATACAGAAGCCACTGAAGGCTTCGAATGCATCACGGCATTTATGGCTCGCTATGCGGTTATGGAAGGCAATCTAGGCGACATTTATCTCAGAGCAAAGAAATCAAAAACGTCCAAACAACTTCAAGCCTTGTCACGGTCGATCAAAGCTCAAACTGTCGGTCTATATGCGAAGATAATTGAGTTCCAAATGCGTCTCGCCCGGCACTATTCTCGTTCAGGATATTTCAGGGTCATGAGAGACATGGTAGCCCCTGAGGATTGGAAAGGGATGCGTCAAGATATTGAGAGCATCGACAGATCCGTTTCCCGTGATTTAGAGGAAGTCGGCAATAACACACTACTGCACATCGAGACGCTCTTGGAACAACATCGCGAAAGTACGCAGAGCTTGATGATCAAAATTGAAAAGGACACTGAGGTGAGACATGCTGTGTTGTGAGCCCTTATGGCCTCGCGAGTTAATCTGTATTTCCAGGAGGCAAAAAACCTTCGCTTACTTTCCATCCTACGAGTGGCATCCCAGGCACGGTTCGAATCCCCGAAAAACGATGCCAGGGCAAAATGCTTCCGAGGAACCCAGACCAACGTTCTTAACCACATTCGAAGCTGGATCCTGTCATCCGGGGAAGACTTTATCTATTGGCTTCCTGGAATGGTCGGCATGGGAAAGTCCACCATCTCGCGAACCGTTGCGGCGCAATGTCACAACCGAGAGTCCCTTCCCGAGAGTGTTTGTCTTGGTGCCAGCTTCTTCTTTGACCGGAATGAGGGATTGCAGAACGACGCCACTTATTTATTTCCTACCTTGTGCCAATCACTCGCAGAGTATCTGCCACAGCTCAAAGCTGAGATCTGCATCTCCATTGAAGGGCACCCCAACATTGCAAACGAATCGCTCAGCAATCAGTGGAAGTATCTAATTCTCCGGCCTCTCATGAGCTTGGAGAAGAAGAACCGGCTTGTACCATTGACATTGGTCGTCGTCATAGACGCACTTGATGAGTGTAAGCCTAGATACGAGGCAGACGATGTTGATACGATTTTGGGATTGATCACTGAGGCTCAGCAGCTGAGCTTCATCCGGATGAAGTTTCTTCTCACCAGCAGGCCAGAGACCCAGATTCGATCAAGCTTCCAGAATCTGCCTGCCTCACTGTTCCATAAGAACACGCTTCGTAAAATACAACCATCACTCAATCAGGAAGATTCTGATGACGACATCAAACGATTTGTTAGGCATAGGCTAGGCAGTATCGCTACAAAACACGGTATTACAGAGAAATGGCCTGATGAGAAGAGATTCAAAGAGCTGATCAGGAAAGCTGATGGGCTGTGGATTTATGCTGCAACCGCCTGCAAGTTCATAGAAGGAGCGAGTCGCAACTTCGAACTGTACGGAAACAGGCGCTTGGACATCCTGCTCAAGGACGACAGTGGTGTGAAAGATCCCACCCCTCAACATAACTTGGATGAGATTTACGGTCGAATCCTCGAGGACTCCCTTCTTAGTTCGACCATACCGAGTGAGGTGGAGTCAGTTTATCTCGATTTCCAAAGAACTGTTGGTGCCATTGTCGTGCTGTGCCAACCTCTGTCCCCCATTGCCTTGAGTGACCTTCTATCTGTGGACCAACGAGAGACTAAAGGCATTATCGATGGTCTAGGTTCGGTAATACACATAGACGGCAACGAACATTCCCCTATCCGACTTGCGCATCTGTCCTTTCCTGAATTTCTGACGAACAAGCAGAGGTGCTTGGATGTGAACTTTCACATCTCGAAGGAGGAGAAACACACTGCGCTGGTCACACGTTGCCTGCAGACACTTTCCAAGACGCTGAGACAGGATATTTGTCTTTTGGGAGACTCATCCACACTCAAAGAGAATATTGACACTCAAACTGTGGAAAGATACCTTCCTACTCATGTTCAATATGCGTGCCTTTACTGGGTGGAGCATCTTCTGTCAAGTAATAGTCTCTCCCTCACTCTTGATGACGGGCCTGTGCACCTTTTTCTGAAGACACACCTGCTCCATTGGATTGAATCTTTGAGCATCATGGGAAGAATGTCTGAGGGCATTAGTGCCGTCATAAAGCTTTCCGAGCATTTCAAAAGTCTACGTGTGAGTTAGAAAGCCTTCATCTAACTTGCATCTAGCTCCCTTCTACAGAAGCCTCTAACTTAGAACATAGCCAAATATGCGATTCGCTCTATGTGAGTTTGTTCATGATGTGAAACGCTTTGTACCTCATGCTAGGTCAACCATCGAAAAAGCACCTTTACAGGTCTATCGATCGGCTGTTCTTTATTGTCCTATTGAGAGCCTTGTTCGGAGACAGTATGAGCATGTCATCCCTAGCTGGATCGTCAACCCACCAGTAGTTGCGAGAAACTGGAGCCCTTTATTACAAACTTTTCAAGATAAAGATTCGGCAGATGTTGCTATTTCACCGGATGGTAAGATCGTAGCGTCTTCTACGGTTTTAGTATGGGATGCTACCACAGGCATGCTTCTCAGAAATTTGGTACCAATGGGGTCTGGCGCCACTGTTGCATTCACTGTGGATGGGAGGAAAATTATATCCTTGTCGACTGATGGCCATCTGAGAGTGTGGGAGGTCTCATCGGGACGACTTACCAAAGAAATTCAAAATCCTATTAGGAACTATGGCTCGACTTCGAATTTTGTTTCGTCGGACAGAACTCGCTCGGCTTCTATCGTTAACAGCAATACTGTCGTGCTTGTTAACATTGATAAAGGAGAGATACTAAAGGTATTTAAACCTCACGAGAATGGGGTACACTGCTTTAGCATCTCATCGAATGGTCAGCTTTTTGCAACTACGTCGATCAATGGAGCAGTTCGGATATGGAGCACCATCACTGGTGAATTACTCCACGACCTTGCAGAAGATATCTTTATAGGCCCTGGAAAAGCCCGCGTCGCTATCTCCCATGACTGTGAAAGGATTGCGGTTGCGTGCGATGAGAGTATATTCATTCGGAGCTTAAAGACGAACAAGATGGTGAATCGTATCGAGGTTAAAGCTGTGGACATCGTATTCTCACTTAGCAGCAACATACTGCTGAGCGTTGGAGAGGTGGCCAGCAATGAAGAAGAAGTGAACTGGTGGGATTTGGCTTCTGCAAAAGCCATCAAGACCATCAGGGCCAGTGTTGACGAGATTAATCTCTCTCCAGATCGGAAGCTTTTCACATCCTCCGCGTGGAAATATTCGGGGGGTACAAGGCGGGATATCAGGGGAGAGTATACCATTGATGTCTGGAATGCAACATCGGGAGATTTGGTGAAGGTTCTCGATGGCCATCGGGGTCACATAAGGAATTGCGTCTTCTCGAGGAACAATTCTCTTCTGGCTTCAACTTCTGGTGATAGAACTATCCGACTCTGGGACCTCACCAGCCATTACGCAAGCGAGAAGGTCGAGAGATTCGATTCAAAATTCACTTTCGCGTTGCGTTTGTCCACCGACTACCAGCAAGTCGCTATCATTGGGCGTGGAACTTGGCTCTGGAATCTTAGGACAAATAACCGAAAGGTCCTTGAGAGTAAGAGACCATGCTGGATTTCATTCTCACCAAACGGGAAATTACTAGCTAATCCAGTCTCCGACTCGGCCCATGAGATATGGAGTATGGAAACAGGAGAGCTGATGTACACATTTCCCAAGGAAAATGAGTGCCGTGGACGCTCTGAATTCAGTTCAAATAGTGAGCTCTTCGCGCAAACCGATTGGAAAAAAAGACCAAGAAAGATAAGGAGAAGACAATCTGCCAGTCGGAAAATTAACCGAGTTGGAGGAAGTATTACAATTCGACTTTGGGATACGAAAACCGGAAACCTGCATCAAAGCTTGATTGCTTCAGGAGAAGATATCTGGTCCTTGGCTTTCTCACCGAATGGGAGGTTTCTGGCCGCTGCGACGTCGGGTCCGCCAGCAATCTCAATTTGGGACGCTGCGAGTGGTGAGATCTATATGGAACTGCCAATGCCTGTTCCATCGGCTGAACTTGCATGGTCACCAAATAATTCCATTTTGGCATGCGCTGACATGGATGGGGTAATATCACTCTGGGATACGATCACAGGTGCCGCTCTGACATCTTTCGGAGACTCGACCCCGACCGTGGTTCAAGATATCGCTTTTTCTCCAGACGGCAGGCTTTTGGCTTGCGCATCGGGCATGCTAGTTATTGATATCCGGCTGTGGGAAGTCCAGACAGGTTCATTGATTGGCACACGCCAAATCGCAGGAAACAAAGGATTCTTTTTGCGCTTCTCTCCTGACGGTAGAACAATAGAGACGAGTATGGGTCGAGTTGATGTTAGGTCTTTCTATCATGGCACCGAATTCTCATCTCAGCTCGATCTTGCTGTGGAAGATGATTGGCTTTTGGTTGGTCATGAAAAGATCCTCTTGCCATATGACTACCACGCTAAGTGTGCTGTAGCCACGAAAGACTCTCTGATCATGGCCCATCAGTCGGGTCAAATAAGCTCTCTTCAAGTGAAGCTTCCCCTGGATTTAGAAAGTTCAGACGCAAATGACTAAGGTGACATGGATGAGGAAAGTAAAGTGAACCGCTGCGTGACGAACCTTCTCTGGCATCACTATTGAGTTTATAAGCAGACACTATTTTGCGAACGTGCCAGTTTCGTCTCTATGTTTTCCCCTATACCCAGGCTGTCTGTTCATCTTGTCAGTTCGCATTATATCTCTTAGACATTCGAATAAATTGCACCTTCACCTGTCAGAAATGTCACTCATCCAAGGCCACATAGAGCAACAACCCTACAAAACACCCACACTGAGCACAATCCACGCCCTACTAAGAACCAGAGAGAACACCGGATCACAGTCTAAATGCATGGTTCTTTCCCACGCTCTGGAAAAACACTATCCCCGGATGCATGAGTGTAGAGATATGCGGGGTAGGCAGCAGGGATATGAAAGGCGTTAGCTAGCTCGCTCTTACACCCCCTTCCTTCTTCACCTTCCTCCAACATTCCCATTCTCAGCATCCTCAACTACCTCTTCTTGGCTCCCAAGTCAAGCTCATATTATAATGCCCCTTGTAACGCTTGGAGCCGTACAAGCCGAACCAATCTATCTTGATCTCGACGCGTCCGTCACAAAAACCATCTCTTTTATTGCTGAGGCCGCGGCGAAGGGGGTTCAGGTATTGGGGTTTCCGGAGGTGTGGGTTGGTGGGTATCCTTGGTATGTTTTCACCTACATTTACAAACAAATAAACGTTCTGTTTGGGATTACAAGCTACGACATCTGGGGAGGAAATATGGGCCATGATATACCAACGGAATATGTCAGTAGTTATTCTGGATTGATTGGTTGATGACAGATTGACTAGGCCAATATGGACTCAAAACGCATACACGTCCTTCGACTTCACGGTGGAATACCGCGCTACGTCGCTAACGCGCACATCGTCGCAGATGCAGCGTATCCAGGACGCATGCGCGGAACATAAAATCTTCGTTGTATTAGGATATAGCGAGAAGGAAGGCGGGAGTATTTATATGTCTCAGGTAGGTGGAATGTCTCCCCAAAATACACCACCAACTCACGCAAGAAAAGTATACACCCAACCACTGAGATAGATATACTAATCTCTATGGTGGTACTGAACAGGCCTTCATATCCCCAACCGGCACCATCCTCCACAACCGCCGAAAGATCAAACCCACACATGTCGAACGAACCCTCTGGGGCGAAGGCCAGTCGTCATCCCTCACGTCTGTCGTGTCCACGGAACTCGGCAAAATCGGGGCCTTGAATTGTTGGGAAAACCTGCAGCCGCTCCTACGCTACTATGAGTATTCCCAGGGAGCGCAGATCCATGTGGCCGGATGGCCCGCATTTCCGTGGAAGAGCGAGAATGTGGGATTCCCGTATCTGTATAACTGTTCGGGGGAGGCAAATTATCGACTCAGTCAGGTTGTGGCGATGGAGGGGCAGATGTTTGTGATTTGTGCGACGCAGGTGGTGAAGAGGGAGAGGTTTGGGGTCTTGGGGTTGGAAGGGATGGGGCTGTTTCGAGAGGTGAGTTTGGGTCCTATTCTGGAGGTGTGGTTTTGGTTGGATATTAGCGGCTAATGGGCTATGATATAGGATGACGGAGGCTTTGCGATGATCTTCGGGCCGGATGGAACGCCGCTGGTTGAGAGGCTGCCGGCCGGCGAAGAAGGAATCCTGACGGCACAGGTCGATCTGGATGATATCCTAGCGGCCAAGAGTGTTTGTGATCCCGTCGGACACTATTCGAGGCCGGACCTTCTGAGTCTGAATGTGAATTTGGAGGAGGCTAAGGTGGTACATGAGAAGTCATGAACAGGTACGGATATATTAAATTTTTGTTGCCAGCCAGTAGCATCTCATCTATCAGATAATCCGAAGTCGCTTGGCGATCAGCAGGCAGGAAAAGATCACACTCAAGATGACCCCCAAAATGCCTCCCCACCAGTACAGCCCGGGCGTGCCGGGCTCAGTCCCCCCTTCGGTGCCCTTGCCGGGCACCTTGACGTTCATAGCGAACAATCCCGTGATGAACTGCATCGGCACGATGATCGCGCCGATCACCGAGAGCCGACTAAGCGTTTCGACAATCTCGTTCCGCATGCGCGTCGAGTCCCATGACAGCTGCGCCAGGTACTTGGACTGCGACCGAGACAGCATCTCCTCCGATTGCGACAGATTGGCCATCATGGTCAACACGTGGTCCTGGATATCGCTGAGGTAGAGAGCCACCTCGGCAGTCGGGGAGTTGAAGGTCCCGCAGTGTCGCGCGAAACTTCGAATGACATCGGTCTTGTCGTTAAGGAGCTGTCGAATGCGAATCACCTCTCTGCGGCATTTGTAGATGCGTTGCAGTGCCACTCCGATATCATCCGGGCGCGCGATGGAGACGCCTTCTTCCATCATCTCAACGCCCGTCTCGATGCGCTCGATAAATGGGGCGAATCCGTCGACAATGTCGTCACTATACAGTCAGCATCGAAAATAGACAGAATGAGCAGGACAGGGTAACATACATCAAGGCATAACAAATCCAATCACTCGTCAATGCCAGATGACTGCGATGTTCATCGATACGATGCCGCACGTGGTCGGCATGCGCACTCAAACCAAAAGTAAAACTCAACACGCCCTGCGCGAACACAATGGCGTAAACGTTAAGCGACAAGGCCCGAACCGCGTTGGGCGCAACGACCTGACGCGGCGGCCGCATGGACAGAAAATAGTACGGCCCAAAAAGCTCGATCTTCTCGCGGGCCTCGCGCATCTTGATATCCTCCGTAGTCAACGGATGGATGTCGAACATGTCGCAGAGCTTCTCGATATCTGCGTCCGACGGCGAGGTCACATGCAACCACCATGTTCCCGAGTCCTCCCTCGCCTCCAGCAGGGTATCGAAGGGCTTGTAGAAGGAGATCAAGTCGTCGAGGCTCGGCACTCGGATTTCGGAGTCGAGAAGGGTGGTGGAGAAGCTGAATTGGGTGGGCTCGACGGGCTGGTCGCCCATTTCGTCAAAGGACAGCTTCCGGTCCAGGAACGAGTCCCCGTTTGTTTCGGCAGGGACGTGAGGGTCCATGGGGACAGGGTGGAGGAGCTTGGAGCGAGACTCCTTGAGGAGTTTCTCGCGGAGGACGTTCACCAGCCTCATGGTGCGAGGGGGAGGTATCTAATTATCATATGGAACAGACCGGAGGGCTGGGGGTGGGAAGAGAGGATGTGGCACGATCGGCAGACCGAGCCGCATCCTGACGTGTCTGGCGATGGATGGGCAGGAGAAGAAAACGGTGAGGTTGTGCAAGAGAGAGAGAGACAAGAAGACAAAAGAGTCGTTCAGGAGGCGGCACTGCCCCGTGCCAAGCCTGTTCTGCCCGCTCCGTTCGGGCAGGCGGAGTGATGCCCAGCTCACAGCCCAAGAGGGTTAGCGTGGCACTATTTGCACTAGTTTTACATTGTTACATTATGATTGCATAGAGAAACCCTAACTCGGGAGGCCTCATACAGCATGTTGAGTGCTATCTGGCATGCTATTTCTGTTGTGGAATGGGGTTGGAGATGAACAATACTGAATTCAGGACTAGTTTCCATTCCATATCTTTGTTTTATCTTTGCTCGGTACATTCTTCCAATCTGCAAATGATCCATTCCAGCACTAGAACACGCCAAGACACGACCTATCTAACAAAAAAACAGGTCCTATCCCTTACATGAGGATATCGATGAGCTAGTACTGTGATAACACACTTCATCCCAAAGCCGATAGGCCCTGTATACCGAGTAAATCCTGATAGCAACAGTGTATAACAGAGACGGGGCCATATTTGGCAGCCAGACAATCCAGATCCATTTCTGGCATTCAGTCTAGGCCGTTTTCGGAAAGTAATCAAATTTGCAATCCCATTGGCTTGTAGTAACTCGGTGGTATGTGATAACGGACAGCCAATATTTCCCCAAACTACCCGAGGATCCAAGGCAGTCTCAGATGGTTATCAGTGATCAGACCCTGTTGCAAAAAGTAGTCCAAGTATCTTCGAAAATTCATTTATACGTAAGCGTGCACCTAGAAGAGATCGCAGAATATCATGTTGTCTAACTAACGTCGAAAGTTAAGGGATCACTAACACATGAAAGTCCTCTTCTTATACACCCTCCAGCCATTGGAAGATTCAACATGTATTCTACTAGTAGAATTGGAGCAAAAAGCATGTTATACAGACCCCGTGTGTTCGGCAATGACAGCTCGAGTCCTACTGGCCAATCAACAGCACAGATCAGTGTGGGGGATATGCTCAGTCATCGCCAAACCGGGTTAGCGCCGGATGGCTATCAGATTTGCTGTGAATATCAATTCCAAGTCTTAAAGAATTGAGATAACCGGCTCGAGATCCAGAACTACGCCGTAAAATCCATCATCACCACTCCTTGCCTCGGCATGGGCTAAATTTTCTGCAACATATAAGAAGACCATGCCTCAATCAATGCCCCTCTTTTAGCCAGTTACCCTATTTTTCTCTTTTTCGCCAGCCAAATGTTCGAAGAAGAAATATGTGGACCTTTAATACCCCCGAGTCCAAACTCCTCTTCAAGATCGACTTCTTCATTCTCACCTTCTGCTGCCTCACCTACTTCTTCAATTACCTCGACCGCTCCAACCTCTCCAATGCCTACGTCTCCGGCATGAAAGAGGAGCTCGACTTCCAGGGCAACCAACTCAACCAGATCAACACCATTTTCACCGTAGGGTACATCCTCGGCCAGGTCCCCTCCAACCTAGCCCTAACCTACTTCCGGCCGCGCATCTTCTTCCCTTCCATGATTCTGCTCTGGGGCGGGTTGACCATGATCACGGCCGCTGTGCATAATCCGCAAGGTATTATGGCTATTCGCTTCTTCTTGGGCTTGGCTGAGGCGAGTACCTTCTCTGGCACGCACTATATCCTCGGCTCGTGGTATACAGAGCGCGAGCTGGGGAAGCGGAGTGGTATCTTTACGGCGTCCGGGCTGGCCGGGACTATGTTTGGGGGGTTCATTCAGACAGGCATTCATTCGTCGTTGGACGGTGCTAGGGGTTTGTCAGGGTGGAGGTGGTTGTTTATCGTGAGTCTTCCTTGTTTTCCCCTCTTTTGTGTCGCGTATCGCTTCCACTTTCCCCTCGATCCTTGTCTGTACGGTCTATTGTAGCGTGTCTTGGCCGGGCTGTCCTTCACTAACCCTAACTATCCCACTTCCCTCCCTCTTCCCCGCATATCTACCCCAACCCAACCCACTCATGCACATACTAGATTAGCCTAATACATAGTAACAACCACGCTAACCCCACAGATCGACGGCCTCATCACCCTCCCGATCGCCATCTACGGCCTGTTCCTTTTCCCAGACACGCCCACCACGACAACAGCGCCATACCTAACGCCCTCAGAGCGGCATCTCGCCGTCAGTCGTCTCCCGCACACCAACGCCCAGCACTCACGTATCAACCTGCCCTTCCTCAAACGCCTTTTCACAACATGGTACTGGTGGGCGTTCGTCATCCTCTGGATCATCGCCGGCGAAACGGAGTCCTTCTCCTCAAACTCGCTTCTTGCCCTATACTTGAAATCTCACCCAACGAACACATACACCGTCTCACAACTAAACACTTACCCAACCGGCGTCCCCGCCGTCGGGATCATTTCCACCCTCTTCTGGGCAACCCTGACCGACATCCTCCAGGGAAAACGGTACCTCGTGGGCTACTTCATCGGGATAACAGGCACGGTCACATCCGCGCTCATATTAGCCCGATTCAACGACACCGCGACGGTCATGGGCGCTTATTATTGGGCCGGGGCGGTGTACGCGTGCCAGGCGACGTTCTTTGCGTGGTGTAATGATGCGATGAGAGGGCAGGATGCGAGGCAGAGGAGTGTGGTCATCGCGAGTATGAATATGGGGAATAATGCGGTGAATGCGTGGTGGAGTATCCTCTTTTATGGGGCGGAGATGGCGCCGAGGTTTACCAGGGGCATGTGGGCGATGATTGGGTGTTCGGTGGCGTTGGTGATTTGGACGGCGGGGATTGTGTGGATGAGTGGGAGGGGGGAGGAGAGGAGCAGGAGGGAGTTGACGATGGAAGAAGTGGAGGGGAGAGGGAGGAGTGAGGATGGTGGGGAGGCAGAGCGGATGGCCAGTGTGAAGGAGGGATAGAATAAGGCAGGAGTCTTTCCAGGTAAATATTTTCTCTCGTTGATATGGCATTATATGGCTTGATGTATCTATCTCATGCGTCCATTCTACGTTACTCGTGCTCGTCTTCGCTGTCCGTCGTGCTGTTCAAGTCCCGCGCTCGCTGGATCACATCTTCCCAGATCGGGGGCCGTTCTCGCAGCTCCGACGTGAGCTCTTCGACTTGCAATCCCCATTGCAGCAGTCCCTGCTCGCTACCCCATTCGCCATTACCCATTAATCCCACCGGGACTTTACCTTCGCCGCGCGCGCCCTTCTCCGGGTCCGCGTAGCCGGCAGGGACGCTGAGCGCAGGGATACCCGTGAAATTAGCCAACCAGACATACTCCATGGCTTTGAGGGTTTGGTCGCCGTCACTGAAGCCCCAGCTGAGTTCGGTGGAGGACTTGACGCGCCATCCGGTGCAGGCAGCCGTGGGCGTGACGATGATCATGCCGGGGAATTCTTGCCAGAGGGCGGACAGATGCTGCATGAGCATCTGGCGCAGCTTCTGCGCGAGAAGGAAGTCGGTCGCCGGGGTCGCTCGGCCCAGCGCAAGAAGAATACGGTTGGCCGCGGAGAAGTTGCTCGTCTCCGTCAGCACGGCGGCGGCGTCGTTCAGGATGGTCATGGCGTGGGCGTTCTGGCCTTCTACGGGGAATGGGATCTCGATCGGGACGATGGTGTAGTCATGCACGGAGACTAGTTTGTCAAGAAGGGAGCGGCAAAGACGTTGCACATCCGGAGATGCTCGCGAGAACCACGTCTCGCACATACCCAGATACTTTTTCCCGCGGGTCGATGGGTTCAGGACCAGTGGTCCAGGCGCCGGGAAGGCGGTGTCAGGTCCAGGGGCAGCCACGATACGATAAGTCTCGGCCAGGGTGCGAATGTCGGCGGCGAGAGGCCCGATGACACTGGTCGTGCTGGCATAGTTGACGCCGGGGTAATGGGACAGGCGGTTGTGCGTGGGTTTCAGGCCCACGACGGAGCAGAAGGACGACGGAATACGCACGCTGCCGCCCCCGTCGGTGCCTAAGGCCAGAGGAACCAGGCCGGTACTGACGGCATATGCACATCCCGACGAACTGCCTCCGGTGTAGTAATGGGGGTGATAAGGATTGGGAGGCGTGCCATAATGGACGTTGTTGCCGGTGGTATCTGCCAGGATTAGATCCAAGTTCACAACGATCTCAGAGGCCGAGTCAACCAACCCAGTCCGAATTCATGCATGGCGAGTTTTCCGACGAGGATTGCTCCGGCATTCTGCAGCTGTCTCACACACCAGTTCGTGATGGAGCCCTCCGCTTTCGCCTCCGGGGTATAGTCGTTCAGCGAGCCGAGAAACGTGCGATATCCGTCAACGTCGAACTCATCCTTCACGGCGGTCGGAACCCCGTCGAACAATCCCAACGGTCGGTTTTCGCGATATCGACGAGTCGACGCCTCCGCGGCAGCCCGTACAGCCTCGACCTGACTATCAGCGAACGCAATCGAGTGTTTCCCGGGCGTTTCCAAATCCCGGCGAATCAACGGTAAAAGCGCCTCGACGACCGCAGTCGGCGTAAGCTCGCCTGATTTATATAGCGCATGGTAATCGGCAGCCGAATAGTATTTGGTGGAGGGTACGGCGGAGGGAAATGACGAGGAGGAGGGCTCTTCGAACGGATTCTCGTTATCGGAGGCTTCGGACTGCTCCGCGCGCAACGGGATCACCGTCGGATCATATCGCGGCTCGGTGTAATCGAGATATGGTTTAATATTCCGCAACGAACCGAATGCATTCACCCAGATCAGACTGGGTATGAACCACACCTTCTCAAGTCTAGACGCGTGTCAGTTCATCTGATCTAGACCTTGTCGTATTCCTCGGGGAGACCGACAGCCAGGCGCCCAGGCTTACCACGAAACCGCGCAACGGCGGATTCGGTTTCCGGTCGTAGATGGCGGGGACATCGGGGCTGCCAAAGAGATTGGTTAGTTGGATACGAGGTAGTCAGGGCAATGGGGATTCTCACCCCTTTTTGGGATAGGGATAATCCTTGAATTGGTCTTGTTTATACAACATGACGATTGATCGATCATTGGAGTCGCGCTCGCGGAGGAAGTCAACAATCAACGCGGAAGGCGGTGAGGATGTCAGGCAGTCAGGCAGTCAGGCATCAATCCTGCCCTATAGATGTTGTCTTCAGTTCTGTGACTCCAACTGTCATTATTTGTATATCAAGGAATACAGGAATGTGTTTACAGTCGTGAGTGTCTCAAAGCCTTCATAGTATACAGCAAAGACCCATCCATAGAGTTAAAGTATATATTATCTTTCCTACATTGAGAGACTCGAGAATATATATATTTGTTTTGAACCTCTTCAGAAGAGAGAAATTGTTGTACTCCATACCAATTTCATTGTAGTTTCTTTCAACCATAACCATAATTCAATTGAATGAACTTGATCAAGTACGCACTCATGGTATTGTATTCATTAAAGAATGTCGATCCAGACAAGCCAGTTTCAGATACCACCCTAAACCATCTATTGCTCAGGAAGCTCAACGCCGTTCAGAATAGCGACCCCTACAGCAATCGCATTAGCACAGAAACCCCAGATCAGAGAGCCAGTCGGTACTCACCACCAGCACCAGTGTATCCCTGAGTGGTAGCATCATCCCGCTTCTCGGCTGGAAGCTCGACCCCATTCAAGATAGCAACGCCTGAAACAGTTAGCGAAAGCACCAACCATCACCACAAGGAATATTATGCATGTTGCGTACCACCGGCCCCAGTGTAGCCCTGAGTGGTAGCATCATCCCGCTTCTCAGCTGGAAGCTCTACTCCATTCAAGATAGCAACACCTGAAATATTGTTAGACTTCAGGTTGAGTGATAGGAAGTATATCCTCACCTCCAGCACCGGTGTAGCCAGCAATAGTCACGTCATCCGCGGGAGTTTCAGGAGTGGGAAGGGCAATGGCGGAGCCGACCAGAGCGGCGAAGCAGAGAAGAAGACGGGAGTACTGCATTTCGGGCTTTGAGATGGTCGAGTATGAATGGAGAGGAGGAGATTGATGTTGATTGATTGTGACTACTCCACCAGAAAGCCTGGGCTATTCAGAACTATTTATGTCTCAACCGGCCACAGACGGAGTATAAAAAGATAAGCACTTGATCAAAAGAGGAATGTGCCAGAGTGAAGCACATATTCGCCAGAGACTCCTACTGCAACGCCATTTGCATTTCAGCGGTATACTATACCATGTTTATCGCTACCCTAATGGTTCCCATACACCGCTCTCCACAATTTTACCCTGCAGAGATAAACTTATGCGCTTGGGATGTAAGCCCTATAAATACGAGGTGCTATGGTATATGATTGGCCTGGATGCAACGTGTCGGCGAACTAGTGTAGTTGCAGATTAGCTTATTCCCAAACTGATGTCAGACGGAGGCTATTGGCTCATCCCATGATGCGCTATTTGCACGGTAGTATCGGTGTCTATTGATGATCCGGGGCTTGGAACTATCGATCCGAGGCCTTTTCCCATTGTGTGCGTCTGGTCAACTTCTTTCTTTCTCTTTTCTGTAATCACACATTTGCTCGAAATGCGATCTCTGGTATATCAAAAGCTGGATGACACAGATGTCGACTCCGAAGAGTCAGATGCCCTGCATCCTACTAACGACGGTCCCAAAGAAGCGTCAACAATATGGAATATGCGAATACTCTCAGTGCCTGGTGGCTTCGTTCTCTTCAACTTGATTTTCTTCCTCTTCTCCATTTTGATCCTTCTATTATCCGTCATCCACGTGCAAAACATAACACATAACATCGACAACAGTCTACTCAAAAAGACCTCCTCATACTGTATGCACCTCTCCTATTTTCTCCCATCCCTATCAACACACAGAGGGAGAGGGAGGTCTAACAATTGCAGCACCCATCCTCGACAAACTCACCATCCCATTCCGCGAAACACGCACCCACGGAAACTTCTTCGCCGACGACCCTCCCTCCCTCTTCCAACTCCCCCCAAGCCCTGAAGTCGACGCCGCATGGGACCGCATCTCCGACACGCACGCCATAGTGCTCTCCCGGGAAGAGATTGTGAAAATGGGCCGCGGTCCGGACGAACAATGGCGCTTCCCGCCAGAGTACGGATACGGCGATGACGCCTATATGGGCCTCCTGGACGTGTTTCACCATCTGCATTGTCTAAACGCGATGCGTCAGGCCGCGTATCCGGAATACTATTTCAACAAGACTGGGAGTCATTCGCATCATGAACGCTTGGGAGGGCCGGGCGAGGTGCATTTCACGCGTGGAGGCCACGATTTGCATTGTCAGTATATCCTGTTGCAGTTTATAATGTGTCACGCCGATGTGGGCGTGATTACGTTCAATAAGGTAGAGGGGGTAAAAGGGCCGATGGCGGATTTTAGTATTGATCATAAATGTCGCGATTTCAGGAGCATCTTGGACTGGAAGGAGGAGAATCAGGTTAATGTTTCGGATGAACAGTGGAAGTTGATTAATCGTGTACCCGAGGGGGTTAGGGAGTTGTCGGGGGAGGGAAGGTCGAGGCCATTTGGGAGTTGATTTCTGTTTTGTTTACTGATAGACATTGAGTTTGAATATTGACTGTTCAATTAGAGTTGAAGTAGGTGGTATTGCACCTGGTTTCACTGGACATGTATGTACACATGAGAAGGAGGATAGGCAGGAAATACTTGCCCCAACAATTCAAAAGAATAATGATCAATTGTCGCCGATTAACTAACTCAAAAAATCAGAATCAGTTATCCGCGCGCGCTACAGATTCACGATCTAGTCCCTATCCAGAAAATGGATCCCACATCGGACCTCCTCCGAGACATACTATCTATATTCCTGGGGAATCCTTAACACCTAAACGGCCCATGTGAGCGTCTGCACAGTCACGTAGCACTGTCTCATCCTTTACAAGTCACTATCACGAGGTGTCGGGCTTCGTGGATATGGTCTCATCAGGGTTACATAGTAGGGGCAATCGCGGAGTCCGGTATGCCTCCGGAGCCACGAGAACTATAAACCTCCCCGAACCTTTTCGTGGCAGGTCGCACGATCATTGGTTAGTTGCGTCGAATACGAGCTTAGATCTGACGTGATTATTCTTAATCCGATTAAAGAGAGACATAATGGTGTTTATCCCGCTTTAGTAATAGTGTCGCATGGCTTAGTGCTTATCTTGTCAGATGTGGCATGGATCCTACGTCGGCGTTGATCTAGCGGCAGCTGAGGTTTCAGAGGCGTTCTTGAGCGGGGTGGTAAGTATTACAGTATTCTGCTTAGGATGAGGAGAGGTTGAAGAGCTTGACCATTCGTGTTGCGCTTAATTAGAGGAAGGCCTAGCTTACTGGGTGATCTCTCGTCGTCGGGGGGTATCAAACTCTTGCCAATTCCCGTGTTTCTACTCGTAACTACCCCTTGAAATAATAGCCTCAATATTTCGCCATGTCCCAATACCTCCCCCTAGACCAAACAGACATAGAGCAACCTCTCAACAATGAGAAAACCACCACACCCACCCCCTCTCTTCGATGGCCCATCCTCCTCCGCAACGGACTCGTCTCCCTCCTCGCCCTCTACGGGCTCATCAGCCTAACCATGCAAATATACACCTACCTCCCCATCCCATCTCCACGCAAAACCCACTCCTGCGCCTGCGGCTCAACCCCGGAGGAAGCCCTCTCCCGAGGCTGCAAATTCGACCCCTTCGCACTCGCCTGGCTCCCAGACACCTGCCGCGACGACGCCCTAATCGAGGAATTCGAAGACCTCGGCAAAACGAACAACCACAGCTGGACGTTCTACACGTGGCCAAACGCAGATCGGATACTCACGCTGCAAGAAGTCTCGACGATGGCGGATGTGGTGGGCACGGAGAATCGTACTGCGGTTACTACGACAGTGGATTGGCATCATACGCATTGTCTCTATTTGTGGCGGAAGTTGTATCGAAGCAGGTATACGGGTCTTACGATGGAGGGGAGGTATGATTCGGAACATCATCAGAAACATTGCGTGGAGAGTATTCTGGAGTGGGTGAGGGTTCAGGAGGAGGCGGGGAGGTTGATTGGGGGGTCGGTGGTGGATTTGTATGCCGATTAGTAGGGGTTAGGGTTTATTCTCAGATGGTTAGGGATCGGGTGAGGTAGAGAGAGATTGAATGTGTTAGAAGTTGTGATACCTCGAGGGATACGGATTGGAGTCGAAGGTTACGGTTGTATGTGCTTAGAGGTTGTCCGTCCTTTCGAATTGAAGGCCTCATAAGATGAAAAAGAAATGAGATAAGAATAGGTCCGCTATCTGTTGGAGGTCGAATTCAAGCATATTGGTAATTAAGATCATGCCGTTTATAGATAATGTCATAGGTCGTATACCAGAATCAATAGACAAGGAGATCGTTTAACGCAAGAAAGAAAACTATCATAATCTGCGGCAAACTGAATCTATCACCGAACCACAACTCCAGTAAACCGAACGAATCCATTCTCTCGGACATCCCGTCACGTAGCTCTCATTCCAAACATCCCCACTACCAGCTATACCTTCTCGGCATCGCGACTACCCTCCGCAGTAGTTTCAGCATCATCCTCGTCCTGTCCCTTCTTCTTCTTCCACGGCATCATTGCCCCTAGCCGATGCATCCCCCGACTCAGCGGCCGATAGACCATCACGACGGGCTTCCCTACAAACCTCGCAACGGCGGCGAACCAATCATCCGGGAACACGCGCACAACAATTGCCCACGGCCACGACAGCGCCGCAACCAGGATGCAAATCGCCCACTGGACACCATTGATCGGAACAATGCTGAAGGCAGTCTTTCCGACAAAGGCGATCAGGATCTGGCAGCCGACCATGAGGCAGTTGATGATTATAAAAAAGTAGTTACGGTGCAGACCCGTGAAGATGTTGAATTTGTTGTCGAGCCGTCGGTTGTTGAATTCGTTGAAGATTTGCATCCATACGAACGCATTGAACACGATCGAGCGGCGCTCCTCGTCGGGGTAGTCTAGGAATCCAGGGCCTTTGGCAAAATGCAGGATTAAGGTCACTGTGAGTTGGAAGATGGCTTGCCCGATGATCATCTTCCACATTGTGATGGAAATGAGGCGGGCGCCGCGTTTCGGGGGCTTGCGGTCGAGAATGGCTTCGGTGGGAGGGTCGGTGGCGAGAGCCAGAGCGGCGAGGGAGTCCCTAAGATTGTTAGTTACTGTCTGTTCGGATGGTTTAGTGGGTCTTACATGATCAGGTTAATCCACAGGAGTTGAACGGCTGTCAACACAGATCTCATCTCTGCGTCTGAGACGGACGAGATAAAGGTCATGAGCACGGCAGTGATGTTCACGGTGATCTGGAACTGGAGGAACTTTCTAACGGCATCGTTCACAGCTCGTCCCCACATCAGGGCTGTCAGAATGGAGGCGAAATTATCATCCATCAGCACGATCGCCGACGCTTCCTTAGCTACTTCGGTCCCTGCTATTCCCATCGAGAATCCGATATTCGCAGCCTTCAGGGCTGGTCCATCATTGGTTCCGTCGCCCGTGACGGCAACGATCTCACCCATTTCTCGCAGGCGGGTTACAAGAATCCGCTTGTCTTCCGGGGAAGAACGCGCAAGCACTTGCAGCCTGGGCAATGTCGCTGCAAACTGCTCGTCCGTCAAGGTGCGGAAATGAGGTCCTTCCATGACGACGCCGCCAGTGTAGATCCCGCAGTCTGTCGCAATGGCTTTAGCTGTCACCATGTTGTCACCGGTGACCATGCGAACTGTGACGCCGGCGTGGTGGCATTTCGCCACAGCCTCAGGAACCCCAGGTCGAATGGGATCTTGGATGCCGACGACGCCGAGGAAGGTCATGTTGTTGAGCAGCAGGGTGAGGTCCGCGGATTTGGGATCTTCAGGGCTGACACCCTCTCGCGGAGGCCAGGAGGAGAAATCCCGGTATACCAGGGAAAGAGTGCGGAGTGATTGTTTCGCGTATGTTAGAATGATGTCCTCCAGTTGCTGTCGCTCGCGTGTCTCAAGGGTATCAACACCCGATGGTTTCCAGATATCGAAGCTGTAGCCGAGCAGGATTTCAGACGCGCCTTTGACGAGGAATCGATATTGACCGTTTTCCAGTCGCACCACTACTCCCATGCACTTGCGACCGGAGTCGAAAGGCATAAGCTGGATCACCGTCGCATTCGCACGTTCTTCAGCCAGAGATCCCATTCCGAGTACATTCCGAGCAAAACCCAACAGAGCCGTCTCGGTCTTGGAGCCGACGAAGCCGGGAACCCCGTTTTCTTCGCCTTCAAAGGCTGTCGAGTTAATGGCAACCGACTCAATCAACAACCGTTTATGATCCTTAGCCATGTCAGCGGCAAAAGAGGCCGATCGTCGCTCGCTGCCGGTCTGGTTCTTATCGTCGAAGTGATCGTCTCCGAAGACGCCAGTGACAACCGTCATCCGGTTTTGAGTCAGTGTCCCAGTCTTATCGGAACAGACGGTTGTGGCATTGCCCATTGTTTCGCATGACTTCAAAACGCGCACCAGATTGTTGAGTTTGACCATGCGAGTAGTTGCGAATGCCAGCGCTAGGGTGACTGCTAGCGGAAGACCCTCCGGAACGGCAACCACGATCACCGTAATAGCTACGATCAAGATATCCGTAAATTGCGAGGCTTTCTGGGCGCCAGTTCGCGGATTGTCAGACAGCGTTCCGACGAAACGGAATAGCAGAACGAAGAAAAGCAGAATAGCAGCACTGCTACCCAGCTTCGCAATCGCCCCAGCCAAACCATCCAGTTTCTTCTGCAAAGGTGTAGGTTCCATATCCTGTCTCATCGCCATAAGAATCTTGCCGTAGCTAGAGTTCACCCCAACAGACGTCACAAGGCATGTGCCGACTCCTTCGAGGATCTTGCTACCCGAGATGATAAACGGATCCATCTCGTGCGCTTTGCTGTGCCCTTGTTCCAACATGTCCATGACATGCTGCGCACCCGTTTTCTTCAGTTGATCCGATTCGCCTGTCGCCGATGACTCGTCACATTTCACGTTATGGCCCTCGATGAAAATGCCGTCGGCGGGGACAATATCACCCGGTTCTAGATGGAGGACATCGCCGACGAGAACATCAAAGACCGAAATGCGGACGGTCTTACCGGACCGGACGACTGTGACCTCGCGATCCTCTTTCTTTGCGTTCAGGCGCACAAATGCCCGCTCTTTCTGCCAGTCGTTCAGGGAACCGACGAGCACGACGATGACTATGGCGATACAAATGGCACATCCTTCGATCCAGTCCACGGGCATGGGTTCGCCGGGTTCGTGGTGAGCGCCGAATGTTTCATAGAGGCCTAGGGCGAGGGATATGGCAGCCGCCGCTGTCAAGAGATGGAGCACCTTGTCATTGTATGCCAGCCAGACCAGTTTCCATAGCGGCGTTGCTTTCTTCTCGGGAAGGGAGTTGTTCTTGTAGACGCGGACTCGGTCGAAGAAGGGCTCAGAGGCCCCGTTGGCGGATGTCGATGTATGGTGAGAGGAAATGGCACTTTCGTTGGCGCTGAGGCCCGAGGTAGCGTCGGTGTGTAGGCCCTTGACTAATCCCGATAGTCCACCGAGAGCCACAAACGCAGGGAGCGACTTGGGGTTAAGGAGCTTGTTAAGTTGGCCGGGAGAGAATGAGAAGGGGTTATTGTCGACTTTGAAATCGTTCTCAGATCCGGGATCGGGTCGAAGGGCGCCTTCTTGTTCTTTAGATGAGAAAATACTCGACGCGGAGCTCGATGGGTCGCCTTTGCTGTCGGGGAGTTCTAGCAGCGGGCTAGCGGGCGCCATGGTACTGCCGCTCATAGCTCGGTCTCGACCGGTGTGTGTAGTATCTATAGCTGTCAGGTTGCTGAAAGACATCTGTCGCGAGGACATGCCCGAGGAAACCGTCTCGTCATGGTCGCCGTTGCTAGAGGAGGAACAGGAGCTATCGATCTCCTAGGAGACGTCAGACAAAGGCAAACGAAGCTGACAGGCAGACTTAAAGGCACCTACCGGAACCTGCACGGTAATCGCCGGGACTGACGCTTGGCCAGACGAAGTTGGCTCTTTCTCCGAGGATACCATCTTGACAGTTGATCTGATTAGATTATCATGCCGATGTAGACAGAAACAGATATCATCACGAAACCCATCGTTTGAGTTATGTATCGAGAGCTCGAAAAGCCTGGAGATCCGTGGAAAGCAGAACAGCACGGGACGAAGCGCCGTGGCCACCGCTGCACAGCCCCCTTCCATCTGCCATGGGATGGCCTGTTTACATGGCACGCCGGGCTCGGCACCGCACGAACCAGCAGCGACGAGCGGAGCGCCAAGAGAGCTCCCAAAGGCCGGCCGCGGAGCCAAGACCGCGCGTGCATAAGTGACCTGCAATGGCGGCGAGTTTATTCCTCGTCATTGTTTCGACTGAAGAACCATGTGGTTTGCAGGGGAGTATCTGTCAGAGGCAGAGAAAATGCGGGGGATGCGCGGGGTATCAGGCCCTGTGCAACGGCGATGAGTGCCGTCGTAGCGGAGAGACGGAGTATATGCCATCGATTATAGGACGGATCTCCACCGATAAAAAGCACAGCCGACTCCACAAGGCTGCCTTGTCTGGTCTTGACTTGTTTGACAGGTTAAGGCACCTGTCTGGAACATTTCCAAACTTTGCAACGATTGCCCTTTGTCTTAGCTTTTGTGGAACCTCGAGATGGGTTTCAATCTTCATGCAGATAACAGCAATGACCCCCCGGAAGTGCGTAACTGGAGGGTGCACTTCATTGCGACGGTGGTGAGCATGGGAGCCATTGCTAGTGAGTCTTATTTTGCCTGATCCGTGGATTTGTTTCTGATGGCAGATTTGCAGTGGGATACGATACAAGTGTGATCGGTGGAACTCTGGCACTGAACTCTTTTCGCAGAGACTTCGGTCTCATTCGTGTTTCTGACCATGCGACCGACACTTTGGAAGGAAATATTGTCTCCACATTCCAGGCCGGCTGCTTCTTCGGATCTTTGCTCACGTTCCCGCTTGCCGAACGCTTTGGACGCAAGATGGCCATTGTCATGGCTATCTTGGTCTTCTGTGTGGGCGGCAGCTTGATGGTCTGTACCAGCATCACGAGAAATCCACCCTTGAACGAAGACTGACTTGCTCTTATCAAGACCGCTGCCTCTGGTCATCTCGGCATGATCTATACCGGTCGGGTAATTGCAGGACTCGGAATCGGTTCGGTGTCGCTGCAGGTTCCAGTGTATATTGCGGAGACAGTAAGAATAGTTGTTCATTTCTCGCATGTCGAATAACACTAACCAGAATTCCAGTCACCACCCTCCATCCGCGGCCGCCTTGTGGGTATTTTCGAGATCTGTTCCCAAGGAGGCGGAATGTGCGGCTTCTGGATCAACTACATCGTCAATCGTACAATTTCCGCCTCTAAGATGGCTCAGTGGCAGGTTCCTCTAGGTCTTCAACTTTTGCCGGGCGCTCTGCTCCTACTCGGTATCTTCTGGTGTCCAGAGACGCCTCGGTGGTACGCCAAGCAAGATAGATGGGATGATGCAGAGAAGAGCTTGGTCTGGATCCGCAAGCTAGACCGCCAACACCCCTTCATTCAGGAAGAGCTGCACCAGATCCGGGAGCAAATCCAAATCGGCATGCCTCCCCCAGGGATCAGGCACAGTCCGATGTACTTTGTCCAACGGCTCTGGCAAAAGGGCACCCGCAACCGAATCGGGATCGGTCTTTTGTTGATGGCATTTCAGAACTTGACTGGTGTTAACATCATTACCTAGTAAGCAGGGTCTGTTCTTTTGTTGCAGAGAAGATCAAGGCAGTTTGCCAGAGTATATTGTTAACTCGGCCGCGAAGCTACTCCCCGCGCATCTTCGAGACCCTGGGCATTACGGGAACCGACACCAAGCTCTTCGCTACCGGATTTTACGGAGTCGCAAAGACCCTCGGAATGGTGATATTCAGCGTGTGGCTGGTCGAGAAAGTCGGTCGCCGCAGCGGTTTGATCTGGGGCGCATTCATTGGCAGCTTGCCGATGTGGTATATCGGTGGTTATGTCTTCAAGGCGGATCCCACCGCAGCTGCCGCAGCTGGAAGAACCGAACCAAATGCAGCAGGATACATTGCCATGGTCTGTGTGTATCTGTACGGTTTGATTTACTGCGCGACCTGGCAGGTAAGACAGTCGACTCCCTGATTGATTTCACGAGCTGATCATTCTTCTTTCTTCGGTCAGGGCATCACCTGGGTTATTTGCTCTGAGATCTTTCCCATCGATATTCGCATGCTCTGCGTGGCCATCACGACAGCCGATCAGTGGCTGTGGTCGTTCATCATTAGCCGTACGACGCCCTACATGATCACCTCACTCGGGTACGGCACGTATTTCTTCTTCGGATCGCTCATGATCTGTATGGGTATCTGGGCCTATTTCTTTATCCCGGAGACCAAAGGAAAGACGCTGGAGGAGATGGAGGCATTATTCGGTGCTCCGAGCAGCGTTGACCGAGGGCTGACTGAATACGGCGAGGAGGTCAAGGAGAAGAGTGGGGCGGTGGCAACTCATGTAGAGAGAGTGTGAAAGACTGAATCCAATTGAGATAGTATAGGACACAGTTGTTGTACAGCAGATGAAGATGATAGTTGAAAGCAGGGAGAGAGGAGGAAGAGACGGACTGTGGAGAAAGGGAATCCCGAGAAATGCTGATGCCTGATCCTCGAGGCCGCCGAGCCGCGGGGGACCGTGACAGCGATGCCCTAACCCTGAGCCCTGAATATAAGAACAGACATGGAGCAGTCAATTCATTTCTCCGTCTGGATTCTATTCTTCTCCATCTCTTAATTCGAGTCCCTGTACTCCAATCTTCTCCCCATTTCAGATCGCCAAGTCCACCCCGCAATCCGCATTCGCGTGACATGGCACCCTTTCCATCCAGCATGCCTTTGGGCTCGCTCAATGGCACCACAAATGAATGACGATCGGATAATTGTCCGTTCTCGACAGCTTCCGATCATCATGTTCAGACCTAGATACCCCTACCAAGCGGACCCCTCGCCGTTGCTCCGGGTACGGCATGAGCATCCCATTGGATTTGCGTCGGCAAGCGGGCCTTGGAGTGGTAAATCGGCGGTGGCAGTGCTCTTGTCGCCGCTGTGCGGGGCATCGCTGGCCCATCAGACTATAAGCTTGCGAATACCGGCCCAGGAATGCGGAATACCTGCTGCGGTCAGAGTTTAAAAAATTTTTGAACTGGTTCTCTTTGTTCCTGGTCCTGTGGCTGTGGACTTTTGTGGTCGGGCATTTTTCTAGCCCCCGCTCACCCATCCTACCACCTACCTATCCCGTCCGTCCTGACCCCTGAAACCAGATGCACTGATGGTATGCTCGGAGTTTCAAAACCTGGCTTCTCTGGTGACGGATCCCGGTGCGTCCCTTCCGCTCCGTCTAGCCATGCAAAAGAAACATCCCCGGCTCTGCAATCATGAATGTCTCGCCCACGTCGCCCAAGTCTCATCCGCACAGGATTGAGCGACGGAGAACGGCAGGCGAATCGAGCGCGGGGGGCTGGGCTGCGCGACCGAAGCCAGTGGCTACAGCCTGCGAGCGATGCCGGAGGAGAAAGATCAGATGTGATGGTGAAACGCCGTGCGCGACCTGTCGACGATTCTCGATTGCTTGTGTGCGACCGCGCAAGAATGGCGGCGAGACCCAGGAGGCGCTGGAGCAGCGTGTTCGGCAGCTTGAGGCGCAGATTTTTGAGCTTAGTACGGGCTTTGTGTCGGCTGCCCAGTCTCAGTTTCCCGTGGCACGAGGCGTGGGCTATCAATCACCAGCCAGAAGGGCGTCTCCCATGCCTTTGACACTGAATACTCAGCTCGGAGACGTTAGGCAAGACGCCGAGAACATAGCCGGCGATGGCCCGTTTGAACACCCTCTTGGCGATTTCGGTCCCCCGGGTTTAGACATCCCTCGTATAGAGGTCGTCGATTGTGCTGAATTCTCGCCGACCTCGTTAACGCCTACCCCGTCTTTGCCATCCGCCGGATCGGTGGCGTCCAGTCCCATGTCGGGAACTCTAGACGCCGGCCTCATTGCACCTCACTTCGGCTTGGCCCTGTCGCCGCCGATGTCGACTTGTCCGTCGCCCAGCTACGATTCGCTCCCGTATCTCTCGCCCACTAGCTTAGCCGAGTCGTCTACCTCCCGCCGGTCCTCGGTCTCGTCACTCGGTCTGGACATGGGCTGGGGAGGGCCAGATATCACGATATCCGATAGCCCGGACGATGACCTAGCATTCAACGCATGCGCACCCCTGCCTTCCGATGCGCAGCCTATTACTGTCCCTACGAGATTCGAAGCCGAGACGTTGCTGGAGCTGTTCTTCGAGAAAACACAAACCTTCGGGTACCCGGTTGACCAGGGCCGTTTTCGCGCGTTCCTCGACATAATCGATGGCTCGAATGAAGGATCGCTTGGGCCCGGCAATCCACAACATGTCCCGATGGCGCGTTTCCATGTCTACATGGCTATGGCGATTGGTCTGCGATTCAAGACGGATGGTCGTGCGACAGAAAGTCGGCTACTAGAGAATTGTTATCATCTTGCGCTGGATCAGATCCGGTCGCCTCAGTTCTGGAGTCAGCCGTTGGCTGGGGAGGCTGCGATGCTGATGGCTTTGTTTGCAAGGGCGAGTCAGGATAGCATTTGTTGATAGCATTAAACTCTTTGAATGAATGTTCAAGGGCATATTGTATACCTATAGTGTTCATGCACTAGGTTTGAATGACATTTTTTAATCTCATCTCAGATACACGATTTCCATGAAGACAAATTTCTAGATCATTCCTTCGCTCGCAATTCCAACCCCACAGCTTTCTGATTTTCCTTGACAACATTCATAAGAACTGTCAGATTCTTCTCTGCGCCCTCCCACTCCCTCTCAATCACCGCCTGGGCATGCGGCCGAGGCTCAAAAACCGCATCAAATGGTTCCGGCATCGAGACAAACCCCGATCCAAACGCCATATCATCCACCTTCTCGGGGTTGCCGTTAGATCCCTTCTTTAGCTGCACATTATAAGCCCACAGAATCCGCGCGATGAGCAGGTATAGTGAATTCATGGCGATGTGGCGCCCGGTACACACGCGACGTCCGTAGCCGAACCAGTTCGTGAAACCGTCCTCAGTTCGACCGAGCCATCTTTCCGGATAGAACTCGTCGGGTTTCTCAAAATGAGCCTCGTTCATGGTCATGGACCAGAAGAGTGGGATGACGGTGGCGCCTTTCGGGATGCGATAGCCCATGTACGTATCGTCTCGCTGCGTGGCGTGGGGAAAGCCGCCGGGAACCATGGGTTTCCAGCGCAGAGTCTCCTCCACAATGGCACTGATGTACGGGAGATTATCCCGGTCCGAAAAGTCAGGGAGTCTGTCTGGTCCAATCACGCGGTCGAGCTCTTCCTGTGCAACGGAGATGAAGCGGGGCCGTGTCACGGCAGCCAGGACGAAGATCTGCATCACGGCCGACGTGGTTTCCATGCCAGCGTTGGCCAGGATTCCGAGATCGTAGGCTAGCTCGATTGGAGGCATGACCTGTGCCTGTTTGGAATTAGAGAACTCCTTGGTCCAGTTCCATGGTTCGTTGGTGAGTGCGCGGTTCATATTGCGCATGTGTTGGCCGGCCTCGATGTTGAAGAATCGCTCGGCTTCTTTCTTCCATGGGGCGAGTGGTTCCGGCAGTTTGTTGAGGATCGGAACTGCATCCACTATCCAAGTTCCTGGTCGACCGGCGTAAACGAAGTTGCTGAGGATTTCACGAGCGGAGTGAATTTCCGGCTCGTCTCCGGTTTCCAGCCGGAACCCGTAGGTCAATGCATAAACAAGACTTACGCTGTATCGCTCAATAATCTTGTGGAAATCGTTTGATTTGAGAAAGTCACGGAGGAGCTGCTTGCTCTCCAGGTCCTGGAGGGGCAGGTACGTAGACGATGCTCGAGGGCTTAATACGGGCGCTTCCATACGTTGGTGCAGTCGGTAGCGATCGTCGTAATTGCGCACCAGGAGATGCATGCCTTTGGTCAAGTTGTCGCCGGCCATGACCATTCGTGGTCGGTCGCTGTATACGCTGCCTCTTTTGTCCAGCAGTTCACGGGCGATGGCGGCATCGGCGATCATGATCATTGTTTGTCGTCCAAATTGGGCGCTCCAGATAGGCCCATACTTCTTGCTCCAGTCGTCGAAGGTGCGCCAAGGGAGCACTTGGGGGACTTGATGAATATTGCCGACGAATGGGAGTCTTCGAGGACCAGGGGGTAGTCCACGGTCGCGTTTGTACTCATACAGAAGACGGAGAATGACGACTCCGGCCAAGGTACTGAGAATGATACCCATGGTGTTGTTCAGCAGGTGCAGTCGGTCGACAAGAGACGGAGAGCTTGAGAGCCGACATGGGACCCCCAGTGCATTCTCGCTTGTTTATGACCAGAAGGGCATTGGCCGATAGAAGGTAGGCCGGAAATCAGGTCATTAATCTATTTGGCTGCACTCCACATGAAACACGGCACACCTGCTATCGTAGACTGTCCTTTAGCTCATCTTCCCCTCATATCAAGGACCTAAGCGAAGGAACAATATGCATGGGTGCAATCACGTTGTGGGGCCATATCCCCCAGTGACGTTGACTAGTCAAGGATACAACTTTCATTGGAGCTTCTGCACAAGCTGAAGGTCAGACCGTTGACGCTAAGATGATCCCTGTAAATCTGCATTAGGGGCAGACTGTCGGCGGCAAAAATCACTCGGTTTTCCTCTCTATGCACCTTAGTCCGATGGAATGCAACATTTTAATTGTTTGGCAAAGTGTGAAAGTTGATCCAGAGTGCAAGTCTTTCATAAGAGCAGAGCACCAGTCGGTACATGCTTCTCCATTACAATGGAGATGTCTCTGTTTTGGCATAGAAAATGAATCCTCCACTTTGAACCCACATTCTCCACTGCCGATCATGGGCGATCGGTGAGCCGTAGCACTCCGTACAGCTTATCGTGCACGTTCTGGCCTTTTGTGGTGAAGCCACAACCAAGCCATTCTGCTAAATTTCTTGAAACCACAGCTTGGAGCCGATATAGAAGCACCACACACGGGAAGATGGCTTTGCCCATGTACCACATTAATTTAAGGTCACCCAAAAGAACATTCATCTCCTAACACAGTTTCGAGTTCATGGGTCAGATGAATCCTTGATGCGTATTGTCCGTTCCGTTAGGTCATACTTGAATCCCTGTGTGACGCGGACGGAAAAGGTCCATGTTTCTATCCAGTGTCCTAAGGCGAAACTGCAGTTGCAAATCACTTCCGATTGCGAAGTCCAGCACGTCGAGCCTGCCTTGCCTCACCATCAGGAACAGAAATCTCTTTCTTGAATTCCTCGCTTCCTTCTTCTACATCAGCCCTGGCTTTCCGCTTCTGCGTCGGCTTTGTTGATTCCCCAGGCTTCTTTCCCTCCGCCAGCATCTGCACCAATGACTCGATTCGCTTGGTTCGCGCTTTCGGAGACGCAGTCTCTACCCGCCACAGAACCGCATACCGATCGGTCTTATTCAACCCCTCAAAGAACTTCGCCGCAGCAGGGTCCGCAGCCAACGCGGCAGCAAGGTCATCGGGGACTGTCATCGTAGCAGGCCCACTGTAAGCGCGGGCCCACCGGCCATCCTTCTTCGCAGCCTCGACGACAGCCAATCCCGCGGGTCGCATCTTGCCCTCGTCGATCAAGCGTCCCACAGTCTGCACGTTCTTCTGCGACCAGATACTCTTCGCTCGACGGGGCGTGTATCGCACTAGCCACCAATCCTTGTCGAACGGGTTGGCTCGTCCGTCGATCCAGCCGAAGCATAGCGCCACTTCGACGGCCTCCGCGGCGGAGACTGATGGAATGCCTGATGCTTTCTTGGCAAGTTTGATGTAGAACCCTGGGGCGGTGGAATGCTCGCGCTCGAGAAAGGATTCGAGATCCTTGGCGGATGAAAAGGGGTGGGTTGGAAGGTCGGATGGTGGTGGCTTGACTGACATTCTGGAGATACTCCGGTCTAAAGGGGTTTGTTGGCAGGTTTGAGGGAATGTTATTCTTCGTGTTGTTGTTGTTGGCAGGAGAGTCGAGGCGCGCTTTGTCAGCAGCCTGAGGCAACGGCGAGGATGCCTAGGCGCCGAGACTCGCCAGAGGGGGGAAATCCTCATTGTTTTGACAATGGCGAGAATGGTCATTGAGATGTTAGTGTGTATTCTGACAGAGCACGTAGACAGCACGCTGTGTTGTCAACCTACAAATATATCGAGGGGAGAAATCGAAGGACAGCGCTCGGCCAGCTTTATTTTGGGACCATGACTAACAGTACCAGCCAACCTTTCCCTTTTTGCTGGACTTATTGGTCTATTTGCCTGGCAATGCCTGTTCAAGTCGAGTACTGCACATAGTGAATGAAATCGAATTTTACTAGGATCAATCTCACATCCTCTCAGAATCAACAGAACCAAGGCCCGCTCCACCTGTGAGGCCTGTCCACGTGTCGCTGGGTGCCCTGGCCCAAAGCCTTCATCGGGCCTTAAATCTGCGTTTTGCGAGGAATTGAGCAACCCAAGTTCTTCCACACTCCTTGTCTCTCGGAATTTATGGAAGCGACCGGGGCTGCGTCTGCGATACTTGGAATCGCTACGACTGGGGCCCAATGCTCCATCAAGCTACTCACCTTTGCCGGCCATGTCAAGTCCGCAGAGGAGGAAATTACGCATCTCGCCGAGGATGTGTCCTTGAACGCGAGCATATTGCAGCAGCTTGGCGATTTGGTCAAAGATGGCGAGGGGAATGAGCAAGCCAGGTTTGGCGGCAGTAACGACGGCCATGATGAGAGGGAGAGCCTAGTCGCGGATATCCACGATGCCAGATACGACGAGTCGAAGAAGGGGATCTTCAACGCGGTCGGACTTGCGACTGTTATGAAACTTGCCGAGCGATGCAGGGCGATTTTTGATACACTCGATGAAGCCATACAGCGAGCGACTGCGCAGTCCGGTTCAACCTCCCGAACGCCGGGACAGGTCACACTTGGCCGGCTGGCGATGTTAAGATGGCCCTTGCTGAGGCCGGAGACGGAGGCTGTGCGATGTCAGCTGAGAGATATCATAGGGACGTTGATGTTTATGCTGCAACTTGGCATGTTGCGTTGTTTGAGGAGAATGGCAGAAGGGTAAAGCTTGGTCACCATGTGCATGTAATTGTTGGCTAACCTCCGTATTCATAGCGGACCAAATAAGCACGCCTGCAGTTTTTCTCGCTTATCTAAAGCTGATCAAGAGCTACTTGTTATGTCCATTATCACGACGTACCAGAAGCAACAGGCAGCGATACGCCCATCAAGCGAGGACACGCGAGTGAACGACACACCCAGCTCTGTCATAGAATTGAATGGTTTGCGGCCGGGAAGAGAGACCAGAGCCAATAATCAGCATTCCGTGAAGAACAAGCCTAGTCGACTGTTTGGGTTCTGCAGGAGGCTTTTCCATCCAACATCAAACGAGATGGCAGCGGATCAAGCAAGTGACAAGAGCAATTCTGGTCAAAACTCGGTAAGAGACACGCCGCTGTATGTGAATTCACCCGACCACACCTGAACTCCGGAATCTCTATTAACCTCTAATGACAGTGAATCAAGTTATTCAAGCGAAGGGTCGCATGTCCGACCTCTCCAGGTGGAAGAGCAGAGCTTCGCGTCTCCACCGGAAGCCCAGTCATGCGCCGATTATCAGGATGGCACAATCGCGTTTATCAACGAGGCCAAAGCCAATGTGCAGTATTTATCTTCGCCCGAAAAGGAACCCGTTCGGTCGGAGTTTCAACAACAAACAGAGTAAGATTCGCCAACACCGAAAGGCTTAATTTCCTTCGTTGTCTGACTTTGCCGAAGAATACTCCCTCAGAAAGACTGCCTTGAAGTACGCGTCTTCTCTCCCGTCGCCTGCGTCAAAGATCGCAAGATCCATATAGAATACATCCATCGAGTCATCCATATTTCTCAGGAAGCAGCCCAATGGCAGTTAGAGGCGTGGAGATCCACTTCTACCGATACCGTTCTCAGTCGCCTTCTCGCGCTAACCACGTGCGAACATGAGGCACTAAAATCACAACCATTTGCAGCAAACGACAATTCAAATTTTGACTACAAAACCCTTGAGTGGCTCCATTTGGGTGATACTCTTCCCCTTATCGACGATGTGGCACATGTTTGGGCGAGGAGTATAACTGCGGTGGTTAAAGTAAGTCGCGAGTCACAGGGCAAGAGAAGAGATGTCGGTCAGGGAGAGAGGGAACAAGGTGAAAGAGTCGATACGTGGACTAAAGTCAGTTCAATACTTTATAGCAGCGAGGATGGCGTCCTACCCTCGAATACCTGCTAACATCTTGTGCTCAGGTACCCCGACAGTATCTGCATCCTGAGACATTGAATCACTACAACTTGCCTTGGATGGAAGATGAGGTAAATTCGTTCACTTCCGCTTTCAGTTCCCTCACTAACTCAAAAACCACCTACAGCACGATTCGGACTGTGTTCTAGTTAAGCGGTTTATCTCACAAGCCCTCCAGGAGGAGCTATTCGCCCATACCCGGCGCGTTCACAGAGAACCGCTTGGTGTCCTTTGCCCATGGCAAAAAGCGGAAAAGGTCGTGAAGTCGAAGAGGAAGCAGAAATCCTCGAACTCTGAGGATACGGGGATTGGTCCTACGTCAAATCCAGATATTATCTCACAGTCTAACATCAATATCCGGGGAAACGTGGAAAATATAGTAGATGAACTTCTAGCTCGGTATACAAATGCATGATTCATTTATTTCTAATATGTACCTTAGGGTAAATCTTAAAAGGTGCCTTAAGCAAACGGCAGAATGCTTGGTAATTTGCCTCAGGCATCCGAGCGCCAACATGATCAACTAGCTAAGAGGGAGCAGGCCATGTTTATACCAACAGATTCACAGCTAACTTCAAGTTAATGAAATATTCTTCTTTGTACGGAGGAACGCAATTGCCGTTGGCCAAGATTTGGCGGATTGCTCAAAGCACCTGACAGTTCCATTCACCAGAATTCCCTCTCACCTTTACATTCACTTTCTTCCCCAGTTGTCCAGTCCCTTCGATTGATCGATATGGTCTAGTCTCACCAGCTGACCCACAGCAGGCCTGGCTCCTACTGAGCAGACAGTCAGTCTCTCTTCATCACCTTCATAGGAATCAGGCAAGAACCCTGCACGTCGCTGGGTTACCTTCATCTGTCAGGTCCATTCGTCTGTTTGCCAGTTCATCCTCTCCACAGACTACAGATCATCATGGCAGCCCTGTCAGAGCTACCGACCGAAATTCTCATCCACATCTTTTCGTTCCTCTCTGTCTCTGACCTCATGAGCGTGTCAAAAGTCTGTCGATCCTTTTGCGAGGTTATACGGAAGTACGGTGACATCAAAAATAGGAAGAAATACCGTTGGACTCGCTTCCACTCTCAAAACGATATCTACAAGGCTTCCGCTTTGTTGATGTCCATATTGCAAAATCCACATCTCGGACACTATGTCCGGGGCGTGGACATGATGTGCCCAGATCAATATTGCGGCGGATTGCGCACTATGAAAACATTGTTGAGCGTTGACGATTGCTGCCAACTGAGGAGTCTTGCGCGTGCTGCTGGTTTTTTGGCCCAAGAGCAAGACCAAATGATGCAAGTATTCAGCTCTCCCGGGGTACAGGGGAAGCGAAAGTCATTTCTGGTACACTCATTAACAGCACTGATTGTGTCTGTCTCCCCTCACCTTGAGAACCTGGCCGTACCGGAAATCTTCCTTCGCCCGCCTATTGCCAGTGAAGCTGGGGAAGATGGATTCGAGTCACCTCTGGCTGTGCTGTTGCGTCGTGCCAACCAACAAAACGCCCCTCCACACATACGCCATCTACAACGCGTCCATCTCATTATGGTTGAAATCGCTCAGTTTTACAACCGGTTATATTATCGCAGAACAGACTCGCTGAGTGGCATGCACCCAATCGATCATAATGTGGAAATTGCTAAAAATGCATCGTCGGACTTGGTGAATGAAGGAGACCATATCCCCCATGCTTCTACTTGGCGCCCTGTGGTTCGAATTATCAGCGGGCCAAATGACACCTTGTATCAGACTCTGCTGATATGTGAAGTGTTGGGTCTGGATGAGTTGCAATTTGCCCTAGGTGATAGAACAGTTCTCGATGGAAGGGTTCCCAAGGTCAAACCCCGGGCCTTGTTCCAGGCTTTACTCGGGGGAAAGGGAGAAATAGAGGTCCTCGAGGTGGTTCTAGAAGGCGACGATCACTGTTTTGACTCTTATGGCGTTGGCATTGGCCGGGAGGATGGGTGGTTTGCTGAACCACCACTCCGGTATGAAAATCCCGATCTGGATGGAGTTTGACAGAATCGCCCGAGCGCCCTCTTCTGGGAGCGCAAGGGCTCTCTCAAAGATTTCACGGCATTGAAGCAGTTGAACATTGGCGTTCACCTCTTGTGGCTTTTTGCGATCGGCACAATCGGCACAGAATATTCGCAAGTACATCTGGGGGGCTTTTCCCTGCTCGGTAGTTTACCTCCAAATCTCGAGCACCTTTCCATCCGAGGTTATGTTAAAGGGGGGTTCGAAAGGCTTGACGAGTTCATACAAGAACTGATAACAGAAAGACACAGGCAACTCCCGAGCTTGAAGACGGTCGAGGGTATCGACTAGAGGAGGACCCTAGCACTAAATCCCAAAGGAACACTAAGTCCGACCATGAGCTTTTCGATCAGTATTCCATCAGTCCTTTCTTGCTAACGAGATGATCAACTTGCTAGTAGTTAAAGAAAGGCCTTTTCATTCAACTCATTCAATTCACGTTTGGATGCCTGAGGCAAGATGCCAAGCATTCTGCCATTTGCCTAAGGCACCTTTTAGATAGGCCACACCGTAGAGAACCTACGTCAATCAATTAATTGATTCTTGAGCAGCTACTGTAGTGCACCCGGAGCCGTAGAGCTTCTACAAGTTTGACTCCTTCGACAGGCCACCCCTAGCACTTCAGATTCCTACAGGTCATGAGCTCGAAGCCTCTCCATCATGGCTGCAAGACGTATTTACCGTTCCTCTTTAGGCAGGGTTTCGATATCACGACGAACATGCAATATAACTCCATAAGGAAAAGCAATATAGAAAGCAATATAAATGCAACATACATGCGATAAATCACCGGAACATGCAATATACCTGCATAAGGGAAAGCAATAGAGAAAGCAACATAAATGCAACATACATGCGATAAATCGATCAGTTGGGCAAGGTGATCAAAGCCTCGTTCAGTCAATTCCCGCGGCCACATCAGCCTCTTACATTGATGGTTTTTGAGCGAGTGATAACAGTCAACCGCCAATACGTTAGAGTTCTCCGAATAATATGTTATTTGAAGTTAACAACTCCATATCACCGATCACGGAGGCGTCTCCCACTAAATTTATGACTCCAATTCTCCAATTGCAAGCACATTTGCTGAATGGCTGATAATCCACAGCCAAGATGCATTAACGCCTTGGCGTCGTGCGGTTGCGCCGGAGATAAGGCACCCCAGTCGCTATCAGTTATCAGTTTATCTTTTGCCGTCTAATTTATTCCCCCAAGGTCGTCCCGATTGCCGATCGTCATGTCAGTCCATTGCGCGGATTATACGGAGTACCACCACGCCGGGAATGTCGGCTAGCTATAGAGCTGATCGTTGCCCCGATAAGGAGGTACCAATTGAAATGACATCGGCTAGGAGTCAGCAGGCTACAGAGAAGCTGTCTCCAACTCGTGGAGACTTCTGGGAATTAAACGCGGGCTAAAAAAGTCAAATCGAGATATAGCAATGTCCTCAACGCTACCTATATAAATGCCCTGGTGCACCATGTCTATAGAATCGGCAACCGGTTTTCTCCATGCATCTTGGAACCCTCCTCTCCCTGGCCGTCGTCGCCGTTGGGGCTGCCGTCCCCAATGGTCAGACACTCTCTCTGAATGGCATTCCCTACTACCTCAGCGGGATTCCTGTGTCTACCCTGCAGGGACACAACTCTTCTCTATTCGACCAGTCCTTGACGGAGGGGAACGACATCGTTCCGCTCACAGTTATTCCTGTCTCTTCCTCCACTCAGATCAGCTCTCTGCTGTCTGATTTCAGCACACGCGATGATGTCTTTCAATCGGAGTTCTTGCGGACGGTCCTTCTTACTTCAAGCTCCAACGATACCAGCGGCGTTTCGATCAGGGAGTATGCTCCCACTTTGGAATCAGAGGGAACGAAGCTTCTCATGACAGGACATGGTCTTGCTGCCGCCTCTGATAGTGGGGTGTCCGTTAGCTCGAGCAAGCCTCTCCCTCCGGGCCCGTACTTTGTGTCTGCATCCACTGGAAAGGTGTTCCGAGCCTACCGACTATACCCCGATGACAATGTTGCCTTCATTCAGGCCGCTATTAGCGACGAGGACGGTGGTTTCCTACCCCTGTCTGCGATCACGGAAAACGCCATGACTAAAGATGTGGCCGTGCCGTCTCGTCTCTACTACACGCCAACTCCCAAGCAACCCCTGGCGGGACTACGACTGGGTGTCAAGGACATTTTCCATGTGGAGGGTCTCAAGACCAGCGGCGGAAGTCGATCCTACTACTACCTTTACGGAACCCAGAACGTCACGGCACCATCTATCCAACGGCTAGTTGATCTAGGTGCCATCATCGTGGGCAAGACCGGTACAGTGCAATTTGCCAACGGTGACCGACCTACGGCCGACTGGGTGGATTTCCACTGCCCTTTTAACCCCCGTGGTGATGGATACCAGGCCCCCAGTGGTTCTTCGTCCGGCTCTGGTGCCGCTATTGCTGCCTACTCCTGGCTCGACATCACGGTTGGAAGCGATACTGGCGGTTCCATGCGCTCTCCTGCCTCCGTGCAAGGTGTCTACGGTAACCGTCCCTCGACGGGTGCCATCTCCCTCGAGCATGTCCTACCTCTCTCTCCCGAGCTCGACACGGCCGGTGTCTTCGCTCGCACTCCCGCTCTCTGGTCCCAAGTGGCTCGCGCATGGTATCCCCATTTCCGGCACAACTACACCTCCTTGCCTCGCCATGTCTACCTCGGTGGCGACGGCTGGGACGGTGAGGGCTTGACTCCCGAAGCCCACGGTCTCCTCAATACCTTCGTTCGGCAGGTCGAGAACTTCCTCAAGGCCAACCACACCACCGTCGACGTCTCTCAACGCTGGAACGAAACCCACTCATCCTCCACTCCCAGCCTCGAGAACCTCCTCGACCTTACCTACGGCACCATCACCTCCGTCGACCAATATAACCACCTCGCCGCTCCGCTATTCGCCGACTACGCCGCTATCCACGGCGGCCGTCGACCCTTCATCAACCCGGGTCCTCTCTCCCGGTGGAACTGGGGCCAGTCGAACGGCGGCAACGCCTCCTACGAGGTCGCCCTGCGCAACATGACGCAGTTCCGCAGTTGGTGGGAGAAAGACGGCTACGGGCGCTCAGACGCCGATTCCTGCTCCGAGGGCCTCTTCATTAGCATATACTCCGCCGGCGAGACCGACTACCGCAACCAGTACTACGAGCCTCCTGAGGCGCCACCGCTCGGTTTCTCGATCGGGCGCATCGCTGTCTTTTCGGGCTCTCCGGAGGTTGTGGTTCCCTTGGGCGAGTCTCCGTATAACAGCACTATCTCGTTGAAGACGGAGTATTTACCCGTCAGCGTGGCGTTGCAGATGGCCAGGGGATGTGATCATGTTTTGGCGGATTTGGTGGCGGGTTTGGGTAAGAAGGGGATTTTGAAGGATGTAGGGACGGGGTCGAGGTTGTATTCAAAGGATATTTAGAATATTTGTTCCTATCACTAGACAATATGATAGAAATTTTATGCTGATTCAGGACAATTGTTCTAGATGCCATTGCACCGGCAACTATATATATAGCGCAGAATGGCATCGTTTCACAAGCAGATATCAAGTAGAATTCGTTGAGCCTCAATTCCATCTAACTACCACAGAAATACGAAGAAGTATATCTGTGTAAATGTATCATAAGGGAGGACATCTGGACTTTGTTGACCACCTTTGAATATCTCTTCACAGGGTGCCGACAATATGCAGAGCGGCATAAGGCGGCATAAGGCGGCATAGGGTGGTATAAAGCGGAATAAAATGATGATGACATCCGGATGAAGAAATGATTTGCATAAATTAACACTGGCTTATGTATGCAAGACAGGAGGTCATAATCACCGAACAGGGGATGTGGTTTAGTGGTATAACGTTCCCTTAGCATGGGAAAGGTCCGGGGTTCGATTCCCCGCCTCTCCATTCACTGTTCCTTTTTTGTTTTTTTACTCCTTTACCCGCTCCATCTTTTTCTTTTTTGTCTTCGATGTCCCCCTTCCATGTCCTCCTCTCTTCCCCTCCTATCAATACTTTTCCAATCAAAATTTTATTCATCTATTTATTTTATTCATCTTCCATCTACAAAATAGCATTCACTTCAAGTATAGTTCATCGAGCCCAATTCCCGTGTGACGCTATTCCTTCAAGTTGAAGTCTACGACAATTCGCCCGGCCACCTGCCCTTTGCGAAGCTTCTCAATAGCCTCTGGTAAATGATCGATCCCAATGACCTCACTGATCTGCTGCAACTGCCCCCGTCTGGCGAAATCCAACGCTGCTGCCGTATCCTTTCGGCTGCCGACCAACGTTCCCTTCACGGTCAGATTCTTGAAGGCAAAAGCGTTGGGATCCTCTCCGATCGTGATAGAACCGGCCGGACCAAGCCCAATACACATGAGGACAGCGCCAATCCGTTTGCCGACATACGAGAGCGCGGACTTGTAAGCCGCCGGTGCAGTGACGAAGATGCCGTGCGCTCCAATGCCATCTGCCTTTTCAATGACGGCCGCGGCGGCATCTGGCACTTCTGCGAAGTCAATGAACGCCTCTGCTCCCATGTCTAGTGCCAGACCCTTTTTAGATGCTCCCGTGTCTATCACAATCGGTCGCATACCCATTGCTCGGGCTAGTTGTACGCCTTGGATACCCACGCCGCCTCCGCCGCCAGGGAATACGGCCCAGTTGCCGGGTTTGAGGCCAGATTCTGTCAGGGAGCGATACATCGTGGTCGCGCTGCACATGATCGGAGCGGCGACCACATCCGGGATACCGTCGGGGATTGGGGATGCGTATCGCGCAGGCGAGACGATGTAGTGTTGATAGGTGCCTGTGAATCAGCAACCTGACTGATGCCAGCTGCACCGTAACTCACCAGTGGCCATAAGCCCGGTATGCAAACCGGAGGCGCAGTGCTGATCCTTATTATCCCAACAAAGCTCGCAGGCACCGCAGGTGTCCATCAACGGTCTGATTCCTGCCCGATCGCCTAGCTTGAAATTCTTGACGTTCTCCCCAAGCTTAACGACGACGCCGGCGCCTTCGTGGCCTGGCGAGCGTACTCCAAACATTGACATCGGTGGGGTGCCTAGATCACCTTGCATCATGTGGATGTCTGACACACAGAGTCCGGTCGCGTTCAGTCGAACCAAAATGTCATCCGGACCTGTCTCGATTAGAAGCCTCTTTTCGCGGAGAGCAAACCGTGGGTGGATGGAAACATACCTGGTTCGGGAACTGGTACCATTTCTACTCGGATCTCGAAATCTGGACCTTCGTTGATGACCACTCCGGCCTTACAATGGGTCGGAATTTCATGATCGGGCGCAGAAAATGCAGGAGCCATGTTGAAAATTGTTTTTTAAAGTTAGGTGTACAAGCTTGGGGGATGCTAACTGAAATCACTAACATATAAGCTTGCCATTTGACTTTGTCCGGAAACTTGCAAAGGGCATCCGAGGTCCATGGTGGAGACTCTCAACAACCGACTGGCATTCCCCTCACCTAGTCCTGTTGAACAAGTGGAGGAAGTTGTTGCCTTGCATTCTTAGCATTGAACAGATCATGCACGTCTATATCCGGATATCCGAGTGGGCGCTTGGCGCACAAAAGCGCAAAGATCACCGACTTGGCGATTGTCTCATTTACAGTATGGTCATGTACTAATATTATTTGAAATAGAAAGAGAGGCCAGCCTTCTTGAACATCCAGACATGATTCACTCAGTGACCAACCAGCCAGTCGAACCTATCAAGAACATGGCCATCAACCCCGTCAAGATCCCGGCCCCCGCGCGATCTGCAGTACTGATAGGCATGGAGAGAGCATGGGGGACAGAAATAGGCGGGTCTGACCCCCCGCCAGGATCGCCCTTACTGGTTCCTCCAGTGTCGTTCGTGACTGGTGGATCGACGCGATTGATGAGTGTCGACTGCATGACCTCCAATGCACTCATCTGCAACCCGACGTCTTTCATGCCATCCCACTTGCCGGTGCTCCATTTTAACCCGCAGCTGGCCTGGTCTGACCCGCCCGTACAAGTCCTTGCCGCTGCACTGGCCGACGGTCGCAGTTTGCTCATCACCTGGTCGAATACAAAAGGTGCCATCTGCGTGGACGAGGCCATCCAGCGGGCCAGATATCCCTTGAAAGAGCGCTGATCCACTTGGCAGGTGTCGACCGGCTCACACGCTCGCTCATACATGACATTCTTGGGCTCGTTGACGAAGAAGATGTCTGAAGCGTCGAGGATGCCCTGCGTGCGTTTTTTCCAGACCGGATCGCCGTCGGTCTGAGTAAGTTAGCCTTGAGCGACAGACTCCAACATGATATGAACTCACAAAATTGAACATGGTCGCTGCGCCCAGCAGATACACCCCGGAGTTATACGTCCATTGTATCCGGTTGAAGTTGGTGCAATTTTTGTCGTCATCTGCACCATCCCAGAAATGGTAGTCGTCCGTCATGAATCCGACCGAGGATGTCCAGTCCCACGCTCGTTCGGCCCATTCCGCATACGTATCGTTGCCGGTATATTTGGCCAGACGAGCTGCGAGGTTGAAAAAGCAGCCATTCGAAATCGTGTTCTTGTAGTTGTACCCATTGTTCCACGTGAAGATCTGCCATTTCAGTCCTCCGCCACACGTCTCCATATTCCACCGCGAGGCCTGAGTGTTGAAAACGGCCTGAGCCATGGCGAGCCACCCGGGCTTATCGTCCGGCGGATTGGGAAAATTGCGCTCTGCAGCCGACATGACGGCAAACGCCCAGAAGGCTTGATCGTCGTTTCCTTCGGTGCGCGATTGGTTCGCAGGGATAAAGGTACCGTCGTCGCCTGCTTGCCAGAGCAGCCCTTGCATGGTGATGTCGTTCCAAGTGTCATCATTCGTGTAGTACCAGTAATCGACGAGAGCGTTGAACATGGCTCCGGCCTCCCACCAGTAATAAGGATCCGGCAGGTTGCCTGGGGTATCGCCTGGGTTCATGCCGGTATAAAACGAGAGCATGTTTTTGGCCACTGCTTTACAGGCCTTTTTGACAGATTCTAGAGCGTGAGTAGTTGGTGAGTAGTTGTACTTCTGATCGTTGTTATGGTTGTGACATACCCTGATCGTCTACTTGTAGATCAATGGCCTGAACACTGACCAGCAGCGTCAGAACGAGATGCCATAGATGTCGCATAGTGATGGCAAGAGTGATCTGCTCATACCGGGTGTCCAGTTGAGGAAATGGGATGAGGATAAAGGAAACGTCCACGGCCAGACCATCGAGGGACTTTGTTAAGCGGGGAAACAATAACTGCGATTACCCATGCCATACGACGTCAGTTCGCATTCCACCGATGGAGAGAATGTGTGTGTCCCCAGAAACCAGCCTCCACATGGGGACGCGGCGATACATTATTGGAAGCACAGCGGGGTACAATTGAAGTGATCATGGTTCACGAGATCCCCATCGCTGGTACAGCGGATGAAGGTAGTATCTTTGTTTTAAGCCGTGGAGATGGCCATGAGCTGTCTATGGCTGAGTGGGTGCTAATGGGTCGACATGGAGACCTGCTTCGCTGAATGCGGTAATGCCACATTCCACTACGACCCCCTTGCTGCGGATCCTGCCTGCCTCGAATAGAACCTCATTCTGGCCATTGCCCGACTACACCCCCTGCATCACCGGCCCTTATCCTCCAATGATCTAGCGGCTACGTCGAATGATGTCGGCCGCCCGCTCAGCCACTGCATACGTGAGGGCCTGGATGTTGCCTGTGGGCTCCAGGGGAAACACACTGGCATCCACCACCCGGAGGTTGCGCGTTCCGTGGACCTTGAGTTGAGGGTCTACCACGCCGCCTAAGTCTGCAGGCATCATGGCGCACGTTCCGACTGGGTGGAAGCAGTGATAGAGGCGCTCTTTGACCAGTTCTTTCGTCTTGTCTAGATTCGATAGGTCCGCGGCGCTTTCCGGTTCCCGAGCGCCCGTTTTGAGCAGCGAAGCAAACGGCTCGGTCGTGGCAATCCGTTCCGCGAACTGTGTGTGGCGCGCGAGAATCTCCAAGTCTAGAGGATGCGACAGATAGTTCGGATCATAGATCGGCTTGTCTTCAGCCTTGGATGTTCGGATATGCACCGATCCCCGAGAGAAGGGGTGATTGTGCATGGTCATGATACTGATGTAGTTTCCTGGCAAGGTTTTGGCCAACACATCGTTCATTGTCGTGGCGCCGGGGTTCATGTGCAGCTGAGCGGGCAGGAAGATGTATTCCGAAGAGGCGTTCCGACTGTCCAGTAGGACTTTTCGCTGCACCTCGTATTGCCGCTGAAGTGTGGGCGACGGCGCCTCCTTGTCCAAATGCTTGGACAGGAGCTCTTCTACCGTTTCTTGTGAGACTTTGCCCTCGTGGTCTACCATGGGGAGGTACGCCACACTGATGGGCATCCCCGCCAAGGGACCACCCCGAGTCTCCTCATAAAGCTTGATGACAGACTGGAGGACGTTGGGGTCTCGCAGAATGTCTCCGGATATTTGCCCGTCTGCTATCTCGAAGTTGATAGTTGTCAAGGCGTGGTCTTGAAGGTTTTCGCCAATTCCTGAGCGTTCGAGAATCACCGGAATATCATGCTTTTCCAGAATCTCCTTCGACCCGATGCCAGACAATTCTAAGAGCTGAGGCGAGTTGAGAGTGCCAGCACTCAAGATAACCTCCCGACCGGCGGCAATCTGCTGTTGTTTGCCGTCCTTGGTGCGAACCTGGATACCGGTAGCGACGACCTCTCCATTGGCTTCAGTGTTAAGCAAGATCCGCTCCACCATGGTGTCTGAGATCAGATCAAAATTTGGCCGCTGCAAAACCTCAGGGGTACAATAGTCCGCAGCGTAGCCTCTCTTGCCCGTCTTGGGGTCAACAGAGAGGAGAGAGGTGAATGCGCCCAGCTTGCGACCGGCAATCGGATCCGCATCGGTGTAAAATCCCAATGCCTCGAATGTTTTATCCCATGCCTCGTTGAATGCGCCATATACATCCGGCAAAGTCACTGGCAGCGGCCCATTTGTTCCTTGATCATGCTCTTTCAGATATCGGTCTGTCGCTAGCAACTTCGAGGTGGTTTGGCTCGGGGAGGTATAGGTGTGGAATTTCCGCAGGTACGGGGCCATGGTTTCGGCGCCCCAGCCATCGTTTCCTAGGGATTCCCATGCTTCGAAATTTGCTGCCGAAGGATACATGATCAGGGAGAAGTTCATGCCTGACGAGCCGCCGACCATGCGGCCGCGAGGCTGGCCGATTTGTCGATTGTTCACATGGACCTGGAAACCGGAAGGTTAGGATCGCACCAGTTCTTGATGATTGGTGACAGATGGTATACCTGCGGCTCGCTCATATAATCCCAGTCAAACTCGGGATTGCCATACAGGAGTCCGATGAACCCTGGGGTTTCGACTCGTGGGTCTCCCATGCGGTTTGCGCCCGCTTCGACCAGGAGAACATTGACATCGGCATCTTCGCTTAGACGCGAGGCGACCGTCAACCCGCCAATTCCGGCTCCTACCACTATATAGTCGTATGAAGATTTGAGGTCCGCCATGGAGACAAATTCCGACGAAGTCCTTCAATTTCAATAAGGAAGCGAGGGCCAATCGAACGAGAACCAAGAACACAGGAACGGATCCAAAACAAACTCCGAGGAGTAGCACGACTCATGCAGCAGACCTCTACCTATAACCAGTTCCGGCGGTGGGCACAATTATTGCACCACCATTGCCTAAGCGAAATTTGGGGGCCAGCACTCGAACACGGCAGCCACGGCACTGGAGTAATAAGATTATTGTTATGGATCATCTAACTGCTATTTCAGGCATTCCGCGTTACGTCTCCGCCGCCTTTACCGCTTCTCAGTCGATTGTGCCTTGTCAAGGTGGTTGACAAGCGGGTCTTCCACGACACCGGCCGTTTAGCTAGTGCGTTAGAGGTGCTGCTAGACCACTAGCGACTCTCGCGGATCACCTGCCTAGAGCGCACCAGCAGCCTGACGAATCTATTTCTCCCTGATTCTGCCATAACGGATAGCGGGACATGGCCGCACACTGGAAGCCCGAGGCAGATTGTCCGGATCCACAGCCCTAGAAATCCGCGTTTGGCAATGATGCACGCTGCCAGACGGGCCAGACCCGTTCCTGTTATGATGATCATTTCATGTGGACAGTGGGTACTCCTGCGAGCTGTTAGTTTTCAGCCCTTCAAGTAGCGAACACCCCTGTTGCCGATTTTGCCCTGCATCCTGCACGTATGGTCCTCGAGGTCGTTTTCTGTGCTCGCCTCTGGGGACGGCATGGCCATCAAGTTTTACAATGTCTTTGACCATGCGATTGTGCGGGATCAGCTCGTAGCGAATACGGTGCTGACGGCTGTCAGTACCGTCGCTTTGGCCCTGCGGTTCGTCTCGCGGCGGATTCGGAACAGCCATTTGTGGTGGGATGATGCATTTTGTGTGATTTCGATGGTAGGCCGACCGACAGTGTTGGATATGGGACTGAGCTGATGAGAATAGTTGCATACCTATGGCATGCTGGCCATGCATTATCATTATGCACGAGTTGGAATGCGATACCATGTTGATGAGATTCCTCCTCAGAATACGATCCTGGTGTTCAAGGTAGGGTGTTTCGTTGTCTATCGGAACGCAGCGGATTTGCTAATTCCGGCAGATGCTCATCGTCTACCAAGTCATTTACTATAACGCCATGGTCACAGCTAAGATCTCGTATCTTTTCTTCTACCTGCGTATCTTCGTGACTCGGGGGTTTCGGATAGCCGCTTGGGTCGTTATGGGCTGTGCCGGTGCGTACTGGCTCGGGAGCATGTTACAGATCTTTCTCATCTGTCAGCCATTTGAAAAGAACTGGAATCCGACATTGCCGGGGCACTGCGCGAGTCAGAACGTGGCGTTCTCAACAATCGGAGCCTTTAATCTGATTACCGATTTCATGGTCATGGTTCTTCCGATCCATTTCATTTACAAGTTGCAGATGTCCACGGCGACTAAGGTTGCATTGTATGGTATTTTCTGTCTGGGATTGTTGTGAGTACTGATGTCGGCCCGGCAATGTGCATGATGCTGACCACGAGTAACAGTATCTCCGCTATCACGATTATCCGGATTCGCGTCCTCACCACGGTCGACTTCACGGATCTTCCGTACTCGATGATCTGGGCCGCATTCTGGAGTGTCACGGAACCCGCCCTCGCCATCACCAACTCCTGCGTGCCCATGATGCGACCCGTCGTGAAAGCTGCCTTCCCGGGGTTCTTCTCGTCGGCAAAACCGACCTACACGTCACAGACAGGCCCGTCGGGAGGTTCAGGGAACGCATTCAAACGGATCACTGACCCGGAGGGCGATGTTCCACTTACTCGGCTCGACGAAACGCCGTCGAAGGCAGGGAGTCGGCCGGAATACGAACCCTCGTTGAACGACCGATCGCATGACGGCGCCAGTTCGGCGCAGCATCTGCCAAGGAGTATGATCGGGTCAAGCACAAATAAGGCGTGGGCTTGACGATTTTCCTTTGTATGTTTTGTTTAATAGGTTGGATGGGGTTGATGTGTTGATGTAATACACGGGTCATTTTGGGTTGAGGGTGAAGTGACGGCAGTTTGCAGGTGACATTGCAGGAATGACGATCTGCGATGTAACCATGCATTGGAAAAGTAACTTGACTGCACTGCAGTCTTGTGCATGAGTCACTTCTCTAACCCTAACTTTCCATTTCCTCCCCGCATTTCCTGCAGGGTTCATATTCAATAATAAATAACAAACATCCCATCTATTTCCCCAGACATCTTTTCTCCACCACCCACCCCAGCCCAAAATGCATCCCAACTTCCTGGTCACACTCACCACCCTTCTAACCCTAACCACCACCACCCTCTCCCTCTCCCCAAACCTCCCTCTCACCTCTTCAGTAACCAAATTACCCATCCCCTCCTGGCATCTCCAATCCTCCCTGCTATCCCCAACTAACCTCTCCTACCTCTCCCACCCCTCAACAAACATCTCCCATCTGACTCCACCATGGCACTTCCTCCCCACCTCCCACGCAACCGTCATGGCTGCTTTCCTCGCAAATAACATCTATAATACCTCGCACCTGTTCTACACGGATAACATGGCCGCGTTAGACGCAAATGATACGCTGTTTCGAGCGCCGTGGCTTTATCGTGCGAGTGTTGATCTCGAGACACCGCGGGCCGGGGAACACGCGTTCCTTGTTATTGATGGCGTCACGTCTAGGGCGGATGTGTATTTTAATGGAAGGAAGGTTGTTGGGAGGGAGGTGTTGAGCGGGTCGTATGTGGGAGGTAAGTTTGAGGTTACGGGGTTGGTTGGTTTGGGTGAGAAGGGGAAGGGGAAGGGGTATACGCATGGGAAAGGAAACGGAAATGGAAGAGGAAATGAAGGTGAAAGTGAGAACGTCGTGTTAATCCAAGTCCATCCGACGAATTATCTGCGTGACTTCGCGCAGGGATTTGTTGATTGGAATCCTTATCCTGCGGACAATGGGACTGGGGTATGGAGGGACGTGGAGGTGAAGAGGACAGGGAAGGTCGTGCTTTCGAAGCCGAGGATATTAACTGATTATATGGGAGTGGTGGAGATGGGGATGAAGGGGACGAAAGAGGTGAAAGTCACTGTGAAAGCGGATGTCGAGAATATGGAGAATGGTCCCGTGCGAGGCACGTTGCAGGGGTATATTCAAGGGGCGGACGGAGACAGTATCGCCAGGCTGGAAAGGGGGTTTACTCTTGAGGGACGTCGGAACAGCACAATCTCTATATCTGTTCCTATCAAAGATCCTCAACTCTGGTGGCCTGCGGCCTGGGGAGCGCAGCCACTGTATACGGTGCATTTGAACGCCTCGGTGGAAGGCGCCGGCGTGTCAGATGTAGCGGATTCAGTGCGATTCGGGATCAGGGCTGTTTCGTCACAGGTGAACGGCCATAATGATACCGAGTTCAGCGTCAATGGACAGCCGTTCCGTGTGCGAGGGGCTGGTTATGCACCGGACTTGTTCCTGCGGTTTGATGTCGACCGCGTCAGAACCATGCTTCGGTATATGCTGGACATGGGACTCAACACTGTTCGATTGGAAGGAAATCAGGAGCACCCGGCGCTGTATGACCTGGCTGACGAGATGGGCCTCATGGTCCTGGCGGGTTGGGAATGCTGTGATAAATGGGAAGCTTGGGATGTGAGTTCCTTCTTTTATACCTCGTATCTATTTTCGACAGGATGACAGACTAACGAAAGAAATCAGTACAACGACGACGCCAAAGGCATCAAATGGACCGAGCCCGACTACACAACCGCCTACAACTCCATGCTCCACGAAGCAGCCATGATGCAACCCCATCCCTCTCTCCTCGGCTTCCTAGTTGGATCCGATTACTGGCCCAACGACCGCGCCACGGACCTCTACCTCTCTGCCCTGCATCGCATGGACTGGACCATGCCTGTGATCGCCTCAGCCTCGAAACGCGGCTACCCCGACGCATTAGGACCCTCGGGTATGAAAATGGACGGCCCCTACGACTGGGTGCCCCCGAACTACTGGACTGGCGACCAATACGGCGCGGCATTCGGGTTTGGATCCGAGCAGGGTTCCGGAGTCGGGACGCCTGAGCTCTCCAGTCTACGGGAATTCTTATCGCCTCGTGATCTGGACAGTTTGTGGAAAGAGCCGAATAAGAACCAATACCACATGTCGCGATACGACTCAAGTTTCTACAACCGAGGCATCTACAATAAAGCCCTGTTTGGACGCTACGGCCATCCCACCAGTCTAGAAGACTATGTGAAAAAGGCACAGATGATGGATTACGAGGCCACGCGCGCGGAGTTCGAAGGGTTCGCGATGCGTCAGAACGCGAGTCGCCCCGCGACCGGCGTGGTGTATTGGATGCTGAATAGCGCGTGGCCGAGTCTTCATTGGCAGCTTTTTGATTATTATTTGCGTCCGGCGGGGGCGTATTTTGGGACCAAGGCGGCGGCGAGGTTGGAGCATGTCGCGTTTGATTATACGGATGGGGGTGTGTATCTGATTAATCATTTACTTGGGGAGAAGGGAGACATGACTAGGTCGGTGCAGGTTGATCTCGTGGGTAGGGATGGGGGATATATTTGGGGACAGAATGTGACGACTCAGACGGTGCCGAATGCATCGAAGATGGTGGCGAAGGTGGCTGGGTTGAAGAGTATACGGGACGTTGCGTTCCTGCGCCTGATACTGCGCGATGGAGATGCTATACTCAGTCGGAATGTCTATTGGCTCTCAGCGAAGAGTGACGAGTTGGACTGGGATAAGTCAAATTGGTACACGACGCCGACGAAGCAGTTTGCAGATTTCTCGGCCTTGGGGCGCATGCCTACTGCGAAGGTCAAGACGAGCATTCAGGTACTGAGCGCGAAGAACGGGCGCAACAGGATCGAAGTGACGATGACAAACGAATCCCCTGTTCCAGCTGTCTTCTTGCACCTGGCAGCTCTGGACCCAGCCACAAGGGAGGAAATAACCCCCGTTTACTGGTCGGATAATTATGTGACGTTGCTTGCGAGGGAGAAAATCAAGCTAACGGTGGAGGTGAATAGTACGGAGTGGATGATCATGTTGACTGGAAATAATGTGGACAATCTAGTCTTGGGACACGACTAGATATTGGGTGATCTATTGTTTTTGATATACGACACATGCTACCGACAGATATTCGTTGTCTCAACGTTGGAAAAGTCTTGCTATATAGCTTTAACTTGGCGGAATGAACTGTATGTTGAATCGCTTGCTACTCGCTCTCAATTGGTTCAAATGGCTTCACATGTTGAAAGAATAACTAGAGTCCCATCTTAAGCCTTCAGGATCTGCTCAATTTGTCTAACATGTTGCGCGAGCTTCTCATCCTGTAGTCGTCGTCCAATGAGTTGGACATGGCAAGGAGCGCCTTCAATCTCTGTTGGTTTATCTGCAGTATATTAGCATGGCACATGGTAGGCTTGATGGTGGGAAATACAGGGTGGCTTGTAATCAATGTCTCTGACGAACGGCGCATCAGCCTTCTCGTCAGCACGGCCGAAGGGGAGTATGCATGCGGGATACTGTGAGATTTATCATTAGCACTTGCACCCAATGCAGCATACAGGGTAGGTGAGCAGTCGTGACAAGGGAAAATAGACTAACATCCAACAAGTTGGGCATCGTCGTATAAAGTCCATTGTCGTACGTATCATGCGGCACCGCACAACTCTGAAATCCCGGCGAAAGGATAACGTCCACCTTATTCTCGACGTAGGCCTTTCTCATCGCCTCTGCCAGCTCGATCCGCTTCGTGTTCATATCATATAGATTGCGTAGCGTGGGTTCAGGCATTTCCATCCCACCACCAGTCCCGATCACTGCGAGCGACGGAATAAACGGTTCCTCGCCGCGCAGGATGTGCGAGAAAAGCGTCTTGTCAGGGTCCATGCCGAAGTACTGGAATGTGAGACGCGCGATGTCCATCAAAGAAGGTGTCTTTCCGGAAAAATTGACAATAGTGTGTCCTGCCTCAGCCAGCTTCGCCGCTGCCTGCGTCAACGCCCGATGCATTGACGGATGAAGCGGATATGCCTGATCCTCATGGAGCAGACCGATCCTCAACGGCTCGGATCGATCAGGCTGCTCACGCCAGGGAATCGGGAGCGCAATATCATCGAGATCCTCCGGGTGTCCCTCCGTGATAACACGCAGCAACATTTCAGCGTCGCGAACGGAATGACACAACGGTCCCGCCACCGGCACCACGCCCACCAGCCCGGGCCTCCCAGGGGTCGTCTGCCCCCCATACGGGACCCTCCCGACACTCGGTTTAAAGCCGACCAGCCCGCAACACAACGCCGGGATACGAATCGAGCCCGCTACATCCGTGCCCACGCCCAGAATCGACCCCCTCATAGCTACCAACGCCCCTTCGCCGCCGGTACTACCTCCCGCCGTCAAGTTCCTGCGATGTGGGTTCAACACCCGCCCGAACACATTGTTATGCGAGTCCGCGGTCATCATCGTCTGCGGGATATTCGTCTTCACGTAAAGCACGGCCCCCGCTGCGAGGAGGATGTCCACGACGGCCGCGTTCCTTTGCTGTGGCGGGTTCTCGAGGAACGAAATAAACCCTAACGTGGTATGCTGGCCGATTACATTGAACGAGTCTTTCAGACTAATAGGCAACCCATGCAGGGGACCCACGGTCTTGCCTGTGCGCGCGAGATGCTCGTCGAGAAACTTGGCTCGCTCTAGCGCCTCGTCGAAAAACGTCTCCGTGAGACAGCATATGAGCTGTTGGGCGATCGCGGCCCGTTTGCTGAATGCCGTTGTTACTTCTACGGCGGTGTATTCGCGCGCGCCGAGCTTTGAGAGCATAAGGGTGGCATCCTTTGTTTCGGTGATTTCTAGTTCGCGTGGGGATAGAAGCCCGCTGGCGCGTGGGATGCCGAGGACGTTGGAGTCGGTGGTGAGTGCGGAGAGAGTGGAGTCGGGGAGACGCCAGTCGGAGGGGATTTTGGACGCCGCAGCGAGGCGTTTGATTTCGGCTTTTTCCTGCCAGGTGGTCATCTTGGGGATTTATGCGCTATCTGCTTTGCAGGTATGTTGTTGGTGGTGAGGTTGGAGCGATTTAGGTTGTAAATGCGGAGGGGGAGTTATGCGGAGGGGTAATGCATCTCTTATATTGGTATGGATAAACCGGGGAAGGATCCCTCGGGTAGAATTAAGTGGAGATGTTGATATATCATAACCCAATGATATGGGTTCGTCCATCTGGGCAATGCGCGATGATGTGTCCGCAAGTATCCGGCCAGTCGTGCAGCCGGGATTATGTTGTGGTTTATGGATTAGTCGATGGAAGGATTTTCCGAGAGAGCAGAGTCATCATAACATTCATAGATTAAATACATCGCAAGTGCCAAAAGAAGGTGCGCGAAGCAGTTTAGACATAACAGGGAAATTCAAAATCACCAATCGGGTATAAACTCGAGACCACCATATCTTTATGTGCATTCAACACCACGCATCAAATCGAAAGAAACTTCAGATAAGAGGCATGGAGACTCGGTTGTCCGGGTCGATGTTTTCTTTATAACACTCCACACGAGGGCCGCAGGTGCCAAAGATCCGGTCCCAGAGGCGAGTCTGCTTTCCGTAGTTGGCACTCTTCTTCCAGCCGCGACGGTGGTGGAGGTCATGATCCTCGATAACCAGTTCGGCGTCGAAGAGTCGCAAAGCCCAAGACAGCGTGTTAGGAGGCACGGCAAGAAGACGTAGCCCGCTGTGGCCGGCCAACTCGGCAAACATAACGTATTGATGGCAGATCCACCACTCATAGAAGCCCATCGGCATGCCCATCAATTTCATACTGAAGTATGTGAGTAGAGGGATACCGGCAATATCGAAGAATTCTTGCTCCGTGTCCGCATAGAGGGTCAACAGCGGGTTGGGGTGTTTGGTGAGGTGGTGCGTGCGGTGGTACTTCCAGAGCCCTCCGATCTCGTGCATCAGCCGGTGATACCAGTAGAACCAGAAGTCGAGAATAATGCCATAGAGCCCGATCTCCAACGGCAGCCAGGCCCAGTTCATCGAGCCCGGCGCCTGAGTGCTGCGGTAACTGAGGAACACGGTGAAGACCGGTCGGAAGGTCGAAGTCGAAATGAGCGAATGGGCGACTTTTGCCACACCCACGTCGGGCACGCCGTCACGCTCGTGCTGATCACCGTCAAGGAATCCGAGGACATGGCCGAGACGGCGAAGGACTTGGATTTCGTGAATAGCGATGGCCTTGAACGCGATGCTGTAGAACACAAAAGCGGCCAGCGGGCTCAAGTTGCGCCCGGTATAGGCGGTATAAACGTGATGAATCGCCAGCGGAATAAAGGAATGAACCAGGACCCAGCGGTGCAGATGCCACTCGGGCACCCACGGTACCTTATCCTCCTTAGGATGGATAGGTATCTCCTTGTCCAAGATGGAGGGATGGATGCCGAGAATTTCGTAGAACCAGTGAGAGAGAGTCCACTCGCCGCGATCCAGGCGACGCCATGTGGACTTCATCGAGTCCCTGGGATTGGGTTGGAAAGCCATGGTGATGCGGGGAGTTGATTGAGATGATATCTGAGCCCCCTCCCCGCGGGGGATGCGAGGCATGGTTTATATTCGCGCCATTCGGCCGTTGAGGCTACTCTCGGCATGTGAAATTGTGGGTGAGAGCGTGGAAATTCACTGCAGATCATCCAGCAAAAACTGGAACAACACGAGATTGCGATGAGATAACGATTAAATCAGACCATCGTGGACCGTTTCGCAGTTCCACCCCCCTTCGTGGGCCTCGGGAACATATGAATGACTCTGGGCGAACCCCAACAGATTCCATGTTTTCCGAGTGATGGAGGTGATGGGCTCGCTTCTAATCATCTGCACGCTGACCGAGCGTGCACGGAAGACTTGCCAGACGAGAGAGCGATCCAATGGTTCCTGACTGCGACGGGCTAAAATTTGGGTCGCGAGAGACGAACCAATAACCATTTCCGCTTGGGGTAATCAGGGGTCGATCTACACCCCACTCGCGCCCAAAAATGGTAATGGTTGCGATGGGCTAATTTGCAATCCTGGGCCATAGCAGATTCTGGTATCGTCCATGATTCGATCGCTGGCAGGCATCGCAGTTCTTGTTTTGGGTTCTTTTTCGTTGGGGTGCGGTGACTTCACGTGCTGATCCGAGCCCTGAGATGGCAGATGAAATGGCCTCATGTGGCAGACGCAACGCTCTCACTCTCGGGAAGTCAAACAGGCGGCAGCATAATTGACGGAGTTCACCGTGGCTAGCTGGAGTGACGGTTGCAATGTTCATGTGTAAAGCAAGTAGTTCTTTGCCGTTGGAGTCAATGGGCAGGTGCGGCCGGTGGTGACTGCCTCAACAGCGCACTCGGCCGCCTGATAGACGTCACTCGTCCTGCAGTGCAGGACCAATTTGCCCGCGCGTGTCGTCTTGCATCCACGCTGTGGCAAACGGACTCATGAGTATCTCGTCAGTGCCAATCATCCGAGTCTCAGATTATGCGTGTCTTGACCGATAGCAGCGGCCTAGTCCGCGTGGTCCTCTGCATGTTCCTCATACTCGAGTCCCTCGTACAAGCCCTTGCCGTCGATGCTCCCGACACAGACGACGATCCTCGGACATATGATTATATTGTTGTTGGGGGAGGAACTGCTGGCATCGCATTGGCCACACGGCTGACGCAGAAGGCCTTCAGCGTGGCCTTGGTCGAGGCGGGTGGATACTATCAATCTCTGTCACTGGCTGCCATACCAGGGAGTGACTTACTCCGAGTCGGCTCGCGGCCACATTTTCGATCGCTGATTGACTGGGGATTCGTGACGCGCCCTGAACCCGGTGCCAACATGCGGTATATCCACTATGCCAGAGGGCGATGTCTAGGCGGATCGTAGGTCATCCATGGTTTCTTGTAGACTGGAATTAATTGATCTGTAGCTCTGCACTCAACTTTATGATATACCAGAGGTATGTTTATCTGACCCGAGGCGATCTATTGCTGAAAACGAATTAGACCCACGCGCGACTCGATGGCCGAATGGGCAGCAGCTGTGAACGACAGTAGCTATACCTGGGACCGTGTTTTGCCGTACTTCAAGCGCACCGTTCATTTTACACCTCCTAATACCCTCGCTCGATTCCCGAATGCCACACCCAGCTATGACCCCCGCGCGTACGAACCAAGCGGAGGCCCTCTCGAGGTATCATTTGCCAACTATGCCATGTCTTTTTCCACGTGGATGAAACTCGGAATGAATGCTATTGGCATTGAGGATATACAGGACTTCAACGCAGGGTCCTTGATCGGAACACAGTACTGCACCGTGACTGTTCGGCCGCCAGACGAGACCCGCAGCAGCTCACAAACCTCCTTCCTTGGGAAAGTAAAACCCCCTTCAATGGAAATATTCCTCTATACAGTCGCTCAGAAGATACTCTTCGATGATAAAAAACGTGCCATCGGTGTGTTAGTCACAAACAAATCGTCTGTCCCATTTGAACTGCATGCACGCAGAGAAGTGGTGGTGTCCGCGGGTGCTTTCCAATCGCCGCAGCTCTTGATGGTGTCGGGCATAGGTCCGGCTGATACACTCAAAGATCGTGGCATCCCGGTACTTGCAGACCGTCCAGGTGTGGGACAAAACATGTGGGATCATCCCTTCTTTGGACCTTCCTTCCGGGTCGAAGTAGCCACCTTCACCGATTTTGTCAACGACCTCTGGTTCTTTTTTCAACAGGTTATCAAGTGGTTTTTCCTCGGTCGCGGAATGGGGACCAGTCCTGGTGCAGATTATCTGGCATGGGAAAAGATTCCCGACAGTTTGCGATCCGGCTTTTCCAACAAAACCTTGACCGATTTGAGTCGATTTCCGTCAGACTGGCCCGAGGCCGAGGTATGAGCAATTTCTATAGTTGCCGTCTTGTCCGGAAATTTGGTGCACGGAGAAGTGCGAACGTGCTGACCAAGAAATCACCGAGTAACTAATTTTATTCCCCTAGTACATGTCTGGGCCTGGGTATCTAGGCTCGTTCTCAGACCCTGTTATTGACCAACCCAAGGATGGGTATCGCTACGCGTCAATGCTAGCCGTACTAGTTGCCCCTACCTCGCGCGGCAATATAACGATCCGGTCGGCAGACATGGATCATGCCCCAATTATCAGTCCTAACTGGCTGGACAGCGAGTCCGACCAGGAAGTTGCAATTGCCATGTTCAAGCGCATCCGTGAAGCGGCCACCAGTGCGGCTATGGCGCCGGTCATGGTAGGACCTGAATATGACCCAGGCAGACACGTTGCAACCGACGATGATATCCTCGAGTACATTCGGAATAGCCTGATGACGATATGGCACCCTGCTTGCACATGTAAGATGGGAAGACCAGATGACCCTCTGGCCGTTGTAGACAGTCAGGCGCGTGTCTATGGAGTGGAAGGCCTGCGAGTTGTAGACGCCAGTGCGTTTCCAATCTTGCCACCGGGACACCCACAGTCCACCGTCTGTGAGTTGATTGACCATTCCTACTAAACAATTGTTGATTCTCGAGCAGATATGCTGGCCGAAAAAATATCAGACGCCATAGTCTATGGAGATATGCTGTAATCCGTAAGTTTCAGAACTTTGCATGTTAGTCAGCTACCTAACTTGAAATGCTAATCTAAGTGAAAAATATGACGCTTGGTACCTTGAAATTAGGTGTCTTCTTCATAGAGTCTCTGTTTTCTCAAGATTTGTGTCCTGGCATTAGTGACTTGCGGGTGTTAATTACCACCGAGCCTTCCCTCGATCTCAGTTCATGCCATAGCCTTGAACTGTTGGTGGAACTTTAGTTTACGAATTGCCCTTATTGACATCATTAATGTCAAAGTAGATCACTGCTCAGATCTAACACTGGTGCCTGTTCGTGAATTGGAATGTAACGTGGGTCCAAAATAAAGCACAGCCACATTCAAATGTATGAGATCAAGCATCTACGGTGTACAGTCAGAAAATAGTTGATATCTCCGAATATTGCAGTCTACCCCACAGAAGGCAAGAATGGTTCGGGAGTGAGCGGCTACTACCGCCACCGTGAGACTTCCGATATATAAATTTCCCATCTCTAATTTTCACAATATACTCCCTAAAAATGAGGTTTGAACCGAATATCAAATAGACCAAGAAACTTCTGAAAACAGAAGAAGAGACATTCTACACCGGAGTATATTTTCCAGCGGTGTGCGATCGAGCGAACAGCGTAGTTGAAGTAGGCAACCGAGTTCTGTTAATCAAAGTTGGGGGCCAAACCGGTGGCGGACCCAAATCACTCCACTACGCGCGCCAAAACAAAACCAACAAACAGCCATAGGACCCAATGAGGCTTAATTGTAAATCAACTTGTCTGTTAGTCTTGAATCAAGTTGCCTCCGCACTAGGCAGACCCTTAACTCTGCACATTGTGCACAATTCTAAGCAAGTGGCAGTTGATTTCGAGCTTGTTGCCATAGGAGATCTGATCCGATCTTCCCGCCGACTAGTATCACTTCTCCAGCGGACTAACATATAAATAGCTTCGACAACCCTACTTTCGAACTCATGATTTCTCCACTGTTGAATACATCATTTCTTCCTCAAACAGTCAAATCAAAATGAAACTCCTCACCACGCTCACAACCGCCTTCACAACGGCGACTCTCCTTTCCACCGCCGGCGCCTATGAATGGGACGCTGCCGCTGAGAAATGGGCCGGCGGCGATTTCTTCACGCAATATGCGCCCGATGTCGTCGAGGGGTCGTGGGGAAAGCTACTGGTCGATGAGAACCAGGAATGTTACATTGTGTTGAATGAGATTTTCAACTGCCAGGGTCGTTCGAAACCGTTTGCTACGTATAATCCGAAGACGGGGTATTGTGATGCTTTTGGTAAGTGGCACTGCTTTTTTCTTCATGTTGCTGCAATATGGGAGTCAATGGCGGTTGTTGTTTAATCCGAGGGGATGTATGCATGTGGTTCTGATCATGTTGAACTAACTCGATTGATTCCTCTACTACAGATGGCGCCGAGCCCATGACTGCCCCCATCTGCGGAGGATACATTTGGTTCTTCGGACATGACGGCAAAGAGAAGATGGTGCCGCCGACCTACAGGCCCTACAACGTCTCAGCTGGAGATCTTTTCATGAAGAGTAAACGGCGGGAGGTGAACCTGGACCCATTTCATCTTGGAAAGGCTGGGTGCGGGTTCAATGCTATCTACAAAGATGGCGAGTATCAGGGTTTGAATGAGGATTGTGGGTTGGTGCGGAAGCCTGTTGGAAAGTGGACTGGCTAGATTGGGGGAGCTTGTTTGTGAGAACGGAAGGGGGATGTCGCTGTGGTTTTACCTACATTGTGTCAAGGGTTGGGCTTTGACGAGATCAAAGGCTTTTTGAGGTACGTGGTGGAGGTACTCATGCTGCGCCGTTGGGTTGACGGATAACGCTCGATTGTGGAAGGCTGTTCGAGTGTTAACGAGAAAAGACTGGATGAATTGATTAGCGATATCTAATGAGTGAACAAGAAAAATGAAAAACTCAAATGGCTGGCGAATTGAGCTGGCGCTTTGAGAAAGACAGACTCTTCTATTAACAATTATTTCTTCGCTACATAGACGTATTCTGCTTTTCCACGGCAGCTGAAATGGAATAGCTTCACCATTATCCGCGGACATAAACGTGAGAGATCTAGAAAATTGCCCCATGATTTAAACCTGCTCGTATCGTTCTGCGCCAGAATCCCGGATTGTAACATAGTTTAGATGCCCTCCTTATCCACCTCCTGAACTCCCGTAACAGACGGCGATGACGGCGTCTCAGTCCCCTCATCATCATACGTCCATGTACCTCTTCCACGTAACCCGCGGTAAACCTGCGCAATCTGCTGGATACCCCCATCAAAGATAGGATAGAAGATAGCAATGAGTGTTGTTCCCCAAAGCCAGATAATCGCCACAATAATCCACGCAGAGAAGAACTATATCCAATCAGTATCTGGTTTAGTAGCATAGTGGAGCAAGTAAAACATACCCCCTTTCCAAACACATAATTCGATCCATACATAGGTAGCGGCCAGATAACCCAATGACCCAAGAATGTCGCTATGGACCAGAAGGCTGCAATGCGACCCCATCGTTTGAGTTCTTTTGTCTCGGGGATGGATGCGCTCCTTGGTCCAGTCTCGATGTTATTCTCGTGTGGACCGTGCTCATTATGCACGGTCGTCAGATCACTGTTCAGTTTCTCAAGCGCGAGTTTCTCCTTTCTGAACTCCGACCAGTCGTATTTCTGTGGTCTGATCAAGGTAATCACTACCGAGTACAAGATCGGCGAGCATGCCGATGCCACGGTTCCATAGACACAGGGTAGGATTTGGCCGGTTGCTGAGACGGAAACTGCGCCGTAGAAATGCTGCGCAGTGCCGAGCCAGACGCCAATACCTGTGGCCATACCTAGAATGGGCGAGAGGATCGCTGCCGCTTTGCTTTGGCGACACCAGAGGATAGTGAACGCCATAGGGAAGATCCCGGGACAGGTTACCACGCCTGGTCATATTAGTATTTTCCTTTGTTTATAATGAACAGATTTCGAGGAGACTACCCACCGAGCATATACAACGTCCATCCGAGATCAATGCCGACGTAATGCAACATCGTGCTAAATCCCGCAGAGAAAGCAGCGAAGAATATAACTCCGAAGTGGCTAGCACGGATGATATCCCGGTCGGATGCGTTCCGGTTGAAATATTGTCGATAGACATCGAAACTCAGGATAGAGCTAACCGCGATAACTTGGGCAGACAGGGTGGACGTCACAGCCATGAAGGTCATAAGTAGTATGGCTGCCGCGCCTCCTTTGCCTGCGATTGTCATTGCTGCGTAGGGTAGGACGAGGCCGTTGCTAACTTCGGTTGTTGTCATTCTCTATTTGGAAATGGCATTGTCAATTTTGTGCGCGACCGGACGGAGAGAACAAGTTCCCTTACCCGAGGATAAGTAGGAAATGATGAACTATTCTCAAGTCCAAGAGCGAGCGAGCTCATGATTGTCCCCAAAGCCCATGGGATGGCGAAGTATGCGACACCTCCGATCGTATAACCGGGTACGACTGACGATGGGGCAGCTGAGAAGGCCTTGATGAAGTAACTGGTGTCCATGATGACCAGACCGAAGTTTGAGCAAATGTGCAAAATCCCAAAAAGTATTCCCTGGAACCCATTAACAGTGTCCGTGAATCAATCCTAAACATGCTTACTCCTTTCGATGTCATAGTCAGGTAAGTTCCATTGTGGTTTCCAGCAACCGGATGCCGTTGAGCAGCGGCCTGCACAAGATCGTATAGTTTTCCGACCGACCCGACCTCCTCGTATGTGAATGCTTTGATGGAGAAGTAGCAAGCGATGATTAGGATGATAGCCGTGTGGAAGTAGTCTGTCAAGAAACTGTCGGGGATATCAGACGCTGTTGATGAAGAGGGAGGTCAATTCAACGTACGTTGCTTTAATGCCACCGACGAAAGTGTAAACAGTGACTCCGACCGGCAGCAGGAATGTCGCGGCGATTATGTGCATTCCAGTCCTATCCTGTCAGTTGGAACGTATCCTCATGTCTTATTGAGATACCTTAGCTTACACTGCTGAGATGACCGCAGCCGCGCCGAGCAGCATGTTCGCACATGCGAAAATATTGTTAACCAAGCAAAGGGTCATGAACACGACATGTGCAATTCTCCCTATATTGTGTTAGATAATTGACAGTGCCTGATGACCTTCAACATGCCTACCATAGCGAATCCGAACAACTTCAAGTGAAGTATGAGCTTCAGGGATCTTTCGTTTGCATGATATACCAAGCAAGGCGAAGAAAACGATCATCGGGCTACATCCGGCCGCGAACCAGAATGACCCCGACACGCCGTAGTCGTATCCGACAAAGGAAGACCCGAGCAGCGCAGTCGTCCACAGCCATGACTATGCAGACAGTTAGCCTTTTGCGTTGGTAGTAGTTTTGGGGGTCAGGGGACGTACAGATATCACGGCTGACGCTGTCAATCCCGTTCTCACAGTGCGGTTTGCTGTCATAAACCTGAACTCTCGTTAGTATTGGACGGGCGGATCTTGTTCTAGGCCATACATTTCAGTTTTCTTATTGTCTTCTCCAGTAGTTTTCTTCAGCACTCGGGTAATTAACATCATCACTTGTATCATTAGCCTCTGGAACTCGTAGGTAGAACTGAGAGGTAATACCAAATGCGATGATCAACCCAACCACAACAACAATAACATATCCCACAGCCTGAGAGAGAAGCGGCTGGACTGCCCCATCGCCACTGCGGGCAAGGTTCTGGGCCATCGTCTGCTTGTTGGTGCCGGAGTCGTTCTCTGCAATACCGGTCGGAAAGAGAAGACCTCAAACGCCAGAGAAACAAAGTCAGGCCCCAGGGTGGATATCCTCAGCCTTAAGTAACTCCAACCTCCATAGTACCTGCAAGATCCTGCAGGGGTCTTCACATGGAATAATAGGCTTTGGCCAGTGCATTCTTGGTGTAATCCAGGGCGGCATAGGCCCACAGTGATATGATAAAGAATCGATATGAGGTGCTCACGCGAACCGGACTGGTGGATGAACTTTAGATCTGATTATTTCCACAGCTCCGATGGCATTGCCGAGATAACATCCGTTTGCTATCGGCCGATAGCCCTTGTAGCATGCTATCGAGCGGTAGAGAGCTGAGAATAAGCTGTGTTGAAGCTTCCTGGCGCTAGACGCGAGGACTGTATAGCCTAAGGGATATCTTAGCCTCCCACTTTAAATACCGTTTGTGCCTATGTTACATACACTTGATCTCTGATTGACTTGTTCTACTTGCTTTATTTTGTGCAATATATGTTTTTATTTTCATGGCCCGACATACCTCTGGAGTTCCTCCATTCCCCCGATTCTGCGTCGCGCATTGCGTGATACCGGGAGGAACTGACGATAAAGCGATCAACCGCATTCCAGGGACCGTCGACTCGCCCAATTTTGCACCCCAACTTTATTTCCCTCGCTTTTATTGCAATACCTCCCAATAGGATAATCTGACCATATTAAATAGTCGAAAAAGTCCATGATCTGCGCGTCCTTTGGGGTATTCTCTGCTTGTGTTCATCGTGCGCGTGTGGCGTCATCTCGACCCACTTTGATGCTATGCAGAAGACAGTCTCGCTGTGCCGATGAAGGAGGGGACGATTACATCGTAGCTTCTGAATTCATTGCATACTTATTACCTGGTTCCTGCACTTGGGAAACTCGCGACGAGATTCCAAGCACCGGTGCAGTCGATCGTTGACTTCGTTGTTCCCAAGCTCTATTGTCACGCAATCATAGATACATTCTAGTCATCATGACTGCTCCTGACGCTGCGCAGCCGCGCAAGAAGCTTATTCTAAATGCTTTTGTTGAGATGTGTATGCTTAGCCTCCCTCTTTGAGCCTTAGCCAAAAGTCTCACAGTAAACAGGCAGTGGGCATCAATCCCCCGGTCTGTGGCGTCACCCTGAGGATGAATCGCACCGTTTCAACGATATCGACCACTGGGTTGAATTAGCCAAATTGTTAGAGTCTGCGAAGTTTCATGGTATCTTTATCGCGGATGTACTGGGTTAGTACCTATGAAGGCTGAGAGCTGAACTGTTCTGAACTAATACGAACGGCATGATTAGGTGGCTACGACGTCTACAAGGGCCCCAGGAATCTCGATCCGGCGATTATCTCGGGCGCACAATGGCCTGTCAACGAACCTCTTGCCGTCGTTCCTGCCATGGCAGCGGCAACGAAGAATATTGGATTCGGGGTGACGGTGACCACGACGTATGAGCAGCCTTATCATTTGGCGAGACGGCTGTCGACAGTCGATCATCTTACGAAGGGACGGTAAGTCATGCTCTCGTTACTTCTGTCGCGACATGACTGATTGTATCAATTACAGGATTGGGTGGAACGTAAGTAGTTAGTGCACCAATCCATGCCATCTATGCTGATATAAATCTTCAGGTTGTGACCGGATATCTAGACTCCGCAGCCCGCAATCTGGGCCACGCACATCAACCACATGTACGGACGCATGTGAATTATCACCTTACACTTTCGCTAACACAAGATAGCACGATGACCGCTACGCCGTCGCAGAAGAATACATCAAAGTCGCCTACAAACTCTGGGAATCCTCCTGGCGTTCGGACGCCGTCGTTCTCGATCGCGAACGCGGCATCTTCACGGATCCGGCCCGCGTGCGCGAAATCAACCACGTCGGAAAGTACTTCGAAGTGCCTGGTCCTCATCTCACCCAGCCCAGCCCCCAGCGCACTCCTGTCATCTTGCAGGCTGGTACGTCGAAGGCCGGTAAGACGTTCGCGGCTCAGCATGCCGAAGCGATCTTTGTTGCCGGACACAGTCCTGCCGTTGTGGCGAAGAATATCGCAGAGATTCGCGAGCTGGCGAAAACTGAGTTTGGCCGCGACGGGAAGAGTATCAAGTTTCTGGCACTGCTTTGCCCGGTGTTGGGTAAGACCGAGGAAGAAGCGCAGGAGAAATTCAAATATTTCAGGAGTTTGGGGTCGATCGATGGCGCGTTAGCCTTGTTCGGTGGCTGGACCGGAATCAACCTCGATACGTACGGGGACGATGAGGAGCTACGACATGTCGAGAGTAATGCTATTCGGTATGTTCCGTGTATCTTTACCGAAGAAGGATTTATTGACTTTATTTTAGATCTGCCGTCGAAGGCTGGTCGAAATCCACACCAGGAGTCGCGAAATGGACCAAGTCTACTGTCGGACAACACATCACTGTCGGAGGACTGGGCGCGACTCCCGTGGGAACGCCCCAGCAGGTAGCAGATGAAATGGAACGATGGGTCCAAGAGGCCGACGTTGATGGATTCAACCTGGTGAGTCCACCCTGCTATACATCTGGCATGCGAAACTAACAAGGCTTCAGGCATATGCGGTCAAGCCCGGCTCTTTCAAAGATATCATCGACCTTCTCATTCCCGAACTTCGCCAAAGAGGTCTCTTCTGGGACGACTACGCCGTCGATAAAGGTACTTATCGCGAGAATCTTTACGCGACCGCTGGGCAGAGTGGACCGCCTGCAGATCATCCTGCTGCCAAGTATCGTTGGAATGCTGGAGTGGAGGCTGCGGATCATAAAATTCCTGAGAACTAGCTGCTTGGCTATTGCGGATGATGAATGTATGATGCTACTCATACGAGTTTATAATTTTAGCCGTTTTCAATTGTGGAGCTACAAATGTCTATTTGATGAAGTGATTGTGCATAATGTAGTCGAAATAAAACCGATCGCGCCCATCTCGATGCTCTCGTAGATGCTCCCGCTCTATATACTCAGAATTCGTATTCTCTGTCGTCTATTCGTCATCATCCATAGCTGGAAATGCATCCCAGCTGTTCTCTTCTTCCGGTGCCTCTTCACCAAGGCACCGGTCACATTTGCAAAGAAATCGGAAGGATCTCTGCAGATGATCCCGTCGTTCGCTCAAATCCACAAATTCCGTCAAGTCGAAATACGATATGCAGCATTCCTCGCCGGGCTTGATATCGCGCGACACAACAAATACCATCCTCCCGTCGTTGTCGGGTTTATGAATAATCTAAGAACCATCAGCGTCGTGCTTCATTAATTCGAACAAACAGATTATGAATGTACTTTGGACTTACATTCGGGCTACACGAATGATTTGCTATCGCAGCTCGAGGATACACCGCTGCAGCGAACTGCTCCCCCCTATCAACCGGGGGATCCGGGCATGGGAAAACCCCCGTTTCTCTCGGATAGAGACCGAACGAATTGGCCTCTTCGCGGCATATAAGTGCCAACACGTCTTCGGCGCTCATACCATGCGGTAATGTTGGAGAATCTTTCAGATACTTCTTTACCAGCGTACTCCAGGCGCGCACCTGCGAATGCGCCCACGTCTCAGGCGAGCCACAAAGCGACTCGATAGCTGCCCATCCGGACTTGAAGCGTGGATTCGAGCTGGAACTGAATACCTCACCGCGCTGCAACTCCACAGACCTCGTGGCCAAAATCCGCACGATAAGCCAGAGCATCCCAAACTCGTACTCGCCCCATTTCGAGCGTATCGAGGCGCTGTATTTCTTTAACCAGGTGCACTCGAACGCATGGCGGGTCTGGTCCGCTGCTCGACAACCTTCATTACACCACGCTACATCGGGAATGCAGTTGCTCGGGCATGAGGTGGGTGTCTCCGGCTGCGCGGAGACAATCTTCCGACTGCATTTGGAATTGCTGCATAGGAGGTCCGGACTGGATGCGGGATCGTCAACGACGGGGATTACAGCGTACGGCGCGTCTATTAGAAGTAGTTCGCCTTTGCTTATGGGGTGCGAGGCGAGTAGCTGGCGGCCTTTGAGTGGGTGCGTGCTTTGTGTGAGATAAGCGTGGATCCACGAATCTTGCGAGGATGTGTTTATCGTGACATTTGTAAGGTGCTCTGTTGTAATATGGAGACGTTGCTCTGCTGTTGGTGATAATGATTGCATATTTGGTTGGGCTATCTGGGTGTGGATTGTGTCTGGAGTCCGGACTGAGGGTGTTCAAAACCGGGGTGGCCGCGATGTCTAAATTTTGCGGCACTGAGAATTTTGCCCCCCATTTTTTTTCTCACTGAATGATTGATCAACAAATTTGAATGATCTTATCTTTGCCTCCCGGAGTCCCACTATCTGTGCCGTGGATCTGGGCCCTTTGAGGCCTTCTCAGTGGCTGTGAGGCGCTCCTTAGTGGGACCTTGCTCATTTCTTGGCATCATGAGGCCTTTCGGGGGGTCGTGATTGGCTTAGTTCAAAAGAGGGCGGTTTTCAGTTGAGTATATATATCCTGTCCGTGAGTGCACTCTGTATGAACTGTGTGCCAGGAAAATCATATACCTTTTTTCAAACTTTTCTGTACTTCAATGGGTTGAATCCTTGCTGTTTGCCCGCACGGATTGCACATTTTGCCACTGGTGGACAAGATTCAAAGCTGTTAGAGACAGTTCAAATGAACCGAAAACGCGTTGAAAGTCTTGGGGAAATAAACATCGATCAACACCAATCATATAGCACTCAAAATAACATCTGTTAAAGATAGGGTTCTGGCTATCATGTGTGCCACACGTGGCTGAGAGCTGAGTCAGCCATCCACCGGCGAGAAACCAACAAGCACAAAAGGTTTGTCTGGCGGTGATTAGAAAGGAATTGGAAGGCATGGGACAAGTAGTTGTCCCTGATCCTTCAACGCGGTGGAAGAAATTTCAGTAAGTAATCTGCCGGCGATGGCAATGTATTTCAGATTCGATGTGGGAAGCTCCGTGAAACCAATCACTCCCAATGGTCGTGGAATTTCATGCAAAATGAATTGAGTGAAAGGAAATGGCGAATGAGATGGAAGGGAAACATCAAAGTTTAGGAAGAGGTCGAAGAATGAGGGAAAAAGGGGAAAATCAGGTCTCCAGCAAGATCCTGTTGGAGCCTAAGGCATCTCGGCATCCCGAGATTCGGTAGCTGATGACGGTCTGTACACCGATAGAGAGATTCAACAATCCTGTGTCAATAGACCGCGCCTCAATGGCTCTGATGTCTACAATATCTCCCTTGACTCAATCTCCGGGACCTCCCAGCTCAGTGCGGGATGTTCCACTAATCGACTATCTCGGAGATTCCAACCCGGAGCCTCGGGCGACTCGGCATTCACTATAAAACGGATCTCATTCTAAAGAGCAAGGACATTGTCTCTTGATCAATTTCGATCTTTAGTCTGTCAAAAATCTGATAGAATCACGGACAATGGATTCTCACTCGTTCGGGCAGCCTCCTGAGGCCGTTATTGACAAACTGCCAAATGAGATACTCAGCTACATTTTCGAATACTGTCAGCCGTTCGAGGGACCTTATAGGATAATAAATTCGTGGGTTAGGTTTATGCGTGTCTGTCGACGATGGCACGATGTTGCGGAGAGAGTCCTATACACCCAAATGACTCTGCGCATCGGCGGCAGCTTGAACGCCTTCGCGAACATTGTCATTGAAGAACCAGAGATAGGCAGTCTCGTCCAGTCAGTGGAAATCCTGGACTCTTGCTGGAGCAGTTGTGGGAAACAATTAACACGCAATGTACTACGATCACTGAAGTCTGTCCGCTCACTCACCATACCTATTGGGTTCAGCTTGTCTGACAGAAGTTTTTTCCGCCTGCTGCGAGAAATGCCGTTGACTGAGGTCAAGATAATGGAATTTTCGCGGGTGGATACGATATTTGAGTTCTATGATATTCCAACACTAAAACGCTTGGATTTGGAAAAACGGTTCGAGGCGGCCGATTTCAACGATCGTGATAGAGGGAAATCTTTTTCTTCGATAAAAAGCCTAGATCGCGTCCTACCACCAAGCAAACAGCGAACTTCGACGATTACCAATCTGCGAGTTTGGTGGCCCTACGTTCCTCTTTATGTTACCGAAAGACTCCTATTGTGGCCAGCCAATCTAGAAATTGCCAAACTACTTTGGTTGCCCAGAGGATCTCTAACCTCGGAATACAATTTCCGGTCCTTCTGGAAAATTCTCTCATCGCATGCAGCAAGCCTCAAATCTCTCGAGATAGGGGCCCTACCATTGGCAGACCATGATATCCCGAACTTCTCGCACTTTAGTCGCCTTGAAAAGTTAAACATGTATGCGGGAGATCTCATGGGTATGGACCCTGAAATGGCCGTCCGTATGCTAGCAGCACCGAAACTTGAACGCCTTATTTTGAAGTGTTTAAAGGATTTCGCCTGGGCTCCTAATGCTCTTTTGTGTCTGGAGGAACACCATTACCGCTGGCTTAAAAGTTTTCTCTGCGTTATCAAAAGTTCAGGCAGCATACCTAAGCTGAGGATTATGCAGATTGATAACGTCTCGCTGTCAGCATGGGCCTACGACTTGGAGGTCCCAGCTAAGGAGTGTCGGATACGTCTTGTGCTTATTGAGCGGAGAGGTCTCTTTGGAGAAGACTACAGTGTGATATGTTTTGAATGAATCTTGGCTCGAGTCGACTTTTCACTATTGTACAATGACGGGCACTGATTGGGGTTTATCTGATTCTGGTTTACGGAATTCTATTCCAGAAACCTCTCTTGTCTTTCATATAATTAAATCAGGGAAGACGTTGCTAAAATCGCCTTCAAAAATCGCGTAGGTCATCTCAAGGACCAACATTCCTCTTCGGGCAGTGCTGTTCAGGGCTTCTGGTAGACAAAACAGTCAACCTTCAATCTGTTCCTAGAATCGAAATCTTGAACACACTGCATTTCCTAGTAATAAGGTATATGGAGGGGCGGAATCATGCTTTGTTGAACTGCGGCGCCTCTGTGACTTTGAGCTCATCTAAAATGTTCTTTTTAGACTTTATCGCCCTCTCAATAGAATTGACTTATTATCTAAGACCTAGCACATCGCACGTAATTCCTGCTCCAAATGCGATCTGTAGTGGACACCGGGCAAGCATCCGGCCCTTTCTCCACTCGCGGACGAGGCACCCGGGGCTTTTTCCCCTCATCGGGATAAACCATGCGGGGAGTCCGCCATTTCCCGGGAGCGCATCCGAAATGCTCACCCTTCTTATATCAGATCTATACTTCTACAAGCTCGCTGAATTTGGTCTTGTTCTACGATTGAAACAGCAATTCAAAATAATTAAAAGTGAGTTACTATCTTCTTACTACACCTTTCTTTCAAGTAGAAACACAGCGAAACGCAGGGGTGGCTAACAATTGAATGTCTCGTCAACAGTGTCTAACAACCTCGTTCCTCTCACCGTCATCAAAGGCGCCGGCCACGAGTTCATTCCCCTTCCTCAGGGCGAGAACGCAACGACGGCCGATTTCCACTCCATTCGCACCAAGACCGAGTCTCCCGCTTACTTTACCTCGGGTTTCTACAAAATTGAGGCTGGACCTCAGCGACCGGCACACTACACGTTCGAGGAGACCAAGTACGTCCTGAATGGTCAGATTGATGTTTTGGTATGTCTCTTCTCTTCACGCTACTGTTGTTTACATCTACAAGTCACCAAACAGTTTACTGACGGCAATGTTCATGAATAGGACGAGGCTACAGGAATCACCCACCATCTAGTCCCCGGTGACTTTGCTTTCTTCCACGTCGGATCCAAGGTCAAGGTTTGTCTCGGCCCATTCTTAAGTATTCCAAAAAAATTTTACAAAATAACTCTAACGCAATCTCATTCTATCTCTAGTTCTCCACCAAGTCCTCCGGTTTTGCCTTCTATGCCGTCACCCGGCCGATTCGAGCTCCCCACCCCAACCTGGAGGGCCGGGAGGAGAAGCAGGCCAAGTTGTAAGACATGCATAGCTAGTTAAATACAATCTATAGATAGCGATAGCAATTACGAATCTCAATACTCAAACTCAATCAATTATAGAGACCTACAAAGTATAGGCTAATAGCTGACGCGTCACTTGTCAGAGGTGGACGGGAGAAACATTCAACTTTACTGAAGGCTTCCATAGCAACTATACTGGGCATGAGAGGTTCTTAATTGTTCAAAAGTTCCGCTAGAATTTATGATGATGAGGAAAGCCGGAGCATATCCGACTGAAGAGCAGGCAACAAGGCACTAACGCTAAGCTATATATGGACAAATGCAAGGCAGGTCACGTGCTCGACGTGTTCACAAAAGGCAGTTTCTTGAAGGAAACAGTGTCATAATTCCATTTTCAAATTTCCACTTGGGGTTTCGAGCGTACATGCTGTATTCTCCCCACTGGTGCCAATTATACTGGTCGACACGATGTTCGCTTAGACATCCCAACCCCTAGGGTGCCCCGTGCGCGCGGAAGATCCAGCGGGAAAGCGACGAGATCTCCACATCATTCGCTCACCATCAGAATCTGCCTATCAGGCTGCGCTCGTTCCCCAAGACAATGGATGGGCCATTCATCAACAGCCTCCCCAATGAATTGCTCACTTGGATCTTCGAGATCACACCCCCCGATGCCGATCGTAGCCGACCGGGCTACACGGCCTGGCATCGAAGATTGGAGTATTATCCATGGCTACGGTTCATGCTAGTCTGTCGGCGATGGCGAATCGTTGGCGAGAGACTTCTCTATCGCAAGCTGTCGCTCAGTATTCTTGACGAACCGTCGGCAAGGATGGCCTTCGTGACAGAAAGGCCTCACATCTGCAGATTCGTCAGGGATTTTCGTCTTACTGTTTCAAGCAAACCCGTGGAGAAGGATACCCTAGACTTGCTGCAAAAGTTCAACTCTGTGCGCAGATTGAGCTTGACTGGTCGCCCTTTTAAGATAGGCCGGCCGATTCTTGAACTTATTCGAACAATGCGCCTGACTGAGGTGTCGCTGAGCGACCTGCCGTCCTTGAACATGATATTTGAGTTTTTCGATATGTCCACACTGACACATTTGTCGGTTTCTTCGTTGGACTGGAGCAAACCAATCAACCCCAGGGCGTCTGGCGATGAGAAACAGGGACCAAAGTTGGGAGATGAGAGTGTACCGAACTCTTCAACTTCCTCAAACCCGCCAACCACCACCCTCCCCGAGAATGCTGATGATACGGCGTTGACCACGGCCTTGGATGAACTTCTTCCACTCAGTCGACAGAAGACATCCGAGATTAAATCTATCCATTTTTCACGTCCTTCGACTGGTGTCACCGTGGCACGGCAACTGTTCCTATGGCCTGCCGCACTCGAAGAGGTGAAAATTAGCTTATTAACCCCGTCGAATACATACGAAGAGTACACAGGTGAGGGCGTACAGCGTCTTCTCCTGCCGCAATGCCACTCCCTCAAAAAGATTGATATCGGCGTCATGACACAAGGAAGCGACGGTATTCCAAATTTGAAATCTTTCTCCTGCCTCGAGGAATTGACAATCTCTGCATACAACCTGTTTCATGATTCTCCTGAGCGTGCGCATGAGAAGCTCTCGATACCTTCGCTAAGACGTTTAGTGATCAGTTTCTCCACAGAGGAACTGTGGTCTGAGTCGTTGAATGATTTCGGGGAGAACGAATTACTTTGGATGGAGGAATTCATCGAGCTCGTGAGAAACGCACCGGAAACATCTAAACTGAGGAATATCTATATTCGCTTCAGACCTCAGCCGACATATCCGCCTCGCGACGACGTTGATGAATGGCCCTGGGATATGTTTGAGGAGTTGGCTGAGCTTAGTGAGGAATATGGTATAACCCTAGGATATGACCCGGCCGAATTCACCAAACGACAATTTTCGGAGAAATACCAATCACCTTCGGATAGTGAATGAAGAAGAACGAACTATGATTGATCCTTGCAGTACCCCATTCGTCTAGAACATTTTCTGTTCATTTCAATGTTGTTTCATGCAGGCAGAAATATATATATGTTTAGGTCAGCCTAACTTTAAGCGTCATTATTCGGCACATCCCCAAGTCGACGTAAATTCGGTCAATAAGTCCAAATAACTATCTAGCCGTAGTTCCAGGTTCAAAATGACCCGTTAATTCTCCTGTTATCATCCTAGCGATCTGGCTCGCAACGCCGTAGATGACGTCACTGCTCACCACTAGGTGGCTGAGTCATTATCTGCCAGAGGCGCTAGACCTGGACAGGCTAGCCCATCATATAGACGAGACGGAGTTCCGTTCAAAACGCCCCGAAATCCGACTGAGTCTCTCCAGGCGGCGGGATTCGGACGATATAGTCCCCTACACCGATCGCGATGTCGTGTCCGTCAGAAAGAAAACCAGATTGCATTCTCCTCGAATTTAGAGACGAGAATGCCCAGATATACCCCTGACGGCTCTAATATGCTTCCTAGCGCACGCAGCTCTGCCGCCTATGGGCACGCCTGCACAGCTTGCGCTCAGGCCAAGTGTAGATGCTTGCCTAGTGCGTCTGGTGGGAAATGTCAAAGGTGACTGGACAGGCCCAAATATACTAGGCAGTCGAAGCTGACAGTTATAGATGTAACCGATTAAATAAAGAATGTGTCCAGTCAACGAGAAAAAGGCACCCGAAGGCGCCGTCCAGAACGGCTCAGTTGGAGCACAAAGTGGACAGCTTGCTATCGCTCCTAAGCGCGTCGGGATCAACGAATGAAACAAGTGTTCGAAGGCCGATTCAATCGGAATCCATGGCGCAGAGGATCCCGTCTCATGAGCCGATCGGAGTGGGAGCGACTTCTGACTATGACTGGAATGCGACCGAACCGCTTGAGTCGAGTAGTGAAATAGACAAGCTCGATTACGAGGAAAGTCTTTTGAGCTCATTTCGCGTGAAAAAGCTACCGTGTTTCCCGTTTGTTCATATACCAGAGGCGACATCGGTAACGGAGTTCAAAAAGCAGTCCCCATTCCTTTGGCGTTGTATAGAGGTCACGGAATCCAGGGATGTCGTCGCTGTTGGCGACCTTACTACGCGCCTACGTCGCGAGATCTCACACGCAGTGTTGGTTGAATTGGATAAGACTCTAGATTTACTTCAGGCGATTCTGGTCTATCTTGCCTGGTTAGTGTATCTTATACTATCTTTGGCACATGATTAACAAGATCCAGGATCACATATGAAAGTTTTCCCCTTAAGTCTTCGTTGTGCATGTATTCCCAGCTTGCAAACGGCTTGATCATCGAACTAGGCCTGACTAACCCTCCTCCCGGGGATCCGGAGTTTGGCACTTTCAATCAAATTTCATTAGGCCAGAGTCAGCTTCAATCTCTCCGGCCTCGGCTTTCCGAAACACGCACCATGAATGAGAGAAGGGCAGTGCTGAGCTTCTTTGTCCTAAGTTCGATGTGAGCACATGGCTTCTTGATTTGAACTTGCATATGTGCAGCTAATATGAACTAGGATATCGCAATACTTGGGCCGAATGGACCCTCTGCGATGGACTCCCCATATGACGAATTGCCTGGACGTATTGAATAGAAACCCAGAGACCGCAAACGATGCTGTCCTTGTTCAACTCACTCGGGCACGTCTTCTCGCGGGAAAACTGTCTGATGGGCCATGGAATGACAGAATGCTCTCCGATGATGGGTTTTCCCGGGCCCCGTCATCGTTTTATCTCTCTGCGTTCAGAGCCGAACTAGAGAGGATCAGAGCTGAGATACCCACTGAACTGCAGAATAACAGTATGTAATCTGCTCTGAGGGCCACCGTTGATCTTTCACTCACGAAACACCAGAACCTATTTTCTTTCATCTATACCATACCGAGGTCAGCATTTATGAACCCGCTCTCCTAAAGGCGACCACCGGTGAAGACGACCTGAAGCGCTTGGATTACCTCTATGCTTGTTTACGCGCGGTCAAATGCTTCTTTGACCTGGTCCTGTCCATCCCGTCCGCCCACTTTGCCTCGTTCCCGTTAACCCACATCATTCAAATCGCACATTGCTTTGTCACCCTGTTTCGTCTATCCACTCTCGACCTTCCAGGATGGGATAGGGCCATCGTGCGCCGCACAGCAGATATATTGGACCTCGCACATCAGGTCGCCGAGAAATGGCACGAAGTCGCCGAGATAGTGGGAAATAAGAATAAATCTCTCCACCGACATGCATACTCTGGTCTAGGTGCTATGATGTATAAGTTGAAAGATGGATGGGCAGCTAAGCTGGATCCGTCTCAAAGCAGCGCCCCCAATCAAAACAACATGAATGCAGGCGAGGGCCAGTTGGATATGGACGCTTTGTTTGGCTCTCCCGAAAGTGCGTGGCTGTTGGATGCGTTTTTCTCGGGTGGCATATTTTGATTCCTTCTTCTCCCGGAGATCGAGGGATGCGCGGATCAGGAATCAAGTAAGGGGTGAATACTTAAATATCGAGAATTCCGTAACTTCAAATTTTTTTCAGGCCAACCGATTACTAGGACATCAGTGCATCAGCGCTAGGATCACGCCGTCACTGCCGAGACTGACCAAACCCTACGCTGGGCAGTAGAGCGGAGCTACGAATCAATTCGCGTCCAATAAACATGCTTTATAACGGAGCCATTGTTCCGGCTTCTATACCCTTGTCATCCTTCCTGCAGTTAAACAGGCACAGATGAATTGAAATAAATGCCAGCCCATATAAGTGCCACAAAACCTCCCCTTCCTGCCCTTTTTCTCACCTCACAAATTCTTTCCACCCGATACCTCCAAATCCGACGCCATGACATCCACACTAAAACTCCAACCCGTCACGCTCGACGACATCCCGTCCCTAACCGATCTCTTCTATGATGCTTTCGGCATCCCTGAAAACCTGCAAATGTTTCCCGACACACCCGGCGTCCGAAAATGGTGGACCGAAGCCAACCGCACCTGGCTCCTTGAAAAGCCCGACTCGCGAATGCTCAAAGTCGTCGACACGCGGCACCCGGGTCGCATAGTCGCGTACGCGAAATGGAACCTTGCGGCGCACAAGTACGAACCGCGATTTCCGCCGTGGCATGAAGAGTCCGATCGCGAGTTGTGTGGTAAATTGTTCGGGATTACACAGGAGCATCGCGAGAAGGTGCTGGGGGAAAGGGAGCATTATTGTGGGTTTTCATGATACGCACGATGGCACTGATTACTGGGGATTGAGCTAATGGGTGTCGGGATAGATTTGGATCTTATCATCACGGCTCCGGAATATCGACGACAAGGCGCTGCATCGCTTCTGGTCCAATGGGGATGTGACCTGGCGGATCAGAATGGGGTCGTTGCTTACTTGGATGCGTATGAGCCTGCTGCTCCACTGTATTACAAGCATGGGTTCGAAAATCAGGTTGACCCGCCGTTGAACTTGGAGTCGAACCTGCCGATGATTCGTGAGCCCCGTTTGAAATATTAGATTTAGGGTTCACGGATCACGGGGTATGGCTGTTGTAGTATCGCAGTCGATTTGACGACATTAAAAAAGTCTCAGATGTGTTCTATTGGTCAAAAGAGTGATTATCTTCGATACGTATCCATCTCGATATACTCTGTTTGTAACGTCCACTCCCTTGTTTCTCGGATGATGAGCTGCTGAGAGTTGTCGCTGCCTTCAGATGCTCCGGTGACGGTCGGGTTCAATTCATCATCGTCCCTGCGCTGCCTGGACTGGGCATGCGATGCAGTATTGGTTGAGTCAACGTAATACGATGCTCCATTCCTTTTGATACCTTGTCCCCATCCTGTATTGAAGGCGACCACGAACGGCTTGAGACACGGCATCGTTGCGGCCATTATGCTGAAGTGTAGAAGGACCTCCGTGGCGATCAATGCGTCGGAAAGTCGTAGTGAAATATCGGTTCCGGAGAATGCGCGGTTTAGGTAGGTTTGTCGGACAATGGAGATGATAATTAGTCTATAGTACACAAGTACGGTCAGTTGAACGGGCTTGTCTGAAACAGCATCGATGAAATGACTCACGTAGCTCGAGTTCCGAAAGCGAAAATAACCGCCACTTTCTGTTTGAACTGCATGCGTATGCCCCAGACCAAGTATACGCTTAATGCCACAAGGAGAGCCTCCGTCACGACATCGATTATGGTAATGCCCTTCCAAGCATTGTTCTGCGTTTTTGTTAGAGTTGTACGGATTTTTCGGGTGAGTTGGCATATACCACTCTTGGGTCCATTCTTTCAATGCCCAGCTGACCCCCAGATTTGCTCAGTATACCAAGGGCGATAATCGAAGCGATTGCCCAAAGTGTCGTAAGAATTTGGGTGGCCTTGCACCATAATAGGTAGGATGGTTCACGACCTAGTCGTTTGAGAAGAAGACACACTGACAGCTTTGCACCGCAGTGACCCGCAATGAAAAGGATATCTGCGCCGAGCAAAGCCTCCAGGGGTCCCTTAGTTGGGGGGTATAGTTTGTATAGGCAGATTTCAACTCACCTTGCCTTCATCCATCAACTGCTCTAACGTAGCCGACTCGGCGGACTGGCCTAAACCATGCGACACACCGTTCATGATCACGCCAACATTCGCTATTCCGAAAGCCTATGGATAGGGGTTAGTCGAGAACAGGGAAGACTTGAGCTCATAATTCTGATGCACTGACACCTCCCACAAACGCTGCCAGATCGTCCCAGCCCAGCGGCCCATTGAGGGCCAATCTCATGTACAATCGGATCAAACAAACAATCACCATCCACGACATGAGCATGGTAGCGGTGATCACCACTAGGCCCCGCTGATCGGTAGACGACACGACATACGCGGCGGGATTGTACATCATAGTGCGCTGCCGGACAGTGGTTGAACGAAAAGTTCAACATCAGTCCTTACAGAATGCAAGAACATTATCTCCTGCTGCGAAATTTTCTCGCAGTTCATCCATCGCGCTCATCTGTTTTTTTCTCATCCCTGTCGACCCAAGGCACGAGGCATTATGAAGCAGGATCTGCCAAGTGATTAAGTGCGATCATTTCCGCCCTCGTGTCATCAAGTCTAACCATGCCCATACTCCGTACTTTTGTCGCACTGTGTGGTCTGCCTTGGCTGGTTTAGGAAATGATTTGCATGAATATACAGGCTAGGACGTAAGAACTTTCTCCCACCAGCACGACAGGATGAAACAGCGTCGCATTCCCTGTGGACTACTAGGCAGGGGTTGTAATTGCGGCGTAGTGAATCGCGCCAAATTATGGCCCTGATCCTCATCTACGCCTTTCCGAAGCGGACGGCGCCGAACCTAAGTGTCTGTTGCCCGTCTATCCGGGCTCCACTGAGGCCCCTCAAACCGTGCGCCGAGAGGCACTAGGAGAATTTGGTTACATCTGGGCTTTCATTGCCCGAAGGTCACATCTTCCCACCCGAGGAAAAAAAAAAAGATCAACAGTACGGAGGTCGGAGAGTTTTTATTAATAATTTGATATTATACTAGACCCTGGTCAGTGCTACTTTGTGGATATTATTTGAAATTGAATTTAAATGTGGCCTGGTCGCACGTACTGTAGGCTAGCTGTCGGAAAGCAGAAGCCGCCGGGCAGTCCTAAATGTCTCGGCCGTGTTAATATACTGTGCCAATGGACTAATCATGCATACTACAGTATAATCCCTGTTGAAGGAGCTAGACAGACCAGGTTGCATGAGTTAGCTATGCAGTGTGGCCGTTCAAAGCTCCCTGCATGTTTGCCCCCTCGTGCTCGACGCGCGGAGTGGTCACAAAAATATTTCTTCAGCCTTCACATCCCCTCACCCTTCCTATCGACTTTCTATTCCATCATATTTTCTTCTTTTATGCTGCGATCGAAACGTTTGATTAAGTGACTTGAAGCCACAATGTGGTCAGACAAACAAGTCCAATCTTCGGCGTATGCCACGTCTCCCGAAGATGGCAGCGTCGGCGTTGGTTCTCGAGGGGGAACGTCGCAGGACAAGAAGGATATGTACCGAGTGGGTAGGGACCAAGAATTGAATGTGTGTATGATATCTGTTTGCGAGAGTTGAAGACGACTCCTAACGTTCGCAGCGAAACTTTCGCTTTCTGTCAGTTCTAGGATTCAGTGCTGTGCTCATGTGCACCTGGGAAGCCATCCTTTAGTTCGTACTTCCATGCCATCGACACATTGCGGGACATCGCCCGTTTCTGACTACTCGAAGTGGCGCTTCTTTCGGCCTGACAAATGGAGGAAAGGGAGGAATGATATACACTTATATTGCGGGACTGTTGGGATTTAGCTTCCCCATCTTGTCGATGGCAGAGATGGCATCCATGTGAGTTGATGGTCTTTGTCCACGTTGATTCCGACCATTGGGTTAATGTGGATCGCTAGGGCACCGACATCCGGAGGTCAATATCACTGGGTATCCGAGTTTGCACCCCCCAGTTGTCAATGCATCTTGAGCTACTTCACGGGCTGGGTCTGCGTGCTGGGCTGGCACACGGGAATTGCGGGCTGCTCGTACACAGTGGCCAACATGATGGTCGGCATTGTCGCGATTAATTACCCTGATTCTTACACTTACCAGCCGTGGCATGTTACTTTGCTTGTCATTGCCGTGGCCTTGGTAGCCCTGTTCTTCAACACTTTTCTCGCGCAGAAGTTGCCATTGATTGAAGGCATCATTTTGATCATTCACTGCTTTGGCTTTTTTGCCATCCTTATTCCGCTATGGGTTCTTTCGCCAACCACGCCGGCGTCGGAGGTCTTCGGATCAATTGAGGATCGAGGAGGTTGGGGCAATAACGGACTTGCTTGTTTGGTCGGCCTTACTGGCCCGATGATGGCGTTGATTGGTATGCATACACCTTGACCGATTGATATTATGGACACCTCGCTAATTGCCGTATGCGTTCAGGGCCCGATTCTGCAGTCCATATGTGTAAGTGATGCCTACTTCTGTGAACACAACGATCAAGATGCTGACTTCAGTAGCCGAGGAAATCCGAGATGCATCGCGAGTTCTACCCATGGGTATGCTTTGGACTTTGATTATCAACGGCTCCACTGGTCTCGTCATGATCATCACCTTCGCCTTCTGCGTTGGGGACATTGACGAGGTTATGCAAACCAAGACCGGCTTTGAATTCATTCAGGTCTTCCTCAACTCGACCGGGTCCGTTCGAGCAGCAACAGGAATGACGTGTATCATCATGGTGATGCAGTTCTGTGCGGCGGTCAGCAACGTCGCCACGACATCTCGACAGGTATATGCATTCGCTCGCGACAAGGGTCTTCCTTTTTCGGATTTCTTCGCCCAGGTAGGTGTCCGTCCGTCCCGAGGGTTGATGCTCGGATGAAACATTTTAATAACCGAGGTTTCTTATCTGACCCTCGATACAGATTAATCCCACCTTCACTGTCCCTCTTAACGCTCTCTTCGCCAGTGGTGTCATTGTTGCTCTCCTTGCTCTGATTAACATCGGTTCCGCCGTCGCCTTCAACGCGATCATGTCGCTTGGAACGGCTGCCCTGTTTTCATCATACATGATCTCCATCACCTGCGTGCGTATTCGGCGGTGGCGTGGACAGCCTCTGCCCCCGGCACGATGGAGCATGGGCCGGTTCTCGCCGTTCGTGGATACCGTCTCGGTTCTCGTCTTGGCGATTATCTGGGTCTTCACCTTCTTCCCGATGACGCGAGAAGTCGATCCTGAGACCATGAACTGGGGGATTTTGATCTACGGCGCCGTCACGATATTCTCGATGGTGTATTATTTTGCGTACGCGAAGAAGGTGTACAAAGGGCCTGTTACGAGGGTTAAAGTCATGGAGTAGAGTGCTAGATCGTGATATAACTAACACCAGGCACGTTAGGTAGTGGATACCCAGGAATATGCCACCTGTCCAGCAACGCAATATGATATAATAGATCTCGCCATCCCTCCATCGTTATTCCCCGGGATATCGTCACGGAGCATTGTTCAGCAAATGGCGAGACCCCTCAGAGCTGGATAATTCGGGCATTACGCTTGGCTGACATAACCGTCCCAGGCACAAGAGCCCATGGGACTGAAGCTTCTCCACCGCCGAGCATCTTGGCGGCTGCCAGCGCAAATGAGCATCGCAGGTGCAATCGTCATGACGCACGCCAGGAATATGAGCTTGTTCGATTTTCTCCTGGTCGATTTGCGTGAAGAGTTCGGTCTGCGATGTGGTTAATATGATGTAATGCCGAGATTGGGGGATATAAGGAGCTGTTGTGGACATATCTGAACATATCGTTTATCTATTATTTTTTAAATTCGTCTTCATAAATCTTACAACTTATGATCATCTGAGAAATCTACTCTTATCGACTGAATCATATCTTCCAGAAAAATGGATCTCGCCCAGAAGCACGGACACCTCAAGAATGAGCCCCGACACCCCTTAGAGTCGCAGCAGCCCCACGTGGATTCTCAAAGTGGTATGTCTTCTGAAACACTCAATAATTTTATTGACAAGAGAGAGTTCTAATTACGGCCACTCGACAGAGGTCAACAACCTCTTAGGCAGCTTCGGCCATCCCCAGAACGACCACCCCGATCGGAGATCTAGTGGCGCCGGCAACATGGGAAACCTCGTGCAACAGGCGCGAGAGATGACTGGGTAGGATATTCCATATTCTTGAATATCGAAGGGTCAATGAAGAGCTCTACTAACCATTCATGAATGAAGGCGCAACTCCGGCGAGCTATCTGATAAAAAGAACTCGCAATCTGATGCGTTTACCGAAGGGATTAGGGAGCAGCGATAGTTCTGATGCGTTCGTTTTGAAACATAATGCTGAACTTATATTATGGCGGTTGTACTTTTTTTTAGGTTTATATACGATGAGTTATGTGATACCATGTATAGGATAATGGGGTATTAGAAGCAGTTAAATTGCCAAGAACTTCATTATAAAAATGCATTATGCCGATGAGCATTTACCTGGAGAAGAACTTCTCTCTATCTTTCAAAATTGTGTGATTATGTTTTTAGGGGACCCTACTTTAAGTGGGTTCTTCTATCTCAAATATAGGCTTTTGTGATGAAGAAGAGATAATCTTGAGACCTGGCGGTGTCTGCGCCCTGCATAGCAGTGTGGTTGCCCATCCCTTGACTTTGACAATACCCACATTCAGTGGAATTCCCAAGCCCTTGAGATGGGATTGCCCCTTCCTTGAGTCCCTCTCGGATAGACCCACCCACGCGTGGACTGTAGTTATGGAGGATAGAAGGCGTACAGTGCCCGTCGAAGGGGTAGGATAGCGAATATGTCTACAGACCATTGTACCAGCGTGGTATGTGCACTGATTAACTGGCCTGAGGCAATTCCGGTGGTTGATAAAACATATCATTTGTTCGGTTTTAAATGAGCCTAGCCCGATTTTCAATTGGACGTTGATCATACTGTACGTCGCAGCCTTGAACTTCTCACCGGGGCCCTCTCCTTGCAGCAAGGCCCCTTGTAAACCGTGGGTGGCTATGCCAGTCCAGGTTCCCTTCCTGTTGTCCCTCTATTTTCTTTTGAATGAAACGCGCGCCGGGCCGGAGACCTCGTTCACATTCCAGCCATGTGTTATGGAGTGTTCCCGGGTCACGTTCCTTAATTACCCCTACCTTCCCAGTATGAACTTGCGGGCGGTGGCTTACGGTGTTGTCGTTGTTTGATGTCGATCCTGCAATGCTTGCGCCGGCTTTCCTCTTTTCTGGGGTCAAACCTTCCCAGCCGCCCGCAATATGACGGACGGCTCATAATGAATGTAGCTTTACTGACGACCTTTTGAACATGAATGATCTGTTAACCTCGCCGGCACTAAAATAGACGGCATATACCTAGAGAGTGACTTGATTGAGTGGCCACCGATTGTGGTAATCCTTCAAGAAAGCTACGGCCACATTGACCTTTGGAATTAATACTTGAGAAGTCTGGAATGTACAATTTTGATTGTTCTCTGACCTTAGGATTATATGAGCGCTCCGGAGGCTGAACAAACCTTTCAAGAAAGCCTGTCTAGGCTCAAAATGTACCAAACGTGATTGAAACCAAGCCGACTACTATATACAATCAAAGACATTAGTCCCCAGTAGCATAACTATTATGGTTTATGCATTTTGTTATTTTGTGTTTGCTCTATACGTGGGCTTGCTACTTTGTATGAGTTAGGACATTACTATATATAGACATATCACAGTAGTAGATGTGTGTTTGCTACCATATGTGGGTTTGCTCTGTACCTTGCTCTATATACCCGCTTACCCCTTCAGGTCAGCAGGTGCTGTATTGTGTAAACAGGTGAGATCAAAATCTATAAACTCCCTAGTTAATCATATGAGATGGCGGCGCAATTGGCCCAACATGCTTGTATTACATAGAAACACCCATGTTTCCAGGGTCATGGGATAGCAGTGCCTCCATACGAATTAGAAAAATACCTGAATGACTCATGTAGCATAATCAGTTATCACTGTAAGCCAGTGGAATGCCATTGGTCACCTCTGCAAGCTCGCCCCCACTGGGGCTTTGCCCACTTGTGCATGCCATGGCCGCATCACCGTAAGCTGAACTGCGAGTACCTGTGAGTGCCAAGGCAGGCCTTGCAGACAGGATTCATGCCCCTAGTTACTTGTGGCAGCGCTTACATCGACCAAGTACACGAATGTACTGTTTTCGGTTCGAATCAAAATTGCCGCGTGTACTTCATTGCTAGTCCTGCCTGACAGTTTCATAAATGATCTCTTTTCTAACCCGCGTGAGCGAGCTGCTCTCACTTCGTGGTCGCTTGTCCTCGAATATTGTGCTAAATAACCAGCGATAAAAACAAAACAACAGCAACTTGGGAAAATGACGGACACGGCAAATGACGCTTCTCTTCCGGGACACTCAAATGAAACTCGGCAGCCGAAACTTTACATTACATGTGGAGTTTTCATGGTGTTGAGTACAGTTGCAGTTGCACTGCGATTTGCCTCACGAAGGCTTGTCCGTATCAAATGGCATCGCGAAGACACACTTATGCTGCTTAGCTGGATGTGCTTTATTGCATATGCCATCATTACTATTGGTAAGCCTTCTTTTGGGAAGATTAGGTCTCATTGTCTAACGACTGGACAACAGCCGATGTGCGATTCGGTGGAGTCGGTCTGCACCAAGCGAGTGTAGTGCGAACTGACCCCAACACTCTGCAGTTCTGGGCAAAGTACCTCCTCGCCCTGGTATATCTCTATCTTTTGTGTGTTGTGCTCCCGAAATTAGCTATCATAAGTATGTATCTCTCAATCTTCGGGAGCTGCCGAGTATTTCAGATTATCTGTTATATCACTGGGGCGATAGTTATCGCGAACTTCTTCGCCGTAGCCGGGGCGGGTTTTGCGATTTGTATCCCCCTCAACTATCTCTGGGACAAGAGCATTGACGGCCATTGCTTTGATATTAACGCTTGGTTTCGGTGGGCACGTCTTGTCAACGTTCTTTCAGACGGTGTTCTATTGATATTGCCTATTCCGTATATCCTGCGGCTGCAGATGGCAGTTCGACTGAAGCTAGGTCTTCTGTTTACATTTTTCATAGGAGGACTGTAAGTGAATTGTTATTGTTGAACCTTGCTCCCTCCCTTCCCCCCGACGAATTCCTTCTCTTCATATGACTGTACGGTAAACTGAATGATTAAATCTTTAGTGGTCTGGTCGCCACAATCCTCACCATAACAGCGGTTTCGAACACCGACGCCGTCGATGACAACACATGGACTGGTGCAGAGATTATGTTCTGGAGTGTGGTTGAGACTGGAACCTACGTCGTCGCTCCGTGTCTCGTGTCTTACAAACCTCTCGCCAGACTTCTGTGGCGAACGGTTAGGAGAGAGAAAGCTGCCACCTATTGGAACGATCAAAAGGCATATATAGGATCCGACACGCGACTAAAGGGAAAGAGACATAGTCAGGATGGCATGGTTGATTTGGTTGATGTTGAGAGAGCGGACCTTTCAACATGGAAAACCAATTCTTTAGGGAGTGGGGTCACTGAGCGAGAGTTTACTTTAAAGTAACTCCAGGGGAGTACTACGTCTTGAGTGATCGAAAGTGAAGTCTTAAGCGTCTAGGTTCTTAATTGGGTTGTGGCTTTTGTTTCCACTTCGATCTGTGCCACCTTAGCCCTTCCTGCATAAACACCCAATTTAACCAAGATGAATGTGTGCCTTTTAGATCCAGGCAAAGCAACGACGAGATTCAACCCAATACGTGCATCATTTGGTACTTTAAACGCCTTCATCATTGTCCTAACCGGCCTATGGCCTCCCATATATTCGAAAGAGACCTTGTTTAAGAACTCAATTTTCACAAAGTCTGTTATGTAGACTCTCCTCTTAGTGATGCAATCCAGCGTCATGTGGATCAAGGAGTACAATACCTTTGATAGACACGCCACCTGTTTCGCGTTATTTCAATACTATACCACTCAATATCCCTATCGTCTGGACGAGCAGAGCGTTCAAGCGCAAGAAAGAGACCATACGCTCTTACACATGCAGGCAAGTGGGGCGCCCATATATCAAGTTGAGAACCAACGTTGGGTGAAATAAGGTTGTCAAGATCCCGGTACCGTCTAGAAAGACTAGAAAGACAATGCAGAGGCAGACGCCAGCTAAAGCTAGAATACAGGGAGACCTCCTGGAACCATGAAAAAGCAAATTTAGGAGACCGATCACTCGAGACGACTGTACCATTTGGGACAATCTGTTGGTCATTGTGGTTCTACGCCTTGCCATTCCGTGGCTCGCTAGAAGCATGCTTCACCGTCCGAAAGGATAACCAAATTTCACGATAAGTGTCAGTGGGTCACACCGACTAGATTGGAGCTTGAGTGATCCAGTTTCTATCGGCAGCGTTTCTTACGAATCTCAGGTCGGAAAGCTTGAGATCCTCAGTAAGCCTAGACAGCGGCTGGGTGGCCTGACAGAAAGCTCTGACGCGATATCAAACAAAGTAAAAACTTGGTTATAGTTTCGGTAACCTTTCTAATGCGTCAAAATGGCTAGTGGACCCTCTATAAAGTAAATTGAATACGATCCACTTGAATTCAGCCCAGCCTAAGGCACCCCGAATCAATTTGACAAGCTTGAAAAAAGCTCAGCGGACCGGCGCTTTCAAACGTGAGTCGACTTTTGGTTGAGATGAGATTGGAAATACGGCATTTAACAAACGAGAGACAAATAAACTAAGGTAGAGAGCAAATGTTGCTTTCTAGATACACGAAAAGTGGAGAAAGCGCAACACCGAGTTTCAAAGCAAAAGTCGGCCAATCCCCCAGAAAATCGAACCAATCGTTGCGATTCCCAAGACCGGCCATTGAAGGGCCTGCAGAGGCAATTTTCCGTAATGACTAACGTCAACCATTCCGTGTCCTTTTCCGTACCGAGCTGAGGTCAAAGAAAACAACAAGTTACCAGCTGCTGACTCGACCATTCCTTGAGCGTAGCGGAGCTGTGCTTCCGTCAATCCTGGCATCTCTTCCAACCTCTGCAGAGAGTCTTGTAGCTTGGATTCGTAATCCAGTGCGAGGAGCATGGCGATATTCTTGGTCAGCGGTGGGCTCAAAGACAGTGCCTTTTCCAAATAGTCCACAGAATTTGTAATAGTAGCGTTTTGGACAAGAGATGCGTGTTTCTCTTTGTCATACGAGAATAGATCATTGATGAGTACCATATGATCCGTAGCCTCGTCAATAACCTTATGCAGAGGTCGGATTTCCTCCGCCGTCAACTCTAGCGCATTGCCGAACCGAACGCAAATCGAGATGAAACTAAAAAGAAAATTCAGTCAGCGAAGGATTTAGAAAGCCTTTCGGGGAGATTTACTCCGCAGCAATGTCAATCGCACGGTAGTCCATGAAATCCCGAAGCCCATTGAACTCAGTTCGATGCTGTTTTCGAGTGAAAAGTACAAATGAGGCAAATTTCTCGATAACATCGCAGAGGAGCCCTTGACTGTCCGTTAGGATCTCGGGAGTTAGATGCAAGGCCGCGCATACTCCCTCTTCTGGGGGTGAAATCTCGCGGCGGGCAACCTGTAATAATATCTTGGTGATGTCATCCGTCACTGTGGATACCTGGGAGAAAATCAGTTATATGAGCCTTCTGACCATGTAGTCTAAGGAATCTTACTGTCTCTTCGGTACTATATTCGACAACGTCTAAGAACCAATGTGTAAGATAGAGAGGAAAATATAAAACGGAACAACGGGATCTCTTTACCATCATGAACCCATAGCAACATGAAAAACTGGGCAATGAGCTGGATACGCTGTGATGATGCATTTGGGACCATATAGACTGCCGCATTGACAGCTGAGTCAATGATCCCTTGCTCTCTAGGAGTCGGAGAATAGGAACTTTCAATTTGTGCTGCCGCCGCGAAACCCTCGGGGACAGCCTTGCCCTTCTCAATCCGTAGCAGGTGGATATTAAACAACAGCTGTTCACAAGAACCCCGAGCCTCTCTCCAGTACCGGCACTGACGAGCCACAGGGAATGAGGATGGCCATGGAACACCGGATTGTGTGGGCCTTATACAAACTGAATCGGGTCGACCGCCGGGATTTGCCGAAGGTCCGGTCTCGAGAAAGCGGAAGGCTGGGTTTTGGCGGACAGCGGGTACATGATCACCTGGGAAATATGAAACAGAAATTGGCATAGCCATAGTGACGGCAGAAAAGCTCAGTTAGAAATAGAAATTCAGGATCTTAAGCATTTGAAGACACCTATCTGAGGATATGTAGAGAAGACGACCGGCGGCACATCAGACAGTTCTTATATATTGGCTCTGATCCACTTGACCTTTCATAAGATGCCCCAGTCCGAAGGTTTGAGCTATCTACGTCAGACGCCTCGCTTGGGTAGATTCGTTGAGCCACGACAAAAGGCTCTATCTGTCAGTATCCCAAGCCCAACGGACCACTAGCATAGACTGCCGCAAATCAAAGGCTACTCTTGAGGTGAGTGAGTTTGCACAGCATATGAGCGTGGCATCAGTCCGCCACCGCTATTCAACCTATAAGTAAAACGAAGTGTAGATCGCACATAAGAACTAAAGGCATATACAGAAGCCTGCCATATGTCATGGAAATAACCGCATCTCAAGCAATACCTACTAATCGGGGCGAAGTGCTTCATCCCTACCACAGACATACAAACAGATCTTGGAAATGTAAATGTGGCTCCCCCTAGTTACAGCTTGTGGGGGTCTAGGTAGATCTACACATTCGTCTCAACGGGTTCAACAGCAGGAAATATTGACGTAAAACCTATCATGGATGACGAACGTATTTTCTTCGGTTAGGAGCACATATAATCACGAGATGTAAGGAGGGTTGCTGACTGCCACTCCTAGCAAGCCAATCAGAGGGAAAAGCTACATGCTAAATACATCATAAGTCTACACAGGGGCAATATCCCTAGTCACTCATACATTTAAATGTGGGGGGTTGGGTGATACGCCTTCAAAGTTTTAACTGACAGTAACTAGAGTGATCCACTCCTAAACTTGGCCTTTTGCCGCCATGCTTAGAATTATCGAATGAGAAGGTAGAGATGTCTCCCCTTAATTCCCCGCGGAGACTCATAACTCATTGGTCATTATTTTGAATGGCTAACTTAGTATAGGCCGATAGCTGAGACCTATAGAATCTAGACCCGCTTTTGGCTGCATTTGACGAGAATTCACCAATTGCCATACAGTATAGGCGACCCGTAATGTACGATTTAGAGTATAAATGAGAACATGAACATCTGTGTTTCTAGATTAATAGTAAGTTATGGAGATCAGACATCGAACACCCCACAAGGGCCAGCCGCAACGCCACCTGCGCACCACTAATTAGGATATCGCTGCTTATACAACCAGCACAAGAAAGTTTTGGGAAAGCATAAAACATACATACGGTCTCACAATGACTCCTGGACACCGTTATCGCCAAATGGCTCCTTGCTCAATGTATGTCCTGTCCTGGCTTACCACTTGCCCGGCACTTTCGAGTTCTAACCAAACCTTGATTCCCGAGGATATGGCTATATTGACATGAAGAACACTTTTGATCTATGATACATTCTGATACCTCGAAGAGTTTAAACTCGATTTGCGTAGGTGTGCTATGGCAGTTCAGACTCACTTGGAGATTTAAGTAATTTAGGCTGATCTGCTCATACAGCAGGGTAGTTGAATACGAGAGCCCCGTGTGAGTCATCCACCGCAGCTGGGATCCTGACAGTGAAATCTCTTCACGGTCGACAGAAATCAGCTTAAAGCCTACATCAGAATTAAAGAAGTTTACTTTACTCCTAAATACAGCGCATAGCGACCTTCCACCCAAAATGACCATATCAGACATTGCCCTTCTTCCGGCAACCACTCTCGACCATGAGACCCTCGATGCTCTAATCGATCGCTACAAAACCCTCCGCCTCCGCGCACTAAAAGAAGACCCTGAAGCATTCGGATCGAAATACGAAGATGAACTGAAATTTCCACGAGAGAAATGGCAAGCACGCATCGAAAACCCAAAGGCTCATACACTTATTGCGCTCGAAAATACCACAAGCCCCGGTGCACCCCTCCAAGCCAGCGACAATTCTACCCTATCCGCATTGCTATCGAGAAAATGGGTTGGGACACTTACAATGGTAGGGCCCGAGCCCGTTCCTGGTTCAGGTTTGGGTCAACAGGAGTTATTGAAACTGTTTGACTCGAACCGTTCCGACTCCTGTGGTCCCGAAGCTGACCCCTCGATCCTCGCCTATGTGCTAAATGGAATGTACGTCCTACGAGAGAGCCGAAGGGCTGGCAACGGAAAGCGGCTCCTAGAGGAAGTTGTTGACTATGCCAGAACGGCGGGGGGTGCATCGGGGGCAGCACAAGTGTGGTTGTTCGCGTTCCTGGAGGTGAAGAACAGGTCTGCCGTTGTGTTTTATGAAAAATGTGGGTTTCGGGCATGGGAGGAGGAGGTTTTCTTGCACGGTCGTTATGTTTGGATGATGGAATTTCGTATCACTCCGTGATCCATCTTATAGTTAGGATTCTTTCTGTCTACGTCGGTTGGTTGCAACCTTACTCTGTTCTGAGATGATTGCGGGCTTACCAATATCCCACCGCACATAAAAGCCTAGAGGCCTTTGGAGGCCTCTTTGTTCTAGATCATTCCAGTAACGGCAACTCTATGGCCTACTACTAACCATGGCTCGCATGATATGACAGCCGGACTACCCCATGGGGAGACCCCGCCCATGATGATGTCACCAGGAAGAAATCGATATAAGGTCGCCACGCCCCTCGTATCGCCTCCATTCCAACCAACAAACCTCTCAAACTACTATCATCCTCATTTAAATACTCATAAAAATGTTCCAAACTATCATCGGCCGCTCGAGACCTCAGATCGGCAATATAACTAACCGACTAGGCTCGGTACGTCGCTCGTTACGATAGTCGAGTCAAAGCACACTAATAAAAAAGCAGAGAGACAGCTCTTCCACAACAGGCCAGATCCCTCTTCGCTCCTTGTATGTTCAGCGCGCTGCCTGGATTACTGCAGGTGGAGGGATGGCTGCTACGCTGCAAGGGGTGTATATGATGCTGAGGTCTTTCAGGCATCTAAAGTACATCTAAAAGACTTGACTGTACGAGTTCGTTTATTGCGTCGGCAAAAGGAAAGACAGGAAGTATTATGAAGTGGAGTAAGTGGAACAAAACGAAGAATAACGTTCGAGAAGATGAAAATACGGCATGGCATTGGAAGCGTTGATCACAAATTGTTCATGATCAAGCCTAAGTATTTTTTTGTAAAGTTTCTACGTAACGGTTTCGATATAATTTCCGTTTACTTCCCAGGGTCATTAACCGCGATATTGGCCTTTCGTTCACAACGGTCATTCAGCAACTGGTGCAGATGACCATCAAAAGTAATTCCACCAAGGTATAAAATCTTAAATTAAGGATAGTGTACTGAGAAGCGAATATATACATCCAACCGCACTCTCATTCTAACAAATGCCAAAAAAGACACAATAATAACAACCAAGCCGTGAACAGCCAAGGAAAACACGGGCCATTCAAGGAGAGTCTCGAACCATCAATTCTATAGTACAGCATAAGGCGTTAACACGTTAAGCCATCTGCCCTGTTTGCCGGTGTACATGGACGCAAGGCGCAAGGAAAGAACGCTTAGTTCTTCTTTCCGGGCTTGCCAGGCTTGCCAGGCTTTCCAGGCTTCCCGCCGCCGGTGGTGCTGCCCTTGGTCTTGGTGGGCTGAGAAGCGGCGTTGGTCTTGGTGGGCTCGGCAGCCTTGGTGGTGGTGGTGGGCTGGGGAGCAGGCTGCTGCTGGGCCTTGCCGGTGTCGTACTCCCAGCCGGTGCCGAGGGGACGGTTCTTGTCGGGGACGTGGTCGGGGGTGGTGCCCTTCTTGTAGAGAGGAGTGGTGGGGATCTCGGTGGCGGTGGCAGGGTCGATCAGGTAGACGTTCTTGACCTTGCTGTTCTTCAGGAGAGCCGGCCATTCGAAGTCCCACCAGAAGTTGGTGTCCTTGTTGCTGTAAGGGTACTGGTCCCACCACTGCTCGCCCTCGGAGGTGAAGAAGTAGACGTCACCCTCGCAGCTCTCAGCCAGCGCCTGCGAAATGAGACCGCCACCGAGCCAGTCGGACTTGATCTCCTTGGGAGCGGAGCTGTCGCTGTTCATGGTGGAAGGCTTGGGGACGTTCTTGGGCAGATCCATGCGGTAGGTGTACATCTTGTTGTTGACGTCGTTGTAGGTGACTGGATCCTTGACCTTAGCGCCGATGCCGAAGACGCCGCCAGTCTTGGGCGCGTGGTCCTTGTACCATTTGCGCGCGGTGGTCTCGCCGGCCGCGGCGTTCAGGCGGTAGTAGAACAAGCAGGCCTTGTCCTTGGTGATCTTTAGCTTGTTAATCTGTTCGTTGAAGAACTTGACCGAGATCACGGGCTTCGCAGTGGGCGCACGAGCGGCGAGCGCGTTGCCATCGGGAGCAGCGATGGGGACCAGCTCGGTGGTCACCGGCACGGCGGAGGCGACGCGCAGCAGCAGGAAGATGGTGGCCAGCAGAGCTGCCACGGGGGAAACGGCGATGACGCTTCGCATTTTGGTTGGAATCGGGCCGTCGAGGCTAATTAAGTTTAAAAACTAAGTGGAGTAAAGAATGGCGATCTGTACCTGTACAGGATCAAAAAAGAATGACTGACTCAGTTAGAAAACTGGAACGAAAGACTGAATGAGAGTGAGAGTGTGGAGTGAGTGATGAGAGACTGGAGTAACAGAGCGATCATTCCCATTCTTATAGTTTCCATCCTCGAGGCAAGAATGGGCCGACTGTCAGCATGAGAAGTTTGTCGAGACTCAGAGTAAGACGGTGTGCTATTGACGGGGGCCGAATACATTGGGGGCGAGGTCTGTTTCAAAGTGAGCAGGAATGACTGTAGCTTATGCGTGATCGTCGATAGGATCAGCGTTACACGGGGGTTAGTGGTCTGGCGCTAGAACAGGAACAAGCGTAGCACAGTCTAGGACCATCTTCTACAGGGGCTACTTGATCGACAGAGCCTCTGGTGCCACTTCAAGGGTCACTGCCGCACAACTGAATACGAGTCCACAGGGAAGAGTTCCACTATCAGAACGGCCCCCAAGCGGCTGTCACCAATGCCCTCGACGCGAGCCAGGGGCGCAGCAGTCAGCACACTGTCTTTATTTTTCGGACGCTTGACAGACTTTGACATTCGCTTATGCCGTATGATGTCGAATAGGTCAGTACGCCTGAGAACCCCTGTTTCTCACATTTAATGAAAACAAGGGTTCATCTTACTGTGCGAGGAACAGGGCGCCCATCACGCCATGTGGCAGACGGGGTCGAAGAACCTGCAGGACTGCAGGAGCTAGAACGACTAGTGCGAGCGTAGAAGCTTCCAAATGAGCCGGGCTAGGTCTGAGTCGTGAAGAGTGAGTTCTATTTTGAGTTACTCAGACACAGGGAATTTGGACGAGTCTGCCCCTGACGGACCTCGGGGAACGCTCGCAGTCCGCGTAGCCCTAAGTTTTGGCCCCCAAGCCCATATGACGGCTTCAAGTCCGACCCGACCGGGTGACGGCGGCAACCAGATGTCCGGTCAGATTGTCTAACCACGAGCTGGTGAAGATTTATTGTTTTGTCAACTTTGGGGTTCATAATTACCTAAATGGGACAATGGTCATGACAAGATAGAGAACCGGGAGGTAATCGCAGTAGGACTTGCACCTAAGCGAGATTTCGTGACTTTGTGGCTGCCCGGTGAGTGGGATCGAGCTGTTCCATTCCAGACCAGTCCTCATCTCACGGTGAAAGCACAAAGTCTTCTTTTAGCTTCGCTTGCAGACAATAATGGCCCTGTTCGTCGTGGACGCGACCGGGTGCAATTTGCGACCGGGTGCCGTCGCTGTATACTACTTACCCCCGTTTCACGGCCACGGCCTTTCTCCCTTTCATAAAATTGCTATACCTGGAATACTCGCCAAAGTCACAAAGCCATTAGAATGGGTTCAATGACACCCTAGTTGCCATGTTTGCACCACCGTGTTCCGAGCGCAGTCTGCTCGGTGCCTGAGGCAGATAGGCATCGTGGCATGCAAAAAAACGAATGCCTGGTAGCCATAACAGCTATGTGCCTTGATTGTCTCTTCTTTTACGTGCCATAATTTCTCGTTTCACAATAGGACGCTGCAGGTGGTTAACAACAGAATCATATACCTTCAAAATTCCACGTTAGGTTCCTCTAGTCTCGTCGATGGATCTACATCATTTTGGTGCCTAAGGCGCAAATGCCAAGGCTCCTTTTCATAGCCCCTTGATGTATGCGCCACCATAGAAGGCCTATATTTTTTTTCTATAACTCTTTGGAGGACAGATACAATTAGTTGATTCCAGTCCTATTCCTGACATAGCTTTCTTCATACTCGGTGCTCTGTCGACCCTTGGGTGTTTGGTGTTTTCGAAACCGGTTACTATAACATTCCGTGTCATGAGTAAAAGAATATATATCCCAAACTGTTCGGGCCTCAAGAATGACCCGGAAACACTATAAACCTCTTCCCGTTTAAGACTTGGGAGGCAGAGGTTTGACCGGCCACTCGTAACTCCTCATAAAACCGCCCTGAAACTCCCATTCACCAACACAAACAACCTCGGTTCTCTCCTCGTCTCCGTCCGGAACAACCACCTCACAGACCACCCCATACGGCACAACAACCCTAATCGTGATCCTCTCCTCAACCCCGTTTACCTCCTCCGTCTCCCAAGAACAACGAACTCTTCCACACGGCGTCTCATGCTCTGCTCCCGCACTCGTAATCTCTCCCCCAATGGCCGGCCTCACGCGACATCGTCGCCACCCGGCCTCAATACTCTCCAGCCCGGCGACCCTCTCGTATAGGAACCGCGCAATCGCTCCAAATGCATAATGATTGAACGAAGTCATCTCCCCGGGGTTGATTGACCCGTCCGGTAGCATGCTATCCCAACGTTCCCAGACCGTAGTAGCGCCCATCGTAACGGGATACAACCACGACGGACACGTGCGTTCCGTCAACATTGCATACGCAACCTGCACATGGCCTGTTCGAAGCAACGCTTCGCAGAGGAACGGTGTTCCTGCGAACCCGGTGCCTATGTGGAAATTGTTCTTGCGGACTAGTTCCACGAGTCGGGATCCGGCTCGGGTGCGTTGCGCTGGCGTGAGAAGGTCGAAGTAGATGGCTAGCGTGTAGGCTGCTTGGGAGTCCGAGGCGATGCGTCCGTTCGGGGTTACGTATTCAGCTTGGAATTGTTCTCGGCTTAGTACTGCGTCCGATGAGTACATTTTGGCGTCCTCGGGTTTGTCTAGAATGGTGGCGATTCGCGAGATGAGGTCTAGACTGTGGATGAGGAATGCGTTGGATACCATCTTGGCGTCTGTCAAGCCTTTCCAAGGAGCGTCGGGAGGGGCGGCAGGGTCAAGCCAGTCCTGGATGTTGTATTAGTTCTGCATTGCTAGAAATAAGAGGGAAATACGAACACCGAGCTGAAAGATACTTGTGTCCCAGAGATGGGTGGCGCCCGCCCTGTTTCTCGGAAGTGTCTTCATCCACGTCGTCATGCTGTTATACTGCTGGAAGAGAATATGCTTGTCTCCCGTTTCTTGGTATAGAGCCCACGGTGCTAGGATGGTGACATCGTGCCAGATCGCGCACGGTTTCCGACGGCACCAAATGGGATCAGGAAGCGTGGCGTTCGGAGTCACCATTGCAGGGACTCCGTCAAGCACTTTCTGATCATGCTCCACGTCAATCAGCCAGTTGCGCAACATGCCAAAGCAGTCGAAAATGAGATTCGCCGTGGGGGCAAATAAGGCCAGGTCGCCGGACCAGCCGAGTCGCTCATCGCGCTGGGGACAATCCGTGGGCACCGACAGGAAGTTTCCTCGCATGCCCCATTGAACGTTCTGATAGAGTTGATTGAGCAGCGGATCCGAACAGGAGAATGAACCGGATGGTTTCATGTCTGTATGGCAGACCACTGCCTCTGCAGAGCTCTCGAGATCAATATCGCTGCTCCATCCGTCGATCTGCGCATACCGGAAACCGTGGAACGTAAAGCGAGGCTCGTACACCTCACCCTTCTGACCACCTTTCAAGGTATAATCGTCGACAGCTTGGCAGATCCGCAACGGTCTCGTACACAGTTCATCCTTCTCCAGCACCTCGGCATGAGAGAGCTTGATGCGATGACCTCGCGGACCCTTGATATTCTTCAGCCGGACGTACCCAACCAGATTCTGTCCAAAGTCCAGCACGACTTTTCCAGACGGTGTAATCAGCTTCTTCACCGGGCCTATCACTTCAACCCGCCGAACAGGCTCGCCATACCCTGCTGTTAGCTCAACGATATCCGGTAACGGGTCCATGCGAAGAACTGGCTCCCAATCTCCATCATTACATCCAACAGAAGACCACTTGCCAATCTCCAACCTAGCATCGTACTTCTCCCCATCATAAATCTCCGCCTTCTGAATTGGACCCTTCGTCACCCGCCACGACCCATCCGTGACCAGACGCTCGACCTGCCCGTTCTCATATACGATCTCCAACTGCGCCAACAACGCAGTATGCGGTCCCCAAATATTGCGATGTCCGCCTTCAAATCCGATGCGACCGGAAAACCACCCCTCTGCTACACGCACCCCGATACAGTTTTCTCCGCTGGACAACAACTCCGTGACGTCGTATGTCTGGTACTGCAGGCGGGCATCGTACGCTGTCCATCCCGGGGGTAGGAAGTGATCTCCAACGCGCTGGCCGTTTATCTCGGCTTCGTAGACCCCCTGCGCGGTGATGTAGAGCCTTGCATGTGCGGTGGCTGCGAAGGTCGAGAACTCTTTGCGATAGAGTTGCTCCGGATCAGCGGTTTGGGTGCCTGGTCCCCAGGGTGCAGCGATACGGTCGCATTGCCAATCTGAGCGCGATAGAAGACCAGTCTCTAGTGAGGCTGGGTCACTCCATGCTGTAGTTTGACCGGTGGAGTCCCAGGCGCGAACCCGTGCTGTGACTCTCTGACGGGATTGCAAGGGCTGAGTGTCTGGCCATGGCACGAGGCGGGAAGACGACGAATCCACACGATATGAACACTTGAAAACTGCTTTGGAGGAGAAGGGTCGTCGCAAAATCTCCAGCTCGTAACCTACCTGCTGGAAATTGGCTGGGACGTCGCGGAAACGCCAGGAGAGCCGGGGTTGGGTCTCTTGTACGCCCAGTGTGTTAAGTTCGTGGTAGTGCTCGAATTGGAGACCTGTGATTGTAGGCATGGTGCTTCTTGCCCGTCCGCAGAGTAGTAGGCCTTTCTGTGAGGAATAAATGAGAAATGGACGCTCTCGAAGAGACACAATTGATTGCTCGTGGGACAGAAGTAGGAATAGTCCGATGTCTCCGTGGGCCCGTCGGGGTACAATACCCCGATCCCTGGAGGTGAGACATCGTCGGATACAAGATTGGATACCTTCAAATGCCGACGGCAAAATAAGCAGCTCCACTATGACATAAGGCTCTCGGAGGTTCTGTCGGAGGTATTGGGAATCTGCCAGTTTTATCTAGTTTAACTCAGACTTCACTGATTGACAAATAGCTAGCTATATAACCAGTCTGAATATTCTTTGTCGAATGTGCACGTCGAATCTTTGATCCTAGAGTCTTTACATTCCACAGCCAAAATGAACGTGAATATGTTCCAAGCTGGCGACAATGTCGCCGCCACCGATCACTCAGACATCGACAAACTTCCTGTCGAGGAGCTTCCCCTACCTTCTGACTTTGTCTGGGGCGGCGCAACCGCCTCATATCAGGTTGAGGGTGCGGTAACTCAAGGTGGCCGTGGTCCATCCATCTGGGACACGTTCACGCATCTGGAGCCATCCCGAACGAACAACGAGAATGGTGATATTGCCTGCGACCACTATAACCGCGTGTCTGAAGACGTGGATCTAATGGCTTCATTCGGCGTTGACGTCTACCGGTTCTCGATCTCTTGGTCGCGCATAATTCCCCACGGAGGACGCAATGACCCTGTCAATAATGAGGGTATTGCATTCTATAACCGCCTCATTCACTCTCTTCTCGAGAAAAATATCGAGCCTGTTGTTACCTTGTATCACTGGGACGCGCCACAGGGGATCTACGACAAGTATGGCGCGTTCTTGAACACCGCCGAGTTCAAGGCCGACTTCGAACGCTACGCTCGTGTCTGTTTCTCGCACTTCGGCGACCGAGTCAAGAAGTGGATTACATTCAACGAGCCATACATTATCTCCATCTTTGGTCACCATACTGGCGTCCTGGCTCCGGGTAGAAACTCCTCGAATGGTGGAGACTCGCGCACCGAGCCCTGGATAGTAGGACACACTCTGATCGTTTCACACGCATCGGTCGTGCAGATCTACGCGTCGGAATTCCAACCCTCCCAGAATGGAACCATCTCGATCGTTCTAAACAGCCACTTCTACGAGCCTTGGGACCCCGACAGTCCGATCCATATCGACGCTGCGCAACGTCGACAGGAATTCTACATTTCGTGGTTCGCGGACCCCATCTTCCTCGCAAAGGATTATCCAGCCTGTATGCGCGAGTTTCTCGGCGACCGACTTCCCCAATTCACTGAGACCGAGCGCACCTTACTCCGTGAAACAGCCCATCTTAACACGTTTTACGGTATGAACCATTACTCCACTAAATTTGCCCGCGCGCTCCCCGATCCCCCCGCTCCCGATGATTGCACGGGTAATATCGAAGAAGGACCCACGAACTGTCGGGGCGAGGAAGCGGGTCCGGTGTCGGGGATGGCATGGCTTCGTGTAGCGCCGTATGGGTTCCGGAAACTGTTGAAGTGGGTATGGGAGAGATACCAGCTGCCGATTATTATCACCGAGAATGGATGCCCATGTCCTGGGGAGAGCGAGATGAGTAAAGAAGAGGCGCTGGATGACCAGTTCCGCGTGAGGTATTTCGGACTCTATCTGGATGCAATCTCGAGGGCTGTCTATGAGGATAGGGTACAGGTGAAGGGGTATTATGCTTGGAGCTTGATGGACAATTTTGGTAAGTTGGGCTCCTTCCTGCTGATGTGCGTTGTGGATACGAAGAGGGTGGTGCTAACTGTTGGCAGAGTGGTCGGCTGGATACGGTCCGAGGTATGGTATTGCGCATGTTGATCGGACGACCCTGGAGAGGACACCGAAGAAGTCTGCATGGTACCTGAAGAAGTCTTTCGATGAGCGGAGGGCGAAGGGGAGGAGCATTTCTTGAGAAAGCCTAGAACTAGGAGACATAGAACGGAAATAAGCTTGCAATCTCAACGTGTTTCTCTCATTAGGGGCTATTGTACGTAGTATTATCTATGAGAGGCAAATCCATGAGTGAAACCCAAAGGTTTTGCGAGCAATTACATAACCCAACTTTACCAGTTTCCAGTTCTATCTGTTCATCCGGGTTGAATGAAGCAAATCACATCTTCCCCGCGGCCAACAAACCCTGATTCTTGGTCTTCAACATCCAGAATGCAGATCGTGACTCTTTCCATTAAGAGTATAGTTTTCGAAGTGTGGCGTTTGACAATTCATCATGCTCATTGGCCAGCATGGAAATCGACCGGGATGCGGATCCTAGCGTCCTCTTAGTAGCGTCGCTGCGCTTCCATCCAACAGCCTTGATATCTCATAGATGCGGCAGTTACCACATGACATCTTTTTGCCCTCAAGCTCTCCGGCTCATCTCAATTGCTCCGGCCTTCCTCGCAATTTCGAAGGATGGGGATTGGTTATTCCCCAGGTTCCAGACCCCTCTATGCCGCCTAGTCCCTACCACGTCGTATGATATTAAGACTAGCCCGAGGACTGGATGAAGGGCCATTTGACCACAATGTTACACTCGGCTATTGCATATCCCCATGGGGAATGACGGTGATTGAGCCATTCTGTAGAACCACGAACATTTGGCAACTGGGGCTTAGTCTTGCTTGAGCCGGACCTCGGACGTAGGGTGTGGTCAGCAGGAACAAGGTGCGGGTGAATGTGCTTCCTGTGCTTGCCACAGTTTAGTTATACGCTTATATTATCTCTTTGTTTCAAAGCTTTTTGGAAGAAACCGTCGTTATATCTTGCCACATAAAGGCCTGGTCAAACTGGTGAAAACTTCTCTCGCAGTCTATAAGGTACACTGATGAATGTAGACGCACCATGGCCTCAATCTTTCTGCCATTCGGACTGTAATCGTCCGGTTTACTCCCACACTTGAAGGCTCTGGCTAAATCCCCAATCTTAGGCTAAACTCCTGCCGGTGTGCCGAGCATGCTACGTTGGCCCACATTCATCCTTTCATTGGACAAGTGGAGAATCCGGGGACCCCAGACATCAGCATTTCCTACCGGAAGTATTGTGACCTGCTATACGCAGTTACCTCGCTTCCTTTTGCCTTCCCAACACTCCGGCCTGAGCTACCCCGAAGCAAAGAAAAGACGCTATAGCAGCTAAGACGAGGTGGCGCTGCCAGAGTTTGATCAAGCCATGTCCTCGTGTTCCACCCACAGATCAAACGCCGACACGTTATTGATATACTGTCCAAAACCTACGAGGCCTGCCATAAGTCTGAATTACACATATTAATCGGTCATCATGAAGTTCAATCTCCATCCCTCCGTGAAGGCTCCGCCTGTCGAACACGTCGAGTCTGTACCCGGGGACCTCAAAGCGTCTGATGCGGAATTCGATGCGGCCGCAAAAGGCCAAGCAACTTCCGGATACGAAACTCTCGGGATAATTGAAACAATCAAGAAGTTCAAGATATGTACTGTGGTTTGTTTCGCTATGGCCTTTAGTGCCGCGACGGATGGGTATCAGATTGGGTTCGTCTGTCCACCCATTAGCTTTACACGTCATACGCCTTTAGTGGCACGAATTACTTGTTAACACATATTTCACACAGCATCAACGCCAGTATCATCGCTAACTCCGGGTTCGTGGATCGTTTCGCAACTGAGATCGGCAAAGACGGCTCTCCGGCCCTCGCGTCTCCTATCCTCAGCGGCTGGAGCTCCATCATGTCTTGCGGTCAAATCCTCGGCATGACCACTCTCGCCTTCATATCTAGTCGCTTCGGCCGCAAAGTCGCTATGTATTTATACTGGCTCATCCTCGTCGGAAGTGTCATCGCCGAATGTCTCGCCAAGTCATGGCCCGCGTGGCTAATTGCCAAATTACTTGCCGGGATGGGCGTTGGTGGCGTGCAGTCGACCGTCCCAACTTATATCTCTGAGGTAGCACCTGTTCGGATCCGTGGTGGCCTGTTGATGTGTTATAGTCTATGGTGGACGCTGGGGTCGTTCTTTGCCCAGGTGGCGTTGCAGCATCTTTCACATACCCATCCGGGCGATTACCTCACTCCAATCTATACGCAGTGGGCGCAACTTGGGCTCATGTTCATAATCTATATCTGCGTCCCAGAGTCTCCTGTCTGGTGCGTGAATGTCGGCAAGTACGAGCGCGCGAAAAGACAACTACGCACACTCTACCGCGGCGTGAACGACTATAATCTCGAGCAGCAGTTCCAGGTAATCGTGCTATCCGTTGAACACGAGAAGGCCGTTGCTGTCGAACAGCGTCGCGAGAAATGGTATAACATTTTCCGCGGCACGGACGGTGTTCGTACTGTCATCTCCCTCTGGACGAACCTCTCGCAACAATTCATCGGACTCACCCTGTTCGGTACCTTCGGGACGTATTTCTTTCAGCAAACGGGATTGGAAGATCCGTTCAAGATTAAAGTCATTACATCGTCGATACAGATTGGGACTGTCTGTGTGCTGATTCTGGTGGCTGATCGCGTGGGACGACGCATCTTGGCTTGTTCCGGAACTACTCTGTCGTGGCTTTCTTGCCTTGCGATTGGTGTTATTGGCGTTGTGAAGAGTAGCAATGCTTCGACTTATGTTTTTGTCTTGTTCGCTTGCTTTTGGAGTATGCGCCTCTCTTTCCCCCTTTCCTTCCCCTTTCCCCAACTTGATTCTGCTTGTTTAGCACCGTGACGCTAACATGACTATCTATCTAGATGTCGGATTAGCAGCGAACGGTGCCACCGGATGGGGGTACATCGGCGAGATCTCCTCCCAGCGTTTGCGACCTTACACCGCTGGGTTCGCGGCGGCAGCGACATGTGTGGTTGGCGTTGTGATGAATGTGCTCGTGCCGTACATGACGAACGAGAATAAATGGAACTGGGGACTCAAGACGGGTTGGTTCTACGTGGGTGTCGGATTCCCCTTCACTTTGGGGATGTGGTTTTTGATTCCTGAGACAAAGGGGTATGCTCTCCCTCTAGTTGACTTCTTCAGTTGCTTAAGATATTGTTGGGATTGACGTGTGCTGACTGATTTAGACGATCTGCTGCTGAGTTGGACGAGTTGTTTGAGAGGAAGGTGAAGCCGTGGCGGTTCCATAAGACGAAGACCGCTACGCAGACGCTGGTGCAGATGAATGAACTGAGGAAGTGACCGACTAGGTCTGATGGGTAGGGGCATATCGGCATATTGATATGACCTGATATCTAGGGGCGCAACGGTAGCATAATAAATTCATATCCTAATCCGTGCAGTGAGCCTTGAAGACCACACTGAAAAATAAAAGGTGTCCCAAAAATTCGTAAACGTAAATTCAAACCATTGAAGACATCAGCCAACCCTGTAAAACATCCTAGCGAGCAAACATCATTAAACAACCTCCTGATGTATACTCGACGACGCCCTCTTCTTCTCATCCACGTCCACGGTATCGACGACCTTGCTTCCCTCATAGTCAGGTCCATCAAAGATGACCGCCATCTGCTCCAGACTGTATCCTCTCGTCTCCGGGTAGTAGAGATAGGCTGTCAAACCAAACACCATCAAGACCACGATGAACACAATGTAATATTTCCAAGCAATCTTCTCAAGAGCAATGGGGTTCACGAAGGTATTAAAGAAGATGGCGCAGATGGCGGCTACCCATGTCACTGTGAGCCCTCGAGAGCGCAGGCGGAACGGCCAGATTTCGCAAGGGTATCCGGTGAGGAAGGGTGTTCTATTGAATTTGATAAGTTAGTGGCTAACTCGAGAAGTAGGTGGATTTGGTTCATCCGGGGTATACTTACAAAGCGATACAGTATCCGGCAAAGAAGGTGAAAAGGAACGGTATGACAGCGGCACCAGTGCCCTTGTGACCGGTTTCAGCGAAAGAGCCCGACAGTGCCGTGGCCAGCACGAAGCTGACGAACATGGTACCCGCGGAGGCCATGAACAGAGCGCGTCGACCTAGTCGGTCACTCAAGAAAGCACCCGTAGTGGCAAATATCAGATTCCACATTTGCATACACGCAGATATGAGGGTTTGGTCCCGGACGCTGGTGACGCCCACGGTATCAAGGATCAAGGCGAGGTAGTAGGAAACAACACCGTTACCAGCCCATTGAGAGAAGATGCCGAGTGTGATAGAAATCATCAATCGTCGGCGGTTTCCGGGTGTCTTAACCATCTCCATGTAGCTAGAGCTGCTATGGGCCTCCTGTTCACTCCGGATTGCCGCCGTGATCTCTAAGAACTCAGTCGCGACTAACGCCGACGACCGATCGCCCGCAGCGTGGTGCTCGACCAGTATGGCTTTGGCTTCCTCCTCTCGTCCAACAGATATCAACCATCGAGGGCTCTCGGGGGCGAGCAGGAATCCAGGGAGGGCGACCAGTGGCACGAGAACCTGCAGAAGAGACGGCAAACGCCATGACCACGATGAAGCGTAGGTTCGCGAAGCGAAGATAACCCACCCTGCAACCGTTCCACCAACATACCAGCCTGACATGAAGAGCGAGTTAACGATACTGCGATGGTCCGGGTAGGCAATTTCGTTAATGAGAAGAGGAACGGCGTTTCCGAACATGGCCGAGGCAACACCGACAAACAGTCGAGCCATCATGAAAGCTATATCGTTGTTTGCGGCAGTTTGGAGAGCGCAGCCGAGGGCCAGGAACAGATATCCGAGATAAACACCAGGCTTTCGACCCCAACGGTTCGCAATCCACGCCGCCGTCGGGTATCCAATTCCCGATCCTAGCCAGTAGATACCGTTCAGCCATCCCAGCCATGGACCAGTTGGAGTATCCATGAATTCATTCCATTGTTCCAAGGCTTGGAGACCGTTCATGAGAGTGCCGTCGAAGCCGTTTGCCGATGAGAACATTACCAGCGAGATGATGATGAAGTTGAGACGAAGAAGGTGCTTCTGACGATACCATGCTGGGCCTGAGGGGGTAGAAGCAGCGACATGGCTGTCTCCAGCATTTTCAACACCTTCCTTGGTTGCAGCACCCATTTTGAGATGCTGGAGAGGGTAATATAAAAAAATGAGATGGAGTGAGTCGGAATCGTGCATCCAAAGTCCAAATTTCCAGAACTAACCAGGGTGGTGTGACTGCAGGCCACTACTTATGCCCGTCATCACAGCCGACGTAATATCCCGACTCTTTACCGTAGGATCAAACAGCAGGTTAGTCCCGGGCTCTAGTTGAACAAATCGGAACAAATCAAATGATCAAGCCTTAGCATCCACCCGAATCAATGAAGCCATTGACTGTCATCCCGAGCCCCCGCGAACCCGGAAAGTCGGGGAAACGAAACAAGCCGTGGAGAATCGGGGGAAGTTGTGGGGAGAGACACGGCGGAGAAACGGAGAAAAGGAGAAAAGGAGAAACGGACATCATGACTTTGGGACTTCCTGGCCAGCGAGAGACTCCGTTGGGTCCACTCGGCACGGTGGGTCGCCGGGGTAGGTACGGAGAAGAAGTGTAGAGAACCACGAGGGGTAGATGGGAAAGAATATTTAGCAGGTCATCCTACCTGCGAGAATGGCTCGATGGTTGCCATTGCAGTCTCCAGCCGGCTTGGAAATTATCTGGAAATCATGTCGTCCGAAATTCACCCAGATTTCCAGCATATTGCCGGGGCTGACCTAGACGTGCTGCTGAAGCAGCTCACTCTAGGCGAAAAAGTCGCCCTTTTGACAGGTAACAACAAGCTTTCAACTCCATTTTCCCAAGCCTAATGCTAATTTGGATCTTGTACCGTTGTTCAGGCTCCGACTTCTGGCACACAGTCCCGATCCCGCGACTGAATATCCCTTCGATTCGACTCTCCGACGGTCCCAATGGCGTTCGGGGCACGAAATTCTTCGGCAGCGTGCCGTCGGCCTGTCTTCCGTGCGGCACAGCAATTGGCGCCACTTTCGACCGAGACCTCGCACTAAAGGTCGGTCATTTGTTGGCTGATGAGGCCAAGACCAAAGGCGCGCATGTTGTCTTAGGTCCGACTATCAACATTGCCCGGGGTCCCCTGGGTGGACGAGGATTTGAATCCTACTCGGAGGATCCCGTCCTATCAGGAATTTTGGCCGGTCATTATTGTACTGGCCTTCAGGAAAAAGGCATTGTGGCAACTTTGAAACATTTCGTATGCAATGACCTAGAGCATCAACGCATGGCCATCAATTCAATTGTTACCGATCGTGCCATGAGGGAAATCTACCTTCTTCCGTTCATGATCGCGATTGCACTAGGGAAACCCGATGCCATTATGACGGCGTATAATAAGGTGAATGGCACACATGCAGCAGAGAACCCGACGCTTTTGAGAGACATTCTCCGAGGAGAGTGGGGGTGGGAAGGATTGCTCATGAGCGACTGGTAGGAAACCAAAGCCACCCAGTTTATCTACTTGTTATCTAACACTATATCGCAGGTTCGGTACCTACAGCACCTCGGAAGCAGTCTTGGCCGGTCTTGACCTTGAGATGCCCGGTCCAACGCGCTGGCGTGGCGGTGCATTGTCACATGCGGTCACAGCCAACAAAGTGGCAATGGCCGCTCTTAATGCGCGAGTTCGGGCTGTTCTGGAATTGGTCCAGAAGGCGAGTCGCTCGGGCGTCCCGCAGAATGCACCGGAAGGGCAACTGAATCGGGCAGAAGATCGACGGCTTCTAAGACAGATCGCAGCCGAGGCGATTGTGTTGATGAAGAACGAAGATAATATCCTCCCCTTAAACAAGACGAAGCGGGTTGCAGTTATCGGTCCCAATGCGCAGGTTGCATCATACTGTGGAGGCGGCAGCGCAGCCTTGAACCCCTACGAGGCCGTTACCCCGTTTGACGGTCTTTATAGGTCCGCGGAGGGCGGCGTAGACTTTGCTCAAGGTGTCTATGGCCACCAGAATCTGCCCCTCCTCGGGAAACGGATGCGCGCCATGGATGGTCAGACAGGATTCACACTGAGGGTTTATAATGAGCCCCCAACTGTTCCCAACCGTCGTCTTCTCGAAGAGCGAGTTGAGACAGACTCGAACTTGTTCTTCATCGACTACAACCACCCCGAACTCCAGCATGTATGGTATGCCGATGCTGAGGGATATTTCAGCCCTACGGAGAGTGGCGTCTATGACTTCGGTCTCTGCGTGCAGGGAACAGGAAACCTGTACATTGACGGGGAACTCAAGATCAATAATACGGATGTACAAACCCCTGGAACGAGTTTCTTGGGCACCGGTACCGTGGAAGAGACTGTCGCAATGCAGCTCGAGGCTGGAAAATCGTATCGCATCCATATTCAGTGGGGATGCGCCCGAACGAGCACTTACAAAGTTGCGGGTGTGGTAGATTTCGGTCACGGCGGGTTCCGCTTCGGTGCCTGCAAGCAACTTGCCCCCGCAGATAGAATCGCGCAGGCTGTTCAGCTCGCAGGAGAAGTTGATCAAGTCGTTCTGGTTGCTGGATTGAGCGCTGAATGGGAGTCGGAGGGAGAAGACCGCTCCAGTATGGCGCTGCCTCCCCACACGGACGAGTTAATTTCTCGTGTCCTAGAGGCAAACCCCAACACCGTCGTTGTCATTCAGAGCGGAACGCCAGTTGAGATGCCTTGGATTCATGAGGCGAAGGCGGTTCTCCATGCATGGTATGGAGGCAACGAAACGGGCAACGGTCTGGCCGATGTGGTATTCGGCGATGTCAACCCGGTAAGCATCTTGTCCGCTATCTGGAGATAAATGGCTAACATTCACGGCCTGCAGTCCGGCAAGCTTCCTCTCACCTTCCCTCAAAAGCTCAAGCACAACCCCACATTTTTCAATTTCCGCTCTGAAGGTGGTCGCGTGCTTTATGGAGAGGACGTGTACGTCGGATACCGATACTATGATACGCTGGAGGTTGAGCCATTGTTCCCTTTCGGCCATGGCCTCTCCTATACCACGTTTGAGCTGTCAAACCTGCAACTAAAGAAAGAATCTGACAAGGATCTGACTGTGGGATGCACATTAGCAAACAAAGGCTGCCGATCGGGAGCTGAGGTGATACAGGTCTACGTTGCTCCTGTAACACCTCCCCTGAAGAGACCGCTCAAAGAACTGAAAGCATTCAGTAAAGTGACCTTAGAGGCTGGATGTTCCCAAAAAGTGGAAATCCCGCTGGATCTTGTACGAGCAACCAGCTACTGGGATGAGTACACCAACAGCTGGTGTAGCCACGGCGGGACATACAACATTATGGTGGGAACAAGCAGTCGCGGGGCCTTTCTCCAGGATTCTGTGGAGCTGGGTGAGACCTCCTTCTGGGAAGGACTTTAGAGCGCTCTAAAGCCATGTGATGTGCACAATGTACAATTTTCATAGACTTCAATCTGTATGTATTCGATCCGTGTCAACCCAGGACTGTAGATGTATCGTATTCACATTTTCGCTGCGGTCAAGACGCGCCAAGATATTGCTGGAATGCTGAAGGTATTCGGTGGCGCGTTGCGCTTCGGGGGCGTCGGGGTGAAACGGGCACGCAAGGAGACTAGCAGCGATATCACGCACCTTGTAAGCGAGATGCAAACCGTTGGCCTCCAGGTTCACCTGCGGCAAACTGTGTAACACAAAAAAAAGCTGTCGACAAAGCTCTTCTCTTTCCCGCCAGAGTGTCTGAGGATCCATGGTTGCTACCTCATGCTCCGACGCCGTCGGCTGTACTGAGTGGTACCGGGACTGCGCTGCCTCCAGTTGGTCCAGCAATAGACTCTGGACCCACAGGTGCGTGACATGCAAATTTGCTCTCATTGTCGCAAAACCCGACCGAATCCGATCAGCGTCGCTAACGGTAGGGATTTCGCCGTCCATCGGCATCCAGGGTCGTAAAAGTGGTGGTATGTCATCTAGTATAAATTTCAAGGTATGCAACTGGTCCCGTATGTATGTTATTTCGATCCCCGGATCGCGAGCTCGGCTGCAAGGACAGGGCTCATCCTTAGGGTCTTTCAGAAGAGGGTTTCGAGCAGCGGCCCAGAACACGCGAGAGTTGAGGTTTAGTCCAGCAACAAAAGAAGGGATCGAGGTGCAAGGTGTTTGGATCTTATCTTCAAATATGAACTCGTCATCAACTTCGGCGGGCATAAGATCATCGGGATTCAGCAAATGCAGCTGGTAGTGATCCAAGTACGATAATCGCTCCCCGAATATGTTCTGTAGCTGTCCATGTCTGTTTGGCACGAGTCAGAGTCCAGTTTTCCAAGAAGGCGGCAAGGCAAACCCTTACATAAAAGCGTAGAATACAAGCCAGAATCCCTTCTTTCGCAGCTGAGTCTCCACGTGGTTAAGACCAGCATACTCCGAAGCCTTATGTAGATTTAACATGCGCGCCAGCTGCATCGCCTCTGCCTGCAACATGCGAGACCAATTATGATCCCCAAGCTGCATGAAAGCAGCGCAGAACAGATAAGTGGTCGCAAACTTTTGAAAATTGATCTGCTCAAAGTGATCCGGAGTGCGAAGTCCCATGGTTTTCTGATAGCAAGCCCACACCATTTCCCTCCGCGAACAGAATGGCAACGGAGGACAATTAGAGCGGTATTCACTAAATCTGCTGGGCATTGCCGCCACGATGTTTGCCGCCATGGCAATCAAGAGGACGAGAAATCCAGGGTCTTCACAATCACGGTCCTCCTCCAAGCGGCGTTGGAAGGACGGCCGATGGACGATCGGAATGACAGGATACATGTACTCTAGGTAGTCCTGCACAATCCGCTTGAAAAGCTGACGCTCACAAACGTCGTCTGAGGGATAGGTACGCAAGGGGGTGGGTACAACATTCCCACCCTGCAGTGAATGCACGCTATGGTCGCTAACGTAATCGGACACCGAACCGCCGCGACACCGAACCGCCGGTCCCTCACCGCTCCTTATTATCAAAACATTCAATTTTCAATTATTCCATCAAAAACGAAGCTTTTCATCAATATGGAGGCTCTATCTCGAGATAGGAGGCTAGCGCTTGCTACTGAGGCCTTTGAAAAGGGCCTTTTCGCTTCTAAACAGGCCTGCGCGGCCGCTTTTGACGTCAAGATAAGCACCTTGAAAGGCCGGTTAAGAGGAGTCAAATCTTGCAGTGAAATAGAGGCAAATTGCAGGAAGTTTTCTATTAATGATGAATTTATATTGAAGTGGAAAATCCTCGATATGAACTCTCGTGGATATCCTCTTACAATTGCAAAAGTCCGCTATCTTGCAGAGGTTCTCCTTGCCGCGAAATTGAAGCCCTCCGCTTCGAATGACGTCTTTATAAGTGTTCGCTGGGTCAACCGATTCATTTCTCGCCATGAAACTGAATTAGAGTCGAAATACACAAGGCGATATGATTACTAACGTGCGAAATGCGAAGACCCCAAGACCATAAATCGTTGGTTCGATTTAGTGCGAAATACCATACAAAAATATGGGATTCTGGACCAAGATACTTATAATATGGATGAAACGGGTTTTCAAATGGGAGTAGCCGCCACCGCGAAGGTTGTATGTGGTGCAGAATCGCGAGAAAGCAATGCAAGATCAGTACAGTCAGGTAATCGCGAATGGGTCACGGCAATCATCACGATCAACGCTGCAGGCATCGTTTTACCTCCGCAAATCATTTTTGCAGGTAAAATGCAACAAGAGAGATGGTTTAAAGATATTCCAAAGAGCTACAGGATCAGTATGAGCGAGAATGGATGGACGAATGATAAACTCGGCTTTGAATGGCTTCAATTTTTCGATGATTTTACAGCTTCAAAAACGGCCGGTCAATATCGCCTTCTACTGCTTGACGGCCACGGATCTCATTCCACGCCTGAATTTGATCAATTCTGCAAAGTGAAAAACATCATTCCTTTATATATGCCGCCGCATTCTTCACACAAATTGCAACCGCTTGATGTGGGCTGTTTTTCACCGCTCAAGAAATACTATGGCCAGCAAATCAGCAAGGCTATACAGAATGGAATGGAACATATCGATAAGAGTGATTTTATTCGTCATTTTAAACGTGCATACAAAGAGGCGTTTTCTACGGACAATATAAAGAGCTCTTTCGCCGCTACAGGCCTCGTTCCATACAGTCCAAATAGAGTGCTTTCTAAATTGAAGCCTCTACGATCTTCAACATCTACTCCACCTTCAATTTTATCATCCAACCAATCCATGTATCTCGGTAAAACGCCTGTGAATCTCTATCAGCTAAATCATCAACGTGAAGAGCTTCAAGCGCTGCAAGAATCGGGATTATCATCGCTTATTGCAGATCAAGCGCTTGAGAAGGTCTATAAAGGTGCGGAAATGGCTATGCAGAACGCGGTCCTACTTCAACAAGAAATACGCCAATTTCGTGCAGTAGAGCAATATAAAAAAGACAAGAAAAAGGCTTCACGACGATATCTTCAAGCAGGAGGCACTTTGACCGGTCAAGAAGGTCAAGAAATGGCGAATAAAGCTGCGGAAGAGGCAAGAAATCGGGCTGCTCAGGGACCTTCAACACGCCGGCCACCGCGCTGCAGTAATTGCAATCAGGAAGGTCACAATCGGTTAAAATGTCCTTCCTAATTAGGAAATAGAGTACGATTAATTTTTATTACGTTTTCTGCAGTTTTGGGCGTTGAAATCGCTTCATTTTTGATTAAATCGTTGAAATCGAGCGCTTTGATGATCGCGGCAGTGGGCGGCCGGCGGTTCGGTGTCGCGGCGGTTCGGTGTCCGATTACGTTAGTGGGAGTATGCGGACCGTGTCCACTTGCTGCAAGGCTTGCTGCATGTCAGCGGAGCTCAGCTATCACAAAGGCCAATCTCACCGTTTCTTGGGGCCGCGGACCTTTGCGGGCATTAGAAAGGTGCATGGTCGATTTAAGCGCTCACAACGGCCACAACGGGCAGCGACGTTAGACTCGGTCCGAGCTAAATGGCATTTTACTTTGCGTTTCCGGCATGTATCACAGGCCTGGGTAGTAAGATCAGTCCGGAGTGGCGGGCTTTCCAGCTCCTGAGACATCTCAGCCTCGTTCGAGTCGTGCTTTGACGGCGACGATGCAAGGTTGGGAATGATTGCCTGACTGGAATCTACTTGTGCCTCCTGCAGTCTCCGGTATCTTCCGGTCACGTGCGGTCGTTTGTTGCGATGGCTGACTAATACCTGTCAACTTTGCAACCAGTACAAACAAGTCAAACACTTGCCCACTGTACAGCTTCTCTACATGATTGCTTTGTATCTTTTCCTTTCCCTTCCTCCTTGAATATCTTGTTCCCGTCTCAGGTAATTCTGGTTGTTTGCTAGTATCCCCACCCCTACGTGAGCCTCAGCTATTCAACTTTGGAAAACGTGTCGTGGTTATATATCTTTCCGCCCATGCCATCGTTGAACAGCACGAAACTAATATCCTAGGCGAACCAAATACTTCCTACAGGCAAAGCAAAGTCAACCCTACAACAAAGCCTGCAAAATGGGTCTTCCTCCACGTCCGGGCTTAGCTCGAGAGCACGCTTGCGAGTCCGGAAAAGGAAATGAAAGGAGATAAAACCGAAGAATTATTGCCACAGAATGCGGTTATTAGAGCCAGCTAAGCTAAATAGAAGGTCGTTTCCTAAACCCTTTGATTACTACTTAAAGGATGGAAGTTATATTCGGCTTGTTATAGAAGTACTTCAAGAAGATTGGTTTGATTGCAGAAAGCTACTCTAATACATCATAGGTAAGATAGTTGTCCACATGAATGCTAGGAGAAGGAGAGAATGATAACGTCGGAGAGCCCGGGGGGGTGATGCTGTTAGGAGAGTTGAATGAAGACTCGGACTGTGATAATGTCGGCCGAGCTTCTGGTACCTGTCGCTCATATAGGAAGCCTCGAGGCGACACAAAGTCCGACGGATCAATTTCCAGATGCTCTGTCTCCTCCCATTGTGTTAGGCACGTTTCCTCGCCGTTTGCTAAGCGCTGAGCATTCAGCATGACACTGTACACGATACCTTCGGAGTACGCCTCATGCCACTCATCCCCTGTGTAATAGATATCCGAGTCGCCTTCACTAGACCCAGTCTGTCTCCAGGTTCCAATCAGCGGAGGATATGGTGCCAGGCAGCGGAAATTGTCGTCTGCGCCTGTATAGTCACACATTGCTCCATACGCCACATCTACAGGTTCATTCAACGGAGCCATGGACAGATGAGCGAGAATCTTGCGTGCGCCGTCGTATGTCACTGCATATCCTGCTGTACACACTCCACCGACGGCGTCGAAAACCAGACGGGCTTGTTGCATTTGGCTATTGTCGACTAGAAATGGATGTTTGAAATCTGTGCGACGAGAAACGGGCGGTGCGGTTGGGTCGTCGGGTATGATGTAAAATAGTCGCTCGTCTTCTCGAGAATCTATTCCGCAAAATCCAAGCCACAACATATCCCAGTCGTCGCCATAAGGGGAGGGTGTCCCTGGTGGAGTGGTACGGCTTTTTCGCCCGCCACGGGCCCATCTGTCCTCTTGGACTGCTCTTGTGCCGCGAGCAAATTCAAGCATTTGAGCTTTCAGAGTTATATCCCAGTCCGCGTCGTCCTCGAGGATAAGTGCACTGCTAACTCTATCCGAGACAATTCTGCACATTGGATGGTTAGATACTGGGCTGCTTCACACATGCCGATTTAACACTTATTGTTGCAGAACGTCCATGTGGGCGCGCCAGCATCCCAACTCAACAGGCTTCTCTCGCTCTGTTTCCCACGTCTAATCACCTGAGCACTTGGTTCACAACAGGGGTTGGGCTATACTCACGGCAGGGTATGCCTTCTCTGGGATTGAGTCCAACGTAACACCCTCGACCCAGTCAAGGTCCAAACCAACGAAGGATGCACCCATGGTCATCGCGTCACGCTTATCTGTGCGGTCGCTGAACCCAATAGCAAATATCTTCTCAAACTTTTATTCGATATATTAACACGGCCCCTGTGATAAAAAAAAACAGAATACTTACGCCTAGTGTGGAATTCTGAGTGTCACCGAGTTCATCCTGGGAGTCAATCATAGATTGTTGCCGGAAAGTCTCCGGACACTCCTTCAACCATGTGAGAAGAAAAGTATGATAAAGAAGAAACCCGAGCACTGCAAGAGGAAGAGATACGATGCGTCGCATGATTTCAATGCTATGTGAACTTTGAGCCAAATCGCCCTTGAATACGGAATCTTGGTGCGGATGTGGTAAAGCTGGGGCTGATATTGTTAGGTCGGCTTTCCTGTTGAAATACCGTTGTTGGGTGAGTAGGCAGAAAAGCTACAGATGATACTTTTCTCGGCCCTAGGGGCAGGTGCGGCTGGCACATGGCTTTTCTGTCTAAACGGGGCTTTATGAATAGTTCGTTGATCCTAGGATTTCAATTACGTTGGAGATGGGGGCCATAGTCGGGCGCTAATTAGAAGTCAAATTCTAGCACGGCAATAGGCAGGGACCGTTAAGGCGATCAATCCAAGAAGCACATCATTAAAAGATACCTTTAGGATACTGTGGTTGTTTCGCCCCATGTCATCCAAACTTCAGCTTACTGTCTCAGAGTTCTCAATCTCTGACACCTGCTGACATCTAATCTAAAGCGGCCCCCAATTTCGGCTGTCCGCCCATACCCGAGTCTCTGAACTTACACCGTAGGGCGGTGCTGGATAGGTTCCGAGTTTTCGGACCCCAAAGTCGTCCGAATTCGATCAAACAACGGGGTTCCTGCACTATGTTGGCATTGTCAGACCACTACTCACTTTATTGTAAAAGGGACATCATATTGTCATCAGATATAGCTGCCGAGCGCTTTTATACTAGACGAGGCCCTTTACAAAGAGCCAAGAATATATACCTGACTCCTTGGGTACCTGATCCATCTCATCGCTTAAATGAAGTCCCTTCTATTCCGTCTGAGATCACTCCATCCGAATCGAGCTGCCGTGTTCTATGCCGGGTAAGACTATCCTTTCCCGAATTAGGGCTACATCGCCCCCGTGATTCTAACCGCACCCATACACAGGCTTTGGATGTCACTCAATGTCGTAGTGACGTTATACAACAAGCATGTTCTGACAACATTCAACTTCCCAATCATCCTCACGACATGGCACCTGGTAGTCACCTCGCTAGGTGTCAAGCTCTTGGCTATGACAACGTCATTAGGGGATGATCTAGCAGAATGCACTAGCATGCGCGATCACTTCCCGTCCATTTTACTGGTCGGACTGGCATTTTCCTTGAATCTTATCTTGAACAATGCAGCATTCACATATCTAAGCGTCGCATTTATTCAAATGTTCAAGGTACGCTCACACTCAGAGGCTCTAGCTCTCGTCCGAGTACTGATGTATCTTAGACAATAAGCCCTGTCGTTGTTTTTCTCGCCGGTTGTCTCACTGGCCTCTACTACATGCACGCCCGCGTGTCTCTAGTCGTCTGTACAATCTGCATTGGAGTCACTCTCTCCTCCTACACGGAATCTAACCCGAACCTAATCGGGATCATCATGCTCTGCGGCGCTATGGCCTTCGAGGCTGTTCGCCTGCTCCTCGTTGAGATCCTTCTCTCATCACGCAAACAAAGCCTCACCCCCTTCCTTTCTCTATACTACTTCAGCCCAGTCTGCGCAGCTTTTTGTTGTATCTTCGCTGTCCTCTGTGAGATCCATCGATTTTCGCTCACCGCAATCGTAACCACAGGATTTTGGACCTTGCTCGGAAGCGCAATTACTGGCTTCGTGTTGAACGTCTCCGCTGTCTTACTGATTAGCCAGAGCTCGGCGCTGACCTTATCCATATGCGGTGTCCCCAAAGCGATGGTGACCGTTTTTGCATCTACGGTGCTTCTACACGAGGTTGTTACTCCGATGCAGGTGGGCGGGTTTGGAATCGCCAGTCTAGGTCTATTGGCCTATGGTTTCTGTGATATTAAGAAGAAACGGGGTGATGTGGATGGGTATACGGAGTTGATTAGAGAAAAGAGCATAGAAGATAGTATAATGGAACACAGTACATAATTCTGTTGTATAGGTGTGTAGACGATGGTTTCCATGGTCTTGATTTCCGCCAGTGGGTTGGCCGAGCCACGGACAGTACAGCATTTCCAAGTTCAGAACCTTACGTTTAGAAAGTGAATTTTAAAAGCATACTATATCACTTGTGGTTTCTAATTATCGAGTACATACGACCACAGGGTGTGGAGAACAGGGCTTCCCGTCCGCTCAGCCGTACTTAAGCCACACGCCGGCCGGTTAGTAGTTGGGTGGGTGACCACCAGCGAATCCCGGCTGTTGTATGTTTTTGCTTTTAACTTTGATTGAGTCTTTTTCTTTTTTTATTGTGCAGGACGGACAGCTTTCCCGTTGGAAATGCCTATCTTATCCTACAATACTGTCGTGATCAATAAAAGAACGTCTGTCGTTTAATTTCTAGATGGTCAATTCGGCCTTCATACGGTGCTCTTGGTCCAAACCTGAAGTCGTAGTGTTACGGCGGCGAGGGGCTCGGGCATCTATTGACCGTCGACGGTAACGAACAAGTTGATCAATTAGCTAAATGTTGTTATCTTGAATGGTGGACTGGGAATAGTGGCAAGCTGCTAGTGGTTCTTTGTGTGAACGTCTTTTACTTGCCAACGCTGGGTTGTCTACATCCAGTTTCTAGAAGTGCGGCAAATGGCTTTCAATCTCGTTATGGACCTAATCATATGGGATCATGCCGATGGCCTGCTGAGTGGCCTTGTTGATGACGGGAGGGCCATAAGGAGGAAGGATATTCCAGTCTGCCATTTGCTCCTCCTTCAAAACGAAGTCGGTGGGGTCGTGTGACTGTCTCGGTCTTAGCATTATTCATATGGAATCGGCATAAATACTTACCGTCATATAGCCTATCTTGAAACCATCCACTTTGTGCTGCCTTTGTTCCTCGGTCAAGAGCTCGTTCGGCTTCTAGCAAGTGTCTGGTCATAGTAAGTCAATCGTCACTACGCACAATGGGGCGTACAGAGACTTACAAACAGCCATGCGCTTGTTGTTTCCGAGGGGAGCAGCGCCGTAGTGAACGGCCGGTGAGTCCCACAAAACAAAGTCGCCGGGTTCCATGCTGAGTTTTACCCACTCACAGCCTCGGTCATGGAACCATTCGAGGTCCTTGTCGGTCCATTTCAAAGGTTCCGTTTTAATCCAGCCACCCTCAGGCTAAGCTTATCAGTATTGGTTTGTTGGAGTACGTGAAGGCTACGGGCTCTCACCGGTTGATGCTCCTCGAGATACTGCTCAAAATAGGGAAGCAGTTCCGCTCATCACCGCGAGGCCACCATCTTCAGGGCCATTTGGAAGCTAACACACCATGCCAGAGAAAGGTAAAGGCGCCTAGAAAGTATCCGTAAAGACGTACTAGGTTTAGGAGACCTTGATAGTAGTGAGGCCAATATCGGTAAGGCTCTTCTTCGTAAGTGATTTCAATCATAGCTAATAAAACACAACGTCAGCAATTTACGCAGTCGGGAAGGCTCATCATTGTAGCAATGACTCTAGCTTTTCTTTACGTCCCAGTGGGTCCTGTCACTGAACGTAATGCGATCTATCTCTTGGGCCAGCGAGCTGCGTTACGTCAAATCAGTTCGACTTCTAATTTCCAGAAGTAACGACGAGGCCCACCCCCTTGAACATCCGAAGAAGTGCTCTGGTCGTGGACAGATGACATTGGCAAACAAGCCCTTGAACTCGACGGGTTGGTAACGGAGGAAATTGCGCTACCTGGGGAGAAGCGGGTAATTGGAAAGGCAAATCGAATTTTAGAACTCTAATCTAAGCACAAATACCAACGTACAAGAGGGTACACATTCTCTCGAAGAATCTCTTCCTTAAATAGATTTTGACTGTGACCTTGAAAAACCAGATCAGGAGGAATGAACACGTTCGGGAGTTGGTCGCCGCATTCAAACGGTCCAGGGTTCAAAGGCACTAAACGAGTCGCTTCAATCCATTGTCAGTATCATTTGGTCTAGGCAAGTGGGGGGCTAGCGACTGGGCGTTTGTGGATAGCCAGTGCAATGTAGCTGGATGCGCCTTCCACGCCTTCGCTTCCTTCCTGGAGCAGACCGAGGATGCGAATGAGGGTGAGCTTCCCCAACGCGGCGCACCAATTCAGGGCTGCTGAGAGGGACGTGTACAGCTGACCGCAGAGCTCCCGCGCGTAAAGAGGAGTGTCTTGGGATTGGAGAAGCTTCAGATGCTTCTCCGCCGCAGCATCTTTGGCTGCTAGAAGACACACAACATGCACTAGGGGCACGGTAATAGTACCTTTGGACAGCGACTGCCAGCACTGCTCTTCATTTAGCAGCGGAATTTTTGGGTGCATATTTGCAAATTAGATTATTGACAGTGCCTTGATGGTTTCTCCGGAGAGCATATCCGATCCCGGTGGCAGGAACCGACTCAGTCTTCCTGCGGAAGAGAGATGCGGTCTCGAATAAAAGCACACATCTAATCCATTCGCTGTGGGCCATATTTGCTGCAGGGATGTTGCTGGACCCAGACCCCTACTTCCCCGGGTGCCACATGGTGTTGGTGGCCTTCTATGCGGAGCGGCTTTACAGAAGACGGGGTGGGGGGAGGTGGGGAGCGGGAAATCCCATGCGGTCATCCGGCGGTGTCAGGTGCCAAGATTTCGCGTTTTATCGGGAGATAAAGTCAGCGAGCTTCTCTGACACCGGCTTAACCGGCTTCCAGTTTAGCTCTACACCCCTAGAGTAGGGCCCTTTTCTTCACACAGGAGATCGGGGTTTCATTCCCCACAACGGAATTCTATTTTTGTTTTTGCTTCATCTTCCGAGTCCTGCACCACAGACGACCTGTGTCTTGAGTTTAACCCCAGTCCTCCATGGAGAAGACGTTTTATTTTATAGATGGCATTCAGCCTGATAAAACATCCAAAAAACTGATGCGCCGTCATGTCATGAAGGGCAAAAACTCTGGGAAAACGATCCATCGACCGTCCAGATTGCATCAGTCCCACACTTCAAGACATCTGGATCTTGATCGCAGGCCCTATGCTGTCCAAGGAATGGTTGCTCCAAGTACAGTCGACAAGAAGTTCGGGGATACGATTCTCACGGGCTCCCTTGCTGCGGTGGAAGTTAACCCATGTTCCCTCAGAATCATCAACCAATGTAAGGGATACATCCGCTCGAATTGATTCCATGAGAGTTGACAATCATTCACAGTCTTCCATTTAACCTCCGAACGACTATACCCAACGACCATTGGTTTTTCCTTATGTGAAGCCAAGCTGGTGTGGCTGCGGCTGCTCTTTACAGATGAGGCTGGTGAGTTGAGAGGAACCTCTACACCGGTATAGAACATACTATTTTGACCGAATCTCAGCATATCATTGCAACGTCAGTCTGATGCAGGCATGCAACGAACTATATCTAGGGAATGGTCGCAACACAATACAAGCATTATACCATTTATCCCAGACATTCGTCCAGATCCGGAGGCGACTCGAAAGCCGCGATGCTCTCTCTGACTCTACCATGGGCCTCATTATATCTCTTATCACCCAGGAACAAATTCGTGGCCAGGGCCACGCGGCCGAGGTGCACGCCAAGGGACTACAAAGGATGGTGGAGTTGCGGGGAGGTCTCAATCAACTCAGCGGGAATCTCACTCTCGTCTTGAGAGTCTGCAAGTAAGTAGTTTATTACGGAGTCGCGGATCTCTTGACTAATTTCTTGGTGAAGAGCGGACATATTGCTTTCTTTACAGTCTGGAAAGCCGACAATGTTCTTCCGAGACGGTATGGCTGAAATATGGAAGAAACTGGCCTCGGGTGGGCATCGTCTCAACCACGCTCGTGTCGTACCCTGCAGTGATTTAAATCCATATCTTCGTGACATACTTTCAGATATCCTGAAGATATGCTGCCTACTGAATAGCAGTCCACGTCAGCCTATCTTGGATCTCCTTGGTTTTGAAGAGATCTTCGTCTCCGTTTGCTATAGTCTTCTACGATTCACTCCAATAAAAGACTCAACAGGCCGAATCGACTCACAAGAAGCGTGCCAACTTGGTTTGCTCATGTTTGTCCTGACTTCGTTTTTCCAACTGGGCCGGAACCGGATTATAGAGTTCGAGGCCCTATCTCTGCGATTCCATGCTTTCCTCAATGACCCGTGCCAGATTGAGACTGACCTCAGTCTTTGGCTCTTGGCACTTGGTGGTATTTGGTCGTCGGGGGGCATGGAAAGTGAGGTTATTGCTTCGAAGATGCGAATATTCACTCAACAGAGAGGGATCGATAGTTGGAGCAAATTTCAGGAACGTCTTGTCAAATTTCCATGGATACATGCAGTACATGACCGGCCTGCACACCAACTATGGGCTAGAATACAAGATGGCCACTTGATTTCAGAATAATGATGGCAAAGATAGCAACACCTGACTTTCCAATACATCATACATAGCACGTGCAGTGAACTTATCACCATGCAAAGTTCTGTCCAACCAACTTTTCCGAAACCTCCCAGAGCTTCTCCGCCTCTGTAGTGGACACAGCAAGGGGATGAGCTCTATCACTGATTTGACAATTGTCCAGATAAGATCCCCAATTTTCACTGTCGGCTTTTCTTTTTCTGAGACACTGCGCTAATTTGGGGTCCAGCGCAGCAACCAAACTCGTGGATGCCCCTGCGCCAAGTGATCTCGGCTTGAAAACGCCTTTCCTCAGCTCCGCGAACGTCTTTTGGTCTTCCGCTGACATATTCCTGCCCAGCTCTGTTTCAATGACCCCAGGGTGTACGGCCAGAGCCAAAATCCCATACTTGTCAAATAACCGATTATTCGCGGCGATGCCAACGAGCACATTGGCAACCTTGCTGCGGTTATAGCCATCTAGAGGAATATAGGATGCTTCTTCGATGTCGGAGCATCCACACATCGCAAACCACCCGTAATCGGGCTGTTCCTCTACAGGGAGATCTTTGTTCCTCTTGTCGAAGTTGATGTCACTTCAGCGCATGCCGGAGACCTGGGGCGAGGCTGAGCTTACATTGACGATTCGCGTGACGCCCCTGGGGCTGCATTCGGCAGCTTTGATCAACTTGGGCATGATCAGGCAGGCGAGGAGCCAATGTCCGAGGTGATTTGTCGCAAAGTGCAGCTCGATGCCGTCTTCGCTCAGCGTGCGTTCTTGAATGCCCATTATCCCGGCACTATTGACAACGATATCGATCATGGGTACATCAGACCAACCCATGACCTCGGCAGCTGCGTTTCGGACAGATTGTTGACTGGAAAGGTCCACATGGAGTGCACGATAGTTTACGTCAGGAAATTCAGTTCGAAGTGCATCCATGGACTCCTGAATTTTGAGGGGGTCGCGACCGGTAATAATGAGAAGGGACGGCGATTGGGAGGCCTGGCAATCAGTCTCACGAGGCATTCCGCGCTTCAGGACGACTTACAAAGGCATGAGAAGTCGACCATCCGATACCACCACGATTGACACCAGTGACTAAGATCGTCTTGCCACAGATTTCACCGTCAAACGCCTCTGCGACCTCCAGGGCTTCGGTATTCTCGTTGAATTCGGGATGAGTCGTTGTAGCCATTTTGCGTTGCAGTGTCTAGGGAATGGAGAGACAAGATCCGAGTTTGGAGGATTAAATGCGAAAATCCCGCCTGCAACAAGGGAACTGACTTATTTGTTAAGGGCGAGGGAAATATATATGGTCTTTCTGAGACATGTCCACGCCGCGTGATGACGCATACTGCTTATACTGATTGTTGGAATGCCCGACCGAAGCCAATAAGAGACTTACTGCCTCTTTCGGTTAGCGATACCCAGATAGTACAGCGGCCAATGGGAGATTTAGTGCCTGATTAGGTTAGTGTGGTCTATACTTCGCTTTCAGTCATCGTGATGGACCACCAGTCCAAGTAAATGCTCCTGTAAGTGATATCCAAGCCAGGCTAATTAAACTCCTAATAGTCGACGGCTAATACGGCAGTGTTCTTAAAGTATCAGTTCTTTCGGAGAATTTCACTCCCCCCAAACACGACCGTCCCATCCGATTGATGCCGTACATCGGCAATAGAAGGTGGGGTGGCCTGATTTGCGACCTAATCTTGACGTTGCAACTGGTTTTATTGATTTTGGATTATACTAAATACTGGAAGAAGTCATACTGGTGAGTGCCTTATTCGGGTTATCTGATGTTATGCAAATACGCGTCCTTAATTGCTTGTTTTAATATATATTGGTTGAGTAGCCCGGAGCACAAAAGGACAAAAGTAAGATAATATGAGTGCTGTACTTATGATATTGTACTTATCTTTCCTGTTTGGATTTTATTTCCATATTAAAATATAAATTCTAGTAGTCTAGGTACAGAATATTCAGAAAACTGAAGACTTCATCTAAAACCACTAGAGCGTCGCGTCAAAGCGGCACGCCCACTGGGGCTAGGATGGGTGGTTACCGACATATACAGGCTATTATATGTTTCAATTTTTTGACGTTTATTTTGTTTTCATATCAAACGTCGAAATGAGGTTGAATGAACTATACGGCATTCAGCACTAATCTAGCTGTTCAGCCGTAGGCGTTAATGACATATGTTGGATATTAGGGCCGATCGCACCCTCTATAATTTATTGACACGTTTGCGAAGGGCCCAGAACAGTCGTCTGAGCATGCTTCCTCATTCCAGAGATAAACTGTGTTATGGGCTGCAGATCAGTGACCCGATCAGAAGCACTATCCCGTCTCAGAAAAACGCGAGCTGTGGCATTTTCAGCCAGGGCCAGGAGGTGCAGATCGCGCCTGGCTCCATGATCATGAGGGTTCTGCAGCAGATTGCAGAAGATAGTTATGCATGCGGACATTGGGTAAAAGAGGAGGGTCCTAGAGATGATTGTCAGAAAGCAGAAAGGGGGCCAAAACGGGGTTTTGAGGATTGGTGTACCAGAAACTTGAACCACTGACTTGGGATTCGGAGTCGTCTAGACAGAGGAGTAGGGAACGGCTTGCCTCGACAGAGAGCGTGAGGCTGGATTGGAGTCCATCTACCATTCCTCGCTCCTGTGGGGAAGTCGAGCGCCAGGCACTGCAACGACTGCTCGCGAGATGAATGAGGTTAACGCAACAATAATAATTCATATGTGTAAGCACCATATATGTGTTTTTCGGCTTGGTCTGTCTAGGTGCAAACGATAGCTGCGGACGAAGGCTTTCTGGTAGGGATACTCTCCAACACTCCAGCTCTTCGTCCACTTCGCGTATTGAGCGGAGGAGGTCGACATCCGACTTTTGGAAAGCTTTATAAGAGTAGAGGGCTGTAAATGTTCTTGATTTGATTATGCTGAGACGGAGGTCGGATGGGAAGACAGGGCCGTTAATCTTGCCATCCGTGGTTTCGAGAGAGTCATCTAGACATGATTGGACGTTCTCTCTGTACGCTGGAGGAATATCAATAATACAATCATCGTCCCGGAGACAATGCGGTTGTCCGGTGCGTAAGGCCAAATCTTTGTCGAGTGTGTAGCAAAACCAGAATAGCCTGCGGAGATGTTGTTTGAGAGTTGACGGTACGTTACTGTTGCAATCCACATCATCGGATAGTATGTGAGCCCCGGACGCCATTAACAGGCGCGAGGCAATAGACGTATATTGAATGGCTGTTTGTACTTCGCCTGCGAGAATACTAAGGAGCGCCTAGGATCAAACCAGGAAGCCGTTAGTCAGGTACAAGGCCAAGGCTAGCGACGGGGCTAGACAAAGGGCGGCGTACCAGGGAAATAGCAGTCTGCAACGCATCCAGGTTGAGGGGTGCCTGGATGATAGCCGGAAGAAGCTTACTCGCGTGTGTAATATAGGCATCACGCTGTATAGAAGGAAGTTGAGCACCGCTAGAGCTTGAATCGAGATGATTCAGGGCGGAAACTACAGCCATGAAGCTGAGTATGCACGCTCGAGCGCTATAACACCGGTTTTGTGGCGAATTTTCATGAGAATAGGCCGCTCGAACGGTTTGAGAAAAGAGTGGGGGGTCAATGACGGGAAAGATTCGGTGCATAGGAGAGCACATGTACACGTCGAGGAAGTCCTTCAACAGCGACCTTGTTGGCAACTCCGGTGCGGGCTCGCTCTCTCCCTGTATTGACGGACGTGGCTTTTCCCAGGGTACTGGTTGCGAGAATGGGAAAGGAACCAGGAGCCCAGTTCGAGACTGAATCCATTGAAGACCCTCGGGCAACAGATTTGGCACTCCCGCCTGAAGATTTCCAATCTCCCACCCGGCAAAGTGAATGATCCTTGGTGACAGTTCCAGTGGAGTAGATTTAGGGCCTTCTCCAGTTTCCCTGGCTTTGGAGTTGGTAAGTGAGCTGAACATGCAAGGTTCGGGGAAGACCGACCGTTAGCGATAGCATTTTCCTTGCGCTCGTCTATATGTCTTATGCGTTCCACTAAGCCCATCCTCTTTACTGTTTTACACTTCCGCCTCCGCGGGCCTGCCCTGACATATGTACAGTCTAACTGTTGGTGGAGACACCAATTACATGGACGTCCGCTGTCGCATTTGATCTAAGAGGCTTAGAATTGAGGTCCCGGGGAGTGAATGAGAGGCGTCTTACCTTCCGACGATAACACACATCGCAGGCCGTGAACTTGGGAGTAGAATGCGACATGCTGGAAGCAAAGTGGTGGACAGTACAGTGTTAGAGAGAGGTTGCCTGAGCCTCCCCTCAAGGTCGACACGTACGGTCATTGCCGTTCCGAACCTCCGCTTAGCTAATAGTTGTCCGTTGATCCACTTCTACTGGTTACAAGAATAGAGTCATGCTTTTTGCTCATTTGAAAACATTTGAGGCTATAATGAGATTTTCAACGCGAAAATTGTAGATAATTGTAGCCTACTGAAGCTTTGGAAGAAGACAGTAGGGCTTTTAAATGGCGAGAGAAAGAAGGGCGAGTTTGGCTGAACATATATTTTAATCTTGCCCAGGAATCTAGACAGACTTAGTAGGTAACTATGTTTCTCCAGGAGTAACCATCTACCAGAGGAAATGTAAAAAAGTGGAATAGCTACTAGGCGGAAGATTTGGGCCTTGATCATGACAACACTACTACCAGGGAAAGCACGAATACTAAGGAATTTTAGCACCTAAGCACTCTAACAGCTCAAATCCGATAATATGATTGCTGTCGATATAAGAATTGTTGATTAGGTCCATCTAAGTTTGAAAGTCGTGAAAGCACTGCGCAGACCAGCCCCCTACAGCGCTATCGCGATCAAAGAAAAAGCGTATCGCTCCAATTTGACGTATTGAATTTACGCCGAAGCAATTCAACTGAACATTTTCTATACCCTCTAACTCCGCCCTGTCTATCTATGCACTTGCAACGAGATCCGCTGCCTCCGTCACCGGATCCGATGGCCAAGTGAAGGCGAACATGTCCTTGGGTAGTTCTGCGTTGGGAACATACCGGCGGAGCTCATCCAGCATTTCCGCCCTTCGCTCGTCGTTGGTTCTCGACATCATCATGACTGTGACCGAATGCGAGTACCGAAGTCTGTTGTAGAACTCGAGACGATGCGACAACTTGTCTGGAGTCGTGTCCGCCGTCAAAACCCCAGCGAGAGCAGCCGCGTCTTCAAATGCTTGCGCGGCGCCTTGGCCCTGGTGAGGAAGCATGGGATGAGCTGCATCACCGATCAAAGCAAGCTTGCCCTTAACAAACGTAGGCGGGGGGTCCCGAGACGCCAGACTCCAAAGCTTGACATCCTCAGCCATCCTGCACATCTCCAGCAGGTCCTCGCCGAAACCACGAAACGTGTAGATCAACTGACTCACGCTACCAGCATTATGCCAAGAAGCATCCGTCCCAGCGTCTTCCTCTAGACCAGGCGGATAGATGCCGGCGCAGTTGAGCAACTGCCCTTGGCGACAGGGGTAGACAACGAGACGGCGGTCTTCTGTTGAGAAGACGTGGACGCCGTTAAGGCCGATCTTCTCAAGTAGCCTGGAGGTGAGTGGAGTACTTTGCATCTTTTCAATGGGCACCAAGAATCGGAAGCAGCTTTGGCCAGTTTGTACGATGCCCCTGTCTTCCCCCATAATCGCACGTACGGAACGGGACTGTTCATGTTGGTTAGGATCTCTCTCGGGTATCCATGGAGGATTACCTACGTGAACCCCATCGGCACCGACGATTAGATCGGCCACATATTTCGTTCCATCTTCGAGCACAACCTCTCCCTTCTCCGTATTCTTTTCATCCACTCGGTTAGCCGCCATTGCAGTCGATGGACAGATGTCTACTCACCACAGACAAGACCCGCGAGGACAGTCGTATGTCAATCTTGCGGCCGTCGACAATCTGCGCTGCAGTAGCACGCAGAGCACTGTGCAGGTCCACTCGATGGGTCAGGACCCATTCATCGGACACATTCAAAGCCTTGCGATGCTCTTCTGTGACCTAATAACGTTAGAGTATGACTTCTGCGGTTGGATTGGCTGGCAACCCTACAATCGGAGTTCGTAGGAGGTTCCCATTCCCATCCCAAACCTGTAGCTTCTCGCAGTGAACGGGATGCAGCCAGTCCAGGTTGCAACCCCAACCTTTCAAGATGCGAGTCGCATTCGGGGCCACATGAATGGCAGCACCGACCTCGTTAAGGAAAGCAGACTTTTCAATGACCTTTGATCTGTTCCATTAGATGATGACCGTACCAAATATAACAGAAATACTGACCGTGACATTGTGTCCTTGAATGTTTAATGCTATGGCAGCACCCAAACCACCAAGGCCTGCGCCAACAACTGTAACATTCAGGGGCATTTCAGTTTGCGTACTCGCCAACGGGCAGGGCAATGCAAGGTAAGAATCAATAGGAAGAGCTTTTCATCCCAAGCAGACACCGGGCGGCTTTATCACTTCCCAGAAGTGGATCTTCTAGTACGGGACTCATACGGTTATGTCGGACGCTATAAGTGCATATTGATCCCTTAATAAAATGGCGGACCCACTAACAAATGGCCTTATCTGGGAAACTTGCTAGAACAGCGTACTGCTGGAACATAACGACTCTCAGCGCAGAAAAGCTTCCGCCGACACTAGACGGTCCAGGTATGCGTTAGAGTAAACAAGTAAATAGCGAACACCAGTGCCCAGATGGCTAAAGGACAGAACTATCCGACATACTTGGTAGGCTCAATAGATTTGCAGCGTGTGCCAAAAATTGATTGCTTCCGCTTACCTCATCGGACCCTGTGGGGGCAGGCACAGCTTCCGTGGCGCAGATCATTCCTACATTTGATAGTTGTACAATCCAGATCTGCAAGACCCAAACGTGGTCTGGGCGAGGCCCGGAGTTAGGACAATTGTACAGACGGTTTGTGCGAAGTCCGAGGGTGACTCCTACGCATACCTATAAATTCACTCCAACAAACGTTAAACTGTCCTAGGTAGACCCGTCTCTTTTTTCTCACCACAGCTGGGAACCATGCCTCTCAAACCGTTCTTCGTTGCCATAATTGGCGCAGCGGTTTCTCTACAGCTGCTCATCTTTGCCAACATGAGCTACCTTTATGGCTCTGCTTATCATGATGGTTCGCGATACAGCTCAATGAATGTGCTCTATGTTGACTACGATCAAGCTGTGATCGGCGAGTCTGTCACTACAGCCTACAACGCGATGAAAGGCCCTTCAGTCCCTACTGTTATTCAACATTCTCCGCAACAGTATCCGACACCACGAGATATTCAACAAGCCATCTGCCGTGGTGACTATTGGGGAGCCATCTATTCTACGGCGAACGCATCCACACAACTATCAGCTGCGCTTTCTTCACCGCAAGCCGCACAAGAATACGACAGCTTCCATGCACTAAGATACACATGGAGCAGCGCTCGTTATCCTGCCTACGCGCAGGGCGTGTACTCAAGCTTGGTACAGATCACCGAAGCCGCAGCAGCGGTATACAAGCAGACAAACGGCACGGAAGTCCTTCCCTCGATCAACACCTCCGATCCCTCCATAGCGCAAACAATCCTCGACCCGATCTCCGTCGCCTCAACGGACCTCCACCCAATGCCTCAAGGTGTACGCTTCTACTACAACACCGTGTCCATGGTCATGCCTATCATCATCCAATTCTTCTTCATTATGGCGCTCACTGGTATCACCATGCAGAACAATCTCTTCAGCACCCTTTCACCCAAGCAAAACACCCTTCTCCGCTTTCTCATCTCCATAATATACACATTCATCGCATCACTCGTCATGACAGGCTACATCTGGGCTTTTCGCGAAGACTGGAACGTTACGGCCAATCAGTATGCCCTAACATGGATGGCAATCTGGCTCACCATGCACGTTCATTTCCTGATCATCGACTTTGTAACAGCGATAGTCCCTATGCCTTTCGTCCCTTACTTCATATTGACCTGGATTATTGTCAACGTGACAAGTACGATTGGGCCGTTCGAACAGTCTCCTGGTTTCTATCGGCTTGGGTACGTCTTTCCAGCACATGAGCTGTATGAGGTTTTGATGGATATCTGGACTCAGGGTTGTAACCCGCATTTGTATCGCGCGCTGCCGATTCTATTTGCAGAGTGGGTGCTTGGGATTGGTCTGTTTGTTGTCGGGATGGGGAAGAGGATGAGGGTTAGCTTTAGGGTGATCTTTGGGATCCGGGCCGTAGGGAGTCAGAGTCTTCGGAGTAGCACGGCTGAACGAAAGGTATAAGGCGTGTGGTATGTATGTATATCCTGGCGAGAAATAGCTTCGTCCCAGAGACTGTTGTTCTGTTTGATGTGTTTGTAAACGCATGGGTTCTCCTTACTGGGCGTCCAGAAATTACTACACAATTAATTATGTTTCTTTTGCATTCAGAACCTTTGTCTTCTCAAGATTCTTTCCCTCGCGTTCTATCTGCCTAGGTAGCGGTGCGAAAGGATAGTGATCAGGAACACAACCTACTGATTGTTTGCTTCTAGATTATGCTGGCTGGTCAGAAAAAAGCTCCCACGAAGCTACGAAATGTTTCAATTGCCAGGAGCCTACGAAAGGAGCTAGAACAGACATCCAGTGCATTCAAATGTACTTCACTCGCAATAATAAATAATCAAATGCTATTCGATAATTATAGACATCACAATGCTTCTTGCTCCTGCTGTTTGGACTGGGAGAAGTCATCCAAGGGCTTCAGGTTTGACTTGGCAGGACCCTGAACGCAAACACCATCGCAGCTAAACCGACTTCCGTGAACCGGACAATCCCAGCTCTTCTCTGCGGAGTTCCAACTGAGCACCGCCTTCATATGAGGGCAAATCGCACTGAAGCGGTGCACTTGCCCTTCGTCATCCTTGTACACGGCCGCCGGTGCTGCCGTATCAGCCTTGTTGAGAACACCACCACTGCCCACCGCGAGATCCTCGATATCTTTGATGTCCGTCTGCAAATACCGCTTGTATTGAGTATTGATCTGCAGGTCATGCTCAAGCATAGCTGCGGCCGACTTCACGATACTCGTGAGTCGTTTTGGGTTGTAGAGGCTTGCCCATTTGTTCTCGCGTCCTTCAATTTCGTCTGCAATCAATTTGCCGGCTAATATACCGTGTGTCAATCCGTTGCCGCTATCCCCGGTAACGACATAGCTATGGTTCATTCCTTGGTTCTTTCCGATAAACGCCATGTAGTCCACTGGCTCGAAGATCTGTCCGCTCCATTTGTAGTCAACGGAACCGGCTCTGGTGAACCGGTCGCGCACCCATGTTTCTAGCTCCTGGAAGCGACCTTCCACTTGATCTTGACCTACTTTGTGGTCGCACCCTCCAATCACCAGATAGTCGTCATTCTTGTCACAGTTGGTAAAGCGGATGTACTTGTACGGGTCGGCCTGGTCGTAAATAAGGCAGTCCTCGATATAGTCCTTGGGCACTCGAATGGCGATACAGTATGTTCGCATGTATTCCAATTCCGTAACAATGCTTAGCTTCTGAATTGGAATACAGGTGGCCTCTACCACATCACTTGCAGTAATTGTATGGCCATTAGTTGTGCGAACCTGAACATGGTCTTTCTCATCGATAGTCGCCATTCGCGTGTGCGTGAAACATTGGAAGTTCGGATGCTTCTTTAGCCACTCAAGCATACCAACCATATACTTAGTCGGATGGAAGGTCGCTTGACCGATGAACAAGGCTCCGTCCCGCTGATCAATCTCGCCGTCCCATCCGTGGACAGCAAGGCCCTCGCGGAAAGAAACGCTTACGCCGGCTTTCGTAGCAGCGTCGACTTCATCTCGAAGCATGCCCACTTCCCGGTCGTGCTTGGGATCCCCACGAGGGTACTGAGAGATCTCGATTGCAGGCAAATACCGAAACTCACAATTAAGTTTCAGTTTGTTGACAATGTCTGCCGCCCGATCAATAGCCCAGGTGTGACTATCGGCTGCGACGGTCGCTTTATCGGCTCCGTGTTTCTTCGCAATCGCACTGTAGCCATCGTCCAAGGCGTTGGAAAGATGGCCGCTAGTTCGTCCACTTTCACCAGACAGCACGTTGCGCGCCTCAATCATCGTCACTCTCTTGCCGCGGGTGATGAGCTCGTAGGCAGTCGAAATACCTGCTATGCCGGAACCGACGACGCATACGTCTGTTGAGACGTCCTGCGATAAAGGTTCGAAGCGAGGGTATTTAGAGAATGGCATGTCATGCACCCACACCGGGGCCGTCTCCCCGGAGGTGTTCATCCATTCGTTCGCGTGAGCGATAGTAGCCATTGGGCGGATGAGGGTTGTTCGGTAGCTGCGATGTGACTTCAGTATTGCAGCAACAGTCAAACGAGTCTGGAACTTTGGAAATCGACTACAGCTTTGCGCGAACATTTTTAGGAAATCCAAACAAAGAATCAGCTGTACGACATGCTTTACCACGCTTTTTATCCAGCGGTTTTCCTCCCATCATAGTGACGTGCACTCGTATTACACAACTTGGTTCAGCTGTAATTTAACCCCATTGGGGATTCAGTTTTCTGGCCCTGGGATCATTAAAGTATGTTTTCATTGAGCAATATTGCATGAGTCGATAGGTTGCTGCTGGGACAAAGTCAGGGAAACATTGGTTTATTGACGTCTTCGGAATAGGGCTGTAACGTGGGCGTCGCCAGCGCGGTACGACGTGCGACCAGCCAGGCTAGTGTCTTACATATCCATGGATGCCTTCCTATACGGAATAATACCTTGGGCAGGTAACATACCATGAATGAAAAAATATATGTTACCAAAGCGAAGCTTAGTTCCAGGCTCTGGCCTTCGGTCACGGTGACGTCAGAGCAGACTCTCCAATAGCCGTCAGTATAATTCTCCAAAATTATCTAGCTCTGACGTAGCATGTTGCAGTCTATCTAGTAGTGTAATAGAACGCTCATTCGGGTAACTGGGGTGATCTTGGACGGATGGTAGATCCTTGAGATAACGCGCTGATCATCATATTGTGGGGAGGAATGTTCTGTTGTTGATAGCAGCCAAGACTGATATCTTGAATTAGTTATTCATCAGACAGGAAGGAGCTATCATTTTGGATAAAGAAATCCGAGCAAATTGAATATCGAATGTAGTTAGAGGAATACTCAATAATGACGTATGCATACATCCGAAATTTCTTTGGCCGTGGCCTGATGATATTACACCATAAATAGGCCGATACTCCTCGTGCGGCCGGCATAAGGCACTCGCTAATATTCTACACGATTTCTTTTATATCCCTCAAGTGAATGTTTTCATAACGAAAGTCTTACATTCTAGCCGCCAACAATATGGATGATATCAAAGATAAGCACGGCGAGGCTATCCACCCGGGAGACCACGTTTTCACTAAGATTCGGGGTGGTAAACACGAGGGAGAGGTATCTCCACATTTTTCCAGATGTCCATAGACTGGAAGCTTACGATATATGTTAACTGAGTTTGATTCCCAAGGTGGAGAAAATTGTTACAAGCGAAGAAGAAGCAGAAGAAGAGGGCGTGAAGCATCCTCCTAAGGTAAATATTTTCCAATGTTGCCTGGATTCTGTGTAAAAGAGATAATACTGATACGTCTTAGGTGCTCTTCCATGACCAACGCGGGAAGAGGGTCGCACATAATCCGGGAACTCTGGAAAAGCTTGACGACTGAATATTCAAATAATATGCCTCATAGCGCCAATATGCCACAACAATCTCGTATTGAGGGATGAAGGAAAACGTATCTTCTAGCTCATAATTTGATCAGCTACGGTCCCAGCGTAGCATAATTTACTTTGTGAACGGTCATTTCAATCATAGTAATCCGATGTAGTGAATTAAACGTCTCTAAGAGCATGTGTCCTTTGTAGCAGAGACACAAATGGGTCATGATGACGAACGCAAGACAGCAAGAGAGGCTGGATAGCTAGGATTGCGCCTGTCTAGAGTTTTAAAAAGCTAACTACAGAAAGATCCTTGACAGTCCGTATTCAACGACTACAAAAGTAGCTAGTTGAAGGTATGCAAGGCTCCTCGTCCCCAAGTTACGGTACGAGTCAACTTAGGGATCATCCGGGACCAAGGCATTACTCGGAGTTACTCGAAGAAACTTCAATTACATTCACATCAAGAAGAATAACCAGCTAATTTCTCTTTTGAGAAAACCGCAACTCAATTGTATACACTCACAGCTGGGCATTTCCCTAGAAGCTTGTCTGTCTTGGCATGTGGACAGAACATTGGGTTTTTGCCCATCTTCTCAGCGCCGAGAGAACGATCCTCAACTTCGTCAAAGCTGAACCGCTTCTGGGGCAACAAATCATAGATACCTTTGGCATATTTGGCCGTAACCCTGTATGCCTGGACAAGATATTTGATTTGGATTTCGGGGTACTCCACCTTTGCCAGAAGGCTGGCGGTGTTTTTGTGGAGATGGTCCCGAGCTTCATCGTTCATAACATCGTTATATAGGTGCCGAGGCTGCTCATACTCTGTCGGACTGCCCTCGTGCCAGAAGTGAGACTTGCGGCTAACAGTATTATCTGCAAGCTGGTAGGGAGCCTCTGCCGCATCGGGGCGGAACTTGTCGACAAAGCTGTTTGGCGCGTACTGAGGATTCTTGCCGTGGTTTGCGTCAACTCTCATTTGCCCATCGAAGTTCAAGGATGAATATGACGAAGCCATGAAAGGACAGTTCACTGAAAGCAGTTAGTTATGATTCAATACGCTAGGCGAACAAGTCACTTACCCGGAACTTGGTGCCAGTTCACTCCAACCCGGTGGAGCTGGGCATCGCGGTAAAAGAAGGTCCGGAATTGAAGCAGAGGATCTGGGCTATCCTCAATACCGGGGACCATGCTTCCAGGAGAGAAGGCGGCTTGTTCAACATCCCTATGAAAGTCTTCTGGGTTGCGGTTCAAGACCAGCTTCCCGAATTCTTGCAACTAAGTGGGGTCAGCATAATTATTGGGGGACATAGTATTACGCATAGGACTTACGGGAAACTGAGATTTTGGCCAGACTTTTGTTACATCAAATGGGTCGAATCCCAGGGTGTCTGGATCAGCGTCCTCCGGGTTCATTATCTGGACGTACGCTGTCCATGATACCTTTTCTCCCTTCTCGATGGCTTGCCACAAATCTCGCTTCGAGTAGTCGGGATCCTCACCGCTAAGACGGGTTGCCTCGTCCGCAGTAAACTGCTTCTGACCTCCATCGGCGAGGAAATGATATTTGATGTACACAAATTTTCCCTCTGAATTGACCCTGTTGATCCAGTTAGCCGGAAGAATATACTTTGGTAGGGTAACCGGGGAATCACCATTTGAAAGTATGGCATCCGTATCCATGATTCGCTCGCCAGCCCTGAGGAGTGCCATGGTCACTGAAAAACATCATGCCGGCATGATTACTAGACAAGGTCAGCTATCGTCAAATTGTTAGGGGGGGTTACTGACCCTTCAGGTGTGTTTGCAAGCAAATCGAAAAGCGAATTGTGATCAAGCAGAAAGTTTTGTGGGTTTCTGTGCTGAGACCGGATCACGTCTGGGCCCTGGATAGGGTCACGACAGAAGAAAACAGGCTTCCTTTCATCAGTACTACACGAGCCAGATAGAAGCAATGAAAGTATTGCTTACGAAGTTCAAGCCGACAATATCGTAATTGCCCTCGCCTGTATAGAACTTGATTGCAAAGCCGCGCGGGTTGCGGGCTAAGTCCGGGAACTCCCGCCCTAGGGTCACGGTCGAGAATCTCACAAACACGGGGGTTTTAATGCCGGTAGACTTGAGGAAGTCGGCCTTGACGTTGTAAGCAAAAGTTTCTAGAACCCCAAACCAGACCAGGCTCACTAACCTTCGTCAAGGTAGAGACATCCTTGGTCGTTTCGAAATATCCAAATGCGCCACTGCCGCCTTCGAACAATGAGCTTAGAGCATATTAGAGGTATCCGAAGACTTACATGGATGGACCATTCTTTCCAGATTCTTGGACCTGTTGAAGTGCTGTTGCTTCTGGAAAAGATGAATATCTGACACCACCGGTACTCCGCCCGCAGTTTTGCTATGAGCGGGGTCTGGGAAAGGGATTCCCTCGTTGCTCGTAAAGTAGGGACCGTCATCACTTCTCTTTCCGTACTCCTTCACCCCAGTCAATTTGGCGGCCGTCTATGCAGGGCCGTCATTTGCTCTTTGGAACAGGGAGGTGAGCTGTTTGGCGCGAGGGTCTATACCCACAGACCCAATTGCTCCCTCTAGAACCTGCAACGGATGGGCAGACATGATTGCAATATATTGATCCCTTGTTCTGACAATATAATATTTGGTCTCATCGGATAAATGCGTGCCGTAGTTCTTCAACGGCGTGCTCTTATAGAATATTGCAAACGTGGAGTCTCTGCCAAAGGGACATCATAAGGGATGACGTTTGACGAGTTACATCACAATGTAATGGTTGAGGGATATAGATCCCATGGAACTTGATCTGGAGCACGGGCGTCATATTTATCTCACGCTGTATGTTCAGGATCTGCGATCTGATAAATGACAATGAGGCATTTAGCAACCTTCAATCGCTCTATCGATGAGACAACCACGCCCTCATGCATCGATTCGCCAAGTCATCCTTGTTTTGAACCCGACTTCCAATACAAATACACTAGTAACCCAAGGAACGATTAATGGTGGCCGATGTCATGATGGCATTTGTTAATTCGGCCACAAATTATTGGACAAGGTCAGTCTACCTTAGATACTGTGTGTGGAGTCCTCCACATCTGGAGCGATCCATTTGTTGGCCTCAAACCAATCGGGTCCGGGGGATTTGCACGGGAGATGATAAATTCCCCATGACTATCCCCTAATTTATCCTGCACGCAGGGCAGAAAAGGAAAGAGAATGTGATGCGGTAGTGAGGTCATCGAGTATGACATCTTCTGGAACCGGCCGATCGTGTTAGTTAGCGGGCCGCACAGAAATAATATCCCAGCAATTTACTGGACGTCAAGCGTTCTATTCTGTGGCACTCATAATCCTGATCGTTACTACTAATTATGCTCGGCATCATCCAATTGTTACGTCGTCTCTCTGTCCATCTATTTCGATGGGTCTTAACGGTAGTCAAAACCGAACCCCGTAAAGAGTGTGAGAGATCAGATAGAAAAGGTTTTAGAACGTTAGCTGCGATAATATTCCAGGAAAAATACGGTACGCGCAGGATTATAATCAGGAAAGCTCGCACAGGGGTGAAAGTCGGCCATAAGTATATACAAGTGCGTAAATATGTGAGCCGCCGCGGGTAAGTCGTCTGTAACTGTTCGCAGTCTGGGGCTTCGCATGACGAACACGGTCCCTACACAGAATATTGTTGCAATCGGCGACTTCTTCTGCACATTACACACCAGGTTGGGCATCGGCATTCGAGTAAGGAGGCTGCACGGGATCAGAGAAACGGTGCAATATTTAACCCGACACGGTGCAAGTTTGTACAATCCAAAGCATGGCTCTTAAACATAACATGCACGCCATCTTATCATGGAAATATTTCAATCGGCGATAGGTCCGGTTATTCACGTCTGCGGAATAGATTTGTAGCGAGTTTCCTGGCAGCACGCAAGAGGCGAGGCCAATCTACATCGATTTCCCCACCATTCCATCATGTGGCAACATGATAGATCTTGTCATTCGCCCAAACTCGCAAATTTCAGGGGCCTTCCGTATTTTTGATATTGAGCCTCTGCTGGTGTTTTGTCTGTTAGCCTGATGCTGTGGCCCGGGTTGATGCCTCGTCTTCTGCCGCTCGGGACCAACTGACTGCGGGCCGGCCTCGCACTCGCTGCTGATCGAGTTCTGATCGTCGATGCTTTTGAAATGGAGTATTTGGCCTTTCCTCTTTACCATTTTGGGGGATGGGGGGTGTCGATGGGGGCTGTACCATTTCACATTGCTGTACCTACTGGAGAAAGCACGGTGTGTTCGCAGCGGCGCTTCACACTGTAGAGCAGCCATGAATCACCGTCCCTCTTAGACAAGGATAGGTGTAAACCTCTCTAACAGTAAAGATTCAAAGGGATGGACGACGCCTAAAACTGAAGCTTTCTAACTCCAAAATAGCGGTCATTCTGGTTGACAGTATCTAACATCTCTATTGGGTGCAAGGCTAACTCTCCCATCCATTCGATCACCCGGTTCAGCACCTCGAAACCATCTGTTGGCTGATTGAGCTTCTCCAACTGATCTTCTTCTCGAAGAGATTCCCATTGTACACGTCATCCTCCTCCAACAGCATCTTCTTCGCAAGTTCAGCCTGGACCTCTGGATGTGCCTGGAACGACAAAACAGTATTCTCTTGATCAACAAAGATCTCATGACTCTCCGCCAGGTGCACAAAGCCTACTCCAGGTCGTGCCACCTCTCGTACATGAAACTCCGGTAACCTCTGGGGAGTATCATCGGTACAAAAAACAGCCAAAGGGCAGCCATCAAGAAACGCACGTAGGTCGTAACACCTGCTCGAGTAGAGAAGAATTTCTTGCCAGCATCTGTCAACTTCACGTCCTCAATGCCAGCCTATAATGAATCGCGGGTTAGCTCCCAGGCTATTCTCTGTCACATAAGCAAGGTGGATTGTGGTAAGTACAATAGGTCCCGTAGGCACCGGCCGAATTTCCCCGCCAAAGGCCCTCAATATAGCTTGGTGGCCCCAGCAGATACCCAGGATCTTGGTTTTGGGTGATTTACGCGCTGTTTTCTGGAGAAATTTCAACACGCGTAGAACCCAGGACTCTGAGGACGAGGCATCGGCTTTGCCTCCGCTCAAGACGATCAAGTCATATTCTCGAGGGTTGGGAAAGTGGCATTCGAGCACGGGATCGTACATATCTACCTGGGAGCTGGGAGCAATAATACCAAAGGCATCCCGATAGGATCCGCGCACATCATTCCAAAACTCATTGCCAGGGGGTGTGTTGATCAGAACAGCGATGCGTAAGGGCGCTGGGTTGGCCATTATGCTTCGCGTGCTGAACGATCCTGCTGCTTGTGAATGGGCGATAACAAGTTGTTATTGGACTTTCTGTCTCGTCTGCAACAGCAAGAATGGTTGGATTTTTATTTCCTATATAGTAATTTACTGGGGGTGATTCATTTAGTAGTTCTACGCCGAGACCGGAAAAATTTTGTTCCTGTTTAGACAAAGAAAGAAACAAAAAGCAAAGAAAGGGCCTGATGGAGCATCGCACCCGTACACCAGTTATGGTAAGATCTCCATTGCAAGAGACGTGCATCATGCATTTTGATGGAAAATAAGATCATATCCATCTGGGTCTAAACCCAATCGGGTGAGCGAGAGCGATCGACTGAAATCCGGGGCATGGCTTCGGCTCAATCCCGATTGAAATACTCCATGTTGAATTCTTGCCCAAATCATACACGTAAACAGTACATTTCGAATTAATATCGGACTGATAATTCGAGGAATTTTAGACCGTAGACACCTCATGGCGAATCGAAGTGCTAACTATATATTCATCAGCCGCCCCCCCCCTCTCATTGCCTCGCCCTCAAATGTCGAGCACTCCATAGACTTCTTCAACATCCATTGAAAATGTTCTTCTCCAGCGCACACACAGAATCCGACGAGGACGTTCTCCTTCAATTCATCAAGGAGAATCCCCTTGGTATGCTCATCACGGCTATTGACTCCTCCACCCACGACTTTCTCCAATGCACCCACGTTCCATTCGTTCTTGACCTCCCCAACGCCGAAGAGAATCAACCCAACCCCCAACTACGCGCCCACATCGCAAAGCAAAACCCCCAAGCCAAAGCCCTACTTGAGCTTGCCGACAGCGCGCCACCGAATATCCTCCCTCTCGAACGTGACGTCCTGGTGGTATTCAACGGCCGCCATGACCACTACGTGACGCCTAAATTTTACACCGAGACGAAGCCCAACACCGCCAAAGTCGTACCCACCTGGAACTACTCCGCCGTGCAGACCTACGGAAAGCTCTCGCTCTTCTACGATTCCAGGACCCCGGAGGCGGGTGCCTTCCTGGCGAAGCAAATGCATGATCTGTCGGAACAATGCGAACGACGGATCATGGGGTTCACCGGAGGGGATCGACCGCAGCCGTGGAAGGTTGGAGATGCTCCCGAACGGTATATTGAGTTGATGCAGCGGAATGTTGTAGGCATTCGGATTGAAGTCACGAAGATCGAAGGCAAGTTCAAGATGAGTCAGGAGATGGGGCGCGGTGACCGGAACGGTGTGGCCAGGGGGTTTGCAAACATGGGAGGGGAAACGGGGCAGGCGATCTCGGCTTTAGTCCAGGAGCGAGGCGAGTTGATTGATAAGAAGAAGGCGCTCCAGGCTGCTTCTAAATAGTAATGCATCCTATATAAAATTTTCAACAATCAATGTGATCTGTTCTGACAGCCTCCTTGTCTTATCCTTGGATCCTTGGCTGCCCGAGAGACAATACAAGCCTGCGCCGTCTAGACCAAAAAAGACAAACATCATATGTTCTCGCGGTAGCTGCAAAAGTTGTTGCACTCAAAGAACCAAATGTGACGAGCAGAAGCCGATATGCGGAACCTGCGCGAGTTGGCGAAGGAGTGCGAATATGTTCAACCGACCAGTTGATGATTCAGAATCCCCAGGTTGACCAGCCGATCTATACAGGATGTCCCCTCGGTAGAAGTCATAACATTATCTGATGACTGCAAATGACGGAGCTTGATATCTTCTACACCACATATTACGAAGGTTGTTGATTACTGTCAACACTCAACCATTACCCTGGTTGTGCTCATTCTACTTGCGCATTCTGACAAGGCCATGGGCAACATCCAAGGCTTCTATTGTCATTTTTAAGGGCTGGTGAGTCTCAAGTGGCACGAGCGCGTCAGAGGCGTAGCCATAAATTCGCTCCTTGCGTCATGGACGCAACTTCGATGTGCTGTATGGTGGGCTCTCGCCTATTTTAGTTCGCTTGTATGATGGAGCGCCCAGGATCACTGTCTACAATATTTAGTCGATTACAAGACTTTTCTTTCATGGAAAATATCGTAATCTCGACTGTCTCTTTCGAAAGTGTATCGGTCTAGGTTTTTAGATTTTGATTATGCTGTTAGGGGTGGAATCACGATATTTTACCATGCAGGCCAGAGAATATACCTCTTCTTCCGATTGACCCGGAATAGTATAACCAAGTTCTCACAAGCTTAGATACAAGACATGAATCCAAGTCAGGATAGTATCAAGACTAAATTCATCTGCTATCACATAAATCAGCAAAATAGGGACTATACGACTCTGATCATGTGCAAAGCTTTATAATCCGAAACATCGGTCTGAAACATGTATTTCATATTATCATTCAAACATTCAAAAATCGCTCAACCTCCCAAAAACATTGCGCCAGGCTATCTAAATCCCGTCCCGCAAGCGTGTATATTCCGGGTATCAATAAAGGTCGGCAAGTCTAAAAACAAAAACTTCCATAAACTCCTTGCAGCTGACGAGGGGATTTCGAACGATTTCACTCGTCTATTTTCTTCAAAACATCATTCAAATCCGGTCGCTTAATCGGCTTGATGAGGAACGTGTCAATGCCCGAGCCATATGCTTCTTTCTGTGCATCTGGGCTGTCTAGTCCCGTCAGGGCTGCGATAATCGTGTAGGGAATCCTCTCGCGATCGGACTCGCTGAGCTTAGATCGGTGCTCCTTTTCGGCTCGCCGGATTTGCCGGGCAGCCTCAAATCCGTCCATGACTGGCATGGAGATGTCTAAGGGATGAGGTCAATGGGACTGAAGGACTGGAGGGACTGAGGATGCTTACCTATTACCACGACACGGAATCGACCAGGATGAGCCTTGTAGGTTTCCACCGCTTCCACACCATTCGTACCGGTCATATAGTCCCGACCATCCTTCTTGGTGTAAGCGCACAGTAATTGAAGATTGAGATCATTATCGTCAACCAAAAGAACGGATTTTGGCGCAGGCTGAGAAGGCCCTTCGGAAGCTCCCTCTGTGGACGGCGATGGTGGACCCGACCCATGGGGCAAGTTGGCCTCCCAAGCCCCTTCCGTTGATGGCTGCCGACGATTTACACCGTCGGGGCTCCCCATCGTGTCGGCGGTCGGGCGTTTGCTAACCTTCATGCGCTCGTCCGGAGGGTCACTAGGTCCGACGTCCACGGGTAAATGAGACGACTCGGGAAGTTCCACCCAACGTGTAGGCTCGTCAGAGGCACGTCGTCCGTCTGCCTCGTCCCGTCGACGTTTGATGCACAGTTCCAAGGCACGAGCCAACTTCCGCGGCCCGCAGGGCTGACTGACAAACTCGAAGATGGGAGAAACGCCCCGGTTCTTGGCGGCGACAAACATGCTGTGCGCCTCCTCAGGGGATTGACAGATGACAACGACGATGGGGGTCTCGTCACCCTCGCTACTCAGTTGAGGCGCCAAGCTGAACAAATTCCGGCCTTCAAGATCCTCGCTATCGAGTTCAGTCTGTACAGCTAGGTAGAAATTGAAGGCACGTTTTTCGCCCTTTGATGGTGATACTGAGATCACTTCTAGGCCAAACCACTCCTCACAGACCCGCGCCAGAGAAGCATAGAGGGTCGTGTCTCGGTTGGATTCCAAGGAGGAACCAAAGCCCAACAGGCCAATGGACTTTCCCTCGGTGGACTTTCGCAAGGAGACAAACACAGCATCCGAGGCACTGTCAGATGTAGCCGAAGCATAGTGGGTGAGCGGTGTCCGAATCGTAAGCTCAGTGCCAACTCCCTTCGTCGAATTGATCTCGATTGAGCCATCGAGCGCCCCTACCGCTTGACGCACAATACTCAATCCCAAGCCGCTGCCGGAGGCCAATGGGTTTTCCTGCGTGAACGGCGTGAAGAGGTCACGCTGCAGATACTCGGGGCCGATACCCTTACCAGTGTCCTTGACAGTCAGGGTGACGTTATAGTCTTCGCCAGTTCCATCCGACGACTCCGAATGCTTTCTGCGCTTGGCGCTACGCTCGCATTTCAGCTGAAGGTAGATAAACCCCGATGGTGTATATTTCAGGGCGTTTCCGAAGACATTCATCAGGATACGACGCCAGGCTCCGGCGTGCGTGTAGAATCCCCATTCTACATCTGGCTGAATGTCAAAGATGATAGTGACCTGGTTTCTCTCGCCGGTCGCACGGGAAGAGGAATCAGCCAAGGCTGGAGGTGGTGCTTGTGGGTGATGGTAGAAGCTGTATCCTGCAAAGACGCACTCGGTAACTTCCTCGAGCACCTGATCCAGCTTCACGTGCGTATACGAGGGCGCCTTTTGGCTCCGGCTGCTTTTTACGCCGGATTCTTCTTGGGACTCGCCCGAAGGCAACTGACCCTGCTTTGCCTGGTGTCGAGGAGAATGTCTTTTCTGATACTTATCAATAAAGGTGAGATCAAGTAGGTTGTTGATCGTATCGAGCAGAGTCCGACCACAAGACTCGATCGTATGTACCATGCCATGCTGTAGAGCATTCATCGCCGTGTCGCTTAGAATGTCTGCTGTGCCCAAAATACCATGCAGCGGATTGCGCAGCTCGTGAGTGATACTGCTGACCAGGTTCGTCTTCGCCTTTTCGGACATCTCCACATCCAGACGCTTGACCTCCGCCATAATACTGTTTGAAAAGGCAGAGAGGTAGGCCAGCTCGTTTTCGATGGTAAAGACGCGCTCTGGGTTATTCGTCCACACCAACACTCCGGCGAAGCATCTCCGCTTGTCTGTATCCCACATCGGCATTATGATGATGTTCCTAGCATCTGGGAATATTTGGATAAGGTTTCCTGCATCCTGGCGGAAATTCGACTTGCGGTGCTTTTTGCTGCCTGACCGTCGCCTTTCATTCTCATTCTGTACGTTCGGTTCCAGTATGTCGGATCCAGGCACACTGTGGGAAGTGTCGTCACTGTCATCGGAGACCGATCTATTGGCGTTATAATTGAATATCTTGCCCCGAGGATAGCGGCGGAGCAGAGAGGTGAGGAGTGCTTCCTTAACGACGACTTGGTTCCCAGCCATTGTGTCATCGTTGATACTAGATGCGCGGGACGTAGAGAATCCCAGAGAGACACAAACCGGCATGCTTCTAGCCCGTTCCCCTTCGCTGCCAGAGGATCGGCGAGTTGACGAACCTGAGTCGCTGCTCTCGTCGCTGCTCTCGGGCGAATCGTTGTTGCCAGAACCCGTCACTTTGCGGCTTGTCTTGTTTCCAACCAAGCTGCCGAATTGTTCGCTGTTGGCATCAAGAAACACAACACCTTCGGCGCCGATGGATTCTCGGATGAGATTAGCAGCGCGAGAGAAGACACGCTGAATGCCGGTCGACAGCACGTCCTGCGGGCTTTCTTCGCCGGCAAAGACGCTCCGGATGGACTGGCCTGCATTTCGAGTCTCTGTCATTTCGGCTTCTTGTTTAGTGCCTTTGCCTGCCTCTTCCAGATCCTGCTGGTGGATATTCAGCTGTCCCTCGGTCGTTTCGCCGGACTGCTCCGAGGCCGCATATTGTGCGTTGGCCTCTCGCCAAGAATGGCGCAGAGTGGCTCGTCCTTCAACAAAACTGCCCAATCCAGTGATCATCCGTTCAGCTTGTTGGCTTGTATAGCGGGAGTGTTGGTTGGCTAGATGCTCCATCACAGTAGCCGACACGTCCTTCAAGAATTGCAGTGAATATGTGTCGAGACCATCTGGCCGCGGCTCAGAATCCCACACGCTGTAGGCGCCAATGGTAAGGCCGCGCGGGCTAACGATTGGCACGGCGGCATAGAAACGCACGTCGGAAAGCAAGCTCAAGAGCCGAGTGCACTGAAATCGCTCTTCTTTCGTCACGTCAGACACCACGACAGCGCTACCATCAACAACCGCCGGATCGTCGGCATAATTCGGGGAGGGGAGTGTGGATACCAGCGTGCATAGCCCCCTCTCTCTCGGAAAGATGCACGTTCCCACTCGCAGAAGATCCTGCTCGTCGCGGACATGGCCACCCACGAGACTCAGGGTGGGCGTGGCCTCGGTCAGGACATACTGGTAGGTGCGATCGAACAGCGAAACCAACGCCCGTCTCGCCCTAAGGCGGATCGCGCCTAGCTGGGCAAAGGAGGTTAACGCCGTGTCTCGCGAGGGCTGCGCGACGAAGGACTTCCGACTTTCATGGTCAAAGGGAGCAAAATGGGAGGCCGTATGATCGTGGGGAAGGAATCTTCAGTGAACAGGATGTCAGTCGGGTGGTCACCAAATGAAAGAGCCTTACCAGCCTCAACCATCCAGACGTACTTGTAGAATTCTCGCTCTTGAGCCAGACGATAATTCGACTGGCCATTACTTTCGGTGAGGGCCGCCATTGTAGTGGACAAAGATGAAGCATTGCGAGACGCAGTGCAAGAAGGGCCGGGGATCACTCGTACAAAAGATGCAGATAACCGATATCTACTACTCGGTAGACTTAGTTCGATCGGGTAAAGTAGGTAGGGCTCATTGGCCGGTTCCAAACATTTGGCGATCGGAAGCTTTACCGCCACTGATGTCGCCGTGGGTGGGCCATGATATCATCGTGAATCATTGGCGTGGCCTTTCTTTTGGTCCGCTGCATATTTGGGCCTGGCCCGGTGAGAGCACGCCAGGGGCACTGCCGAAAGTGACGGAGAGATGTGGCAGGTAGAGTTTCGATGACATCCAGCAGAAGCGTCCGATGCTTTGCAGAAGTCAAAAGAAATCCAAACTGTGGGCGACCGTCGATTCTCTGCTGCTGCTTCCGTTCTGCTATCTTCTGCCTTGTACACAGTAAGTGGTTTCAGCGGAGAACTAACTAGGTAGACACTCCTACACGGCGTCTTTCGCTGCGAGAACATAATCTGCATTGATGGAAGGATTCCCCTGAGCATTGACGCCATTGCGACCATGAAAGCCGAACCAATGTGACGCCGGTGGATGCATTTTCCATGGTCACATTTCAATCCGCAGCCGGCATGACGTCACCTCCGAAACCCAGTAGGATAAGGCATGACAAACGCATCATGATACTTCCATCTTACTACGGAGTTCTTCTTACTTCTGTCTCCCTTTGCCTCCACAAACATGAAAATTGGCAGGAGATTGCAAACCTCTCTTGGCGTATCTCGCTAATTCCGATTGAATGCCGACTCTCCCGTCAGCGTCTTGCAGTGGACATTCTCAAAGCCACGACGTAATTTATATGGATTAGGAAAGAGATTCAAATCAATCCATCTGCCTGGAGAAGCTCAGACACGAATCTCCGACACCTGGAGATCCAGACACACGTGCTCTTGGCCAGCTTTGCCCCCCGCCGTGCACAGTACGTTCCATTTCCAGGGGGATTTGATATATCCACAAGTGGAATGATAGAACGTTGGCTTTATTGATGCTTATTCTCCATATGGTCTCCCATATCGCACTTAGTGTTGCTCTATGCATACACTGTATAGGGGCCTTAAGGTCTGTCCAAGTAGCGTAAACTTCGCTCCAGTTCATACAACAATCCAGACAATCCAGAAACCAATACTGAGCGCATTCTACTCCAGTGTCCCCGCTTGATCCACACTTTAGAGTCTTGACTCGCACTTATCCAAGCGGGTGTCAAACGATTACATATATCGCTCATCGGTCTGGCTGCTCGTAGATAGTTGCTGATGCCTGAGGGCTCAGGCCGCAACTGCGCCTCCCCTTCGATTTCAGGCACTCATTGGGATTTCACCATTCGCTGCTCCTTTACTTCTAACATTCAATTGAAGATGTTATTGCTACACTCCTCCAGCCACCATTCAGCTAGAACTAACAACCACACCCTGTCACTCCTTTGGCAATTTTGTCTCCTTTTTCCGGTTCAAGCTAGTGTGAGTGGTCTATTGGGCCCTAATGCGCGTAATCCCTGTACTTCAACGTGTGACCTCAGCCGCCAGCAATAAAAGCTACGGCTTACTTGGTAGCTGACGTTCTACTATCTGTCCTTCTTGGATTCTCCTCTTGTCCTGAAATCACCATGACAGTCACTTTATTAGACCTCCCCAACGAGTTGTTGCTCCACATAGCCCGTTTTCTACCCAACCAAGAAGATGTCAGTGATTTGAGTCGCGCCAATCGACTTCTCCACACCGTTCTGGACAGCTATCTGTATCATTATAACGTGCATCATGATTATGCTTTCGCCTTGACTTTCGGCGCCTACATAGGCTGCCGCACGGTGGTCGAGAAATGCCTGGCCGCAAAACCGCCAAACATCGACGCACCGCCTTACTGTCTCCCAGGACGATCCCGGGGCTGGCCTTCGCATAATGCTCTTTGCAACGCAATTACTCGCCAGCATACCGATCTAGTGGAACTTCTGCTCGCCTACGGTGCGAGCCCCCACGACGGGTGGCGAGGCAAGCTCACTCCGCTCATGATGGCTGCTAAGCACGGCAATATAGAGTCGATGAGAATGCTCATTGAGCGGGGCGCCGATGTCCATGCCAAAGATGGACTGCAGCAGACCGCACTTTGCTACGCTGCCGCGAGAGGTGGAGTCGAGTTCATTCGTTTCCTTCTCGAGCAAGGGGCCGAGGTCAACATTGCCGGGGAGAATGGCAAAACTCCATTTCTTCTTGCTGCAGGTTCAGGTGATCTCGCATCAATGCACGTCCTTCTTGACCATGGGGCCGATATTTCCATGATCGATGCGAGCGGTCGAAATGCCCTCTGTGCAGCTGCGAAATCGGGCCAGGTACCTTGTGTGCAATATTTACTCGACCATGGCGCTGAATGTCAATTATCGACCGATATGGGCCGAACGGCGCTCTTCGATGCGATTCACTACGGCCGGGCTGAGGTCGCTCAATTTTTACTTGGCCGAGGCGTCATCCTCGACCGGAAGGAAGAGCTGATGCATGCAACAGCGCAGTCTGGCCACCTTGCTTGTTTGGAAATTGTTCTCCGCCACGGCGTTGATGTGGATTGCAAGACTCAGAGTCAGGAAACGTCTTTGTTATTGGCTGTCCGGTGTGGATATCTCAATGTAGTGGAGCATCTTGTAGGCGTTGGAGCCGATATTAATTCCCCAGACATGAAAGGTCAGACGCCGTTATCTTTGGCTCATGCAAGAGTGGACAACAGGATTGAACTACTATTGCTTGGAAAGAAGATCCAGTGTCGTCCGCCTTAGACAATGCATATGACTGGCTCATTTTTACCTTTCTCCTCCTCGTATCTTCGAGGCTGATGTCGCAATGATTTGGTGCACAGGCTAGGCTCCAGGGTAAGCACGAGGCAGATATATATTCGCCGTGATGAGGAATCTCTTAGCAGGAAATTAGCCACACAGTATGAAAGACTCGAAGTTTGAAAGTGGCTCACCAATAACCAGCAGGTCTCTTGTTCACAACTCAACTAATGGTAGTAATTTGGCAGAGCATGCCAGACTTCAGACTCGTGTTGAGCAGCCTCGCTTTACTTTCTCTCGGCAAGGCTGACGGTCAGTTCTCGTGATTTGCTGGCCGGGCAAGTGGGGCGGAGTGTATCCATGGATCTCCGAGTTGCAGCCTTGTTCTCGTCTTTCTTCTCCTTCCTCTCCTCCTGGCTGTTTATTTATCAGTCCGTTCTCCCCACCCACTCTGGTCATATCAGAGCAAGGTGTTCCCGACACACATTCATCATGGCTAGCGAGAAATCTCAAAATCCTTTCGAAAACCTCGGTCGGCATGCCGAATCCGACGACCCCTTCGTTCCCGGCCCCTCCAGCAGCTCCGATCCCAACTTCGAGCCCCCTCCATATACAGTGGCTCCTGGGCCCGAGACGCACGAAACCCGTGCCACGCCGGCCCCAGCATCACAGTCGCGGCGAAACAACCCGATCGCCATCCCTGCTACCGGATCCTCCAACGACTCTCCTTTCACCCGTGCTTATGCCCCGATCCTTACCGACTACAACCTCCCTCGCGAATCTTTCCTCAGCTTCCTTGACCAGCTAAACAAAGTTGTCGCCACAAGCCCTCCGTTGCAAGTGCTGGATGCGACGGGCGGTGTCTTGCAGTCTGTCCCGATCCTGTTTCCTCTCCACTGGATCGGCTCGGCGGTCAGCGGGCTGGCAAACCTGGGGAGCCAGGGAGTCTCGAAGAGCCGGACAGACTCGGCGATTCGCCAAGCCAATAAAGATATCTTTGGTCCTCGAGGCCTCAAAGCCGAAATTGCGAAACTGGACGCGCTTGCCCATGTCGCCAATATCCCCATCCTAGACTCTCAGGGCAAAGTGAGCCGTCAGACGCCTCTTCTTCAACGGCTGTTGAATGAGTCCGGTGATAATGTCAATGAGCCTATTCAGGACCTGGACCTGCAACAACGTCGCATCAAGATACTGCAGCCGTGGATCGCTGATCTCGAGCTAGAAATCTTGCCCTGGACAACCAAGTCGAAATTGACTCGGTTCAATGCCGCGTTGAAGAAGAGGAATAATGTCGGGCAAGCCGAGTCCTCAAGGGACGCGAAGTCTCATGTCGACGAGGAAGAGACAGGGCTGCGGAAAGGTCTCTGGCTTATTATCAGGCCATTGGATGCGAACTGAGAATGTTCTTTCGCATGTACACCATCATTTATTACGGCCGCAGATATACGATCCGTAACATTGGGTCTGTGCTTATCTCGGAGTGAGGCGTTCTGGGCTCATTTGAACTCGAACTTATTGTCACAACTATTCTATATACACTGAGTGTGCTGGCGCTGTCGATGCTTAACAACGTACAGCGAGCGTTCATTAATATTGGATTTATGGTATCAACAAAAGGGGTATATGTATCAGAGCAAAAGTGCCGCTACCATTAGAGGTTCGAAGGGAAACTTCTGGCATGGGTCCACACGGAAGGTGACTGGAGAGTGGCCAGACGGGGTGTTGGAAGAGGCGAAGTATGAATAGACCGAAGATCTGCGGATGCAGTGTTTCTGACAGGTCATCACCGCTTCCCAGGTTTGCTTTTCATTCTCATTCTTTCCCTGTCCCTAGCTCGACCGGCTCCGGTGCCGGTACGTGGTGAGCAAGCGTCTGCCCCGGAAAGGGCTGGCTACCCGCCAACTCCGCCGTGGGGTATACTTGCGTACCAGCAAGCTCGGGCTTATCATACTGACTCGGTTGCACCGGGTTCTCCGTCCCGTTGGTGTCAGACACCGCAGCAGCATTTCCCCTGCGCCGACGAAAGAACCAAATGGCTGTACCCACCACCAAGAGAATGACTCCCGCGGCCACGCCGACTCCGATTCCTGCCTTCGCGCCGGTAGAAAGCGTGCCCGAGTCTGGGGAAGACGTTGCAGACTGCGTCTGAGAGGTGGTCGAAGTTGGCGAAGCGGTAGCGGCCGTGGTTGTTGCTGAAGTGGTCGGAGGGAGGTGATCGGCCGATTGATAGCGAATCATGACTGCGTATGCGTTGGCTCCGTATTTATCTTTGGAGGTCGTCGTGATGAGTCCATCGTCAGGGTCGTCGGTCATGTAGGTGTATACCTCGGTGGTGTCGACGATTCTCGTGCATTTGTTATTGTCGTACCAGGGCCAATAGGTGTCTGTTTGGCAGATGTACGAGCTGCCAAGTTTTCGTTAGATACGCGTTGATCATTCGTTTTGTCTTCAAATGGCTGATGGCAGGAAACATCATACCTGGGACAACACGTCGCCCTCGTCTCCGTCACTGTCCCAACGCTAACCAGGTTGGAGCACGCCTCTGTGTATCCGGTCGGACACACACCGGGGGAGTAATACGCATCAGTCCCTGTGCTCCAGTCCGACGGTAGACAGCCGTCTGTCGTGGACGGTCCGAGATGAAGGTACTGGCACGGCGACGACTGATCGCCAACCATGCATGCGAACCCGCTCGCCTCATACAGCAGCATGTGGTAGTTCGTGCATGACGAGGCTGGCGTGAATGTCGTTGTAAGTGCTGGGATCGAAGGCGGAGGCCCGCTGGTCGTTGTCGCCGTAGCTAACGTCGTTGTCATGATGGTTTGTTGAAATCAATAGAAAGGGGTCCTCCGCTTTCACATCGACATAACTTTTGATAGTGCACTACACGTGGGAAACAGGGCACAAAATCAGTGAACCAAACTATTAGAAAGAAAAGACAACAGCGGAAAGACTAGGGACGGGGAGCAGCCAGGCTGACCGCATCCCCCACCGAACAATCATAACCCTCCCATCTGTTCATTCTTAGTCCCAACTAACTAGACCCGCTCATGAGTCCAGGAAGTTGGGAACCCGACTAGCTCAAACCAAGAGCCCGTTTCGGGAAAACGTGGCGATCCTTCAAAGCGATCTGCGGCTGGCGTTTCCCGCTTCGGAGCTTTGGACCACACCTTTTGCTTCGCGTTTCGCAAGGACTTGAGGTTCGTGATTTGCTGGTTCATTGTAGCCTGTGAGGTGCAATTTCCCGGGCCCACCATTGTAGGCAGCGTTTAGTGTTACTGGCCGGGAGGGAGATTCCAGGAGTCAGCCTCGTCTTGTTTACTTTGGGAGTTTGCTGGGCTTTACTACTCCGTACTCCGGAGTACTCTATAGTCGACGAGGTCATCTGTTTGGAGAGCGGAACTCAAGAGCTAGACATGGTCGACGCGATCATTCATCACTCCTATTCGATCCGGTACCTTGCTCCTCGGCGATTTCATCAAGTACTCAGTGTGTCGGGGTCGGTGTTTCGTGCATGAGACCGTCTCGGGAAGAGATTTCGTGATGTTTCCACCCCTAGCAGAGGGGTAGTTGGGGGCCAAAGGGGCGCTTTTCGCATGCAAGGCTTGATCACGCCCCTCCGAATCTCTTGTTCCAACATTGGATATGCAAATATGTCAATTTACAGTTCCGACCCAGGGCAAATCCGTTACTGCGGATGGGTCAGATGGGCGATGTGATAGCTATTATGGGAGCGTTTCATGCTACCCCCGTCACAGTTGTTTGCGTAGCTGTGCTTTGAAGTGAAGGGCGTTGCTGGTGGCTCTGAATGTACTGAATATGTGCATCGAGAGAACGATCGCTGTCATGTAGGACTTTTGAACTGCTCAGGGGTTTGGCCATCTCACAGCAGCGTAAGCTAATTGACATGGCAGCGGATAACTACATTCGTTCGTGCTGTGCCATCACTCCCCAGACCTCAAAAAGAGTGTTGAATTGGTGAGATATCAGTGGTATGGTTCGATCCCCAAACATTTGGCGTCGGTCTGGACCATGTCACTACCCAATAGGCATGCTGTATAGGGCACTCATCTGCGAGCTGGCCGGAGGATTGTCGATGGCTTTCCAGATTTACCCATGATTAGTGAAGGCTATTAGTGATCTAGACTAGTACTGTCTTGGAGGGATTGGCTTCTAATCTTAGAGTGTTGGTTTGAGAGAGAACCCATTAAATCTTTTTGGAACTTGGAGCAACGTATAAGTAAATTGTTCCGTAATTGGTTCGCTTTCACCCTGGTCACGATATCCCTTTGTTATTTTGGGAGTCATAATTCGTAGAGTGTTGGGTCTAATGTATCCCTTAGAAATTCTACCTCAGACAAACTGAAGTCGTTGCTGGTATCAGGAATATCCAGAGGCGATCTTTCATCCAGCATCATGGAGTCCGCAAGGCCAACTTCCCGCCGAAGCGCCTCTATCCAGGCCGGTTCATCAGCATAGGTCTGATTCCAAGGATCATCATTCCCATACGCAATCCATCGCGCATGGTCCTGGACCATCTGATCTGAAGGATGAATGCCGATTGCCATTTGCTCGCGGAGATATCTATGAATCTCCTGTCGGAGTCCCACATATCGACTTAAGGCATTCGGTGCTTCATTTGCGAAGATGGACTGTTCATCCTCAATACTCCTCACTGCAGTGCTTGTTAACCACGGATCCATAGTGCGTCGCTCTTGACCGATCAAGTACGGTGGCATCGCGTTTTCCACGAGACACTTCACATCCGGCTCAAAACCCCATTCGCCTTTCCATTGGTTCATGTCCGCGCCTTCTTTGAAGTGATTTGCTATGTGCTCGACTCTTTCTTCCCAGGTCTCGAAGTTCGCGTCGCAGAAGCCGCAGCGCGAGATCAGACGAGGCGTTAACTCCTGCCAGTCGTCCATGGAAGGGTGATAGCTGACGTCATGAGTCAGGCGGAGGTGTTGTCGGAGATGGTCTTTTCGTAAAAAGACCCTTTTTCCTGATGGCTTCTGTCGACAGGCGAAGTAATTGTGCGTTTCAAGGTGCTCTGGATCAGAAGTCGTTTCTCGGCAGAAGACACAGAGGCTACCACCACCAGCCTGGACAATGCCTCCGACCGGCGCACAACGCCATCGATCAACGGGTAGATGGAGAGCCTTTTCGTGTCGTTGCCAGTCGTATTTACTTCGAAATGCGTCGCAACAAAATGTGCACTGATACGGCCGCGCGTCGTCTTTCTTACCTTGCTTCCTTGATTCCATCGGCCGAGGGGGTCTTCTGCGTCGATGACGGCGGGCTCTCATTCCCGGTAGAGGCGTGGGTGGGCGTTGGTAAGGGGTCGAGGAATGAGAGTGTCTATATGACACCTCGGAGCCAGATGACTGACTGTGTTCAATAGAAGGCGCTCCGAAGACAAACGAGCTCCTAGAACTGTTGCTCGACCAGCCATCTAAGGCCACGCCACCTTGCGTAGAGCTTTGGTCCGAAGAGTACGGTGTATCCGCTAGTGCGCGCATGATGTCCGATGTGGCAGCTGCTTCGGTCTCAGGCGGAGAGTGCTTCCATCGTTCGAGCGGCGAGAGGAAGGAATTGTTGACTTGATCGGTTGATGGAGTGGGAAGTCTCCCAATCATCTTGCGTCGTCGCGCGTTTGTAAACCAATTCGTGATTTGGATCTTGCTGAGTCCGGTCTGCTCTTCTAATTCGTGTTTTTCTTGACTGGTTGGGTACGGGTCTTGCTGGTGCTGGCTGAGCCATGCGTTCAAGATCTTTACGGCAGGGTTGGGTAGTCGCTGAGATGTCTTTTCCTGATGGGAAGACGCTCGACTTGAAGCGGCTGATTGCGCCCGACTTCCGTGCGCTGGTTCGGCATAAACTGATTGAGAAGATCCCATGCTTGCGCTATCACGCGCGGAGGGGCTGGGGTCCTGGAAGGAGCCTCGATAGAAAGTCTCTGCATTAACTCCATGAGGACGCGTTTGATTCAGCTGACCCGAGGAGTCGGAGGGGTGCGCGGACGCTGATCTGGGAAACGCGATGGATTCCAAGTCGGCGTGTGAGTCATTGTTATTGACCCTATGGATGGCAGTCTCGGCGTCCTCGAGTGTCAGTCCTAGAAGAGGATCATACGGAACAGTATCACTGGGCTGGATGGTCTCAGAATCGATATGAGGCAGGCATAGAACGTCGTCGCAGAACTTAGGGGGGCATTGATTAGCGTGACTCATGCTGAAAAGGGCCGGCGGGCGAGGTCAAAAGGAAGAAAGAACGACTCTATGGACCCCCGCGCTCTTCGAACAGTAAGCGCGAGTTTCGGATCCACAATTATGCCAAGCACTCCAGGTTGCGCATCGGTCGTTGTCTTAAGGTTGAGGTTCACGGTCGATTGGCATGCTCTGCCTGGGTGATGATGTCATGATGTCGAGGTGTATCTAGAAGAACTTTAAATTTTCCTATTTGAGCTAGTATTCTTATATAACATCTCAATTTCAAGTTGAATGGATTGAGAAGCACTAAGGAAGGGAAGTTTTCATTCAAACAGAGCTCTATAATTAAGGCACGCCCTGTGTCACCAAGACCCACAAGCCGAGGATCAGCGATGATACCCGACTCCGAACTCGGCCTGACTCTATACAAAGAGATTCAGTTGGACTTGAGTTAGCGCTCTACTATACAAACTTTTGATCGTCCGGAGACGACTCAACCGTTAATTTACGGAGAAATAGATGTTCGGAGTCGAGGTATACCGGCACTGGCCATTTCACACAAATGAAACAACTGGAAGACAATTTTGGCTTCTTCAGCCAGATAGTCCGACCACTGTAGGATATTATTATTTCGCTCACAACAAGCTACAACATCAATGCAATTGAGTACCCAAATCCCAGTCGCTCTGCAGCTATCTTGAACAGATTCGCTTCTTGATGTAGTGAACATCCATGCCGGTCAGTCCTCGACACGCCCTGTTCATCACAAAGATGCTATGCGAATGTTTGGGGAGAGACAAGGAAAGGAATTGAGTAGTATAGTGTAGGAGCGTGTTAGAGAACAGGAATATTTTACCTGTCGAGTATATGTATCCTGTTATAGATGACGCGGAAGCGTCCGAGGGGTTGTTCCTAGCTGTGCCTAATGGGAAGGGGGAATCGCGATGAAGGTCGGGATTCGACATGAGAACTGGATAGAATGTGATATCAACAAGGGAAAAAGTATCAACTACTCTTGGATTCAATAGAGCATGAGGGAAATAAGTTCTAGAGGATAGACATTAGGAAATATACAGGTCATCGTTTAAATTGATACTGCAAAAGGGTCACATCGTTGTCGATGAACTTGCTAACCAGCGTTTCAAAAGTCCCAGCGGCATGTGATCAATCGATTGCATGGTTTCCTCGCCACCAATACGAGGAAATCGTGCCTTGAGCTGGACTATCTCATCCCTGCGATCTTGCTTCGAAAGAATTGCTAATAAGATCTCTGCAACTGCCAGCACCCGTGGACTTTGAAGCTCAAGATTCCGCGTGTTGGCCACGTTGGATAGAATTGTGTTACAGCATGTCTCCGCTTCATCTAGCTTCCCTTCATGTAAAAGAACATATGTGTATCCCCAATAAAGATGAATGCGGTCCGGATGATCGGGTTTGACAATTTCATGAAGATCTCGAATCAGCTCACTGGCTTCTTTCCACCGTTCACAATAGATGTATGCTCTGCACAGATTACCTTTCGTCATCATCATACCCACATGGTCCTTTCCCAACGTACGCTCGACAATGGGAATGATTTGTTCCAAGATACGTGCTGCATCAGTAAATTGGCGACGCTCGCAATAGATCTTTGATAGGTCGTTTATCGACCATAAGGTGTAGGCGTGCTCTTCACCAAGGACCTTCTTGCGTCTTTCGAGTGTGTTAGATACGTGGCGCTCAGCCTCGTCCAGGTTAAGCTTCTGAGAGCATAAACTCATGCCGAGTTCATTTCTCACCATCAGTGTATCAGGATGGTCCGGGCCAAAGAAATGTGTGCGTTTTTCGAACACGGTTTCGAGTAGACTGTGACTTTGAGAATGCTGGCCCAAATGAAGATATGTTCTGGCAAGGTTGAACATGGCGTTCAGAGTCAACGGGTCATCTTCTCCCAGATATCGGCTCAGGACTTTTACTGCGGCTTCTCCTGTCCTTTTAGACCAGTTCCTCTGGCCAGCCAGCCACAGGGAGCGTGTCAAATCATCCAAGGCGAGGCCATACGAAACATGCGCTGGTCGCCAAGGGGGCCAGCTGAACCAGTAGAATAATGATGGCCGGACCCACCACTGCATCGTCCATATTTCTTTCTGGAGCATCACGCATTTCTCGATTTCAAATAGATTCCAATAAGAGTTTGCTAACGCCCGTTTTGCAGCAATGGTGTCCCGGTGCCATCTCCCGAGGCGTTTTGCTCGAAAATCCACCACGGCATGCTGCAATGTTCGAGCCCGTTTCCAATGACCCAGCTCGGCATATACCAGACCAAACTTCTCAAGGTAGCAAGCCTGCTCAGCGCTGCAAGGAAGGTCCGGATACGTGGCTTTGAGCAAGGAAACACATGCATCAATATGCGGTAATAGCTGTCTGCGAAAGGCACGACCGGATGTTTCAAGCTGCAACGAAATTGAGCTAGCTAGGATCGCGGCTGTAGAGCCTAGCCAGTCCCGTTGTGATGAGTCGTCTAATCGTTCTCGAGCCCATTCATAGATCGCGGGATGCATAGAAAAGCACGCTACTGGACTGCGTCTGCGCGTTGATCCAGCTCCTAACTCGTTTGAGCGAGTCATAGAAATGATTGAATGGTCGTAAAGTGCACGCGCTGCTGCCAGAACTCGGTCTTGAACTCCTTGCGTTGAGCTTGGTTCCAATAGAAGCGGGACTTGAACTTGGGATTGTAAGTCCTTCATATCATCCGATGCTCTGGAAAAGACATCCGCGGGGATCGAAGCAAAGTGCATGAAGGCGAATATGTGAATTAAGCAAACCGCATCCTGGTACCTCTGGGTTTTGCCGTTGGTAATCTCCTGAAATGGTAGCTCCCAGGTGGCAATGATGTTAACATCTGTCGCACATCGAATACTCCGGCGACAGAGCAAAGATCTGCGACAGCCAAGCAGAGAGTCCAGGTATCTTTCCAATGGTAAGAAACTCTCGCGAATCGTGCCAGCGGCCTGCTTGAGGGCGAGAGCTAGATACCCGAGCTCGGAAGCAATCACCTCGGCTGGCTTCCTGTTTCGCGCATTTAATGACTGCGGGTCTCCCTCTGGATAGGCCAAACGGAGGAGAAGTGTGATAGCTTCCTCCGGATTCATGCCCTTGAATTGAAATGACGAAATGGTGCTGTATATCTGGGCTCCAGGATTGCGAGTTGTCACCAGAATATGGCCGTTCCCAGCTGATGGGATAAATCTTGACAAATTCATTTCCGGATGGTTGGCATTGTCCAGGATTAACAACCATGGCTCGTACGTTTGGGAGAGCCATTCTAAAGCCGCACTGGCTTCGCCGCCTTTGCCAGCCTTCTGACTTATGCTGCTGTAGCTGTTTTCCGCGTTGATCTCAGTTGAACAATCGACCAAAAATAGTCCCCAGTACCTTAGAACACACTTAGCACGGAGGTCTTGATGAATTGAGAACCTTCGGAACATACCTGTACCTGTTTTCCTCTGCGTACTTTAAGCAAAATCGGGTTTTGCCAGAGCCTGGAAGCCCGTAGATCACACATATCTTAGGGCTTTTTGCGTCCACATCTCTCAAGCGCTCTGTTAGCAAGTCTGCCTGTTCTTGCCGGCCGACATAATATTCTGACTGAGGGGGGACCATCCAGTGGGTATGCGTATAGGGAATCGGATTCTCATCGGAGACTTGAGGATAGGTCGGAATCTGTGGCGAGGCTTCCAGACGAATGGAAGGAATGGGTGAAGTAGATCTCGACGGTACACTAGGGTTTGAATGTAGGTATGCCTGAAGACTGGATAGCTCGTGTATTCGCTGCTGGTGCACGATTTCGTTGTCTTGCTGCCACCTTGTTTGAATGGACTGCACAGCCTTTGAAATATAACTATCCAATGCGGCAAATACGAGTCGGTATCCAGGAGAATTTTTGCGACTGAATTTGGCAATCCCTGAATGGGTCGCATTCACTCCGCATTTATCCACGTCGCTCCATTCTGGTGGAGCCGCCGACGTCCTCGGCACCACTATTGCCTTAGCATGTCCAAAGTCGGTTTCGATCTGCTCCCAAAAGTTGTAAATCGAGAACATCTTTACTAGTGGTGCGAACTGATCGTTGATCTCCGCGAGAGTCTCTGACCCCTCCAAAAGGCTCAGCGAGAATTGACTGGGGCCTAGATGTTTCTCGCTTTGCGTATAGGATAAGGACTCCCCGGGGATGCCATGATGCGGCGTTGCCATAAACAGAATACCATATGTTGATCGAAAAATGGATCTTTGATGTTCGACCTTCGGGTCCTTCCTGGAATTTGAAAAGGATAACGCTCGCTTGACCAATAATCCACCAAATCCATGGCAGATGAATATTATGGGCCGTTCTTGCACTTTATGAATCGTTCGATCGGCCACCAACTCCATCACCAATCTGATAGACTCATCATAAATCCCAGTTGCAGCGGGTCCGCCGGGCGCCATGAGACTGTCCGTATCATATTCGTAGGAGAGGATTCGAGCTCGATATTGTCGGAATGGAAACAGGTCGCGCAGCCATATCTGGCCAGTGTTGGGGTCACTCCATGTTTTGAGTCCTGTTTCGTATAACCCGTGAACGGCGACGATGCTTCATTAATAAATTAGGTCTGCCACCCGTAACAGCTTCGGAATTTGGAACGACTTACTCAATAATAGAGTCATACGATTCCCATGAGGACTCACCGCACTCTGTCAAATCAGTAACCGACATGTTGCTTCGGCGCGAGGTCTTCATTGCGGCTGGACCCCTTGAGAACTCAAAGCAAAGCACATAATCTGTCTCAAAAGGCTCCACAATCAGATGTTGCGCGTCATTGTTTATGAAAGGGCGGACTTCTTGCCGCAGGGTGACATCCGCCGTATGCTGATTTGTGTTAATCGGCGCGGCCCGCAAACGCACCCCGGTCCCAATTTCTCGGCGCGGGGCTGATCATTGGCCGATATGAATAGCTTCATTCCACCCGCCAATCGGAGAGACTATGAAAGCGCCCGGATGTGAGAACCCCTCTTCCTGTCTGCCCGCCCAAAAGACGGTTGCATGAGACTTCCCATCACGTGTAGCTGCGCCGAAGATTTGAAATTAAACTGCCTCACGGCGCGCCCGGATCCGGAGCTTGCACCTTATCTTCTTTTCCCAATTGACAAGCTGGTAGCACAATGTTCATTCTTTTCTGTCTCCTACTCGCTCTGGCCTGTTTTGTTCTTTATCGCTTTTACAGGGCCAAGCGCATTCGTGAGGTAAAGCTGTCACGACGAAGGCTCGATCTCACAAGCCCCAAGCTAATGTCATGAAGGAATATGATGCCATTGCTCGTCAGCATGGGTGTCTTCCGCCGCCACTGCTTCAGAATCAAAGACCTCTGGGAGTCGATAGGCTGGAGCAGATTTTCCGTGCCAGTAACGAGTCCCGTTTGATGGAGCTTTTTCTCTTCCACTTTCGTCAAACAGGGTATACCCTTCAACAAGTCTTTTTGATGACCCCGGCATACGGCACCGTTGATCCCGCAAACTTGAGAGCTATACTCTCTTCGAAGTTCTCAGGTGCGGCGACACTAATCCATCCCTTGCAATTAAGATATTGACAATGCGATTAGACTGGGACAATGGTCCAAGACGAGCCATCACGTTTCCAATGTTCGGAGACGGTATATTCACGCAGGAAGGCGATGCATGGAAACATTCTAGAGACATCCTCAAGCCCCAATTATTCCATAGGACATATGAAAACCTTGAAGTGTTCAAGCAGCCAGTGGATGATCTTCTAAACGCGCTTCCGGAGAAAGGCGGCATCGTTGATCTGCAACCCCTGTTTTTCCGCTTCACACTGGATGTCACGTCTGCATTTTTATTTGGGGAGTCGACATACACATTGCGTTCCCCTGTCGTTGCAGGGGAGAACACATTCGCAAGTGCTTTTGACACCGCTCAGAAATATGTTGTCGAGCGATTCCGTCTGTTGGATCTTTATTGGTTGATTGGCGGTAGAGAGTTTCGTGAAGCGTGCGAGCGAGTTCATCGTTTTGCTGATCAAATCATTGATCGAAACTTAAGACAGGAGTGTTCAGAGAAGCGTGGTGAAAATGAGACGTTTCTGAATTCAGTTGCTAAAGAATGCCCCGACCGTGATACTTTGAGGGGCCAAATTGTCAACATCCTTGCTGCCGGCAGAGATACTACGGCTTGCCTTCTTTCCTGGACCTTGTAAGTGCTGGACTTCACCACGGAGTGCTATGCTAACGGGAATCTGCTATAGCTTTCTTCTTGTGCGACACCCTCATGCCATGCAAAAGCTCCGAGAAGAAGTCGCCCAGTTGAATGAGAAAGGCGATGACATACACAGAGCGGATTTACGAAAGATGAATTACCTCCAGAATGTCATGAAAGAGAGTAAGCTATGTTTCTACTGCATGATCCTTGACTGTCATCTAACTACTCCAGCTCTCCGTTTATATCCATCTGTGCCAGTAAACACTCGAACAGCAAAAAACACCACCATCCTGCCCACCGGTGGCGGACCCGACCGACAATCACCCGTCTTGATTCCGAAAGGCTCTGCCATGGCATATAGCGTATATACTCTTCACCGCAGGCCAGACCTGTTTGGTATGGATGCTGAGATTTTCCGTCCCGAGCGATGGGATGAGGATATGCCGTTGAATCGGGACCCAATCACCCAGCAATGGGGTTATTTGCCATTCAGTGGGGGTCCCAGAACTTGCTTAGGACGTGAGTACTCCCAGGCCCTTCCTAACCTCATTAGTTTAACATCTGCTAGTGGACTTTGCGCTCGTGGAAGCAGCTTACGCAATTGTGCGGATTATGCAGAAGTATCCCAATGTCAGACTTCCCGAGGGAGAAACTGTCGAGTTGACTGGTGTCGAAAAGCAAACAGTCACCTTGGTCCTCCAGATCAAGGATGGTTGCAAAGTTGATTTATCCTAGGCAGCGGTCTTTTACAATTTCTTTACTTTTCTTTTTGTCCTTCTCTTTACTCTGTCAGCTATTTGTTTAAATGCGCCGTAATTCGTAGATGTACTGTACACAGCTATACTCGAAGTTAGACGTGAATATCAACGCTAACCTCCGACTGGATTGGGGAAACTCATAAAGCTGATTGAATTCAATACATAATTATACTACCTATCAGAAACAAAGTACCAGATCAATCACTCTCATCATAGATCTCCTTAGCTTCATTCTTTCGCATCGACCGGACAAGCTCTTTGTTCTCAACCCATCGGCGCCCAATTTTGTTAGGCGCCTCTTCTGAGTAACGCATCAAGGTGGCAACCACGAGCCTATAGCCCGGTGACGTCCGTGTCGCAAATTTGCACATCCTCCGATGATCTGCTTTGATTCCTGCGCGGTCGGTGTCATCTAATATAGGAGCTGCGGACGTTTGCGCCACGATCTGATTTGATGGTTAGTACATTGTACAATGTCAGTTCGGCTTGGAACCCACATAATCCCATTTTACCCCTAAGTTGGACTTTTCTTGTTCCCAGAAAAAGAATACATGGAAGCTTTTCATCTTAGGCTGGAAGTTGTCGGTGATATCTTGCAGAATTTCTGATCCCTCTCGGAGGGCTTCTAACAGCTGCGAGTCCGTGTCGACCACCTTGGATGGCAAGACATCAACCATACGTTGAACGTAGTTTGCCAGAATTGCCTTGCTGCTGCCGTGATGTGGAGTGCCGAAAAACATGATTCCGTAGGTTGAGACGAATATAGAATGAATATGTTCCGACTTCTTTGCCTTCCGACTTTCTGAGTAGATCAGTGCCTTGGGTAGGTCAGTAGAGCGTTCTTCATATGCCAGAATTGGCTCTTACTCTCTTGACTATGATCCCCCCTAGGGAATGACACAAGAAGATAATCGGCCTTTCTGTCGCTCTTTCTATCTATAGTTTATGCATTAGCGAGGAGGGAGTTCTTTGGTCAATGAGGGATTGTTCTCGTACCTGGCGATCGGCGGCTAGCTCTTGGACCAAAGTAGTCGCATGCTGAAGTATTGTGTCAGAAGAGGTTCTGCCGAACACGGCGGCCACAGATGCCGGATAGCTGAATGTTAGGACGCGACAGTCGGGCAAGTCCTTGGGCAGCATCCCCTGGTCAGCCAACCAGAACCTGCCAGTCTTTCTCGATGTAAATGTTGTGAATGCATCTCCGTTGAGGCCGTGTACAGCGACAATACTGAGCCGAACTGAGTTAATATGCGGGCGTATTGGTCATTGGCGCAACTCACTCTATCACTGGGTTCTCTCCGCAATAAACTGTGGTTAAAGCCCCCGTTTCTTCTCCCTCGCTCTCTGACGTGTCTGAGTCCCTGGGTCCTTTTCGTCTCAAGATATTGCGTGGCATCGTGGTATGCGATAATTAGAAGTGATTCGCAGTCCACAGTCCCTCTAAATTCGAGCAACTCCTTATATATCTAGCAGTGGCTACTCATAAACCTGGGGGGCTCGAGCCCACAGGCTACAATAAAAAGAGGGGTAGCCCCTGAGCCTCGATCAAACACCTTAGGCTCTGTAGTGTGCATATTCATTGGAAATTATCTGACGGACAAGACAGATTCTTGCTCAGCCTTGTTGAGCAGCGCGTATCGAACAGGGGTACATTTATTGCCGTCCGGTTGGGTCTCTACGCGCCGGGTTCGACCGTCAGAATTTGCGCCACATTCCGCAAAAGGACCATATGTACCCCAGCCATAGGCCGCTCATCCAGGCTCTGCCAAAAATAAGTAGCATTCCTAGTGAAGTGGCTTTGCTTCCGGATGCGATGAATTTAAAGCCCTTGGTGTAGATTAGTATTAGTCGCGGCATTGAGCATAGGAGTTGATGTGATATTGCGGGAGACATGATCGTACCTTTGACAAAATTCTGGATGGTAAGCTTAACGAGAAAAGCATGGTCCCTAGCTCATAACTACCTCTACTAGCAGTTGCCCGTGCTAGGCTCAACGATAGTGAGGTGGCAATGCCACAGAAATATACGCATTCATATCTCTAGAAATTGTATGATGAAAATGGAATATTGTGATGAGTCTTGCAAAGAAAACAGATTTTTTAGGACGGAAAGTACACCCTGTTTGTTGTGTCGTTAAGATATATCCTACTGGATGCTCATTTGACACGAGGTGCCTTTGTGATTCTGATAGAGGCAGTGCCCGCGGATGTTGCTGCTATCGTCACATGACGGCTCAAGATTCCTATGATTAGAATCGGTTTTAGAAAGGAATGTTACTAACATTTGGAAAAAGCCTTCGAGGCAATGGTCGAAGATGTTCCTCACGAGGAATGAGTTCACAGATACAGAATATCACGTTGAATGAGCATGAGGAGGCCATATAATAAGACACGAACGGGGCAAAAATGATTCGTCTAATCTATTACATTTCAATCTGAAAGGGAGCAGTGGAGAAAGTAATCTTACCACAGTAGGGTATCTCCGAAATCTCTGTTTCTCTCAAGCCTCATTGTGTCAACTCCTTCTCGCGCTTAAGGCCACGGGCTTATCTGCCTGTATTTCCAGTCCAATACGGTTAGAAACAAGCCAAACTACATTTGTTCGCTCATCCACAAGAATAAGCGATGTCAAGGACCCAAACCGAAAGAATGCAAGCCGAGTGTTTGCAGTTAATGCACTCCTTAGTTCGATCATAGCGTTTTACATTCCACACATCATTGGAGCCTATTATGTATTCATCTGAGCAGCCGCCGGAATGCAGATATAGGGTGGATACTGTTGGATTTGTCTCACTAATACAATAGGAGGCAAATCAAGTCCAATGAGTTGGTACTAGATACATCCGAATACCAAAATAAGTTACGGTTTTTTCTTTCTTCCCCTGAATCGCTAAAGTCTAAAAACGCACCACGAGCTATATTAGATTTACTCGTTATCGACGCAAGTTATTTTTCGACGATGGTCATGTTGCTAGGCGGTTATACGGCGCTTATCATTGGTACCTCCTTCTCATAAGTATTCCCTCGCAGCCTCATATAATGCTACTAAATATGTTGATTCAGATAAGCTAGGTCCGAGGCGACGAAGGTCTATCGTGGCATATGAACCCAGGGTGGTATACATGGGTCGGGACTGTTCGGAGGTAAGCGCCGCCCTAGAATTGAACGGCTCGGCTTTGGGTCATCTTCCTTACCAGTTGCTTTTATTTGAAGTGACTGCAATGTGGTAGATTTTGATGAATAAAGATAGAGCAAAATGTGGAAAGAGAAGGAAGAGGCCAGTGGCTGAATGGCCAGGTAAGGGTATCTTGTCCTTTACTTTATTCCTAATTTTAGATAAAGTACGGATTCCTGGAATACACGGGTTTCAATTTTTCATAATGCCATTTGTGGAAACGAAATAGGTCTAGGTAGGACTGGTCAAACCGACATATCACTTATCAATTAAAGCAGATAAACCTGCCTTATGGGAGGCAGATTCACTGGAAACAAAAGGAGCGGAATAACAGCCGCTGAAGATATATCCATGTTGCTGCTAGCCGCCGGGATACCAGGATGAAGTGAATTCAATCCTCGACAGTAGCGCCAAACTAACCGCTACCCTCCTTTCTTTCTCCTTATGTCCCCCCCTCCCTTCTTCAACTGTAGTTGCGTTTATATAGCTAGTCCGTTCTCTCTAACGGCTCATATAACTATCCACTCGGTTTTAAAAGAAGGACTCGGGCATTGTTCTATCAAGCTTTAATTTTCCTGTTTACCACCGGCTACGATAAATGTCCCATATGGCAGTACCCATGTGCGGGCGGACAGGCGTCTGAATGTATCAGTGCACTGGGCGGTAAAATAGCAAGAATCATTTGCTATGGGTGATCCAACGTTAAGCGCTGCGTTGGCCGTTGGAACCGCCACCCTGCATGCATTGAATCGAAACATCTTGACCACCTAGTCCCATTTCGTGGACCCTTTCGGCGTCCCGCTGGTGCCAATATCAGTTCATTGGCTATAAGTCACCAATGATCTCTCTTTCTCAAGTTAGTACTAAGCGCTTGTTTCATGCGTTCAGGATCTTCGACGACTAGAATAGATCTTGGAGCTTTTTTGCCTATAATCGTGTCTATCACGGACAAGAATTTTTAGATCCAGAAAGCGCGCGCGTACCATCGTAGCATATGATCGCCCAGGGTGAGGTGTGCCTCCACTTTTGCTATTACGATGGACGTTATAAGTAGGACGCTTCTCCTCTGGGTCTTTCAAAATCACTACAGTCCTGCTCCATTTACCAATTTTAGTTAACGGCGTTGTCTTTTCATTCAATCCACTCCTACACTGAAAGCCTAAAACTTGCTTATAGACTATCGGCGTTGAATCCAGTAAGTGCATCCCTTATACCCGAGTTCGGAATGATAACTCTTCTTTATCGAAAGGGAGCATGTCGTCCTCACATATGCACCCTCCAGCTGTGATACAGACGGCCGCCACGGCAGTCGCAAACGCACTTACTGCCAGCTCGAAGTATGCTCTAGTTGGCGGCGGTGCGTGCGTGGTTTTGGGGGCTACACGAACAACTCAGGACGTAGACTTCGTCGTTATGCGAGGCCAAACTCCTGCCGCACTCCAGTTACTCCGAGCCTCTCCCCATTTCAACGTTGAACCAAGAACAAACCACACGACATTCAATGCGGAAGGAGCCAATGGCGTGGAGATCGAGATTCTCGCCCCTCCCGCTCTTTTCAAGGAGACTTTCGATCAGAATACCGAGGTCATCACTGTTGGGAATGTGAAGGTCCTCAAACCGGCCCTGATTCTCAATGCAAAATGCCGTTCGATTTTAGACCGACCCAGTGCGTCCAAGAAGAGTACCGATGCTAGTGACATCATCTTCATTCTGGGTTTTTGCGCTCGGGACCCAATGTATCTCCCGAAGGCTGCGAAGGTGCCAAATGCAACCAGGGAATTTGTTCAAATGTTCATTGGACGATTCCGGAATCAAGATGCTTGGACTCGCGCTGGGTACAATCTGCAAACTGGTTTGTTCAGTGCGTCTCGATTAACTTTTGGTTGCTAACGTTGTTGTTTTAGGTCGGTTCACCCGTACTTGAGATTGTTGACATATCGCAAACCCTTCCGTTGTCGCATACATACTTGGATCATCAGGGTGATGTGCCGCAGAACTCAAGAAGCCATTCCTCACCTTGCTATTGTTCGGCTTATTCCGGTATAGCTCTCCTGTATTCTGATATGCCCATACAAAGGGAACGATGGAGATTCCAAGGACGTACTTGCTAAATGTACCAATTTTTGTTTTCTTGTGCCTTAGTTTTAGTGACTTAAGTAACCGTACATTAAAACGTTACTATGCAATTCCTCACTCACTTTTCAATTACTGCTGTCAGAATATCCCTAAGACCTTTCCAGCCTTAAAGGTATTTGACCTTATATGACGCGTAGTCTTTCTTGCGTTGGATCCTAGCTATATCATAAATAGACTCCCTTCATCGGCATACTGCAGCTACTCCACTGATTCATCGTGCACTGGGTCTGGAAGGCGAACTTTCCCCCAGCCACCAAAGAGGGCTTCATCCTCGCGAGGCGCCGAGCATTCCTGTAACTCATATCGACCCTGCAAAAGCGCATCTTTAATGCCACGTTGGTGGTTTCTGAAGGGGAAGCCTAATGAATCCATCCCGGCAAGTACATCGAAATGGAACTGGCGATGCTCGTATTTCATCTGGTCGGCAAACGATCGCTCTTTAAGTGCCGGCACGTATTCGTACAGATAGTTAAAATAACATGACAGGCGAAGCAATAATGTGGGGTCCTCAGTGGGACCGACCAACCAGCTTTCAATCAGGGCATCGAGTAAGCCTGGCAATAGGGGGAACGACAGCTTTGAGGAGTGGGAACGGTTGGTCACAGGAACTCTTTCGAGAGGTGAGTCGGTCGCGAGAGGGAACTTCCAGTCTGAAGCGAGGAGAAGGACCGTCTTCGTTTTCTGGTCGGGGGAGATCAGTGGTGTTTGCGGAATTGCCACAACTGAATCCCCAATTCGACGAGGGTTTTGGGTATCAACAGTCCATCCAGATTTCATAAGGGCGTCGGCAGCGGTAACAATGTCTAAGACAAGGACATATAAATCGAAGACTATCGTGGGAACCCCATGGTGTACCAGAGCATCTTCAAACCAAATGACATAGGGGATCCCAATGTTCTCGAATACGAGACAAGATTTGTATCTTATCTCCGGCCCATACTCAGCGGGGTTCCAAAGAGGTTCTGACATGGTGTGGGAAGACCCGTAAAGTGATCTGACGAAGGGGATGTTGCAGGTCGGCGGGAACGCGGAGTTATGCAGACCGACAATACCAAGGTGCGTCAGCTGACCACTAAACTACATACGGACTGCGGCGGGAGCGATTATTTTATCGCCCTGCTTAACAGATCTGGATAGATTCTATGATATTGTTTATTCGATATTGTTAACGTGTATGATTCCGCTCATTTTTTCTGTGTATTCGAAGCTTCTTTACTACTGGGCTTGTTCCGTATTAAACTGTGGCCAAGGCTGCTGCTTCTTCTTCGTTTTCTGATGCGTTTTCTGATGGGTTTAGCTTTTCGGACTCCTTCGATTCCCTTCGTTTTAAAAAGCTTAGTGGCATTTGTGTAGTGCGACGGGGAGGACAGGCGATAGATTTAGGCGTCAGTCCCTATATATTGAGCAATGCCTACCGATAGCTAGGGCGGCCCGAGGGCAAAGGAGGGAGACCAATCAGCCTCGATTGAACGTGGCATTAGCATTGGCGTAGAGCCGTGAAACCTTCTTGGTCAGTGTTGCCCAACAGCGTGTATCGAGCTGGGGTACATTAATCATAAATCTGGTTGGATCTCTACGCGCCGGGGTTGACCGCCCGACTCTGTGCCACCTGGCAAGTAGACAAGAGACACATGAGGCAGAAACTGAAATTCTAGGGATGGAAAGTATCAAGGCGTACGCCTTTTGCTGGTTCATCATAGCCCCTACCGAAACAGAGCGTTTACAGGGGTCATCGTGACCATTTAACAGTTAGAATCTGAGATAGAACGTCACCAATCCACGCTTACGCCTAATTGACGACACGATGATCATTTAAATGAAATCAATCTTCAGTGGGCTAAACCCGTTAAGTCCATTCAAGAATACTGAACGCAGAATTACGTCTTCAGAAGAATGTCCGAGTTTCATGCAGGCCGTCAGCAGCGGCGCACATAGTTCGGCATAAGCTCGGTACCGAGCTTTTCCCGGGGTTAAACGTCGGTGACATCAGACTTGCCGCCGTCCCTTGCTGTCGCAATCGACACGTCTGAAAGGATCTTACTTGTTTCATGGTGAGAGATTTTTTCTTGCCATGCCCGGGACGAAATCGACATGGGCCTTTCTCTGAATTTTCTCCTCACTTGCTCACCCGACATGTATCTCTGCATGCAAATCTCCCTTGGCATTGGACGTGGCCGCCGCTGTCAACTCGCCGAGGCCGGTTTTTCCCTAAAATTATTGTGCAAATAACGTGCACAGTAGCATGGCAAGCTTGGGTTTTGCTGTCAGTTTTCGAGTGACTCATAATGCAGTATTCATTGTCCCCTTGAGGTATATTGATCCTGAGATAGACATGATGGATGTGGACCTAGCCCTGAATCGACCCGCTGTGTGGGGACAAGCACTGATGTCTTTCCGACGGAACGCTAATTTTGCAGCTCTTATCTGATAATCCAAGCTCTGCGGGTTTTCTAGAACCGTGGTGGCCTGCAGGGTAAGCCCGATGGTGAAAATGTTGCACGGCGGAAACCCGGCACATCTCGGCGTTCTGTCGGCACAGAACAACTATATACATGGTCGAGGTCTCGCAATTTGTAGATGTACATTGTGAATACATTGAACTTATTTCACGCATTTAGGCATCGTATCTATTTTATTTCTCTTTTGCTTACTCCTATTCTAGAATCAAGATGCCTTCTTCAATACCGGACGAACCTCAAGGCGAGTCTGAGCCCTATTTAGATCAACACTTGTTGAGAACCGAGACAAGAGAAAGCTTGCGCAACCTGGGAATTTCTGAAAAGGCGCCTCCTATCGATATCAATTATCCGGAAGCCGGCCATCATGGAGATCCTGTCTTTCCCGAGGAGTATGTCCTCGAAACAAACACAGGTCTCGTGCCCCAGCGAACCCTAGAACAGATGCGGTCCCGCGCCTCACGAGCGAGTTCACCAAACGAAACGAGCGAGAGTGACGTCGAGAAAGGGCCTGCTGAACCGACAGAATTTGTCACCTTCAAGATCGGCGATCCAGAAAACCCTTTCAATTGGTCTCGAGTGTATCGGTGGTATGTTACAATGGTTGCATCGGCGCTTGTGGTCTGCATTGCCTACGGCTCGTCCATCGTCACGGGCGGACTGGGTCTCATCCAAGAACAATACAATGTCTCGCTTGAGGTTGCAATCTTGACCTGTTCTATCATGGTCTGCGGTTTTGCTGTCGGTCCTCTCCTCTGGTCTCCCTTGTCCGAAATCATTGGTAGACGACCTGTCTACATCATCTCTCTGGCGCTTTATGTCATCTTCAACATCCCCTGCGCCCTGTCCCCTAACATCGGCGGCGTGCTGGTCTGCCGCTTCCTCTGTGGTGTCTTCTCCAGCTCTGGTCTATCCTTAGCCGGTGGCACCATCGCCGACATCTGGAGCATCGAAGAGCGAGGCATGGCCATCGCATACTTCGCGGCGGCCCCGTACTGCGGCCCCGTCGTCGGTCCCATCGTTACCGGCTGGATCAACGTCGGCACTGGCCGTCTCGACCTCTTCTACTATGTCAACATTGCATTCTCTGGCCTCATCCTTATCCTGGTCGGTCTGATCCCCGAGACCTACGCGCCGGTCATCCTCAAGCGTCGCGCGGCCTCCCTCCGCAAGTCCACCGGTAATGAAAACATCATCACCGAACAGGAACAACACAAGCCCAGCCTCGCCGACATCGCACGTACCAACCTCATCCGTCCTATCAGCATGATCATGACCGAACCCGTCCTCGACCTAATGTGCATGTACATTGTACTCATCTACTCGATGCTCTACGCGTTTTTCTTCGCGTATCCCGTGATTTTCGGCGAACTTTACGGTTACAACGACGGCCAGATTGGCCTAATGTTCATCCCCATCCTCATCGGCGCGGGGTTCTCCCTCCTTCTCACGCCTCTAATTGAGAACCAATTCAAAGAAATCTGTAAATCGCGCGCACCTACCCCCGAAGACCGACTTATCGCAGCACTAATCGGGGCGCCTTTTATCCCCATCGCATTCTTCCTCCTCGGCGCCACATCCTTCAAGCATATCATCTGGGTCGGGCCCGCGTCGTCCGGAATTGCCTTCGGGTTTGGTATGGTGCTTTGTTATTATGCCGTGAATAACTACATCATCGACTCATACCAGAAGTATGCGGCTTCGGCGCTTGCGGCAAAGGTCTTCTTGAGAAGTGGCGGTGGAGCGGCGTTTCCACTGTTCACGACCCAGATGTATGATCGGTTAGGATTGCAATGGGCATCGTGGTTGTTGGCGTTTATTGGAGTAGCGATGGTGTTCATACCGTATGTGTTTTACTGGTTTGGAGGAAAGTTGAGGGCTAAGTTGACGAAGGGGTGAAGTGCGATTAGAATTTGGTAATGTTAAGGATATAATGAGTGCTGGAGGTTGGTGGAGGGATATAGAAGTTTCTTGCCGATGGTAGTCAATTTAGATTCTTAGAAAGGGCCTAGATATCTAAATTAGATTATAGACTCAATGAATTATTTCTTGTCGTCATAAGGTCATCATGTCGTAAGAAGCATGTCTCTTAAGCGTACTCCACGTTCCTCTTGACCAGTCCAGCATCGTTAGAGCCCCGTTCGTCAAGTATGAGCGCCAATCTGCCCTCTCCATCATCTTGAAAATTCTCGTCATCGGATTCGCTAAAGCCTCTCTTCCCCGATAGCACCCGGACCTTCGCCTGTGCACCATAAACACCCATACCGGTGATACCGGCTCCGGTGTTTTTCAACGCCTCAGATGGCGGGGAGTTCATAGCCAACGCAGCAATTTCCATCGCAGAGGACCAGCTATCGGCGCTAACTCCGATTATGATCGTGTAAACTGTATATCCCAGCGCTAAGGCACAGTACGCCAATAGTACAATAATAGCCAGAATGGACGGCGTGCCTCGGATTTTGAATGAGTAACCCACAGCAAAAGTGTCCTTCTTGAACATGGTGTACTCGTTTTCCTTGTCGGCATCTACACTGAACACGTCACTATTCTCAAGCCAGCGATGCGATAGTCGTCTGTCAGTGTCTTCGTGATAAAGAATCCCGTCGGTCGCCACAGCACCGGTTAGGTTGGCGTAAAAGCCTGCGCGAGAGACACCGTTCGCTAACATAGCCGAGATAATGGAGGCCATCGTAATGGTATCGTTCGCCATGATTCCAGATGCGCGAACCAACTCGTTGAAGACTGTTGTGTTCTGCGTGACGTTGTCTGCGGCGGGAATGGTTGGGTTTAAGAGATTGAGCCATGACTGCGAAAGGCCGATAGGTCGTTGTGGGAAAATGGGATATTCAAAATTCGTGCCGGCACTTTTCTGTGGATTGCCAGTTACCATTTGCCGGAACCACCTGTATCCAGCCGACGTTGTTGACTGATTGGCTTTGTTGAGACTGCTTGATATGCGATTCGGGTCTTGTGCATCGGCGGTCACATTCAGAGTACTGCCAGCCCATCCGGCGCTGGCGGTGCACACAGATATGTTTAAAGGGTAAGAAGAGTTATCAGGGATATTGGGAGGGATAATGAAGGCCAAGAGAGAGTCATTAGAAGCGGTCACCTGGTCCCCATGGCCTGGTGCGTCTAGCCCGAGCCACCAGATTCGGTAATCACTGCGTTTACCCTTCGCCGAGAGAATTGAGGACCAAGTAACGTTTGGAATCTCGGACCAGGTTTTGTCTGGGTCATAGTATGTTGGGTAATCCGCTGTTCGGACACGCAGGGCCCATTCATCTGAGGAAGCAATTTCTGTTGGAATAGTGGCCGGACTGTCGATATTTGTGGTGTTTACCCAAAGGGTATTGCATGCACTAGTGACGTACGCTTGATCATAATGGCCTTTCAGAAGATGGTACACCATTTTATTGCTGTTGATTGGTACATTTGTCCACTGAGACATGCCTGACGACATCCAGCCGCCCATTGAAGGCTCGGTTTTTCTCACATTGATAGTCTGCCCGAGTGCGAGTATCCACATCTCCGCCATAGACATCAGAGCGTCTGTGATGGCTGCATGAGGGGTAGAAGCAAAGGTTGACACTGTTGTTGCGAATTCCTGATTTTGCACATTCATATATTTAGGGTTCATGATGGACAAAGACCGAAGGGAATTCTTTCCCGTTACTTGGGCACTAGCTGACGTTCCGGGGCGACCTGTTAGGTAGTTCTCGAAGTAGCTCTGGTAGTCTTTCTGGACGTTGGTGTGGTTTTGGAGGACGAAATAACTTCGTAGCTGGCCGTACTCGCTCCCGGGGCAGTCGTTGCTAAGAAGTGGATCCTATAAGCCAGCAGATATCAGTATGCCTGGGCGAGATTGTAATGCCCTGGTTCTTTTCCTACCTGTATGTGTCGGCAAGATTCACGATCCATCACACTGGACGCGTCCAGAGTGTCAGGCCATATTTCTTTTGCAGGGGCGTTAACCCAGAAGCGCGTGCTCCCTGCCGGCCATGAATCAACCCGAGGGATCATGAGAATAGCACTCGAGGGACCAGCACCAGTGGCCAGGACTATTGCGGCGAATACCATGGCAACAGTAGCGAGGCTTCTTTTCATGCGACCCAAGGAGGACTTAAACGATCCCGCAAATGCCGAAGACCACAGGTACGTAACGTCGGTGATTTTCGCGGCCGAAAATATCAGTCCAAATGGAACACCCCGCATACTTGTCAGCTGGCGACCAATCTCATTTCCAATAATGTACGTTAGGGATGCCTGGATCAGGATCTCATGTGCCTTCGCAGCGAACTGCAAATAGCTGACATTGGCGACGGTAGCACCGAGATACCGACCCCGAATGGTGAGAATAACCAAAGCTAGGGACGCTGCAATTGGTACAAGATGAATGAGTGAGCGTAACAGAGCTGCTACTCGACTTCCGCGTACAGCAACTTTGGGCGTTTCTCGCGAGGTCCCAAGCCACCGTCGGAGAGGAAGGATTAGCAAGTGCAACCCTAGGACACGAAGCGTTGAAGCGACTTCATAAAGCCACGTATTCCTCCATCCTCCAGTAGGGCTCTTTGCGAATTTTATTCTTCTAATGAATTAGTATCTGCCATTCAAATGATCAGGTGCTACTTACGGGGCTTCATCATCTTCGGTATCATCCTCGCGGGCGCCTCGACTCTGGAGAGGCACGTCGTCCGACTGTGTTCGCGTGTAGAAAGGAAGATTTAATCGTCGATTTACCATCGCTATGGACCTTGTGAAATGGCATATAGTAGGTTTTATGGTGTGTTACACACGCAGAATTCGTGCACCTGTCAGCTGCAGCTGCAGCGATACGGGGATCTGGGATTTAATAGAATTCCCAACGGTGAAGGGATGCCAAGATTCTCTAGGCTGAAACTGGGTATCGTCAAACAACCGTGCATTACATTTGGGGGCCGAAATCCAGAATTGGCGAGGCTGTCATGCAAGTGGAGGCTATGTGCCATGGCCAAAATTCAATTGATATTACGGACTTTGTCCGCTGGGCTAGGTACCCAATCCTATCTTTTCCACTTCTGTCTAAATCCTCAGGCAATTAATATAGCCTAATAATGCCTAGTAATATCAGCTCGTGTCAATTTATCTTCACCGGCAAGAACCCTAATCCGTAATACTATGCACGTATAATTTTGGGTCCCTGCGCCCCTCCGCGCCACACAGCCGGGACACCGGGGCTCCTTCAGGTTTAAATTTAGATGTTTGTTCTTCGAATCAAACTAGAAGCAATGTTATCGCGGTCGACTTCCTCACGTGAGAAATTTCATATTTTTCCACTTTCTCTTTCTTGTCTCTATTCTCCTAGTCAGTATTTCTTCATTTGGATTTAGTGAGGATCGTTACATGGCCATTGGGCTCGTAACGAGATCCGATTCGGGTTATGGGCTGGGTCTTCGGTAATGATCCACTAGAGAAACAGGAAATGATCGGCATTCTCATTGGTATAGGTGCCGAACACTTAGAGTACGACATCGTTCAAGCGTTCTTCCGGTCAATATAAGTTAGTTAGCGATGTCAATATAGTGAGCGGGCAAAACTCAGCAAAGCAAGAAATGAAGAAACCATACATAACTCCTATACGCAAATAACCCTTCATCTATACCTAACCTGCTTCATATTTCCTTGCTACTGAGCCTGCAACTGACAGAAGGCCAAGCGATGATGGCTTCTTGCGCATGAGACTTTCCAGCACGTGTTTGACCATAAAGAACGGATTACCAAGGCTTAAAGATCTCACTTGTATCGAAGCATCCTGGACTAAGTCTGGCATTTCGATAGCCTTGAGTGCGATAGATGTGACAAGTCCTCTGTTCCCGATCTTCATTCCGGATACGCCATATCTGTAGACTGCACCTGCTGGCCAACTTCCATCACTGCATTGCAGTGACCTGAGTATGTCCATGTCTCTGAGATTTGGTATGTTCAGGATCTTACAGGCCAACGCCCTCATCGCCAAAGCGCTAGGGTCACCAGCCTCGCCGATCCGCTCCGTTATCCTTGTCTTTAGAATTGGCAACAGCTGACTTCGCAGACTCGGGATTCGCAGGTGTTCCGTGAGCCTGGCTAAGAAAAATAAGAATGACTCCGGTGATGAATAGTAACGCGTTCCATTTAGATAGGCGCGATTTGTCAACACCCGTAGTAACCAATCCCATGTGGGTTTGAGCTCGTCTTGCCGACCATGCTTGAGAAAGAGGTACAGGACGTTCACGCAGACCACGGGGTCGACTCGGGGTCTAGATCTATCAAGGTATGCCTGAGGAGATTATCACAAGCTATAGAGTCGGGTTTCGGTGTTATTACCATAATTATCCCATCTTCACTCACATAGGCGAGCATCTCATCCATTACAGAGTTTACCACATCTCGATCCAAGGGCAGTATGGATAATGCAAGAGCAGTTGTGTCCAGATCGCTAGGGAAAGATTCAGTGGTGAGTTGAGTGCCTCCTAGCAATTATCTTAAATCAGATTTCACTCATAAAAAAGACAGGGCTAGGCTCACCGATAAAATAGTTCCATGTGCCGTCTACTGAATCACTGATCTCTGGCTCAGGATCATTCAACGCTGGGTGAATTACCGGGGCATCATACCTTCGTTTAGTCATTTCTAGGATAAGTAGCTGGGCGAAATTGTTTTTGATGACATGGCCTTGGTTCGTAATGCTGTTCAGCTGCTTTGCTGTATTCTCTAAAAAGCTATAGCCGCGCATCACCGGGTCGTCGAGGATATTCAATAATTGACTGCGAAGGTTTTCAAGGGAAGTAAATTGAATGCCTCACATCCCTAGAGAAAGAGCTGAGAGTATGTTCTCCTGGCAATCATCTACCAAGATGATTGAGTCCGCAGGTATACCAACTTGCTCCAAAACATGGTTGTAAAAGCAAAGGTCTGGCTTTCTCATGCCCACATCACTTGATACGAAGATGCGATCGAAGATTGGCCATTGTTCCAAAGTCGAACGTATATGGCTCTGCTTCGGCTTTGGAGTGTTCGTCATATCGTATATCTTCAACCCTCCCCGTGACTCTCTCAGGTTCTTGATAAGCGTCATTGTCTCTTCGTTTACTCGTAGGCTTTCACCTGCGCCTTTCATGAAAGCGCTGATATCTGCTGCGTCAACCCCAAATCGCTTTTCGACTTTTTCGTAGCATTCCTTTTCTTCGGAGCTCCCTCGTTCGTAGCCTGCCCAGATATCGGATGCCATGATATGTTTGAGTGGCAGTTTGGGAATGCGGCTCTCCGTGGGAGGTTTCCAGGATACAAGGACATTGCCCCAGTCTAGAACCAGTGCTTTCATTGGGGCCATATCAAATATCGTATTCGAAAGGTTTTTGGGCAATAGAGAGCGCAAGAGCTTGTTCTGTCGCCGTTGACATACAAATCACACAAGTAGTGCGTGAGATATCCCCAGCTCAAATCAGTAATCGATGTGTCGAGTTAAAAGTTCTTCCACAGCAGACCCGGAAAGGTGAACCTATATCTAAGACGGTCTGTCCTCAGCAGGATACGCTCATGTCCCAGTATACTTACTTCACAAGGTAAGAGTGTGACTTGTTCTTGCTTCTCATTACGCTTTGAGAAACTATATTTAATGCCGCAGTGGTGCTAGCTTTCAAGTATCATATGAACGAGATCAGTATTTATAATGCCATAGAGTCCTAAGGAACGGTATCAGGATCTTGACATCACATCTTATACCAAAGAGCACCCAAACATAAAAGACTATCTATCGACAGGAAATGGCACGTTTCCGCGCGTTGTAATAGGTATGTTCTCCCGAAGACCCAACCCACGATAATAGGTCATTCAGCGATCTAAACGTCAAGTTAATCGATTGGTTCTGGAATTGGCGTTCACTGAGTAGAATTTTAGCTTATAAGGGGATTCGACATTGTTCTCTTACGTCGCTTGCGGGGCTGTTTGAGCTTCTTGTGTCAAATAGCCTATCTTTAGAGGAGATCCATGGTCTCCGTCACCGATTTGCTCCCTTGCATTTCATGGCCTTATACCTTTCCTGGCTTAGGTGGCGGATAAACACAGTGGTAATTCCCTGAGATACAACAGAGTAAGCTTTTTCAAAGGCTGGCAGGAAACTATCAAATGTCACAAAAGGTGGCAAAACGGCACTCAAGGCGTGACAAATTGTCATGTTCAATCTTAATATTGTGGGATTACCATATTTGAGGACAAGCTTCGCAGAATGTTTGACAGCTTTTATGGTTTGAGTGGAGCCCGATATCCCTACTTACGGTTCTCCGCGGCGTCTACATCACGTCCGAGTTTTTCAATTCTTTTACAAGATATCTGGTCCGCATGTAAGGTTCTACTTCCGACGTAACGCTTCATTTTAATCCTGCTGATTTTGGTCACTTACTCTCGCACCCTTTGGTAGGCTCAAATTGGTTCCGGCTTTATCTTACCAATCGAAGTATCACATTAAGGTCGACGAATCAGCGAACATCAGCGCCACATCAGGTCCCGGTGTGATTAGAAGAGTCAAAGGCATCTTTTGAGAGATATTCAATACGATTGCGAGGCCTCTGATTAATCGCGTAACTAAGCTTAGTCTCCACTGACGCGTCAGAACCCAACCTCCAGGCGCTCCGAGGAGGCAGAAATGTTCAATTTAAATCGGGTATATCTTAAGAGGTTCCCAACTCCCATTGATCTGCCTCCTTTGGGATTTTTGGTCGTATAAAGACTAGTGTTCTTATACTTATATAATATCTACTGTATTTGAATATTCTACTCGATCAACCTCCCTTCTTCCCTGTGAGCACAGCATGTTAGACGAATCATTCCCGGCGAATGGTTTCGTCGATACTATTGTCCGCCTCATGGATACTATCCAACATAATGACGAAAACTACACACATGAAGAACGTGTGCGACATCTTTACTATGCCTATACACAGGCTGCAGCTCATTTCGCTCAGCCATACGTACGATATACCCTGAATGTGAACCCAAGCAAGGTCCAGGCCGCACTGGAGACAATCACTGGCATGGTAGTCTATTGCTGGGTCAAAGCATCGCCTGACCTTATGGCTGCATTGACCATCCACTTCACGTATACCCTCATCCTAGACGATAGCAAAGATAATCCTTCCCTCAATATGGGATCTTTCTTTAATGACATGGTCGAGGGAAAACCACAGCAACATCCGTGGTGGAGATTAGTCAACAGACATTTCCCTAATGTTCTAGATCGCTATGGACCGTTTTGCTCCTTGAACATTTATCGTAGCACAGTCGATTGTTTGTCTTCCCTTCCCGACGCATCGAGTTCCTCCGAACTAACCTTTCTTTGACAGTCTTCGAAGGTTGTTGGATTGAACAGTACCACTTCCATGGCTACCGCGGAGCAGAAGACTTTCCCGAATTCTCACGAAGAATGAACGGCCTCGGGCACGCCGTCGGGGCCTCTATATGGCCAGCCGAGATGCTCGATGAGCGGATGCATTTTCGTGAAATTACCACCTCCATCTGCATGTTGGAGAACTGGATGGTTTGGGTCAATGATTTGATCTCTTTCTACAAAGAGTTTTACGACGAGCGGGACCAGACCAGTCTCATCAACAATTACTCCCACGTGAATGGGATCAGTACCACCGAGGCTCTCGAGAAGCTCATCCAGAACACGCTCCGGGAGAGTGAGCAGATTTTGTCTGTTTTTAGAGATAAAGATCCGTTGATCCTGGATACGTTGACTCGATTCATGCATGGCTATGTCACCTGGCATTTATGTGACCGTCGCTATCGCGTAAATGAGATTTATGAACAGGTCGATAGGGGCAATGAGAACGGTCGGAAATTCTGTCGGTATTTCGAAAGAGCTAACGAGGTCGGCCGGATAGACTCGTCAGAATGGGCTCTCCCACGCGTTACCGAGTTGTGGAGCTCTAAAGGCAAACCAGGGACAGTACAAAAGGAGTGTGGCGAACAGCATCACATGGTTGCCCCTTCATTGATTGAGCTCTGAAATTGTCTGTCATTCGAGACTGCGTCCACTGAGTGGGGCATCTTTCTTTGTTTAATTATCCGCTTGAACCATATCTTTGTACGGGAATAGCATACCTGCCTGGTTTTACGCAATGCAGGTTTTAGGTACAATCTTCGTTGTTTGCTAAGAACATTACGTTGTTTTGATCCAGAGTGAAAGAAATTAGAAAAGATCCCCTTCGCCTACTTCCATGAGAACCATAAGTCATTGATCTTTTCTCTAGCGATTCACTGCGGAGCAGCACCCTTGACGCTGACGTATGCCTGCTTGACCTCCTCACGGCCAGTCATTCCCTTGAGCCATTTTTCAATGTTCGGGTATTTGTCCAAAGAAAGACCAGCAAAGGCGTACTGTCTAACCCACGGCTCGAAATGGTAATCAACGGCTGTCACTTTGTCTGGCAAAATGCTCTCTCCGGATGTCTTTTCGAGGTGCTTCTCAAGAACATCGAAGCACCGATAGCTCTGGGCAACATATCTTCCCAGCGCATCCTCATTCTTGGTCGCATTGTAGTGGCTACAGCTTTTAGTATCGTTCTTTCAAGCTCTGAAGGACAGATACATACCGGAACCAGTTCGTCTGACCCAACATTGGCCCGAGAGTGGTGAGCAGGAAGTACTCCCACTTTTCGAAATCAACAATATCCTGTTCCGCATTGCTAACGGGGCCTAACTTTCCAGCCTTGTCGTATACGCGTCGAACGTAGTTCATGCAAGCGCCTGATTCCCATGAGACGACGCCGGTGTTGGGGTCCTCTAGGGCGGGAACACGTCCGTTCTCGTTGATTTGCAAAAACTTGGTTCCCTTTACTCCATTTTCGGCATCATCGCCAAATTGCCATTGCTTGACTTCGTATGGTACTTGCAGGTACTGCAGCGCTATGGCGACCTTGATGGGGTTGGGACCGGTTGAATGGGCGTGCAAGATGAGGGGCTTGATTGAGGACATATTCTTCTTGATATGATCACTATAGCAAAAGTCGAAGATAATATGTTAGCATTGATTCCGGGGTGATGGTCTACAAAGGATCTGTGGTGTAGAAACAGCTGAGATACCACCTCGCTGTGGGAGCATTTATAATGTGCTGTGGGGTTCCATGACGTGTTAGAGCAGTTGGGGTATTTCTCCAACTCCTCAAGTTCCTCATCTACAACAAATTTGGAGATTTGCGAAGGTCTACAGTTTTCAGGCACATACAGTATTAAAATCTTTCCACCTCAAATTTAGGCATATAATCCCTGCTGGATCATAAATATCGCTCTTATTCCTGTCTCGGTCGGCATCAGTAAAGAGCTTGGCAGTCATGCTAGTATGCCTTTACTACACTAAGAACCACCTGACATCACCCCTATTATAATTCCATAATCTAATATAATCCACATAATCCCAATGGCTTTTGGCATTATAATCAAGGCTTTAATCCAATATCTCTATGTTTAGCTTATACGCAATATGTACCTTTTGCTTATCACTGCTCCGATATATCATACACGTGCAAATCACAATCGCCCAAATATTCCAATTCCTTTCACTTGGCATTTCTTTCACAGTTACATTCGACTATCACGCTCACAATTGCCAACTTATGCTCACCAACGCACATTCAATGACAGCAGACCCTGGAACAGTGGGTATCGCAAGACCAGTGGGTCATGGTTCGCCATGACGTCATCGCTCGCGAAGGACATATGAGCAGCTCGACTGCGACATTCTACTCTTCTTCCCTATTCAATCTTATCTCACAATTTCGAATAACATACCTCAGCCTCATAATCATGTCCGAATCTTTTGCTGCCATCCGAAGCCGTCGCTCCGACGAGCTCACGCGCCTAGCCAACGAACACATCCAACAGGATCTCCGACCCGATGATCGCGACGCGCTGAAATCGGCCGCCTCCAGAGTGTCCTTTTGGACTGCCTTCGGCTCTGCGGTGGGTGTTGGATTGGGACTTTACACTGCTTTCCGGTTAAGAAGCACGCGACATGCTTTCTTCCAGGCTTTCCGCGCGCAGGAGAGACCTACACAGGTCGTCTTTGCGGATGGACGGACAGGTAGGCGTCTTCGCTACAAGTTTCGCGAGAACGATTAAGTGTTGACTGATATGGTTTGCAGAGTCACTGCCTGATATTACGCCCCTATTGAAACCTACTACGTTTGGTGATTTTGCGACGTATTTCTTTGCGTCTGCGGGTGGTTTGTTCTTGGGTGGAGAGCTCGGTAAGTGTTTGCATAAATTTACTCGGATAACAGCGCGTCTAATGAGTTTCTCCTGCTATAGGCCTTGTTGGAGGTGCCGCCGGTGCGCGTAGCTCAATCACGTCCGAACCCGAGAGGAAGGAGAGAATTGAGAAGGCGTTCCGGAAGTTCCGAGCAGATGTACTGCGGAAGGAGGCCGACTCTCTGGACTCGGGAGACAGCGTTTGGGATAAGTTGTTTTAATATGGGGTTATGGAGTGGTTTGTCAAATGTTGATATATCTTGGCCATTTCGGAGCAAGTCACGGTTCCTACGAATACCCTCGTAATGAATGAAATTGATGTGTTTTCGATTTAATTTTGGCTCTATGGTGAGAGTCCTAGTCATTAGTCTATACTATTTGTTTGCTTTCACTACAATAGAGGGGTTCCCATGGGGAAGCCTAATAACTTTCTGATATCGATCTCTTGTTTCGAGTCCTTCCACCTTTCAACCTTTCGACTTTTCACCCCAGCTTGAGCTACCTATCACGATCACTGGATTTCAACTTTTTTATTATATTTTTTTTTATAATTTTTTTTCTATTCTTTTTGCTTGTGAAAATAACAGTGATCAAAAAAAATCTTGGGAACAAAAAGATTGACCGACGCAGGGGTCGAACCTGCAATCTCTTGATTCGTAGTCAAGCGCCTTGCCATTGGGCCAGCCGGCCTGGTTGTTGAATAGCACCGCTTTCTTTGACGTCATAGCCCACAGATGCCGGTCTGCGCATAACGGGTTAATGTCCGGATGCAGTCATGGTTCGGTTCTAATGGTTACAAGAAAAAAGCTTTATCTTTGGGTTTGCTTTTTCATTGAGTTGTTTAAAGTATGTGAAGCCTAATACTATCTCTTCATGTTGCTTTTAGGTTATTTTCACGGCTGTTATTTCCAAGCTCAATCCATGTATAACACCATTCCGCAATATATAAAAATTCTTCAGCTCTGGCTCCATTTGCAGGTTCGATTCGGGGAATAGCAGTGCGCACAGCGAACCAGGTCAAGTGCTACCGACAAAAGACGTCGAATTCCAGTCCGAAGCAAACTACCATAGGTTAGCGTGTCCGGAGAGAAACCAGGCAGGGAAACATACATTCCAAGCATCGATCCGAAGCACCGAACCATCGTCCGATCGCTCGACGGGCGTCAAAATACCGATGGCTGGAACTCCATTAGCAACTCTCCTCTTGACCAATGCTGAAACCTGATTTACTACATACCAACGATGTTATTCAACCAATAATACTCCTCACTCCCAGTCTCGAAGATTAATCGCAGGTGCAGCTGGCCAGAGGGAGACATCGGGCCCGATGTTTGGATGAAGATATCCGCGCCATCGTGGGTCTTCAAGTTGTACCGAGTGTCTGCGGAGAATACATTGGTTTTGGGATCAATGGTACCCCAATCGGCACCCAGGTCCCTGATTTCACCTGATGTGATGTTAGACAGACAGTATGACTCAAAGTGCCGGGTCTTACCAGAAAGTCTAGGTCCAGTGAAGTTGCCTCCGACAATAGGGATGGCTTTGCGGACTCCGTGGGGACCGTGCTCTTCCATCAAGTTGCCCTTGCATTCTACATAGGCCGTGTAGAGGAATGACAATCCCGGGGCGGATGGTTGGGTGCTAGAGACTGCTGCTACGGGCGCGATTAACGTGGGTTGCAGCAAGCATAATGCAAGAACAACTTGAAGGAAAGTCCATAGGAGGGATCTGGAATTGACTTTGAACAGCATCTTGGAATGATAGGAGTAATTTGCGCTGGATGCCAATAAGGAATGGCTAATAGATAGATTATCTACATCTCGAGAGCTTCTTATATATGTTGAGCATGTCTTCATAGATGAAATCAATCCACACCCCACACTTCCTGAGTGGAGGAGAAACCCCAGGATTTAATTTAAACGACATGCCGAGGTGTGTCGATCACCCAGAGTCCCGTACAGACATGCCGACTATATGCCGATCCAAATGCCGAGTCAACATCATTATGCATTCTAGGTGCATAAGTGCATGGCTAGATGAGCTTTACACCTTGTTTCTAATTATTGAAGTCTCCGCTTACACTCGAGAGGTTTGCGGTTAAAACTCGACGTGTTTATAATGTTAGATGTAGGGAAGCATAGACAATGGCAATCTATAGGTATGGATATCTAATGGAGATTAAGTGGACCGAGAATCGATAAATATCACCAGCTTGCTATGAAATGGTGTTCTCTGGGGTTCATGGGAAATCATCGATGACCAACAGCTGTTGTTTGGGGCGAGCGAAATATCCCAGGATCGTAGAATACACCCCGAGGTCCCCTTGAGATAACAGCCAAATCCATCACAGCCCGAGACTCGATAATCCCCTTTAAGCCATTGCTCTTGCCTCAGATATGGCAATGGCAATGCATGTGGTTTTACATCGGATAATGGGATTTCACACAATACTATCCCCCTGGAGATGGGGGAACTAAACCTGGCGAGTGAAAGAACAATATGCATATTTGACGCAAGGGACGATAGATCACACGATGAATAATTAAGATGAGAAAATTTATTTAGTTTCCCTGTTGAGAGCAGACATAGTGTTTCTTAGAGCAAACGAGAGCCTGATCTTCAACTATTAACAGTGTGTTGATGAAAGACTTAAGACGTACTATAATGCCCGCCGAATTCAAAGCAATTTTCGCTGTATTTATAAGGAGCGCAAACAAGCATGCTTTTTTCAGAAGAAATCAGGTTGTGCAGGAAAGCCACAACATCAGTGGCCGCAGGTGTATCTTTGTTGCAGGGAAAGAGAAATCAACGACTGCTAACATTCCATTACGGAAAGTAAAACCCGCCTACTACCGGAAGAAAAAGACTGGTCTGGAACCCGGGAATAATTAAGGGGCACAATAAGCAATTCGGGCGCGTGATGAGAGAAACGGGACTTTAGATGTTACCGGCCGTCTATTGCTAGCCCTTCGCCAGAGCTTGACTGTTTTATAATTGGTGTGAAGCTCAAAATTTTAAGCCATTTCGGGGAAATGCCCTCGGATATACTCCCTAGCTTGCTCGGGCAGTCGGTCACCTGCAGCATATGTGACGAACCGGTTCGTATTATCGTCTTAGGTCCGACAATAGGGATTATCTATATTGCCCGATCGTTAACTTGCAGAGTTTTCAATCAACTAAGAATCACTTTCGTCCAATCGTATTCGCTCGCTTGGATTTCCCCCGTTTAACGCACGTTACGTCTTAGGTTAAACACTCAGGGGCTGAAATAATACAGCCCTCGAAAGAATGCCGAAAAAACCTGCCCGTCCCAGTTTGACGGACTTCAGACTCAGTCTAGCTATTATAGACCGGGTCGAGAGCCCGACTAAGAAGATGGTTTGTGTGTTGTTCCTATGGGGGGTCAGCCAGCCCGGTGCGTCTCATCCTTTTCGTCTCATGTGAAGTGGATAAAAACGACGAAATTCTCAATTTGGTATTTTTCAATTTTTGTTTGGATTTACACACGTGGCATCTCAGGCCTAAGTGATAAAAAGATGAAGGCTGAAGGGTTGAGTGGCACATCTGGATTGGTGGTGGTGGAAACCATAAATTTGCAGCTGAAGGACGCCCGCCACATCTTGGTGGCACTTTGGGGTTACTTTGAGATAGTACTGATAGTAGATTCAACGAAGGTTAATTACTCTCAGCTAGTCGTCAAATCTTATAATAAACGGAAGTTAATAACGCCCCTATCTTGATCTATGCTCTCTTGCGGAATTGCACCATTGGTCCCTCCCTGATGCTAATGTAGCTGTCAATGACCTGGAACACGTTCAAGTCATGTTTTCCCCAGATACTCTGCTTGTTTCCCGTTCCTGTCGTGTCCCCCGGGAGCAGGCGCATATCATACATCCAAAGCGTTTTGGCAATCGTCAGGTAAATCTCCAGAAGGGCGAAGTTCTTTCCAGCACAGCTTGTTGTTCCAGCAGTGAACGGAACACAGCTTGAACGGGCCCGGGCCACATCCTCTTCGGTGACTCCAGTTGCTGAATCAACTATCCATCTCTCAGGTTGATATGTATCAGGGTCTGCGAAATATTCCTCGTTGCGATAGAAGCTCCAGTGAGACACGCCGACGGTCGTGCCCTCGGGGATATATGCCCCGTCGATCATCATGCCGCCTGCAAGAACAATTCGCGGTAGCTCGGAGGGTCCGGCGGGTGTGATTCGCATTGCCTCGTCTACACAAGCGCGCATATAGGGGCAGCTGGACAGAAGCTTCGGGCCGCTTTTTAATTCCTCGAAGGATTGGAACGTGCTTCTGATCTCGTTGACAATCCTTGCGTATGCGTGAGGCGTGCGAGTGATGTAGAAGAAGAATCCCGCTAAGATTACAGACGTGGTATCTGAACCTGCAATGGTTAACATGACTACCTCGGCTTCCAGTGCTGCCGGGTTGAACCCTGGTTGACCCGTTAGCGGATCTACTGCATCGATAAGATGCTGTAACATATCATTTCGTCTTTGATGTGGCTCGGAACTCTGCAGCTTCAGTCTCTGATCCAGTGACTCTCGCACAAAGTCGTATAGGAACCGAACTTGTGGCGGAGTCATCACCCCGAGAAGCCAGTCAAGGCCTCGTGGCTTGAGCCATGCAACAAGGTTCAACCATGGCGAATGGCCGAGCTTTCAGCTAGTTAGCTATGCCTACATCCACGCAGAGACAAGTAACATACCGGATATAGAATCTTTAGGAAGAATGCGATGATGTGCGGGATCTTGCGATACTCATTCTCACCCGGTTCCTTCGTATTAACTGTCCGGCCAAAACAAAGGTCACAGAGTACATCAAGAACAAGATAATCGCAAGTATCTGACATTTTTCTGGGCGAAGACCACTCGGCTCCATCGCCATCAACGAGGAGCTCACACCACCGGGTGACATGTTTAGCTAGAAGGGGTTCCATGGAGCGAATCGACTTTTCGGAAAACACAGTGTTCAAGACGCGTCGTTTTTGCGCATGAAGCACCGGATCAGTTCCTGTGAGTGTACTGGTGTCTTCTGGATGGCGGGTCATAACGTCGTAAAACTTTGAGCGCTTGACATTGGCTTTTTTGTTGAAGATATCGCGATACGCCTGTGGAGTTTTGAAAAGAAGGCCATCGGGACGATAGCGAAATACTTCTCCGTAGACTCTATGATTATGCGCAATCCATAGGTGCCGAGCTCCAGTCAACGACCAGTAAAAGTCCGGAACAGAGGAGATCTTTGACAACAATGGACCAGGGTACCTTGCCAAGGGGCTGAAATAGAGGTTGTAGATCGCAGAGCCGACAAACTGCGCACATGTTAGTTTCTAACAAAGATCAGTGAATGTTTTCGCTAACTTACATAACAAAATGCGCTGCTCATAAAGATTTCCATCCAGTAGTCGAGAAGCGCTCGACAAATCGCAGCAATATACATGGTTAACTTCGAGAGTTAGCAACGACTTGTGTAGCAACAAAAACGGTGTCTATACCAGCAATGGCAGAAATCTCTTTATACACCGACTCATCTTGTCAGGTCGTCAACTTGAATAGTTAAATTGCCACATCAGCAAGCCATGATGTATGTACAAGTCAGCTCGTACTTCCCAGCTGACATTGTGGCGCCCGCTTGTATTTTTCAATTCGGGTGGAGATACATATCAGCAAGCCACAACAAACCACTCCATCTATGGGTGCCCATTTCGAGCTCTTTATCATTCCTGTGGCGTATATGTTGGGCTCGATGGATATTGACCCTGGAGTATTTATAGTTGGTCTTAGATTCTCCTACCACTTTTCTAGTATTGACATCCGTTGTTGAAAACTACAGTTAAGGCGACAATTCTATACAATATGAACGTTTATATGGACTGGCAGCAGTCGGTTAGATGGGCTTGGAGTCTCATTAAAAGCCTGGCTATCTCCGAGTACACCCAGAACTCCAAGACATCCACCGCGTTACTTCCCGGATCTCAGACAACCGACACAACGCTAAAGGACCGAGCGCTCTATGACCAGGTATGGCACTCGGAGTCACCTACTGTGGAGCTGGCTCAATCACCGCTTTTTAAACCGGCTCCACTTTCTCTAAGCATTGAAGACCGAACTCGTTTAACGTATAGAAGGGCCGTACTTATATGTGGTGCATTCAGTGAGATTCCTCTCCCGTTCCGCGCCAGGCTCGTCAGGCTGACAACCAATAGACCTAACGATCGAGGATGTTCTGTACCTGACTCCAAACTTCTGGAGGCTACAGACCGACCTGATAGCTGCCGTGGATGGCGGGGCCATCACGCTGATTACTATCCAATATAACCTTTTCGTTGGCACTGTGGCACCATACGCAGATGGTCGGCCGGACCTCCAATTGATTCTCGATCGAGCTATGAAATTTAAGATTTCGTATGTATTGAACTTCTTCGTTAGGGAACTGAGGCCGTAACAATAGCTTATTTTGTTTTCAGTGGACAATTCCTGCTCACTGAAGTCGGTCATGGGTTAGATGCCCGGAACCTTGAAACAACTGCGACACTTCTACCAAACGGAGACTTTGAGCTGCATAGCCCAAATTTAGCTGCTGCAAAGTAAGTTAAGACTACTTCAATAGCTAGCTATATGTTGAATTCGGAACCAGATGCATGCCCCCTACTACGCCACGGAGCGGCCTCCCTTCAATCGGTGTCGTCATGGCTAAGTTAATGGTCGAGGGCGAGGACTATGGAGTACGGGCTTTTCTAGTTCCCTTGACCGACGGAAAAGAGACGTGCAAAGGAGTAACCTCAAAGTAGGCTTTAGACCTCTAATAGTCCAGCTTAAAAACGTCAATATTGACTATAGCAGGGCTCTCCCTCCTCGCACTGGCGCACACCCCATCGACCACGCTCTCACATACTTCGACCACGTCCGCCTTCCCAGCTCAGCTCTCCTTGGGCCGATCGCGAAGCCCAAGAATGAGCGATCCCAGTTTTTCTCTTCGATCCAACGCGTCTCAGCTGGAACGCTGTTTCTATCAGCTGGATGTATCCCACTTCTCAAGAACGCGATCTACAACGCTAGCTTATTCAGCATGCGACGAAAGGTCAAAAACTACGACGGAAAGCTAATAGCTGTCATGAGTTTCCGCACCCAACACCTTCCGATCCTGCATGCAATCGCTCAATATCATGTTCTACAGGCGTTTTTCATCAAGGCAGCGACAGAGTTCCGGAATCCCGATTACGATGCGCGAGTACGTCATGCCTTTGCGACGGTGTTCAAGGCCGTTGCGTTGCAGCATTTTCAGAAGAGCATTAAGGCTATCAATGATGGGTGTGGGTGGCATGGGTATTTTGAACATAACCAAATTCTGCAGAGCGAGGTGAGCAAATCATAATCATCTCCGTGATTGTGTGCCTTTTCTCGGGTGGCTAATGTTTTTCTCTAGTTGGAGTTCCGCGCAGTAGGGACAGCAGAAGGTGACATCAGAGTCCTTGCTATCAGTGAGTTTCCTTCTACCGAGATGTACAACATCTAGTTAACCTTATCAACCTTAATCCACTAATGCGAAACTTTTAGGACTTGCAAGTGAGCTTCTCCTCGGCAGATATCAATTATCACCTCCACAAAGCCCAACCAGCCTCGTGGCCCAACACGAGTCTGGCCTATTCACAGAAGCTAGGGAATATCTGCTCAGTATCGGTGGTTTCCATCGCAGCGAAAAGTTCAACCGAAACATCCTCCCTCTTTCTCTCCCACTTGTCCAAGCTGTAGGGCATAGAATGGCTCTGGAGGCAGCGCAGAACGCCGGAATAGATCCCAAGCTTCTCGAGCTCTACGAAGCTGGCGTCATTAGAGAGGATTCAGCCTGGTACTCGGAACAAGGCGGTCTTAGCAGGAAGACCCAGTTCGAAATGGAGGCTAAGGCTGCCGATGCGCTACTTCCTGATCTTGATGGGTTGGTTCAGGATACAGGTTCGCCGGCGTATAGTTATGCGCCTATGTCGTCCGAAGGGTTGTGGGATGGTTTTGTTGAGGGGTTGGAGAGTTTTTCTGGGGATGCGTCTTTTGATGCCGGGCTTTGTGTTTCGCCGAAGAGTTGTGTGGAGGCATTGCATGTATAAAGCTTGGTTCTTTTCGGTGTCAAAAGTATTCAGCGCTGCATCTCGAAAGAGATCGGGGGTGTTCTCAATAAAGGGTTCATTTTAATGTTTTCAGTTCTTGAGTGCTAAAGAGTTCTGTTATCTTCTTGTAATCTCCATCACTTTGAGAGTCACACGAAAGAAAGGCCTTGCCTTTATCATCAGAATCATTCATTCAACCAGACATCGAAACCAGGTGAGACCATTTCCAATCAGAACCTCAAGCATACAAACCACAACGCGAACGGAACAAACATCACTGAGAACGTCATATCAAGCTTAGCCTTGGAGGTTGTGCCTTTGCCCACAGTTGCACGGTCAGTTGATGTATCTTTACCATCTCCATCATTCTCAGAAGTCGTACTGAGAAGCTTTGGCGAAACCTTCCACGCGATGCTGGTGAGTATCGCGAAGAAAAGCATTGTCACAAAAAGCGATAGTCTCTGCTCTGTCATGAGGACTGGGCTTATCCAATAAAAGTACGCCTGCAAGGGCCATATGACGAAAGCCGACGTAATATGAACCTTGATTCGCCGGGCTGGAAACCGAGTTCGACGAGCTAAACTGTTGGAGACGCTGTCGAAAATAGATTGCACTTTTGGGAATCGTTTAAAAAGAACAATGAGAACGATGATAATAAAAAGGCTGACACATGCAACAAACAAGGTCTCATATGCGATGAATAATATGAGGCGTATGAGATAGATCTCCTCAATCACAGCAAGAATCCGCGGTAGGAGAGGCCGGATATCAATAGCCAAGAGCCAAAAGACGAAAGTGGCCGTTGCCAGCCTTTGAGCAAGCATCATCAGGGGAGCAAGGAAGCTGCAAGCTTTGTATACGAAACAAAGCCGATGTCCGCATGTCCAAGCTATCCGGAATGGATATAAAAGACGGAGCATAGTGCATATGTCGTTTTTGACATGTTCATGTTCCACATTGGCCTCGACATCGGCCCCTAGCAAAGAATCCAAAAGTTGCTGCACCCTATTGCAAAGGTTTTGGGGAGGCAGTTGCTCAGGTTCCTTTTGCTGCGCTTGACCAGAAGATGGCTCTTTCCCGCCGGTGTCTTCTCCTTCTGGCTCGGTACTGTCGTTTTGTTCAACCTTCACCGTCTTCTCTTCCTTCAGGGATTCACAATGAATCTTAGGAGATATCTCTACTGGGCCTAATTGGTGACTCAACAGCATCCTTTCCGGCCAGTCCTTGTGGAGGTAAATCGTCCGCGTCGGTGGTGAAAACAGCGTGAGAGCTTCGGTCACAACAGCATCTCCAACCAACCATGCCATGAAGAATTGTGTCCACCGATGATCGTCGAGCAAGATCATTGCCACGAATCCTGGTACTGTAATGCCCATAAGAATCGCCCGTCTTGTGAAATGTACCGCTGCCTTATGCTTCATGTGTTTGCTCGGGTCGGCCTCGCAAACCTGCCAATGTGCGCAGAGTGCGAATGCGAGCCAAACTATCAATCGGGTGCTCATGATTCTTGGAAGCCGTAGGCTGAGGAGAATGACCACTAGCCATAACACGTTTGCGATGGAGTTGATGGGCGAGAAGAACGTGAGGTTCTGCTTGATGTCATCTTTCAGTGTGGGTCCCGTGGGTTTCATAAGTGTGCTGGCTGTCGTTGAGAGTAAAGCTAGTCGAGCTAGCAATAGCTGTGTCGCTTCGCTAGGAGCTTCCATGACTATGGGAAGGAAAGATATGCCCAGTAAGTTTAACTAAAGAAAAGAGGAAAACGGTCGAGAGTTATGAGTGATTCACGGGCGCCAGCGGAAACGCCTTGCGAGTGCCTCGAAGGATTCCTTGGCCCTGTCTTCGCCCCCAAGATCGCGTTTCAGTCAGGTCATTGAGCGTGAACAAATCATATCATTTCTTTCTTGCGGGAGAATACTCCAGGTATCAATAAACCGCTAAATAATAGCCATTTATGCTGATTTATCCAGACCCACTCGTTCATTCTATCAGGCGCAATGCCTAGCAAGACAACTACCAAAGCCAGGAAGGAAGCAAGTTTGAAAGAGCTACCTCTTCCTTACTAAATAATAGATTGAATTTTACAATAGACTGACTGGGTAAGATGTAGACCATAGAGCCCAGGCTTCATAGCTGCAAGGCTGCTTGTTGTCCCATAGTAAGGACCTGTTTGCCTTACAGAGCACCAAGTATGACATGACCATATCAGCACCTCAAGGAGTCAAAAGCCTACTAAACCTCGAAGAAGGAGATACCTGTCAAGGGTAATAAGTAACCTTGGAATATAACCCATCCAGTGACTGTTACCGTTTGTTGTTGTCAATGACGGGATTTGCCTCGTATGACGAACAGCAGCTACGCAATCCATTCCAAGAATGGTAAAACCCACTTAACAAGTATAAGCTATGAGTTCAAATCTTCTATTGGTGCGCAACTTGCGATTCATAACCCGAAAGCAAGTTTGAATTCAATTATGGTTGAAAACAGGATTAAGCTGTCTGAGTCAGCAGGGTTTGTTGCTGAAGTCTGTTTCAGCGTTGAGAGTATAAAGGAACTGTACAAGACCTTTAGCATCTAGAGAATGATCATAGGCAACTAATAACCAAATAATATTTTTACATCTGTTCATGACTTATTTTTGATCATGTGGCTCTTTGGTGGAAAGGACAGCCCACCCGAACCACCTGTGGCGACTGGCATTCACGAACCACAGGAAAGAACCCAGGACAACAACCTCGATGCATCGGACCAAATCGCAGTTGTTGGAATGTCCATGAGGCTTCCTGGCGGGATCAAGACAGCAGAAGATTTCTGGGATCTACTCATCCGCGGGAAGGACTGCCATGGACCTGTGCCCGCGTCTCGCTACAATGCCGATAACTACTACTGCGAATCGGGTCGACCGGGGACTCTACCAACGAAACACGGATATTTCTTGGATGACGACCTATCGGCTTTCGATGCATCTTTCTTTTCGATGAACGGAACGGACGCTGCCACCATGGATCCGAAATTGAGGTTCCTGCTCGAAGTTGTCTGGGAGTGTCTTGAGAATGGCGGACAGGTAGGCTGCCAGGGGAAAGATATTGGATGCTTCGTGGGAAACTTTGGAGACGACTGGTCAGAGATCTTATGGAAGGATACGCAGAGTATTGGAAAATATCACGCGGTTGGGACGCACAACTTCTCGTTGGCGAATCGAATATCGTATGAATACGATTTCCATGGACCTAGGTATGATTGAGCCTTTATACTCGATCAAGTGTAAATCTATGTGATATTGACATTATTCAAAGCACGACGGTTGACACTGCATGCGCGTCATCATTGATGGCCTTGCACCAAGCATGCCAGGCCCTCCGAAATAACGAATGCAGCGGTGCAATTGTGGGAGGAACGAGCATGATCATTTGTCACAGCTGCACCGCCTCCATGGGAGTTGCAGGAGCTCTTTCCAGAGATGGAAGGTGCAAGACATTTGATGCTAGCGCCGATGGGTATGGAAGAGCAGAGGCCATTAGTTCCATTTTCGTGAAAAGATTGCCCGATGCTATCCGTGATGGGGATCCCATCCGGGCCACTATTCGATCCACAGCAACGAATTTCGACGGGAGGACGCCGGTGTTCATTGCGCCGAACCCGAAGGCTCACGAGGACATGATCAAGATGGCCTACAAATCTGCGGGTATCGATAACATGGGCGAAACAGGATTTTATGAATGCCACGGTACCGGGACACAACTCGGCGACAGATGTCAGTAAAGCAGTAGCCACAAATCTGGCCCATTCTCCTTGCTAATCAGTGTTAGGCGAGCTATCTGCCGTGGGCAATCTCTTCAAAGACCCGGGAGTTTATATCGGTTCCGTATGCAACACATATTTTATTCTTATAACTGATGCTGACCATATTGTAGGCCAAAGCTAATGTTGGTCATTCTGAAGGCGCCTCAGGACTGACCGGTCTCATCAAGACAATTCTCAGCATGGAGCATGATACAATCCCCCCTCATGCTAACTTTGCAACACCAAATCCCAATAGTATTGACATCTGTTCCGATTTTCAAGAAGCTAGGTACTGACCTATACAGTTCCATTTGACTCAAACAATCTGTGGGTTCCAACAAAACCCACACCGTGGCCTACAGACCGCTTCAAACGAGCAAGCGTCAGCTCATTCGGAATAGGGGGCTCCAATGTGCATGTAAGGCGCAGTCAAACACTGATTGCTTTCCCGCAGAACTGACAGAACAACAGGCAATACTCGAAGGTTACGAAAGGTTAAAAACGCCTGCACTCGAGAAACCGGCCCTACCCAAATTGATAGTCCACTCGGCAAAAAGTTATCCATCTTTAGAAAAACGGGTGAAGATGATACAAAGCTATATCTCCGAGCACCCCGGTTATCTCTCCGACATAGCATTTACTCTTTGCAATCGTCGGGAACATTTACAGCATCGGTCATTCACGATTCATGGTGCCGAGACGGTGGAAAAGCATCCCCTGCTAGTCAAAGCACCGGAGAGGCGACCACCATTGAATTTTATCTTCACTGGTCAGGGTGCACAGTGGCGAGGCATGGGACATGGCCTCATGCAATTGGAACCATTTAGAGCCGAGATTCTTCGAATGACCGAGGTATTAAGATCGATTCCAGATGGACCATCGTGGAATCTCACAGGCGAGTAATCATAGAACCGATAAAATCAAGTACGGTGGTGGCCTCTGACACTTCAATTATAGAGCTCATCGAATTGCAAGATCCGTCATTCCCCATCAACGACCCTGAATATGCCCAGACTCTGTGCACTGCCCTCCAGGTCGGCATCGTTAATGTGCTGTCATCATGGCAGATCAAACCGGATACAGTATTGGGACACTCCAGCGGTGAAATTGCAGCTGCGTACGCAGTCGGCGCTATCTCGTCTTCAGACGCAATCAAGATCGCTTATTATAGGGGCTTTTCGTCAAAGGCCTATCTGCACAATGGAACCATGGCGGCCGTGAGCATTAGCAAAGAGACCGCGGGAAAATATCTCAATTCCTCTGTTGTGGTTGCGTGCCATAATGCTCCCAAGAGTATAACTCTGAGTGGAGATGCGGATGAACTTCGTCTTGTGTTAGACCGTATCGCAAAGGACTTCCCAGATACTCGCTCGAAGGTCTTGAATATTCCTATAGCATACCACTCACGTAAGTCTTTCTTTGGTTGTCTGCGGAATTGGTGCTAACCGCTAGATCGTAGCTTTCCTTGAGGAGGCCAGCGAATTATATCAAAAGCTACTCAACAGCTCCGTATCCACACGTCAAAGACCTGTTGGAGTTTTTCAGTCAACATCAAAGCCAGGAGTATTGTCTTGTGCCGACGACTTCGGCCCGTATTATTGGCGAAACAACCTAATCTCGCCAGTCCAATTCCACTCTGCAGTGTCGAATTTGTTTGAGAAACAGGATGATCACGAAAGGGCTATTTTTCTCGAGATCGGTCCACATTCCGCCCTTTCTTCTCCTTTGCGGGAAATTTGCGCCTCACAGGACAAGAGACCCGAAGCCGTCTACATACCCACGGTAGTCAGAGACAAGTCTCCGATGATAGGGTTATACGAAGCAGCAGGTTGTCTGCACCAACAGGCCGTGGATGTCGACTTCTTCGCCCTCAATGGACCCGGGACCGTTCTCAGACCTACCACTCTACCCATGGGATCACGATCAAAGATATTGGAATGAAAGCCGGATTTCCAGAGAGTGGCGGCAGCCAAAGTTCCGACATCATGAGATCCTAGGGTCCCGTGTTGTTGAATCCACAGACTCGAATCCTAGCTGGCGAAACCTGTTGTCGACGAGTAGCGCCGGGTGGATTACCGACCATCAGCTCCGCGGTAAGATTATATTTCCCGGCGCTGGTTACGTCTGTATGGCTGGCGAGGCGATCAGGCAGATTTCTGGATCAACGGACTATACCATCAGGCATTTGCACATCGCGGAGCCTTTGATCCTACCGGAAGAGTCAGATGTTGAAGTCATTACGAGCCTGAGCATCATACCCTTCACGAATGTTGAGAACTCCAAGAGATTTAGATTCACGGTCTCCTCGGCAACGGGCGAATGCTGGATCAATCACTGCACTGGCGAAGTGCAAGGCGGGGCCGATTACGATCTCTCGGATAAAAGGCAGCTGCTCGTCGACAATGATTCTGATCGGTGGAATCGGACACTTGAATCAAGTAAATACTATTCGAGTCTAAGAGATATTGGACACGGGTATGGGCCTTACTTCCAACTTCTCTCTTCCTTACAAGCTTCCTCTTGCTTTCAAGCAGCAAAGGGCACTATCCAGATGGACAATGAGCTGTACCGGACAAGCTACTATGCACAGCATCCACTGATCATAGATCATTGTCTTCAACTCTCGATAGTGGCAGCTATCAAGGGATTGTGTCATCGACTTGATCACTTGGTTGTCCCTGCTTCGGTGAATCATATTTACGTTGCTCCAAGTCAACATGAAGACGTCAACTATGACCTGAAGGCGTTCGCCACGGAGGTGAAGAAAAGCGCCGTTTGTCACTCTGTGGCCGGCAGCAATGGAGGGATGAAAATTGCTATCAGTGGACGCTCGATGGTGTCAATAATAAACGAAATAAAGCCCATGGAAATCCAAGAGCTTCACTGGCACCCGATTCATGCGTCTATGCGCTCCTCAGAATTGATAAATGCCCCGTACAAGCCAAAAGATAATGATATCCTGATGGAAGAAATAGCAGTGCTCTGTACTCTAGAGTCAGCTCGCATTGCTGAATCCCAAAGACCTGCCACACAGCATATTCAGACATACAAAGACTGGCTATCATCTCAGGCACGCATTTTCCGATCACAAGGATCGAAATTGGTTCCACAGGCTAGGGTGTGGGCGACTGGGGACTCATCGAAGTTCCTCGACATGATCCAAAAACGTGCTGCACTCGCAGAGCAAAAGCTAGATCCTTGGCAGTATCAGCTCATCCTCCGAGTCTTCGAAAATTCGCTCACCATCTTAACTGAGGATAAAGATTCCCTGGATTTTCTGTTCGAAGGCACAAGTCTCCGGGAATTCTATCAAGGCTTGCATACTCTCTGTGATTGTTCTACGTTCTTGTCATCACTAGGTCATGAGCAGCCAGGATTGAAAGTCTTGGAGGTAGGAGGTGGTACCGGTGGATTCACGACACACGTCCTTGAGTCTCTCAAAGGAGCCTCGAAGGCTCCTTTGTATTCGGAATACATGTTCACCGACATATCGGCCGGTTTCTTTCCCAGCGCTAAGCAGCACCTGCAGTCGTTTGCAGGTATCGAGTACCAAGTACTCGATATTTCTTCTGACCCAACGGCGCAAGGCTTTCCGGAAGAAAAATATGATTTGATTGTTGCGGCAAATGTAAGCCGCGTCCCTGGGAATTCCAACTGTCCGCCTGACTGAATCATCTAGGTACTGCATGCCACGCCATTCCTGTCGGAGACTCTACACAATGTCCACAAACTGCTCAAGCCAGGAGGAAAACTGCTGTTTCCGGAACTCTTCCCTGGTGAGTCTCCACGGCCCAGTTACCATAGATATTAGAGTGCTAATATCTCTGCAGAAGGTATCTACATAAGCTATATCATGGTATTGTTGTCCCCTTCTCATTATTATGCAAGCAACGCGGGCTAATCGAACTGGTAGGGGATTATTCCCGGGTGGTGGATTGGTGATCGGGATAATCGTCCCAACCAACCCTTTGTGTCTCCTAGTCGATGGGACCGAGAGCTCAAGGCCACCGGATTCACGGGTACCGATGTCGTTGTCCCGGATCAGGAGTTCCCATACCACAAAACAGGCATCTTGATATCCACCAAGAAGCCACAAAGCAAGCCTCCAGAGGATGTGAACTTGCTTTGTCATCACGAAAGCAGTCCGGTGGTTCAAAAAGCCAAGAGTGCTTTCAGCAAGGCTGGTCGTCCTGTTCACCTCTGTGTATATGGAAGTCACAAAATGTCCCAAGGAGGCATTGTCTCTTTGCTCGAGACAGAGGAGCCTTTCTTCAGCGTTATGACGGAGGGCAAATGGCGAACGTTCCAAAGGCTTCTCAGTGACGTCGACGAATGCGGTGTATTTTGGGTGACTAAAGAGACGCAAATCCAATGTCATGATCCTGATTATGGACTCACTCTCGGAGTCGCGCGCTCAGTGAGAAGCGAGCTGGCGGTCGAGATGGCAACTTTTGAGGCACAGTCGTTTGACGACGGGTTCGCTGATGCAATGCTGATGGCCTACGACAACTTCCGCGGAAGGCACGGAGAGACAGACAATCGCGAGTACGAATATCTATATCGTGACGGTAAAGTCCATGTCCCACGTTTCCATTCGGTCGTAGCCGAAAACGAGGTTTCTGCGAAGAGGCTGCAGTCAATGGATGCCAGGATGCTGTCTATCGGGGTCTCTGGAAGTTTAAGCAGTCTCTTCTGGAAGCCAGTGGCATGTGAACCACCTCGCGATGGTCAGGTAGTGGTTGATATTCAGTACACAGGGCTCAATTTCAGGGTAAGTCGGGTTTTCAGGGTGTATCCAAAGAAGACGTTTGTTAAATTTTAATACAGGATCTCCTGCAGGCGCTGGGGGCATTCGGTGAGAATGTGGAATTTGGCATCGAAGCGGCTGGAACGGTGAGCCAAGCATGTCCCAGTTCTGGTTTGGATGTAGGGCAAAGAGTAGTTGTCATGGCAGCACATGGATTGCTTGCTACACGGGTTGTAGTGGCATCCCGGAACTGCGTCCCTATTCCACACAGCATCAGCTTAGAAGAGGCTGCCGCGCTATCTTGCGTTTACAGCACGGTCATCCTTGCATTGATGCATCACGGGAATCTGAGAAAAGGCCAGGTAAGAGAATCGACATCATATTTCTGGGCTGGATACTGTTCTAATTGTTTGCAGACAATTCTGATTCACTCTGCCTGTCGTGGCATTGGACTCGCCGCTATTTCCCTCAGCATAATGCAGGGCGCCGACATATATGCGACTGTAGGCAGCGAAGCTAAAGCCGAGTATCTTACTGGGCGATTTGGCATACCCAGAAATAAGATTTTCACTTCTCGTGACTCGTCATTCCACAGCGGGTTAATGAGAGCGACCGACGGACAGGGCGTTGATATTGTGCTCAACTCGTTGGCAGGGGAGCTTCTTCACGCGTCCTGGGAGTGCGTTGCGAAGTTTGGCAAGATGATCGAAATCGGCAAACGAGATATTGTAGGAAATGGGTCGTTGCGCCTTGCTCCGTTCTTGCATAATCGATCATTCATTTGCGTCAGTATGGACGAAATCATGACAGAACAGCCTGAGCTGAACCACCAGTATGTGCTCTAATACCATGGCCTCTATTCCTCGCTGACAATACCACGCAGGCTCATTAGCGATGCTTTTCGGTACATCGAGGAAGGTCTTATCGAGACGATTGAGCCTATTCGAAAGTTTCCCGCCAGTCAGGCTGAAGAAGCCTTCCGTCACATGCAAGGAGGGAAACACATCGGCAAGGTTCTTGTGCAGATGCCGGCGAGTCTCAGCGATTTACCACAGGCGACGAAAGCAGACCCGCCAAGGTTTTCTCCAGACGCTGCTTATATCCTGACTGGTGGGCTCGGGGGTATTGGGCGTTTCGTGTGCCGATGGATGGCAGACAATGGCGCGCGAGAGCTCGTCTGTCTTTCGAGAACATCACCTTCATCAAACGGCGATTTCGTGTCGGAGATGGAAGCTCAAGGCTGTCAGCTAACCCTTGTACAAGGGAACGTCGCCATTGAAGACGAGGTCAGAGTGGCACTCAAATCCTGCAAAAAACCCCTAAAGGGTGTCCTCCATATGGCCATGGTGCTCAGGGTAAGCAATTCTCTATAACTATATCAGTTTGGCGCTTACAATGTTGAAATGTTGAATCAATCTCATAGGATCGACCGATTACAGAAATGTCCTATGATGAGTGGAATGCTCCACAAGAACCTAAGGTATCAGGGACCTGGAGTCTTCACCGGGCTCTTCAGGGTATCGATCTTGACTCCTTCACGCTTTTCAGCTCTACCTCGGGCATTTGTGGACAGCTGGGCCAGATAAGTTACAGTGCAGGGAACACGTTCCTGGATGCCTTTGTCAGATACAGACATTCTATGGACCTCCCAGCGGCCGTGATCGATCTAGGGGTTGTTGGAAACATAGGACGTCTCGTCGACACCGAGGATCGCAAACTACTAGAAACCACGTTACGTGGCTTCAAAATGATCGGAGAGAAAGAGATTTTCCGCGCGATAGAGGTTGCGACGATGCGCCAGAAGCCAGACAAGGACTCTGATCGATATTCCAGTCACGGCCAATTCGCAATAGGGCTTACTCCGCCTACAGAGGAGAATCCACATCACAAAAATAGCCTCCTTCATGGAGACATGCGCATGAACTTATTGGAGCCTGCATTGAGGCGTGCACAACTTGTGCGGGACGAAGCCAGCGGAGTCCAGAAGTTGTTTAATGCCATGTCCGAAGATCCAAAGTTTTCGGAGAGCGACGAGGCCTTGACGCTGGTCCAGAACGAGGTCATTCACCGATTGAGCTGCTTGTCTGGTTCCAACGAACAAGAGATTGGGCTACGCCAGCCTTTTGCCCAGTTGGGACTGGATTCCTTAGTCTTAGTGGAGTTGCGCATCTGGATCCAGCGCACATTCCACATCGCGGCGACAGTACCGGAAATTATGGGCACGGGTCATGTCGAAGGGTTAACACAGTTGATGCTGAGTCGACTGAGAGAACGATGAGCAAATGGGCTTCTGAAGCAGTGTTCAAGTGATGAATGGATCCCTTCTCCGGATCTAAAGTTACAGAGGAATTCACATGAAATGGCGGCTACCCACACAGCAGTAAAGACCTTACCACTGCACAGCGCAGGTCTACCGTGGTGGTGAGATCCCTAGAGCCTTCCCAATTGACTTTTCGGGAAGGCAGATAATTTAGGCAGCAGCTGTACGACCAGACCGTTCTCTTTGTTCGGTTACATTCACTTGATGTCCCATATGTGGACTCCTTTCAACCTAACAGTGCCTCTATAGACCCGGCCTTGGATTGAATCAAATTCCCGCCTATAACGATGTCAGAGTACTTTGCTCAACCAGGGTTCCTTCGTCACTGACACTGTCTCCCGCATTCTCTCCAAGCATCCCTCGGTGTAACACCTACCGACAAGGTCATGCCATGTTCGTTATCTGCAATTTTGGACTACTGCCATTCACACCGATTCATTGGTCAAAGGCGCATCTGACAGACCCAGTGGAGTTTCCTCACTTTATCGGGAGGGGTCTCATGGGAGACTACCTCGTTATTCGAGTTGTTAGGCACATAGTCTTTTCTACTGTCAACTTCGCTTCACTTCCTCTCATTGCTTGTTTCTATCCCTTTCCTTTCTGTTTCTGAATTATCTTGCTCTTTGTGGGTTCATGATCCATTGGTTAATCATTCATTCAACATCGATCGATCATTCATTGAACATTGATCGATCATTTCGTCTATTACTCACTCAATCTTTCGTTCTTCCAGAATGCTCCGGTTGGAAAGAAATGGATAGGATCCGTCAGGACCCATTGTGAATGCGCTGGATCAAATAGGATGGACTGATGGTCTTATTGTTTCTTTCTCATCTATTCTTTCCTTCTAGTCTCTCATTTTCGGGCTTTATCTTAATTCTACTCAATCCCAACTAAGTCAATTTTCATAAATACTGAGTAATATGGAAGCAGCCGATCTGCTCTCTATGTAGGCCTGAGGGTACATACTTATTATGTGTATCCTTTCGAAAAATCGCCGAAAACTCCACTTCGATGGAAATGGAATGGTTATCTGCTGCTCATTCCATCTTTCATCGCACAGTATCCACCGAGGTTATCAGCCGACATCTAGCCCATAACAGGACGCAGACGTTGTGCTGGGGAGTCTTAACTAGAACAAACAATATCAACACCCATGGTGAACTGCGTTGCCTACAAAGCGGCTCAGACATACAAACCGGGTGGTCTCGGGAATCTTACCGGAAGATAATTTCTTTTTCTATACTCGCTTGGAAGTAGTTGCGATAAAACTCGTAGATTCAGGGTCTAAAAAGGGTTGTGTACCCCTGTATAGCCCATATGGTTATTTTGTTTGCAATAACTCTACTTGATACATTGGTCTCACAATGTCTTCCTTAAATATCCAGAAGCTCCCGGTGGAGCTTTTTCTGGCATGTCTCGATTTCATGGACCATGTTAGTGTCAGCAGACTTTCGAGGACCTGCAAAGGCTTGTACAACTTTTTGAAACTCACTAGTCAGCAGTTAGCCAGAGAGTATGCTCTACTTCCCGCGGAGCGTGCACTGCGGTGTCCCGAGACGGAGGAGACATTTCGAGGTCATGGTAACTTTCCAAGTCTGCCCAAGTCGAACATCGAGATCGCTATTATCGAGAATCGCCTTGGCCCGCTTCGGGCGTTCTTGAACGTAGGGACAGACCCTAACGCCATGGGTACTGGCGGCGTTCGCCTGCTGGGTACGGCGATCTGGAACGACCGGGTCGACGCAATCAACATTTTGTTGGAGTATAAGGTGGATCTGAGCCTGGAGTTGCGAGATTGGCCATATACTGGGCTTCAATATATGCGTCCGACGCCAGTAGTGTATGCCACTGCTTCTGAATGGTGCTCACACATCACATTCCAACGCGACAATTTTCACATCTACGGTTGTATTCCCGAGGAATTGGAGACGCTGTCTCTGCTATTGAGAGCTGGCTGTCCATTACAGCACGTATACGACTTGACCGCTATTGCAGCGAGATCTGATAAGCTTGAACTTCTGGAATACTGGCTTGGAAATGAGTTCAAAATTGATAAAGGTCTAGGAGCGAGATTGACGATTCTGGACTGGTGGGACGCGGTGGCAATGAAACGGTTCTATCTCGATTATGAGGTTTTCGAGGACGGGATAGATTTCCTCAACACTCTCCTCGAGAGATACCCTGAGCTTTTGTCTAGGTTCGACCCACATGAGGGTAGTCTCGTCTTTTGCGCTATACGTAAACGCGCCTGGAAGTTAGTTGAGGTTCTCCTCGAACATGGCGCGGAGGTTGGACTAAGAACGTCGGGTGGGGATTCGGAATTGGATTTTCTGGCACAAAGGGTGTCGTTCCATCGGCTACGGCCTTCTACTTCTCTAGATGGTAGGCACCTGTACGAACAAGGAACAGAGTGGCTAACGCTAGCGCCTCTGCTCGAAATGAGGCTTCAACTGATCTACTATAACTTCTAGGGGCTATGTTCAGTACCGTTCACTCACTCTCCTAGAAGGCTCAACAGAAGATACTATATAACGAAAGACTGCAATCACTCAGGTGTGATACAGGGTATTTAAGGTTACGGCTTTGAACCATAGAGCTTGTTTCATTGTATTGTAGTTTTTCCTTAACTAGCACCAGCTGCCTACCTCGTACGTACCCTTTTCAGAACTTTATAGAGGGTCACTCGAGTGTATGTCTTAATGGTGTTTAACGAGTTCCTCGAGACTATTTCCATAGAAGCAGATTATATCCCGAGTTGTTGGATCCAGACCTGTTCGTTAAAGGCGCATCTAATCCATGCCCATTCGATTCAGGCTTAAACCAGTAAATTTGATGACCATGACTCTCGGATAGTCATTTTACGGGAGAGCACTGATCTATAGTTTGAATCAATAATTGAGAAATTCCAGCTTATTGAACATTCCCATCCGCCTGAGTAACCGAATACAAGCCCACACACCCACCGCCGCTATAGACATTACAGATCTTTCCCGTACTAGAGCGCCAGGGCCCAAGACCAAGAAAACGACCATTAGTGGTATAGTAACAACCGACCATCAAACTTGCATGCGTGATTTGGTCTTCTTCGCCGATGATATCGAATTCAACTTGTCGTACGTATGGTTGGAGGACGTAGGATGTAACGCCTGGTCGGATGCTCGGATCTTGCATGTCCAACATGATAGCCGCCCATTCTTGCGGCGATAAATCCGCTCCGAGTAAGTGGCCCCTGCCGCGGCTTTGGCGAGCTGCTTTGAGGATGTAGTCGTCTTTGCTCATCTCGCTTTGTTGGTGGGTCTGGATCCAGTTCTTGAGTTCTGGTGATCCTGGTAGGAGGGTGGGGACTATGCCTTCTTGGAGGACTCTAGCTTGGTCTGCGTCCAGAATGCCATGTTTTTTCACAAGATCGTCGAGCTCCTGTAATATGATGCCTAGGAATCGCTCGTCGTTCACCATTAGTGATATCCGCAGATCATTCACAGCCACCGTCGCCAGCTGCCGAAGCATATCTTGCGGAAGAAGACTGTACTCATCGGGGAATAGCGTCGTGACCACCTGATTGATCTTTTCAGGCGGGTCCTGTCCTCGGTAAAAGAGAGAATAGCCCGTGACAGAAGTCTCATCGGGCTTCAACTGTAGATCCTCAATATTGACGAATTGCGGGCAGATCCCCGTCCCCAGTTCCACCACTGTCACGAATGCCTGTCGATCAAGTTGGTCTCTTCCCCGGAGAATATGGACCGGCAGGTCTATCCGAAACAAACCGAGTAAGCTTTTCACCCACTCGTCGTAGTCGCCCGTCGGTTGCAGGCCAGGGCTGGACCCCATTAACTGGCGCATTTTGCGGTGTTTGTGTGCGCTGTGGACGACTACATTGTCGGGCGTGCGACTGTTGATCTCGCAGATCTGGAATCCGAGACCCATGGTGCTGTCATTGCCGGTAACGAGAAAATCAGGTCTCCAGTTTCCGAGACGGTCTTTGAACGGCGGCAACCTTTGAGCCCGACTTTGCTCATCTAGCCACTAGATTATCGATTAACATGATCAAATCTCGATCGTCGAAATGGGAAGTATCGTCGCTCACCTGTAGCGCTGCTTCCACGGGAGCTTCCAGTGGCATTCTAGCCGGAAAGTCGGCATTGGTGTCTGTCCACCAACGGTCGACAATATCCACGACAGCCTTGACAAGTGCGCCGTGAAAATAGTCTACATCCAACATAAACTTCTTATCGGTTAATATTGGATGAGGCGACAGGGTCTCATGCCTTGGGCTATACCCAGGCTGGTTGATGTGCGGGGTGAGCTTTCGGTAAGTTTCTGCCTCACGGTTTCGACCTTCTTTGTTGGCTTCGATTGCCAGCATTGGCCGCCCGGTGGCATCGATGACTGACCAGCAGACTTGCTCGTGGTTAGGCCGGTTGGGAAGACTGCCCATTTTGAGGGTTTGCGGGAGACTGTCATGAAGTTGACGGGTAGCGATATGTATGGGGAGACAACAGGAGCGTCATAAGGCACGGAAGAGATTCACAGTTCACTCCCCCCATTTTAGTCGAACTCTGGGTGTGCGTGACATAAAGGTAGTTGAGGAGATAGGAACCACGAAAACATGTTCCAATCTCCGCCGAATGTGACGTCGTATTGTCCGGACTGTTCATTGACCCCCAATACTGTGCTCGCGGTCAGATCCCTCAGTCTAGTTTAGATTGACCCAGAGTTGTAACCAGCAAATCATGGTGGAGTGGATCCATATCCCACGATGGCTGGTATGCGGGACTCTTCCCGAAACGGCGGGTCAAGAATGCATCAAGGTGTCATTCATCCCTTTCTTCACGGGGTGAACATGACAGTTGCCGAATGCGTCCAAGACTTTTCCCGCCAAGGGTCCTGTGAAAAGGACCGTTGCAATTAGATATAATAGAACTAGGGCCAATATGCTCGCTTCCCATTCGGATTCGATGCCATTTCCTCTGCACAGCCCCAGTAACGTGGATGTGAATCTACCATGGCCAGCATCGATCCGCTCCTCCGCATGCCCCAGGTCTGTTTGGCGGCCTCGAGAAAGGCCGGTAAGCTATTATCGCCAGAAGATTCGACTTATGACGAAAGGAGGCACTGTGAAGAGGCCTACCATACGGCTCTCATCCATCACCTGGGGGGTGAACATGTACTCCCGTATTCCTTGAAATACATCAGTCCGCATCCAGTACTGGTTCCCAATAGATTTATCTCGTCGCTGAAGGAGTTCCATGCTGCCCTTTCGATTGCCTTGACCAATATTGTGCAACGCTGGTTTGCCGACGACACGGACTTGCCATCGCGCATGCCTCTCGAAAGGAATGAAGAGGATATCTTAAGGGTATGTATGAGCCTTACTCAGCCACCGCATAATAAGTAGAGCCCATCCCACGCACACAGCGCTCTGTAACATGTGACTGGGAGCAGTGCCAGGTTACTCCTGGTTCAATTAAGCTTGGTATTGTCTGACGACTGAAACAGTGGATACACCAACTCACCGAAAGGAATCTATTTCCCGCGTACGACGGCCATCAGGGGAACTGGCGGCCCGACTTCCTCCTTCCCAGAGACAAAGAGGGATTCCAGATCTGTGAAATTAATTCCCGGTTCCCATCCAATGGCATTGACTTGACCGCAATGATCTATAAGTCCCTGGATGATTCAAAGATCAAGCCCCTTGATCTTGACGTAGCAGCAGACCCCGAGCATATGTTAAATTGTCTGACTGCGCTGTTTCACTCAACGCAAGCGCGATCTCTTCACTTCGTTCAGAATGAGGAAAATCACCCGATGGTCGAAAACCTCATGAGGTTTTTGGCCGATCTGAACCCACGGGTTTTGACATCCGACGACCTCCATCTGATATCTGATGAAAGCTCGCCGACTGGGTATAAGCTCCAGTCTGCTGATATGGAGGACATTCAGCAGGTGGCACTCCGGCTGTTTACTCGGGAATTGGCATCTCTTTCTCCTGAAATGCAGCGACAGCTGGCGTTTCACAGCTGCAACGATATTCGGTCTATATTGTTGATTCACGATAAACGGATCCTTGGGATTCTGCACCAGGAATTGGATGACCTGGTCACTAAACATCGTGTCTTGACACAAAGACAAGCCGACCTATTGAGGGAACACATTATTTTTACTATTCTTCCCGGGTCAAAAGAGCTACAGGAGCTCAGTGACTCATATTATCAGGGCAAGGTGTCCAAAAATGATTTCATTCTTAAGCCCATCCGGTCGGGCCGCGGACAAGGAATCGCTTTTGGTGAAGACTTAAGCATTTCCGAGTGGGAGGCTATCCTTGCCGATATGAAGAATCCAGAAATAACAATCCCTAACCGGACAGTGTACATCATTCAACCTGTCGTAGAGCAGGCTGAAGGTGACATGTTCCTAGATGAAGAGACCGGGGTCCAGCGAGTGCAGCGGGTCGGTACATATCACAGCATGCATGGCGAATTTGCGGCATTAGGGGCGTGGAGAGTCGGTATCTCAGCCAACCGAACGACCAATATGGCTTTGGGAGATGCCTGGAAGTTGGGCAGCATGTTGATGAAGATGAACTAGTGGTGTCAAAGTGTCATCTATCCTATGAGATGAGGTCAAATGCCTTATCATTCAGGTAATTAAGCGGTTTTCGAAGTAGTTCAAAACTCGTCCAGACATGTGATTGGTGAGGCAACATGCCAGTGAAGACACCATGTAGCGAACAACGTCTGAATGTCAAAATAATAAGGCGTAAATATTCTCCGGTCAGCTTGCGTGACGACGAAAGCCCCAGTATGATCGTGATTGTGTTACAGACAAGATAATGCAAGTTGTGTCATCAGCGAGTCTGTGCACTGCCAATAGCATCACCGAGTCCCACGCCATTCCCCATATCAGCAATATTTCCAGCTGTTGGTCGTTTAAACTGGAGATATAACCGTTGAACCACGTCACACGGCATTCTTCACCCTTGAGCTAGAAATGCCGTAGTCACTACGGCAGTTAGAAACCGAGGCAACACCTCCCTCGCCATGAATTTCCTCCTCTCAGACACGATCACAATTAGGGTTCTACTTGTCTCGCCTAATCGTCACTCATGAATGGCCACATCGGCAAGAGGTCCATTTTGCGGGGAATTTCCATGATCTTCAGAACCCCACCTGCGAAGAATAGTTTCTACCAACCAGCAGACAGAGTGGGAGACGATCACCGAAGCGATCTTTCTTGGGACTTGGAATGTGGATCCATCGGAGTCGTACAGATTGGTCGGTTGGGTCGGTTAGACAAACCTGCATGCTTTGTCCTGTTTTTGCGTCGTTGCATAGATAACATCGTTTTTCTTGGCTGGTTGGGTCCGGACGGGTTATTTCTGTGCTTGCTTTCCGGGTTTCATATCTTGAAGCGTAGAGTAGGGGATTTCGTTGAACGGAAATTCTCCCAGTCGACTGAGATAGAGCAAATCATGAATGACACAGACAATAAAACGAAGTTATCGGTCGAGCACGATGAAAGTGTCTCGTCCCATTCTTCTTCCTCTGATGAAGTCGCTCAGAAACAGTCGCTGTTGTCCTCGGTCAAACAGTCCCCTAGAATAGCCGCGTACTGTCTTGCCTTGACGTCTGGAATCCTGTTGTATGGATACGATCTCGTCATCGTGGGCAACGTCTCGTCTATGCCTGAATTTCAGTATGCATCTATCTCTCTCCACCATTATCTGGGAATCATCCTAATCCCAGTAGACGAGACTTCGGTCGTAAACTGAACGGCAGCCTGATCATCCCCTCCCTCTGGCTCGGCCTCTGGAACGTCGGCAACCCTATCGGCGGAATCTTCGGTTCCCTCCTCGCAGGCTTTGTCCAGGATCGAACCGGCCGTCGGTTTGCCCTCGCCCTCGCAAGTATCATCTCCGCCATCGGCGTCGCAGTGGCATACGTTTCGAATCTCCCCGGCGACATCGACGCCCGGCGTGGTGTCTTCTTCATGGCGAAGTTCGTACAGGGCTTCGCCGTGAATATGATCATGTGCACAACGCAGACCTACATGTCCGAAGTCCTGCCACCCATCCTGCGCGGCCCCATATTGGCCTTTTTTCCGCTCTTTATGCTCCTGGGTCAGTTGATTGGTAGCATCGTTGTGTTTACGTCTCTCGACGCTCCCGGCTCGAGCGGCTACCTGAGATGTATTTACTCGCAGTGGCCGTTCTCGGCGATTCCGTTGCTCGTGGCCGTGGTTCTCCCGGAGAGTCCAACGTACCTTATACGACGAGATCGAGTCGATGATGCACGCAAAGCGCAGCGCCGGTTGGATTCATCGGCCGTGGACTCGGACGCCAGCGTCGAACAGCTTCGTCTATCTCTCCAGATGGAAAGGGAAAAGGCAGGAGACCAAGCTGATGCGACGGGATATATTGATTGTTTCCGGGGCGTGAATCGTCGACGCACGATGATCGTCTTGTTTGCGAACCTCGTCCCGCAGCTGTTTGGTTTGACGCTGTTGGCTAAAGCGAGCTATTTCTTGCAAACTGTGGGCATGGATGCAACTAATAGTCTCCTGTTCCTGCAGGTCGGTATCGCGCTGGGTCTGGTCGCTAATATAGTCAGTATGTGGACGTTGACGAAATTCGGTCGCGTGCCTCTCCTTCTGTTTGGCCTGTTTATCTCCACGATCCTTTGGACGGGAATGGGCATCCTCGGTTGTTTTCAGGGGATAGTTACAGTCTGGTACGTTTTCTTGTCCTCGCTCTTCCAGTCGCGTCGCCGAGCACTGATAACTGATGTTTTGAGCAGGTGGTCCGCCGTAACACTCATTCTAGTGATTATGATCTGCGGTCTCAGCACTTGGCCCGCCTCGTACGTCGTGGCAGCCGAAGCCTCGGCGCTGTGTCTACGAGCCAAAACGCAGGGTCTAGGATGGTTAGTGAATGGCCTCTCCAACGGTATCTTCGGGCTCGTTCTGCCGTACATATTTAACCCTGACGAGGGCGCGCTGCGTGCGAAAACCGGCTTCGTGTATACGGGTTTTTGTATCCTTGCGCTGGCAGGCACGTGGCTGTTTGTTCCGGAGATGAAGGATCGGAGGCCCATGGAGATTGATAGGATGTTTGAGATGGGGTTGTCCACGAGGAAGTTTAAAGGGTGGGTTGAAGAGAGGACAGATTCTGCTTGATCAGGTTGAGATGGGCACGCGTGAAATTCAATCATCCAAACATCCAAAAGAACAAAAAAAGGTATCGTGAATTCAAGCTATGTATATACATCATTTTTTGCGTTCCTTTTTGGCGTATGCAGAATAGCGATTGAAACATTGCAGCAATGTTCACAACGTAAGAAAGGTCTGGGTTCACAGCATGAAAGTGGCTGGGCTGGTCCGAGACCTCATACTAAAAAAACCAACTTCGATGTTAGAATAGCGTCGAGCGCATCCAATCACCAATGCTAATGACCGCATAATTTGGGTGCCAAAGTCTTTTCCATAAATCATGATAGTCGATCATACAACCAAGTTTGATGTATGTGTTGGTCGATGAAAGATTAAAAGTCTAGAGCCTGGGCAGGCGCGGTCTCAGCAGGCTGGATAGCCTTATTTTTACCCTTTTTATAAACTCGCTCGTCGTTCGGGTCGAAACCACCGTTGCCCCACTGGGCCCATTCCTCGGTCTCTCTCATGTAATCCTCAGGGGTGAAGGAGGTACCGTCGGCCTTCTCCTTCTCCAGCAACTCGAAGAAGCGATCATAGTCGATGCGAGAATGCCACTTACCATTTACGTGGAATCGCTCCGATGCGATCAACACGCAGCAACTGTGTGCATGCTCTGCAGCAATGCCATACTTGAGACCACGGCGTTCCAATTCCTTGTTGAGGGCGACAACGAACGCAGCAATCTCTTCGTAGAAGGGAACGTTTTGCATGGTCAGACCGGCACCGGCGCTGGTGCTGGTGCCACAGTACGTCACACCCTTGATCTCAACAAAGCACGGCAAAGCCTTCTCGACGAGGTTGGCGTATCCAATGACTTCGTCGTCGACGTTGAAGCCCTTGACCAACGTAAGACGGAAGACGGTACGCTGGACGTGACGCTTTTCGCGCAAGATGTCCAGGCAGCGCTGGAATCGCTCCCAGAAATCGCGGTGCAAGGGGCGATCGATCTTACGCAGACTCTCGCGGTTGCTCGCGTCGATGGACACGTACAGTTGTGTGACGCGCTTCAGGTTTTCCAGCTGATCGGGGTGCTGGGCGTTACACACGAGGAAACTGGAAATGTGTTCCGCGTGCAACATCTCCAAGAACTCATTGATGTGCGGGTAGAAGATGGGCTCACCGACCAGACTGAGGGCGCAGTGACGAATACGCATGGCTTCCGCGAATCTCTCGGCGCGAACACCAGGCACACCACGCATCATCTTGATCTTCTTGTAGTGGCCCTCTTTCACACCTTGGAAAATCAGCTCGGGAGAATCAACCTTCCAGCGCCAGGTAGTTCCAACGGGGTTAGTGCCGTGTCGCCAGCAGAAGATACACTTGTTGCTGCAGGAGAGCGACGGGGTCGCCTCCATACACAGATGAGATCGAATACCATAGAAAGAATACTTGTAGCACGAACCGCGGCCACGTAGGGCAGACTTGGTCCAACGGCAAATCTTCACGCCGGAGTGCGAGCCAACGATCGTATAGCCCTGCTTCGTCAACGCAGCGTAAGTAGGCGACGTCTTGGGAACCATTTCTTTTCCTGTCGACTGGCTATTCGGCGCGGGCTCTTTGCCGCCAGTGGTGAAGTCAACGGGGATAGGCGCGCCCGATCCTCCTTGGGGATCCGCAGACATTTTAATGTCTTCCAAGTCAACCACGGTCTGGGCCTTCTTCCGGCTTTTCGGCTTGCCCTCGTCCGAGGACTCGTCCACGTCCTCTTCATCACTCTCCAGGGCGTCGCCACTACCGGGAACACCTTCGCCCAGACTGCCATTCTTCACAATATCCGAAAGGATTTCCTGCAATCCCTGGGACCATTCTTTCAGCGCAGACTCGGCGTCGCTCTTCACGTCACCCAATCCAAGAGGATAAGCCCGCTTCCGACCGGTGAGTTTGGCCATCCATCGGTCGAGCTCCTTAGCCTGAGAGCAGAAGCCTTCCTCCTCTGTAGGCCAACCTTCCTTATCACCGAACCCGAAGACGGAGAAGCCAGCCAATGTTGACAACGAGCCGGTGTCGATGCGGAAATCGTGATGAGTCTCCTCCAGGTGGCCCAGGAAGGTGTTGAGAACGGTATCGATGTTATAGGTCGGAATCAGCAAGCAGTACATGTAGCGAGTTCCGGGAGAGTTTGCGGGAGGCTTGGGAGCCGTCGTAAAGTAGTCGTCGAAGTCGATATAAGACAGGTCCTCCAGTTTAGGCGGAAGGATACCGCGCTCGCGATTCTCGGGATCGGCCTGTTTCTGCGCAGCAGCACGTAGGTCCTCCATCAACACCTGGGCGTATCTTTCGGTGGTGGCAGTCAACGAGGCATAGAACACGATGGGCTGGATGAAGGACAAAGGCGTTCCTTGATCCGATCCTCCACGTCGTCCCGCAACCTTCAGCGGTTTCTTTCCAGACACCCTCTTAGGGCCAGATGCGGGTTTCGTAGCTGTCTCATTGGCCGCAGGAACCTGGACGTCGTTCTTCTCCGTCGTCTGGGGTTTCGTGTCTCTGAGCTTCTCTTTCTCGTCTTTTCCGGGGGACTGGCTGCGGGGGGACGACGGGATTGACGAGGCGGAGGCGGTTTTCGACTTAGGTTGAACGGTGCGATAGACTCGAGCGAGGACGAAGATGGCGAACAGGGCCACGAAGAAATGGAGACGGTAGGAGTGCCAGAAGGTCAATAGACCTAGAGTAGATAACATGGATTAGCTACTGGTTACCAATGGACTAGCTAACACAGATCGTTGGGAGGCATACCTTCGGTCAAAGACGCTCCCATGATTGCGAACGGGAATTCAGCCGGTCGCTTGATATTCTTCAGTCGAAGGAAAAGTAATTCCAGCGCGTATGAAGCGCGGTCGAAATTCAAGAGGGGCAATGGAGGGGAGCCCTCTGAGGCATCGCAGACACCGTTCCGGAGACCTTAGTGAAATGCAACTGCCGTGGCAAAAGACAAGGGATGATAATGCGCCGAGAGGCCAATATCCAAGACAGTCCAACACTATCAGCGACCGTAACGAAACCGTCGACGAAGTGGTCGAAGTTGAAGCGTTTCGGCAATCCAAAGCCGCGGATTAATATGGCGCTGACTAAGCCACCACAGGAATTTTCGCAGTTGAATATCTCAGCTCTGATTGGTTCCTGCGGGTGCACCTGCCAAGACCGCCAAGAGATTAACGGTGCTGACTCATCGCGTCTCACTCTCTCTTGGATTTTCCCATCATTGCGATGCCTCTTTTGCTTCTACCGGAATCTCAAGACATTCTTGACATCTGCCATGCCTAACATTATGCAATTTAGGAAGTTTTGTTCCTAGTTACACACTTGAATGCTCAAAGAATGGCCAATCAAACATGCATGCAGCGCTCTAAGCGCTTGGCCCAGAAACCTAAGGTATGACTGTAGTTGATTGACACATCACACTTCACGACGGACTCCATGGACAATTCTCCATATTTGACAACCTGAAGGCATTTTTGAACCTCTCACTCGATCAAAATGCCCGAGTATTACCAAGTCTTCCTCGTCAAGTTCCACCTCGGCATTCAGGACCCAGACATCCCCGGCGAGCGACAGCATACGACCATCTTTGTCCAGACCGGAGAAGATGGCAGCGGCACCATTCACCAAGTGACCGGCGACATCACTGCCTCGGATGGGATGTATTACTTCCCAGCAGCTACTGACGATCCGACCTCCACGGAGGACTTTCATTCGAGTCAAAAGATAGGCGTCACACCGACCGCTAGCCACCCTGATCAATGGAATCAAGTGCTCGGAAGTCTGCCCCCTCCGCCTCAGCAGAAGGCATTCAACTTAAGAACCATGAGAACGGAGCCGTTCAAAATGAAAGATCCGTTGACTTTCTATGGCCCTGGAGAACCTAGGAAGCCTTTGGTGAAGTGCACCGAGTGGACGATAGAGAGTGCCATCCCGACTCTCGTGTCAGAGGGGCTTCTCATCCGACAGGAGGGCAGTTGAGCATAGCTGAAGACTTTTGGGGCTGCGTGTCTTCTGCTCTGGAGGATAGCAGAAGTGTTCCCACGTGTGGACCTTTCTGATTTGGTGAATCCATCACTCTGGCCAGGTGGATAACATGATGGTATCTTGGAATTCATGCCTTTCTCATCACCTATGACACACTGATCAATTACGTATCTAGCCATAGACCAATTCTTCCAATACTTCTTATTCTTGAGCACCAGCATCTAATAGTGGTCTTTATCGTGCACAAGCGCTTCTGAGCAGCACAATGGCATAATCAATGGGTGACCTTATACTCCAGCATTTGGCTCGGTCGCTATAAGATATAGTTCATGCTTCATTTTTACAAAGACCTAGCTAGTTAAACCTAAATTAGAGTTGATTATCATTCTCTACATTACTTGCGATCTTGTTCATGTCATACCAGAATCTCCAAACAGGTTTTGATTAATCAGCACACTTTGGTGGATGTAACGCTACGATAATCTCTCCAAGCTACAAATCCAAGCATAACCGATACCATTCTCTGCTTCGCTTTCTGAAAAATGATATTTGGGTTTCCACATATCTCCTAAGTAGTAGTGCAATTCCTTTCTTGCCCTCGAGGCAGGTGCGATAACGCGAGGTCACATCATCCCTCATCCTTCCGGTTTCCCAGCCTCCTCATGTTCCACTTCCACTCCCGCTATATACTCTGTGACACCCTCCACTTTGGCTATCGCATTGAATCTCTTCAGAGCAATGGAGAAGCACGAACACCTCCTTCCGGGAGGATATTCTCCTTCGGCTCGTTCTCGCAAAACCGAAGTCGATGTACCTCATTCCTCGCCAAAAGCGTCCTTACAACATAAAGTCTGGGCCCTCCTCCTCAGCATCTCTCTGGCGGCATTCTTCGTCAGCGCGACAAATGCCCTGAAATTGAAAGACCCTCCGTCCATCGAAGAAAGGGTGGAGAAGATCTTATCGGGGACTCCGTTGATCGGTAAGTCACCTAGCGAGTGGTGTTGATTCGTTGTCGATCTTCTCAAGGGGCGTGTCAAATACTGAGTCACGCTTAGATGGCCATGATGATCTTCCCATCTTCATCAGAGCAACTTTCGGAAACCATATTTATCAGGAGAACTTCACGGTCCCTTTCACGCAGGGAAATTTCCCGGGGCATGTTGATATTCTGCGATTACAGGAGGGCCGCGTTGGCGGCACCTTCTGGAGCGTGTTCGTGCAGTGTCCCAAGAACTGGAGCGATTTCTCGGACGAGAATTACGCGTTGAGTAAGTCTGACTCCATTGCATTGTCAGTTAATGGTATCTAACCTAAAACTAGGTGTACGTCAGACGATCGAGCAGGTGGACGTGATGTCGCGCCTTCAGCAGGCCTATCCGGACACCTTCTCTGAGCCACCCAACGGCACTACGGCCTTGCAGGCCTTCCGGGATGGAAAGATCATCTCGCCGATGGGTATCGAAGGATTGCACTCGGTCGGAAACTCGCTGGCCTATCTGCGTCACTTCTATGACCGCGGCGTTTCCTACGCCACACTCACCCATAACTGTCACAACCGCTATGCCGACGCGGCGCTCGTCGAGCTTCCGGGTGGTGGGATTAAAGTGGCGGATCCTTTGTGGAACGGGGTTAGTGATGCTGGCAAGAAGCTCATTGGGGAGATGAACCGTTTGGGTATGATCGTTGACCTGTCCCATGTCAGCGCAAACACGATGCGGGATGTCCTGGGCGGCAAGGATGGCTGGTCTGGCAGTGAGGCTCCGGTGATTTTTAGTCACAGCTCTGCCTACGCTGTCTGTCCGCACCCGAGGAATGTTCCGGATGATGTGTTGGACTTGGTTAAGGCCCGGGACTCGATTGTCATGGTCAACTTTTCTCCGGACTTCATTTCCTGCACGGCTTCGAAGGATCCGAACGGTCTCCCTGACTTCGATCCTGAGCACGCGACACTGGAACACGTGGTGGACCACATTGTCTACATCGGTAACCATATCGGCTTTGATTATGTTGGGCTGGGCAGTGATTTCGACGGCATCCCGACCGTGCCACGGGGTCTTGAGGATGTTTCCAAGTTCCCCGACTTGATCGCCGAGCTTCTGCGACGCGGTGTCAGTGACGAATATGCTGCCAAAGTGGCCGGAGGTAATCTGCTGCGAGTGTGGAAAGAGGTTGACCGAGTTGCGCAGAAGTTACAGGCAAAGGGAGTTCATCCAGCGGAGGACGATCTGCCACCTCTATCCTAAAGTACCCAAAATAATTCCAACACCGGGATAACTTCATTTACACGGAGTCATCGCTCCTTTCATGTACACATTCCGAATGTTACCACTCTATGAATTAAACTCAAAGCATCATTCTTTCTACCCCGTCCCCTCTAAACCTCTAATCCATCACTCCCTCCCCTCAAACAACCCAAAGCCCCTCAGCAACGTCTTGCCCTGGTCGCCCACAAACCTCAACCTACTCCCATTCCCCTCCACCCCATACTTAACCTCCTCCTCCGTTGCCCAAACAAACTCCTCATGCTCCTCCGGCTCCAGATTCACCATCTCCTCCCACCCCACCGTCTCCGCCTCCTCCACCTCCACCAGAAACGTAAACTTCGCCGCCCGAACCACCTCGTCACTCTTCACCCTCGTCCACTCATCCACCGCAATGAGATCCACGAACCGGGAGACATGGAGTCCGCTCTCTTCGTAGACTTCGCGCGCTGCTCCCGCGAGGATCGAGTCGTCTGTTACTTCGCAGAGACCGCCGGGGCCTTCCCAGAAGCCTGGGAGGGAGTCGTGTTGGGAGCGTTGGAGGAGGAGTACTCGTGTTTGTGGAGTTGGGTTTGATTTCGGGAATGAGTTGGGGAGTGGATTGTTGGTGTTTGTTGGAGATGCAGGCGTGTTCCAGTTGTAGTTGCATGTAGATGAGTAGATGAGGCCGCCGACTACGAAATGCGTGTATTGGGGGTTGGAGGCGCGGAAGGTCGAGAGTGAAAGGGCGTATTGGTGCAGATGGGAGGAGTATGTGTAGTTCAGTTTGACTGGGGGTTGAGAGGTCATGGTGAATAAATCATTAACAGATGGTTGTTGAAGGAAGGATGAAGTCTCTGCGCTGGTCTCTGTTTATGAAGGTATGGACGGGCCGACAAGCGGATGTATCACGTGGGGAGAGGGTATAACTATACCCACGGCGTAGTGGACTATATATATCTGTTATAGACATCGCCGCTTTACTGAGGGCGCTCAGGGCTTACTCAGTGAGTCATTCACATCACGGCTGACCGCTCAGTAAGCACTCAGTCGGTGCTCATGGTCCACATGCAGGCTTCAGACATGACAGCTGCCCCACGAGTCCCACCAGTACCTAAGGTACTCTAGCAACATTATAGGTAACTTTATTATGGAATATGGCAGATACGATACCGGTATGAGTACTAATACTGCTGCTGATCGATCCATGCGTTTCAGTATAGCAACTCCTAGATACGGGATCCGTTCCGAACATTCAGCACCATCTCAATATGCTCCCTCGCCAGTGGCACATTTTCCTGCTTCGACAACAAACGTGCCGTTTTGACCGTATTCTTGATCTGCCTGCCATTCATCTCAATGGCTGCCAGAGACTCCAAGTCCGCCTCGCTCAGTCGACCATCTACTTCTCCCATCCGAGCGAAGGTCTTCCATATGTGGAGCCGACTCGCCGGATCCAAAGATGGATAGTGGATGGTGAGATGAATGCGCGACTCAAATGCAGGGTCGAAATCTCTGACGCGGTTACTGGTGAGAAACATCACCCCTCGGTAATATTCCAGTTGCCTGAGGAAGACTGGGTCGGAGATTGAACCATTAGTTAGTGGGCTTGACACTCTGACAAGGGTTGGTACAGTACAACTTACCAGAGACCAGTCGGTTGCGACGCAGATCCGCAGTCGAACGAGCTTCGAGGAACATGTCGCACTCGTCCAACAGCAAGATGGCATTCCAGGTACTGGTCAGCTGCAGTACTTGTTCAAGCGATTCCTCTACTTCTGAAGCGGTCTCTCCGAGTTCGCTTGCACCCATCAAGTACAGTGGCTGACGCATCTCCTCGGCAACTGGGGGGAAATTGAGTCAGTAAAGATCTGCGGTTGTTCAAGCTATCAGTGGAATAACTGTACCCGATTCCGCTGTCAGTGTCTTTCCGACTCCAGGTTCTCCAGCGAGTAACATGATGAAGCCCAGGCCTGTGGTAGTATTATCATTAGCCACCTCCTGGTGTCCCGATCATCCGGCTATTATGGTATTTATGGTCACCTTTGCCGTAGACAATATCATCAAACTTGTCATCTCGGGCCAACTGTTCCTGTACAAAGGCGCGAATGATTTCCTTGTAACCGTGGGGAAGAACAAGCCGAGAGAAGGCATCCTTGCTCCAGCGAATGGGGCCGACGTTGTCCACGTCAAACTCGGCTAAGAAACGAATGTTCGGGTTACCAGAGAACTTGATAGTAAAAAAAGCAGACAATCGCGCTCACCCCATGTTTTGAAAGATAGGCAGTAACCGCGAACGACGTGATTGCAAAGCAATTTCAGACGTGGGCTCAAGATTTGATCTGTTGTAGGAATCAGAACTAATCCACGGAGCCGTGGGTGGGATGTGTGGTAGGCTTACGAGCACTGGCGGGGCTGTCCCTGCTACACCTGGTGTGCTTTTCCAAGGCATTCTGACATTCCCGATACGCATGACTCGTCGCTCTGAATACCACATTTGGCACGTCAAATAGCGAGCCTTCGGGGGCTGAACTTGTGACAAAATCCGTCTCCGCTTGGATCGACCCAAGGCCAGGGCCCGGTGTGCCATACAGACTGAACATATGCGGATCAACGATGATACGACTGTTTTCGACCTGAGCCGAGCGTCGAGACCAGTATTAGCGCCCGGAAATCAGCGGGGGACAGCTGCTCTGAGCACTTACATGGCGCTTGCGGATCTGTCGTGACGACCTGGCCGTGTAGAATCCTGAGTACGACAAGTGGTGGAAGCCGTTGAGCTGCTCAAACTTCTCTCCCCGGGCATGCAGTCGGTCGATCAGGCCTTTCACGTCAGGATGAAGATGGCTGGGAAAAACGATCAGATCGACGAGTCTCCTAACACCGTCGAATTTGTCAATGTCGATGGAGGTGGACACATAGCCGAAGCTGGACCCATCGCAGTCAATATAGCGACACTCCAGTGTGAAGAACTCCCCGCCCATATTGGCCCCATATCGACTCTCGGTTACCTCCATCATACGGGGTTGCCCATTCACGTTGGTGAAGATTTCCATTCCGGGACCGAAGATCGTCCACAGGTGGTCGAAGCTCATCACCTTGTTTTGGACCAGGTCCTGCATTGCTTCGATGTACGGCTCAATCTCCTCACGTAGAATGTGATACAGGAGGTTGAGGTGATGCCCACGTTCCGGGTCCAGCTCCTCTTCGCGGAGCTTCTCGAAGCGATGCCATCGATAGTAGAATGGATGAAATGGCGCCTTAAAGGTCAAATCTTTCAGTTGAGTGTTCAGACCCTCAAGTCCCTGGAATATCCGTTCCAGTGCTTTCTTGATCAGCGGGCTCTGAATGGTAATCGAATGTAGGGCGACCTGGTGGGAGATGGGATGGGGTTCGCGGCGCACAATCACAGCGAATTCTTGGGCCAAGGACCCGGCTTCAGCTTCAGTCACAGGCTGTTTGGGCACAGACTCATTCCACGCCGATCGATCGTCTGGTCGGTAGAGCTGCTGGACCTCCGCTCTCATTCCGCGCCCAAAATCCGGGGTGTAACCTGGATCGACGTTCATCTCGGACTGTCAATGGGTCAGTGTTCTGCCTCCTGCCTCCTGCTTTTGGGCTCACTGAATGTCAGTCAAGACGTACCAGGTCGCTGCTCGAGGAGGCAGCACTCCGGTGGTAAGCAAGAGAACTCCCGTAGTCCGACATGGCGGTGACCACGGAGTGAAGGTAGCAGCTTTGTGCGGTTGCGCTTGAAAGAAATCAATCCCGTGGTCTGCAAGGGGAATTTCCATCTGAAACAAAGGAGAAAAGACGAGTGGAGAGAGAGTATCGTAAGCTGAGTTCCTGTGTTCTACTTTTAGTGTCCGCGCTACGCTTGTCAATCATAAGGCGTGGCCGATCTGTGGATACACACAACAGCCTAACTTACTTGTGCGAATGGGGTCGTATGATTCGTAACAGTGGAAGTCGACACTACCTTATAGCGGTCGTAATCTGTTCAAACGGGACCGCAACAGTATCCGTACGCAAACTGCGCCATCGAAGTCGTAACTTAGTAACCAGATGTGATGACAATTCAGCACCGGACGAGGGAGGTATAGATGTGGCCCAGTTCAGCGCACCTACTAAGTGTGATAAAAATCCGATTATCCCCCGTCGTGGTACTCCAACCCTCGACTGGAACAGACGGCTTCACTGGAAGGTGTCCATTCGCGATATGATCATGATCAAATTACTGAAGCGTAACATATCTACAATTATGACAGTAGTTATCCACTAGTATACCATGCCAAGTGAGAAAGACTATGCGGATCTAACAATATCTAGATTGAGCTTCTCAATTCGTTAATGCCTAATTAAGTCATCCCTCCATGGGCAGCCCCTGATTCCCGTGCATCGCAAGGCACACTACAGTACTTGAGACGATACTTCTCAAGGGCTCTGCGAGTACAACCCTTTCCCCGTAGCTTGAGCACCAGTATCATACCCAGCCATATTCGCCCTGACGTGAACTATGTGCCGCACACCACGTTGGCGAGGTCCAAGCTCTGTCCAAATCTTCCGACGCTGGATGAGGCATTGACAATTAAGATCGCACACCGATCGTACCCGACATCACCCTCAGTCTTCGGATGGCTTCTTTTGCTCCGTGAGGTTCTCGATCCCCGTCTTTGTCTCCGTATGCTCCGCGCTCATGAACCGCTGCTTGACGAAGGGAGTGGCCAGGAGTCCAATTCCGGCCGCGACGGTGTACATTATGAACATATTACGCAGACTCCAAGCAAATGCGCTCTGTACCACGTGGCGCTGGATCGGATCGTCGATGGTCGCAATCCTTTCCACGTTCGCTGCGGCATCGTAGCCGGAAAAGGCATCCAGGTAGGTTGAATTGAGGCCAGCGGCGACGAGCGATGCATGCTGCACCGTCATGCTATCCTGAAAGACAACTCCACCGAGTACGATCGACAGAGAGGTGGCGATGCTGCGCACGAATCCCAAGGTGGATGTTGCGACAGCGGCATCGGCCTGCTGGACGTTATTCTGGATGGCGAGCATTGGGGTTGAGAGGAGGAGGGACAGGCCGATCCCGCCGATGATCTCAAAGACGATCACCTGAGCGAGCGAGGTCTCAATGTCGAGCATCACGTACAGGCCAGTGCCCAGGGTCAAGAGCACGGTCCCAGCCCAGATCACCTCCCGGTAGCGACCAGTTTTGTGAATGAGGACGCCGACGGACACGTCGCACAGCGACGCGGCGACCATCATCGGCAGCACCAGCACGCCGCTTCTGGTCGGAGAGGCCCCCTTGACGCTTTGAAAGTACAAGGGAAGGTAGTACTCGGAGCCTCTCGTGGCCATGCTGTGGGACGCTGCCACGAGAATGACCGCGTTGTTGGACCACTCCCGGAAAAGTCGCAGGTCCATCAAGGGAAACCGCGCGAGGCGTTTTTCGGCAAAGAGGAAGAAGCCAAACAACACCGAGCCAAACACGATCATGCAGATGATGGTCGGACTGTTCCAGGGGAAGGTCTCCCCACCAAAGTCGAGTCCTAGGAGGAGGAGAAGGATGACTGCCAGGATGGAGACAATGCCGAACCAGTCCACGGCCTTGAGGCCGTCACGAAGCTTGGTCCGCGGGTTGTGCAGGTCCAGGAACAGCGCGAGGATGATTAAGGCAAGGCCACAAACGGGGAGGTTGATCCAGAAGCACCAGCGCCAGGAGGCATACTGCGCCAACGCGCCCCCAATGACGGGCCCCGCCGTGCCAGCGAGGACCCAAACAAGAGCGGTCGCGCTGATGTACAGCGAGCGATGCCGCATGCTGAAGAGATCCGCAATGATGATATTGACTAGGGAAATGATTCCCCCGCCCGCGAGACCCTGCACGCCGCGCCCAGCGATCAACATGGGCATGTCGATAGCAGCGGCCGCAATCGTGCTCCCGACGGCGAAGACGATGATCGCGCCCAAGATGGCCAGCTTGCGACCCCAGATGTCGCTGATGCGGACCCACATGGGGTTGACTGCACACATGGACAGTAGATACGCCGCGCCAATCCAGGTGTAGCCGGCTGCGGAGTGCAAGTCCTTTGTCATGGCAGGAATCGCGGTCGCCACAATGGTTTGATCGAGCGCGGAAATAAACATCACAAGCTGGAGGTCCCGTTATTTCATGAACAGGTGAACCGACGGACCAGGCCACTTACACAAAGCATGAGAACTATCCCGGCATTCCGCATGTTCGAGCGTTGAACGGACGGAAGGGTCAAATTCTCGGAGATCTGGAGGGGCTCGATGGCCACTTGGGGATTCTCCGTCATAATCAGATCCGAGGGCAGGGTCGCTGCTGTTGGTGATGGAGCTTGGGCAGCTGAGATTTTGTCCGCCACCTGGTCAGTCATCTCCTCTAGCAAGCCAAGCAAATGTGTATACGCAGAACGACCAGATGCGAGGGCGTGACCCACGGTCGGCGAGGCAGAGGTTTTAAGACTCAGCTGGCCAGGAAAAGGGAAGGGGATATCCTCAGGTGAATGCAACCATAGTTCCAGGATGTCAAAATAAGGGCGTGGGTACTTTTGTTTATCTCCGTCATGGCGTGATGGCTCGAGATATTCCGTACATGCAGGGAGTGAGCACTAAAACGGAAAGGGAAAGACTTCGAGCTGGCGAGGAAAACAGGTATGTATGTAGAAGGAGAGGTTAAAGGAAAGAACTATAAGAGCTTGTGCTTTGAGCAGATTAAGCTGACTGCGACGTTCAGGTATTTAGTTAAAATGGCATTGGTCTTTGTTCTGTTGATATTCAACGTCTATCTAACTAGCTAAAGTATCTCACAAATACTCTGCAGGCTGACAATCATAAATGCATATAACTAAAAGGTTTTAGAAGCGCATACACTGCCTCCTGGTGGCCACGTTGCATAGCCATCGACAAGGCTGTCTGTCCGTACTCGTCTCTAGCCTCCAAATCAGCACTGCCCGTTTCGTCAAGCAGAAGCTTGATGACAGCCTCGTGGCCGTTAATGCCGGCCCAGATGAGCGGCGTACGTCCGTCCATGTCTCTTGGATTGTGATCAATAGTCGCCTGTTTCAGCAAGACGTCTACGACGGCTGCATGGCCATGCATCGAGGCCCAGCAGAGAGGTGTGCGGCTATACTTGTCCGTGTCATTTAGATCGGCTGCGTCGTGTCGGAGTAGACATTGGGCAACGGCTGGATGTCCGTTCTTTGCCGCCCAAAAAAGTGGTGTCTGATCAAAGACATCCTTCAGGTCGGTTCTGGCTTGCCGTTCGATCAAAAACTGCACCATTTCTGTCTGTCCCGATCGTGCAGCCCAGAATAGTGGTGTGTGGCCTAGGCGATCTCGGGCGTTTGGGTTGGCACTTCCCTCGATCAGCAGCCCTGCCATAGCCTCGTTTCCGCTCTTCGCTGCCCAGAACAGCGGCGTGCGGTTCTCTCGGTCCAAAGGTTCCCAGTTCACGCCTTTTGTCGAGAGGAGCAGCTCCGCGATCGCGGTGTTGCCTTGCCGGACGGCCTCGGACAGTGGTGTCTGCTGGTATCGATCTTCTGAATTGACGTTGGTTTCGGTTCTTGAGAGGAGATACTCTGCTATGGCTGTGTTTCCGCCGGCAGCAGCCCATGCCAGCGGCGTTCTTCCGTATTGAAGGTCCTTGCAGTTTACTTCGGTCTCGCTGTGGGCGCAAAGAAGCCGCGCTGTTGATATCTGGGATTGAATCACAGCCCAATGCAATGCTGTCCGGCCTTCTTGGTCGCGAAGGTTGGGGTCAATCCCGCCTGAGATCGATTCTTCCACTACCTTGTCCTGGTTCTGCTTTACTGCGTCGATTAGACGAGTATCTTTCTGGCGTGTCGGAACGATATTCGCCGTCTCCCGCAACGATTTCGGCAGCTTGGGTGCATAAGTGTTCGTTAATCGCGGTGAATACTGCTCTTCATCGACGCCAAACTCATCTCGGAAGTTGGAATTATCTCCAGTCCGAGTATCAAGCCCCGTCAAGGTCTTCTCGGTGATTTGCGTCCTGTGATACACATCTCTCAACACGATATCCTCCATACTATCGGCCTTCCCATCGCCAGCACCCTTGATCACCTGCATCAGTGCGACACAAGTACTACTAATCCCCGTAATCAACGCGATCATCTGTCCCGTTGATTCTGTAATACCATCCATCTCCAGTTGATTCGCCCTTAGCATCTTTTCCGTCGAGATGATCGCCACCAACGGACCAGCCAGGTTAATCAGAACCCAATGGACCACCTTCAGCGAAAACCCAAGACAAGTCCGCTCCGCGTACGTTCTTCGATTCCACGGCATCACTAACCGGGGCCGGAGGAGCCATCGCAGTCCCGAATGCCGTTTCTTCGTCCTATATCGCGCTCCGGAGCCGACGAAGAGCCCCTCGGCTACGATCACGCCCGCGTTGCCAAATGCGCGGGCCACGGGGCCTTTTTCGGTCCCTGTGAGTAGCTCCATGGTGTGCGCCACGAAGAAGAAGGTAAATATCAAACCCGTGATGATGGCCATTGTCGTTGCGAACGGTCGCCAGCTCGTGTCATTCAGTTCGAAGACACCGAAGAGAGCGGCTTGCGCGGTACATGTGGGCTCTGAGGCTTCGTGGACGCCGGAAAGCCAGAACCAAGCGCCGAAGAAGCTGGTGAATGCGAAGAGCAGGTTCTGTGCGATAAGAGGCACATCTGGTCGGAGGATATACCCCGAGGAAGTGCTACTATTTGAGGACGATTCGCTTTTCTCTAACAGGTTGTAGGATTCGGAGTAGAAGAGGGCGATGGTGAGATAGTAGACTATGAGATAGTCGACCGAGAGGGTGGATCCTTCGGCTGTGTATATGACCAGGGTCAGGATCAGGGAGAAACACAGGATGTTGTTGGCGATGCGCACGGCCGAGATAGTTTCCCAGGAGCCGTTGCAGTTTCGTAGAAGGAGTCCTGCGATCCACTGCAGGTAGAGACCGAGTCGGACGCCCAGGCCGTAGAGATCGCCATCGCCTTGGGTGGTGCAGTCGGACATTGTTATTGTTGGTTGGATGTTGGAGGTGTCGGTTTATAAATCCACTCGCATTTTGATTGTTGATTCTAACTTGAATATTGATAATGCGGGGCAAGTAAAGGTGAAGAAGAAAATGTCTTTGCGGTGTAAATCCGCAAATGGCTGCCAATTGCACTTGTCACTAAGGCTTAGTCGGTGGGGGCCAAATTGAAGCTTTTCTTAGTCTGAGGTTAGGAGGCACTTGTATCAGACGGACGTTATCCAATTATTCTAATACTCTATCATTGTTGACCTTAGAAGATAATACTATAACTTACTCTCCGATGCGATATTATCCTGCTCCTCCCTAGGGAGCAGGAATCCATCGAAGAAATCCCCAACCTTCTCAGGCTCGTCTAGGCTGATAACAGCAGACACATCTAGACTTTGTCAGTAGACATCTCCAATCCTTGACTAGATATTACTTACACTGATCTGGTCGTACAATGACGATGGCCCCCCTTTTAGGACCAATACCCAGGAATTCGTAGGCTTGCCCGTGGCCTTTGTTATAGCTTTCGTCGTCAAAGTATATCTTGTGCAAGTCTAGATACCTTAGTGAGATAGTTCCCGATGCAGGACGCTCGGACTTACCTTTGATTTGGTTCTTCCCGGTGATGGGATAAAAGCACGCAGGGGTTTCTCCCAACTCAATGTTATGGCGCTTTCCATGGGCCACGAATATCGGTTCTATCAGGCTGTCCACGTCTGAGTTGGTAGGGCGGAAGCGATGGATAGGGCTGCTGGTTGAAGCAAAATAGTTTCCGAGCTGGTTCATTGTCAGTCCTTATAAAGTTCAACCGTCGGAAACACATCTTACCTTGCTCAGTCGAGTCCTGTTCTCAGGCAAGCTCAGATCTCCCACAAACGCCATCACTCGCCACCGGCCATCCGACTTCAAAGCTGTCATCAACTGCACAGGCTTGGAGTCACAGAACCGCACCACTTGCGCACTGGGAAGCCTCATTCCCACCACGATGTTTATAGCCAAGTTCTCCGACTCATCCATATCCGATGTGATCATCGACTTCTCATACCTGGCCGTCAACCCGGCCGTATACTTGCCCGATTTCACAAACCCTTCCTGAAACTCGGTCGGCGAGATATCTCCCCCGGATGAAAACAGCTTGGAGAAGTACCGATCGAAATTAATCAAATCGATCGCCACCTTCTGTCTCTCCAGCACATACGTCTCCAGCAGCGACGCCGGTGCCAGTCCCTTCAACACGGCAGCCAGTTTCCACCCCATGTTATACCCGTCCTGGAGACTCACATTCATCCCCTGTCCTGCCTTTGGCGAATGCGTATGGCACGCATCACCAGCCAAAAACACGCGATGATCCTTATGGAACTGATCCGCATGCCGCTGCCCAATCGCGTACGCAGACCACCACACCGTCTCGGTGAACTCGATGCTATACTGGCTCAGAATGTTGCGTGCCGCGGTCTGAAGATCTTCCAGTTTCACGTCCCTTGCCCTCGTCCCGGCGGGAAGCTCGATATAGAACCGAGTCAGATTGTCACTGTCGCCTTCGCGAGGGATAATGAGCAGGTTTCCCGCTCGTGACCGAATGCTGGATTTCTTGCGGATGTCGGGGTAGTCGGTTCGCGGGACCATGTCCATCACACCCCAGACGGCGTCGCTGCTGTCGCCGATCATGTTGTATCCGAGTGCTTTTCGGACGGTGCTGTGTGCGCCGTCGCATGCCTGGACAGGACAACATCCTCGTGTCAGTCTCCTGTACCCAGATATGTATGACCAGAGAAGGAAACACATACAAGAACATAATTCGCCTCAAACACCTCCGTCTCGCCTCCTTCTTTCCTCGCGGTCACCTTCACCGGATACTCTCCTTCCTGCGTGACATCCACACCCAACACCTCCCACCCATACTCCACCCGCTGCCCATTGAACCGCTCCATCGCCTCGAGCAACAGCCCGTTAATCCGCGCCTGGTTCAGAATGACATGTGGCTGATGCGACAACCCAGGCTGCGTATCTGCCGTTCGCCCTGTCCGGTAGATCTTCCCTTTGTCTGCAGATGTACCAGGGGTAGATTGTTGCTCCGCCCAAAACACCACCTCCAATACATGATACGCCTCGCGGAGCAAGTCCTCGCCAATTCCGAAACTCTCGAAGATCTCCACCGTCCGACACTGCACTCCGTCTGCTTGGCCCATTTTCATGGGTCCTGGTCGTCGCTCCAGGATCGTGCAGGGGATTCCGGCTTTTGCGAGCCAGGTTGCGGCGCAGAGGCCTGCGGAGCCGGAACCGGCTATTAGGACGGGGGTTTGGATGGGCATATCTTCTCGTTTCTCCTCCCTTGTTTTGTTTTGTTGGTTATTTTGTCGTGGAGATTGAGTGAAATATGTTGAAGGAAGGGAGTAAGTAAGTGAGGAGAGGGAAGTGAAGATTGGATGTTGAGTGCTGGATTAGGACTGGGCTTGTACTTCGTTCTTATGAGGGCTCCGGAGTGAATCCCGAAGTACCCCGGAATCGATTCCGGGGTCGGTTGGTCTGCGCGGCTACACTTCCATCCGGGATTTACTCCGGGCGTTCCGTCAACGGGATCTCGTCGCCTTAGGAATTGGGATCTAGGAAGATTCCCACGAGGAAGGGATTCTGCAGTGGAAAAGCGCTTAACACTTTGTCCGGAGTGGGTTTGACTATTTCCAATCTTAAAAATTAAGTAGGTGGCTGTCTAGGAATCCGCACAAGGGAATAGTTATGGCATCAACGAAATCATTATTGGACTCTAAAATCGTTATATAGAATGGTCATCACCCCCCAACCGAAGAGCATCGCCCATATCCATATTTACTCCGAACGCCAGCGCCGGTGCATATCATCCCTCTCGTGAGTTACAGTCTGGCCACGAACGCGCCGAGTGAGAAGACAACCATGCAATGAAACATATTGTCCCTTTTTTACAAGAAGTACTCGCTGCGGCCCGGCCGCGACGTCGGAACGTGTCGTTGGTCGTCGCTGACCGCGCTGAAGAGTTTGAAGGTCGGTCGTAGGTCTTCCCCGATCTCGCATACGGACGCCAGGTTGCCGCATCGGTAGCAGTAGTTTGGCGCGCTCCACACGGTGACCACGTTCTGGTTTGCGAAATGGTACTTGTATCCCTCGTTCACCAGCTGATGGGCTCGTGCGATCAGTGTTAAATCGTTGACGTGGCAAAACTCATCGGCCACCTTGTCTCCGAACAGCCATCCTAGACCCCTGTCAGTAGCGGTATCTCGGCACCTAAGGAATACATGTCTTACCAGCTCCTCTGGGGCTGACAGCCCACGTTTCCACGTCGTCGGGGTCGGACCAAACCAGGTCACAGAATGCACCTTCGTGGGGAATCTCCTGGGCCCTCGCGACCACTCGCACTTGGTCCAGCGTTCGGATCTCCGGACTCAGTCCGCCGTGCACACATAGCACCCTGCCATCAATGATAGCGCCGAGAGTCATAAAGTCGAACACCTGGCAACAAGCCTTCCACACAGATGCATTGCCGTACTTTTGAAAACACTCCTCGTAAAATCCATACACCTGGGTGATTTGGCGAGATTCGTGGTTTCCGCGCACCAGCGTTACTCGATCGGGGAACCTAATTTCGCTGTCAGATCTCGGGTCGATCGTATTGGGAAACGGCACACCAACTTCGCCTTCAAGCATAACAACAAAGTCAAAGTCTCCAAGCTGAAATATCCTCGATCGACGTAGTCACCCAGGAAGACGAAATTCCGGTTGACTGAGATGTCCGACGATCCGGCGCTCGAGGATCGCTCGCGACTCGCGTTGGATGAATCATCAGCCGCATCCTCCGAAGCACCCCCCGACTTCCTTAGTTTCTTCCGCAACTTGGGGTCCGAGATAGTCGACGGCGGCTCGAGGTCGTCGGAGGTGATAACGGATGGCGATGTCTTCGGGGGCTCGACGTCCGATTGGTCGGGCATGCCACCCGAGACTCGGAAGAGTTCTAAGAGGTCGTAGAATTGGCCGTGGATATCTCCGCAGACGGTGACAGGCGTGGAGACGGGCTGAATGTTCGATTCTGGTGTAGTCCGCAGTGTCAGCCGGGTGGTCAGTCGGGTTCCATCCACAAGAGCTTACCTTCCATCATGAACTCCTTCACCATCTCACACAGCTGTTTCATATGGGGCTCCGACAGGTATTTGCAGTCTTTCGCGGCCTCGAGCCATTCGTCGGGGCCGGCATTGCGCTTCAACTTGGCCGGCCCTGGTTGAGGGACCTTGCTATCTACCATCTTCACACAAGCCCGACGGGGTCAATAGATTGAACAATGGGTGAGGGGTGAAATTTGAAATAATAGTGACTAGAATCAAATAATAAAACAGGCAGGGGGGAGTGAAAAGGAGGGATATCGAGCAGTGCAGTTCACAGGACGGGGGTATCTGGAGGAGGATTACAGCGACCTTCCCCGCAGAGCATTTGTTGGCGATGCGCCGGTGGCGTGTGTGGCCGCCCTGCCCTGCCGTAGTCCCTCATTCCGCGGCTTCATCTCTTCGCCGTCTTTCTTCTACCTGCTCACTTTCATGACTCTACGGTTGAATTAACCGAATCTACTGTGGTTATCGACTGGGTCATATGTCTTCAATTCTGCTCCCTTTGAGCGTCTAATCATTTTCCGTCGTTCTTTCAATCGCATAACCCAGACTCGAGTTCGCCCAACACATCCTCTTTCCGTACGATCAACCCACCATGGCGCAAACACCTGCGGGCAAGTCAACAGGAGGTGTCCTTCAGATTCCTGCAGCAGCCACGCAGAAGAACGGTCCTGCTGCTCCCAAGAAACCTCCAAAACCGGCCGCCCCTCGACTCAAATTGCTCGTCAGACGACTACCTCCCGGCTTGACTCAGGCCGAATTCGAATCCGCGGTTGGGCCTGAATGGAAACCCGGCGCTGGCAAGGTGGATTGGTTCCAGTATAAGGCCGGCAAGGTTTCTAAAGAGTGAGTAGTGACATTGTTCGATGAACGTCCCGGTCGGCCATTATCTAACTCGACATCAGCCCTGCTAAACCCTCTCGACCGTCACGCGCCTACATTCACCTGAACTCGAGCGATCACATCATCCCTCTCTCCAACAAGGTCCGACAGACTTCTTTTGTCGACGCTCGCAGTACCTCCAACGATCCTGTCCTCATTGGACCTCCCTCCGTCGAATACGCCCCGTACGCGAAGATCCCCGGCAACCGAGTCCGCAAGGACGCCCGTCAAGGAACGATCGACCAAGATCCCGAGTTCATCGCCTTCCTCGAGAGTCTCACCCAGCCCATCGTGAGGCCCGCTCCCGCCGAGACCAACGAGGGGGAGGAAAAGAAGGATGCGCCCATCATAACGCCCCTGGTGCAGTACATCAGAGAAAAGAAGGCCAACAAGGCAAAAGACGCTTCCAACAAATCGTCGAAACACTCCAAGTCGGACAAGGACGGAAAGCCAGAGAAGGTGCAGGCGAAGAAACTCCTGCAGCGACCGGACAAGGAGACTTCTCAGTCGGGTTCGGCTGAGAAAGGCGAGAAGAGACCCAAGTCCGATAAGGCAACCAAGGAGGCAGTCAAGGCTGCTACCAAACAGGCCGCCAGTGTCACCAAGCAAAGTGGGAAGTCGTCCGGGGCGCAGAACTCTCCTAGGGACTCCAGCCAGTCGGCTACTACCTCCGAGCGCAAGAGAGAACGTGGCAGTGTCGCTGCGGCGGCCAAGATCCTGCAGCGTGATCTAGGTCTGGCTCCGTCGGGTGGGCGTCGCAGAGGAGGGAAGGCTGCTGCCGCTGCTGCTGCGGCGGCCGCCGAGTCAGATACGCCCAAGGCAGAGCAGATCTCAGAAACTGGCAAGAAGGATACGTCTACGAAGCCACCCAAGGGATCATCGTCCCAGAGTGCAAAAGGCAGAGGTCAAGCTGCACAAGCAACCGAACCGTCCTCCTCCCAGAACCAACCCGAAACAAAGCCTCCCACCGCCGCGCCATCCCAGGGCAAGTCGTCAAGGTCTACGAAAGGAAAGCAGGCTGCCCCGCCTACGACTGTGACCGCCACTCAGGCGTTCCTGAAACATGCAAACCCATCGCAGGGCGTCACCGAAGCGCTACTCGATACCGCGTTCTCCCCGTTCGGCAAGATCGTGAAGGTTGAGATTGACAAGAAGAAGGGCTTCGGGTACATTGACTTTGCCGAGCCCGATGGACTCCAGAAAGCTATCGCGGCCAGCCCCGTCACCGTGGCGCAGAGCCAGGTCGTCGTGCTGGAACGCAAGGCTAACCCCGGAGGTGAGAAGGGCCGTGGAAAGAATCGCTCCGAGACACAACCTGCGGCCAACGGAGGCGGTGGTAGCAGCAGCAACAACAACAGTCGCGGCAGTGGTGGTGGCAAGGCAGAAGGGAACACCGGATCGTCTCGCGGATCTCGAGGTGGTCGAGGCAAGAACAAGGGCGGTTCGAAAGGTGGAGGTGGAGGGACTGGGAATGCCGGTGCAGCAGATGGCAAGGCAAGTACAGAGGGGAAGTGATGAGATAATGAATGCAATGTACCAGACACGAATAGATATCATCAAGATACCCGACATGGCAGGAGACGAAGGCAGCCAAAACATTCAGTCGCAAAGCATAATGTACTAAAACAGGTTTGGTCAAAGTGCAGGATCGCCGACCAGGAACTTCTACATGAGAAAAATGATTGATAGTCATACAGTATGACAATTGAACTACAAGCTACAATGTAGATGATTTCAAGTGGAAAATATTTTGTATTCAAATGTGCGAGAAAAAAAAAAGAGGGTATCAAGAAAAGGTATAGCAAACTCCAATTCCGTTCATATCACCAACATAAAAGTGAAAAAGAGGGAAGACACCTTTCAGACCTCCTCGACACCCACCAAATCCGACCGACCGAAGTCCGACATCCAGAAAAGGTCAAGATCATCACCACTCCCTGGACCAACACACCCAGACCCGAAACAAGTCCATCTTGCGATGGATCGTAACAGAGCGAGAAGTGCGCAGTCGAGGCGGGAGTAAAACGGCTTCACTTTAGGGCATCGAGGACTTAGCAGTCATCAGCAAGGGTGGAGATTCTGTGGCTCTTTAGAAGAGCTCAGTATGAGACGTCTACTCTAAAGTGATTCTTTGAACTGTTGGAGAGAGGAAGGTTAGCCAGATCATTCCTTGTTGTTGGAGAATCGGGAGGATGATTCCCAAGGTAGGGAGGGGGAGAACTAACGTAGAGTCGCTTGATTTTCAGAAGGAAGGGGGATTCGGGGATATTTATACCTACGCCGTCGTGGGTGGCCGCCGCGCTAGCCACAAGCGAGCTCGCCTGTGTTTGCCTGGTTTGTTCGCTTGGCGGGTCCACCGGTTGAAGGAGGCTGGGCCGCCCGTGGTCCAGGACTGGTCTGGCCGAGGCTTCCGCTCCCAGTTCCTTCACCGGGCAGTTTCTGTTATTCAATCGCTTGCTTACTGGTGGGATTTGAAGATGCCGAGTTCCGAACACAGCGGTCTGCACTTGACATTTTTTGTTCTTGCAGTTGTAGACAGCCTGAGGCAGGAATTGCGCAGCCAGCTCGGCCCGATTATCTCGGCTTGCCGACTGTACTCAGTATACTATGGAGGTTACTGTCGTTCAGCAGGCCAGCAAGCAATGCAAGTGACCAATCTTGTATAGAATTAATTAAGATTTTTATCTGTTTACTCGGGGGACCCTGGCGTAGTTTGTAGTGTCGTTCGAGCATCGTTGCTAGCACCGTTCAGGGGCATATCCCCGGCTATCTGTCTTGAGCAGGAAATAAGATTATAAGAGTAATCAATGACCTACGACCAGGAATTGGTATGACTATTCAGCGACTTTGCTACGTATCTAGGCACGCAGATTCTACTGGGCTTGGTGGTTTTTGCTGGGTCAAAGGGACAAACAACAAAAAAGGAAGCCTGGGGGTTTTTTCATAGTATAGACTGAGCCAGTTTCGAACCAGAGCAAAAAAATTCCATCGAGGGAATATTACACACTAGGCTAGAAGAGCAAAAGTGTATTCTGAATGTAGTGTATAGTGAACTCATAAAGCAAGAATGTTGTTATTCTTATACGCCCAAGTGCTCTCCATACGCGTTTTCAATGACACTCTATCGACGTGGAAACTGGGTTCTTGGAATCATGAATCGAAGATATGATGTCTAATGACACTATGGAATCTCTGAAACGTCCAATAGACCATGATCGGTGTGTTGGCCACTGTGACCCAGGTGCATGATAAATGCGGTATTGATGTTTATATTGAACTACTGCAGGTATGGCAAAATATATCTTTCATGCTCCCGAACTGTGCACCAGTCCATTCGCAACAGCACGCCGTAACAACAGACGAGAGCCTCTGCTCCAAATACATTCAAGTAAACAAAGGACACCAAGTTACATCAAAAGAGCGAGTAGAAAAGAATGGTTGCCCAATGCAACCAAGAGGCCACACAACTTGACGCCTCAGGCACCAACAAGTCACGAGGCCCGAGGACAACCAAACAAGCAGGAGCCAATCAGCAAGCGATCGACGCAGCGATCGACCTCTCCGCATCTGCACTTCGAGAAGACAGAATGATGTGATGCCAACTAGCCGCCTCCTTGCTTCCCTGCTTCCCCAGAATGCTCATGCATCCTACCAATCATCACCCGTCCTGTCAGTCGTACCATTCTTGAGCCGGGAAGATCTTGGCGGGTCCGCGCCGGACGAGATGCCTCGGCCTAAGGTGTCCCCCGCCAACCGCCTGCGCGCATACGAGGTTTGTCTCGCCTGCCGCGTAACTAAAAAGCGATGTAGCGGCTCATTTCCCTGCGTGGCGTGTATCAAAAACGACAGAGCCGATACCTGCACCCCGTGCAAACGAAAGGACCGATATGCATCTCCTCGCCTGTCGCGAGACAACCGGGGCGGATTGAGCTCCACTACGGTCTCGGTCTCGGAGTCGAGCGGTGCCAGGTCTCTGCCTGTCACTGGTTCACATCGTTCGAGTGATACATCTCGTCCTGATCGCCATGTTACACCTCATGAATCGCCGAATGCCGTGGTAGATCCTGGCTCCCCGGAAGCACCGCACAAGACACATCCGCGGATGTTACGAAATCTCCAAGGGGAACGAGGTATGGACATCTGTTTTATGATTGGAGACACTTCGTTGGATTAAGGACTTGAATTAGTTTTCATTGGCAAGGCTGCCTCGCTATCCTTCCTACAACTACTTCGTGATACTGTCACCCAATACATCGGACCGTCGCAATTCTCACACAATGTCAGGAGTGAGGATATGCTTGAGACAGAGACACCGCGGGATATCCCAGTGTCAATCGGAGATGTGGACTCTGATCAACAAACGGCCTTTATAGCGAATTATCACATTGCGGTAAGTTGTATGAATGCGACCCTCGGACAACTGCGACAGTGAAACGTGACTGACCGTATCCGTGTCAAGACGAGCGGGTTCATACACATCCTTTCCGACGCAGAACTGTCGGAGATACTCAGTGAACCACTGCAATCCCCGAACAACAGCCCCAGTGCCCACCGGGCTTTAAGAGACATCATGACTGCCATAGGTGCCCAGTCGTATAGGAGCAGCCCGGAAACCATCCAGGCCGAGCGCTTTTTCTTCGCACGCGGTCAACGCAGTGCATTTGACAATATGATAGAAAACCCAAGCTTGGAGCTTGTGCGGGTGTTTCTTTTAATGTCGTTCTACATGCTTGGTGCTTGTCGTCGGAATGCAGCGTTTATGTACATCGGCATAGCTGCGCGTGCCGCGGCGGCACTTGGGCTTCACCTGAACGATTCGTCCGATGCAACCCCGGCGAGTGAGAGACGTCGCAGGTATGATACGGAGAGCCTCACAACATTCACTTAATGCTAACGCCGTTCTTTCTTACACAGAGCTCGTGTATGGATGAGTCTTTGCATTTTGGACCTTCTGGTCAGCTCAATTCTCGGACGGCCTCCCGCAACCACAATTCTACGCTCGGATCGTCCAGGCAACCAATCGAACGCGGGAAAAAAAGACTACTATATCGAGGCGAGTCTATTGGCTTCTTTTCACATGTCACAAATCCTGGATGAAATCATTGTGCGGCTGTATAGCGACAAAGCAGCATCAGCAGAGACGGCAGAGTCTCTCCTGGGAAAGCTCAAAGGGTGGAGCGAGAACTTACCGGAGTCCTTGCGAACACCCCCGCCAATTGATAGCGAGCCATTTGCCGCCCAGGAGCGTATCATAGGATGTCTGCATATCGCATGCTCTTACCATTTTGCCGTCATCATAATCACGAGACCATTTTTGATATCTGCCCTAGGCGTTCGGCTGGCCCGACTGCAACGTCCTTCCGAAGTTGCCATGCAGGAAGCACTCCAGGAGGATCCTGCGCACTCGAGGCTGGCTGGTGCCTGTACAGATTCTGCTCTGTATATGATCCAGACCTGCATGGAAGTCCACCAATCGGGTTTGTTGCTGGGGAACATGTGTATCTTGAAGTGAGTCTGCCAAGTTAGTATCATGGTGAGCACTAAATAACCACCGAGTATCCAGGGCGTTTGTATTTGCCGCAGCGCTCGTCCTAGGTTTCTCGATGTTTTCTCAAAACCACACGGATTCGATTTTGGACGAGGCGTTCAACGGCGCAATTGAAATTCTCCATACCCTCTCCCAGCAATCCGCACAAGCGGCGCATTACTACGAAATCCTTACCTTTCTCAGAAATGCCATCGAACAGAGAAGGCGACTCCTGCAGCAAACGCAACAAAACAACAGCCCCTATGTCAGCAAACTCTTCAGTCTTAACCAACCTAGAGACCAGGCAGACGCGGGAAACAACGCCCCGATCCCTGCGAGTGGCAGTTCTGACATGACAATACCCAACGGAGCCTTGGATATGTGGTCACTTATGGACCCGGCTGAGCTGAGTAGTACACTTCCTGCTTGGGATGGCATGGATTTACCTCTATGGGACAGTTTCCCTTTCGCAGCGGCCGGGTTTCAACTGCCGGATAGGATGAACGATGCAAGCTTGACGCTTTGATGATGAATGACTAGATTGTATGCGTATGTTCAATGATGATGTACAGAAGGGCTTCAGTAGCCGGACAGTGTAAATAGATTACATGTTATTTACGACACTGAGGTGGATCGCCCTCGCTAGACGCGTGAATATTACGAACAAAGTGTATGTAAGTTACACACCCGCCTCGCGGGTGGCTCCTTCCTATCTAGGACGAACGAGCGCGCCTTCCTTTTCTTCCCTCCCTAGTTTCTTGTCTCTTCTTTTATTTCTGTTTCTCGTCAAGAGATTCCTGTCTTCTCACCACTGCTTCGTTGACCCCTAAAACTGCATGTCTAACCAATAAGAAAACTCTGCTCAGATGAGGATGCATTGCCCATGCAGGTCCAGCAGATCTTTCGAGGGAGAACCAACGTGGGATACCCTTTCTGCACGCTCAACGACGCTGCCGCCAGCCTCGCCAGCCAGTTCCCGTGTGCTCTGATGATCCCCACGCGCGTTGGCGGGGGTTGAAGTAGCTCTTCCCATCGGTCAATACTCGCAAGCTCGACCGTGGAATCCTCGTTCCACGTTTGCGCGTCCCCGTCATCCGAGACTGACACGACGGGATTCGGAAGATCGGCGGACCGAGGCGATGGTGTCTGTTTACAATGGCAAAACGGTCGCTCCAACATAGGACTATCCAAAGCTGCGAGGACATCCAGGTCGCCGGCCCAGCTCCCGCCGTAGTATACTCGGACTTGCGCCTCCAGAACACACACGGTGGTGTCACATGCCCCGCGGTCCTCGCTGCGAATGGACTCGGTGTACCCGGTAAACGATAGTTCCAATTGAGTCTTCGGGAATTTGTCCATCAAACGACCATCGAATGCGGCATGTCTGACTGAAAAGGGATCGCATATGTTGGACGGACGGACCATCGGACAGGCTGGGGGAACGAGCAAAACAATCCCTGGATGCCCGATATTTCCGATGAGTCTTTTGATTAGAAAGTTCTCAGACACGGTGTATGGATCGGAGAAAAGCGACGCAGCGGCATATATTGAATCGCCACAAGAAACTGCCATCACACTCTTGTAGCCTGCAGGATCATGGTTGTGCGACCCCGATTCGAAGTATACAATGCATGCAAAAGCGCGAGAGCGATCTAGTTCCGGCGCCTTCCACTGCGTCCAAAATCCTTCGCCCTCTTTCGGGAGTGTCAGTCTCTGTTTCAATCGTCCTCTGGAGAAATCCAGAAGATGTAGATTACTCAGAATGAGTCCTTCGCTGTGAGAATCTGCCGTTTCAAAAAGTGGCAGGCTGTATGGATCAGGATCCCTTGCAGTAATATCCTCGCTTTCCCAGTTCACTCCATCATCATGATAGGGGTGATACAAACCTGGCGAATTTTGAAAGTCACTCTGAGGCCCAGGGCGTGGGATCCAGGCTGCTCCATGGAGAGGCAGTGATAAAGACTGGAGGGACAGCTTCGCAGTGGGTATAGTTTGATATATTTTGGTTGCAGCGCAAACACCCCTGATAGCCTGACTGTGTGGGTGATCATATGGGAGGCTAATCTGGTTCAAAAGTGCTAAGAGTCGTACGATGCTTACTCTGTCGGTCTTGAAGGCAAGGGATAGACCCATTGCTCGCGCGGCCTCGAGGTCTTTCCCAGGGGCTCCGGGATATTCTCCTGCAAAATATAGCGCAGCGTATTCAGGATCCCCGCAGAGAGGATGAAACAACGTCCCCGCATCGTCAGACAGAATATCGGATTCAGACATCCAGGGAGGCTCTTGAGCCAAATATGGTTGTGCCTTTAGCCAAGTGAATCCAGAGCCGTACTCGGTACGGGAGGTAGAAATTCTCTGACTGAATGGATCAAAAGCATCGCGGACTCCCAGCTGCGTTCGCCAGCTCATTCATGCCTCTTCTAGCCCCTGTCGGCTAGCAGCATCAATTTTTTTCTCGAAAGCAATCCATCTACACGGCCTGCCTAGGAGGTTTCCATTGTAGTCTCGTTTGTTTGAGACAGTAGCAGTGGCCAACCCGCAGGTACTGGAGTCAGTCCTGAGATATCCCGGAAACTCGTCTGCGAGGGCGTACTTGATTATGAGTTGGTTCGGTATTGCAAGGATCTTGCTCAGGTCCCGGAAAAGCTCAATCTGCTCCTCCAGATTGTTGGATATCAGGGAGATGACCCTGCTATCCGTGAGGCCGAACACAGGCTGCGCCTCCTGCGAGGGCGGCCCAAGAAATTCAGATTGTCTGGTTCCCAGGGCCTGAAGCATTTCGTACTGATCTCTTTTGAGACCCTCTGCGCAAGTGTATTCATAAGCAGTTCGCGCCAGAAGTACCGGCCAAGTCGGGTTGTGCTCATCTAGAATTTCTTCCAAGCGCAATAGAGCTGCGCGATCGTGGTCGATTTGTTCTTTCAGGCCGTTGATCTTCTCCTTGAACATTTTGTGTCTTTCGTTGTAGATAGACCGACATTGGCTCACGTCTGTCTATTTCGACGCTGTCGAGAACTTTCATTCTTCGTTCTAAATCTTGCTTCGCCATCTCCTGGGCATCCACAACCTCCTTACGTGTTTCCAGTTTCTCTTCATCCTCTAGATGAGCTATCCCCTCAAAACATGAATTCATGTCTTTCAAGATAAGGGCTTTTCCTCTGACAAGGAATGCCCACATTTCAGCCAGGATCTGTATGATTGGATCAGCTCTTCGTGGAGTGGAATACCCCCAGCCGGCCAAAGCACAGCCAAGGACGACCTGAAGAAAATCAGTCATGTGCAGCCTCTCCGCGCTTTTGCTGATAATTGCTGTCAGCTCGACCGGCTCGCCATAGAAGCGAAGATGTGCCAATGGGAGTGACCAGCGAACACCCTCCCCAGGGCCAGGGTTGGCTGCGTTGAGACCAAGGGTTAATATGCCCGCATCGGGCACAAGGTTGTCTTTAGGCTGATCAGGTCACGACCGAGACTAAGGACATTCAAAGCGGGATAGAGATGTCAGGATGCGAGCCCCAGGAGTACAGCTCCATCGTGGCCCCTCTGAGGCATTCCCTTGATTAGGCTGTTGACTGTTGTCAATGCCAGGGTCCACGCATCCATCACGTTCTCATATGTACCCCTCACACTACTCACGTCAATGTCCAGGTTCTTGACAACGAGCATTAGTTGAGTGCTGATAGGCTCGTGCTTCGTCTGCTCGATCTAGCCAAGCTCGGGCACTGGCGTCCCAATGCGCCAGGTCCTTCCGTGAGATTTCTTGCTGCGACGCCAGCAGAGAAGCCCAGTGCCGGGGCTCCAATGACTCGCACCCTTCCTTGATGATCTGTTTACGCTTTTCGACAATCTCAACCCAGATTGACGTGGCCTCGTCCGACTTCCACATTCGGGCAAGCATGCAGGCCAGCAAGTGCATGGGGATGGCACCAGAGCCAGATGTTGCAGCCGCCCATATCGACGTGCCGTCAGCACCGACCATGTTCTCGAATAACCCATCATCCTTTGACCCCTTGGGATTGATCCCTGGGGCCTCTGAAACCTCGGACACTCGTTTCCCATAAGCGCGGATTAATTCGGGTGTCGACGGAATGACCTCCTCGAAAAGCGCGCCTAGTCGTCGGGCAATCCGATGATATAAGCCATCTTCTGCGTCTTCCTTGCGACGGGCGGATAATGCGTTTCCGAGCCCCGTGAACTCGGGGGGCGGTTCCATTTTAAATAGCGAGAAGTCGAAATTTAGGTTCGCTAATGCAAGCACATTCTCGTTCGATAGGCTGGTTAGGGCCCCTTGGATTTTGCCGATGACACTCATCTTGCGGGCGGAGGTTTATGTTAGCTGCGGTGAGTCGATATGGCGTTGGAGAATATCACAAGTTGTCGGTGCTTGACAATCGAGCGGAAAGGGACCCTCTTAACACTGGATGAGTAGGGAAGAACATGCCAGCAGGCTGAGGGAGTCGAGGCTGAGGCTGCACCTGAATGACCCCAGGCGCTTAGCAGAAGCAAGGAAAAAGCAAAGTGTACAGCGGAGGCTGCGATAGGCTGGCTGTGAGGGGCGCGCACGGCTGGCGAGGCTACCCCGGCTGTGTCTGTGGCTTTGGAATGCAAGATTCTGTTTGATGACGTGGGTGAATTACAGCCCAATGCTTTGCTCAGTCGATGCTAATTATTGCACCAATTTCATTGGTTGGGGGTCTTGTTTCCCATAATGAATGCTATCAACATCATCGCATACCAGATCTACACCCGCCCCTACAAACACTGCGAGTACCACTCATTCACCTTCTGACAGGTATACGGGCTCACACAAACCGTCGGCCCAGTCCAATTGTTCCCTCCACACTGCTCATACCGCTGCGCCACGGCCGTCGAAGTCGCAGTCGTCGCGGTGCTTGTTCTGGTTGTGGTGGCGGTAGTCGTGGTTCTGGTCGCCGATGTCGTCGGGCCCCCACTACCACCCACGAAGTATGGCTTCAACAGATTCAAATAACTGGTATATCCTGTCCCACTGCTCGGCTCCATGTTGAATATATAGTTACCCCACCATGGCCCAGCGGCCCACCACGCCGCGCCCAACCACACGTCCGTGTTCTGGTTTAGATAGCTCAACATACCCTGCACGGCGGTTTGGCAGACGCTGTTCGCGCCGCCCGCGAATTCTCCGAGGAACCCCTTCTTTCCGTTAGTTTTCAGCCAGGCCGTGGCGGCTGCGACTCGCTCCTGTCCGATCGTGGAGCTGACGCACGAATCGGACGTGCCCGATCCGTCTGAGTCGAGGTACTGGTGCATCTCGTAGATAATTTTGTCGTTGGGGTCTGTCAGCGCCTTCAGGTTGTCGTTAACGTCGACCCAGGTCCATGCGCCGGACCAGGAGTTGCCTTCCACCATTATGTATTGGCTTGTTGCGCCGGTGCCGCGGATGGCGTTGATGGCGGCTTGGTTGAGGTTAAGGACGTGAGTTTGGTCCATGGTGTGGTACTCGTTATCTATTGGGTCAGTACACCCTATGAGAGACTGGAAGGGAAGGTAAGACGTACTGGTGTCGAAGATGACTTTGTCGTTGTTGACGAATTCCTTAGCCACAGTTGTCCAGAACGCAGCGAAGTCAGAGGTCGAGGAGATGACGTTGCCGTAACTGGATGGAAGTGTTAGCCTCGCATTGTCGGTAGTAACAGTCTACTGGTTCAAAGAAAATGATAGGCTTACTATCGTCCGAAATTATGCGGGTCGATAATCGCATAGCCACCTAGGTCTGTGATTCCTTTGACTGTCTGCATGGACCCTGTCAGTTGGTCTTCAATTTACTTCTCTGATGCGGGAACGGCATACGGCTTTCAAATCACTCAGATACTTTGCATCCGGAGTCCCAGTCAGCTGGCCCGGAATCAATCTTTCCATCATGAAAGCCACGCGGAAAATGTTCATGCCCGCATCGTGCAGCGTGCGGATGGTCGACAGATCCGGCCAGATGTAGTCGGTTCCCAGAACGCCGGGAATATTATTCTGGCCAAACTCTGCACCAGCTTCGTTTGTTCCGAACCCTTCTCTGTGTTAGAAGCTGACCTGAAATGTTGTCTGATCGTGAAAGAACTCACAGACGAACCCAGAGGCGCGCTTATTCGGCGCCGCAGAGACGAGAGGGAGGAGCGCGAGAAGAGAAATGAGCTTCATTGTGAAGACTGCGTGGCCCGACAGAAGACTAATTGATCTCAAGGTACTAGTATGACATCCTTTTCCGACGAGGTGAAAACGCAGCTTTATATACAGTAATTCTACAACACCCCAAGTCTGAAGTCTATAGGCGAAGCTCACCACTTCCAGAAACCATATCTACAACGGCCTCTCGGACCGCAATCCCCAAATCCAAGCAGCTCACCCCGACCCAAAAGAGAACGGAGACGGATTCGTCACGGCAGTTCAGTTCATTTAAGCTAAGTTACGGCAGTGCAAGACACACAGCAACGACCGCATGCGTGGCACGATTACTACGCCTACCTAGTACTAGGGCAGTATCGCGCAACGCACAGACAATGCGATGATCCGGGAGTTTCCGGATCGGCAAAGGAGCTGGTCTCTTACCCTTCCCCGCGCCTTGGATGATCGCGTGGAGAAAAGGGAAATCGGAATCAACGTCTACCTAGTGCCGGACTGGGATTGTCGTATGCAGGGTGTGTGTCGGCAAAGAGTTACCATACCAAGACAGGCAAAAATGCGCGCACCTGTGGCGGTGTTAGTCGGGGGATAATCCGTCCAATCGTTCAGTGGACATATGACATCTCCATATTACGGACTGGGAGGAGTCTGGATTCTAGGCTCTAGACTTACTGCAGGGGTTCGCTGTTCACCGTTCATCAGGCCATGCGCAGCTAGTCGGGGTGGTCGGAGGTCAGCACTAGAGGTAAGCTAGAGGCGCTAGGGAGTTGATTCTGCAGGGATGCACCAATGAAGGAAGCGATTGGGTCTGGGGAAGGCGGATGGGGGATGATTAGGCGGTTGAGCTAATTTAGTCGAGCTTGGGGTTTGCATCTGACGAGTGGGAACTGCTGGTTTATTAGAGCCGAAGGACTAATTCAGGCTTAGGAACTAGAGAGTCAGAGACTAAGGACTAGTCTCGGGGTCGTTTAATATCGACTACAAGTCCTGCAGGCAATTAATCATTCTTCGGGGACATATGGGCCGAGGGAAACTGAACAAACTTGTGAGTGACTAGTAAAAGCGAAAATTCCATTGATTGACTGACTACCTAGGAAACTAAACAAAGCCAAGCGAACTGTTCATTCTTGCCACTTCTGCTTAGACTTTCTTCCCCTGGTCTGTTGCCCTCCCAACATCTTCCCCCTCCTCTGTCGCCACCTCTACTCTACAGACACTGAGAGTACCAGTCGTTCACCTTCGTGCATGTATACGGGCTCACACACTTGGTGGGTCCAGTCCAAGAGGCACCACCGCACTGCTCATAGCGCTGAGCCACGCCGGTCTGGGTGCCTCCGCTGCTGGTAGTCGTGGTGGTGGCCCGCGAGGTGGTGGTCGTGGTGCCGGTGCCAGGGTTGGAGCCGCTGTTGAAGGTCGAGCCCAGAGGACCGACCTTGATGTTCGAGTAGACGACGTAGGCATCGGGGTGGTTGGCCTCGACGTCGGTGGGGTCTCCAGACGAGATATCGCAGGTACCGCGGGCCACGCCGGGGTTCGTCGACGGCGCGTCGGTCGGGTAGTTGCTGTCCAGCCAGAGCATGTTCGAGTGGTGGTCATCCCACAGACTCAGCACGAGGACCATGCCCTGTGCCAATCCAGCGCTCATGCCTTCCAGGCCACCGTGCTGCTCGAACGAACCCTCATCCTTGAAGAGCGACTTCTGAGCGGAGCAGTAGCTGCTGGTGATTGAGTTGCCGGTCACCCCGGACCAGGTGGACTGCGAGTTCGGGATCACCTTGCCGTTCTGTACGTAGAACCGGCGGATCTCGGAGAGCGTGCCGGATGCGGTGCCCGTGTTGGTCACGAACTGCGTCACAACCGTCACCTTGCTGTTGGTGTCAACGGTCAAACCGGGCCCGTAGAAGGTCTTGTTGCCCTGACGGAACGAGTTGAAGTCGCATCCGTCCGGATCGCAGGTACCTGCGTATCGCTGGGAGCTGTATGTGCCGCCGCACGCATCGCCCGTGCAGATGGTCTGACCAGGGTTATCGCAGGGATGGGGGGTGAATGCGGTGGAGATCTTGTTGGCCTCCCAGAGGTCCATCTCCGCGCAGCAGGAGCCTTTGTTACCAACGCCCGAGTTGGGGTCGTTGGACGAGCCGACCCAACCCTCCACGTTGGCTTGACCGTTGATGAACTTGAGGTCTCGGGGACATTGCGAGTCGCAGTATCCGGTTCCGTACTTGGCGCCGGCCTCGTTGGTAGGGTATTTGGACTTGCCACCGTCGGCGTCCATGTTGACGAGGTAGACGGCGCCGTTCAGACCGCAGGGCAGCGCGGAGACGTCCACGTCGAAGGTGATCTCCTGGTTGAGGAGCTTGAGCGACTCGTAGGTGTTGTCGTCCTTCATGAGGTAGAGACGAGAGCCGACGTTCTTCTGCTGGCTCTGGGTGACGAAGTTCAGACGCAGCGAGTCGCCGCTGGTGGTCACGCCGTATGTCTGCTGGTAGTTGGCACCGTCAACTGCGCACTTCGTGGCGCATTCGGCATTGGTCGAGCAGATGGACGTGTCCCACTTGTTGCCGGTGTAGCAGTTGGTGTAGCCGTCAACGGTGTGCACCCATCGCCAATTGGCGTCGATGACAACCTTGCCGTTGTTGGTGGTGCAGCTGCCACTGCTGGTGCAGGTCTGCCAGGTTAGGGACGGATGAGTCTCTGTCTGCTGGGTGCCAACCTTCTGGGCCTGGACGGACCCCAGAATAGAGCCCAGCAGGAGAGCGGTCTTGTAGAATTGGAAGGAGAATGCCATTGTGTGAATGACGATTGAGCGTGGTTGAGGAATGGGAGAAACGACATCGTCGAGAGACGAGGGCTTTTATAACCTGCTCATCCAGCACTGTTCTTCGCGTATACTTGACGGCCTTTGCATCTGGAGCTCTGTCGACGGCTTCGCGGTCCGCATGCCGTCACGATAGCTCTGCGAATTCACCACGGAGACATACCCCCGTGTTGGCAGGATAGTGCCTACCATGAGCCAGAACCGAGTAGATCAAGTCAGAAATCTGTCAGCTCTTCATGCCGTACCGCAATAGGCAGCTGACCGGCTAAATGCACGTAATATTTCTGCAGAGTTGCTGACATCGTGGCGAAAGGTGGGGGAGAACCACGCGCATGGACAATGCCGACAACGTGATGCCGTGGGGACCTCGCTTGGGTACAGTCCCTGGCAGCTGCATGCTCGCGATCGTAAACCGGGGCGAACCCCTGCTAATTCGGCTATTCTCGTAAGCCCAATCTAATAGATTGCTGTGGCGCCCCGGATGCCCGGATTAGGCAACAGAACAATGAGGGGAAGTCGGACGATGGCGTTGGCTGATGGCCTGCTGTGTCACCAGGGCTCAGGGACTTTCCTCCGTGTCCAGGATCGGTAAGCTCATGTCAGAGGTCAGGGTCTGCTTGTGCTAGGATGCGAGTAACTGCCTGCATTGCATCGCCATCAAGTCGAGATGCCCCCGGAGCGGCAGAACAAACGGCCGTGCAGAAACCCTAGATAAGATACCCTAATCTAATCAATCAGCCCCGCCTTAGTCAGCGGGCCGCATTCGGCGGGGTTTTTTGCGCCAAATTATTCTTCGCCTTCTTCGCCTCTCTCTCTTTCTCCTTTCCATCATACCCCACCAGCCAATTCGCTTCAATTCAACATCCAGATCTGGATTCAACATCTGCAATCACCATGTCCAGCTTCATCCTCACCCTCTCCTGCCCCGACCGGCCGGGCATTGTCCACGCCGTGACCGCCTACCTGGTCGAGAACAACCTCAACATCATTGACTCATCGCAATTCGGTGACCCCTCCTCCAAGCGCTTCTTCATGCGCGTCCACTTCGCCGCCGAAACCCCCGAAAAGACCGTCGAGGATCTGCGCGCCGCTTTCTCCTCCACCGCCGAGTCCTTGTCCATGGACTTCCAGCTCGTGCCCGCCTCCCAGAAGCCCCGCGTGCTGATCATGGTCTCCAAGATCGGCCACTGCCTCAACGACCTCCTCTTCCGTCAATCTACCGGCCAGCTGGCCATTGAGATCCCTCTCATCGTCTCCAACCACCCCGACTTCTCCACTCTCGCCGCCACCTACAACATCCCCTTCGTCCACCTCCCCGTCACCGCCGACACCAAGCCCCAGCAGGAGGCGCAGATCCTGGAGCTCATCCGCGCGCATAACGTTGACTTGGTGGTTCTGGCACGTTACATGCAGGTCCTCTCGCCGACGCTCTGCGAGGCTATGTCCGGCCGCATCATCAACATCCATCACTCTTTCTTGCCCTCGTTCAAGGGCGCCAAGCCTTACCACCAGGCCTACGACCGCGGCGTCAAGATCATCGGCGCTACGGCCCACTTCGTCACCAGCGACCTCGACGAGGGCCCTATAATCGAGCAGAACGTTGTGCGCGTCAACCACGCCATGAGCCCCAAGGAGCTGACTCACGCTGGCTCTAACGTCGAGAGCAACGTGCTGGCCACGGCCGTTAAGTATGTCACTGAGCGCCGTGTGGTGCTGAACGGTCACAAGACGGTTGTGTTCAACTAGAGATTGGATTAGATCGTTTTCTTTTATTCTCGACATGTATATATATCTACTCTCTTCGATATAGATTGTCTGTCTGACTTGATTCTGGGATTGGGGAACCAAAAGTCTTACTGTTGAATTTGGGCGGAGTGTTGGGAAGAGGTGGTAAGCCCTCTTCGTTGATTACGCTGCGTGCAGCGAATCGCTCCATTTGCGAGGTGATTATACCTCCAGTAATATCCCTACCAAACATTAATCATTAGGACCACCACATTCGCGCAATATGAAAAGAAGAGGGAAACAAATACTCATCCATAGCCAACACCTCCTTTTGAACAAAAAGTCCATAAGCTCATCCAATCTGCAATCTTTGTCTCAATATTCTTAGGAATTCAATCAATGCCTCTTATCAACTGCACGATTCTAGAATTGTCCTTCACGTTGCACCCCCTCGTCATGACTGTTAGAACGCATGGGGCAACCTTGCATCGCGCAAACAAGCCCGACCTATCTTATAACATGCCAAGTCAACTGTACAGCTGCCTTCACATCTCAGCTTGATGAGATATCTTTACCTTAAGTATATTGTCTACATTGAATACGAACACGAACCCAAAAGGAAAACCCTTCTATGACACCAAAACCATTCACCTCTCCAGCTCCCCAGAGCAGAATAAAACAAGAGCCTCTAAACCATCACATAACGTACCGCTTAATTGAATGAAACTTCCTCAAGGGGCTGAGAGGTGCATCGGCCTCCTCTTCCTCCTTCTCCTCCCCAGGAAGTCCGCGCCACTGTAACTCCGGTAGAATAGGAAGCCCCAGACGGCGCAAGACCTTAACACGAAGCTTCCACAAATACTTCGGCCAGTACCGGTTTTGAGAACCCCTCACTTCATTCCAGTACCCAGCGTACGGGCATTCCTCGTTGCCGTCCTTATCGATCGTCCGACCGATCTTATACAAATCTGTGATTGACACATACTTGCCTAGCATGGTCAGCCAGACCTCCCAGGCTGCATTGTTCAGCTTGAGCTCCTGATCCCGACAGTAGAGTAACATCCCCGCTTCGCAGGCCTTGATCGGCACGGGAATCCTCACCGGGTACGTATCAGAGGGATATCGACCGAACAGGTCCTCTTCGTCCGGCTGATCAGGGAGTCTTTCGTCCGTGATCGTCATGAAATACGGGTCGTCGGTGTCAGACACGTAGAACGGAAATGGAGGGAAGGACCACAGCATTTCGGACTTAGGGAAGATGCAAAGTTTCCCCGGGTCGGTCGTGCCAGCCTCTTCGTCGTCCCAGAGATGGAAGTGTGCCGGGGCGAGCGGGAAATGCGTCGAGTAGCGTCGACACCCGTTGATGTCGTTGCATCGTGGAAAACCGGCTGATTCGAGCACTTTGATCGCTGCGTCAAGGTGCTCGTCTGGGACGACGAATTGTAGACTTCGTGGGAAGATGGGCGCGCCCATGATCCCCAGCATCGCATCGCCGACGAGAACGCTGGGGATGAGGCTGTTGTCGAGGACCTCGCAGATGATGGGGATCACTGCTTTAGGGGTGAGGCTGCGATTGAAGACAAGGCCGTTCATTTTGTCGGGTCAGCGGTTTGGAGAGTTCTTTCTAGGGAGAGGGGTTGAGGGTGATGCTGTTCTGGAGGCATAGAGACACATAGAGCTATATATATGGGATTGGGAACAAAGATAATCTCGTTTCAAGAAAGAAGGTTTACGGGTCTTGATCATCGGGGAATTATCATCTTTAGACAGATTTGTGCCATGTTTGACAAACACATCTGGATGGGACGTTCCAAAACAACATCGTATGTAGAGGACACAGTGTAAACCCATCAGGCATCTAGTTGAAGTGATATAGTACGCAAATCTCTACAAAGACAATAATTTGCGAGAGACAACTCGAGAGAGTTAAACCAAGCACACATGAGGCTTACATAGAGATTATTAAAACCAAATACCATCAATTCCATCTGGAGGATGCTGTCAACTGTAATTGCAAGTCTCCTATGCACAAATAGAGCCCATCGGTAAGTCCATAGAAAAGCAGACAACGCCACAAAGACCATTGTGTGCTCAACACACGACCACCACAAAGGCCTAACATCCATAGAAGGACAAAGAAATCTGGGAAACACCCTGTTGTGGCATGGAAGAAAATGTATGAGATATTGAAACAATATGGAAATTAGCAAAAAAAGAACACCGCGTTAGTACTAAGTGTATTAATATCCTTGAAGACACTCAGCGCTTTTCAATTCAAGGATAGTATACGGCGTTAGCATATTTATAGGTTCCCTTATACAACTTCAGATCCAGAAACTGAATAAATACACACTATAGATGATTGAACGGTCACTAGTCTATTGGCGCCATTTGGGGCAATACTTATGATGAATAGCAATTGTTGTCTCGCGTCTCCATTCCTCTAGACTTGGCAAATGCAACTCATGTCGATCACCGATAAGGCTGTCACTCACCACTTATCCTCCAAAGCGATAGATAATGTCTCAGCCTTAAAGACGTTAGATGTCTTGATAAGGCTATTTAGACGCCCGAACTTTCACTTTGGGCTGTTGGACACTGTGTTCGTGGAGTGGACTATTGCCACGGATTTCTGAATGGAATGTTAGACAATAAGGCAGCAGACTGCCTCTTTTGGCTAGTCCGTTGCAGCATCAGGCATCAACTGCTGTGGCCAGAGTGGCTTCGCCGTGTCTTTACTACGTTTCCCTGAGCAACACAGTTTAGTGTTTAGTTATAACAGATATTATTATTATATTAGATCCCAAGCTACAGTGGTACTCCATAAATCGCAAAACACCGCACCACCCGAAATAAAGAGACTGAAGCCAAACACCACAAGAATCTACCTGTCAGCAACTCGCCTGATACAGCCCTTGCTTCAGCGGTGTTGCGACATTTGCCATTTCAGTCTGCTGATAAACGTAAAGGTCCCACGGGATTCCCGTCTTCATTGCGCCGTTCTCGGACTCGCTGTCGATGTAAATCACGGCACGATCGCTCGAAAATCCGTTGAATTGGGTTGCTGTTGAGGCGGTGTATGCTGCAATGATCAGCCATTGAGCTTGCTTTGGAAGCAAGAAAAGAGGACGGTGTTGCGAAGAAAACTTACCACCCATGTTCTTGTATTTCAGCCAGTCACCGACTTTTACCTCCGACTCCAACGCTGCGTCCCTTACCACGCAGTCCGTGCTGTCGCATGTCGGACCCCAGATGGAGTATCGATGTTCTCCTTGCTGTCGCTTTGCATTCTCGCCGTGTGAATGAGCATACGACGTGACTAGACTGGGACACATGATTTCTTTCTCCACTATTACATTCATAAAGCACCCGTAAACGCCGTCATTCTGGTACAGCATATCAGGGCCAGTTTTGCGGGGATCGCCGATCTGCCGACGTCGCGATATCACCTTACAAGCAAGCGTGTATGCACTGCGTGCATAGTAGCGACCTGGCTCAGCGATGACGCGGATGTGAGAGGGAATTTCTTCGCAGAGAGTCTGGTGCACAGAGGATGCGATCCGCTCGAAGTTGCCGTCCTGGAAGCCACCTCCGATATCAAGCAGGGTCATTTGGAATCCGAGGTTGGCAGCTTGACAGAAGACGGCCTTTGCATTTTTGATGGCTTGAGTAAAAGCAGAGGCATTGATTGCGCCGGATCCTGTGTGATCATTACTAATTGCTCGGGAGAGGTTGGGATCAAGGAGGAATAGGAAGGAGACGTACCGACATGGAAGCTGATGCCTGTAACGTTCAGATTTAATTCCTTCGCGCGAAGTAATAAGGAACATGTGGACTCAATAGAAGCTCCGAACTTCTCCCCAAAATTGATAAGTGCATCATCATCGCTGGCGTAAATTCGGAGAACGAGGTGCGCATCCGGATGATACGCTTTGATTGTGTCTAACTCATCGAGGTTGTCGAACGTGGTATGCATCACGCCCACACGCCGAGCGAAAACTAGCGAAGACGCCGTTTTGCAAGGATTGGCAAACACGATGCGTGAAGGGTCCACCCCAAGGCTAAGCACGCCCCGGAGTTCTTCGATGGAGGCACAGTCGAAGCCGGTTCCCAGTTCGGAAAGCAGCTTAAGTAGGGTTGGATCGGTGTTGCATTTCACCGCTAGCACGATCAGAAGGGCATACAAGAAGCAGACTGGGACTGGTGCTTACCATAGAAAGGCTGAACATTAGGAAGGGCCGACTTCCATCGGCGATGCTGGCGAGCAACCTGGCCTAGGTCTGCCACGAAAAAGGGCTCGTCGTCGGCAATAGATCGCCCGGGTTTGCCAAAGCCCGAGAGCCTTTTTCGAATGGCCAAGTCAACTAGATGATCCATATTGTAATTTTATTTTTCTGAATTCAGTGGTTGCTTACTTTGGGCAGAGGCGTTCTTCAAGCTTGCTTTATATCGCGTGATATGTTGCGGCACTAGACATCATAATTGGGCCGACGCGAAAAGCAAAAACAAATCAGCTCTCCCTCTGCATAACCCGGATGTGATCAAACCGAAACAGATTCGTATGTAATTCGCTGCGTGAATTTTCTCGGTGCCTTGAGGCCAGTGGAGATGGCGAGCGCATATCCGATCCAGCTGGGGCTCACTCATCAACACGGCATGCGCTGCGGCATTAATGATTTATTGGCCGAGGAACAGGGGGGCCCTTCATTCTGACTGGATGACATCTTGGGACTGGCAAGTTGCGTAACTCGTATTGCATTTCTGGGCTGATCTGCGTCTGATTCATGCAAGGGTCGTGATCGGCAAGGCTAGCCGGCCACTAAAGGCACTAAAGCATAGCTAATACCACGCAAACCATCAGCAGCCGCACCACGCATTCCAGCCGGAGCGTAAATGGAAGACCCCTTCCGAGCGCGGGGGCAGGGGCCTAGACTGTAATGTCTCATACATTCAATATGATTGAGCCCATTACATCTGTGGGGGATGGAATGAGAGATTTTATCTTTCTCTCTCTGATCTGGTCACTCATTTCATTGTTCCCTAACATTGCGAGTTCATCATGATCTCTAGTTTGAAAAATCTCTCAAAATTGAGACCCTCAGGATCGCCATGGCTCTCCTCCATGCGGTCTTCTCGCTGGTTCATTGTCGCTGTGATATCAACTGCGTATCTAACGGTATGATGGAGACTTGCCTTCTTAGGGTTTACTTGGTGCTAACGCAAAACGGGTTGAAATCTAGACCCTATTTTTGTATGGCATGGTATGCTGCACTTGTCTGAGAGCGTCCCTTCCACAGCTAAATCGTATCAGATTGTTCCTATCATGCCCACGGCGCTGGTCGCGCGAGCAGGTGTGTCACCGGATCAACGTATGTCACTGCAACCGAGGTCATGTCCAGATTTTCGCTGACATTACCCGCAGAGGCATTTTGGACGAGCATCCTATTGATCTGTGAGACCGCCACGGCCTTTGTGGCCTGTCCAATCTTCGGATTCTGGGTGGACTCCTCGATCGGGCGCAAAATCCCCTTTCTGTTAGGCCTGGTTTTGCTTGCCGGCGCGATGGCTTTCTTTACCGCAGCGCGGTCCACAACGATGTATATCGTGGGGAGAATACTACAAGGCCTCGCATCCGCTTTGGTGGATGTTGCAGGTCTTGCGCTCCTGCGAGACGGCATGGGTAGCGATCGCTTGGGAGAAGCCTTGGGGTACGTGGGTACCGGCCAAATGGTTGGACTCATGGCCGGACCTCCATTGGGTGGCATCGTGAATCGTGCTGGAGGGTATTATGCGGTGTGTATCCTGGGGTTTGTGATTGTCGTCGTGGACGCGGTGATGCGCTTAGCAGTGCGGGAGAAAAAGGGCGACAACCAAAATACCAGCCAAATGGTCGAAAGCGCCAATGCTGTTGAGACCGAGGAAAGCCACAATAAACCTCCCGTTACGACGAGCAGTGCAAATGCCGAATTGAGCCCCCGGGAAGCGAAGGCCGTGTCTTTTGCAGGGCTGAAAATATTGAAGCAGCCACGAGTGGTCATCACACTTTGGGCGCTAGCTATGGATGGACTGATAGTTGGTGCTTTCGATGCGGTGTGTACTGTCCATCCGGTTCTCTAATGTTGTTTTCTCCAGCTCACACTGCCTCAAGACCCTGCCTACCTATGTGGAGCAATTGTTTGGATGGGATGCCTTTGCAGCAGGATTACTCTTCCTCGCAATGGCAGGGCCGGCGCTATTGGAGCCGTTGTCTGGTTAGTCCAATTCCGATTAAGCGGGGTGCTTGTATCGAACATTCTCGATGTCTTCTGATCGCGGAACTAATGCCTCCTTCAGGGCGACTGTGCGACCGTTTCGGGGCTCGCATTATGGCAGTTCTGGGGTTCGCAATGTATGCCCCGCCATTGGTATGCCTGCAATTCGTCACCCAGGATAGTATGTCACACAAGGTTCTACTAGCCGCGCTTATGGCGTTGTGTGGCCTCGCTCCTACGGTGTCCCAGCCGGCCCTGTATGTGGAGTCGCAGATCGTACTGGAAGAAATGGAGCAGCGCAGTCCGGGCGTCTTCGGCCCGCAAGGGGCGGTCTCACAGGCATTTGCGGTGCAGACGATGGCCAACTATGCCGGCCTCGCGGTCGGGCCTATCATCGGGGAGAAATTGCTCAGTCGGTATGGGTGGAAGTCAATGGCGTGGACATTGGGGGCATTGGCTGGAGTGACGATCCTGCCCATGTTCTATCTGAGCCACACAAGCTTCACTGAACAGGCACTGCAAGGGGAGGTACAGTCTGGCGGTGACGAGACTCGCGAGTGTTAGAGTGCAAATTGGTATCCATTAGGTAATTTCCACATACCCAATTTATCAGAGGATCTGCGGGCCCATGGTGGTTTTGATGCAATTAGGGTTTATTGACTTCTCCTTGATTGATTCGTGTTAAAATTCCGCTGAATGGAGCGGTTTCAATATCGACGCAAGGGCGCGCGCTGGTCTCTGCCCACGCAACAGTTTCGCGGAAATTCGTCTTCGCAAGGTCCAGGCACAAATGATCCATGTGGACGAATAAATAGCCTGCCATGGTCGTTTAAAAGATTAGACATTTACATTGACATTTCCATCAGTTAGTTGCCATTTTCCCACTGCCTTGCTTAACTGATCCCCAGCAATGAACCCCCTTGATTCTGGTCGTTTTACTTTCCCAGCCGAATGGGACCGGCATGTGGCAACCATCCTGGGCTTCCCTTCGAAAGCGTCTTCGGTCGAATCTCTTTACGAACCTCTTTGCAACGAGATCGTGGACCTGGCCGCCGCCATCGCGGACTTTGAGCCAGTGCGTCTGCACACACGACCGGAAGATGTTCCTGCTGCCCAAGCACTGGTGCAGCGTAAACTGCGCGACCCCTCGCAGGTCAGCATTGTCCCCGTGCCAATCAACCATTGCTGGGTCCGCGATACGGGGCCCGTGTACGTGCACGACGCGACCGGCCAGTTAGACCCAAAACAGCGTTTGGCTATCAGTTTCGAATTCAACGAATGGGGCAACAAGAACGGTTGGGCTGGTGTCGATGAGTATCGATACGGAACACCGGCCATGACCGCGGAGGTTTTGCGCGAGAACACCGACTTTGCGCGGAATGTCATTGCCGCCGACAAATCGCCGTCCCCAGTACAAGCAGTTGTGTCACGCATTCGTGCCGAGGGTGGCGCCCTGGTGGTCGACGGAGAAGGCACGCTCATCGTTGCGGAGAGCTGCATGGTCTGCGAGGAGCGGAACCCTGGTCTGTCGCGTGACGACATCGAGGCCGAGCTCCGTCGCGTTCTCGGTGTCGAAAAGGTGATATGGGTCCCGGGGCGCAAGAACCTCGACATCACGGATTCGCATCTTGATGCCGAAGTGCGGTTCCTTCGGCCGGGTGTTGTCGTCTGGTTGCGACATCATCCCGATTCGGACAAGAACTGGCTAGATCTGTCAAACGAGGTGCTGGAGGCCTTGCAGAGCCAGACAGATGCAAAGGGCCGGAAGCTGGAGATTCACACGGTGGAAGAGCCGCCAATAAGCGCGTTACCCTGCGCAGAAGACGACGAGTTCGTGGCGGGGTATGTCAACTTCTATTTCTGCAACGGTGGACTCATCATGCCCAAGTTTGGCGCGGAGAAATGGGATCAGAAAGCGAAAGAGACGCTGCAGGCGTTAATGCCGGAGAGGGAAGTGAGACAAGTCCACCTCAACGCGATTCCACTCAGCGGCGGCGTCATCCACTGCGTTACCCAGCAGGTGCCTGCTCCTTTGGCTTAGTCTTCCTGCTGGCAGGCCGGCTTCCAGCAGTCTTGCATGTCTGGGACGGAGCCGTTCATAGTCTAGAGTACGGTAGTTAGTCGTGCATACATTTTTTGAGGCCCGAGGAGCAGGCGTTGTTTCAATAAAATTTGTGATCAATTAGTCCAATTGCCTTGTTCTGCGAAATGATTCAACACTTGCGACCTAAGGGGCCAGGGCTTGGACAATGTATCCTCACTCCGTCCTACAATCGGAGAATGAATCGCTGTACAGCAGTAGATGGTCCATGATGATGATGATTGAAATGATGGAAGGTGTAGCAAGAAAGAAAGGAGAGACAGAAGAAAGAGAGCGAAAGGGGAAAATGCTTGGCAGTTGCACCTCAGGCAGTCAGGCCATTGATGATGTCATCCGTCGTCTCCTGATGAACCATCCTCAGCAGCAACAATACTCCGTAGTACCGAGTAAGTCATTAATCCAGATTATAATTATTTCATCATTCTGAAAGAACAAATTCCCCTCCAGTTAGTCAACCCCACTGCGCCAAGTGGAACCGCCCCGTCGTCATTCTCCTATCGGACCTCCGATGAATCTGTATAAATTCTTACCCCTCCTACTCCACATTGAATGTCTCATATAACCTCCCTCACCACCCCACCATATTCGAACAGATACTCCAAAAATTGTTCAAGATGGACCCAATTTCCCCTCCCCCGGCCCTCACGCACCTTTTCACGCTCCGATGCGCCGTATCACCGCCCATGGAGATCGGCACGGGGCCTTACGGTCGTCGCCGCTGCGTTCCGATCGAATCCGGAACGGTCTATGGGAAATATCTGAACGGGGAGGTAGTTCCGGGGGGTGCAGATTTCATGTTAGTATCTTTTGTCTCGTATTGTTTGTTCAGATCTCAGGATGAGAAGCGGAAGTACTAAGTCTAAGGCGGATGTGACAGGCTCGTGGAGACCGACCAGACAACGCACGTGAACACAAACTACGTGATCAAGACTGACGATGGGGCGTTTTTGTATATCAGGTTCGTCTCAACTGATCTCATCCGCTTGCATAGAGAGAATTGACCATCTATAGGACGGAAGGAACCAGAGCCGGTCCCCCAGAGGTCCTGCAGGCCCTGATGGACGGTGGACCGGTTGATCCGTCGCAGTATTGGTTCCACTTGCATGTCAAGATCGAGACGGGCCATGAGAAGTATAAGTGGCTGAACAATCGAGTCATCGTGGGTCGGGCGACCAGAGCGAAGAGCGAGGTTGCCTATGATGCATATTTCCTGGAGAATACGGCGTAGATTGGGTTCTCGGGTGTCATCGAGCGTCTCAGTTCAAAAGAATGGAAAAATTATTGAGGGTATTGTCTATATACATAATGCATGATCTAAAGCTTTTGTAAAAAGCTGTCCTGATTGCGCAGCAACTGTGCCAAATCGACGTATTCTCCCTGGCTGGCGTCCTGCCGGGCAAGAACCTCGTCAACCAAGTCATGGGCCCAGCGAAACTCCGAGTGGTATTGTTGAAGTTCGGATAGTCGTTGACGAATCCAGTCTCGTTGGACCGGGTCTTCGGTCTCGATGGCCGCCATCAACAGGGGCCAGTGTAATCGGCGAAGGAGCCGCGGCTCGGATGTGTATTGCTTGCGAGTGATTTCAAGGATGTTGGTGACAGCATGGCGGTGGATAGTGCTCGGGGGACCGGGAGGGCGGAGAAGGCGGCGATGGAAAAGGATCTGAGCGTAGAAGGTACTGACGGCCATGTTAATCGTGTTGAGGGTGCGTCGCATCGAGGTTGGTCCGGCAAATTTAGCCGTGATGAAAAGATCAGAGTATTGCTGAGTTGTTAGCAAGTCCGGTTGCAACATGAAGGAACCCAATGGCTTACATCGTGAATCGACATCATTTCATTGAACAAAGATTCGCCCTCAAAACCGCTGCGACTGGGATCATCAACAAGCACCTGCCACGTTTTGTACCGCAGCGTCATGGCAATGTGAATCAATTCCAAGCCCCGATAATTTTCCATGTCGTCCGACACTTGCTGATCAGGATATTGCTTTCCATAGAAACAGCGTCCCCAAAGACGAGCGCAGCGATGCAGCCGATCCGGATGAAGAGCTGGATTGCCCGACCGTAACACATACTCATACAGCGATTCCGTGGTTCCTTGAGGACGGCAACTCACATCAATGTAGCTAGCCAGTGGTTAGACCGACCGAGACACCCAACGGAGAGATGAAACTTACAGTATCCACAGCAGCAATTGCTCCGGGATGAATGAAACGCGGGATACAGATTCATCCGACTGTTCCGAGTCCATTGATAGAAGCACATTGTTCACATCTTTAATGTGGAACACTTCCGGATGGGTTTCCAACAACGATCGCACACCCTGCAGATGCAATTGGAGATGGTGTACACAGTGACCATACTGCCATTCGTATGTGATCATCAGGAACATGGTGGCGAAGATTATCTCCAGCTCCGTTGGCGTCACTTGAAGTTTCGGGGTTTCTAGTAACTGGCGGAATTCTTTGACAGCCAGCCCGTAATGGTAGCGACCGTGGTCTTCTGCGGTCGGACGTCCCGGAGATCGGACTACGAGCCCGTTCCGATGCATATCACTGGCCGAGAGAGCTAGTATCATTCGCATGATGACTTTATTCGTCGCAGCCGGCCCCTGGTACAGATAGTTGAAGCTGCTCCACTGCCAGGACTTCATATAGTAGAACACCACCGAAGACGAGGGGAAATACTGAAAGTACTTCTTGTCATGATCGGACAGGATCAGAGAATTCGAACAGGCGAGGTCTGGTTCTGAGAGCGATGGATAGAGAGGAGAAACTGGCGTGATGGGAGGAAAGCAGGGCCAGCCCGCTGTGGAAAGCGTCTCCGGAAGGATCGGGGTGAAGTCTGCGACGGTGCTGGGGTGCTGCCATATCGCCGCCAGAGTACTTGCGTACTGCGGATTCAGGATCCCTTGCGTCGCAGTCGCAGAATTGACGGAGACTATATCATTGCCCGACCACCGAGGCTCAGCCGGTTGGAGATGGCGGACGGAGGCAGGCTTGCCGCGCTTTACAGGAACTCCCCATTCGCAATTCAATCGCAGATTGTAGCAGCGCTGGCATGTTGGACGCTCCTCACCACATTTCACCTTTCGACGGCGGCAAGTGCTGCAACCTGTCATGTCACGTCAGTCACTGGCGATCCGTGTACTCCGCGGGGAGAAATTGCGGAGAAACCCTGGAGAAACGTCGAATGTACCATTTTTGGAGCGAGGGGCGTTTCGACCCGACATGGATTGAATTGCCCGCTCAAAGAGAACCGATCAGCCCGAAGGCATCAGTGAGAGGGAGAGAGGATGTTGGGAGGGAGAGAAGTGCTTGCGAAAATGAAGCAGAGCAGAGCGAAGAGGAAGCAAAAGGAAGAAGAGAAGTTCGGGAAGCAAAAAAAGACAAACTGCCGATAAGCGATAAGGCTGACTCAGCTCGTCGAGATCGCCCATTTGGGAGAGGCAATTCTTTTTTTCTTTCTTTCCTTCTTTCTTGCCTTCAGGCTTCCCTTCGTCTGCTTGCTTCTTTCTATCCCCCCCTAGGCCCTAATCCTATCCACTGGTTCCTGTCGATCTTTGGGTCTCCCCCCATCTTCATCTATGGTCGGTGATCAATGTTACGGCTATTTGCTAGTCCGCGTCGCTCCAATGCATCCAACTATAGACCACATCCTACCATGTCATGATCGGTAGGAATTCTTAATTCTAGACAGATTAATGCATCATATTCATCTCACTCTCGGATACTCTCTTCCCAATGTGTCTTCGTCGTTTCATACAAGGGGTCGTTTGTCAACATCTCCCACCCGATCAAGGCCAGCGACTTTCCAACCACAACCGCTTCCTCGTGGGCATCGTCGGTGCCAGCCGCAGAGGCAAAGGTCGGGTGATGAGGAAACGATCCGTCCGGGGCGGGGATTCCAAACATAGTATGTAAGGTGGGAAGTATATAGCTGACATTGCCTGGTGCTGTTAGCTTTTCATCTGTCGCCGAGGTGACGAAATACAACGCACCGATGTCGGAAGAGCCAGTCATAACCTTATCATGGCTTTTGAGTACACTGCGAGAGTAGCGTGCCATATGGGACTGATACCGATCACACAGCGTATCGTTGATCTTGATGTCGGTGTATAATTGGTCCCTATTGAGGTCAGAAGAGTACATGATAAAACCGTTGGGGCACCATACTCAACGATGTTGACCTCACACCCCGTTGCCAAAGCCCCAGCTTCTATACAGTTCCGGACTTTGACCATCAACTTGTTCAGTCCTTTTAACGTCGGGCTGCGGACCTGCCAGTATGCCTTGGTATACGAGGGAATCACGTTGGCGACTTTAGGAGTGTCGAGGAAGGCACAATGTACGCGCTCATCAGGCTTGAGTTGCTGGCGCAGGACAGCAACGTTGTTATACGAAGTCACCAAGGCATCGAGAGCATTTATACCCTCCCATGGGTTACCTCCCGCATGGGCGCTTCTTCCAGTGAACTCGCAATGGATTTCTTTTCTGGCGTTCATCAGGACGCCACCAACGCCTTCCTCCCGCACCCCAGGGAAGAGCTTCTTTGGACCCGCATGGCTAGATGAAGTTAGTCTAAGCTGGTTATATCACGGGAGGAGGTAACGAACGCCATCAGTGAGATATCAACCCCTTTATAAGCACCCCTGTCGATAAGTTTGGCCTTTCCACCACCATTCTCTTCAGCAGGAGTTCCCAGGAGCTGAGTCCTACCAGGAATGCCATATTGTTTCAGAATAGCAGAAAGAGCCAAGAAGGCTGACACGCTACTTGTCGTGATCAGATTATGGCCACAAGCATGGCCGATCTCGGGCAGGGCATCGTATTCGGCATTGAAGTTGATTAGACGGCCTTCGGAGCCGCTGATGGCTTCGAATGAGGTGTCGAGACCGTAAGCATGACGAGTGACGCTGAAACCTTGCTTTTCGAGAAAGTCACAGATCGTATCGTGGGCCTTGTGTTCCTGATACCCGGTTTCCGGGTTTGACCATATCTGGCCAACCTGTCAATGGAATTGCCGTAGAATGACGGGGTGAACAACATTACTTGATGATTGAGACTTCGCAGAGAGGACTGTAATGTGTCCAGTGCTGCATCCACCGAGGCCTTGACCTCGTCGATACTCGGTTGATCTTGCGGGATGGCCATGACTGTCGGGATATGAACACGGGGGTTGAAACTGGTGATTGGGAAGTTTCCCGTGGAGAGTATCGACACTGGCTACGAAGATATAGCGTCAGGTTGCGAGGCATTGCCACGTTCCCTATCAACGGTATCCTGTCATATAACGTGCTCGGCAAGATAGCAAGCACATCATCGCTAATCCGGATTGCTGATAGGACACCTCGCCTATCTTCCCCTCAATCTGTCAGATGCACGTCGGCTCCATCTGCTGCACCCCGCATTCCTCTTGGGGGCCGTGATATCATTTTTCTTACCTATCAGGGAGGGGAAACGCGACAAGAAGTGCCGCCACAATGCATATCAGAGCGGTCGGTGATGTCAGACGAATCACACTGCAAGCACCAACGCCACAGGCATCGGTAGATACCAGAAGCAGTAGAATCCCGAGGTCCAGAAGTGGAGAGGCGAGTGGGTATCGCCAGCAATGGCAGTGGCAGCCGCAGCAGTCGCCGAACAGATCCAAACTCACGCAGGGCCTCCGGCGACCAGGCGCTCTAGGAACTGTTTCTCCGCACGATCGGATCTGTGGGGAACAGAGCGAGTGGTTCCAAGATTCGGCACTTTTGATGGTTTACCTTTCCCTTCTCACCAGCTGACAGTGATAAGCTTGGTAGGTGCTGTGATAATCATTTGGGTTAAGGTTGGTTCTTTTGCCGAGCAGCGCGTGGTATTGGCGAATCTGCCGACGAGCCCTAATCGGCCACTGCCCGTGCGATCGGTGGCACCAGGAGGCCCAGAGGGAAGAGCATTAGTGCCGAATGCCAATGCCTTGCCTTCTAGCCGACCTTCCAGGAGTGGGTTCTATTGGCTCAGAATCTTCGATGGAACCCGCGACCCACGGAACTTGCGGCGCGGACCACAAGCCAATTCCGCGGCGTGGGTGCTATCTTTGCTGCAGCTTCGTCCAGGGGCGACCACGACAAGAGCTTGGCCTGAATCGTGAACGATCTTGGCTGGTGGAGGCAGCGAATCCTCGACAGAGTTTGATCTGCATCCCTGGAGGTGCGGAATTAGCAATGCGCTCTCCGGCGTGCAGGAGTTCTTTGAGTCAGGTATTTCCGTCTCCCTGTTTTAGCTGCCGTCTGGATAAAATGAGGAGGGCGCCCTTGATCTTGCTTTAGCATTTTTCTCTTCATCAAGTATGAAGAGCTCCTGGAAGCCGTCCGTCATGGAAAAGCAGTCCAGCAACGGCAACAGCGCTCCCGGGGAGACACATGAGGTCGATGACCTCAAGCTCCAACGTGAGCCATCTATCGTGCGAGATGTCGACATTGGCCATATGCTTGAGGTTGATGCGACGCCAGAACAAGAAAGAAAAGTTCTATGGAAGCTGGATATGATGTATGTTGAGCCACAGCCGCCAACCGTAAGGATACTGACAAGATAGATTGATCCCACTGATGGGAGTCTGCTATATGATGCAGTACATGGACAAGTTGGCTCTGAGTCAAGCCACATTATTCAATCTGCGCGAGGATCTGGTACGTTGAAAACATTGCTTTGCGTTAAGTATACTGACCGTAGTAGAATTTGAAAGGCTCCGAATATACCTGGACATCTGCCGTTTTCTATTTTGGATACTTCGCATGGAGTTGGCCCAGTTCTTATCTGATCGTGCGCCTACCGATCGGAAAATACCTGAGTCTCTCGGTGTTCGTCTTCCACCAGAATCTCGATACGTAGTGGCTAATCGCAAATAGATTTTTATGGGGCGGGTTCTTGCTCTGTCACGCCGCAGCGAAGAACTTCTCAGGATTGATGGCTGCTCGGTTTTTCCTGGGAGTAGGCGAAGCTGCTATAGCCCCTGGCTTCTCCCTCATCACCGGAATGTTCTACAAGCGAGAAGAACAGCCAGCACGGTAGGCCTTCACTTTACCTTTTCTCTCTCGACCTCTCTACTGAATGCAACAGACAATCCGCCTGGTTTCTCGGAAACTGCATTTCGACCGTCATTGGTGGCGTCGTCGCTTACGGCATCGGAAACATCGAAATCCATACCATCGCCAGCTGGCAACTCCTCTTCCTATTCCTTGGTGCTATCACCGCGGGGATCTCGTTTTTCCTGGTCGTTTTCCTGCCCGACTCGCCTAAAAATGCGATTTTCCTGACAAAGACCGAGCGCGCCATTGCGTTGCAACGCACCCTCAAGAACAAAACAGGCGTCATGGACGCAGGATCATTCAAATGGAGTCAGGCATGGCTGGCTATTCGAGACCCTCAGACCTGGATCTTGGTTCTCTATACATTCTGTGTTAATTTGTGCAATGGCGGCATCACCAGCGTAAGCTCTCCCCCCCCTCGCTCAATCCCGGATTCTGACTAACCAACTCGTTCATGAAACAGTTCTCCTCGATCATCATCAACGGCTTCGGCTTCTCCCAAATCAGATCACTGCTGATGCAAATGCCCCTCGGAGCGGCACAAGTCGTTTTCCTGACCTTCACCGCCGCCTTCGCAACCTTCGTCCCGAACACCCGAATTCTCATGATGATGCTCAACACGACCGTCTCGATGATCGGCATGATTCTTGTGTGGAAGCTGGACGACGATAATCAGAAGGGTCGCCTGACGGGTCTTTCCCTGGGCGCCGTCTTTGCTGTCAATATCCCACTCTCCTTGAGTATCATCAGTTCCAATGTTGCCGGGTTCACGAAACGGAGCACAACGAGCGCCTTGCTCTTCGTGGCGTACTGTGTGGGCAACATCGTCGGACCGCAGTTCTTCCTAGAGAGCGAGGAGCCCCATTATCCGGTACGTTTCCCTTCTCATTCCACACCCTTCAGTCATGGATGAGTTTCTGTCGAAGGAGCAAAGCGCAGAGAACTAACACGAATGAAAAATACAGACGGGCATGAAAGCCGCTATCTCAGGCCTTGCGCTGGGCACGTTCTTCCTCATCTGCTTGCTGGTTTATTATATTTTCGAGAATCGGAGACGAGATGCAGTCTACGGTCCCTCGACAGAGCTGAGTGAGGCCGAGGAGCTGGCTCAGGGGTTGTCGAATAAGACGGATACAGAGATTGAGAGTTTTCGATATGTGATGTAGTTTGTGTGGCAGATAGTATATTTAATTTCAATCCTTATATGGAGTCCTTTGTTCGCCGATAGGATCTCGTTGTGGAAACACTATTTGTTGTATGTGTAATTGAAACCGTGTTATATATTGAATCTACGAGGACAATTCGAAAGTTTGCTGTTATTGATCGCGGAGAACGGGAAATTGATGTCGCTTACCAGATCATATGAACCGGCCCAATAATATATCTATCCATCTGTCGGTCCATAAATCGATACATATGTGAGAATATCTAAAGAAGCGTATTCTGGGAGAAGTTGCTCAAGGATATTAACAAGCTACCTGGACGGGACTTCACTTCCGGACAGTCCATGGGATGGACAGTTTGAGGCAAAAGTGAATATTGGTTGTATGAGCGGATTCAACTCACTAGAATGATGATGAGACTTGTCCATAAGTAAACATGCCATGTTAGGCCGTTGCACCTGAAGCATTCTGATTGAAGACTCATTGCAATCATTCTCATGAGAGATTGGTACTGAAGCTACTTCGCCAATACTAATAAACTTGTCTTGGAATGGAACAGCATGGGAATGTGCTGAGAAAATTACATTTACTAGAGAACTCGTCTTGATTATCTGGCAATAGTATATCAAAGGCCAGTGATTATATTGTCTGTGGATGGAATTATATGAAGCGTTGATCTAATATATACACCTCCTTCAAGCTGGCTGGCCCGCTGTACTCTCTAGAGCCTAGAGACAACTTCCCTATCGGTTACCAAGGATATAAAGACGATCCATTTAGCAAGAAACACCGGAAGGAGTGTTCGTGCAGGTGGAGTCCTTGCCACCGGACAGGTCAACACCAGACCAGGTCCAGTCAGTGCAGCTGCCCTCACCGCAGAGGATGTAGATGGGGACGGCATCGGAGTCGACGGAGCCGGTGATGCCGTCAAGGGTGATGTCCTTGATGGGGATGTCGTTGGAGGGCTCGCCGGTGGGGCCGCCGTTCTTGTAGTCCTGCTGGATGACAATGCCCTTCTTGTGGATCTTGGAGAGCTCGATGTTGGAGTAGGTCACGCCGGACACGTCACCGGTCTCGTCGACGATGGTCTTGATGCGGATACCGTTGTCCGAGTTGGTGACGGTCGAGTCGGCGATCGTCACGTTGCTGACGGTGTTGTCGTCACGGCCGCCGATGGAGCCAATGGAGATACCGTGGCCGCCGGAGCAGGTGGCTCCGCTGAACTCGATGTTCTGGGTTCATGTCAGTATTTGGAACTGTCGTCTGGGTGCTAGAACAGGGAGAAGAGGGGAAGTACCTTTCCAGAGTTGATGGCCAGGCAGTCGTCCTGGTTCTTGACAACGGCACCACGGATCTGGACACCGTCGGACTCGCCGACGTCGAAAGCATCGGTGTTGTGGCCGCCGTTGGAGTCACCGTCGGAGTTGTCGATGTGGATGTTCTCGAACAGGGTGTTGGTGGCCTGGACGGAGACACCCTGGACGGGGGTGTTCTTGATGTTGAGGCCGGAGATGAGGGAGTCCTCGAGCTTGTGGGCGTACAGGAACTTGGGCTTCTTCTTGCCACCGTTGGTGCCCTTGCCGTCCCACCAGCGAGAGCCGTCACCGTCGATGAGGCCACCCTCGGCCATGTTGACGGTCAGGGACTTACCCTCGATACGGATCAGAGGGCCCTTCCATTCCTTGTAGCCGAAGGTGGTGGTACCCTCGAAGGTGATGGTGGTGCCATCGTCAACCTTGGACAGGTCGAGGGTCTCACCGGCGGGGACCTCAACGTCCTTGACGATGACGGTGGAGCAGCCCTTGACGCTCTCGGTGGCCTCGGCGGCAGAGGTGATGGTGCAAGAAGAGTCCTTCTTGGTCAGAGAAGGAGCCGGGGCGGCGGACACGAGGGAGCCGACAGCGGCGAGACCGAGGAGCTGGAAGGAACGCATATTGATAGAGAAGTTTCTGGTCAACAGAAACGAATGGCTGGAATTAGGGTAGAGAAAGAATGAATAGCCTGATCAACAGAAGCAAAAGGAGATAAGGTAAAAGAGAGAATGAATGAACGCGATGGGTTGGAGAGAAGAAAAAGGTTGCTGAGGGTTCGGAGCAGGTGGCTTTTATATCAGTCGTTGCAGCCAAGCTTCAACAGACAGAGCTTGACTTAGGAGACATTGCTCTGGCTGGTCGCCCTATCGAGTACCAAGATTCATTGGTGGAACGAGAATTAATCCACACGATGCTCCATGGCTGCGATAGGAGGGTCCACTTGGCCATTGTCAACCTCTAACGACCAGGGCAAGCTTTGACGCAAGTGGGGGAGGGCAGGGGAAGGGGAGTACGGAGTCATGCAGGCTGCAGCACGGTGATGCAGACGCACGGATCCAAGACGAGTCGACAGGCTTTCCGCCAGCGTCCGGCACAGTGGCCGACTTCTCGAAGGCCACGGCGATAGTACCTGTACGGGCCCACATGGCGCCGTGTCTCAGGCTGTCTCAGAATGTCGGAACGGCGGAGCCGATCCCTCTTTTACCGGGTGGGCGCCCCTGGTCAATTCCACGATCTGTCTGGTGGGAAATTCTCGGGCTCATCTGTAGGACCTCGAAAAGCACCTTGGCAAATTGTTAACGTCGCGTTGGCCCAGACGGTGGTTCCTCCGGTAGAGTCATGTAGGGCATCCGTGAAGCCCAGTAAGGCTGCCAAGGGATCATCGCCTTCAAAGTGTCTGGGCAATATCGAGCAGGGCTGCTTCAGGTCGATAGTCGATACTAACCGTGTACATCGTACTGGGTATATGAATTAGAAAGTGGTCTGATCGGGTTACCGTTACGAGGCCTCGGCAATTCGGTAAAGGTCCGAATAGCCTCCTGGTTAGCGGTGATTTGATCAGAAAGAACACCCGGACCCAGTCGGTGTCAAACGGTTTTGTTCCCCTGGATATGGGGTAGTTTAGGCGGCAAAATGCCAAAGACAGAGCATAATTCCGGTAGTATATGCAGGAGGATTTCTGCAGCGAAATTATGGCCATGCACCAGGAGCGTCATCTTCTCCCTTCATTTGCATCCTGCCTGCATAGCGACGAGTCGGCTTATCCTGGAGCTGATTCCGTCGACTTTGCGGTCGGTTCCAAGTGGGTCATATCCACGGTGGCCCTAGAGCGTTTCACTTTAATATCGTGCCGTCGGAGTGTGGATCGCCATGCGAGTTGAACGGCAAATGAGCTTGAACGCAGTTCCTGGTCCTGCTCCTGACGAGATCAAGCAACTGAAGCGTTCCTGGCACTGATCGGATGTTCTTCTTGATTTCCTGTTGATCAATTACCATTTAACACCTCAATGTGAAGTGTAAATCACATGTTCTTCAGCATCCTCCAAACTACAACTGAATTCAAGCAACATGAGTATGGCGTTCGTCGAGCATGCCAAGTGACCTTGCGCTACAAGTCCAATTGAACCCATAAATTGTTATATTCAATAAGGGAAAGCACGCCCGACGCACCACTCCGAAATAGATCAAGGATCAGCTCATCCAGGGTTTGATGGATCCTGGCGGCGCATTCCGACAATTGTATGGCTTCCATTTCGTACTTTCTAGATTTCGAAAATCCAAAGCCCAAGTTCCACAGTCTACAATGTATTCCACATGTTTATCCACACCTAACCGTCGGCTTCCTGAATGATATGGAGGATAGAGTGGTGCCTTCTAACCCGAGTTTTCTTCGTTCAACACTTGTCCACGGACGTGATAATGGAACCTATGAGTCTGTAAGAAACCATACTCTACTCTTCTGCTGACTGCAGTGTCAAAAGTACTCTGCAACGTCGCTTCGTGGTGGTAATGCAAAGGAATATCTCATATCAGGCAGCATGTCTACGGAGAAAGTCCCCAAGCGATAGATTAAACCCGGATATTGTGCATGAAAGTGACAACCCTACGAACCTATCGGATGAATGATCTAGAACACGCGATGTTTGAATACTCCATCTTCTCGATATCACCCCCCCATAACTGGCCTTCTTTTTTGTCGACCCCTATTCTACGTCAAATTCAAGAAATTTGTACCCAAGAAACGGCCTCCTTTTTCTTTATTGTTATCTCGGGCTGTAATGAACATGCCTACACCGAGTATTCCGTAGATTAGAAATCATCTATCATTTCTATAAACAAACTGCCCAGAACATCAACGTCCAGTTAGTCCTCGAGATTGGAAACTCCACCAGTCCCGATATCGATATCAAAACGCGTATCATGTCTCACTCTCCAGTCCCTTCTCCAGTCTCTATCGCCGCATCGGGCCTTCTGAGCCTTTAGTGGTTACTGATTTATGTCTAGCGTCTGGGCTTTAGCCCCAAAGTCCGTACGGAGCAGATTCCAGCTTTCCCACTTGCGTTCCCACATCACCAGAAACGATCCAGTCACGAACCCACCGTGCTAACCTCAACCTGCGCTAGCGCTGTCGATCTCACTTGATTCATGTTGACGGGCCCGAGATTTATTTCGCTTTCTTTTTCTCTTCGAAGCTCGCCGCCAGTCATGTGCTAGTTATCCGTATTTCGTACTGACTGCTTGGTTTATTCCAAATGAATTTAATCTAATCTATTTTGGCTCGGGACTCCGGAACCCGAATTCCCTCATTCGGAGACATTTTCTTCCCCCAGTCGTCTAAGCGAGCTCTGACTACCCCTGTCTAGCGTTGAAACAAGATCACGTCCCGAAATCTTGCTGCCTTGGTTTCTTGCTTGGCTGTTTTGATCATGACTGGTGGATTTAGTTATGGCTTATGAGTTATGACATGTTGCAGCATCCGCGGAGGTAGTAGTTCAAGGTTCGTCATGATGTGATTTTGTGAGTATTCGAGTTCCCGTATGTCCGGAGCACAAAGGACGTGAGCTCAGGGGTGGTAGAATAGAGAATTCCAGCCGGAAGAACATAGAGCCCCCAATCGGCGAGATTTCCGCGGAATGTAACCCAACCGTCAACTGCATTTGAGTGCATTATCTAGACGCTGCGACTGAACACGCTTGCAGATGGAGCTGAGGTGTAGGTCCGTTCCTGTCTAGGATGAAATGCTGGCTACAGCACTGCGACGATGGAGTCCTGGCCGCATATTCGGATAATGCTGGACCATCAGTTTTCCTACACCTCAAGGTCCCCGTTGTCATCTTTTCGATCGTCCTGCGAGGCTTGAGACATCTCCTACTGATCCTGTCAGCTTTTAGTTTATTGCCAAGATCATCTTTCAATGCGAGCGTTCACCTTCTGGGGACTTCAAAATCAAACAACCAGCTGAGATACAATTGGATTTGACATTAGAGCCCCATTTACTCTTGAATACGCGGGATTATGTTGTGCTCAAAATAAGGGATTAAACATTATGATACTAAGAAGAAGGACATGACGAATAGGAACCCGACTCTCATGTTAACGCCTTCCTGATGCTCCGAAAACAACAACCAGACACCTGTCCTACAACCTCACGGTTCACCCACCCTATCAAAGTCCCAGTATCTGTTTAACCTCGGCAATGACGGTCGTCCCTAGCACATCTAATGTACCAGGCTCCGTCAACGGTGTCAGCTTTTTCGAATGTGTACATTTCGCCTCTGCTGGAACACCATTCATTCGATCCGATAGCCACAATGACGCCTCGGCAAATCCGTCCACCGCGAGAAGCGCATGCTCATGTGTCACCGTCTCTCTATATTCCACGCTCACACCGTCCGCGCAGTACTGGTCCACTAGAGCGGTCGTTTCGTTGATCGGGCTGACCTCGTCTAACGTGCCCTTGTACACGAACAACGGGATGCCCGGAGTATGCTGGCCGAGTTCATTCTCCCGATAAACTCGCTGGAAGATAGGATTTCTTTGAATGTCATGGTCCTTGTAGTAGGAAAGGACGTCTTCGGATTGAAAACCGAGAATGTTGGAAATCAGACACTGGTCACGGGCGTCGAAGAACTTCTTTCTCCGGGCAGGGTCTTCGATGACTTGGTCTTCGATAAGCTTCGCAACATCAGGATATTCTCGCGCGAAGCCATGTGCCCCAGACACGACTAAACCCGCAAAGAGGCCCTTGTTGACCGTATCGGTGGTCGTTTGAAGCTTGCCGACGACTCCCCCCAGTGCGGCTCCTGCCAACTGCAGCTCGGGGGCATAAGAAGGCTGTAGTTCTGCAGCGAAACCGGTCGCCAAGCTGCCGCCTGAATATCCCCACATGGTGATATCAGCGTCCGACGAAACGCCAAGCAGGTCAGGTGAAGCCAGAACTGCGCGAATCCCATCTAGGACGGCGTATCCAGCTCGGTTGTTGGCCAAGAAGGCGCCGTATGGTCCTTCAAAGTCAGGAATCGATACGATCCATCCCTTTTCGAGCAACGATAGGATAAAGAGTATATTGACCTTGTTGTAGGTGTCACCAAGTATGCCGTCTTTATCCGCATTCTGCTGTAAGGCGTAGGACGGAGCGCAATCGACATATGGAGAATCCTCGGGCAGCTGGTAGGATAGAAGTTTGGTGGAATCCGCATTTTCCGGGACTAGAACTGTGGTCATTGTAGCGGTCGCATTTTGGAAGCTGTCGGTGGACCGGTAAAGTAGTTGGTATGAGCTGGACAGCTTGACTGGGCGATTCAAGAGACCTGCGTTCGGATATGGAACCTCCCTAGAGGCCAGAACTGTCCCTGGCGGCTGGTCTTCATAGCCATTTGGAGGCTGGTAAAAAGGGTCTTCGCTGGGCGGCACCGGGCCCAGTGCCCGCGGCTCGAGGGTCGGCAACGAGTGCCCAAGCGTGAGTAGGAGAGCGCATAGGGACAAAAGAAACTTCATCCTGTGTTTTCATGCCTGCTTGCCGGTACTAGCCCTCGACAGGCCCCAAAAGCGGATATGGCGATCATTTTATTGATTGTTGACACGGTCGCCCGTGAGCCCGTAACATTTCCCGCCATGCAAGGGGCATAATATCAGGCGCAGGTACATTCCGCACGAAAGACGGTCAGATCTTAGATGCAACTTCTAGTAGCGATCACTAGATTAGAAATGTGACCAAGCTCGTCGTCGAGATCCCCCTCACCCCGGCACACAGCTGACACCAAATCCCACCCAGCCACCATCTAACTACTTATTCCCCGTCCGGGTGACACAGCATATCCGATCGCATGTCGGCTAAATACCCATGCATAATCGCCTTCAGCTCTGCATACGATTGCAGGAACTCGCGACTCTGGATCCCATAACTCTGCTCGTTCAATTCCCACTCGACTTCGGGAATATCGGTGACGATCTCACGGAATGGACTGAAGTTCCAGTTCAAGAGATTCAGCAACTCACTGGGTGTTTTGCTCAGGCTCAGCAGCAAGGGTATATCGACCGCAATGTCGATATGTAGTTTGCGTAGCTGACGCATCTCATTGTTTGATAGGGATCGGGCCAATGCCACCACGCGATCCTGAAACCCCAGGAGATGCTCCAGGGTGGACGTGCTGTGGATATGGCGTGGTGCGCCCTGTATCGAGAATTTGAGATGCATGGATTGCACCCACTGAATAGTCGAGGGGAGCGGTGCATAGGGGGGGATCACCTTGCCGCAGAAGAGGATATATTTGTTGTCGAGGACGACCTCATAGGACGTGGATCCGTACCATTCGGAAATCAGTTCATTATGAATTTGTTGATTGGTGCGCAGAATTGCCGGACAGCATGGCAGATTATCGGTGCGCAGGTGGACGGTCTTGTTGCGACCGCGGATCAGCGGAAAATTGCGGATCGGCACGTTGGGGACCAGATATCGATAGATGCACAGGCGCACTTCAGCTGGAAATTCCAAGAAAGGCAGAGCAGAGGTGGGTGACGACGCCATGGAACAGGCGGGAAAGCAGTGACAGATTTAATCGGCTGGCTCATGCGGTGCAGTCATATACTGAGCTTGTCACGGTGAGTCTTGCTGAAGGAGAAAATGTGGTTGACGTTGCTTTGGCCGCTAGCAGCGGTTCTGGTGGTGGGGGTTTGGCTCTAGCCCTTTGACATGGGCCAATCATGGGGATCAGCCATTCAGCCTGGTCCGGGGATTGATCCGACATGTGACGCGAGGTTATTTCTAAGAGACGAGGATGAGTTGATAGATGGTTCCAATAATAGACACAGCAGGGAGTAAATGGGATGGAGGATGAAAAGGAAGAGAAAGGAGAAGGAGGAGACGGAGAAGGAAAAGAAGTCGGCACGTGAAAAATGGTCACGCATGACACATGGCCGCTTTGGGAAGCCCCGTGACACCGGGAGCCCCATCACCAGGCAATTTATCATGCAAAAGAATCGATTCAATCCCCAATTCAAAATAAGTAAATATGGTCCAAAAGGGTATATATAGAGTTACATCTGAGACAGAAGGAAATAAACATGAGAGTCGACCTTTATCCACCGCGATAATCCCATATTCGTACTAGCCTCTTGCAATTGAACTCCTCAGTGAGGACTGACGACGTCTGACTATTGATCCGTTTCCTTCCGAGTTGATTTTGGCGGCGATCTCTCCTATAACCTTCTTCATGTGGGGTGGTGGGTGCTTGGGTAATGGAGTTGGCCCATATGCAGCATTCTGTTTCAAAAGACGTTCTGCCAAGTCTGCCTCGTGAGTTTGAACGGCGACAGCCAGTGGTGTCATATCGTTGTCATCCACTCTATTGATATCAGCTCCAGCCTGTCGAAGGGCGTTATACTTCTTCCGCCAAAGGGCCGTGTCGCTATAATTATTTACTAACATGAAAAGTGGTGTTTGACCGCCGTGTTGGGCAGGAATGTCGACTGTTTCTACACTCTCAATGAGCATGCGAATGGCCTCAGCCCCGACGTCCCAAATCATTGCAGCGTAATGCAAAGCGGTATATCCATGCTCTGAAAACACCATGGGATCAGCCCCGCGACCCAACAATGCTTTGATAATTGGCACGTCCCCGCGTTTGGTAGCAGCCATCAGCGGTGTCAAATCACCCTTGGACCGGGCGTTCATATTCACTCCGGCATTCAGTAAAGTCTCGACCATATCAACATCCCCCGTCTCCACGGCCACCTTTAGTGGAGTATTACCACCCGAGTCGGGGGTCTCGAGGTCTAATTCGCGTCGGTACTCCCGAAGCCTTTCGACTGCGTCAGGGCGTTTGTGGCGGATTGCGTGGATCACGGGCCTGTCCCCGTCATGCTTTTCTTCGACCATGACTGTGCCATTCAGAAATATTCTTAGATCATGGGTTTTGCCTTTCTTAATTGCGTCCACAAGGGATTCCACCGTTGCTGTGATGCCGATATCGCCCTGGGGCTGAGCCGTGACCACCAGAGTGTCGCTAGCAGGTCTCAGCCTGCGCTCGGGCGGGGCATTCTCCAAGATGTCAAGTAAGTCCTCATAAACCTCACTTGAGAGTGGTCTTTGATACTTTTCGATGGAAAGCATCTTGAACAGGAGGTCCCTGCATCTTGCCAGGAACTCGTGACTGTATTCGGGATACCTAGCAATAAGTGTGTCAAGCCATTCCCCTACGTGAGGGTTCAGAACTGGTGGAGATCCTCGATAGAATTTATCATTTCGATAGCTGAGGCCATCAAGCTCTCCCCTCTGGACATCTAGGTCTTGAAGCCCATCTTTGCCGCCGAGACCAAATGCAAGAACACGCATCAAGATACACCCTAAGGACCAGACGTCACTTCGGCGCCCAAACGGACGATCGTTGGACGCTTCTGGAGGCTGGTAGGTACTAGTGTGGTAGGGTACTTCACCAGGGACAGGGAAAGTTATATCTTGAACCAAATCCGATACAGTCTCTGGGTGTTGATCTGGCTTGTCGATGATGGAAATACCAAAGTCGGTGATTTTCCACTCTCCGGCACGATAACCTTTGGATTTGAAAATGAGAACATTGGGCGGCTTCAGGTCCATATGGCGGCATTTCAGATTCTCGGGCTGGAGACCACCATGCAAAAACGCCAGTGCCCCGGCTAAACCGGATGCCTCGTTCACCAGGTCGCTCAGAGTGAAAACGGGAAACTGCTCGTATTCCCCAGCTAGAAATTCGTCCAAATCCATATCTGCGCAGGGGAAGATAATGCTGAATTGCTGCTTCATTGTCACCGTAGCAAGAGATAGGACGATACGGTCGTGCCAGGAAGGACTTCCACGCAAAAGAGAGAGATTCTCCACCTCGTTTCGAAAATCGCGCCGCGTGGAAAAGCTTTTACAGGCAACTAAGGTACTGGTCTAAAAGTATTATCGCATCAGTTGGACATGACTTAAAATTAATTTAGAAACGGCCGAAAAGGTCGAGAAGGCTTACCTTTGAAGGTTCCCCGTTGGCACGACGACCATCCAAAGGGCGAAAGTGTCCTGGCGCGATAGCTCCCTTGACTACCTCCCCAAACCCTCCAAACTTACTTCCCTCTATACATTTGAGGAATGGAAGCCTCCATTCGTTTGTTTGCACAATGTTTTGCCCCTCCAAGATATCAATCGGGCAAAAGACACACCGTTCCGAGAAGAATATATCTGCCCACTCTGGCCCAAGGAACCTGGAGTCTTCTAGAGCGTCCAAGGTGAGTGTTGGGATGTCACAATCTGCCCGACCCTGCATGAGAAATATCGTTCCGAATCGGGGCCACCCATCCCATTTGATCGACACAAGAATCGAAAGTGTCTGAATGTAGCGCTGCTGAACATCGGGGATCGAAGTCTTGTCGAACCCCGGGTCAAAAAGCTTGACGAATTCTTTCAAACGAGCTTCGGACCAGATAATCTGCAAGCTTCCGCGCGATATAAACTTCTCTGAGATGTTATCACGCTTCTCCATTCGTGTATTCATGTCAGCCCGGAGGTTTCGGAGGAATTCATCTCGTTTACGTGCCTTCCGGCGGACGAAATCGACGGCTCGCATGATGGAGGTCACGAGACTATCAGCATCACCGGAGACAGATTTGAAAGAATCGAGAACACGGTGGAACTTTTTGCCGCTGAGGGATGGGAGCGCGCATCATCAAAGATGTTGCATGGATCCCTGGAGGTGAAGAGAAGGGGGAGATGGCGGATGACAGGAGGAGAGAAAGAGGAGGGGAAGAGAGACAGAGCTGCAGGACATCAGGCAGCGGGTGACGGGTCCCATCCCCATGGGGTTGGGTTCATGGGGATGGGTTCAAGGTGGGCTAGCGTTAATTTAGCCCCGGCACCCTCATTCCCTGCCAATCTCCAGGCTACACGAGGCTACGGGTTTGCTTTCGTGTTCAGCGCCCCCTTAGTCGTACATGCATGCTACTAATGCAATGCAGGTGACACATCCACACCAATGGGAGATTTCGACACGTTTTCATTTCGTACTGATCATCAAACCTTTCCTGGGAAACGAGGACAGGAACTGTGCCTGACCGGATGACGTGGACGCCCGAGAGTGGTGTAATGGATCAACCATGACATCATTTGTAGCAGATCCCAGAGTCTGACCAGATCTAGATTTCCCCAAGCCCAGGCAATGCATTGCTTGATGCAGCATCCCTATGCAATTCTACTACCGTGTTTTGAGTCCTCGTTCTATCTTTACTTCTTTTCCTCTCTGTAAATTTTCTTGGCTTTCCCAGATCAAACGGAAACGGGGGAGGAAAGACAGAAGGAAAAACAAAAAAGTCGCAAAGACGAGGACACAGACAGCTACCTAAAGTCTAACTGGATAATATCTCCGTGACACCTTGATTCTGTCTCCGTGCTTATGCCTCTGGCTCTGTAGATTGCAATTCAACATCTGGCTCCGTCTTACTCCCTTTCCTATCTGGATCCCTACTAATCTGCTTCAGTTCGGCAAAATGTTTTTTGACTTGATCTAAAGTTTTCTTTTCGACTGTAAACATTTAGCAAACCATCTTTTTCTGACGGTCGTGAAATACTCCCAGAGTTTATTCGTTGCTTCTAAACCCACATGGGCGGTGTCAGGAACCTTGTATATTTGTAAGATGACTTTTTCACCAGGTTTCGGAACGGCACCTACCAGGAGGAATACCAAGACGAAAGCTAGCCCGGTTAAACCCCTGCGAGGAGACCGGTAAGTGTAACGGTCTCAAGGCAACTTCATCGTACATAAATCACTACACTCACGTAAAGAGGAACAACAGATTCGAGTACCCGTTTGAGCCAAAGGCTTCGGTCAATTTTGGAACGAACATCACTAGAAGACCGAGGCCGAGGAAATTGACCATGACACTGAAGCTCATTCCTACCTCTGCAGAATATTAGTGCTCGTGTGCAAGGAGCCTCCTTGAATTGGAACACCTACCGCGGAAAGCAAGAGGAAAAACCTCGGCGCTGAATGTAAAAGGCACGGGCCCCGCGCCAATCCCATACAGAAACGTGAACACCACGATAGAGAAGACCGATACAGTAGCCAGGCGCGCTTCGTAGTCCGAAATCAATAGCTGCCAGGGTGATGAGCATTCCCCCCAGAGAAACGAGAAGAAGAACCCGCCGGCCTCTCCAGTCGATGTATCGATAAGCGGGGATAGTGAAAAGGAAATTGGCTAGTCCAAAGCCTGTGTGTAACTACTAAGCCGGTTTGCCTTCTCTTAGCGGATTCTAGAAATGCCACTCACCGAAATTCAACCAAGCTGTCTGTGTATGTTTGTCCTCCCCCGCATTGTCGTCCTGAGCGTTCACCGAACGGAATAGGACCGTCGAGTAGAATGATAGGACATTGATCTGATTGAACAACAGTTAGGTCTGGTGAGCTATGAGACTAAGCTGCTTCATCTGGCAATCCTTACCCCACACAGCTGTTGTGATGCCATCACCACAAACGCAGCTACACATGCTCTGCGGTTTCGAGGTATACTCCACAGAGACCACACTCGCTTTGGAAAATTCAAGTTCCCCACCAATTGCTGATAAGGATATTCAAGATCTGATCGAGTTTCGCTTTGATGTGTAGGCGATGCTTGCACCCTCGGCTGTAAGATTTCGGCCTCGGCCTGCAACTGACAGTGGATATAATATAGATCCCTAGCAGCTTGGATATCAGTTCCTCTCAGTTGACGGAGGCTTAGAAACGCGCCTTTATAGTTATTTTTGCGGATCAGAAACCGCGGCGACTCGGGGCAGAGGAAAACGAGAAAGAGTAGCACAATAGCTGGGATGGCAGAGGTCCCAAGCAGAACTCTCCAGTTCTGATCCACGACCCAGACAGCCGCGAAGCCAACGAATATTCCACTAATCTCGGTTCAGCAAGGTAAAAGGTGCTCTGATTATCATACTTACAACGTGTCAAACAATTGCCACATCATGAGTACCCGGCCCCGATTAATATCCGCAGCTGCCTCTGCAGCGAAGACGGGAGCTACGGATGCTTTGGCACCGATCTTCCGCAGCCCTAGGTCAGCCAGGTATAGGGTCGCGAAGTATTTGGAAGCCACTTACTCCAATTCCAAGCAACAGCCGACAAACAAGCAGTTCCTGCCATGTTCCACAGCGAGCAGTGCCTGATACAGTTGTGAGACTTTCAAAGACTTCAGGTGTTAGGGAAAGAAGTACCGATGGCGAAGGCAGCACAAAATACTGCCGAAACAAAAAGTGCAGGTCTTCTTCCATACCTGCCCTCTTGCAAAGGGTCGCTAAGCCAGGTCCCGCTAGTTTAAAACAGTCAGATACAGTTCATCCCGCTGTGAAGTCGGCACATACATTATACTGCCAGATAACCAAGGCGCGGCGTCGATCAGTCCGGCCAGAATTCGATAGTTAATCCAAGCGCCTCCGTCATGCTCCAAGTCCCGCTGCCACCCTAGCGAGCCGGCATTGATAGCTGACTGCTGCCAACCTCTGTGTTCTGGCATCAGTGAAAAGAGTAATCTACATGGTCGGTAGTTCTCTAGCATCGGTGTTGGTCAACTTACTGGGTAATGGCGGCACAGGCAGTAGTCAAGATAGTAACTTTCAGATCCTTTGTCTGTTGAAAAAACCCCAATGTTTTTTCTTTCTTGAGTGCCTCTTTCTCAGTGTCGTTGAGACATGGGAGGGTCACGTTTGTGGGCTGTCGAGCTACTTCCGCTCCTTTGATTAGAAGATTAACATCTACGACGTGCTTGAGTTCCTCCTCATGACATTTGTAAAGGTGCCGAACATCGACTTCGAGCTGCTCGGGATCCCCGACTATTGGACGATCAAGTCTGTTGAAGTGTCAGCAAGGGAATGGTTGTCGTGTCAATAGCCGGATAGTAACGACATGGCGCACATGGGGACACTCACTGAACCATTGTGAGATATTCTCCGGTTGGTCGCAAAATATCTGACCGTTCAAGTCACTCACTAGAATTTTGACCCGAGTTGAATAGACCAGGTGATATGAAATCGCCAGTCACAAGAGGCTCAATTTCCAACGGAGAGTTCTAATAGCCTGACTGCACTCTGGTGCGGTCTAGGCCTCTGGTCTGCAACATACATACAATAAAAGCCTTTTCAAGGGGATAGATACATCGAGAAAAGAAAAAGGAATTACCTAACCACAGGGCAAACGATTTACGGATTGGGTGTGAACGTAAGATATTCGCTCCTTCAACAACGCGATGCTTTAGTCCCAGGCGCAACCGGCCAATCTCGTATTCGGGGCGTTCATTCATTTACACTAGCATAGCCCTGTCATCTTATTTGCATAGCCCATTCAGCTGGGGAATTGACCTGTCTACTGACAGTGATTGATGTGACGGATTTTGCCCAGACACTCAGGTTGCTCACACGGGCGTCTATTTTCGAAAGAGGGGGAGTGCGGTTGACACCGAATGCAGAAGAATGTAGAATACGTAGCGTATAGATCGCAACCTATCTAATGTTGCCAGATTTAGAATACAAATCCTATGGCAACATCAACAGTTTAACAATCAGACCTTTAGCACTTGAATGCCAGTCTCGGCGAGCAATTAATCACCAGATATGGAAGCGCTCCGGGTTTCACGAGGCTACTGCAATGTAACGCCATTTCTAAACACAGACCACCTGCTTCGTGTTGGATGTTTGCTCCTAGGTGCCTTGTTTGCTTCTTCGTGGCAACTTATATCCTGCCTTGTCCGTCACTTGTCGCCCCTGGGGCTGTTCAGCTTACCATTCCAGATATGTCAGCCATTGCTTCTCCAGTCAAATATTGAGACTAGCGAGATTCACTGGGAGTGATGCTAGCGTTGGTCCACTCATCTACCAAATAAGTTGAAACAACAAAGCAGCGCAGGCGACTTCGCGCCTTCCCGGTGTCTTGGTTGTTGGTAATTATTATTAATATTATTAATGAGGCTGGGGATGCGGGGAACCCTGGGCAATCACCAAAAGCGAGGATGTCACCCGACACTCATTCGTGGCGAGAGACTCGGACTTGTAGACTAGACCCCTGCACTTGCTGCTATTTGTGGATTGAATATTCAGTCATAGCCCATAGAGCCTCCTGTGTTGCCATCTCTGGATATCCCCGCTCTCTCTCATTGCGGCCCGATCACCCAAACAGCGCTAGGCGTGACTGCACTAACATTCCTCCTCGGACCCTCGACACGGTCGAACTTCTTCAAAAGTTCTGTGTACTCAATATTCTATGTTGAATACCCTAGACTTTGCGATCATAAACCACCATGTCGACCCTGAAAGTGAAGAATGTTCTAGGTGCAAATGTTACTAGCTACATTCGACAAGCAACATTACAGGCTAGACTGGAAGTAATCTTTAAGATGCCGATCATAGTCGAAGTAAGGCTCAGCGCTTCCTTCTAGTGGAATTTGTACTGGCTCTTTGGTTCTGCGTCTGACATGATGGCAAATCACACGCTGCAGCTCCGCAACGATCGCTTTGTCTTCTATGCACCGAGAGAGGTCACTGAGGTAAGTCTGGGCACACAAGGCTGTCGAGATCTGGGTCTAGGTGCTCGGATGTCTTGCTGATACTTCGGCTACTGTAGGATGAGCTTGAGTAAGTTCCTGCTCAAGGCTGGGCTCTCGCATCCCACCGGAAAGGGAGTAATTGACAGTGCAAACACAGGGATATTCGCGAAGATTACCGGGTCATCTAGCATGAATGCCAACAAAAATCATCAGCATAAGTAGTATCATCTGTATGCTGAGGCTAGACGGATGGTGGATTGTCTTCTGTGGTGCTTTTGTTTGCAACCGACAATGTAACCATTCAAAGAATCCCCCTCAGGTGGCAATGACAGGGCTTGTTCTTTAGCACAAATTAGCCTCGCTTATGAGTTGTTTTCATATCTGCCTTGGGAGTTAACAGATCATTTACCCAAAGCTATTCTTATACCATATTTAGCGCTATACCAAATTTCAGACTAAGTTCCACACACCTCAGAAACCAGGCAACAATTTTAGAAAGTGAAGCAATCTTCCATCGACTTCTAATTCCTCTCAGAGCCAAGTCTAGACTCCACGGGCGTTTCTCCCAATCTTGTGCGATCATGCATCTCCCTCCGCGTCGGCTCGAGCCCGGTGATTACGATGCGGTCCGACACTATCAACGATACCCTACCTTTGGCCCTCATCCCGAGCAATCCAACATATACGTCTTCGACAGCGATGCCGGAATCGAACCCCATGTTTTTGCAAACAGTGATGTCTTTGAAGAGCATATATCGTCTACCAAAAAGCCCAGGAATAGGCTTGTGTATGTATCCTTCTTATGCATCCTTACTAGACTCCTCTAATTATTTTTTCATTCTAGATCAATATGTTCCCAGAACTCAATGCGACCGCTGCGCATTACCTACGACGCGATACGAACCATGATTAACCAGTACGATATCGGTCCAAAATTTCTCGATCTTGCCCTCTCCTTTGGCGATAAACCACAAAGTTCGAATGCCGGACATGGTGGAATGACTGTTATGCACCGCAAGGACGGATCTTACGGTATGGCTGCTATTACCCCACAAAGCTTCACCTCGACTCCGGTTGCTCATATACTCAGATATCCAGTATCTCTTCACCTACGCCGAGGACTATACTGTAAACGGAAAGATTTCTTGGACTATCCGACAGGTCTGCGTGTTTCATCGCTATGATCCCTCAGGCTCCAGGAACTTGTGGATTCTGTTGCATGCTCAGCGGAACTCGAAGTTACAGCAGCATGTCGAAGCAGCGATTCGCGCTGAACCGGAAATTCTGCTGTCGGACTGGTACTCGATGCATTCTTTGGTTTTGTCCACTTACTTGACGGGCTGGAGATGGTGTATTGGCAAGCTTGGTCAGGAGATTGAGGCAACTGTACGTTTTCTCCTTCTACTCTTCTTTAAATTTTCTTTGCTCTCCCTTGCTTTCTCTCTCTCCTCTCCACCCCATCCCCTATCCTTCCTTTCTTTCTTCCTTTAACATCCTTTCTCTGTTACCCATGCGGAATGGTGAATAATATTGACATGAGAGCTAGTGCGATGCAGCCCTGACCTTCAGCCCCTCGGACACCGACGATGACAAGCAGAGACTTCTTGGTCTCTTGAAGCCGCAATACCTCGGTGATAAACTCCTACCGCTATCATCGCGACTGGGCGTTGCCTTGGACATTGTCCAAAAACTTGAAGAACTCAACACAGAGCTCAACTCAAAGCGACTTACATCCGAAGGGAGCTTTCGACATGTCACGGATGAGACCAGATATCACAGAACTATCCTGCAGGGCTACTTAAATAGCATCTCTGTCCTGGAGAAGAAAGTGCAGGGAATTTCAGATCTGGTATGCTATTCAACTTGCCCAATTTGAACTTTTCCAGCAGATCGCTAATTGTGCTATGATTGCCTAGCTCGCCGTATCCCTCAACCTCAACTACCAAGCCGTTACTGTGGAGATCAACAACAAAATGTTGAAACTTACAAACGCTGCAATCCATGACAACGCGACCGTGAAGGTCGTGACCCTGGTCACCCTTATTTATCTTCCTGCCAGCTTTGTCTCAGTATGCCCACCTTGCATCATATAATTCTTTCCTGATTGGTCAATTTCTCTAATGCGTTTCTAGACTCTCTTAGGAATGAACCTCTTCGACTTCGACGGCGGAAACGACGGCGGCGGGTTCACCATCTCTCGTCAGTTCTGGATCTTTGTTATCGCCGCTGTTCCGCTAACGCTTCTTACACTGGCCTCTTGGTATTTTATCACTCAGCGGCGACTTCGGTTGATTAGGAAACATAAGATTTCGGACGTGGAGAAGATGGAGTGATGACTTGTACCAGTATGCTGTCTTATGGGTGGTGCTTTGTGGTTATTTGGCAAGTTAAAGATTGCTTGTCATTTTTCGTTTCGGCTTTCTCATTCGTTCATAGACATTTGGTGGCTGTTCTCTGTTTTGAATAGACTGTGCATGATCATACTACTTTCTAAGCTTAATCCTGACCTAAATAGCCTATCAAGCACTTAGGTAGTGTCTCTTTCCATGGGATAATAGATGAATAGAAACAAAGCAGCAGCACGAAATCCGCCTACGTAGATACGCCAGGTATTTTCTTTCCCCCCAAGACGCTGTACACGGACATCAAAATTATGATAAAACCGGAAATGGCCCGACAAGAAAGCCCGGAAGCCCAGTGTCCATCATCGGTGAAACAAAAAGCGATAACAGATAATAGAACGACAGATGCAACGCCGCAAAACCAAAGCTTCGTCGAGATGACGTTGAGACAAACAGAATCACATCATCGTGCATCGATCAATCATCCAGAAACTCCACACCACTGGTGTCACGAAAGCAATAGGTGCCACGCCGATCCCAGATCCCTGTGGCAGTCAAGACCTGATTGTACCGATGCACACACATCAGCGGCAGCCCAGCCCCGGAAGCAACAGACACCTCAACCTCGCCAGGTACCCCGATCTTTCGCCTGCAGTTGTATATATGGGTGTTCCTCGGACCCCAGAATGCCTCCCGCATGCCGCCGAGCATGGGCTCCCATTCGCGAGCGATCATGTCGAGCGCGTTGAAGGATGGCCAGTGATGGTTGCCGATCACAGCGGAGTAGTACCTTTTGCGACGGTCGACATAGTCAAATATTTGCTCGAGTAGCATTGGAGGAATTGGTATCGGACGGGGAGGCGGGTTCCTCGTCTAGGAAGGCTTCGGGTGGGGTGTTGATCTCCAGGTGAGTGAGGAGTGGGAAGCGTGCAATGTAGTTGAGCATCTAGGGAATGAGGGGTGTTAGTTGTTGTTACTTGTATGCAACGGTGTAAAGAAGATAGGGTTCACCAAGGCCAGGTGACTTACCGGAACGGTCTCCCTTCCGATGGCCATCGTAACTCCCAGTCTCTTGAGAACCGGCAGCTGGTGGATCATCCACACAAGTTGCTCACATCCGAAAAAAACGCTTCCCGAACCACGATCGGTCTCGCGGATAACCGTATCGCGGAACCGGAGAGTCCGAAGGTAAGTTCCTTGAAATAGCATCAGGTCGTTCAGCGTGGTAACGGGAAGATCGTATCCATTAAACTCTTCCAGGGCACGCACCCCGCGCAGAAATGACCCCAGAATAAAACACATGCTGGGACTAGCATCATCCAGGAATGTCGCTCTGGTCTCGAATGGCACCGGCTGGCTAATCTGATCCTCTTCGTTACGAAGACGGACCGACAGCGATTTCAGATTCGGCACTTTGCCGGCAAGTTGCTTCAGCGGCATCATGGTGATGAAGTAGCCGTCAATGGTTAGGTGGCGTAAAGCTGTGCCTTGGAGGCACCTCGTCCAGTCACTTCCACCAGCCCCTCTGATATAGATATTGTAGAGACGGAGGGATTTTAATCGCGCTAGTCTGGCACCAGATGGAATGGTGATGGTGCATACTTTGAAACTGGGCGCGATCGCACGATAAGTCAAGGTCAGTGCTTCCAACGTGACCAGCGAGCAGATGGGAAAGAGAGATCTCTTCAATTCCTGGTGTTCCTGGTCCCAGTGCTCTAAGTTGAGGTCAAGCGATCGGATGTGAAGCAACGGGCAAACTTGCAACATGCGGAAAATGGTTGCGTTGTAGATGAATATCTCCTGTGCACCCTGGATATCTATGATAACCGGTCGTTGAAGAAATTTGAGCATGTCGAGTATCGACTCGTTGATTTCAATGCGTGACCTCCACCTAACCGACATGGTTTAGTACTGTGGATCTGCTGAGTGATCTCATAGGGCTTACCTACTTAATAACCTTCACTCTGGGAATCAGCTCAAAGAGGCTATGAAGGGAGCGGGTGACGCGAGTCATGCATTCGATGTGTGTGTAACCGTCAGAAATCTCCAAAACACGGACATCCTTGAACTGGACCCAGGTCCTATGATATGCAATTCTCTTGTCAAAGGGCCTTAGCTCACGAATGGTGTTTTCAACAAAGTGAACATGCAGGTGGTAGAACAATGCGGGTTGAACACATTGATGAAACTGGGCGCAGGTCCCATAAACAGCCCATAGCGCGCGGTAGTCGAAGTCCAACTGCATTAAGCATTCAAACAATTAGCTAATATGAATATGATTGATCGAGACAATGAACTTTTCTCTTACCGCATGGAATACCCGGGTCCATATCTCATTCGGGACCCTGGACATGGCACAGACGGGCCCCTCAGGGGTGACTGAGTTCTCCATATTCAAAGCGGGCGGCTCACAACAGACTCACGATCGACAGAAGAAAAATAAGACAAGAAAGTTAAGTGGTCAACAACATATTGGGCGAAGCCTCACACGTGACTTTGTCTGGGTGCTTTACCAGTGGTGCCGTCACTTCTGTTATGCTATTGCCTTTGTGGTGACGATAGAAAGACCCACTCAATTTATCTAGGAGAAAACCTTTACTGAACTCCAAAGTAGGGGCCGCAAAAGTACTTCTAAGACGTATGAATATCCATAGTTGTGGTTTGTGACTCGCGCGTACTTTGTAGCACGTTGCACATGGACCAGGTTAACTGGAAGTACCGATAAGGGTTGAACTTTGGATCATCATTCACACCCTGATAATTCGAAGACTTGCATAGAAGTGTAATTGTTTTAGCTTTTGATTTGTGAGCTTGAGGTCCTTATGTTCACGTCCAGAAAACTATACCATTTACTACTGCTTCCGGAAGTCCCCTTTTTATTGTATTCCAATGCAGCTTCATGGATGTTTGTTTTTCAGAAAGTGGCTTGATTTGGGCATTTTATATGTTCCATGCATCATGCACTTCCCTAGATCATCAGTAATATAGATCAGAATTGAAGGAACCTAATCCAGTGAATCGACCTTGCTCGCTTTTAATTTTTACGTACTACTGTTATGAATCTTTTGTCTTCTAGGAAACCCACTGAAGCTGTGATTTGCCGTCAAATTTCTTCTGGCCAAAGACCCAGGAAAACAAGAAGCTCCTATTGTGAGAGTTATGAAGACGCTAAGTGTTCTTTCGCCTAGGTTCAAGCATGTCTAACCCAACCTCTCAGTAGACAGGCTCATGTCGTCCCACTTCTCCAACTCTCGATACAAGCCGGCCGTGTACAGGGACCTACTCATGTCAGGGATGACCTCCGCAAAGTTTGGATACAAATTGTTTAATTGATTGATACCGTGTTGCCGGACCGTGGTCTGGATCAACCGCAACATCCCCTTTGACAAATACTGCGCTTGTCTGTCGCCGGATCGACGATTCATTTCGTCTTGCGTTCGCGACATTTGTCGCACGGGGCACTCATAGAACCCAACCTGACCCACTCTCTTGGAACTTATCTCCGTCGCGTTGACCGCGACTGGACTTGGCCAATGTGTGATTCCTCCCTACATGCCTATTGAAACCTGAGATTTCGGCGATCGTTATCAGTCTGATCTTGTTGGGTAGTTGTCAAGCGTTCAGTATGTCAGGATTTATGTTATATGCTTGTTGCCAGCTACCATGAATGTCACAAAGCCAATTGCCGAAGTCGGCCCGACATGGTAGAATATATATTTGAACAGAAACGCTCGATATCAACCTGACGAAACAAGGGCAAGCGACTTTGAACCAAAAAGTAAATGCACTATTATTCAAAAAATCAAGTCCAGCTTGATTGACATTCACCAAAGTTGCTACTGTTGTTGTTGTTGCGGTGTGTTATTGTGGTTGTAGGCAAGAAGGGTAAGCAAACAGCGAAATGCTTGGCATGTGACACCTCAGGCATCAACACATGCACGACGACTACTACTCCGCAGTCAGCTTGCAGATAAATCATAAAGCGAACTGCCTCCGAGGCCACTTGTGAGCGTAGTTGGACCAGAATGATCAATGAGAGGCCGGGGCAACCTGGTTGGTGGTCCTGCCCCTTCTGGACTAGCGTTCCTCCCCGGCTGGCCTGATTGCCCAAAGGAGACGCCAGCCCCACGGAGCCACCGGCAGATATTCGGTGAAGTTGTCCTCGTCGTATAAGTACGGGGTCCTTGTCCTTGTTGAAACATCTCCAGGAGCTCTCTCTTGTCCTTTCGCTTACAGGTCCCGTCGTCCATTCTACTCCCAGCAATGTCTGTAGCCGCGACCGCCAAGCGCCCGGAGATCATCGAGATCGCGCGCGGTCTCGACCATGTCCCCATGTGCGAGGAGTTTGAGAAGATGATTTCCGGCATGATGTGAGAATCGGCAGGTTCCTCCTAGCAAAAACAACTTCTCTGACGCAGTATCTCAGGTACAACCCCCTGGTACCGAAGTTGCTGGAGGCCCGCCACCGCGCGCGCGGGGTAGCGAAAGACTACAACCACCTCGACGCCAAGACGGTCTCATACGAGCAGATCTACGACGTCCGCCACAACCTGCTGAAGAAGATCGTGGGGAAGGTGGGATCCGGCACGTTTGTCGAACCGCCTTTTCTGCCGGACTACGGATGCAACATCAGTATCGGGGAGGACTGTTTTATCAACTTCAAGTGAGTTGTTGGTTATGTTGACAGAACGAGAAAGGGGCTAATGAGCATGTAGTTTCACCGCCCTGGACACCAGTCTGATCCTCATCGGCGACCGCGTGCAATTCGGTCCCAACGTCAGCATCTTCACGGCAGGTCATGACGTCAGCGTTTTGTCGAGGCGGAAATTCGTCGAGTTCGGTCACCCGGTGAAGATTGAGGATGATTGCTGGATCGGAGGGAATGTGGTCATTCTGCCGGGAGTGACGATCGGCAAGGGCTCGACAATTGCTGCAGGATCGGTCGTGACGAAGGATATTCCGCCCTACTCGGTGGCCGTTGGGAGCCCGTGTCGCGTTAAGAGGACCATTCCGACCGTCGAAGAGGAGGAGCAGGATCCCAACAATCCATACCGCAACTTGGTTCGCGAGGATCGGTAGAGAAACAGGGCCTGGTGAGGAAGATGTGATGATGTCTATGACTGTTAGATATGAACAGCGAGCACGTGACTACGGACAGATGCGCATACAAATAAACACGATTTGCACAAGAGAATATAAATAATTTGGAGATTATCTCCAATGCAGTGTGCTACTCCCTAATTCATGTGATAGTTAGTGCTATCGCATAAATTCGAAGGTAGAGAGGGGCAGTGGAGCGAGACGCTTCCGGAGAAGTCTCGGGGCATAAAGGAAACCGAGAACCTCCCAATAAAATCAAGAAACAACCCACCCCGCGCACCGATAAACCCTGTCCGGGAGGATCGCGACTCCTGCAGGAATCCGGAATTCCGATACAGGCGCCATGATCCAACCCCAGCGCAAGAGAACCAATTCCTTAGCGTTCGCCCGCACGGACTGCCATACATGTCTCTCCACCCGGCAGACATGCGATCGCCAACGACCCCAGTGTACCACGTGTCTCAAAAGAGGCGTGGAATGCGGAGGTTTTGCAACACCTCTGGTGTGGGACACTAGTCGGACGTGGCTGGGCCAATCGGGCAGACACGACGTGTTGGTATCGGGTGCAGATTCAGGCGCCGATAAGGATGTCGGCAGCTCGGATCATGACGGAAGGAGGGTAACAGGGCCTCGAAGATTTCGGTTTGTGCAGAGCGGGGGTGGTAGAAGTAAACGACGCAGACTGCAACCGGCAGATCGGGATGTTATTCTATCAGCAAGGCCAATAAGCCTCATACCGGAGGATTCGACCCCGGAGAATGTGGAACCCCCCCAGGTCAATGAGGAAATAGACCGGACATCTCCCGAGACTAGGACACCGTTATTTGACAGCCATGGTGTGTTCAATTCCTAAGTACTGCATATGCTTGAGTTGCTGATCATGACAGGGCCTTACATTTTGGATAATGTCGGCCTTTCGATTGACCAGGATGTACTCACATCCCTCTCGGTTCCCACTCTAGAGGGCATTGCTCCTGTCGGGCATTCAGCGTTGAACTCGGAAGACAACCTATTAGCTCATACGATGGAGAGTATGCTTACGAGCAGTCAAGCGCACATGTGTCCTGTTTCCTCATCAGCGGACGGGTGGCTGCCATCAACTCCCGTCCTGGAATTGGGAGGAGTACCGGCTCCCACTGCAGGCATAGGGAACCAGCATGAGCCACTGTTCAAAATGTGTAAGCCATTCACAAGACTAGTCGGACGTGAGCCGCGCTAAGGACAAACAGACGATAACGAGTTCTGTATCCTTCCAATCACCTCGGATGCCGAGCTCAATCCATTTCGCATCCAGCGACCTGTATCTGAGGGATCGAGGTTATTGTTCCATTCCATGTTGGCTTTATGCTGCCGGCATCTGAATCTTCTCACTGGCTCATGGTCGTCCGAGGCACAGGAGCACCGCAGCGAGGCGTCTAAGATCTTGACTCAAGTTGGCCAAAACCAGCAATTGCTGAAAAAGGGACTCGCCTTGTTAGATCCCATCCTCATCATGTTTACGCTGGAAGTGGGTCGTACCGCGTGCTGCTTGGCTCTACGAAGCTAAAGATTGATAGTGTACCCTGTCGGCATCTGGACGATGGTCCTCTCAGATAGCCCGAATGCGCTTGATTCTCGAGGAATGCGGCGGGCCGTCGGCACTCACAACCCAACGAGCTCGGGCCCAGGTGGCGATGATGATGTGGTGAGACAGACACAGATCCATTCATAAGATGATCCGCTGATATAAGTCAGGTGGGATGCCACTCTCGCGCTCGTCTCTCGACAAGGTCCTATCCTTTCTCGACCGTACCTCGAACATCTAGAGCGGTATGAAAAAGAAGACCAATGGTCATTCTACCAACTGTCGGGATGTCCGGCTGAGCTTGTCGGGCATCTATTCTCACTTGCGGAACTGGCTCATCAACGCGAACTAGCTTCGTCCATGACGTGGCTGTCATTCGACCTAACGCCCATCGTACAGATCGAGGACCACATCCGGCAGTGGGGGCACCCTCTATATTCGGGCCATTTAGTTGAACCCGACTCCGACTCTGAAGACTTCGAGCAGGCAGACGAAGCTGGTTTTAATGATCAACAGGATCGACACCACTGCGCGGAGGCCTGGCGACATTGTCTCCTGCTATACATTGAACGGGTGTTTAAGTGGGAACGCGGTACTCCTCGTCCCAACGCATTGAGCCGACTAGCTCGAATAACGCTCGATCATGTTCGATGTTGTCGAAAGACATCGTTGACGCAGAAACAGCTTCTTCTGCCTGTGTTCTTGGCGGCGAGTGAAACGTCCAGCGAAGAAATGAGGGACATTGCAAGAGGTTATTGTCAGTGGTGGGGAGACCGAAGCCGATACCACATGTTTCATTCAGTCCCGGCACTGTTGGAGGAGATCTGGGCTGGAGACTGCTGGTGGGGAAGCATTGTCGATTCGAAGACGAGGGGAACAGCGAGTCAAGTTCCGGTCCAATTTCTTCTGGGCTAGCAGTTGTATATGGCTTGCATAGATCTATGAACTTGTTTATAATTTATTTTCTCGGCTTTCCGACCCACCAGTCATCTCAATCAGCTCTCGTACCTTCAGTCCCACTCCATAGCAGTATGTGTCTCGTAGTGATCCAAACCCATACGCATGTGTCACATCACCGTCCCGTTCCAGGTGATATCCGCCCCTGCGGCTCGGTCGGAATCCAAAAGTCAAGATCGTTATACTGATCACCTAGAACAAGGTTGACTCGCTTCAAAATGTCGGCCTTGGTCTACCCATCGGCCCTCTCATCCATATTTCCTTCTTGCGTCACTCACCCGATGATCACTCCACCTGTATACATACGTGGAATCTAATAAGTGTAATGCACCTTTGGAATAGGACCATGTCCTGCGCATCACTTCGTACGTGCATGATCTGCCCACGGACAGGGTGAACGTTCTGATCATTAGCGACATGAAGGGCACCGAGAGCGGTAGCGTTGACGATGAGTTCAGATTTGAGAATTGACCGTGCCTCGGGAATCGATGACACTTCCTTTCGAATAAACCGGACTTGCCTCTTCTCGAGCCGTTTTGTGATCCACGGGAGAAGATACTTGAGGTTCGCTGTCATGGATTGATATTTGAACCCGATTTTTGCAATTGCCCGGAGCTCGGAAGCGTGCAGTTGGCGGCAATTCGGGACAAGGGTTTTGTACCAGATAGTCGAGTCATCCGGTCGGTCATCATAGTACTCGGTTACGTTCACGACTTGCACACCGCTCGTGGAATCACGATGCGCAAGTGCCCAGAAGTAGATGAATGTCTCGGTTTGCAGATCATGCCCCTTGCCGTCGGGATGAGGGAGAATGCCGGCTCCTGCCCTACATATACGAAATGAGCTTGTAAACCAGAGATAGACAACGGGCAGACATACCATGGACTAGCCCATTTCTTGGAATCATCCCCGGGCCACTGACCGCGCAAGAATCGTTACCTTGTGTCCTGCCTCGGACAAAACCAAAGCGGTGGTGAGCCCAATGACCCCTGCCCCGATGATCCCGATTTCCATTAAGGAACTTTGTTCGATTGCAGTAATAGATGGACTTTGAAGTATACCGATGGTGGTGTATTCAAGAACGAAAGGCATTGCGAGGAAGCTGTCGGTTCTTATATCTAATCTCTATGATCTGCGGGATCGGCTATGCTACACCGGCTCGGGACCGGATGAGGCTTGCCGGTTGGGATGCCGATTGATAACATCGCGGGGTAAACCTAACTGTGAGATAGTTAATGTAAACAACATGTGAGATCAATTCCGGATTTTCAAAGATAACGCGGCGCTTCTACGATGAGGGCGATCTGTGGAGTGTCCAAATGGCACCACTCATCTCGAACGGGAATAGTCACACGCACCGAAGGATCACACTAGTCTCTCAGCATCGTTGTTGGTCGCGTCTCGTAAGTCGACCAGCCACTCTTCTGATGACTGCGGCATCAGATATCATCGACCTGCAGACTCAAATTCTCATCGAACACCCATTGGGAGCTGCTTAGAGGTAAGGGATGGAAGAATATAATCCCCAGAGTGCTGAATCAGGCCCGCGGCCTCCGCTCAGCCGGCGTCGGGACAAACCGCAGTTGTCCTGTAACGCCTGCCGCCGGCGCAAGTGAGTCAATTCGAGCATATTATTAGGACATCAGTATTCGGCACGATCAAAGGCTGATTAGTTCATAGAGGTCGATGTGATCGCCAAATCCCTTGCTCTAGTTGCTTGACGCGAGGACACGTTTGCACATACCCCAATGACCACGTCCCGCCGGTAGCGCATCAGTCAATCGTTCCGGCTGTACATGCTCGCCTAGAGCAGTTGGAGCGCTTGGTGCTTTCCTTGATGCAGCATTCGACTGCTGGGGGCAGCGATGATTCGTCCCTGAAGAATACGGAACCGACATCGTTCCCGGGAACGTTATCCGACAATCCGGCCCTTGTGGATGACTTGACAGACGACCTCTCTGATTGTGGAAGCATGCGAGCTAGTGCTTCTGGGGTGCATTACGTTGGCGGTGATCATTGGGTTGCTATTCTTGATAAAATAGCCGATCTGAAGGACCATTTTGAACGCGAGGAGCAGTTGCGTTTAGAAGGTTCACCGGATTTATCTCACGATAATTGGAACGATGGAACTGCGTCCCCGCGTGCTCTGCTGCTTTATGGGTGTCGGCATGCGACTTCTCGGGCAGAGATTCTTGCGTCCTTGCCGGCTCGGCCAATGGTGGATCGCTATGTGTCGGGATATTTTAATCGTTTGGACTTGGTATCGTCGAGTAGGTTTGCGGTTTATGATTGAATGAGTTGGTAACGCTGATGCTTGGATTTGTGTCAGGTGCCGTTCATGGTCCGACTTTTCTACAGCAGGTAAGCATATGTATCTCTCCTTGCAAATGACAAGCCTTATACTGATGGTTTCAGTATGCAGCCTTCTGGGCCAATCCTTCGGATGCTCCGATCATGTGGGTTGGCCTGCTCTTCAGTATGATCTGCCTCGCCGTGCAGGTCTCGAGAGTTTCAGATAACGCAGGTAGCCATGTGATAGAACAACGGAGACGTCAGATCGAGTTATACCGTGAGAAGGCTGTCCAATGCCTACTCATGGGCGAGTATACAAAAGCAGGCCCATACGTACTCGAGGCGATTATCCATTATGTTTACATTGAATTCTGCCTTCACCCCGACGCTGATAGGGACATCTGGTTTCTACTATCCCTAGAGGTCAGTCTCGCGAAACGCATGGGGTATCATCGCGATCCGAAGCATTTTAAGGGAATTTCACCTTTCGAGGGAGAGATGCGTCGTCGGCTATGGACGACAGTGTTACTAGGTGATGTCTTGATATCGAGCCAGATGGGCATGCCGCGGATGATATCGGAATGGCAATGCGACACGGACGAGCCACGAAACTTGGATGATAGTGACTGGGATGCAGATATGACTGAATTGCCTCCATCACGACCTGAAAGCGAACTCACTACGAGTCTGTGTCTGATTGCGCGTCGTCGAATGATTATGGCCTTGGGTAGAATATCTGATGTGACAGCGGCTGCGAAAACCTGTAATCATGCTGAGGTTATCCGGTTGGATGGTGTTCTACATGAAGCGGCTGATAGTATTCCACTGCCGCTGAAGGCGAAGCCGATGATTGCTAGTTTGACGGATTCACCGCGAATTATCATGGAGCGCTTATTCATATCTCAATTGTTCTACAAGGGTCAGCTCATGCTGCATCGCCGATTCTTATTCTCAGATTCTACCACCTCGCAAGAGACCAACACATTTGAGTCTTCGCGAGATGCTTGTATAGACGCTGCACTTGAACTGCTGGGCTTACAAAGGATTATGGACGAAGAGACGGGACCCGATGGTCGACTGCATACCATGCATTGGCGCGTCACCTCTATTTTGAACCATCAGTTTCTGACCGCTACGATGGTCCTCTGCTCGCTGCTGCATCGTGTGCAGACGCTAGTGCGCGAAGATGAGATCCGGAATAGTCTGCGGCATTGTCGAACGATTTGGATGAGCCGAAGTGTCGAATCTGAAGAAGCAAGAATGGCGGCTGAGGCTGTCAATTTCGTCCTTTCTCAGAGGGCAGCAGATTGTAACGGCAACGTCGAGCCCGTACTGGAACACTTCATCTCTCAGTCACACGCCGGTGGCTTATTCGATCACTTTACGACATTGTCCCAAAGGGGAGTGTTCCAACCGTCTGGTAGCCAGGATGAGGAATTCTCATTCATATCGTCGTTGACGCAAGATGAAGGAACATTCAATGCTTGGATGCCGGCAAACTGAAACTTCACTTCGAGTTTATCTCGTATTTTGATCACAATACAGAATAAGCAAACACGTTTCGCGTTTGGCTTGAGCCACAAATTAGAATCCAGACACCAATATTCTCGGAAGGATGTCGGCATCTAATAGGAACTTGGCTGTTCTCGGAACCGCCGTACAACCAAGAGAATGGTGTGCAGAACGCCCTGCCACATGTTATTCTAGACGCAACCCCCACGATTGAATCTGGAGTCCCGGATAATAAACAAAGTTTCTGTATGACCCCATGACACCAGCGCGGCCTCGTCTGGAGCCGTATATCCATCTAGAGCCAGCTTTCTTATCCATCCTTCATCATTTAAGGTCTTTGAAACAAATCTCCTGTCGAATTAGGAAAAGCTCACGAGTTTTTTCTCGGAACGACAAGCGTCTCGGCATTCAAAAACCATCTCAGCGACTCTAATATACATTCTGGTTCCACAGATATGTCTTCCCCGATTCGTATTCATGAATTAAACAATATCAGCACTGCCATGTGCAACACCTCTCACAGAACCGGCGAACACCGATACAGAGTATCCAGGAACCATACCATCTTCCCAATCGGTCCAGACGTCGGAGAGCGAACTCGCAATTCATACGTGAATGGTGCAGAATTTGTCAGCTCGCGGCTCTTCAATCCTTAAGTCCGTTAGTCCGTTCTGCAATCCCATACTCCAACCGCCCACTCAGTCATAGTGACATAAACACAAGCATTCTAGCTAGTCGCCGTTTGCTCGGATCCTTAGGTCCGCTGGTCTCATGTCATCCCATCTCACGTGTGCACTAAGACTAGCCTGCATGACCCAGATTAGGAAATTGGTCGCTGAGATTGTCTACCCGGATAGCCTACTAATCGGCAGACAAGGTATCCTGGACTTCTGAGTAATGTGTGTGCCGGTCTCTCGGTGCGGACGGAGTCTCGGACATAAGCCGCACGGGAGTTCGGGAGGGCCAGGGCTTGTATGGACGCCACAGCCGAGCGATGGACATGGGGTTGCCGACGAGGCTCTGGGCGGAGCGTATGAGTAATGATCGGGATCTGTGGAGAGTGATCGTCATGCGTGTTCGGGGTATGGTTTACATTTTGGACACCCTCATGCGGTTAGTAAATGGTTGGGATCTGGGATCTGGCTAGACTCGTGATTGCTGATATTGCGCGAGATATAATTGGAATGATTGGAGGGATTTGTGCTTTTTGTTGAAGGCGAAGCCGGATGTCGAGTCTCCGTTACGTACAGGCGCATACAAAGCATAAAGACGATGATGCAAAGTCGGAAGGAGCTCCTATGAATAGGTCGCAAGTGTTCTAAGTTAACGGGACCCGCGTTGAAACTGGGTGGCACTTCCTCTTCTGGTATGGTCGTCATGTACAATTTACGGGGTTTCATTGGATGAAGCGTCATAGTAACTACAGCTGAAAGACCCAATACCCAATGGTTATGAAACCGCGTGGGCTCTCATGCCCATGTGCTGATCAACAGTATCCTGCAACCATAATCACTAGTCTACTATAGCCTAACGGCCTCTGGATCTTCCCGAATAGTACGGCTTCTGACTCCGATGAAGGGTGGACGTGGCGTGATAAATCAGTGCAAGGGAATCTAGACGTGGCTGCTGGTAATATGACCTCGCGAATGACATCACGATCAACACTTGAACACTGTATTTCAAAGAGTACCGGCTGGCTTGATCTTGGCTCAGAGTATATGACAGCTAACTGTGGGTCTTCCGTACACCGTGTCCACGCTTAACCGGCTATTTTAGAGCTTATGAGTGGAGGACACCATGCCCCTTGTTAGTGAATGGAAGACCGTACTCTTAAACTAATTAGCCAATAAACCTTTCCAACCTGACATGGCGTTTTTGGTAATATTCGCGAGTCCGAAGAAAGGAGGACCAAAGTTATGGTAGATTCGATATGCACGTGTGGCTGATAGACAACAGTGTTCTGGCTGAGTATGATGTGGCGCTGGTCATGGAACCCCTTGAACGGAGGGATTCCGTTACGTATGACCAGTGAGAGTGGCTTTTGTTGCCTCATTACGTGTGGATCGTAGACGCTTGCGCAAGCCTGAAATTCTGAACGTTGTGTTTTCTCCAGAAACAGGGTATGGTGGCTCATACTGGAGCTTGCACATCTAAGCCCCATTCCTGTGCATCTTCGCTTAGACATATGACTAGAGCAGCAAGTCTAGTAGGAAAAAATGTACTGACTACTGAATCAGAACGCGCCCCATGGCGGAGGGAATCCGCAATTAGATTATCAGCCTCACTTCAGTGGCTACTTCAACCGATCCACAGCTCATCTATTCCCGGTCCTATGGGTACTAGACTTGGGATACACTTGTAACTTTCATGTTGCCGGCAGGATCTAAGCCCTTCAGCCACTGAACTCACAATGATCTACGTAGTACAATCCTTCGCGCTGGAAACTAAATCTGATAATATGTGACAGTCGGTATCTCCCGCCCGCACGCGGAGTAGGAGAGAGCAATTCATCCGGTCAGGTGGAATAGTATGCGCTATATCTACCCCACCGACCCGGAGCCTCGTGGAATCCTGCTCGTCCTAGCTCCGAGGGGCCAAAAGGTACTGTGTAGAAACAAGGCCCCCACTAAAAACGGGGATGGATTTCCCGAGTTCTGGTGAGATCGACGAGGGCAGGAGCTTTGATTCGCAAGCTTTCCACGGAAAAGCAAAGAATAGTCTCGGCAGTTTCGACCTACAGGAAACGGACGGAATCCGAGATGCGCGACGCATCCTTCGAGTATTTGGCGCTCACTGCTCGAACATAGTCGCCACAGTGAGTGCGAATTCAACGGCATTAGGGCTGAGATTGGCAAATAACGACGACCACGGGCTCGGAGCGGAACCTGTCCGCTGAATGTGCAGTGCACACTATGTTAAGTCCGCGCCATGGCATCTGGATAGCGTGTGTCGGGTCGGAGGAAGAGGGTGGGCCAGTGCAGATAGACTATGGATGATCCACAGTAATATGGACTGACCGTGATAGTAAGATGCTCAGTCGGAGTGTTCAATCGCACCGGGAAGCGATGTGAGTCGCTTCGGAACTCGGCTGCCTGGTGATGGAAGGATGCAAAATATAAAGGAGCTCGAAACGAGGTGGTATACCAAGAGGAAGCAAGGCTGCCAATAGTATACCGAAAGTTGTGGAAATAAGGTGGGTCCAAGATGAGCAGATTATCAGCAAAATGGTACCTAGACTAAACCGGACCACCGGATGGAGACATTGTTCATGAAATTGCCACCGTCCAGAATGTCGTATCTACTTTAGCTACACCGAATAACTTCATGATTGGGGGCTTTTTTTTTAAGCTAGCAAGCCACGGAGGGTTTTGTATTTGAAAGCAGGTCCTCAACTATCTTTCCAAGAGAGAAGAAGCAATATATAATCGCTTAAGTGATAGTTGAATTTAAATCTCGCCCACCTGATTAGTCTCTATTGAGTATTCTTGAAAACATGCAAATAAATCAGATGTTCCTAACCGACCCGGGTGCTAAAAATTCTTCGAAGGCTAGAACAAACAATTTGGCGATGCTACCTCGAGGCGTCTCGTGTTCAAACGAAGAAAAAACAGGAAACCCACTGGCACCGCCCATCGTATTGCCTAATGGCTAGGCGCTAATAGCTGCTGACCATCTCGTTATGCAATAGAAGGGTCCACCAGCGATCCCGATCCTAGGCCAGGCCCTCACCATAGTCCGACCATGCAGTAATCCCTGCCAAGTCCCATTCATTAATTGACTTTGACTATTTTTTATCAATCTCTCGCCACCATGCACATCGTCCAAAGAGGAAAAGCTGCTTGTGTCATCATTTCCACCAATTGTGTGCGGCGAAGCCACCATATGGCATACCTACCACCTATCGGCAGAGATGACCAAGAACAAGATTTTGCTAACGCTTGGCATGGTAAGAAGAGCGTAGGAAAAATAGCAAACAAAAAGGATAATGAGACAAAGCCACCGGGTGTATCATCCGAGCGGGGAATGGTGTCACATTGATCACATTTATGGATCATGGGAAAATAGCAGCATGTTTAGCGGTTTCCTTTCTTTCCCCTCTCTAATGAGCCCCTCCCGTGAGGGGGGGCTACCGTGCCAAGGATTCCGAATCGCAGTTCCTTCTCCATGTCCGTAACTCCGTTGGAGCCTTGGAGGTACTTTTTTCGTACTGAAGGATTTTTCGTTACCCGAGAGCCGCGGGGTCCACGCGTAGGGCTGGCTGTCATGATTGATGTCATGTTTTCAGAGGATTCTAGGCATTGCGTAGAGACCAAGAACAGGTGCAGGGGCGAGTGTTGGATCTGCGAGATGAGGTGTTGGGAATGATTCTGCCCGTAGAAAAGCATATGTATGAGCAGACTGGTAGGTAGCTAAAGGTAACTAAAGGTGAGTTAATTGGGGTTTCCGGGGCGGTCTTTAGCGCCGAGGGCCGAGTGCCAAGAGGGGCTTCTAGGCGGCTAGGCCTCCTAGGCGAACGGTGGTCTCTCGGGCGCTAAGCAGATGGCAGCTCCGGCGTCCGACGCTACCGTCGATCCCCTTCGGCTTCTTGGCTGGTTCGGTGTTGCTGGAAGCCGGATTTTTGTTACTTCATTGCAGGGCATGTGAAGGAGATTTCAAAAGTGTGGAACTCAGAATGCACAGAGTGGGTGAAATGAGGCTTTTTATACATTGTGAAGTAATTCATTCAAACATGTCTATCATCAACTATAAATAAGGGGGCATGTCTTGCTCAATTTTTTAGGGGACAGTTTGTTTTCTTGCGTTCTTTCTCAATTTCGTCAACGGAACAATCACCGCTTTTCGATCTCCAGCAGTACCCGTAAACATTCCTCATCTCCCGCATCCACCGCGTAATGCAGTGGCAGCCAACCCGCTGCATCTGTGAGCGTAGGATCAGCGCCCCGCTTGAACAACTCGCTCACGATCACACTATGCCCACTAGTGACTCCCGCGTGCAGGGCCGTCGCTCCTTCGCTATTGACGGCGTTCACGTCCGCTCCGTGTTCCAGAAGCAGACGCACCATAGACAGATTCCCTCGCGCAACGGCCATATGCAGCGGCGTCGTCCAGGGCATGTGTCCCGGCGTCGAGGCGCTCGGGACCTCGCCGAACTTCGTCCGGTGAATGGTATTGGGGCCGCCCGTCGCCGCCGGGATAGTCTGCGCGTTGACCATGGAGGACATCGGTGGTAAGAGACCCCCGTAAGTTTGAGCTTCTAGAATAGTCGGCACCAGGTTTTGCATGTCGACGTCGCATAGCCGCACCGTGCCTTCTTCGGCACATACCTGGAACCCTGGCTCGCTGCAGGTCCCGTAGACAGGGTCGAATTGCTGGGATAGGGCGAAGGGATCATATGTGGATGGCATCTGCGTCCCGCTCATAGTAGTCGTAGTAACCGTACCGTCCGTTGCCGACTGTTCCAGACAATTCAGGTAATCTGTTGACGGGGAGTACGACGTATGCCCAACGGACGAGGATGGAGAGCTGGAGGACCCGTAGGTGGAGGCCAACGCCCCATCGCTACCGGGATAAGTGCCGTCTGGTAGCACCATGCTGTGGAGTGTGATTTCCTGGGGCGGCGCATCGGACTGGGGATCGGGAAGCCCAAGCTCCAAAGCACCGGGCGACTGGGAACTGCGCCGCGAGCCTCTCTTGGAATGTGTTTCGCGCGAGGTACGGCGAGATCGTTGACCCGAAGCCGTCGGACTGGTATTACTATCGAGCTCTAATTCTCTTAATCGCTTCCTGACATTGTCTCCTGGGAGGGCCATTAGCTTGGTGCTGACCGAAGCAAGGGGAATGCAGCAACATACGGTGTCTTCGTTGCGCGATGCGGTTCCGCTCCCGGCGTCTCTCTAGAGCTAGGAGCTCCTCATGTCGCGCATCTGAAGTATCCATAGTGGGTTTCATGTTTGATATTGTACAGTTGAGGGGGAATCACAAAGGCAAGTTAATCGAAGTATAGGCTCCCAAAAAGAAAAAGCAAAAGAATGGTAGCTCGCTCCCATGCACCAATTCGTCATGCCGGGAGAAGCCCATGTCTTATGCGGAGGAGCGTCGATCCCTCAGCTCGTAAACCGATCGCTTTTCTCTCCATGGCGCATGCGGCCCCAGGGAAGGAATCAGGCGAGACAAACGGTCAGAAAATAGTAAGCTGGGCAATATCCATGGGTCTCTCGTATATGCTGGCGCGACAGAGGGTCGTGGCATCATCCTGTTCGGGGCTAGCGGTAATTTATTCTGCGTCTCGATCGTGAAATGCTTATTTTTATAATTTTGCCTTTATTCCTGATTTTTTCTGTTCTTCATTTTAGAATTCTGTCGTGAAGAAGCTCTGCGAGTCTGGGCCAGTATAAGCACCTTATGTTGCTGATGATTTCTAAGATGGAGGCTTAGCAGGTGCTGGTCGGGAACTCCGTTGTGTTGTCACGCCGCAGTCCCGTGGTTTGGCAGACCCTAAAATGAATCAATCTTCAACCACCTCGTCAAAGGCTCGTTGAGGAAACAGATGGATTTGCAAACCAATGCCTCCTTTTCCCGCCATTCCTCACACAGCCCCGCTTTGTTGATGAAGTCTATAGAATCAGCTTAGTCTAGTCCTTTGGTGATTGGTCGTCGGGATCGTCTGAACCTGCCCGTTTACAAATAGCATCCGGCCTCTTTCTAATCGTCATTCCCCGGCGGAATGATCCGGCGTGTCAGCCACCGGTCATTTCAGGTAGTGTCCGCTGACGATGCCAAGTTGCTCCATTTCCCGCAGGAAGACAGTGGCCAAGATTCGCGGAATGGTCTTGGTGGCGCAAGGTAAGGCAAAGGAAGGAAATCCCGGCCGGCGACGAGGGGACCACCGTCAGCACAATGGATTAGTTATGAGCTTTTAAATATGACAGCACATGCCCAGTCGGACACACTGGCTTTGGACTTGAAAAATTTTCTTGAAGCAACTGACATTCAAGTTGATTGTCTTGCGAGGGCAGAAGTGTCACAATTTCCTCGTGGCTTGCACAACCCAAAATACGAACCCGGGAAAGCCCTACTCCCCACAGGTTTTGCGAGATGATACGGCGAAACCGCTGTTTCTGCAAGAAGCCGAGGGAAACCGTTGGTCCACTTTCACGACAATATGGCCGCTTTCCAACTGCTCGCAGGGCGCGACAGTGTTCTTGAATCACTCTCGCTGTCCCACAAAATGAGACCCCTCGGCGGACTTGAGCAATTTAACCCTGCCGCCGAAGGTGCCTTGCCTACTAGGTGACATCAGGTCGCTCTTTAGCTGCAGAGTAACCCCTCTTGCCTCCCTGCTCCCTTGTCGCCGGCCTTTGCTGAAGTGCCACCCTTCTTTCGCCTAGGAGACGTGGTGATATGTTCCGAGCAAAATCCAGCTCGGGCCGTCCGTTCATGACGACATTGGGTGCTTGAATCTGCATCTCATCACACATTCATCTCGCGATCGGCCATCATCTGACTCCCGCCTCGCTATCATAATTCGCGCATCGTCACTCTGCATTCACTGTTCCTTTGCTGCCTACGCGCTCCCCGCCCCGCTTCGCAGTGCCTGGCGTTACATTTCAACCAAGGAAGCCGGTCAAAACAAGCATCCCTGTGGCTGCTCGGCGGTCCTCGGTACGGTCGTCCCTACCGAGTGCTTCGTGTCGCCAGGATGGTTCGGTGTGCTCGTATACGTTTAACCCCGCTCTAGAGGCATTGAAAAGGGGCTGTCGAGACGGCCATTTTGGTGCTCTGTAGCTGCCTCCAATCACTATCGAATTCCGCAAACACAGCGGTCGTATTCGCTGAAACTTGGCAAATCTTCGCGATTGAGCTTCTCTATTCCGGTTGGATTCCCACGTTCAAAATGCGTCTCTCTCAAGCCGTCAAAACCACCCTCAACTACTATCCTACCTGTTCTCTCGCTGAACGGCAAATCGTCCTAGGTACTGTTGGGGCCTACCGTCGACCGATCGACTCGCGTCCGGTCACCGTCCAGGACGTGCGCGGCCGTGAAAATAACTTCAGCCTTGATGTGCATGGATTCCAATTCCTGAATCGTCCCAGTCCTCATGTTTCCTCCTTTACCGAGTCCGTGGTCAAGAAATTCATGTACCCCGAAGCGGTGGATATACTGAAACAAGCGTATGCCTTTCTCTCCCCTCGTTTCCTGGATTATGCATATCCGACTGACCATCCCCAAGAACCGGCGCCACCAAAGCCCACGTCTTCTCGCACATCACGCGCACAGCGCCCTACGAGAAAGTCGAAGCCCTGGCGGCATCGAAGGAGTCGGATACTAAGCCCACTAGCTTGATGGTTCCGGCACGACTCATCCACGTCGACCAATCCGAGGCTGGTGCCTTGGATGTGTTGAAGGACAACATGCCGCCAGAAGAAGCTGCTCGTCTGTCCAAGTCTCGCTGGGGCATCGTGAACATCTGGCGCCCGTTGAAGCCCGTCCCGCGCGACCCGCTGGCCGTGGCGGATGCGCGTTCCGTGCGAGACGAAGACCTCATTGAGATCTATGGCCGCATGCCCGGGAAGGGCGAGAAGGATTATGAGGCGGCAACTAAGGGGGCTGGGTTTGGCGTACTGTATGGCAAGTATGGAGAGGGTCAGAAGTGGTATTATTTGTCAGGGATGAAGCCGGAGGAGGTCATGTTGATTAAGTGTTATGATTCTAGGGCTGATGGGAGTGTGGCCCGCAGGGCGCCGCATACGGCCTTTGTGGATCCTCGGACGAAGGAGGTTAAGGAGCCCAGGGAGAGTGTGGAGTTGAGGTGCTTGGTGTTCTTTGAGGATCAGATCTAGTTTCCCTTTGGCTAGCTGGTCTTTATGAGGTGTGAGCTTTGTTAGTCGTCTAACAATCTAAGCTACTGTCTATCATAGTCTTTCTTATTACTTCCTCCGCACCTCAATTTCCATTCTCTTCTAACAGCTTCTGCTTACTCAACTTTCTGTTTCTTTTTCTTTCCCTTGAGGAGAGTGCCTGTCTCAAGTGCTTTCCTGTACCTCTTATGTAAGAAGTAAGGAAGATGCGATGAACGAGTCTTAACGGAGCATAGCCGAAAATACTTATTAAGATGCCTTGTACGCCTGGAGAGCGTAACGGTAAAGTCTCAATTTAATGTGGAGCTGATCAATATATCCTCGCTGTTTCAGGTGCTACGAAAGCTATAGAAATTTGTACAAGAACAACCCAGACAGTAACAACTTTTATTCCGTTTATATCAAGAAGAACAATGATAAAAGCAGATCTACAGGTATGCAAACTAATTTTCAGTCTAGCCAATATCAACCTCAGCCTTACCCTCTAGCAGGCACCAGTCCCCTCTCTACCCAATCGGCCACATGTCTCTCCAAATCCTCCATCACAAACCCGGTCCGCCGCTTCGGCATATCCGCCAACGCCCGCTTCGTGTTCGTGATGTCATACTGCGCCATGTCCTCGTACAGCTCCCACCGCGTGCGGGTCTTCCGCACGGGTTCCTGCAGAACAGGCAACATCGGGAGAAGTGGGTTCGCCAGGAGATCTTTATCCGAGGAGAGAGCCTCAAGCCAATCCTTGTAAGGGAGCGCTTTTAAGGGGTAGCCGCATTCCTCGAGCATTTCCCAGCAAGTTTCCACGTCTTTGTCTTCCTCCGGGGTCTGCGGCACGATGTGGAACACGCGGTTGTAGTTCGCTGTGTTGGAGGTGATGTGGACGAGCGCGTGCGTGACAAAATCCACGGGGATCATGACTTTGCTTTGGTTGGGGAGGATAGGCCGGACGCCAAGTTTGATGGAGCCGATAAAGACGCGGCCCATGAAGTCATCGATGTTGGCTTTTCCGCGCTCCGAGTCACCCATGATGAATCCTGAGCGGAAGACGGTCGCAGGGAGACCCTTCGCGATCATGCTGTGCACCATTTGTTCCGAGACCCATTTGCTTTGTGTGTATCCAATGTCGTATGGGAGCCAGGCTTGGAATTCGCCGAGTTCTGTGTCCTCCATGATTCGCTCTTCGCCGGTGAAATGCGCCACGGGGCCCGTGACGGCTGCCGTGGACATGTAGTGCAGAGCCTTGGGCCGGCCCGTCGTGGCAAGCTTGATGCAGTTCAGCGTGCCAATGACGTTGGTGTCGCGGTGCTTCTCGTAAGGCTGAATGTAGTTGATGTGAGCGCCGGCGTGGAAGACAACGCTGCTCCAGATCCCGAGTTCTTGGAACTCAGCCTCTGGGAGACCGAAGAGGTCCTTGCCCAGGTCACCAGCAACAGCCGAGATCTTGTCGAGGTTCTCCTCCTGGTCGAGGCCGTACTTTTTCAGCGCGGCGATAAGGCGGCCACGCGCCCAGTAGGTGTCGGCGGCGCGGACAAGACAGCGGACAACCTTGACGTCGGGCTGGTCGATCAGGTGGCGCAAGAAGTAGGTCCCGAGGTAGCCCGTCGCACCGGTCAGGAACACTCGTCCTTCCGAGGGGTCTCGCCAGTTGGGGGCCTCGCCGGCAGGCACTGCGATGTCTTTGGCAAGCTGGGAGTCGGCGATGAACATGCCCAGACGCGAGTGGTCGATCTTGTTGTTGGTCTTGCCGGCGTCAATAACTGCCGCTAGCGTCTCGAGGGTGGGGAAGTCGTAGATCTGTTGCATCGTCAGGGAAAGGCCATATCGGCGACGGATGTGGACCAGCAAAGCAGCAGCCTGTAGAGAGCTGCCACCCAAATGAAAGAAGTTGCTGTTAGACGTGATGTTGCTGATGCCCAGGACGGAGGTCCACAGAGCACGTAGCCATGTCGAACTGTCGACATTGCCGTTCGAGTCGACCGACTCGAGAGCCTTCTGCTCGGCTCGTTCAGTCTCCTGGATATGCTTGGCCACAACTGCGGCCCGGTCAATCTTGCCGTGCACGGTGAAAGGGAATCGCTCGACGACTTCCAAACGGGGAACCATGTAGGAGGGAAGGATCTTGCGCAAGTACCAGTCCAGCTGGGCGAGGGAGAAGCTAGCGTTCTCTTTCGGCTGCACAAAAGCCGTGATGTACATCTCCTTTCCGGGCCGGCGGATGGGCAAAGCCACGGTGGCATGAACCATGTCGCTCTTGAGCAGAGCACCCTCAATCTCACCGGGTTCGATGCGGTATCCGAGGATCTTGATCATGTTGTCGGCACGGGCCATGAACTCTAGGGCGCCAGACTCCAGCTTCCGCGCCAGATCGCCGGTCTTGTAAACCTTGACGGACGAACCATCTTTCGACAGGTGAGACAGATCCAGGAAGGCCTTTGCGTGTGCGTCAGGACGACCCAAATATCCTCGGGCGACACCGGACCCTCCGATATACATTTCTCCGGACTCGCCATCCGCAACGGGCTGTAGGTTCTCGTCGAGAAGGTAGATGGTGGTCTCATCGAGCGGTCGACCGATAGGCGTCAATCCTTGACGAACCTCCTCCAACGTCACCAGGTGGTAGGTAGCAATGCTGCTACCCTCTGTGGGACCGTAGGCGTGCACGAGATGCTTCGGAGCGCCGTTGTCGAGCACGGCTTGCATAACAGTGGAATTGGCAGCTTCGCCGCCGGTGAGGACATAGTCGAGGTCCTTGAAGGCGTCAGGAATGACCGAGACGACATGGTTCAGCAATGCCGTGGTGAGCAAAATAGTGTTAATCTGATACTTGTTGAAGCTCTCATACAGTGCGACAGGGTCGACGACCACGCTCTTCGGCAGAGTAACGATGGCACCACCACGCGCCAGGGTAGTCCAGATCTCGAATAGGGCGGCGTCGAAGCTCGGCGCCGAAATCTGCGCCACCCGGTCCGAGCTGGTGAATTGGACCACTTGCGTGTTGAAGGCCATGCGGGTGATTCCTTGGGACAGGATCTCCACGGGCTTCGGCAGGCCGGTGGTGCCCGAAGTGTGCAGAATATGGGTACGGTGGCTCTTGCCGGTGGGCTCAGGAATCGGATCGTCGTGGAACCCATTCTGGTGCAGATCGGCCAGCTCGGCCGCCGGGAAGATGGCGTGGAACTCGTTAAATCTTGTCTGCTCGCCCTTGACGGTCATGACCAAGCGCGCATTTAAAGCGTTCAACAGATCGCGAATACGCTGGTCAGGGAGCGACAGATCTAGAGGCACGCAGGTGGCCCCGGCGCGGAGGACTGCTATCTGAGAGGCAACATTGGCAATTCCGGAGGGCAATAAGATGCCAATGGGCTCTTCTGGGCGCAAGCTCTCCCTTGTGAGGACAGGAACAAGCTTGTTCACGCGCTCGTTTAGTTCGTGATAGGTGATGGACTGGTCGCCTTCTACTACGGCAGTGGCATCGGGAGAGTTGTGAACATGGTACCGGAAGCAGGCCTCAAGGCCGAAGGAAGACAGTTTGGCAAATTCAGACATGATGAGAAAGAGATGATCGTGAGTTCTAAAGAGAGAAGATGAGGAGTGTCGATGGTGTTGAGCTGGACCATGATACTGACATTCCAAGTCCCTCCCAGTCTATATATACCCATAGTCTACCTCAGGACACCTTTATTTTGCCTCACAATCTGAGCCTTCTCTGCTGGTCTCATACCGATCCTGTGGGTCGCGGATAGCCTTCCAGCGGCTAGAAGGTCTTGGTATAGCGCCACCAGCAGCTCGCTCGCAATTCGTCATGTCACGGTCTTTAGATGTCGACCATTCATGCAGAATCAACCGGGAGGGTATGTCCCATTCCCACGTGTCATGTCATGTCATGTCATGTCAGCATCGTGAACGTTCGGTGCCTGGGGCTCCATATTGGACCGGCTCTTGGACGGTTCGCATCGGGGACCCGTTTTATGTCAAGCAGGATTGCAAATCCGACTGATCTGACAAGTTCTGGATCCTTCGGCCTCGTATTCGGGGCGATCGCGACGTCCGTGGCGTGCAAAAGCCTTGATATAAAGGCTTGATCACGACAAGCCGGTGACCTCGTCATCCCTTGACTTTTGGACGGCTTTTCTTCTCTTCCTTACGCGCATCATGGCGATACTGTCGGGTTTCGCCGTGTTGGCTGAGCATGGAGTCGCAAATCCTACGCTGGTTTACTCCATTCTGGGGATTATAGGTGCTATCACTGGCCTGATTTTGGCGACGCTCGTCTGGCCCACGGCCTTCTCACCTGTATCGAGGGTGGTTTCTTGGTTTCTCAATGTCTGTATCTATTCCCTGTTTGGAATCGGAGATACTGACTGTTGGAAAGGCGTACTTGCAATTCAGATATCCCATCAAACACGCAGAAACCGGTCGTCCCATCCCTGGACCGGCGTACGTCTGGCCCGACGGGCAGGGAGACGCGGGCAAATACATCTTCGGCAGAGACAACAGCGCGCAATGGCAGTCGCAATATGGCAACGTCTACCGATTATGGGCTGGGATGACTCCTGAAGTGTTCGTGGTCCTTTCTATGCCTCTGTAAAGGCACATATTGACATAATGTAGCGTCCTCACTCGCCCCGAGCAATTGCACGTCGTCTTCAAAGACTCCGACAAGCACACCAAGGCCACGAACAGCAACTCGGGATACTTCATGAGCCGTATCCTAGGCAAATGTCTCGGTCTCATGGCCGGTCAACGCTGGAAACTCCTACGAGGCATCGCTGCTCCTCCTTTCACACACCCCGCCGCCATTAAATCCATCAGTCGCATTCAGCGCCATGTCCGCGAGCATTTCGACGACCTCGAAACCCAAGGCGACCTGCGTCACGGTCGCATCCACCCGGTCCAGGACCTCAAAATGCTGCCCTTCTTCATCGTCGGCGAAGCCAACTACGGCTCTCTCACGCCCGAGATGAAAGCCGAGCTGACGAATCTCGCTCCGGCGCGTGAGAACCTGATGAAATTCGTCGTTTTCGGAGGCCTTGCTCGCTTTGGTATCTCGCGCTTCTTTCCCACGGAAGCGAATCGCCAACTCAACAGTTTCCGGTCTCAATGGAAGACTTTCAATCACAGAGCTTACGAGCGGGCCCGCGAAAAGCATCCTTCCGCGCTAGTCGTGCAGATGTACGACGCCGTCGCCAAAGGCTCGCTCACTGAGGAAGAAGTCCAACAGACCATGGACGAAACCCTCTACGCAAATCTCGATGTAACGACGGGCGGATTATCGTGGAATCTCGTATTCCTCGCCTCGAACCCGACCTGCCAGGCTCGCTTATACGAGGAGATTTCCGCGATCTCCACCCAAGAGGAAGAAGAGGCCTACATCTCCCGGTCCGGCACGTACCTGGCCGCCTGCATCCTCGAGTCCTCCCGTCTCCGACCCGTCACGCCCTTCTCGATCCCGCAGTCCGCGCCCACGGAGCGTCTCGTCGACGGATACAAGGTCCCCGGAGGCACGAATTACGTGGTGGATAGCTGGGGACTGAATTTGCGGAACGAGTTCTGGGCGCCCGACAGTAGCGCCTACCGACCAGAGCGGTTCGTGGGACGGTCGCCGACGGAGCTGCGGTATCATTTTTGGCGGTTTGGATTTGGGCCGCGACAGTGCATTGGCAAGTACACGGCGGATGTGGTCATTCGCACGATCTTGCTGCATGTGGTGCGTACTTACGAGCTGAAGTTGCTAGAGGAGGGCAATTGGGCGCAGGACCCCGAGTGCTGGATTACGCACCCGGACCTGCAGGTGAGATGTGTGAAGAGAAATTAAATTAGACCATTGTATGATTCGGGTTAGAAGAGGGAGCGAGAGAGGAAAATAGGAAAAATTACGCAGTGATCCATGAGGAGATGATTTGTTTGCTTTGACTATTGCAGTAGCTCGTTGACTATGTGTCAAGAGGCGTCAGATTGGAGATGTTTGTCAGTTGGAGGCAACGTAGCGGGATCTTCCTTGACGAGGGTGCATTTCTCACTCACTAGTGACTAGTGGAATGTCATAGTCTAAGATAGAGTAACGGATATCGTAATAGAATAGTCATAGAAATCGTAAGACTCATAAGAACCTGTTTAAGAGGAAATCAGAGAAGATGACCGCCGAAGCCCTAATGCACGTCGGTCTCTTGGCACCGCCGAGCCCCCGAGCCCCCGTCCGATGACTTTTTAATGACTTTACTGGCTTTAATGACACGCAGCCCTCTTCCTCTCCATCTTCCGACCCCGACAAATCACCTGCGCTTGTCCTGAATGATTCGTTTGCACAATAATTTCGGACATTTAATTAATAAAAATGGAGCGCTCGTGTATGCAGTGTCATCAGCGGAAGGTCCGCTGCAGCAAGACCCTCCCCTGCTCGGCCTGCACCCGCCTCGGTGTTCCGTGTCGCTATCCCAGCGCCGACCTCCATCGGCCCCGACGGGTGCAGAAGATCACCATCACCGACCGCGTCGCCCAGCTGGAACGCAGTCTGGCCGTTTTGGCGAGCAGTCCGATGCCCCAGTCTCAAGCCTCGGCCCCTGAAGACCCCAAACGTGATCCCTCGGCCGCCTATCTGCCCGATCCTCCGCCGTCGCCCAGTCGACGCCAAGAACTGCTGGTCCAGGACGGCGGCTCCACGCGCTACATCAACGAGACCTTCTTGTCGCGCATATTGGAGAAGGATAGCGGTCTGCATAAGGCGATCGGGACTCCGCGCGACTCGGCAGAGCCTGCGGTCGGCTTCAGACCGGAGGGGTTGTTGCTGTCGCGGTCGCGACGACCGTCCACGGAGGAGGAACAGTTGGATCTGTCAAGATGGCAAGCAGCGCAGTTGTGGCAGATTTATCGCACGAATGTCGATCCTGTCGTCAAGATCCTGCATTTGCCGACCGTGGAACCCCTGGTGTATTCCACCATGAACGACGGGGGGTCCGAAGATCTCAAAGCCCTGCTATACGCCATCTACTTCGCAGCGGTGACGAGTCTGTCAGGGACGGATGCGGCGAATTTGCTAGGCAGGGACAAACGGTCGGCCTTGCTGGACTTTCAGTCGCGGATTGAAACTGCGTTGGCCGATTCCGCCTGTTTTGATCTGCCGAGCATCTTATCTCTGCAGGCGCTAGCCATCTACATTGTAATTCGTTCCTGTCTGCTTACTGTTGGGGCCGCCTACTAATGAGACCAGACGTGCCTTCGAGCCCATAGTACGAGCCGATCCGGTTGGATCATCAACGGAGTCCTGATTCGCTCGGCCCTCTCCATTGGCATTCACCGTGATGGCACGCACTTCAACTTGTCCCCGCTAGAAGCCGAGATGCGTCGTCGGTTGTGGTGGCAGATCATTATGCTGGACCACCGCGCCGCCGAAGACCACGGTCTGGCCGTGCATGGCTTCGGCAGTCGAGCCGACACCCACATCCCCTTGCACATCGACGACAGCGACATCTCGGTCGAAACGCGCATGATGCCCAGCCCGCGCACGAGATGGACCGAGATGAGCGTGTTTCTACTGACCGCGGAGATCGGCATCGCCTTCCAGCAGCTCTTCCATAATACGGCGAGCCAACCGGTAGAGCCGGCGCAGCGACTACAGACGGTGCATGAACTGACCTCGTACCTGGAAAACGCCTACCTGCGGCACTGTAATATCAATATTCCGATTCAGAAGGCCGGGTGGCTGACTACGCGCTCCTTACTGGCGAAATTTGAGTTCTTCGTGCACCAGGAGGGTCTTAATAATGATCGGCCGCAGGAGTCGGTATCCTCAACCGCCGAGCAGACCCTCACTTCGGCTTGCAATTGTCTTGAGCTGAGCGTCGAGCTACAAACCGATGATCTGCTACGGGGGTTCCGCTGGCTTTTCGTCAGTTACAATCAGTTCCATTGCCTCACGTACATACTATGGCACCTGTGTGCGCAGCCCACGGGACCGAACGTCGTGCGCGCATGGAATATTGTCGACGTCGTCTTCGACCTAACAGAAAATGACGCCAGTCGTCCGGATCCGGGACCCCTGTGGAAGGTTCTTAGACATTTACGAGAGAAGGCGAGGCAGAGACGTCAGGATGAAAACGCACCACCTCCAGTTCCGGAGAACTTACCGGAGGGACAACTCCCCGTAGAGAAGCGCGTCGAAGAGCGACCAATGGAGCAGATTGAGCCACCCCCGGAAGGCTTGGAGGACGTCTTGGCCCCGAACCTGGATCCGAACTCTTTGTCTGAATGGATGGATTTCTCCGAGAATCTGGGAATCTTCCGCTTTGATCTGTAGACTCTGTACTGTGATATCACTCTGACTGTCTTTGTGGCGAACATGGAGCGTGGGTGGGCAGCGATGACGATTTTCAAGTAATGCGAATAATGAATGCGGTTACCTAGGTAGTGTTAGTTTGTTCCGTTCAGAATGTACATCATTACTCTCATGATCTCCAAATTCCTTGCCCGACAAAGAAACCCAAACAATGTGCACACGTAGCCCACAGCGAAGAGAAAGAACGACCGGAGCCAGCCCTACAGCCTCTGGCAATGACCCAACTCGGCGGTCATGACCTGTTCGCTCCCGAGCCGAGCGGAGCCCAACTCCCCTGAGCCCGAGCCGACGCCGCAAAACAAATAGAAATATCAGATTTTAGTGCTGTCATAGACGCTTCCCTTATATCAATCAGCTCATTTCTGTCACTTCTGAGAAGGTACGTACGGACAGACTAGACCAGATCAGATACGCCACGAACGCTCCTGATATCACTCATATCATCAACCGTCAAGATGTCGTCCAGTCCTCGCACCTCCAAGGAGAACCACGATCTCCAGCCGTGGGATAACAATGAGAGTCGCTCGTCTGTGACAGTGTCGGGCTCGCCGAATGGGCAGCCTGTTTCCGAGGAGAAGGACATCTCTCTTCCCCCGGATGGAGGCCTTGAAGCTTGGTTGGTTGTTGTCGGCGCGTGGTGCACCTCGTTTTGTAGCTTTGGCTGGGTGAACAGTAGGTCCAATTTTTGACAAGTCGTGAGAGATCCGACATGCTGATTTTTATAGGTATTGGCATCTTTCAGAGTTACTACGAGTCGAACATGTTGAAGAACTATTCGTCCAGCACCATTTCTTGGATCCCTTCTTTGCAGGTGTTCTTCATGTTTGCGATGGTATGTCTGCCGCCAATCTTTTTCCTAATCAAGGCAGGACACCTGACATATACAGGGTCCTATTGTCGGAAAATTGTACGATGCCTTTGGTGCAAGATACTTGATTATCGGAGGCACTTTCTTCCACGTCTTCGGTCTCATGATGGCCTCTATTTCGACCGAGTACTACCAGATCCTGCTCTCGCAGGGTGTGTGCAGTGCCATTGGCGCGTCCGCTATATTCCAACCTGGTAAGAATATTGCCCGGAATCTTTTACCATCATTCGCAGCTAATTATCCCCGTTGAAAGCCCTCAACTCCGTTAGCGTTTGGTTCAACAAGAAGCGTGGTATCGCTTTCGCCACACTTTCTACCGGCTCCAGCGTCGGCGGTGTCATCTTTCCCATCATGCTTGAGCGTCTAGTCCAGCAAGTCGGGTTCCCCTGGAGTATGCGCATCTCCGCATTTATGATCCTCTTTTTGCTCGCGATCGCCATCGTTACTGTCAAGGCGCGCACGACTGGCCCCAAGTCCGCCAACCCCGGCAAGACCACCCTTCTTCATCCCTTCAAGGAGCCAGCCTTTGTCCTCACCCTATTCGGTTACATGCTTCTCACCTACGGCGTTTTCATTCCCATCAACTACGTCATCGTCGAGGCCGAGCTGAACGGCATGTCCGCCAACCTAGCCGCATACCTCCTCCCCATGCTCAACGCGGCCAGTCTCTTCGGTCGTCTCGGCGCGGGCTTCGTGTCGGACAAGCTCGGTCGGTACAACATTTTCATCGCCATGTGTCTGGTCGCGGGTGTGTTGGTCCTGGCGCTCTGGATCCCCGCTGCCAGTAATGCGCCCACGATCGTCTTCGCCATCATCTTCGGTTTCGCTTCCGGTGCGTACGTCAGTCTCTCGCCGGCGCTTGTCGCGCAGATCTCTCCCCTCACGGAGATCGGATATCGCACTGGTCTGCTGTTCTTGTTCGCGTCGGTCGGTGGCTTGACTACCAGCCCGATTGCGGGTGCTATTTTGGCGAATGCCGGCGGCAAGGACTTTACGAACGTGAAGGTTTTCTCGGGTGTGTTCTTGCTCGGAGGGACGGTGTTTGTGATTGCGGCCAGGATTATGAAGACAGGGTTGAAACTGGGCGCGAAGTTCTAGGATCGAGGCTCTCATTCGATTTCCCTTTCTTCTTTTTTTCTTTTTTTCCATGTTTGCCCGTCTTCGTCTATACTTGCTATAGGGGTATACACGGGTTTTTGGTGGTAGATAATGCGCGCTGCACGAGTGTGAAGGTGCAGTTGTAATAATTTATAGATCTTTCTTAGATTTGTATTGCTGATTGTTACTGTTATGATGGGCTCATTGGCTTACGCTTGATATCCCTTCTCTTATTCAAATACAATTGCTTTTAATTCATGGCTTTGTTCTTTGAGAGACGACATGCTTCGCCTTCAGCGCATTGGATATCACAAGTGCAATCTATAACACCGTTTATCCCTCATGCTTCTACATACTTCCTAATACGGATGTCCAGTCAGAAGTCTCATCACCACATTCTCATCAACTAGCAATACGGTGGCGAGGATGAGTCTGACAGAAAACAAGGTCCGATGTGGCTTTCGAGGAGGTTGGCGGATGAGCATGATGAGAATGATAATCTGCCGGATGAGATATAGCGTTAGCGATGATGGATCGGAGGAGGATTCCTGGTTAAACCGTGATTTTATCATAGCGATGATGTTTAGAATTTGGGTTTGCTATAAAGGTTAGTGTTTCAGGATTTAGAGGAACCAGGAAATGGGTACACGGAAGATATAGAATTGGGGGAATGTTGACAAGCCGGCGGAAACGCATGGGCTCTATAGAGGACCGTTTGATGCGCAAAACTGGTCCTTTATCAATTTCATGTTGGTCGAGTCTAATTTCGACTGTTGATACTTTATTGACGCTGCGTGGTCGACCGGGTTTGAAGAGGCGATTGACATCGTTTACAGATATCGATGTGCTTTTGATCGAATGATTAATGCGAGCCTCACTCCCTCCTCTGGCTATTCAGTTAGCTAGGTAGCCTTCCCACAGTGGTGTGGCGGCAAGCGATAGGGGCTACTGTGTAGAAAAATCGAATATATGTTTCCCTCTATCTGCCGGTATACAGTCTACAGGAAGCATTTATCAGTAGAAGCCAGTATATTCAGTATTAACAAAGCCATTTATTTGTGGAGCTTTCGGAATAACCCTCATCATGGGTAGGTACAAGGACTGCAATTTGTGCGAGTCCTCTACCACGCATGATAGAACTAAGATACATCATCATACCTGCTCCCTCTCCCCGTTCGAAATGAAAAGATCAATTGTCTCCTTGTACTGTTTCAACACTCTCTGTAGATGCGGCGCCTCATCTGCCACAGCCCGGCCAGTCACCCACTCCCAGCTCCCTATGTAGCAGACCCCATGCCTGGCACGCGAGGTGATGACATTGATCCGACGAGGGGATGACATAAACCCGGGGAAGCCGACGTTTCGCGTCAGCATAACTATCACAAAATCTGCTTCGGCGCCCACGTCGCATGGTATTTTCCAAACTTAAACGCAACGTAGGTAGCATACAGTCCGTGAGCGGCATAACCACGGTCGGCGAAAAGCGAAAAGCGAAAAGCGAAAGGATTAAGGTACACCTCTGACTCAGAAGGTCTCCGAGGTCTTGTGATTCCCCAGGAACTTGGCGGCGGCGGGTCCCGCCCAGGTACCTTACAGTTCACGTCACTACTTCACCATCTCGAAGCCTTCCTCCCTCTCCATATTTTTCATCTCGACCTTGAGCTTTTCATCTCGTCTCAAACAGTTCAGGCATATAGCAAAAGCTGATGCCTGCTTGGCTCTTTGTAGCCTGCCACCATGGAGCCCCATACCCCCCTCGATGAGCCGCTGGATGCTTGTGTTCCGGACGACGCAATGAACGTCGATACTTCTACAACTTCACCCACTCGGCGCGGAAGATCAGGAACAATAATCCCAGCCTACGACGAGGATTACAATGAATCATCACCTCGGCGTATGGAATCACTTCAGAAGCTCCATGACCTGATCAAAGAACCGGTTCCGGCACCATTCTGGGCAGTTCTCATGTTTTCCGATGTGGAAATGCTGGAGGAATTCGTTGAAATGGCAGAGAGATGCCAATGTTTATTGCCCTTTTGTATGAATGCTTGTGCTGCGCTTCCGTTGACTTGGATGCAGAAAGAACCTAGACTCTCAGGAAGCGCAAGTAGTTCAACCTCTTCCCGTTCATCATCAAACTACAACAGAAGCCAAAAGCTCCGAGCTATGGTGACCAACCGTGACGGACATCGATGCGTCATAAAATCAACAGATCCCTTTGATGTCGCCCACATATATCCACATTTTCTGATAACAGATCGAAGCCCGAATATAACGAAGACGTACCCGCCGCTGTGGGATATGTTGAAATACTTTTGGTCCAGCACAAGGATCAAAACCTGGAAAGACAAAATCTTTGCGGATCCGACTCAGCCACGAAAGCAAATTGATTCGATTGAAAACCAACTATGCATGTCAAAAGACCTTCACCACTTATGGACCGAAGGCCGATTTGTTCTTCGACCCCTTGAGTACAACGCGGATAAATCTGTTCTAGAAGTTGAGTGGCACTGGCAGGGCAGGGCGAACCACAATGGCACGGTCAACGTTAACACTCCGATTCAGTCCTCTCGAGGTTTAGACGATCATCTAACTGTCCACGGAGGTTCCCGCAAGATACTGATTCCGTCCGCCATCCGTACTGGCGATAAATTTCAGCTTAAAACAAATGACCCCGTCAATCTTCCACTGCCAAGCAAAGAATTGCTCGACATGCAATTCGTTTTATCACGAATAGTCAATTTGTCCGGAGCTGGCGAGATTTCTGATATGTTCGGAGGTGACAATGATTCCTACGGTGATGCTCCCGTTTTGCTGCCAGGTGAAGCCAGGGGGACTACCATCATGGACTGGCTGTCCAGCTTGGGTAGCTACTCGGAGGGCGATGACGATGATGAGAGAACCCAAGATACATCGGGAATTCCGTCGCCTGCTAGCATGCGCAAAGCTCAGGTTCAGACTGGTAAGGAGACGGTTCTGGATGATTCTACCGTGGTTTGACAACCAAATTCAATTCCATGTACCTTGAAATGATTTTCAGCTGTTATCTTTCTCCTATTTTTTTATCCAATGTGTTTTCCAAATTGCTTTCTCACTAGCATGTTAACGATCGTCTCAATTACAATCAGTCTTTTAATTGTTGTTCCCACCAAGCAGCCGGCACAGGATTCGTCAACGTTCGCCCATCAGGCGCAATCACAGCGCTAAATCCGCCACCCACAACACCCGGCGTCATCAAGGTTGTAACACACCATTCTTTTCCCTCCTTTGCAATCTATTTTGTATATTCTGAGGCTAAACTAGTATGTCGATCGACAGCGCGTTTGTTTGTAAGCTCTGCTGATAAATGTAGAGCTGGAGAAACGAACTAATGACAGCCGTCGCCTCCGCAGCGAGTGGGCGAAGCAGTGAGAAAGGCAGAAAGCAGGAGCCCCGACACGGCGGTAGCTCCCCGAGCCGGTTAAGAGAAATCTGAAACAGTACACCAAAGCATGATGATCTCTCCATAGGGGATTTTTGTCGGAAAAGCCACCTAGCTTTCATTGGCTCTGAAGTCTTGATATCATTAGATCACAGCCTGAGTATACCAATTCTATCCAGCCGTTTGGGCGGAATGGCCGTTCGTCCTCTAGTCACCAAGTGTAAGTAGCTCCCTCGGCACGAAGAGATATGCAAGCATCCACCAAGTCATTGCTAAGCCTTTGTCCTCATGAAGGACTGGATTGAAGTAACCTGCGACTTGTCCCTCTTATATGCTGTTAAAGGGGAACGTAACATTAGGTATCTGCTTGGGCCAGTGGGAAGACTTGATAGACAAAGAGTCCCGGGAAAGATTTACCAGGCGTATTCGTATTGAGTAGGCGAAGAAGGAGCGAATATACAAAATAATATCGAGCGCAAGTTCAGTCAATTTGATTTGATTTTTGCTTTACTTGTATCCATCGTGGACACGGCAAAATAAACGAGTTACAGGACGTCCCTTTCCTTACGGTAGTATCTTATCATTCCAGATTCCATCCGCCGATGACCATTATGAGAATTATGCCGACATATGCCAATGTTTTGTCATCCCGGTTCACATCAGGTGTGATTTTCGTAGGCGTCATCGGTGGCCTAGGCTGATGGAGATTGTCAGAATGTCTCTTGGGTCTCCCACGCTCTCAGAGGCTCCACTCACATTCTTCCGGACACCAAACTCCTGGGTGTGTATCTTCGCCATAGATCTCTTCTCGGATTGACGGCAGCAGGGCCTTGAGCTTTTCATGCGCCGCTGCAGTGACCTGATCGTTTTTCGCTGCCTGAATGCTTTCGAAGATTTCAAGGACCGTGGCAAATATGGTCATCAGGCGAGGTGTCATCCCGGGTTTGTTCTCCCTCTGGGGTTGGGTGAGGTGTTTGCGCCGACAGATTTCCTCCACGGTTCTTTTGAACTCGGCCTGGGCTTGATGTATCTTGATTTCCACGTCTTTCGTCACTAGCGCTCTATTCTGCTTCAGGCAAAGCTCCATGTAAAGCATTTCCATAGCCCCAGCCTGACCCCGTACGTCCGAATAGGTCTGCACATCTAGCCTTTCAGGCTGTCCTTGTGTCTGGGACATTCCCGCTGCTGCAATATCGAACGCACGCTTGGCTAATTCTCGGTAGACTGCTGGAGAATCTGCTGTAAACTGAAATATGTTAGCGAAAATGACGCGAGGACGAGAGAGGAGGGTGAGCTCAACAATCTTTTAGGTACCCTGATACACGAGTCACAGAGGAGTCAAAGGATGGTCCGCAAAATCCCAGGGAGGCTTGTTTGGTGGAGACTAGAAAGAAGTTGCCTGGTGGTTGGTGGGGGGAGAAAACGGGGCTATAGAAGGAGGAGCAGAAAGTATGACGAGTGGATGTATCGGTCTATTCACTCCAACTCCTACCTGCCGGCTCTTCTTAGTGAGTCATTACTCTGCCTTACTCTCCACCACCTTCTTGCGTTCTTCGCGTTTCTTCGCCTTCCCTGTCGTCCCGCCCCTCCCTCCCTATCAACTCTTCATACTTTCCTTATCCCCAAAGGCCTTCTGCTTCTAGCTCCACTGGTCAGAGTCCCTGACGACAAGTCGAGGCTCTCATAAAGGCCATGGTGTCTAGGGGAGAATACATCCAAGAGCAGTTTGATAAGGCGATTCAGTCACTTGAGGCCAAGATAGAAGAACTTGCTTCTCGGCCAGAAATTGAGTTTGCTGCCATCAAAGAAGCTTACGTCAATCATCCCATTCCTTCGGGGGGTTTTCTCCTGACCCCTCAGCAAGAGGAGGTGCGTTTTTCTCGTGAGACATCTTTGAATTTTCACTTCGTTAACCCTTGCAATTCGAATAGCGTTTGAAAGCTGGCCAGGCAATAGAGGATGATGAGCACACCTACGAGCCGGAGCCCACACAGAGCAAACTTCCCTCGGGCGTGGCGGAAGTAAACGGAAGGACATACGACCTGAACAAATATTTTGGCAATCAATGGGTCAAATTTCACATTGTAAGACAAGAGAGTACCCGCTGACGATCGTGGGATCCTGCTTCTAATCTGTGGTAGAATCCTCTCCATTCCCAGCCCGCTATTGAGACGCCACAGATCTTTGCTGCATCGCCCCATCGGTGGCAGCTTCGTGGCGCCGCCCAGATGCATTACTTGTGCAAGTCAATATTTAAGGGGGGCATATGAGGTGACGAGATGGGACTTGGAAAAACGCTCTTGGCAATCCTTGTCATGGAACAGGCCAGAAAGGAGCATGGCTCCTTTTCTCTTGTGGTATGTCCAGCATCGTGTCGACTACAGTGGCAAAAGGAGATCTTGAATGCGTACAACCCAGTGAGTTTACACTTCCGGCCTACCACCCCTCGCCTAGTGTGTGCTTACAGAGAGTGACTTAGGGACTTGTTCCGAAGGTTCTGCTGTTAGATGACATGTCCATGAGCGTCCACCAGCTCCTCGACGAAAGCTATGAAATTGTAATTGTCTCTTACAACTTTCTCGGGGCCAGCCACCGCGCCAATTTGAATTTTGCCGAGATGTTTAGCCGCTACGTCAGATGCGAACGCCCGAGGCCTTCGCGACCGATATGTGCTCTCACTAGTGATGTTTGGAAGCTCGTCAACCTCCCATTCAAACGAGTGATTCTTGACGAGTGCCAAAAGGTCAAGAACGAGAAGGGGGTCTGGTACAACGCCGTAAAGTCTCTTCACCACAATGGTATAGTCATGCTGTCCGGAACCGTCCTGGCCAACCGATGGCATGACATCGGCGCTCCATTGACTTTGTTGCGCGGGCATCCTTTCGAGACCAAGGAGAAGTTCCTGAACGCTTTTGCCTCTGATGACGACAAGGATACTTCCCCTACTGAGCTTCTAGGTGAAAGGTTGGTACAGTTACAGCGCTTCCTCATGGGGGTGCTCATCGCGAGACCGGCATCTATCCTCAATCTTCCTCTACTCACGGAGAGCTCGGCCGTTTTCAAGTTGAACGATGCGGAATCCCAGAACGTCCTCGAAGCCACAAACAAGTTTGTGAGAGCAAGATTCCACTCTAGCTCGAACTCGGATAAGGCAGGCATAGATGGTGAAAGCCTAAATCCTTTGGGGCATGCTGTTCGTGCCCAACTCTTGGCCGCTCATCCTCTCCTCCCGTCTGAGCATAACTGCGAAGGGGTCGAAGGACGATTCAACCTTGACATAGATGATGGTATTGACGAAAACGTCGTTAGAATCATTGAGGCTCAGAGCGGCATCAGTTCCGAATCAAGGAATGAGTGGTTGTCACGGCTTGACGCCCAAGATACGGAGACCCTGATGAAGTCAACCAGAGGGCACGCCTTCCTCGAGATATGGGACAGAGTTAGTAACTCATGGCCAGGCAAAAAGGCTATCATCTTTAGGTCCTATTTGAAGTTTTTGGACATACTGGCTGTGGTTCTCAAGAGACAGAGGGGGGCTATCAGTCTGCGTTTTGACGGGAGTTTGGATGACAGAGAAAAAGAATCTGTCAAAGACGATTTCATGACGGCCAACTCATCCTCACCACTCTTAATTACTACCGGATGCGGTGGTACTGGGATTAATCTCCAGGCCGCGTCAGTTGTTATACAAATGGAGCCGTGGTGGAACCGCAACCATGAGAAACAAGCATATGCGACAGACAAAAGAGGTGAAGGTCTTTAAGATACTCACTGAAAACAGTGCCATTGACGGATATGTGATGGATTCTCAGGAAAGGAAAGCCAATGTTAACAACCGGGTGATGGAGGCATTAGTGTGGGGTCTTGAACAGGCTGTCACTGTTCCTGACTTGATCCTCTAGGTTTTTTTTTTCTTTTTTTCCTCGTTCTCATTAATGCATTCTTTCCAATGTTCGTTGTGCCCCTGGTATACCCAACCTAAAATGGATAGTCGTGCGCTCCGACTGGCAGATACTCCGTTGTACACAATCAATAGGCGGAGTTGAGATGTAGAATCTGGAGCGCGAATCTACTCCGTATAAGTCATCTGGCTGAATGTCCACGTTTCCTCCGGGCAGAAGTCAATCCTCCAGATGCAACACCTTTTGTGGTTTCTTGTGATGGGCAGCGTCACACCTTCCATAAATTCAACCCACGCCACCCGTCTCCCTTTCTGTTTCCCTCCAACCTCTCAACTAGCAACTCCTCTTTTCCCACACCATCATCTCCAGTTGCGCGATCGCTTGCATCATCAGCTCTCATTATTGTCAGTGTTCGGATAACATGGCCGGTCATTGGTAAGAAATAGGTTCCAACTTTACACGTCAGCTTGGCTCACTTCTCATTAAGCCCCCAGATGACCCTCCGATCCGATTCACGGGCTACAACGCCTGAAAAGCCATGGTTTCAGAACAACGGAAAATCCTCCAACGCGAGTTTAAAAATCAATACAGAGCCTTTGATTGTGTCTCTCGGGGCCAGCTGGAGTATATCCGCCGCCGCCAGGACAACGTGCGACATGGACTACGATTTGAATACTACCCCGACATTTCGACTTAAATCGTCAAGATTCTGACTCGGCCACGTGAGTCTGCGTGTCGTAGCCTAGGACTGGTAGTGGATCTTGTTAATGAGAAGGGAAATCTCTCGGCAGTAGGTTTTTAGATTCTTCAAAACGAGATATATTCCTCCAGACTCACGCGGACAACAGATCAAGGGCGCTTTCCCAGTCAGTATCGTCATATTACGACACCCAGTTACGCCAGATAACTCGGTGAAATCCTGCTTCAACGCTCTCCGATTATGCTCCATGCTCTCGGAGAAGCTCACCCACAGCAGCTCTATTTTCCTTCAAAGATTCGGTCTCATTAGCAATGAATTCTTCCTCGTTCCAATAATCTCGGATCCGGTTGACATCAGCCTCCGAGATGGGTGCCTGAGAAGCCTCCAAAGCGGTCTTGAAAGACGCGCTGTCCAAACTGAGACTGACATTCGCTCCGACTTTGATCAAGCGCTCGGCAACGTTCTTGTGACCGAGGGATGCGGCCGCAATCAGCGGGCTTCCATAACCTGCGGTCGCATTCGCCTGGTTGACGTCGGCACCGGCCTCAACCAGTACATTGACATTTTCAAATTGGCCCCTGGCCGCTGCCGTCGCTAGAGCGCTACCGTATTCGCCGCCTTGCAGCGGCAAGTTCCCATTAGCCCCTTGCTGCAGAAGATAGTTGATAACATCGACCTGGCCATAACAAACTTAATGTGTTTGTTTGTCCGTGGTGTGCCGCTGCAACAAGGGCGTTGCCATAGTCTCTGGCTCCAAACTGCGTATTCACATCTATTCCCTTGGCGATCAGGTTCTTGCGGATAAGTACAGAGCCTCCGATAGCAGCGATCATGAGAAGGCCGTGACCTCCGTCATTCGTGCGTGACATATCGACTTCTTTGTTCTCCCACCAGTCCCATAGGAGTGTATCGAAGGCGAACCGAGTATACCCTGGAAAAGATCGACAACCCTTGAAGTAAGGTATGTTTTCCCGGTACCAGCTACGCAATTGTAAGTATTTGGACAATAACGAGAGGATGGCGAAGAGCCCATGGAATTTACGTAAACCCTGAAGCCAGAAGACAGTTGCCGGACGACTTGCTCTGCTCCCATTCATGGAAACTCTGATCCTGTAACAGCCACTCCCCTGTACCGCGGGTTCTGTTTGCCTTCACGTTGCCGTGATGCTCACCAAATTGTATGGATGATATCCATTCTAATAATTCAAGTCGCGAGTTGTTGTGCATTTCTTCCAAGATAGTTCGCACACGTTCTCGTCCACGCGAGTCAGAATGCGTTTAGTGCATCTAACATTACGATCATCCGATCATCCGCGGCAGCGCTGCGCCGGGTTTCACATGCTTGGACATCGCGTAGAAGCTCGTCTTCCTGCTGGGCCAGAGCCGAAAGACCACTGGAAAGATGACCCGGATTGACCAGTGCTTCAAGTGTACGGTGCGCGGTGTTCTTGGAAAGATCGCCCGAGACCGCTGGCAGGTCCAGCGAGGTGCTATAGATCCGTATCAGAGCACTCTCAAGACTTTCGGATAGTTTATCCTCCGTTGAGCCAGGCGCGTTGACCAGATAAACTTGCTCATAAATCTGACCGCGACTGATGATGCGACCCAGTTTCTCGGTGGTTCCAAGCAACGCGGCCATTTGTTCATCTTCGATCACAGCGACTTGCATGACCTTTTTCAGAACAGCCCATGGCATGCTGGCCTGCGGCGGTGCAAGCTAGATTGCGATGTCCCCGGCTTTCTGAAGCCAAACCCACAATCTTCGTTGTATAGTTCCGCAGGATGATATCATTATCGCCCACCGAGAACCGCCAGAACTTCTTCTCACACTGTTCCTGCTTGTCGTTGACAATATTCACAAGGTCATCAATATCGGATTCGACGGACCCGGAACAGAGTTTGTCAAATCCCATGCTCTTGAGGCTCTCCTGCTTCGCAGGGGGCAACTGTTTGAGAGCATCTTGCCACTAGTCCTTTGCCGGAGCAGCCGGCTGTGGAGGGGGTGTCTGTTCATCGGGCTGCGCTGTGACAGGGGCCGGGGCCGTCGGTTTCTCGACAGGTTTCTCTACACTCTCGGAGGGTTCGGACGGCGGAATAGCGGTTGGGGCTTCTTTGACATTCTTTTGTTCGCAAGTGCTCTATCGGACAGATCGAATATGTTTAGCTCGATGAAGATGAACATTCGTTGCCCTGCTTGGTAGAATCCTTCTTGCTTTTTCGGCCGCGAAGCTTGCTCTTCAGGTTCTCGAACATGGTTTTGCTGGTCTGCGCTTTCAAAAAGCGCATGGGATAGCATTCAAAGTGAAAGCACAAGAGCAAGAAATGTATGAGGGGCTGTCCCACCTGACACATTATGCTCCAGACAGCGCCGAAGCGGCCTCTGCACAGTGCACACACGCTCGGGGACTTGGACGAGGCCCACCGTCCAGCTGCAGCCCATACTCCAGTTTGCGTCGTCGATCTTGGGAAATGATTGGCTTGAACTTCATATTAGGGACCCACATTCCCCTACTCAGCCGCACACTCCATCTTAGATTGCTTGTGGAAGATGCAAGACGACTTTCTGGATGACTCAAATACAGCGCAAAGTGCAGGAAATGAAACCAGCTACGACATAAAAAGACATGAATCATTGGACAGGACCTCGGTAGGTGCATTCTAGTCCAACTGGAGACTGGCGTGGCATCGAGTGAAGTGATGACTTCAGCCGGATCCAGCCAGGCAAGCCGGAGATTCGAACCGATCTGCATCGATCTGCTTAATATCGGGGCCCACCGTTCTTCACAAGCTCCCCGATCGCCGCTGATTCGTATTTTCGTCGTCTTCCACTGTGGGTAAGACCATCGAAGATCCGCTGCGGTGGTGAGTTTCCTTGTTTTGGTGCCTTTCTGGATCATCTTTACTCATGGGTACAGGAGGGAATATGACGGAACTGCAGAGGTGTAGAGTGCCTCAAACGAGGAAAAGTCTCGAAAATCGTCGGCTAAAGACCCCTGGAGGCCACATGGGCATTAAACTATATCGGGTGAACAAAATATGAACACAATCTTCGATACTGTCATTGTAATGCCGAATGGGATGCTCGCCTCTCACCATATCGAAGGACATAATGTTCTAACATTAATCCTGAGAAACCACTAGGAATCCGCGTTATGCTAGCATAGCATTCATGCTGAATATTCCTCTAAGATGAAATATTATAATGGAAAAAACAATTATGATTAAGGAGACGTGCGGCTTTTGTTTGATGGTTGATTTCGACAAAGAATTTAAGAGTTGATATTCCGTGACCGATTCAACTAAAAGTAAGTATAAAAACGTGTAGATACTGCCTTGGTATCTAAAACCAAAACTTGTTATCTGTCTAGTTTACCTGCAAGGACGTTGTTTTGTCTGAGAGAAGTCAACAGCAAACTGCCAACAAAGTGACCAGTGTATCGAAACTCTCTTTCTTTCAACTCGTACTGACCGTGAATAAAAATGGCCCCAGGGTCTGTTCATCAGCGGTCGATCGCGGAGGTAGCTACGTGCTGTACAAATCTCTTCCAGGAATGCATGCAGCAAGAAGTGATCACCTCGTGGGAAAAAGAAACGTTGATTGGAGATCAGAGGTGCCGCTTTAATCTCTGGGCTTCCAATATATGGGTATTTTCACAGGACAGAGAGTCGTTGGATTACCGTCTCAGGGATGACCCGAGAGTTGGAGAGATCATCTTCCGTATCATAGAAGACATTGAGCACTGTCTGGGAAAGTGTAAGTAAACTCGAGACTTGAGACCGAGTGAAACAGTATGAATAGGTTTGCTAACTAAATCTAGGTGTTACATTTCTGCAGTCCCGTCGAGCCGTCGAGCCTTACCAGGACGGGGACCCAGACCGAAAGCTGGACACTATTATGAAAGAATGCACCGACGCCATAACCCTTCTTTACCACTTAAACAGTGTGGTTTACAGAGCTGTCGCGGTGGTCAATGCCGAGGTGTTTAATGAATTCAGGATCTTAGACGAAGAGGGAAACGACATAGAACCGTGCCTCAGGAACGCATTTTCCGATTACATACGTGATGAATTTCCCCAAATCGACGAGTACATTCTCCGACGGCTTGTGTCTGCGATGGTCACTCGGCGGAAAAGGATTTTGAATAAGAGATCTCGTTCCGAGGCCATCCGTGTTCACCTGCAGGAAACGATCCCTCAGCCGACCGTCGACATCAGGGAATACGAGCTGCGGCAAACTGCTACCTTGGATGTATCTCCTGCACGTACAGATCAGCCAAGTACAACGCCAGAAGCTAATGACGCCATGAATAGGTGGTAAGTACCTGAACCTTTTGATAGAGCATCTCCCCCTTTGCATCGACATACTAACGCTTCTTCGCAGGGCACATGATCAAGATGATCTTGACGCGTATGTTTGCCTGTTCGAACATTGCAATAAGCCAGATCAGATATACCGCGATACCGAAGGATGGCTAGCTCACATTGTTAAACATGCACCATTACGTTGGGAATGTAACCTAGGGCCGTCACACCGGCTGAAATTTGATACCAAAGCAGAATGGACTGCTCACGCGAAAGAGGCTCATAGTCGATTTGTAGAAGAACGCCATTTAGGTGTTCTCGCAGACCGTTGTGCACGGCGATTGCCAACATTCGAGTCTTGCCCTTTTTGCGGATGTAGGGAATCCCCAAACGGCGAAAAAATCGAGGAGCATATAGCGGGTCATTTACGATTTCTTGCTCTCAAATATTTGCCGCCAAATTGCTTTGAGACCGCGGATACCTAGGATGGTGAGAGTGCTCTCGGGGCCTCGAACCCTTGTCAACGAAGCACCATCGACGAAGACCCAGACCAAGACAAGGTATGTTTCTCATGGTAACAAACCAACATACCTGTTTACCACTTGATCTACATTACCCGGAAACCTTTCAGTAAGAACCATAGCAGAGAAGTAATTCTTTTGAATATTTATCTTTTTAGATGCCATTTCTTTCTTGTATAATAGCCTCAGTGAGTCCTACCTTTTCGTAGTGGAACGACACAGTAAAATCACCTCCCAGAATATATTGCAGTACCACCTTGCGGTTGATATAGGGCAAATGGTGAAAATAACATTGATGTCCTTGGGCTAAAATCCCGGCCCCTCAGGCTGTCAAGAACGGCGATAAAATGTTCAACATCGTCTGTTGGTTATTATCTTTACAGCTAATGTAAGCACTCGCCGACCCTCCCTGTGATACATTTTCTGATCGAGCTATCTAAACATTCCGATAACCATTATCCCCTGACAAAGGTATGGTTTCAAATGGAATAAAGCAATAGCCGTGTAACAGATGGAACAATTTGCATGCCCATTTCATTATGGCGATTTGCTGCTGCTGCTTTTGGAGTAATGGGGGTTAAATGATTCATTTAGGCTCTCTCTGTCACAGACAATCTAACAGCAGTCCGTATAGAGTAACTTCTACGGTCCTCTGTCATTCTTACCCATCGACTACCTTTCGGTTTCGATGGAGGCTTACACAAAGTCGATCTTCTCGGCCATCCCTTATATGATCTCACAATTCTCCCTCACCTCTATTACTGTTTGATATGTCTGTCTGTGCTACTAAGGGCTACAGGGGTTTACGTTGTCGCGCTATTCCGGCCATTCATAAAGTATATTTCTATCAAAATGTAAGATTATACATTTAGAATTTAAGTAATTTATATTAGCAGTACTTCTACCTAAGTAAAGCTATGTATTCCTTGGGTTTAAGTCTATACTAGAGTTAATGATAATGTTTTTAGCTATCTAGCCCATAATTTCCATAACGTGATATATCTAACCGACCCGTACCCATAAATTAGCATCCAAACCAGAAGTACCATATCCTTAACTAACCCAACAATAAGAGATCCCTATGGCCAACGACCTGGAGGTCGTGCGGCATCTTCCTTAGGCTCCATATAATAGTCGAAACTACGGCCAGTATTGTCTCCATCAACACACGATCATAGGGTAAGCAGATGGACCAGAGAAAGGGGCCACGGTTGACCCTACAGCGGGGATGGTATTTGGGCTGCGAAAGGTGACATTTTGGCGTTCGCTGGCGATAGTCAGTCTTATTATTATTGCGGTAGTGGCTGCGGTTGGATTAGGAGCAGGATTGGGTCTATAAAAGGATGCTGTGTAGATCATCTATGAGCCTGCGACTATGGGATCAATGCTATAGATAGCTAACAACCGTAACGGGGTCTTCATCTTCACTTGCAGCAGCAGTTACATCACCGACTGCGGGCACATTGATAGTCTCTACGACATGTCCTGCAACATCAACCTCGACCCCATTCAGCGCTAATTTTATCTCCTGCCCCGATGATAACGATGTGGACAAGACTATGGACGGCGGTTGGTTCAATACCTTATCCAATCCGACTGGTGGCAAGAAGGAATTATCTTCTATGAGGATGCCGTCGTTCGCCGACTGTCTATATCTTTGCGGCTCGATGAACAAGCCTCAGGACAGAGATGATATCGGTGCTGCATTCGATAACCAGGTTGTGCATGGCCAGGCGAAGGGGACATGCTAGTCTCTTGGCAATGCGACTGAGAGGTACGACGTTGAGAGGTTGGGGATTGCGATCCTGCAGTAAAATGGATTATTTGTTTCGATTCAATTCATGTTAGATACCTTCGTCCATGATGTGTTTTATATAAACCTTCTTACACGGAAACTCACTTCCTACTTCTATGGCCACACGCACTGCTTTAAATTGCCTTCTACATCAGGGAATATTTCCCCTTAGACTCTGCCAAAAAATCTTTTCAAAACCCCCGACTTAACCCTACCTGACCCTCTTACCGAGTCCACCATCCCAACATCCCGATTAATCTCCTCCGCCTGTACAACCACATCCTCATGTATCCCCCTTCTTCGTTTCCAATTCCGCTCCGTGTTCGTCACAAACCCATCCCTGTACATCCGGCCATAAAACTCCCTGCCTTCGTCCGCCGTCCGCACCCGCAGGATATCATAGTCGCTCGCGGCCGTCATCGCGGCGTCTCGTTCCCGTCCGGTCTGCCCGTCCACCACATGTATGTTCACTCCGAGTCCACGGAACGTGGCCCCCCATGTTGCATTTTCGGAAGGTGTCACGAAAATGGTTATTCGGGACGGTGCGATCGGGTAGGATAGGAGGTATGAAAGCGCGTTGGTGTCCACGCCGTACGGGATGGGGCCTATGACGAAGGAGTCATTGGATGCGATGGCGGCGTCGATGAGGGGGGTGTAGTGCTTGAAATAGGACTCGGAGAAGCCGGTGTCGATAGGTCCGGAGATGAATGCTATTCGTGGGGGCATGTTAAGGATAGAGTGAGTTGGCGTGGTGAATTCTTGGTGTTGATGTTGTTGATGTTGTTGACATGGCAATTGATAAGATAACGAAGTGCCGAAGATAGACTAGTCCGCAATGGGTAAGGCGTGAATTGGCAGTGGATGCGGGGAAGATGGAGGGGGACTCGTGAATGCAATTTTCAAATTGAAGTCTTGCATACATGGTTGTCAATGCACTCTAGAATCCTTGAACCATGATTAGACCTTCTCTTCGTTGATCAAATCGTGTTCTCATGTACTCCACCCGTTCCTCGGCTCCCATCCAATTAACTCGGCTGCCCTTTCAAGTAATGCCTGATTTGGAAGGCAGCTATGAACTTTCTTGCATGCCATCAGGGAATATGACTCGTGAATATAAAAGGCTAGTATCATATTCCAGCTCCTATCCCTTCGGTTTTAGAATCTCACTGCCTCAAATCTGAATTTTCTGAATTTTCATTATACTAGGGAATCGCAAAGAAAAATTAACTAATATTACTGGGAACCGCCATCATGTCTACGATGGACCAGATTTTCTCCGGCTACTACAAACGTCTGGAGACCCTCAAATCCAGCAAAAGTCCCTTTGCCAATGGCGTTGCCTGGGTGGATGGCGAGCTAGTTCCCCTTCACGAGGCCCGCATCCCCATCACCGACCAAGGCTTCATGCACAGCGACTTAACCTACGATGTGCCGTCCGTATGGGACGGGCGATTCTTCCGTCTCGAGGACCATCTCAACAGATTAGAAGCGTCGTGTGCGAAAATCCGTCTCCAATTCCCTATCCCGCGAGACCAGATCAAGAAGACGCTAGTGGAGATGGTCACCAAGAGCGAGATTCGCGATGCCTTCGTCGAATTGATCGTGACTCGGGGATTGGTCCCCGTCCGCGAAGGCAATCCTGACAGTATGAGGAATAATCTCTATCTCATCGTCCAGCCGTATGTCTGGGTCATGGATCCTGAGACCCAGAAGACAGGTGGGAGCTCTATCATCGCGAGGACAGTCCGCCGCGTGCCCCCTGGTGCGATCGATCCGACCGTGAAGAATCTGCAATGGGGTGATTTGGTTCGAGGAATGTTTGAAGCGAAGGATCGTGGCTCGCAGTATCCATTCCTCACGGACGGCGATACCAATCTTACCGAGGGGTCTGGGTTCAATGTCTTGCTGGTGAAGAATGGTGTGATCGTTACGCCCGACAGGGGTGTCTTGGAGGGGGTTACGCGCAAGAGTGTCTTTGATGTTGCCGAATCGAAGGGTATCGAGGTGCGTGTGGAAATTGTGCCAGTCGAGATGGCCTACCAGAGTGATGAGATCTTTATGAGTACTACGGCAGGTGGCATCATGCCGATCACGGAGTTGGATGGGAAGCAGGTTGGAGATGGCAAGGTCGGATCGATTACGAGAGCGATCTGGGATGAGTACTGGGCTATCCATTATGACCCAGCTTACAGTTTTGAGGTTAATTACTGATCTAGGTGTGATGTTTCTTTGTTTCTTGCTGCACGGGGTAGCTCTTGTGTAAAATCGGTGCCAATATCCTGTTCGAATACACGTCCTTTTTCTGAAGATTCTGTGGCGTCTCCGATATCATGACGTCTTTCTTAATCTTGTAAGCGTGGCAAATCCTAGCTAAATGTTGAGAGTCAACTGATACGTGGGGTGGTGGTTGTTCTCACATTCCTCATTCGGTATTCATGCTCCCATTTCCGCATGCGGCAGCCGGGGAATCCTCCGGTTCCGCGAAACCCCACCGAAGGCGGGTTCCAGCTGCGCAGGAGGGTAGAACCCATTATTCGGCTGTTATTGAAATTCTGTTGGCTATTCCGAGCTCTCCAAGATTTCGGCATAGCGGTTTAGCGACCGTCCGATCAAATTGACTAGTTCCCAGATATAGTCCGCTGTGAAAAGCCGAGCCCAGAGCCGCGTAACGATTGCGCTCAAACGAGTATTATTCGCCAGAAGCCAGTCTCTAGAAACGCCGTGTTGGGCTTCCATTACCATCTCGATCACAAATTCCAAGAGTTTCGTTTCTTGCTCAGTAAGCCCAGGCTGGGGATTCGGGACTGTGGCGACTTCCAACCATTTCGCCAGAAGGACCGCGCATTCGAGCGAACATAGGGCGTATTGATTAGACCAGGACACTACCTGTGTGTGTGCCACGAAGTTGATGCCCAGCTTGATTGGAGTGCTGAGAGCATGCGCGCAATGTAATGCGGCACGCGTGAGCCGGTCGCTACGTTCCACGCTCAGGTTAGTCTTCAGAGATCGGGCGACCTCATCCGGACTCCAGGTCTGAAAGCGTCGGGCGGAACTGAAGTCGGCGTTAAGGCGGATGTAAGCTAGGCGTAGGAGGGCGGTGGAGGTGAATGATAAGGGCCCGTGGGGGTTGAACGGGTCGATCGACGATTCTTGGTTGTGTTCCCAGCATTGACACCAGTTTTCGAGTGCTTGTTCTTGAGAAGCAATCTGAGCCGGAGATAGAGAGCTGGTTTTCGTGTCTGGAAGTCGGTTGGCCTTTTGGATCAGCCAGATATTCTGGATTATGGCGTGGATTAAGACGTAGCCGCCCATCGAGGAAAAGCTTTCCAGTCGGTCTTTGGAACCCGGGGCCTGGGTGAACAGGGAGGATAGGGCGTCTTGAAATTTAGCTTCCGTCTTGCCTTGGCCTCGTTCTTCTATCCACTGATGGGAAGTGGTCGCTTGCCATTCTTTCTCTGTACATGGGAGATCGAGCGCGATCTCTTCGGTCAAGACGAGTGGCGGCACGTCAAACACAATAGTGTGAATATTTAGGAAGCAGAAAACGACTAGCTTGGTACGTTTTCGCTCTTCCATGCGGATCCAACCGGCCCATGTCCCGTCTGGAACTGGCAGGTCATTTAGGCCTCCCTGTCGAAGGAGGGTTTCCATAACACCTCGTATATATAGACCTTCTGCATACGGTGGGTCGCGCTCAAACCAGGACGAAATTGAGGTCAGCATCAACAATGCCTGGATAGTCTCAATATGATCCTGGTCCTTGGGTATGATGGTGTTCGAGGGCGGCTTCGGCACGATCCATTGGAATTCTCTTCGAATATGTTCCATAGTCACGGCCTTGGCCACAAGATACAACCTCATGCTCGTATCCGGTTCCCGGCAATATTGTGCGCCGAGTGCAGCCATCGACAGAAATAACGGTAACGATATGGCCTCCACGTCTAGAGTGGGAATATGCTTGATCGGATAATGGTCGTGATAACCGGTCAGGTATCCAGTCAGACAGCGAGACAGGGCATGTCGCGAGGGCACAAAGGGATTGGGCATGACATTCGCGTAGTTTGCCAGTAGCGCTACTATGCGCTCTCGGCACTGTGTCGTTACAGAAATGGAGCTTCTCGGTTGTCGTGCTTTATACGGAGTATGAGATGCCTCTGGCTGCAACGAGGGTAACTGAGTGCCATGTCTGGGGAGCACAGAGCTGGACGGCGTTGCTACACTTCCGGCATCTTTGTCTCTTTCCGAGGACTGCTCATAGACAGGCGTTGAATCGAATTGAAACGCGGGAAACAAAGGCAGCGGCTGATACGTCGGGGAGTACGGGTGGCTGGGAAGGGGAATGCTGTCCAGAAACGAAGTGAAATCGTCGCCATCATATGGCGCAGACGCACCGAACCCTCCAAAGGATTCGCTAAACGTGGTTGCTTCCGACTGCGCGGTTCCGGGCGTCTGGTTCGACACTGGATAGGTGACTCCCGACATGTCGGGGCCAAAGGTCGTATTCCCCGGTATAGAGTGAGGACTGTCTCCAGCCGGCGTCGGAACTTGGTTCTCTGTCACTGCCGACGCGAGCATATTCAGCCCGTCGAATATCGGCCGAGAAGTCACGGGTGAGGATGTCTCCGCCGAGGGAGAATTGTGGGATAGACGCTCATGGCGCGCTAGCAGATCCCTGGGCCGGTAAGTGACTCATTCGAAACGAACCACTGGAACACCTACTTCCTCGTGAAGGATTTGGGACATTTGTCACACACGAACGGCTTCTCTTTCGTGTCTAGAGAGGGTCAGCGCGCAATCAAGAGTGGATTAGTCAGACATACGCGATCGATCATGACGCTGCAGATGCTCCAGGCGCGCAAATGATCGTGAGCACCGGTGGCATTGGTAGGACCTGGTCGCTTTGACCATCACGGCATTGTCGGTCGACTGGAAGCACGGTGCAGGAAGTGACACGAGAAGAGGAAGCGAAGAGAAGAGACAAGAGAGGAGAGAAGGAAGGCCGATGCTTGGCGTTGGGCCCGAGGATATTCGGTGCCTTGTATTTCCGGCGGCAATCGATCTCGGCTGCACCTGCCGAGCCCAATTACGTCATCGCTCGGTTCAGTAACTAACTATACCTATACTCGGTCCACTACAGAGTCCACATAGTGTTAGCCAGAAGATATTGATGTTTAAATGGCTTTGTTGTGCAATTCGAGAGACATGGCACTCCAATCAAGCATGCTCCATCCATCGCCCGCGAGATCGACCCAACAAACGGTTCTGCATTATTTATGTCATTGCTCCAGGATGAAAACCGCGTGGTCTCACATTTTCTTCGCCATGTTTTTGTTCTCCGCAGTAAATTGGAAGAAAACCGAGTCTTGCGACAAGTTCACTTCCTGCACCAAATCTTGAGGAAACTACGAGTTTCCGGGGTTATATTGGCTGGATGGAACCATGTGGAGCGAGGTAAAGCTTAGCCGGCGCCAAATTCTGGTGATGGTAGATCCGAGTTTCGCATTGTGAATCGGAGATCGCTCAGTGAATGTGTCACCAAGCCAGATGCCAGCTACTGGGATGGCACTGACCTGGGAGTTTATGATGCTGTGCCAGAAATATAGTCTGTACTCGGTATCTCGCGATTTCTCGGCCAAGGGAACCACGTTCTGACAAATTTAATCAAAACCATGTGACTAGATCGATCCAAAGTGTTGACACGCATAAGACAAAGATCTGGATGTGACAATCGCGCAAACAAGGGTTCACAACAAGGGTGTGTGGGATGTCGAGGTGTTCGACAGGCCAAGGCGCTAGTTCGGTCTAATGCATTGTGAATTCGCGCTGCAGGACGAGGGACCTCTGATACCCCTCAACGTGGCTCACAGATGGGTCAAGGTGAGTGAGATGTCCGACAAAATTCTATCGATGAACTTTGACAGAAGTCATTTAAACAACCGGATTCGCCGGAAAATCTTCACTATTTGACCACACGTGACGACGTAGTTCTTCAACTCAGCTTCATCCCAGATTGCCGCATCCTCTTTGGCCACATGAGTCGCAAGGGCCCTCCTCGGAGCAAGTACACCGTCGGATGGATTTGTGCGCTTGCCATAGAGCTCGCCGCCGCCGAGGCGATGCTCGATAAGCGTTACGATGATCCTGGACCAGAACATGGACGAGACACCGACAATGATACGAACATCTACACCCTGGGGGCAATTGGCGACCACAGGGTGGTTATTGCCTGCTTACCCGGAGGTCAGATGGGAACAACCCAGGCCGCTGCTGTTGCCGTGCAAATGAAGTCGCGGTTCAAGCATCTTCGCTTTGGCCTGATGGTGGGCATTGGAGGAGGTGTACCTAGCGACAAAGCCGATGTTCGGCTAGGAGACGTGGTCATCAGTCAACCCGATGGCGGCCATGGAGGAGTTGTCCAATATGACTTCGGGAAGACAACTCCTGATGGAGCTAAGTTGTCGGGGTTCTTGAATACGCCGCCTCCTATCCTATTGAGTGCTTTGCCTAAGTTGCGTGCTAGGCACATTCGAAACAAGGAGGCTATTACAAAACATCTGTCCAGGTACCGAGAAATGCCTTTGTTTGCTCGCGACCGCGCGGGAATAGATGAACTATTCAAGTCAACTTATAGTCATGTCGGAGGAGAGACGTGCGCGTCATGTCGCAAGGATAAGCAAATCCATCGTACTCTTCGCAGTGTTGAAGAGCAAGTCATGATTCATTACGGAACTATCGCCTCGGGGAACCAAGTGATGCGTGATGCTGTCGTTCGCGATCAGATAGGTTCCCAGATCGGTGGCGTTCTTTGCTTCGAGATGGAAGCGGCAGGATTGATGAATAGCTTCCCATGCCTTGTCATTAGAGGCATCTGCGACTATGCGGATTCCCATAAGAACAAGAGATGGCAGCCTTATGCAGCAGCGACCTCTGCTGCTTGTGCCACTGAGGTTTTGTCTATCGTTCCCGCTAAAGACCTGGCGAAGATGATGACCATTGACGAAGCTGTATGGTGGATCCTCTTATATGATGCTTCTCCAAGGAACCCTCTAACACATTCTGCGCTTATTAGGAAGTGCTTCGATCAGCCGTCGAAATAGTTCCCTTTGACACATTCGTCTCTTTATTGTCATCATTCGACCAGGATAAACACAGATCCAACATCCCAGAGCTGGACCCGTATGACCCTCAGCACTTTTGGGTTTTCAAAAATATCGATTTCCGGGTGTGGTACGGATCAGGCGCACCAGGTAGCCTTCTTTTGTATGGACCACCTGAATGCTGCCTTGACCAAATATCGGCATACGTAATCGACCAGGTGAAAAATGTTTCCAGGTCGACAAGAATCTTTTACTTTTCGTTCTCCACTGCGCAGTCGGGCAGCTCTTTGCTTTCTATCTTCGTGCATACCATTCTTCGTCAACTCATATCATTCACCTCATCTAAGCACCGGACGTCCACTGTCAAATCATTTCTTCATTTTCTACGCGAGAAGCTTCTGATGGAAGGAAGCAGGATCCATGTTGACCCTGAAGCTTCCCCGAAAAAAATCGTGCAGCAGATCCTGAAAACATCGGCCTCGGAAGAACTTTGGTCTTCGTTGCTCAACCTTTTTAATGCCTTTGACCAGGACTTCTTACTGGTTATTGACGATATGGATAAGGCTAGACCTGGCGGAGAAAAGTTCATCATTGAGATGGCAAGTTTTATCCAAGGCCTTATCGGGCGAGGCACCGGCGTCAAAGTTCTCATCACATCTCGCTCGCAAAATGACGTCCAACGAGCGTTCAGTAACTCTTTATCTATTGAATTTGACAAAGAGAGAAAGGGTAAGGCCATTGACTGCGAATGAAACTTAGACTAAATTCTTGTGCAGAATGTCTTGCCAGCTTGCAGTTTGACAATACCCGCTATGAGAAGATCTCGTCAGAACAAAGTGGTTCTTTCGAGTGGATTTGGTCCCATCCGCGATACGCCGATTGGTCTCAGTCGAATGATTCCCGGCTTTTGTACCTTCAAGGTAAGCCTGGCAGCGGCAAAAGTACCTTGACGAAATACTTCTACAAAAGCTTCCGAGATCGTGATCAGAGCGTGAACACATCGGTCGTGGCAAAGTTCTTTTATAGTTACCGCGAAGGCGAGGTGCAGAAAAGTCATTATAATATGCTAAGGACAGTTCTTCACGATATCTTGCAACAAGATGAAACTTTTTTCTATCATGAATTCCAAGCAGAATACCGACGTCAAGCCGAATTAGAGCAGAATAATAGATCGGGCTCAGTTGCATGGGATTATGATTCACTGAAGAAAGTCTTACTCTCACTGCGAGATCATACACAAGCTCGCAGGTACTATTTGATCATTGATGCAGTGGACGAATCGCAAGATAACGACCGGCGCGAAACTTTGGAGCTCTTATTTCAATTGAGCACGGAAATGAAGTATTCCGTGGTGAAGATATTCGTCGCGAGTCGACCGGTGGCTGTGATGGAACGTCGTATAGACGACTTCCATTGTTTCATTCGGATGCAGGATGAGACTACGTCTGATCTTGGGATCTTTGCAGACTCTTTCATTCGCCGACTCGATATACCTCCGGATACAGCCAACGAGCTCACGCAGTACATTACGAGGAATGCCGAAGGGGTGTTCTTGTGGGTTAAACTTGTCGGAGAAGAGCTACTAGCCTACGATGAACAAGGTCTTGCGAAAGAAGACATCATGCAGTTTTTGGAAGGGTTGCCAACGATGTTAGGGGTATTTTACGAACGAATGTTGGATAAGATGGGAAAGGCGCGAACAGATTTGCGCGATGCGGTGAAGATTCTCCATTTCGTCCTGTTCGCCCATCGGATTCTGAGTACTGGGGAGCTCTTACACGCTCTTGCGATTCCCGACCAGCCTGGTATTGACTACGCCGTCTCTGATGAAGAGTTTAGAGGCCGCATACCTTCTGAAAGACGAATTACGCATTGCGGAGGACACTTCGTCGAGATCAAAAAACGCTCGGGTGAGTCGCTCAAGGCTCGGGAGATGCCATTCTCACTTTTCATAATCTAATAAGATACGTAATATAGGTAGCAATGGGACAGTTCAGGTCATTCACCAGACAGTTCGAGAATTCTTTCTACACCCCGAGTCATCTGTCAAAAACACCAAGTTCAGAATTGACGAGCGGAAAGCTCACGCTTCGATATCAATTACTTGCTTGCGATATTTGAGACACTGCATCGCAAGCTATCTTCACAATTGTCGACAAATCGATGAAAATTCCGTAAAAGAATTGGAACTCTATTCGCGTTATCTCAATAACATGCCGCTGGCAAAGTATGCGCTGCAACACTTGAAACATCATTTGAAGCACTGCGAAGGCGACTCGCATGTCCAAAGAATCGCAACAGATTTCTTTGCCGATGTTCGCCGTTCCAAGATATCTGGCTTTCTTGAAAATTGGACACGGTTTCAACTGGACAAACCGCGCAGGGACAGTAGAAGCTTGACTCAACTTCGAAACAGATTTCTCCACACCTCTATCTCGGGCGGCCTTAGTCTAGCCACTGAGTTGCTGTTAATCATTGGAGCGGATGCGAATCCAGAAGATAATTCCGGTACCCGACCTCTACTTACAGCATCGACCTTGGGTCATCAGGACGTTGTAACGGCGCTTGTAACCTCTGGATCTGTCGATCTGAACGCTGTGGGCAGCAATGGTCAGACCGCGCTTTTAATCTCTGCGGGGCAAGGCCAAGAAGGGGTCATGGAAGCTCTGCTTTCTGACGAAACTATCGACGTTAACAGACAGGATAAGAATGGCCGGACCGCATTGTCCTGGGTGGCGGGTGAAGGAAGAGAGAACATGACCAGGGTACTTTTGGGACGCGGAAAGATTGACGTGGACCTGGATGATCTTCACGGCAGGACACCATTATCTTGGGCCGCAGGCAATGGACACAATGTCATTGTCAAACTACTGACAGACACAGGCAAGGCTAACATGGACTCCGTTGACGATAACGGTCGAACGCCGCTGTCGTGGGCAGCCGGTAAAGGACACGACTCCACAGTCAAGGAGCTACTTCTTGTTCTACCACCAAACAAAAGAACGAAAGATCTGACTGGAAGAACGCCATTATCATGGGCAGCTGGGAACGGCCACGAGGACACAGTTCGGGCGCTGATGCAGTTCAGCAACTTCGATCCCAACGAAACTGACGCCACCGGACGAACTCCTTTATCGTGGGCCGCCGGTAATGGCCATCTAATGGCAGTGGAAGAGCTATTGAAAGCTTCTGAAATATCCCCGGGCATCAAAGACGAAAAGGGACACACGCCTTTGTCGTGGGCCGCTAAGAACGGGTACGACCATGTGGTGAAAGCCCTAATTGCACGAAAGGATGTCAACGTCAACAGCAAAGATTTCAATGGTCGTACCTCCTTGTCTCTGGCTGCCGAGAACGGTTGCACTTCAGTTGTCAAAGTATTGTCAGCCGCAGAGGATGTCAGGATGGAGGCAACTGACAAAGAAGGCCGTACGGCATTATCCTGGGCAGCGGGGTGCGGGCATCATGTGGTTGTCAATCAATTATTACAGACAGGCAAGGTAGAGGTGGACCGAAGGGACCAGAGAGGTCGCTCTCCGCTTGTATGGGCGTCGATCAAGGGACACGATGCAGTAGTGCAAGAGTTGCTATTGGCAGGCATGGCGAGAGCTTCTGTCGAAGACGGGTGGGGACGCTCGGCTCTGTTCTGGGCTGCAAATCGCGGCCACCATGCGGTGGTCGAACTTATAATGTCACTGAGCATCGTGGATGATGAAACCAAGAAAGAATGGAGGCGTCGGGTGTTACGCAACCCCAGGTGGTCAAGGCACTGGAGGTCGTTGTCATCGGAGTGAATGTCGTTCTACATCTCGAAGAGATTGTGTGTAATATTTGTTCAACCACAGATTATTCTTGCTAGCTACAGAGTCTCATCTAACATCCATTCATGCTGTAAGCGTAGACTCGCAGGGCGCGATGCTTTCAGCATGTTTTGCTTCCAGGAGCGTTCGTGATCAAGGTAACCTGAACCGCAGCAAATCTATCCAGGGACGTATTAAGCAAGTCGACCTGGCACGCAAGGACTTGGTATACTTACGCCGTTGCAGCAGCAAAGATCTCTATCGGTCTTTCCTTGACCAGAAGCCCCAGCGAGAATGAGAAAATCAGATTATACACAAAGATAACAATCAACCTGACAGTATTACTCTGAATAAAATAGAGGCCTACCATTGCCGATGCAGGCAGAATCGCCGAGATAGCGATACTGATAGTCCTGGTGACTGACTTTATCTTCCGATCGTCATAATGCCAGATTCCAATCTCGCGATCATACCGGGCCTTATATCATTCTTGGTTAGCCTATATGCGCAAATTGCAACCTCCTGGGAGTGTACAGACGTCAGAGTCACGACTCCATCTCTCGTGAAACCAGGGAATGACTTTACTAGAGACCCATCTCGTGAAGTGATCTTCTCCGCTATGTCTTGTTCGGAGAGCGATGAGATCCTCTTCATGGGAGCTCCACTGCGTCATTTCGGATGCAAATTTGAAATAGATTTCTTCCTGCTTCATCCAGTCCTCTAGAAGCTTGAAGTCATTCTTCTGTGGGGCCTGAAACTTCAGTAATTGCCCTTGTTGGATGAGCGCTTTATCTGATGATCTCGATCAGTGAATTCATGTCAATCCAATTGCTGGCAAGAGACCTACTGTATTTATCCAGAAGCTCACGGATCTCCAATACTTTCTGCCACTGCAATCCATCATCCTCGCTGTCTGATGAGTTTTTTAAGTGCCATAAGGAGATGGGGAAATTCTCCCTCTGGGGGGCGCCACTTTCTTCGTCTCTTTTGATGATTTCGTTCAGGTCTTTCTCAAGATACACCAGTTCAGCTTGAAGGTACAACAAATTCTCGGCGTTTAAATGTGCAAAGCGACGGTATATTGAGAGGCCTGGGTCTTTGGCCATCAAAGTGGCAACATCGGAGTAGCCCTTCATTTCGTTTTCCCGTCTCTGGGCTGTCCTGCTTCGTCGAAAGATCGCCAACAAGACAGACAGCGGGCGGCCAGCTCAAATATCCAGGAGCAGACCGAGCGCATCTTCTCCCCGTGTCTTACTGTTTCTTATTGGTCATGGGCATGCATCGTGCCGTTCGCCGGACATCTACGCAGTGTCCTATCCAAAATTGCTGGAATCATGTCGTTGGTTGTTACTCAGGCGTTTGTAGAAAGATTTCAGCTCGGCCTTTTATCGATTTTGAGCCGCAATACAAATGTCCCATCACTGAGGCCTGGGTTTTGGAAAGCGCCTACGATTGATGCCCTACTACCTGTTGAACGGCTCATATTAACCAGCCTTCAAATGGTCTCTAGGATATGAAACAGTTTAAAAGCAAGAAACAATAATAACTTCAAAGCAACTGTCCAGCAAGTGGGATAACACTTTTTGCCCCTCTGACTATCCAGGGTAACTCCCCCCCCCCCTTTTTTTGAAGAAAGATTTCTTTCTATTCTTTTTCTTATTGTTTCTGAATTGAGCCAGGGCGCAAAGCACATTGCAATCGATTGATTGGTGCTTCTAGCTCTTCCATTGAAATGGCACTGACACGTATGCAATGAAAAAAGAGAAGAAAGAAATGAAGGAGAAACATGAACAACAAACAGGGAAACTCCGAAAGGAAAAGCGCATGTAGACTTACTGCAGCCACGGATTTATTCAGCCATACCATAGGACGCAGCTAATCTTGGCGTGATCTCCGGATCGATGAGAGACAAATCATGTTCCTCAACCGAGGGCCGCCCGAGCAAAAGGTCTGTATAACAATCTTCAACCACCAAGAAGGTTGTCTGATAGATCTTTTCAAGGCCAAGGATTTGCCATCGAACCTCCACGCTCCCAATTGGCTGAATGGGGGCTTTACCCGGGAGTTGAATCGCCGGCCCTGAATCTGAATATGGATTCATTTCCAGATTCAGACGTCTCCGGACATCGTTGCACATGACGTTGACATCTGTCTCAAAATCTATGAGCAGATACCGATGGATCTGATCATGATTGTTGGCGGTGAAGATATGGGCCGAATAAAAGAAGTCACACTGTGCAGGAAGACTGGGGATATTAGCAGTCTCTTCAGTGAACTCTCCACTCTGCTCAACATTCTCACCTTGATCGCTCTGACGATTTTCCATGTTACACTGGCGATATTAGTGCTATGTTGCTGTTGGCTTGTCTCGGGCGGAAAATGACCTCAAAGGCAACGAGACGGATGATGCAAACGTTTGTTCTTGGTTCCCGAGCAAATGCACGATTTACTTTAACTGTCCTCTGTTTGCGTGGCGTTCATGGACATTTTATATTTAATATTTGTCCACCATGTGTCGGGGTACTTTCCGAATGCTTTGTTCCCCCCTGCCCATGGACCGGATTCATCCTTGATCATGATGTTCCTGTCCGTCTTGCCAGTCGGCTCTAACGGGAATCTCCTCTGCTTCAAGGACGCAGATAGTCCACATGGGCATCATTGTCGGCATGAGTCCGATTCCTGGTGGCTTACCACTTCCGCTTCATCGTCGGTCTTACCCAGTGTTTTACGTATGCGTATACGACTGGCACATCCTACTCAGCACAGCGGGGCTTTCGAACACTTTCATCCGTAATTGGCGGCTTTTCTGAGTTTGCTCCATCAACCGCGTTTGCTTAAATCTCTATGGCCACCTCAGCTTATCCCGCGACCATACAATTTTATTTACGGTCGGGAACAGAACTAGGATCCAGGATTTGACTTTGACTCATTCTTTTGTTTGGTCGTTGTAGAAACAGATTACAGATCTTCCTACTGCCCGGTAAGCACCCCCCTTTGTATCACATACTGAGAAGGCGGGGCGTTGCTCAATCTTGTGCCAGTGCCCTTTCGGATTCACTCCCCTTTCTGTCCCTGTGCTACTTGCTGCTCACCCACTTTTTTCTCTGCTTCCACTGCCGTCTTGAGTGCTTCCTCTTGCTTCTGTGCAAGTTCCGGGGTCAAGAATAATCATCGGGCCATATTATTATCCCTTTAAAAACTTTATGAGATATCATTGTTCTAATACATCGGTGCCGTGCTGACTTGCGCTCGACAAAATCACATCTAATCATCTTCATAGGTGTTTTCTAATCCAACGCCAGAGACTCAGGAGAAAAGGATAACTCATACCGATACAAGTGCTTGCAATCTAAAGCACGCCTAGTAAAGTTTCGTAGCTGTATGAATGTCGATCATCGTACTTCTTATACTGCATTGCTGGAACTTTGGGGGGACAGGGATACCTCCTCTCAGAAGCAAACATGCAGTATACTATCTTCCAAAACATGTTTATCTGGGTTTGAATTACTTTTCTGTTTTCCTCGGTATCATATAAATCTCTGTTGGTTCCTCCTTCGTCTGATATTTCTGTTCTTTTCTTTTTTGCAGCAATTTAACGTCGGCTTTCACTTCCGAGAAGTTAGGTCACGGCCACCGCATGTCTAACCCAAACAACTTAATTCGTGAACATCTATTCTTCACATATTGATAAAGTCTCCCTCAGCTTTAATAACCCCTGGGAGCAACAAAATGGCCCCAAAGGAAGTCGACGTTGTCGTGGTGGGAGCAGGCCTCAGCGGCCTGACAGCCGCCACCGAAGTACAGCGAGCGGGTCTATCCTGCGCGGTGCTTGAGGACATGGATCGCGTGGGCGGAAAGACTCTCTCGATTCCTGCTTCGTCTCAAGGCGGTCTCGCCGAGCTTGGAGCTGCCTGGCTGAACGACACGAACCAGTTCTACATGTACGCTTTGGCCAGGAAATTTGGGTTCGAGCTCGAGATTCAGCGTCATAAGGGGTTGAATCTTTTTGAGGATTCAAAGGGTAAGACGCACAGCATTGAATATGGCAAGGAGTATCTGAATGTGAGAAACCAGTCCCAATTCATGATGTTAGAAGGTTCGAGGCTGATGCTTTAAGGTGTTAGGACGAGGAGTTTTTTGAAGACCTTGCCAAACAAGCGGAGCTTACCCATCTGGTGCATCCTGAGCTCAGCCAGCATGCGATGAAGCACGATAAGATGTCATTTGCAGAGTACGCTCGGCAATTCTCCTCGAAAGCAGAGCTCATCGCCGATGATATAGCCAAGACGCTTCTCGGGGTTCAAGCAAAGGACATAAGCGCGTTGTATATGTTCAACTACACAAAGAGTGGGACCGGACTGGATAATATTTTGTCGGATCTGAAAGACGGTGGTCAGTATATGCGGAATCGTCACGGTATACCACACCTTCCCTTGAATGAAACCCGCTCTAACCGGTGATGCTGTCTATAGGGAACCAGAACTTTTCCGTCCGCCTCGCCAACGATCTGAAGCCCGACACCGTTCATCTATCCGCGCCCGTCACAAAGATCGAGCAGCACGGCAAAGGGTCTTGCACGGTCACCACGCTAACCGGTCATAAAGTCTCTTGTAAAAGAGTCATCATCTCGATTCCCACCTCTCTGTATCATCGAATCCAATTCATTCCTGCTCTCCCGGAAACGAAGAAGAACCTTAGCGACACCACCGCGCTGGGCTTCTACGGGAAGGTTATCATCGTATACGAGTATCCATGGTGGCGACAGGCCGGATTGTCGGGAATATTTAGCTCAGTCAATGGTCCCATATGCTGTTCCCGAGACACCTGCATCGTGGAGGATCATCAGTACTCCATAACCTGCATGGTCACCGCCGATGCGGGCAAGGATTGGTCCAAACTCCCTCCAGTTCAGAAGCACGAGTTGGCGATGAGTCAGTTCAACGCTGCGTTCTGCACCCAGGTCGAGAAGATACCAGACCCTTTGAATGTGATCGTGCATGACTGGTCAGAGGAACCCTGGATTCGGGGTGCGCCGAGTCCTACTATGCCGCCCGGTTTGATGACTTCGGATGCTGGGAAGTCGCTGCGCGATCCGTTCGGAGATATTCATTTTGCGGGCACCGAGACGGCGATTATCTGGAAAGGATATATGGAGGGAGCAGTACGTGCTGGCATTCGAGGTGCTGGGGAAGTAATTGATTTATTGGTCCCGGAGAGCGGGCGGCGCAAGTTGAAGTCTTTCCTCTAGATTGGGTACTGCATGATAGTCATTTGTGTAATTCGTATCAATCAAGATTGGGAATGGCCGAATTATAATGAATCTTTCTGCATAGCCAAGATTGTTCGATCTTTGTGCTCGGGACTGTTCCGACGCGAATTGTGTAGACAACACTTTGGCCAATTCTGTGCAAATAGACTGTCCGCCCGTTGACAATTTCAATTTAACAAGAGACAATTGTACTGAATCACGCAGCATGATTCGACATGAAATTCGTCATGTCATCCGAGACCCTGGCAGTGGTTCCCCAATCACGATGCATGGCGCAATGCTTCGTTACGCCAGGATTCAATGAGGTGATTGACGACCGCGGGGTAACAAACAGGCATATATAGACAGACATGTGGCCTGTCCATCTCTGGCTGTGTCGCCAGATTTCGTTCTATCATCCCTCTACTTCGTCATTTCAAAATGTCCGAGGTTCTCACTATTACCCAACCCACTCAACCCGATATTCAATATCATCCCGACTACGAGAAATACCTCGCACGCGGTGAACGGCGCAAAGCAACCGAAACCCTGCCCAAGACTCTTCCAGCCGGGTTCCCTGCGCAGCTGTCTTCGCCCTTGGTCTGGGAGGGAAAGGACGTTGAAAAACGAGATGATTGGATTTTTAAGCTGAATGATGCGCAGAGGGAGGAGATTCATGCTGCCTTGGAGCATTTCAAATGTTGGTCGACTCACTTGAACCCACCCAGTTACGATCGCAAAGTGCCCCCAGGAGGGAGATATATGTGATCCAGTGCTGAATTTCACAGCCCTCAAGCTCAGTCTAGGATACGTCAACCAAGACACCTTCCCTCTACCCAACCTCCGCCCCGAGCTACGCAGCCTCTCCCAAGAACTCCACGCCGGACGCGGATTCTTCGTGCTTCGGGGTCTGGACCTCGATCGGTACTCGCGCGAAGACAACATCATCATCTACAGCGGCGTCTCATCGCATGTGGGAAACATCCGGGGTCGTCAGGAAGATCAGCGCTTCAGCAACGGCACCTCGGTCGTGATCTCCCATATTAAAGACATCTCGCGTGTCGCGCAGGCCGGGACCATAGGAGCTCCGTCGAACACCAACGACAAGCAGGTCTTCCATACTGACTCGGGCGACATTATCTCATTATTGTGCCTGAGTCCCGCCGCGGAGGGCGGAGAAAGTCAGATTTCCAGTAGCTGGTTTGTCTACAACATTCTGGCCAAGGAAAGACCCGATCTGATCCATACCTTGTCGCAAGATTGGCCGATAGATGGGTGAGTTACCCCCTTTTCAAGCCTTTTAGCGGGCCCCAGCCAAAGCTCCTGGGTAATGACCTAATAATGCGGCTAATTGAACGGACCCCTGACTGACGGATGGGATCAGCTTCGGCAACCCGAACCGCCCGTATACTACCCGACCTTTGCTCTATCATCAGCCGGCGACCGGATCGACAGAGGAGCGCGTGCTGATCCAGTACGCCCGTCGCTATTTCACCGGATTCCTGGCCCAGCCGCGGTCGACCAATATTCCGCCGATCAGCGAGGGGCAGGCCGAGGCCCTGGACGCGCTGCACTTCCTGGCGGAGCGACATAGCGCGGCGTTGGACTTTCAAAAGGGGGACGTGCAGTACATCAACAATTTGAGCATCTTCCATGCTCGGAAGGGCTTCCGCGACGGGCCCGGCAAGGAGTAAGTGGCTCTCAGTCCCGGTGCCCCCTGATGATCCACGGCGCTAACCGACACGATGCCAGACGCCATCTTTTGCGACTTTGGTTGAGGGACCCCGAGAATGCCTGGGAGACGCCGGAGCCGCTGCGCAACCGGTGGGATAACGTGTATAAGGATGTGAAGGAGGAAGAGCAGGTGTTTCCCCTGGAGCCGAAGTTGCGCAAGACGGTGGGATCTTAGGCCGAGGAGAAGGCGAAAAGATGTCATTTTTGGGGTTCCCCGAGAAATTGGGTGCCTGAGTCAAGGCGGCGACGGGGTTAGTCATTCCCTCCCCCAATTCGGGGAAGGTGGGGGCATCTCCGACTGAAAAGAAAAGAGAAAGAATTATGAAATGTTCATCGCCACGGAGTCAATGAAGGCAAATTAGCACGCATTCTGGAGCCCACCAGTGGCACCAACGGCCCGGAGGCCCGAGCTGTTCTCCGGAGTAGACCAGTCATCGCGTAGCCTTCACCTGTTTCCCAAATGAGGTGGAGCCAGGAAGAGGAACCGAGACGCTCGATGTGGGCTTTCAAAAATAGCCTGCAAACTGGATCTCTTCGTAGTCGGAAACCCAAGAATTTTCTTTCTCCAATTCTCACAAAATGGTGGACTCCAGTGACTGGTCCTGGAGGCTTGGATCGCCCATTCTTATAAATCCACGGTGTCCGTGTCACACACGGTTGTGCTTCTCTGCGAAGGACTCAAATCAAGTGCGTTCGCTGACCGATAGACGAGCTCACCATGGGACTGCAACAAGACAGTCCAAACTCCAGCGAGCTCAGCTCGGGAGAGTCCATTTACGCGGCTAAGGAGTCCCCCGCGCCGGAGATCGAACATCTATACCTCGAATTAGAGACGCCCTTACCTACGCCATTGATCACTGCGCCCCCGGAAACCGGCCAGTCGCCCGCCCCCGAATGTCCCGATCTCAAACAATTCACATCGCCCTTTCTCTGGCCGAAATGGCGCAAATCCATGATGACGTGGATCGCATGCGGTGTCACGGCGTTGGCAGGTTATTCGGCCGGTGAAATCAGTCCCGCGTCGACAGAATTGACGGCGGAGTGGGGGATTAGCAGCGTGGTATACAACCTGGGAATCACGATTTTTTGCATCGGATTCGCCTTGGCACCCATGGTTCTGGCGCCTTTCTCGGAAATCAACGGCCGTCGACCGATTTTCGTCGGCAGCGGAATCATCTTCGTCGGTATGTCATCCGTTGCCTGGATAAGCAAACCACGATCGCACGTGTACTGACTGCGACGTCCTAGCATGCATCATCGCCTGTGGCGGCACGCACTCGTTCGGCGGATTTCTTGTTGCGCGCATCTTTCAGGGCGTGGGCGCTTGTAAGTTCGAAGAAGCTTTTCTCGGGTTGTGACCAACCTGCTAACTTAGGGGTTCGCAGCAACTTTCTCGACCATGGTTGGCGGCGTCATCAGTGACATTTACCACGCCGAGGATAGAAACACCCCCATGGCCTTGTTCTCAGGGGCTGCCCTGTTTGGAACCGGTCTTGCGCCGCTGCTGTCGAGTATCATTGTCTATCATAGTACCTGGCGGTGGATCTACTACTCCCACGCCATCGTGTCCGCTGTGTTCACCATTATGATCTATTTCTTTTTCAAGGAGACCAGAGGTAGCGTCATCCTCAGTCGGAAGGCTGCTGCCCTCAACAAGTATTACGATGCCTTGGAGAAGGCCGGTCATGTGGGGGTTATCATGTCTGATGATGCATCTGGTGAGAAGGGTCAAGTGAAGCGTATTCGGTGGAGGGTCAAGAGCGATGAGCAGCGTACTTCGCTGACCCAGATGATCAGCGTCTCTTGCTACCGACCTTTTCGTATGTTCATGGCCCTGTAAGCTTCGGAAACTCGAACTAACATGATACAGATATGCTTCTCACTGAACCTGTCGTCTTTTTCTTTTCCCTCTGGGCCGCGTTCAGCTGGGCTGTTCTTTATCTTCAATTCGGCTCTGTCCCACTCGTCTTCAAGAAAAACCATGGCTTCAATACCGAGCAGTCTGGTGCTGTTTTCACTTGTAAGCGCCCCCCTCTCTTAGTGTCTCTTGACATGTATGCTAATAAATACAGCAATGTGTGTCGGCGTTATCATCGCCACCGTGATCAGCATCTACCAAGAAAGTATCGTATCGCGATTCATCACCCTTCCCAAATCTCCCGAGCGCCGACTCTACTTCGTCTGCCTGCAGTCCACGCTCATGCCGATTGGTCTATTCTGGTTCGGATGGACCTCGTACTCGTCCATCCCGTGGATTGTACCAACGCTTGCCATCGGATGTTCGACCATGGGCATTCTGTCTATCTACCTAGCCGTGTTCAACTATCTAGCGGATACATATCACCGTTTCGCTAGTTCTGCGATTGCGGCGCAGTCTTGCTGTAAGTTTTTCGGATTGCCGATCGGCATTTGTTCCTCGATTTGATATTAACTGCTTATTTTGTAGGTCGGAATCTCCTTGGTGGTGTCTTTCCGCTCGTGACGGCCGCTATGTTTAACAATTTGGGATATCCCGGTGCTTCGAGCTTGCTTGGTGGAATTGTAAGTTCTTTGTGTATATGCTGCGATTGACTTTGCTAACTGGTTCAGGGTGCTCTACTTACGCTTGTACCGTGGGTGTTGGCGTTTTATGGGCCCAAGATTCGGGCCAAGAGCAAGCTTGCAAGTGTAAGTTTTTGTCTCTCATTATGCCTAGAGTGGTGTTGCTAACTTGTCACTTGTAGGAACTTGCACATTAAATACGTTTTCTTCGAATTCTCGGATTATTGCATTAGCGCGGGTGGTCTTTTGCATTTTCATATCGCCCGGTTTAGCGATGGCATAAAAGTAGATATACCCACATAGACTTATTAGACTCTCGGGTCACATCTTAATGAAGCTACCTATTGGAACTCATATACATGACAAGGTCTGCTGTATGATTCTAATTTATCCGTATGATTCTAATATCCATGTATGCCCATGCCAGAAAGAAAGATTAACCCATCTACTCATATGCCACCGGCGCCTCCCCAGCCGCCAAATTACACTGCCTGAACAGCCTCACCTCGTCATCCCCAAACGCCCCAACCACGGAATGCAAAACACCGCGGTTATGGAAAATCACCAGGTCGCCCTCTTCCCAGTCATGCGGGTACACATACTGCGGTTTGATGGCCGGCCGTTGGAATTTGTACACAATCTCCCGCACCCGCGTCAAATTTTCGATCACCGTGCCATCGGCGCAGTGGATCTTGCGGACCGCCGACGGATGGATTTGTAGTGCTGGATTCCCGGTGAGAGGGTTCTTCCAGACCATAGGGAGAACTTGGATCTTAGATCCGTCGATCGGTGGGAGATCTGAGAGTGGAAGTTCTTTGTTTTCGGAGTATAGGCCGAGGCCGGTGGGGAGGGCGCGCGCGGCGCTCATCCAGATGTAGCTAATGATTTTGTTAGATGGTTTTCAATTGGTGGAGGGGGAAGGAAAGACGTACGGGTGAGGCGCGTATTCGATTTTACTGTTCAGGGCGAATTTCTTGTCTTCATCGGAGAGCAGCTCGAACATTCTCTCTCCGCTGACGAATGCCGTCGTGCCGAGCGGTACGTCTAACGTCTCGTCGGAACCATCGTCATACCTGAGAGTCTGGCGTCGACCCTTGGGTACTTTGACTGCTAGCAGAGTGGTCACTTTTGGTGGGTAAAATTCATACAACGCGGCGTCGATGTGCCAGCGGTAGAACCGTGTAAAGTCGTGATCCTCTTCGGCTGGGATCACGTCTCGGTGGAATGTCCGGTGATGAGGGTGCTTTAGCTGGATGTTTGACAGGCCCTCATAGGAGCCGATGTGTCCGTGCCCGATGACTTGTACCTGGGGCTGGTGGGGGACTGTCTTTAGATCGGGGTGGAGGATGCTGCGCTTGGCGTCGAGGGTCTTGCCATGGCCGTATTGCGAAGCAGATGGGTCGAAACGCTGCGTGAGCTCGTATTGTGCCTTCGGGGTCACATGGTCTTGATTCTTGATGACCATTACCAGATTCTTGTAGAGGGCATCTTGGATTGTATTGAATGTTTCATCTGCTTCCAATGTTAGCTTGTGCTATCAGAATATGGACAAAACAGGGGATGCTGGCAAGTACCGGTGAGGTTCTCCAAATCGACGTTGTCAATGACAGCGCCGAAGTTGATGTCCGATACAGCAGGAGACTTTAATGGTGTCACTGTAGGAGTCATGGTGAAGCGCGTGTTTCTGTTTCGGTAGGTCGATAGGGATGCACAGAGCAGAGATATAAAGAGCGGTGATACTTGCAGCTTTATCAACCTCGGCTTCTCCCGTTGGCGGAGGTGGCCGAAGCCGCCTTATCTTATCGATCATCCGGCTGACCAACCGAGCTTGGTCACGTTGATTGTGTCACGTGATGCGAAATTGTGCTGAGTCATCTATCTGTCGCCAGCATGCTACACTCATTCAACTGAAAGAACTCCTCCGAAAGAGTGTACAGGTAATAGAATCGGTTGAAGTGGAATCCCAAGAGGGGCTTCAAACCTATATCTCGAAAAAGTGCATCGCGGCTGCATGGTCAAAGATTCATACGCTCCGAAAGTGTGATATATATAGCAAGCAAGAACGCACAACTTGACCCGGGCAAACTGTGAAAAAAGATGTGAACAACGAACTGTTGGACTGCAATGTAAATGTTCATCATCGACTGCTTCCGGAATATTCAATATTCCTCAATGGGATCTCCCTAATCTCCCTAATGAAAATCAGCATCTGGCACTTGCCCTACCCTAGACAAAGGGACTATTGGAAATATTAACGTTCTTGACAAAGATCAGTCGTCTTCTTGGTGCGAAAAATATAATACGTCTTTGGTTGGTAGGTGTGCCATAGTAGTAAAGTAGAAGCCTGCCGTAAAGAGCGATGAACATCCTGGATCCAAAGCTGAGGCTGAGTTGTAAGTAGGGCTGCTAAATCTCCTTGTCTCAACATCAGCCGCTCGAACATGTAGGATCAAAGGAGGCATGAGTAGAAATATGTCTTATGATCAAGATGTGGGCTGAGTGTCAAATTGGTGCAGTCACTGTAAAGATGCTCCCTTCCTAGTCGATGTGATTGGTAGTGTGTCATGGAGGGAAAAAGAGGAAAGAAATTGATGAGTAGAACTCTACACATTAGGTCATAAATAATTATCAGCGCCTCGAAAGGGCCCATGGTATACTGCAAAGCTTAGCTTCAAGCTGAGTAGATATTGCACTCTAGTATTTTGGAAACGCGCTGCTTGAGGTATTATTGATCTATCAAATAGAATCGCTGTGGTTAAGGATGATAGTAGTCTGTAGTTTCAATATCTCAAAAACGAAAAAGAAACAGAACGTATGTACATACTGAAAGGGCCTTGCAAGGCTCATCACCAACTTTACCTCAATAGTATGTACCGTATTGATAGTTGTACCCATTGTTGTTGCCTGGGTAGCCAAATGTCCCGTCATTAGCTCCATCATTCTCATCGTCGTTCAGAGTGTCGTCATCCTCAAAATCGTCGATTTCCTCGTCTTCCTCATCGGTATACTCATCGGCATCGATCATCCTCACAGACCACCAGATCTGAAACGGGGCCTTCGCGTCGTCAAATTCATACAACTCCAACCCCAAATCTTCCATATCACAAGCACCCTCGTTGGTCATTGCAAGCGCAATGCAATAGATATTGCATCCTCCCTGAAACAAACGAGTCTTGAAGATTCCACCATTGACCTTGTTCATATCCTTCTTAACCTCCCCCTTAAACTTGTGCGCATTGTGATAGCTCTCGCACTTTAGCTCGATGATTGCACACTCTTCCCCAACATATGGCTCGTTGGGAAAGACATCCTCGCCAGATGTCCCGGGCGACAGGACAATATCGGCGGCCATCTTCTCGCTGTTCTCGTAGCAGTTGTCTTCGCGGCCGGCGTTGTACAAGAAGCGCATCTCTTCTTGCATCCAGCCTTCCCAGCCGCCTTTGGAGAGATGGGCTTCGCGGATCTGGGCGGAATTCTCTTCACCCCAGTAGATGAGGGCTCGGAACATGGCTTCGTTCGGAGGAATCGGGGTCTGGTTGTCCATTGTGGTTTTTTTTGGTCTCGTTTAGCGTGAGCCAAGTGAATGGGTGGTGTGAAAAAGATTAGGATGGGTTGTTAGGGTTTGGGCCAGCGCGAGGCTGTGTCGTCTAGATTCCTTTTATCAACCGTTCCTCGTCACTAGATCATAGATGCGATTAGACGATCAGGCGACCCGACTCTAAACACTTAAATTCCAACCTAAAAATACGACTCCACCTGCTCCGGAGGGAGGTGTTCACGCCATTGGGCATCATCGTCGTGCTAAGCCCGCAACCCGGCATCTGCACTGACCCGCTGCTAACCAGAAAGGCCGGCGCCAAGTAACGGCCGTCCGTATCTGCAGGCCTCAGCCGCGTGCTGACCCCCAAGCTGAGATCTGGATTTCCCAAAAGGGAAAACACTGAGCCAGGAAACTTGACCTGACATAGAACTTGCTCCGAATTGGGTTCCGGGTCCATGTGGGATCCTGCAGGCTCGAGGGCGGCTGAGACAGGGTCCGCGATCCTATTCTGGCTTCGAAAATAGGTTTGTAGGCCCATGATATGATAGCCTCGCGGTTGAAGAAGCCACTGCTGCAGGCTGCGCCGCTATCCATGCGCTATGGAGAGGGGCTTCTTTATGTGAAAGGACTTGTACGAAGTCCGGTCCGTTTCTTGGCTCCGTACTGGCTGGATGAAGCCTGCAGGGGCGGGATGGCAGAAAGGGGAGGACTGGGAGTGTCTGATAGATTGGCAGCCTCGTTTGCTGCAGTGTCTTTGCCTCCGAATGATTAGTTATTCGAGTGTAGGGGGCACCTTAGCGGCTTTTGGACGCAACCCTCCGATCGTATTTATACACTCATTCCCAACCACGATGTAGTTACTACTTGCACAAACCCGTTCGCACTGCTACATTCTCATTCAATCCCTCCATACAATCGAAACTCGCTTTCTTTCCATTCAAAATGGTTCAGCCCCGTCGCAAAGGTGCCGCCAACAAAGGCGTCCACCCCCCAGCTCCCGCCCACATTCGATCCAACCAACCTCGTCCAGGACCCCAAATGCAATACCAGCCTCAACATCGCAGCGTCAATAGCGGATCCTCTCACCAAGTCAACCAGATCCGAAACCAGCAAAATGTACAAGGTCGACAAATTGCCCACCACGGCGCACAGCTCAGTCAGCACACTGCCGCAATCCAACACCAGAATGCCGTACAACAACGTCAGAATACGGCGCTGCGACAGCAGAACGCAGCGCAGCAGAGACAATTCGCCCAGCAAAATGCGCAGATGCAGCACCAAATGGCCCAGCAGAATGCCGCCATGCATCGTCAACAGCAGCAAATGGGCCATGAGTTGCAGTCCATGCGACACCAGCAGCAACAGCAGCAGCAGCAGCAGAAGAAACAGAAGGGGAACGGCAAGAAGGTAGCGGCAGGCGCGGCGGCGGGTGCAGCTGCTGGTGTCGGGGGATACATGCTGTATGAGCACCTGTCGGAGACGCGTACTCAGGAGCAGATCATCCACGATCCCAGACCGGAGAGCAGTGAAGATGAAAATAATCAGAACCAGAACGATTCATCGTCGGATAATGAGGACACCGGGTATCAGAGTCCATACGAGGAGGGTGGCTACAACAACGGGGGGTATGACAACGGAGGGCATAACAACGGAGGATATGATGGCGGCTACTCTGGAATGCCATCGCAAGAGAAAAACGATGGTAATGAGTCTGACTGTTGCGGCTGCGGCAGTTGCTTCTGCTGTTGCTCGGATGATAACAACAACGGCAATGACAGCGACTGCTGCTCTTGTTGCTGAGGATGTGGAGAGGTGTTTGCATTTACACCCCGTGGCAAATCTTTACGTTATTTGCTTTTTTCTGTTGCTTTATTTCTTTTGCTTACGAATTTATGGCATCGTTTTTTCTTACATATCAGCCATGGTTTCACGTATTCTTATGTGTTGGATACCTAATAGTTGTGCTGTAGTTACGTTAAGCATTGGTCTGCCCTGACAAATATCGCGCCTTTGAAACCTCTCACTGCATTATCAGCTGACTTAATTTATAAGATGTCGTAGATTATGTGTCACCGTACTTCAATATTACTGAATGGGCTGATTTGCCACTATGCTTATCAACAACTGCCAGCATCATCCTGACTGCAAATAGAGGCCTTCCTCTCCGTTCTACCTCTCACCCAGCCGCACGAGGACCAAGAAGAAGAAACTGATCCAATTTTCAACGAAGTAAGCCATGTCGCCCTATGTGGCGTTCGGTCTAGATGGTTCTGTTGGGGCCAAAACATGGCCACATCGGTCATTATGAGAATGTACTGAAGCCAGCGCCACGCGTCCCTTGGCAGTATAATAGAGAAATTACATTCCGCAGGATGGGCCCAATCGAGCAGTGATGTGCGGGCGTCATTGGTCATCGGGCCAATGCTAAGATGAAGACTCCAGATGCTTAGTTGCGTCAGACGCAAGATGTTTCCCCATTGGAAGGTTCTTCACTCTTTCTGGGACATCTTGAAGACCATTGATCAGGGAATAATGAACATGATAATAATAAAGTCACACCTTTGGGGTCCAAGAAGCCTTTGATTCCTCTTTATGTATTTCTGGGTTTTGAGGAAATTGTTACGATGTCATATCCTAGTTAATTTTTGGAAAACCATAGGCAAAGTGGTATAATCAATGCAGTCGAGTTCACAATTAAGACTGGTGTTATTGCTCTTTAAGAGCTTATTATCTGCCCTTCAGGATTGACAGCTCCTCCTTGGTTTTTCGTCCGTTCCCGGTGTTTTCTCTTTCTCATCTTCTCTCTCTTCTTCGTTGCTTTCCTCTTCTTCTTGCCAGCCGATTGAGACCGTTTATGTCGACGGCCCACCGACTGCCAGTCCCTTGGTAGCTCTTTCGTCATGTGATTCTCATCTGCATCGTTGTCGCTATTCTCGTCTTTCACTTTCACATCCTGTTTCATCGGCTGATTCATGGTGAAAGGGCTGCTATCTCTTAGTGCCGTTGGTGAGTTAAATGTAGTATTAGGGCACCCTGGCAAATCTTCCATTTTGATTTCGGGTCGTTCCCTCGGTTCTTCTACTTGGTCTCTCGATCCATGATGGCTCATTATGTGATCCTCTGGTTTATGTGGTTCTTGAAGCCCTGGTGATATGGATGGACCTGGGGAACTCGAAGCTGACGGAGAGCTTTCTGGCGACTCTTTAGGCTCGATATTGCTTTCCTTTACCAGCTCCTCGCGCCTTGTTTCCTCGGCTTGTCGCGCAGCGCAAGCTTCTGTTGCGTCTATATTCGCCTTTTGGTCAGCATGTATCTCAAGAAATTCCGTTTCCGATCTGTCCCTCTGAAACATATACACAATGGATAACTTACACTCTACATAAACGTCTCCCAATCGCAGGCTTCTCAGCTCTTCCGGAATATAAGAGTTTCGCGGATACCAGTGCTCCAAGTCATTTGTGAATTGAAACACTGTACCCCCTTCATCTGGGAATCTCCTTTGCAGGATAGACCTCTGGGGCTTGAAGTCCCAATTCTGTGGATAGTAGTAGTGTCCACCATTGGAAAATGTCATGCATGATGCACCATCTTCAAGACGTCTATATGCGTAGGTCGTGACATTGCCGGGATCTACCCTGGGATGCACCGGAAGCTCCATTTTAGACTGGAGAAGCCATGACGTCCCCTCTTGAATAAAAGAACCCGACCATCGCTCTGAACATAGAGCGCGAATTCGGTCTGACACCAAAAATAGTACATAGTTCCATCACTCCATCTTTGTTAGCCCGCATTCGACCTTGTATAGCATGAACTTACTTATTGAAGTAATGGTAGGTCTGGTTGTAGGGATACCGAATTCTGAGAGAATATCGATGCGTACAACAATAGTTTCCACGCTGGCATATTCTGACTGTGAGATATCTCATATAACAATCTTTGCGGGGAGGATTATGTTAACTCACGTTATTCATGAAGCCCGAAACATGTCCGCCTTTAGGGAAGCCAAGCAATACGTTGAAAACTTCACATGGGGTGCATGTGATTTTCTCTTTGCTCCCATCATCTTGCAGCATGTACAGTTCTCTTGCCGTGTCTTCATATGGCCTAAACTGGGATATACTAGGCCACATATCTGTGCCGTGGTATTTTTGAGACACTAATGGTCTGTATAGAAGGCTAAGTCAAGCTGAATGTCGACTCTGGTGCAGTGCAAATCTTTGTTTTGTTTTTGTTTTGAGATGTTGACGTTTTTGTTTTGAGATGTTGACGTTTGAAAAGAGACTGAGTGGGCCTTCTAAGTGGAGACACTTAGTCTTTAATAAGTCAAAACATTTATCCACTTTGGGAATGATAATATGATACCACGGTTATTATCGCTTGCTACCAACATTGACATTGGAAAGTTTGGTGTTGCGCATTTTGGTTCGGATTCGCAGGCCAACCACGCCAACGTGGGTTGCACTGAATTAACGAACCCATGGAAAAGCCTTTGGGCCATAGCAGTATAGACATTTGTTCTATGCTCGTTTGTTGAAGGGAGTGGGGAATTATGTGTATCATGTCTTCCCCTCTCTCTTCTTTCCCTACACCACTACGAGCCTGTCAATTTTGCAAGGGGCTTGAAGTCCTGCATAGGTGATGTCATGGTGCTATCCATTGGAACGGTGGATTGAACTAGAAACTACTCACATCATTATAATACCGCACATATTTCCAATACCTATCGTCTCATGGAAATCGGCTTTCGCTACCGGATTTTCACGAGGTCGATTTCAGGTGGTCTTCGCGAGGTTGAAGGAATCTCCTATTTTACTCGCTCGGAAAGGCCACATCCATGAAGACAGGAGAATTCAAAAACTATTCCCGCAAAATGGGTATAGGGAGAGAAATGAGTACAGAGTCCACCATCACCGGAATCCAACTTCCCTATACGGAAACAAGTTTAGCCTCCTCAAGACGAAGTGGGGAAGAAATGCCAAGGACGCCATCATCCAGCCAAAAATGAGTCAGCGGCCAAGCATTTGCAGTGTCATTCTGGCGCACTAACTAGCTGATCAGAAATTGGTCAGGGGATGGCGGACATTCGGCGTTTGACGCGTCCACATCGAGCACCGCTGTCGACAATGCGTCCCAAGCTACCATTCAAAAAGCCTCGGAGTCGTGCGAAAGCAGGACCGGCGTTTGTATTCGTGGATCATGCCGACAGCCTCTCGCCGGGGACTAGCGACAAAGATGCCAGGGCGATGATCCGACGGCAGGCGGCGCGCTCGGGGTGCAAGCGCCGTCGGGACGAGTATGTGAATCAGGAGAATATCGATCCTCAACCAGGGCTTGACGCGGTTGTTGCAACACCAAACGAACCTTCACACGAAAGCAACGACACATGGAGCTGGGATATACTGTGTGAGGCGTCGAATCCTAGCCCTCAGCCTCAGCCTTCGTACAATGGATACGAGACCCTCCGAGTGAAGTACAATTTCGACATCACCGATCTCACCAGTTTCACCGACGTAGACCTAGGCCGCATAGCTTATCTGTCGCTGCGAGATCAGCCCACTCGCCTCGTTAGTCTCCTGCAGAAACGATCGTCTTCGTTCCTGGCTTTCCTACCCAGTCGATACGGGTCCAGTGCTTATCTGGATGATGCTATGCATTGCGTTGCTGCAAGGGCTGGTCAGATGCTCGGCTTTCCGGTTAGAGCTTCGACTCTCTCCATGCTCTACGTCAAGGCCCTGCGCAGCTTACAACATGCAATCTTGGATCGAACAGAATGTCTAGGACCCGACGTTTACTGCGCAACTCGCTTGCTAGCCCTCTACGAGGTAAGTCACATCTATTCGTTCTGAGCGCCAGTCATGACGGTGCTCGCGTAGTTGCTTGGTTTGCCAAACGCAAATCACTGGGTCCATCACAATCGGGGTGGACTTAAGCTCGTTGAGATCAGGGGTCCAGAGAATCATACAACCAGATTTGACCGGATGCTCATAAAAAGTCAAGGGCCATCCATTGTAAGTTTTTCCTCCGGGAAACAATCTCTACAATATGGGTACTTACGTCCCGCAAGGTCATCGACGGCATGTATCGAAAACAAGGCTCGGTGTTCGAGGCCTCAAAATGGCAGAAGTTCTTTGAGCACGCATCCACCACCGAAGCAGATCCAGATTTGAGTCTCTGGTGGGAGCTCTTCGGAGCCATCAGTTTCATGCCGGGTATTCTCAAGGATATGAGGCTTCTCTTCACAGGTTTCTCATCTGCCCCCGAGTACACGAAACGAGCTACAGAGATCCTTCAACGTACAAGGAACATGCACTGCGCTTTACATGAAGGCCATACGCGCTATCACCGCAGTCTCCCACATCTACCGTCCCTCTTCGACCTCCCCGTCTCCGCTGAGTCCTCAGATCGAGTTCGCCTCCGCGGGTTCTTCCTATATGTCATCATGTATATCAGCCGTGTTCTGGCGACGCTCTCTCCCGACGAAGCTGAGAGGGCGGGCAGCGAAGTTGAGGCGCAAACCTTTGCCACGCAGACTTTACTGATCGAACGGATGAGTGCGAAGCTCGATCCGGCTATGGCTTGGCATCTTGAGCAGCGAAATGACCTGCCTTATTCGATTCTGCGAACGGGGGATGAGTGGTTGACAGACGGAGACCCTGGAATGTCTTGGGAAGAGCTCAAGACGTTTCTGCAGCAGCGGTGGCTGAGATGGGAGGATTCGTGGAGAGACGGAGTGTTGGCAGCAGAGCTGACCGTGACCGAGGTCTTTGATTGACATTGTCTCTCTCAAGACAACGGTTGTCTCTGCTTCTGTACGCATTCGGAACTAATCAATGGGATATAAGAAGTTCTCAATTGAAGACTATAAACTCGAATCTGCGTAGTAAACAGTACATGCGCCTCAAATCCATTGAGAAACAACGCTCTCTAAATCTCGTACATAAGAAAGATGACTCAATCTCATCTTAAAGGACACGCTCGGAAGCCCCTCAGTTCGTAATCGAAGCTATTTTGTTGTAGAAGGCCGTATCTCTCCTCAGTACCAGGTTCTGAGCAATCCACCGCCCCGAATCCTCCCTCGAGATGCTATATCCGATAGCTTTGTAGATGGGCCCGGTTTCAGGGTCCTCGAGACCAACGCGAACTCTCTTAGTCGTTACTCCGTCGACCAATATGCTTATACGGACGATGGTGAAGCTCTCCTGGCTCGCAACAAGCAAATCTTCCATCGCCCTTTTGTCCGCTGCCGGTACACTCAGCAAGTAACCGTAGAGCGGCAGCGTGGCGAGTGGGTAATCGCGCCCAAATCGAGACGTGCCCAGTCCGCTACAAGCGACGATGTAGGGGCTTCCGGTGACCCCGTTGCTGCGCAGGCGATTCAGGGCCTCGAGCAGCGTCTTCATGCCTTTCTGGCAAACTTCCGGATCGTCCAGCGTCAGGCTTATCCCGTTCCTGACGGGTTTCGCGCCGATGCTGGTGATGACGGCGTCGACTAGTTGGCCGTCCTCGCGCTGAAGACATCTTGACACGGCTTCGACATCGTGGGCGTTTCCCTCGACGATTGTGAGGTTGGGCTCGTCCGGGAAGATGGCCGAGAGCTTGGAGGAATCTCGACAGAGTGCGATGCCACGGTCCCCAGACAGGAGGGTGTGCTTGAGGGCAGCGAGGCCCACGCCGGTGCTGGCGCCAAAGAATGCGATCGTCTGAATGTCGCTCATCGTGTGGATTGATTGGTTGATGGCGTCGAAGTGGAGAATGTCGATCAAATTACTCCGTATTTCACGTTGAATTGGGATCAACCACCAGAGAAAACGTTGGCAAGAGCGATGCTAGAGCGACTTGATGCGTTCTGATCCATCCTCGAACCCGGACGAATCCATGCCTTTTATCTTCACTTCTTCTAGGGCTGGTTGAGCCTGCGACTTGACTGAGAATGAGAATGAGCGAGTGTTGGCCGAGCCCTCTCGCGCTTTTCTCGCGCGGACAGGCGATTGGGGGCCACGTTCTCTTAGCTCGAAGGCTCCAGCAAAGTGCCATCAACCCACTCGCGCAGGTCTCGGTGCAATTGCCATGCGACCGCAGCGATTTGGCAAACGCAGCCGATCGCGATCGCAACGAGCCTCCAGATGTCGCGCGAGGCACCCGACCAAACGACCACTTCACTCTCACCCAAACCCCCTTCTGCTCCGAAACTCCGCAGCTGCGTCGTCTGTCGCGCTCGAAAAGTCCGATGCGATAAGCTCTCGCCCTGCTCGAACTGCCGTCGCGCAAATATCGCCTGCGTCATCCCCTCCGCCCACCGCAGCCCACGATGGGCTCGTCGTCTCGAACACGTTGCCAACGATGCCGCTGCACAGCCCGAACCGGCGGCGACTCAGGCCATGGAGCGATTGCGAACACTGGAGAACTTGGTTAAGGAGCTGAGAGGGCAGCTGGAACAGGCAAATGCTGCGGTCGCTCGGTCGGCGGCCGGCAGCTTCGGAGTCAACTCTCCGGATTCGACTCACGATCGTGATGGCGATAGTCTGCGAGGCCTGTCTGGTCGGACCACTCAAAATAATGTCCAGGACCAGTTCGGCAGGCTCGTCGTGCAAGACAACGATCGCAGCCGCTACGTGAGCAGCGGCTTCTGGTCTCGCGTCAACGACGAGGTACGTCGGCCTGTCCCTTGTTGCCTCGCGTGGCATCCATCCTGACTTCCTTGTCTTCAGATAGATGGCCTGAAGATCGACGGTGAGCACCTGAACTTCGAAGACTATGGTACCTCCGAGGACGAGTCGTCGCCAGGCAAACCCCCGTCCACGCAAGAACTCGAGCGCACTCCGTCCGACCGCCATGCATTCCTGTTTCGACACAATCTCAACCCTTCTGCTGTGGACCTGCGTGAATTACACCCCCTGCCCTCTCAGACCCCATACTTCCTAGACGTCTTTTCCGAGAATGTCAACTCCATCGTTCGCATCGTTCACGGTCCGACCGTGGCGAAGATGATGCGCGATCTGCGCGGCCAACCCATGTCCAGCTTAACGCCCTCCAACGAGGCTCTCATGTTCGCGATCTATTATGCTACAATCACCTCCTTGGAGGAAGAGGAGGTAAGTCGTGAGACTGGAGCTATCTTGGCCGAGACTATATACTCATGTGTCTGCATCAGATCATGACCAGTTTCGGAGCGACCAAAAGCGACCTCAATCTCAAATACCGACTTGGACTCGAGCATGCATTGGCAAAGGCGGATTTTCTCAACGCTCCCAACCTCGTCCTGGTCCAGGCTTTGGCCATCTTTCTCTGCGTCGCTCGCCGTTACGACAGCCCCAGATTCGTCTGGATGATGGCGGGCATCGCCATCCGCATGGCCCAGGCCCTGGGATTGCAGCGCGACGGAACTCACTTCAAGCACCTGACGCCGTATGAGATCGGAATGCGACGAAGAGCCTGGTGGGTCCTCTGCCTGATTGACGTGAGGGCATCGGAGGACCAGGGAACGGACTACACGATCGCATACGGCAGTTTCGACACGAAGCTTCCTTTGAACCTCAACGAGGCGGACTTCGGACCTGAAACCACTGAGATGCCGCCAGCGCGTGAGGGCCTCACGGACATGACTCTCCCCCTCGTCTCGTACGAAACCTGCAATCTTATGAAAGAGATGATGACCCGCAGCGTCAACGACGGCGCATCCAGCATGGAAGAACAGGAACGTCTGCTCGGCGAAATCTACGCGAAGATGGATCAAGGCTACCTCCGATATTCGGTGGGGTCGGACGATATTGCCTACTGGGCTATAGTCGTCAGCACGCGCCTTGTGATGGCGAAGATGACCCTTTTGATATACCTCCCGATTCTCTCGCCTTCCGCCGGCGAGCAGTTCTCCGAGACAACTCGCGCAAAGCTGTTCGTCGCAGCCATCGAGATCGCGGAGTACAACCATGCCCTGAACGCGGAGCCGGCCTGCCGTCACTGGCGCTGGGTCTTTCAGACCTACATCCATTGGTATGCCATCGTCTTTCTCTTGCTTGAGATCAACCGACGGTCATGGTCACCTCTTGTCGAAAGGGCCTGGGCAGCCCTTCATAGTCAGTGGTTGATCCCGGCCCAATCGCACATGGACAAGAACCTGCGAGTCTGGATTCCTCTGCGAAAGCTGATGGCTAAGGCGCGGAAACACCGCGAGGTCGAGATCGAGCGTCTCCGAGGTAATCCTCAGGATGCTGACCGGCTGGAAATCGAAGATCGCGAGCTCCCTATCCCGATGAGCTGTGGGCCATTTCCTGATGGCTCCGATGCTGTCCATCTGTTTCGTAACCGCTGGCGTCAGCTGGTCGGTACCACACAGGCAACTGAGAGCCGTATGGAAATGCCTAATGCGGCAATGCTAGGCACCAGGCCCCTGGAACAGACAGATCTTCCAGCTCAGCCAGAAGCCAGCTCGTTCCTGGCGTGGGGTGTTCCTGGTAGTTCTGTGTCTATTCCTACCTTCGACTCGTCTTATCCTGATGCCGATGCACTTTCCGGACCACACGATCCGGCAAGCAATGTGCACATGTCTATACCGTCGGTCGGTCCCGGCGACGTTTCTCTAGGTCAACCCCTAACTGTCGAATCTCATGACGCTTCCTTTGGCCCTGGCTTTGTTCCCTGGTCATGGGATGATGCTATTGATGTCAATATGGACTTTGACGGCGAGGTGAACTGGCTTGATTGGCTTAATTCTACGAAGGAAGTAGAGTAAGGAGACCAGGCAAGGCATATCGAGAGTTTAATCCAAGTTACTGCGCTCAACATCTCCCTGGTCCTGATGCTATATCTCAAAGTGCTATAGCTCAAATTAGGTGATATTATCATCGAGGACGAGCCTACAGCCCGTCTTGTACTTATCAACCGTCCTCTGCTTCTGGTACAAACTGTACAGAACTAGCTTCGTCCCACCAACCCTCCAAACACCGACAGTTAGGCGACGGGATAGACCGAGGCTACTCCTCTTGGTTCTATTCGGGAACAAATCAGGCTTTCAACGTTAGCAACGACGTCGCCACCGTGGAGCTACCCCGGATCCAAACAAATAATGACGTCACCATCTCGCGATCTGTCCTACCATTTCGAGACTCCCCTGTACCTCACTCTCCTTCATATATCCTAGCACTGAATACACTGGATTGACTATCCCGTCTATTGAGCCCCTGCCAACCACGATGTTGACTTGTTCACTCATCAGAAGCACCGGCCCAACGGCCCGCCGATCCTTCCTTCAAGGCATCATATCCCATCGTCCAGCCTACGTCTCTCCCATCTCTCTCTCCTCTCGAGAACAGCCTCCTCTGTCTGCCCATTCTCAAGTCGTCAATACTCCCGCTGTGGTCGAAGACTTCGACCGCACGGTCCTCAACCCCGAGCAGCATGAAACCTGCAAATGGGGCACCGACGACGCCGTCGCGAGCCACCAGTCCTCCTACGATCCGTCCATGACTACGCCCGAGATTGAGTACACGGCCGAGGAGGCTGAGTTCAAACTCGAGGGCCAAGACCACTCTCCGCTGTACGTTAGTCCGGCTAATCGCGAGGTCAGCGAGTTGTTGGATCCTATGATCGGAGGGGCGGTTCATTGTGCGGATCGTCTGGGGCCGAGTGCAAGGGGCTGGACGAGGAAACAGAGGACCTTGAAGGTTACGGACTTTCCTGGCAGTCGCTGGAAGCAGTATGAGAAGGCTTTGGAGAAGTTGAGGGCGGCGAGGGAGGCAGGAGAGGCTGCGAAGGATGTCAAGACTTGATGGTTAGGACTGGTATTGGGCTTGGGATATAGTTATTAGCAGAATATATCAGAATGAATAAAGCTATTTCCCTATAAGTGCTGTTCTAGGAATGTTTAGTCTGCCTGGTTTGTTCCTCGCGGTCTTCTGCAATTCTCCAGCAACAGCAGCGGATCTATCACGAAGAAGCCGGAACACGAAAGCTATAACAGATCAGTTCACACAGCGCAGATATCCCATCCCCCGCATTGAAACACGCGACAAATGACCCAACATCACCCCAAACAGCCACTTTCATTGGCCCAGGCTGACTCCGGGGTTCATCGGATCGCAGCGATCGACCCTGCAGAGCCAATCAGCAACACGCCAACCACACGATGGATTCAACTTCGCCCCAGAATTGCCCGGAGTGTCGGGGATGCGACTACGGAGTAGCATATGAGTCCTTGAATGACATCATTGGAACTGCTAGCACCAATCCCCGTCCAAATAAGCACTGCATTGCCCTACTGATCCCTGGCGCATGCGGTTGAACTGTGCCTTGCCGTGGAAGGATGGAAGGAAGGGTTGGCATTTCATGGCGTGGCGTGACCTGGGGTATAAATTAGGGAAAGATCTAATGTTTCATTTGGCAGTCTAAATTAGACGTCAAGTCTTTATCTAAATTTTTGTTTCACTGTGAGACTATACCATTATCCCTCTCACACTAAATCACAACTACTACATTCACTACTGCATATATTCTATACAGCCCCAGTCCTTCACCATGGGCCTCTTTACCAAAACCAAAGACCAAACATCCCATTCTCAGCACGAAAACGGCCAAAAAGATACCAAAGACAAGAAACCTCTCCCCGATCCCTCCTACACATGGGGTATCACGCCGACCGCAGAACACATGTCCACCGACCCGTACATGGACAAGAACCACCCCGTGCATAAGATCCCGTTGGAGAAGCAGGAGAAGATGCGCAAGAAGGGAATCAATCCCGCCGCTAAGGCGGAGATGGACGAGGCGTTGAAGGGGGAAGGGGGGTTCTGGGCTAAGTTTGCGGGGACGAGTATGGGTGGGGGGTGGATTAAATGATCTACTATTATTTGTTGTGCGATGTCTCGAGGCTGTTTGTTGTTATTATCTTTGTGGTTTCTACTGGGTTGAGGTTGAGTAAGGGGGAGGATAGAGGAAGAGATGATACCAGATCAAGGCAATGAATTAATCAAATATAACCCAACTCCTACGCTCTATATGGAATGTTTCTCTAAACCAATCTATCTCTATCAGGTCGTCAAGATCGCATCTACAACCGAGCAGTGCCCTTCAACTTGGCCTCGATCATCTGGCCAATGCGAGGATCCACACGGCTGAACATGGCGATCGTGGCATCGCGGATCTGAGGAGGCACAGCCTCGAGCGTCTCGGACACGTTCGCGACCCACTTGCGTCGCTCGGTCTCGTCGAACACCTTGGTCCAGAGCTCGCGAGGCTGCACAAAGTCCTCGTCGTCGACGGGGATCTCGTTGAGACCCAGCACGCCGCCGGACCGGAGGAACTCGTTGTGGCGCACCTCCTGCACGGTCTGCGAGCGCACACCCGGCGTCAGCGTGCTGCGCACGTAGTTGGGGTCGCCGTTGTAGTTGTTCGTCATGGTCATCTTGCCGTCACGCTCAAAGGGCGCGTACACGGGGCAGACAGGGCGGTTGGAGGGCAGCTGCGTGTAGTTGGCGCCGAGACGGTAGCGCTGCGCGTCGGGGTAGGCGAACATGCGGGCTTGGAGCACTGAACGGGAAGTTAGTTTGGGATTCCGAAGGGACACGACGAGTGTTAGACATACTGGGATCGGGGGTCATGGCGACACCGGGGACCATGTTGGAAGGAGAGAAGGCGGCCTGCTCAATCTCGGCGAAGAAGTTGCCGGGCTGGATGACATGTCAGTTTTTATTATTGGGTATAGGTTTTTAAGAGCTACTCACGTTCTTGTTTAGGGTCATCTGGCCAACCTCGATCAAGGGGAAGTCCTTGTGAGGCCAGATCTTGGTAATATCAAAGACGGCGCGGCCGTAGGTCTCGGCCTGCTCAGGCTCCATGACCTGAACGTACAGCTTCCAAGCGGGGTGCTCACCGCGCGCGATGGCGTCCCAGAGGTCCTGGGTGTGGAATTCGGGGTTGGCGCCGGCCATGCGCGTAGCGTCGTCGGGCTTCATGTTCGTGATGGGCGCGACGGGGCGGAAGTGGAACTTGCAGTAGCGGAATTTGCCGTCGGCGCCGACCAGCTTGAAGGTGTGCACGCCGAAACCGGTCACACGGCGGATCGAGTCGGGGATACCGCGGGAGCCGAAGAGGTGCATGAGAGTGTGGACACTCTCGGGCTGGTTGGCGTGGAAATCCCAGAACTGGAAAATGGTCAGTCTGAGAGCAACGCCGAGGAATTCAACCGGTAGTGCTTACCATGCCCCAGTCGGGACGGTTTGTGGCCGGGTGCTTCTTGTGACTCCGGTTCAGGGAGGGAAAGCGGACGGGGTCACGAACGAAGAAGACGGGCTGCTGACGGTTAGAACTGGTGCAAATTAACCGGGGCAACTGAGACATACAACATGGTTGCCGACAATGTCGTGGTTACCCTCCTCGGTGTAGAACTTGACCGAGAAGCCACGGACGTCGCGGACGGTGTCGGCGCTGCCCTTCTCACCGCCAGTGGTGCTCAGACGGAACAGAACGGGCGTCTTCTTGCCAACGCCATTCATGAATTTGGCGCAGGTAAGGTGGGAGATGTCGTTGGTGACCTCAAACTCACCCCAGGCACCGGCAGCCTTGGCGTGGACGACTCTGCAGGATGTAAGCGCTAAGCACAATCAAGATCGCAAAGATAAGGCGTCGATTGGGTACCTTTCCGGAATCCGTTCCCGGTTAAAATGCGTCAGGGTCTCGATGAGAAGAGTGTCGCCAAGGGTAGTAAGACCGCCACCGCCATAGGTAGGCAGGGTCTGAGCGACCGAAGGGTCAGGAAGGGGTTGGCCTGCATAGCTGGTTAGTCGAAGATGTGACGATCAGAGCAAGATAAGCTCTCAACCTGCCTTCGGCCAAGGTGTAGACAGGCTTGGACATGATGAGATCTGGCACAGCGGATGTCAAAGGATGCAATGACAAACGAGAATGGAGAAAATGCCACCGGCACACTGGGGAGCTCCATTTCATTTATATCAACAATTGAAATCCACCCCTCCCGTCCCAACACGACCGAAACCCACAATCATCCTCGGGCACCCGACCGACGCGGCGGCGCATTGACGAAGAAATTTCTGTTGATAACAGCCCGAGACAATTCCGGTCCCTTCTAGCGTCAAAAGTGGATGAAGCCGGCCAGATTTCCTATCTCATGAGGGGAAATTTGCAATATTTTTAGGGTGTCCCCTCACGCCAGCTTCCCCTCATGAGGGGTGTCCCACGTAAGCTGCAAGCCACGGTTTGTGATTGGCCACTGGTGAGACCTGTGGCTGGACGCGGCCCGTCCGGTCGGCGGCCGACATTTTTCCGAATGTATGCCGGCGGTCGGTGTCAGCCACACTGCAAAAGAAACAAACGCAGCCCTATCGAAGTTGCCCCGTTGCTACCTTGCAAGGGTCTGCTCTCTGCAGTCAGCCCTGTGTATGCCGTCATACTCCTGCAGAGTCACCATTTTCCTCTTCGGATCAGACGGGACCACGGAAGACGGCACAGAGTTGGAGAAATCATTGAGTTCAGTTCAGTTGAGTTGAGTTCAAGTTGTAGAAAAAAAACCTCTCAATATGGTGCTCGTAGAATATATAAAGACGACGGGTAGAGCACGAATTGACTGTGTCTCATCAGCACACATCAACACAATCATCAATCAACTTCAATACAGATCATTGATCTCGTCTTTTTCTTCACGTCTTCTAATATCTTTATTCCTTCATCTTCGTTCCAAGTTTCTCAATCACCAAACATCATCATGTCTGCAGTGACCAACGGATCTCAGTACGACTTCATCGTCGTCGGCGGAGGTACTGCCGGAAACACTATCGCAGGTCGTCTGGCCGAAAACCCCAATGTCCATGTCCTGGTGATCGAGGCCGGTATCGACAACCCTCACGAGGTGGAGGACATCACCACCCCCTCCAAGGCCTTCGGTCTCCGCGGCAGCAAGTATGACTGGGCTTACAAGACCACCATGATCAAGCGCGAGGACTACGAGCGGGTGGAGAAGCCCAACACTCGCGGCAAGGTCCTCGGCGGGAGCTCCTGTGCCAATTACTTCACTTGGATTCCCGGATCCAAGGCCACGTTCGACGACTGGGAGGAGTTTGGCGGTCGCGACTGGACCTGGGACAACTGCGTGGAGTATCTCCGCAAATGTGCAACGTATCACGACGACGAGAAGCTGTACCCCTCGGATCTGTCTAAGATCGGAACCGGTGGGCCTCTGCAAATTTCACATGCGGAGCTTGTCCCCGAAATGCAGCCCTTCCGGGATGCCCTCACCGAGGCCTGGGTGTCAAGTGGGGAGCCACTGACCGAGGATATCTTCTCCGGCGAGATGCACGGTCTCACCCACTGCGTGGATACCATCTACAAGGGCCAGCGACAGGGCAGTTTCCTGTACTTGTTGAACAAGCCCAACGTGACCGTCTTGTCTTCGGCGCAATCGAAGCGTCTCATCATCGACCCGGCGACCCGCGTCTGCTCCGGCGTGGAAGTCATCAACCCGGCCACGGGCGCCGAGATCAGCTTGTATGCCACCCGCGAGGTCATTCTCTCGCAGGGTGTCTTCGAAACGCCCAAGCTTCTGATGCTCAGCGGAGTGGGTCCCGCCGAGGAGCTCTCCAAGCACGGAATCGATGTCGTTCTGGACTCCCCGCACGTTGGTCAGCACCTTCTGGACCACCCTATCGTGCCTTTCGTGCTGCGGATCAAGGACGGCTTCGGTCTAGACGACCACCTGCTCCGTGCGGGTCCCGCCAACGACGCCGCCGTTGCTGCCTATCGGCGCGACAAAACTGGGCCCGTCGGTTCCGGTCTGCTGGAACTGGTTGGCTTCCCCCGTATCGACGAGCGGTTGAACCAGTACCCGGCTTACCAGGAGGCGAAGGCCGCCAACCAGGGCCTGGACCCGTTCGGACCCGGCGGCCAGCCTCACTTCGAGCTGGATTTCGTGGGCATGTTCAGTTCCGCGTTCCAGTGGCATTATCCCGTCCCCAAGCAGGGCAACTACATGACCGTCATCGTGGATCTGCTGCGACCCGTGTCGGAGGGCGGCGAGGTCACTCTGAACAGCTCGAACCCCCTGGTGCAGCCCAACATCAACCTCAACTTCTTCGGCAGCGACTTGGACGTGCTGGCCATGCGGGAGGGCGTTCGCTGGACCTATGATGTATTGACCAAGGGTTCTGGGTTCAAGGACATCGTGGAGCAGGAGTACCCGTGGGAAATGCCGCTGCACTCTGACGAGGCGATGAACAAGGCTGTTTTGGAACGCAGTCAGACCGGATTCCGTAAGTTTTGTTCGATCATTCCTGGTATTATCGCGTTGCTAACTTGTTCTAGATCCCTGCGGAACGGCTCGTCTGTCGAAGAGTGTCCACCAAGGTGTGGTTGATTCGAAGCTTCGAGTGCATGGCATCCGTAACCTGCGCGTCGCCGATGCGTCCGTGATCCCGATCATTCCCGACTGTCGTATCCAGAACTCGGTTTATATGATCGGAGAGAAGGTGAGAGAGAATTTATTCATGAGTGCGAGAACCGGACTAACGGGTATGACAGGGCGCCGACATGATCAAGGCTCAGCACAAGGATCTGTATGAGATGAAGAACATTGCGTATTTCGTGCCCAGTCGATTGTAAGGAGCGGAAGAGGAGAATGGGGCGGCGTTGCAGGAATTGAATTTAGAATTGGGAAATTGGGAAATTGGAGATTTGGGAAGTTGGGAAGGTGGGAAGTTCAGGGAGTTGAAGGAGGAGAGAAGGAAATGCGGGGAAAGTGTATCACCTACGGACATTGAATGCTAGTTAACTATTGCTGGGCCTTGTGTAGCCATAATCCTCGGCGGATAACATGAATCGGGTCTCGTGGCGCAATGGTAGCGCGCTAGCTTCCGGTGCTAGCGGTTGTGCGTTCGAGTCGCACCGGGATCGTTTCTTTTTTGTTCCCGTTTGTGGTAGCCTCGCTAAACGGGATCTCTATACGGATACTAAGCGGCATACTTCATCTTCCTTTCTCTCCCATCCCAGAGCTATCTCCCAAACCAAGAACCAAACGAACAAACAACAATATGACGACCGACATGCCGGCCGCCCAGCGGGTTCTCATCTTGCCCGAGCTTCTCGAAATCATCTTCATGTTCATCCAACTCTGCCACCCCTTCACAAAGGAGATATCGGATACTCAACCCCGCACAGGGAAACAAACGCACTGGGGCCACCACCGCATTCTACGCTGCTGCGCTTTAGTCAACAAGGTATGGTATCGAGAAGCCGGGCCCTACCTATGGAAACAGATCGAGGAAGACGAGGACGACGAGAAATTCTTATTCATCCAGGACTGTTTCTCTACCGTCGCTACTCCGCGGAAGCAATACTATGCTGGGTTTATTGAGCAAGGCACTGTGGACAATTGGTGGAGTGATCCTCATCCGCTGAAAGATTTATCCTTTGATCGTTTGACGTCCCTACGCATCTGGCTTGATCAACACGGTCAACGTATTCCCCGTCTGAAGGCGCCCAGGCTTAAAAGGTTGGAGATAGCACCAAAGGATCCCTCTTTTTCCGACCCTATGAAGCATTGTTTCGAAGGGCTCGTAGACGAGTTGGCGAAGTACATCCCGGTATGTTGTCCCTGCGTTTCTTCTCTGTCGAGCTCACTGATCGTTTGGGTCATTTAACGTAGCGCATTTACCCGCATTTGAGAATAGTGATATTTGCCGTGATAATGCCTACTCCCCATTTAGTGAAAAGGCTCATGAAACGGCTGCCAGAGCTAAAGGTGATTCATTACGTACCTCCCCCGGAAAACAATGACGATCAGGATTGATTGCGCATAAAGTGGCTCCCAGTGGTTTGCTGTTTTTGTTCAGTTTCTTGCTTGCGTTGGAGGGAAAACAACAAAATGTCGTGTGAGGAAGAGCCGAATCGAACATGTCGCATACATCCTAGTTGCACCCATGTGCCGAATCGCTTGAGTAAATCTAATGACTCCAAAGTTCCTGAGCCTGCAAACTGCCTAGATATTAATATGACTTCATGGTAAAGAAAAGTATACGCGTGCCCATAGTCGGTTCGGTGGAAGATCTGTATGCCCGAGACAATCCGCCAAACCTTCGATAAAGGCAAGTTCTGGAGATTGCTATACGAAAAGGAAGATTCCATGAATTTTAGCGGGATACCACATGTAATTGGTAAGCGTCATAATCTCCATCGATTTATGAATTTGATAATTCCGGTGGTCTACCCTGAGCACCTGACATCTCCACAGTTGCGTACAGTGAATACCTCCTTCCTTCCTATATGACCCCGCCGTAGGGCTTCAACTCTCTACGTACACACATCTTTCTCTTCCCTTTCCTCAACCAACATTCTCCTCGCCAGTACTACATCGCCAGTACTACATCATCAACATAATGGCAACCGTTATGACAGCCGCCCAGCGGGCTCTTAACTTGCCAGAACTCCTCGGAATTATCTTCATGTTCCTTCACTACCATCCGGCGGATACGCCCTTGCCCCCCAAACATTGGATATACCCTTGTATCCTCGTGAACAAGGTCTGGTGTCGAGAAGCAGTGCCCTACGTCTGGAAAGTGCCCTACGTCTTGAAAGATACCAATACTGGCCTGTTTTCCATAGAAGAACATCTCGCCACAATACCTCCTGGACGAAGACAGTTCTATGTGAACTTTATTGAGAAAGCCGATTTTAAAAATGCCTATTATGGCAATTGGGATGTCAATGGGCTTGCTGAAATAACATTTTCTCGCTTGAAGTCTCTGACTTTATTTCCTTACCTGGGCTATGATAGGACTTGTCCCCAGATTAAGGCACCCCGTCTCAAGAGTCTGACTCTCTTTCCGGCGGGCTTGCGTTGCGTTCATTGTCGACATAGAGCCTTGAACGCGATGCTAGAGCAAATTCCGGTATGTTATCTTTTAGTCTTCCCATAATTCTACTTTCGTTTTCTTTCTTGTTGCTTTCCGTTTTACCTGCTTACTGACGAATTGGGAAACTGTGTGTAGGATCTTTTCCCGGACTTGGAAGAACTTACGATTTCATTTGACTCTGAAATTTGTTCTGGAATAATGGAAATGCTCAGGGAGCGGCTACCAAAGTTGAAAATGTTGGATGCCTCAGTTGATTGGGAGGAAATGGGCTCAGAAGACGACTCAGAAGACGACTCAGAAGACGACTCAGAAGACGATTCGGAGGAAGACTCGGAGGAAGACTCGGAGGAAGACTCGGAGGAAGACTCGGAGGAAGACTCGGAGGAAGACTCGGAGGAAGACTCGGAAGAAATCTAGGGAGAAAACACGAATGATGGCAGACAGGACTGGTTATCAATAGGCCAGAGATCGTGGTGAAACGCTTTACAGTAGTTTCACATATTCTATTCAGTTCTTCTATTGCGTTGGAGGGCATCTCACAAGATATTCTCGAAAGAAAAGCTGCGGGGAAAAGTACTGCACAGATCTCTGTATCTGCAACCAGTTTCAAGGTTATCCTTAACCGTGTCCCGGCATCAATAACTGCCTAGGCGTTGATATGACTCCTTAGCACCTACAAGCCTAGTAGGTCAAGTAATGAATTGATATTCAATGCAAAAGAGAGGGTTACACGTGCTTAGGGTCCGCGTGGACGTAGTGAATACCTTTATCACCAATGATTTAGCCTTTTGGGAGTCAGTGAGACTTCGAATTTGCACACTGACCCAACCTCCCTTCCTTCTCTTCTCTTCTTTCCATCCTCCAGCTACCTTCCAATCCACAAACGAAGTCAAAGGAGAAAAGCAAAACAATAGCAGCAACCCAGCGTGCTCTTAATCTGCCAGAGCTGCTGGCCATCATCTTCAGGCTCCTTCATCAGAGTCTGTACTCAAGCTGGAATAACCTCCTGTTTTACAGAATCATGCTTGTGAACAAAGTCTGGTATCAAGAAGCGGTTCCCTACTTGTGGGAATACATCACATTTGACGGATGTGTTAGATTTTGTTCTGTTCATCATTATTTCACATTTATCGTTCCATGCCGAAAACAATTCTATGCTAAGTTTATTGAGAAAGCAAAGGTGTACTCTCGCCCTTACGGCGCTGATTTGTTCGATGATGGGTTCTTTGCTCGGTCAATGTCTCTTATTTTACATCTCAATAATATTCACGCCTGTGATATGCCCATGATCCAGGCGCCGCGATTCAAGAAGTTGACGATATGTGTTTGGCCATCGTGGAAAATCCCAGAGCATGTAGAGGCGGTGCTGAATAATGTCCCGGTATGCCTGGCCATATTTAATCTGCCTCAGTAATCATCATAATATCTTTTATCCTTCTGACCTTTGCAAGTCCAGTAGGTCACGCGGAGAAGAAAAGCCTACGCGTGTGCATGGTCGGCTTGGATACAGTGAATATCTCCTTCCTTGCTGCATGACCCCCCGCCGAAGGGCTTCAAGTCTCTCTACCTACACACATCATCTATTGCTACATCCTCTCTTCAAACCAACCACATCATGGCTATCGTCATGACCGCCGCTCAGCGGGTTCTTAACTTGCCAGAACTCCTCGCAATAATCTCTATGTTCCTGAACCTCTACGAGGAAGACTCTTTCAGACTGCAATTTGCTGGGGCTCACATAGAAATACAATTTGGATTTGGGCCCTCAAACATCATATTTACACTTGCATTCTCGTGAATAGAACATGGTACCAAGAAGCAGTGCCCTACCTCTGGGAAAGAGTTGGTTTAGGCACAATGTCTCGGACTCTGGTCATCACAAATTTCGCTCCTGGCAGAAAGAAGTTTTATGCTGAGCTTGTTGAGAGCACAGTTGTGCGCATTCGGTGGTTTGATAATGGGGCCTTATGTGGATTATTCTTTCCTCGTCCAACGTACTAGTATTTGATTGTTCATCTTGAACAGGGTTACAGCGGTGTTTTCCAGCTCCATGCCCCAAAGCTTAAGAAGTTGAAGCTCTGGGATCATGAAAACCTAACTATCTCTTCGGGCTGACAAATCGGTCATACAGGTGATAATGGGGCAGATCCCCGTATGTTATTGTTCCAGTCCATGTCATACCATTTTCTTTCTTAATGTTCCTGTTGGCTTCTGCTAACTGATTGAAACCTGTGAGCAGGATCTTTTCCCGCATCGGGAGGAATTAATATTTATTGACGTGGCAAAACCTACCTTCCGCTATGTGCAAAGACTCAAAGAGCGATTGCCGAAGCTGGGGCTGTGTAAGGGTGTGAATAATTTGAAAGCGGACGAAGAAAGCGACTGGGAAGCAGCCTGGGGAGGATAGACGGAAGGGTTGATATCCATCACGGTTATGTGGAATACTTCCCAATGACTCCTCTTGTTGGTCCTGTGGGAAGCTAACGACATATATTGGGATGAAGGGCTGGACTTAAAATGTTCTTGCATTTTCAGGCCCACATAAAAAGATTCAATGATCGCAACGTTCTGGAAAACTACCTCTACAACAATAAATTTACTTCTCCCCTCTAACATCTGCATGCCATCGATGTCCCTGCCAGTGCAACAACGCCGTCGGAATAAAGCTAACGCCCATGATCAACGCCGTGATGACTCCCGAGCTGTTCGCGATGCCTACACTCTCAAACATATCTGGGAACCTGTTTTATTCCTGTTAGCCACCAACCGAAGTACAAACAATCACACGGGCAGCTGAAGATGATGTACTTACCAGAAAGGCCCAATGAATCCCCATGTCGAGCGCACAAAGTTGATAAACACGCCCACGCTGCCCGCGTCCTGCGGATACGTATCCACCGCATACGTCGTCAAAACAGTCGTCACGACCTGGTTCCCAAAAGCCGCGATTCCAGTGCCCACGACGGGCGTGACGGTCCATTTCCCCTGCGTCGCCTGCTCTGTACAGACCAGAAAGACCACCATCCCTGCGATACTCACCAGGAAGCCGACGTAGCTGAGCCAGAGCCGGTATTCCGGCGCTGGCTTCTGTCCGATCCGTCGTGCCCGGGTGTTCATCCAGACGTCGGACATGATGCCGCCGAGTTGTTCGCCGAGGAGCGAGCCGATGATCAGACCGAGGAATTGCAGACCGAGTTGTTGAGCGTTGAGCTCAAATTTGCTCTGTAGCAGTTGGGGCACTTCGACGGAGTTGAGCACTGAGGCGAATACAAAGACCATGGCGTAGGCGACGGCGGCCAGGAGAACGGGGATGTTGGTGAAGAGGCTGAGCGGGTGGAGGAATTCGGAGAAGTTGAATGGGGTCGGGTCGATTCGTCGGACGGCCAGGTATTGGTGTTTGAAGGAGGAAGTGGTTTGCATGTCCGAGCCGAGGTAGCGGGTTTCAGGACCGAAGAAGATGTAAAGAATGAATTCGCACGCGTTGGTCTGGTCGAGTTAGATTGTTATCCTGTCAGCGCGAAGGGTGCCTTACGATGGCCAGAACCCAGTAGATCCACCGGTATCCCACGCGCTGCGCAACGAAGCCGAAGATAAATGGACCGACGGGAACTCCCAATGTGACCATGACGGTCCAAATACCCATGTATCGCGCTCGCTCGCGTTTGAAGAAAGTCTCTGTCACCACGGCACTGCCGAGGGCCATGGCCGGCGAGATGAAGAACGCTACGAGGGCGCGACATGCAGCCATGGAGGCATAGTCGGGACTATTGGCGCAGCCAATGTTACAGACGCAGCTCAATACCAGAGAGATCAGAAAGATCGGTCGTCGTCCGAATCGATGGGAAAGCGGCTTCCAGAATAACGGGGCGCCGCCGAGAATGGCGATCTGAAGGGAGGTCAGGTAGCTGACTCGCTGCAGCGTCACGCCGAGATCCAGCGAGATGTCTTCGTAGGCACAGATAATGGCGGCCGCGGTGAAAGTGCCCATGCAGGCGTGGAAGGCGACTAGGCTGAGATTCGCTGCTTTCTACATGCTGTCAACGCCGACATTCCAGCCTCGGGATAAGTCCACATACCTTCCAGAGCGGCCAGTTGTACGGATCGGCCGGATCTCTGCTCGGCAAAGGGTCGAGGTCCAACGTGCCATGTCGTTTCAGCAGATAGGCTCGATGAGAATTGGATAGAAGGCTGGTCGGATCCAGAGTTCCGAGCGCGGCTTCGGCCTTCTCGAAGTATTGGGAGTCCGACTTGGACACCGACATCGTATGTTCGTGGGACGCCATCATGCAAGAGGTCTCGAGAGATCAGACCACGACAGCATGGGTCCGTCGAGGGAGCGAGAGCTATCGTGATAAAAGAGATGGGCGTCAGACCCGGGGGCGGGTCCGGACCGTGTCGAGGACCCATTCTCACCCATTCTCACGCAGCGATTTCAATGAATCATTGAGGAAAAGGCCGGGGAAAACGCGGGGTCCCGTGTCAATTCCCCCATTCAGCAACGCTAATTGTGGTGGATTCCTGGCGGGCCACTGAGAGTCTCACGATGTGCGGTGGAGTCGACGTCCCGGCGGTACTTGACGGGGGCGACTCGTTGCCGGTCGTGCATCTTTTCGTCTCCTGCTGGCGTCTCGGGTGTCAATGTACCGGATTTCGAAGGATTCCACCGAGGATGAGGAGTGCGAGGCTGATCAACTGCCGATGAATCGTTCCGAGCGTCTGATAGATGGACAATTCCCTGTCGCGTTGCTTGGTGTGCTTATGCTTCGTTGGTGCCTTGGGGCCAAGGCGGATGGCGTCTTTTTGTCCCTTGGCTGCACTGAAGATGCGTGCATTTGTAAGGAGTTACAAGCCATGAACCTCTGAGTCCTTCAGATGAGACAGCTCACCATGGCTGGATGACGGGGTCGATCTACTCCTCTCTTTCTTTTTGCCATCGGTGGATGATTTTTGGCAGCGTCCCGAACCAACATAGGGTGAAATCTCTCATAAAGCTGTCTGGCCACCGGGTCGATTATTATCTGCCCGGTCGCAGATATGCCCTCTAATCAGCTACAGATGATTGCGTTACCTGATCGACCCCTCACCGTCGGAATGATAAGCTGATCAAATGCATCTCGCCTGTTCAGGATCCTTGCATCGGCTAAGCGCATACCCGTTGCGAGTAAACTCTCACGATGAAACGCCCAGAATATTACTTCTATACGTCCAGCCTTGTCACCTCAAACTACGGAGTACGAAGTATGAGATCAACGACCTGGTTCAGCAATTACCATCGCGCGGCGCGAGAATGGCTGGTTTCGACGCAGCAAGGGGCTCAGGTACCGCGTTCCAAATCACTACGCGTCGCAGCCTGATGAGGACTCTATTTCCAGTGGCGGACCAAGTGTCTGGCTATTTCGGTGGCAGGAATGCAGGACAATACTGAACCAAGGGATGCGTCTATCTCCCATGCGGCGCAAACAACGGCTGTTCATTCTATCAAGGGATGGCCCTTTAAAGACTGCCAACGATTCCACTTTTGTCTGGATTAAAGCCACGTCGCACATATCGATTCAAACTCAAGATGTACGCTCTCAAGCAAATCTCGCTCCTCACATTGGCGCTGTTCTCGGTGGCCAGTGTCGCGAAGACCACAACTGTACGCATGACCCCTTGATATCGGTTATACTGCGCTGAGAATTAATGGGACGTTAGATTGGCCTCGAGACGGCAGAGGGGAGCAAGCCAATCCAGGTACCATTCGATGAGTGTCATTTGATCGACGAAGAGTGAGTAGCTATGCTATGTTCTGGGTGGTTTTAAGCGGAGACTGACATGGAAACCAGGGAGGTCCACACCGTTGCTACGACCACCTTCTGTCGCTTTTTCGTGTAAGAGTATCCAGGCCCTTATGGAAGAAACTAAGCTCACTGTTTGTCTCCTGTAGTGGCACGGTATGCAACGGTCGTCAAACGCTCCTAGGACCGGGAGATCACTCGTCGGCGGACCCGGTGCCTATTGGGAGTGTCTTCTGCCAGAGTTAAAATCGGATCCACGGACGCATCATACATCATGTATACTACAGGTCTCTGGACGCGCTGTCACAGGCGGCTGGGGTCGAGCCATTCAATACATAATACAATAATATAACATCTACAGCCAGTCAGACTTCCTCGCCGCGGCAGCCACACATTATCTACACGATAATCAACAGCGTCATGGACTATCGGTCGCCTTCCTTAAGACCAAAAGGCCCTGTCCTAGAATGCGCTGAGTCAAGTTCAGCTTCATGTGTAAATAATGCTACTTATGTCTCTTTGAATGATGAGTAGCTGGTAAAGGTCTAGAGAACAAATTACTGATTAACATTGATCGTCCCCCTTCCGTTACCCGACCTGATGAACATAAACTAAATACCCCTCCGGCAAATCCCCCCAACACATTTATTCCCATAACAGCATCCTTCATCGTTCTCGCACAAACCATAGTCTTCGGCGCAGTTAGGCCACTTTGGATCGGTCGGTCGACATTTATTCGCCGCGCAGTAAGATGAGCAGCAGAGAGGTCCGGAGCCGGACGTGCAGCCCGCTGGAAAGTTCGTTAGCATACTTCCCGGGTAGACTTTTCGACTATGTTGGCTCACAGTAGACGCCCACGCAAGTGGGCGTTGGCATGCAGGTTTCTGTGGTCGTGGTGCGAGTCACCGTCGTGCAGGTCTCTGTCAAGGGGCAGCCATCATAGTCGCCGCATTTACTGACTGCGGTGGCGGCAAGAACAAGAGGTATGAGGAGCTTGGTCAGATACATTATATCTTCGTTGCAAATTCAGATTGTCCCTGGCGTGAGTCGAAAAAAATGTGATATCAGAAAAAGTTGCTCGACGACAGACAACCATTGAAGGTATATATCCGCGAAGCAAGTGGACACGGTACTCAAATGTCTTAGGTATTTCCGGTTGATTGGAACAGAATACGAGCGGCCACCATTGTGACATGCTGCTGCTGGCTCGTACAATACCTGTTGAGCATCGTAGTCCACCTCCATGTCTCAGTTTCCCAGTATCTTTTGGCTTGGTCGAAGATACGATTGGCGTTGTGGAATGCCGGACAGGTCCGTGGTGGCTGCCTTGCCACTGCAATACGAGGTAGAGATGGATGTAATAGTGAATGCGATGATCTTCTGATCGAGATACAATAGAGGCCTTCGTATCATTATGTCCAAGACACCATTGTGTGGGAATTTGGATGGTAGACTGCCGCTAAAAGCGATTTTACATGGTAGAACTACCTGTGGCTTGGTCGGTACAATGTCCCCTTTTCTTTCCTCGCTCATCTTTCTGTCTATGTGCGAGGATACTCAAGTCCTAAAAAGTCAAACGCTAATCGTCAAGCTACTTCCGGGTGAAAGGTCAGATCATCATATTGGAGGGATTTTAGATCTCAATGGAAGCTGCCATATTTGCGGAGTCTCCGGACATTTCTCCCTTCCCATTCACCCATCTCCTGTAGTATCTGGAAATACGCCTTCAAAGGTGATGGTAGTGAAAATGGCGTCGGTGAAACTCCACAAGTCTCCAATCGTTCGAGGGGATTTCTTCAATCTTACGTTGACGTCAATATGTTGAGATCACAGGTAGAGACCTTCCTAGAAAGTAAGTGACTAACTAGTAACTGCCAACTAGACGAGGCTAGCGATGCTTAATCTTAAGGACCGAACGGTGGTTCAGGATCGGTCGATGGAAAGCCGGAGGTTATGTCGGTCCCACGCAAAGGGCAGCATAAGCCTTTCACAGATTGGCAATCGGCGGCCGTTGTCCTGCAAGCAGTAACTGCCGACTTTCGGTTTTCTAGATCGGAAGGAATTGAGGCTTTTTCCAATCTGTATTTCGTAACAAAATCACCGATTAGGTAAATGGTTGAAGCTTCAAACCGAGGAATGCAACGTTAGGGCTCGTCAGGCACGAGATCGGCGATGACGTCGCGACCAAACTTGTTCCTCATGAGCTTGAATGGCTTCTCCTGGCGAGAACTCAGAGAAAGCGCGCACCTTCGATAGGCCGCCAAATTCCGACCGGTGGAGCAACCCCGACAGACCGTCGAACTCTTCTCCTCGTCAGGTCCACCGCGTGGGGGTGGAGCACTTTCCGGCTATACCAATCACCATGGGAACTATCGAATCCCTTATCCATTTCCCCCCAGAAGGCGGAAGGCTTCCAAGGGAAAGAGAGATCCAACGCGCCCGTTTGGAGCAATCAGGACGCCGGCCTCATGCATGTGAATGACAGGCACTATATGAAGCCAAGACTGCCAAGGAGACGTCGACAAGTGAGAGGACGGTATTGCTGCACGCGTTGGTCTCCATCGTGAGGCCATAACAATTCCTTATCCCGGGATTCCAGAATTATAAAGCCAACCCTCGCCCGTGTTCAGTATATTTTTCTCTTCTTTTCTGTGCGCACTATTCCTCCCTCTTTTCTCCTCCTCATCCTTCTACCATTGACCTAGTCCTTCCTCCTTTTCCTCTCTTCGCAATGCACCTTTCCCTCCTCTTCACGGCTGGTGTCGCCGTGGCCGCGCCGTCCTTCAACCGTCGTCGCGCCACCGCTCACAATGAAACGATCACCAACATCCAGGTCGGGCCTCGTCCCTTTTACCTGGTGGACGACATGGACGCGAGTCCCCTGAAGGAGGAGTTGCAAGGCTGCTCGGAGAAGCCCATCCGACACGCACCCAGCTTCACCATCTCGCACCGCGGCGGGCCCCTGCAGATCCCCGAGCACAGCCGCCAGGGTATGTTGGCCGGCGCCCGCATGGGGGCCGGCATCGTCGAGTGCGACGTCGCCTTCACCAAGGACCGCCAGCTCGTCTGTCGCCACTCGCAGTGCGATCTGCACACCACCACCAACATCCTCACCATCCCCGAGCTGGCCGCCAAGTGCTCTACCCCGTTCGAGCCGGCCACCGACGACCAGCCCGCCCAGGCCCGCTGCTGCACCTCCGACATCACGCTGGCCGAGTTCAAGTCGCTCTGCGCGAAGATGGACTCCAGCAACGCCTCTGCCACCACGCCGGAGGACTACCAGTACGGCGGACCTGCCTGGCGCACCGAGCTGTACGACCAGTGCGCTACCCCTGTTGAGCACAACGAGTACATCGACCTGATCGACTCCCTGGGTCTGCAGTTCTCGCCTGAGCTGAAGGAGCCTCAGGTCGAGATGCCCTTCCAGGGCAACTACACCCAATCCATGTACGCCCAGCAACTGATCGACGACTACAAGCGCAAGGGCATCCACCCGTCGCGCGTGTGGCCGCAGTCCTTCGTCGAGGACGACATCTTCTACTGGATCAAACATGAGCCCGCGTTCGGTCGCCAGAGCATCTACCTGGACGAGCGCATCGACACCGAGGAAGGATACGCCAAGGCCGTGGCTAGTCTGCCGGAGTTGGCCAAGAAGGGCGTCAAGATCATGGCGCCGCCTATCTTCGCGCTGCTGAACGCCACCGACGACGGCGAGCTGGTGCCCTCGAAGTATGCGGAGGCTGCGCGCGACGCCGGTCTCGATCTCATCACCTGGTCGTTGGAGCGGTCGGGTCCGTTGAAGGCGGCGGCGGCCGATAAGGAGTATTACGTGCAGTCGATTGCGGACGCGATCAGCAAGGACGGCGATATGTATCGCATCGTGGATGCGTTGGCGCGCAAGGTCGGCGTTAGGGGTATCTTCTCGGATTGGCCGGCCACGGTGACTTACTATGCTAACTGCGTGGGATTGGCCTAGACGGAGGGTATCTGTAGTATGTAAATATCCTGGTATGCCGTGCTGTATAATTATAGTGTATAGATGAGAGATCGAGAGGTTGAGACAAAAGGATGTATGAATAATCCTAGATTCGTTAATGATATGAATGTACGACTGCGTGTCCTGTGACCAGTATTTATGAGCCAATCCTCTATCTCTGAATATCCCTGACTAGACTCCGTACAGGTCAGATCTTCACTCTAAGCTCTGCATCCGGAAAAGCCGACTGCCCATGGGGAATCCCCGCAAAGTCGGGGCGATGATGGCCCGAACGATCCACCGCGAGCTGCCTTCAGCCTACGGAATGGCATCCAACATGCCGTTGCTTGTCACCGACATCCACAACCGTCAAGATCGGCGTGTGGAGTACTGTATCTCGGGGTAAATCTCTCACGATGCCCGGGGAAGCAAACCCCAGAGCCGAATATTAGATCGGTCCGTTCCCTTCGCCGCACCTGGGGTAATTTTCTGCCATTGTTTGTCTGTGAGCAATTACATTCAGACAGATAGACAGATTGGTAGTCAAAATGCCGCTCTGGAAACATGACTTTCGAGGCCGGTCCTTGATCATCGCCATCACCCTGGCCTCCTGCCAGGCCTTCCTGTTGCTGGGTTTCGACCAGGGAGTGATGGCCGGCATCATCGGCGCCGATAATCGGTTCGGTCGTGACTTCAATAATCCCGACGCCGACATGCAGGGGAATATCACCGCCCTGTACGATATCGGCTGCGTGCTCGGCTCCATCGTGGCGTATTTCGTGGCCGAACGGTTGGGTCGTCGCACCATGTTGATTGCCGGTGGTTCGATCATGATCATTGGCACCGCTATTCTGGCGTCGTCTTTCACCGTCGCTCAGTTAATTGTCGGGAGAATCGTCACCGGCATCGGCAACGGCATGAACTCGTCCACCGCGCCCGTCTATCAGTCTGAGCTGTCGCCGGCTTCGTATCGCGGTGCGTTGCTCACGCTGCAGGGAACTGTGACTATTCTCGGCGTGGTGATCGCCTACTGGTAAGTCCTCGGGGACAAACGATGAAGAACATCTGGAAAGATGTAGAGGAGACCTACTAACACCCTCCTTTCGCAGGATGGACTACGGCACCAGTTACACCGAATCCTCACTGCAATGGCGCTTCCCGCTCGCCTTCCAAGCCGTCTTCGCCGTCTGCCTCGTCCTCCAAGTCATCGGACTGCCCGAAACGCCTCGCTGGCTGGCCTCGCGCGACCGATTCGAAGAAGCCCGCGAGGTCATCGCCGCCATCGAAGATAAGCCCGTCCATGATCCCTCCGTCAGCGCCACCGTCGTCGACATCCGCGTCAACCTGGAGGAAGAACACAAGGGCGGCCCCTTCAGCATCAAGGAGCTGTTCACCTGGGGCGAGAGCCAGAATCTGCGTCGCCTGCTCATTGTCATCTCTATCGAGCTGGGTCAGCAGTTTAGCGGGTCCAATATGATCAATTATTACGGGCCGGTTATGTTTCAGGAGACGATGGGCATGGATCGTAATCTGGCGATGATTCTCGGCGGTTGCATTCAGTGCACGTATCTCGTGGGCTCGGCCATTCCGGTCTTTCTTATGGATCGCTTCGGTCGTCGCACGTTGCTGCTGATCAGTACCGTCGGACTGTGTTTCTGCTTCGTCATGGTCTCCATCCTGCTGTCGCTGGGCCAGACGAATGCCGCGTACGGTGCGACTGCCTTCATCTTCGTCTTTCAGCTGTTTTACGGCTCCGGATGGCTCTGCGTGCCGTGGTATTATCCCAGCGAGATCTGCTCGAACCGTATCCGCAGTCGGATGCAGGCGATCGCGTCCGGCTGGAACTGGATGGCTGTGTTTGCGGTGGTGAAGATCACTCCGATTGCTTTTGGTGAGTTCATCTCCCTTTCCCTAGGCTTCTCATGGACGAGGGCAAATGCTAACAAACACAGCCAACATCGGGTGGAAAACCTTTGTCATCTTCGCCGTGCTCAACGCCGCCTTCTTCCCCATGGTGTACTTCTTCTATCCCGAGACTAAGGGTCTGGAACTCGAGGATCTCCCGCTGCTGTTTGCCAAGGGCGGATTCACCGGAGGCGTGTTCTCGTCCAAGGGTGGCCGCACGGTGCTGCCGGGTCAGCATGCGCAGGAGCGGAATGTGGATAAGAAGGTCGAGGAGGAGCAGGTGCAACAGGTGGAAAACGTGGAATAGAGGATCTACGATTGATGAATTATGTTTTGTTATTCGGTTTTTATAGTATAGAGCGAATGTCATTATTGGGCATGTATTGCCGTACATGGAAGAGCACCATATAGTACACCTATTCCAAGCAGTCTCGTGAAAATGTCATGTCATCACGTCATTCTACCAATACCTGGCACATATCAGGTCATGTCGTATCACTACTCCGTGCTTTCTCATAGCATGAACTTGAAGGGCTCAAAGCTCGTCGATCTTAGGCTCCTCGCGATCAGGCCAGAGGATCCTCTCAATGTCGTCTCGTCGTTCGAGAGGCTTGAACTCGACTTCTCCACGGTCGGCTTTGACCTATTCCCTGCTCAGCCCGTCCTTTGACCTTCCACGCCACTAGCAAGGATACTGGAAACATACCGAAGCCTCGCTCAAGGTCGAATGAAGCTCGTCCCACGACGGGGGCGGTCCGCCACCCTTCTTCTTGATGATCAGGGTCGGTGACTCGAAGTCGTCCGGGAAAGTGGCCGCCACGTAGACTGTCTGGTTAGTGCGCTTGGTCCTGGCATGGGAGGCTACGTACAGTCCTCGCCTTTGGTGCTGATCGGTTCGGGGTGGTAGGGGCGCAGACGGGGATACAGGGTGGTGACAGGACGCAGGGAGCGGCGGAGAGTAGTGGAGAGGGGTTTGGATAGGGATGGGAGCATGGACATTGTGGAGTTTCGTTTGGTTTATGAAGATACTTATTCAGAGAGAATGGTGACAGGAGGGAGATTGTAGGACTGCGAAGTAAACGATGGAAGGCGAAGATATGAGGCGGTCATTATGACGTCGGTCGCCTTCGTTGTTTTGTTCTGTTTGTTCATTGTTAGGATCCATGGTTCTCAGGCATCAGCTGAAGTCAATTGCTCTCCAGAAGAAATGAATTGTTCTTTTGTTGTTCATGTTGAACTTCCATTGTTCTCTACTCGCGTTGGACTGCGATGGTGTGATTTCCGACCGACAGTCGCCATCGCACTAGACTCGAGCAACTCTCAACCTCGCCTGTCGCTCTCCACGACATCCATCTGGCATCTTGCTACCTGCATTCAAATGAAATGGAAGACCCGAAGAACGCTCGCACATCCACGCCGCATTCCCACCCCCCATGCCATCCCCATTGCCAGCTCATGGCACACAGTAACCCGGCCACGCCGATGACCGTCAAACCCAGGTTGCGCCAGGCCGCCTGAATCGTCTGCATGACATTACCCTGATAGTTCTGCATCATGTATGCCGGCGTGTTTCCCGAGGGGAATTCCTCGTCTGGAATTTCTTTCCCCAGGAATCTATCGCGAGTGAGTTTCGGTGGCATTTCCGTCTCGCACGCGGAACGAGTCGAATTAACTCACCGACAGAGAGGCTCCCATCCATCTTCCACCGTCCAATTCAGCAGTTGTTCTTGAGGAACCAGTCCGCGAACGACGGCGTTATGCTCCTCATATACCCACTTGCCATGTCGGGTCCACGAGCCCCGGAAGAAAGGGATCAGGCCCTCCGCGAGGTACCGCTTTTGCCAGTACAGATCTGCCTGGAACCAGGGCAGAACGTGCCACAGCGTGCCCGTGGTCAGTGGTGTAATCACCGCGTTGAAGCTGCGGTACCAGTCGTCGACGTCGCGACGGTTCAGGATGACCTGGGCTTCCGGGTACGCCTGGATGAGCTCCGGCGCGAACAGCGCGCCCGGCTGGTCGGTGATGGCCTCGCAGTGACCAAAGAGGGCGTCAAAGTCGGCGCGCCCCAGTCCCGACGACCCAGCGACGGGGCTGGTCGTGCCCCATTTCCGCCGTCCCAGCAGCGTCCAGGGTCGCCAGAGGGTCGGCGTGTGACTCCACATTTCGAAACCGTGGAAGACGTGGTCGTAGCCCAGGATGCGCAGCGCCCGTGAGAGCGATTCGGTGCCGCTGCGGGAGAAGCCGAGGGCCATCACTCGCATGGGTTTGCTGCGTGTCTGCGCCTCGTGGGGCGTGTGGTATAGCCATGACTCGAGAGTGTTCATGGTGGATGGACACTATCTCTCTCTCTTGCCAGAATAATCACGATGTCACTTCGCTCTGTTCTGAAGAGATTTCACCTGCTTGCTCTGGATTTTACGAACACCACCGATCAGTGGGGGCAACGCGAGCCTTGCGATTCAGATCGTGCGATTGGTGCCCACTCGTCTGGTCGCTCTAGTCTGTACAGAGTAACACGAGCGACAAGTGCCTGCGGGGTTGTCATGCTGGATTGTGATCGTCGACTCATCGTGGACTGTTCGTTTTCGAAGACTACGTGCTCAACTTTATGACAGGTTGAACCGACATGAGCCTTCATGACAGCCACTGAATCACCAAGACCTACGAACCAATTACGGGAAGACGCAAGTTCCAGAAAGGAGTGATTGAGTTTAAGGGACCCAGTCCCAACATTGACATCCTAACATACACATTTCCTCCCCATCCCCTTCAAGACCAAGAGGCCAGAGCGTCTACTGCACGGTGATAGAAGCAGACCCGCTGCTCTGGTATCCCTCGGTGGCCACGATCTGGTAGTTGTGCTCTCCCAGCGACAGACCGGACTTGGCCCAGGCGTCGAAGTGGTTCTGGACGGTGACGGTACCGCCGGTGCGCAGGTTGTCGCGGACGGACCAGAACTGAGTGAAGGTGGCAGTGCCATCGATCGAAGGAGCGTTGGTGCGCGTCGTCTTGTAGATCTTGTAGTTGCTGCCGTCGCTGGTGACGCTGCCGATCTGCTCCGCGCCCGTCGACGGGTTGTAGTCGCCGTAGTTCTCGACGATGTAGTATTCCACCAGAGGGTTTCTGGTCCAGCCGTACACGGACAGGTAGCCGTTGCCGTTGGGCGAGAAGGTACCGCTGTAGGTGATGGCGCTGTGAAGGGTTAGCTTCCAGTCTTCACGAGACAAGGCGTATCTCGAGGACGAGAGGACTCACTTGGAGCTACCCGGGTTCCAGCCCTTGCCGACAACAAAGTTGCCGGCATCCTTCCAGTCGACGCTGTACTGGCCGCCGTTGCCGTTGGTGTAGCTCACCTCGCCGGCACCGTCCGACCAGGTCGAGTAGAAGTATCCGTTGTTCGTGCCCTGACCGCGCTTGGCCAGCTCGACGAGCGACGAGTCGCCGGGGGCAGCGAATGCGCCGGTGACGGCGGAGATGGCGAGGAAGAGAGAAGAGAAAGCGACCATTTTGTATTGTGCCTTGGAGGTGAGAAGGAACTGAAGGGTTGATTGATTCAGGATGATCGGGGTACCAGTCTGCGCTTTATATCCGTCTGTCTCCTGGTTGATTATTACTGATTGAGCACTGACTAGACTGATTCATTAGAGACAAAAATAACTGCACCACCAGCGGTTTCACGTCTTTCCAAGCTCCTCATCTCCCGCCTAAAGTCGACATCACTGCGTGCTCCGGAATAGCCTCGGACAGGCTTACTGAAATTTGCACGGAGGCCGCGTTTCAGGTAGAGATTGACAGTCCACTATTAGCCGTTCAGGCGTCCCGACACTGGCCAAGCTCGACGCCGCGGTGGACCTCCTGCTCCACTCTCGCCGGTGGTGAAGAATGGCCGGTTCTGTCTAGTTTCACTTCTCCTGGCTAAAGGCCTTGGTCTGCCCCTGACTTGACTCCTGTACTCTGCGCAATGTGCAAGCCTGAATGGTGTTATTGACTACTCCGTATAGTTCGGCTATAATCTATATGACGTCGGATGCTGCCGGGGTTTTAGCCAGGGGATTAGGAATCTAGTTCCTGGAATATGCTAAATATGAACTCAGGGGAAGCTTGGATTGGGGAAGGGTACGGAGTCTTGCTGATTGAATGCTTGAATTAACCGTGATCGACACTCTTGTCAAGTATCAGTGTCAATGGGGTCCGATCTGCGACAGTTGAGGTTTCCGTTTTCTGCGCTGATCCCGGCGGAGGGTGTTGAATTTAGCCTTAATGGAATCGACCGATCGAGACTCGAGGTTCAATTGAAGGGGTTGATTGATGAAGGTATGGCTCCTGGGTATACCTCGTCCTTCCGATGAGCCATCATGAGGCAACATTGCAGAATATCCCCGAGTGTGTTAGCCATGTAGAATCTGCACCGGGAGTTCAATGCCTATGATTAGTCTAGTGAGGTAAGAAAGCTACTGCTTTCAGACTAGACAAGCGATATTGTAACTTGGCTGTCGGTAGTTAAATGCCGAATGGATTGTCGATATTGCACAGTCCTGGGCTGAATATAGATGTGATGGTGTAGGGGACAAGGCCCAATCCTTCAGTCAAAGAATAAAGATAGAAAATAAACTATCAGACCCAAAACGAACAGAATTATGTACAGGTGTGAGATACTGTAGTATAGAATCCCACCCAAAAAAGAAAAGCAAGGACTGATGCCAGCGAAGAGCTGCATAAACTCGGCTAACGGAGCCACAATGGCGGGGTATCTGAACATCAACTGAACATCAGTTCAACATCAACAACAAACCAATTGTCAATTCCACTCATAATGGCTCCCAACCTGGGTAGCGAAATTATGCTCTGCATCGATGATATAAAATCTGCCGCGACGGCCAAATTACCGTTCATCGTCCGAGGTCGGCTTCATCTGCACACATCGCTCTATCTTGGGAAGATATGGAGCTAACCTCGCCCAGAATTCTACAACTCCGGATCCACGCAGCAAGTGACGGTCTCGGAGAACTCATCAGCCTATAACAAATACCGTCTGCGTCCTCGCGTCCTCGTCGACGTGTCCGGTTTGGACATCTCTACCACCGTGTTCGGTCAGCGCATCGCCTCCCCCCTGGGTCTCTCACCCACCGGCATCCAAGCCATGGCTCATCCCGACGGCGAACTGGCAACTAGTCGGGCCTGCGCGCGTCGTAATGTCCCCATGGGCGTGTCCTCGTTTGCGAACCACTCCATCGAAGAAATCACCCAAGCTGGTGAGGCTATCGGCCCTGCCATCCACGCCATGCAGGTCTATACAATGCGTGACCGCGCCAAGCAGGAACGTATTATCCGCCGCGCTGAAGCCTCAGGGTGTAAAGCTATCTTCTTGACAGCGGATAGCCCGATCCTGGGCGTGCGGTATACCGAGGTCAAGCATGATTTTCGCACCCCGGCGGGGCTGTCGTTTCCGATGATCGAGTGGGATTCGGAGACGATTCAGAATCAAACGCATGATGCGGGTTTCGTGGCGTTTAATTCGGATGCGCATTCTTGGGCTAATGAGATTCCGTGGTTGAGATCGGTTACGAAGATGCAGATCTGGATTAAGGGAGTCTTGACGGCGGAGGATGTTCTTCTGGCGAGACAGTATGGCTGTGATGGCGTGCTGGTGAGTAACCACGGCGGACGACAGTTGGATGGCACGCCGGCGACGATCGACGCGCTGCCGGAATGTGTCAAGGCCGCTGGAGGGCAGATTCCCGTGCATATCGACGGTGGGATTCGGACTGGGAGCGACATGTTCAAGGCTTTGGCATTGGGAGCCGAGTGTTGTTGGATTGGGAGGCCAACGCTGTGGGGATTGGCGGTAGGTTGAGCGTCCTGTTTGCGAGGGTCTACATTGACTAATGATTTGGTTTAGTATGATGGCGAGAAGGGTGTCTCTCGAGTGTTGGACATTCTTTATGACGAGTTCAAGCGCTGTATGCAATTGACGGGCTGTCGCACGTTGGCCGATGTTTCGACGGCTTCGATCGGGGTCTTGCGATCGGATGGGCCGTTGGCTCGTCTTTGATATATCAAATGCTTGCTGTTCGAGAATTGACTAGAGCGCACATTGATAGACGCATTATGAGGACGAGTGATGATAGATTTACGCCCAAACCAAGAATACACGCAAGAGCTGAAAATCAAAACTCCATTCACCGACACTATGTAGATTCTGGTATATTTATCATGAAAAAAAGGATATCAAACATTCACTACCTTCACCTGAGTCCGCTCGACATGTTCCACCTCCAGCGCCTTGGCTAATTCAGCATCTGACAAGCTGTCCGCGCTGGGATAAAAATCGATCTTGCCTCCCTGTCGGATCACGCCCGTCCGGTCCAGACAGTTGCGCCCTCGCACATAGGGGTCCAGCTTCCAGTAGTTGAGTCGCAGATCCTCAGCCACGTCGGCCCGACGAGCTTTGACTTCGTCCACCTGCTGCTTGTTGTTTGCCTTGGCGGCCTCGATCCATTCGCCGGTGACGCGGAGCAGGTCGTCGCCGATGCGCTGACGCTCTGCCGTGAGCTCGTCGCGCGTGGTGATGTCGGCCATCTTTGCGTTCTCGCCTTCGACTGGCTCGATGTACTCGTATTCCCAGTCTTCCTTGCCTTTGAGCTCCTTGACGATTTGGTCGGGGGCGATGAATTTCTCAAGGTCGGCGACCGAGTTGGTGAAGTGGATCTTGGAGACGATGACGGGGTCCATCCAGGCCTTGATGATACGCCAGATTCCTGGGTTGTGTTAGAAGGTTGGCACGGTGGGAGTCAGTATGCATCGTACCGGAGAAGACCCAAGGGGCGTTGTGGATGAGCATGGTACCCAGCGATTCGGGGTAGTTTTGTTGGAAGCAGTCGATGAGGAACTTGACAGGAGCGTATTCCTGCACAAGGTCAGTAAATAGGTCTTGGGGTGAGTGAAAGGAATAAACTGACCATGTTGGAGAGAGAGAATCCCGTCAAATCGAACACAATAGTCTGGATCGGTTAGCCTCCCTCGACACGACACTTCAACACTGATACATACCACATTCTCCATCGGCGGCACTAACAGCAATCGTGCCGTCTCGATGACATGCAGGATATATCTATTAATCACCTCCTCGCTCTGCTCTGCCGGTTTGTGCAAGCGAGCCTTGACAACGCCGATGGGACGACCGACCCGATCAACACCGTGGAAGTAGGCCTTTCCACAGCGCATCTGCGCCAGGAACTGACTACCAGCCTTCGCAGCCTGCGGATCAGATTTGTTCTGCGAATCCTTGAGCGCCTCCAGCTCCGACCTCGCGATCACCTGGTCGTCGACATGCTGCTCCTTGACACGCCATACCAGCGCGTGCAGCATCATCACGAAGGCCTTGTTCACGTCCCACTTCCGGGCCCGCAGGAACCGCAGCATCAGCGCATCGGGATGATCGTGCTTGGCTGTGCTCAGGAGACTCTGACGGAGGTCGTCAATGGAGGTGTTGGCAAGGGCATCGCGAACGGACTTCAGCTCTGCGCCCTGGATGCCCACGTCCTGCAGCGTCTGGGCAAACTCGTTGGTGTAGGCCGAGTTGGGATTGGCCGATGCGGCGGTCTCGGTGCGAGACAGCGAGGCTCGTCGATCGCCGTTTGTAGCGCCAGGAGCATCGTGCGAGCCTTGGGCGCCCGCGTCGTGCAGCTTCAGCACGATGGACCAGAGCTGGCGGAGACGGGACTCCTGGTCCGTCGTCAAGTTTCCCAGGAAGCCCTGGGCAACGGTGGTAGCGGTCATGGTGGTAACAGAAAAAGTCAGAGAATAGTGTACATAGGAAATGAAATGGCTTCGGAGGAGTTCATCGGGCTGACCGGGTCGTATTATTTAAGGTAGGCTGCGAGGGCCCCTCGACGGACTTGCATATGAAACCCCTTTTCCCTTTCTTACTTCCCCGCAAAGAGGATCGACAAACCTCGGATCTCGACACATTCATGGGACTTGGGGTGAGGGCATTGGCCCCCTGGCGATTGGCTGGTTCCAGGTCCATTTATCAGACAGGCTTGGTCCTTGCACGGAGGGGATTCCTGTTATTGGGTCAAGGCAGCTAAAGTTTGGTCCGAGCCCAGTTCTAACCAGTTCTCTAACTTGTGTGTACTCCGTATGGTGTACAGGGCTTCCTGCTCAGCGAGAACCTGATCAATATTGGACTTTCCCTCCTGCATGACACCCTTGATACGGCTGTTCATTTCCCCTTGCACCCAACCCTCGATCTGGCGCATGTGGAATGTTCCAATCTCCCCCTCACACATCACGACCAACGGACAGTGCCTGGTATCTTGGTAACATTCGTGCGATTGTGTCCTGATCCTCCTTTTGTTCCCCAGATTTACGAGTCAGAATCGGCTACTCAGCTGGTCACTGGACGGGGTCTGTCGCGTGGAGGGTCAATGGATATAATTAGACAGCCTCGGCCAGTCCCTATCTCCCGACACATTCTGAAGCGAGATCAGCGGGATCTACCGACCTCTCCAGCGTGGGGAAGGGGCATCTTGTTCTCGCGCGAAGAAATCCATCCTCCTCAGGGGTTGTCGCAACGCCTTCTGTATTGGGACTAGCGTGGTGGTTTATCGATGACATCATCGAGTGGTTCCTCTTGCGGGCTCTGCAGTTGCAATCTGCAACTAACTGGACAATTAAACACGAGGAGGATCACTCTGGGAATACAACCGAGCCGAGGTGGAAGGCAGTCACAATCTGGTGGTTGTGGAAATTCTTTCCGCTTAACGACTTCAACGATGATGCCAGAAGTCTAGGAACTACCGATCTACCATACAAACCAGCAGGGCTGTCACAATCCAAGATTCAACGATAATGTCTAGCCTAATTACAATAGCTGCCGCGGTCAAGTGGTCCATAATCGGCCAGCCTTCGGTCATTCTTCTGCGATCACACTCTTTCAAAACGTGGGGCTTTGTTCTTAGGCCTGGCTGGTATAAACTTAGCCTTCTGGGTTACCTGGTCGATTCACAAGATACTCAGTATCTGAACTTGGCCTACCGACAAATTCGGGTCCTGGTTGAGTTCAGACAAGATAATCTCTTGATTCCAAGCTGAAACATCAGAGTGGGAAACCTTGTGCACCTTATTTTTGAGCTAGATGGCTCGGTAGTGGGGTTATCCAAGGAAGATAGACATTGTTATATTCACCCAATTCCCCTTCACCAGCCTCCATAGTTGGTTCACTCCCTTCAAACAGACCGCAAAAACTGGTTTCGCATATTCAGGGGTTCAGTCACCGTTGCCTTCACTCCCAAAGTCGATACAGTCTACTCCTCCAAATTAACATCCCAAAATTAGGGCATACAAAGACAGAGGCAAAGGTCTAGATTCCGCGGCCCATGCAGAGACTCTTCAGGGACCAATCTCCTCCACTCTGCATTAATATTGGAAGCTCGGGGTGACAGGGTTGCACATAGACCATCATGTACAACCATTCCACGCCCTTACAATCAGTCGTTTCTGGACTCCAGAAGACCAACGAAATACAAAGCACCGTATCCGCTGCAATGATGAAGAGGATCGAAACAAACCTCGTGCCTTGATATGGCGATATGATTTGTTAAAAAGCAGAACGAAGCCAAGTGATGCCAATAGCCAAGAAACCAAGAAAGGCGCAGCGCTTCTAGGAGTGGGGCGATGATAAAAATGCAGCTCTGGTAAGGATTCGTATGTCCCTTCCTCCTTCTTCTCCTCTTCCTCTCTTTCTTGTGCCTTCTGGTAGACCTCCAGGGCCATTTCTCTATCATCCAGAATGTCCGACATCGAGAACCCTCCGGCCAGAGCCTCCGCGACGGATCCCCTCAACCTCTCCAGCAAAGTCAAAGCCTCGTCAGATATCCAGGCCGTGTCTGCCAACAGCTCGCGAAAGCGCATTGCCGGTCGCGTGAAGAGTAAATCCAAGGTCGCCGACTTTTACACGCAGCAGAACGAGCACATCGAGCGACTCCTCAAGCCCGTGCACGACCATGTCCGAGAATCCCGCGACAACGAGGCCTCCACTCAGCTGCAGTATCGCATCGCAGTGTACGGCTCCTTCGTGTGCAATATCTTCTTGTCCGGTCTGCAGCTCTACGGTGCCATTGCCTCTGGCTCGCTGTCTCTCTTCACCACCATGGCCGACTCCATTTTCGATCCCATGTCTAACATCACCCTCATCTTGTGCAATCGCGAGGCCAAGAAGGGATACACGCATCGCTTCCCCGTGGGGAAATCGCGGGTCGAGACGGCGGGGAATATCTTCTTCTCCTTCATCATGATGGCCGTTTCGCTGATCTTGATTGCCTTTTCATGTCAGCAGCTGGCCCAGGGTGGAGAGGCGGCCTTCCACCTGCCGTCAGTCATCGCCGTGACGGTCGCATTTGCCGTTAAGTTGTGCTTGTTTCTCTACTGTTGGGCTCTGCGGAACACCTACTCGCAGGTTCGCATTCTGTGGGAAGATCACCGCAACGATCTCTTCATCAACGGGTTCGGTATCCTCACCTCGGTCGGCGGATCGAAGCTCAAATGGTGGATTGATCCCATGGGCGCGGTCATTCTATCGTGTCTGATCCTGGGTCTCTGGCTGCACACCTCGATCGGCGAGTTCCAGCTGCTGATCGGCGTGTCTGCGGACGCCGGCATGTTGAATCAAATCACGTACATCGCCATGACCCATAGCGAGTCGGTTGAGGCGGTAGATACCGTCCGCGCATACCATTCCGGTCCGCAGTTGATCGTCGAGGTTGACATCGTGATGAATGCCAATCTGCCGCTACACGTCTGCCACGACGTGGCAGAGGACTTGCAGGAGAAGCTCGAGAGTCTGCCGAATGTCGAGCGGGCGTTCGTGCATATTGATTACGAGGTTACGCATCAACCGGAACATATGAAAAAGTTCATGTAGTATATAATATAGTAGAGTAGAGTAGAGGATAGGGTGTCGTTTCTAATGGCCTAACGAATGAAAGAACTGTAAGAACTTCCTGCGATGTGAAGAGAATATTATGCAGGGCCGACGCAGGACTAGAATCCCTCTCAACCCTCGGCTGCAACGCAAAGAGGTCCGGACTCCATCCAGCTAGCCTCGACCTTCATGTGCCTCTTTGTAATCTATCGAGACGGGGCTTTTTAGCCTGAAGACCGAAGACCCGACGGATTTCAGCCACCGGCGAGATCCCCGCGCATCGTCGCAAATCAGTCGCCGCCAACGCCCGGCTAACATTTCCTCTTCAACTCTGCTAACACCAGCCTTGATAAGTGATACACCTTGCAGGAGGGGTCGCAGTCCCTTATGACAGTCTTGGCAGTCCTCACTGTCTTCAAATGTGTCCGGAATCACACCGTGGCCGGTCTTCCGCGGGTCTTCACGTCCGTCGTGATCATGCTGCCATATTGTGGCGTATTGTGTCCCTGACAGTCCCCTCTGTGGAGTCCTATAAGAGTAATGTCCTTCAATCAGGCGATGTCGCGAGATCTTTTTCTCCGACCGTACGTGGTATCTGGGATCCCCTGCGCCGTCACCATCGTATCGTACAGAGAGGTGAGCTTCCATGGATGGCATGGCCCAGTTCCGCAGCAGGCGCAAGAGGCGACAGACGGTGATTCGGATTCTTCTCTTCGCCTTCGCCTTTGCACTCTGGTATCATGCCGTTGTCGGCTGGACGGTTGCACTGTTGGCTGGGGATAGTCTCCAGGGCGACCCCGGGGCCGCGAGAAACGCTACCTTGGCCATCAAGCGCGAACATGGCGTGATGGGGGTCAATTTGACAGGTCGAACGATTGAGACTGTTCGTGACGTGCCTAAGGTCGATACCGTCACCGGGGAATGGGAGCGAAACGCTCAAAAGTCATTGCAGCGTCCAGCAGGGCCGAAGGACAGTCAAAGACCCAACAAGGAGATAGTCGATTCGGAATCGTCGAATCTCCAGCTGGCGCTTCGTCGTGTTCTCGAGCTATTGCCTGATGAATTACGCATTCGCGACTTACTCCGACCTATCCAGGGCTTTGGAGAAGATAGGATCCTCGAACTGGGCTTGCGGACGCGCTCGTTCAAATCGCTTCTGGAACCGTGGGAAGCTCTTCATCTAGTCTCTCGAGATGATCAGCATTATGTTCGCGATGATATTATACAATACCTACGCAAGCATCCGGAGATCATTGACAGTCTCAAGATGCCCCTGTCCCAGGTTGTCCGGTCGTACGAAGCATATCGCTCGCTGATCACTGGTCTCTCGACTCTCTTGTTTCCTTGGACCGCTCCGTACTATGCGGACCATATGACCTTGCACGTGCAGCTCTTCAACGGTGGCCGCGGAATCGTCTTCACGGCAGGAGACCATCATGCCCCGTTCCTGATGACCTCCATCCCTGCCCTCCGACAGCTTGGTTGCGATCTACCTATCGAGATCATGTACCTCGGAGAGTCGGATCTAAGCGAGGATGTCCGCGCACACCTCGAATCCCTCCCCGGCGTGGTCACTAGAGATCTCAGCCAGATGGTAAACGACGCAGGATGGACACTGACCGGGTGGGCGGGAAAGCCGTTCGCTATTCTTCTTTCCAGCTTCCGAGAGGTCATCTTCATCGATGCGGACTCACTGTTCTTTCAGAACCCAGCGGTCTTGTTCCGCGATCCCTCATACGTGGAAACAGGCGCTTTGTTCTTCAAGGATCGCCTGATGATGCCGGAATCGAAGAAACGCTGGTTGCAGCGGATCCTACCCCGACCCATCTCGAAGCATGTCGCCCAGAGTCGGTTTTGGACGGGAGAAAGTGGTCATATGCAGGAGTCGGGGGTTGTGGTTGTGGATACGTGGAAACATTTCGTGTCACTCTTGCTGGTGACCAGGTTGAATGGACCGGATCGAGATGGCAGTCCTACTTATGGTAGAGGGGTTTATGATATGGTTTATGGTATGCCTACTCTGTTTGAACCCACTTCGTCTCAATCTTCTAATCTGAATACCAGGCGACAAGGAAACCTTTTGGCTTGGTTGGGAACTGGCCGGCGACACATATTATGACTTCCACGACGGCCACGCGGGCATCATGGGAAGTATCGAGCCACCCTTACCATCTTTGACGGCAAATTCTACCGCCGACAGTCTCCCTTTAAACTACACAATCTGTGGTCCTCAGCTTCTCCACTTTGATCGGCGCGGGAAACCACTCTGGTTCAATGGCTGGCTGGCGTCCAACAAATTTGCCGATTGGGAACATCAGCAACCAAGTAACTTCACTGCCTACCTGCATGAACCGCGGACGATGCGCGATCCCGGGGCCTGGCAGCTCCATGGAAACAATATTTGCTGTCTGACGTCGGAGCATCTATTTGATTTCACTCGCAGTGAAACGGACACGCTGGAGATGATGGTTGACTTTGGTAGAAGGGCCGGGGCTCTGGGAAGGTTGGAAGGCATGAGTGGTTCGATATGAATATGTCCGTATGATATTTCCTACTTACATGAAGAATTTTATATTGCCTCATCATCGCAATAGAGCGGCCCATAGCCCTAGAACCGTCCTACTTTCTCTCACTCACCGTGATAAAAGCCTGAAACAGCTCTTCAATATCCTCTGCCCCCTTCAAGTGCTCCGTCCCACCAATGATGAAATGAGGCACGCCGACAATCCCTGACTCCCTAATCTTCTTTGCCTCTTCCTCCGTCTCTTCCATGCCTTCTTCACTAGCCAGCCATCCCTGGACTTTCTCCTCCGGTATCCCAGCCTGGATCGCTGCTTCCACCAAGACGTCCGACTGACTGATATCAGCCTCCTTTTCGAACTGATATTGGAATAACATCTCGGATAGCCGGCATTGCAGATCACTGCTCTCCCTGCGAGCTAAATAGAGCAGTTGATGCGCCTTGCGCGTGCTTCCAATCCATCCACCAAATTTGAAGTCGATACCAACGCTCTTGCCTACTCGTTTGAGGCGTGTTTGAGCACCGTGGACCATTTGGGGGTTCATGCGACGGAGCATTCGATCTAGAATTGTTCTTCAGATCTACTCTCTTAGAGTCAGAAAAGATGACAGGAGGCATGGATACCCTGGATCAATTCGCTCTCGCGAGGAACCTGGTCGAGGAAGTACGGCTTCCATGTAATGTCAAATGCAGTTTGGGATCCGCCCGAATACGTCTTTTGGTATAGTTTGATGGCTTTCTGAAGATTTCGGTAGCCGATGTAGCACTGCCATTCCTCAGTGTTGGTCCTTGGAGAGAACGGGGGCGAGGACCGCATACCCAGGGACAGATAGCGTCGGAGATGATGTCGATTTGTATGACCCTCATTGTAGCACGTGTTGTTTTGTGGATTATCCGATCGAAGAATGCTCGGATGTGCGTCATGAGGGTTTTTATATCCGTCAAAACATAGAATTAACGCGGCAGCCTGAGGTTGGGGGTTTCCTGTTCCTGTCGCCTTGCCTCGATCGGGCTTGGGGGGACCGTCCTTTGCTCAAGTCAAATATAATATTGGACGCATCAGCTGCTGACGATTCATTTGTAATCCAGTTCATCTTCTTATGCCTGTTCCGGTTTAACGCGAGGCGACCGAATTTTCTCACAAGTTTAGGCATCTCCTATTCCAGAACGGCTTAATGGACCCCTGAAGAGGCGGAAGAAACGGGGATTTCACACACTCGTAGCATGCCTCTATCTGAACAATCCCAAGTTCTCGGATACAAAGTAGAATGTATATTCGCACTAAGGACAAACGCCCAGACATGCCCCGCCAAGCAGATTGGGGGCTAAACGTGTCAGCTCCTGTCAGCGTGTCGAAGACCTTTGTCAACAATAACATCTTTTCTTGGATCATGGTTCTATCGTATCCTGATTGATGGTTATCGGTATATGCCGAACCCAGAAACGATGTCCTCTTTTGCAGTCCCGGCAGATCCTTGGAAAGATGCCTTCGAAGCACTTGACCCGGAAGACCAAAAGCGACTAGACAAGCCCGACACGAGCCTCCTGAATATCCTTGAATCCGTACATAGATGCCTACCTTATCTAGTCATACCTCCGAAGCACTAACGGCCTCAGGTAAAAACTGACGCCGACTCTCGCAAAGAAATCTGCCGTCAAAAAGGATGGAAAGTCGGTGAGAACAAACACGGCGAGAAAGTGACTCTGCGCCACGCCCTGGAGAAAGTCTCCGTTTGGGTCAAGGAGACTATCAAGGTCGTTGATGTCGTTGTATCGATGGATAAGAGCGGCCAGGCGGCTTTGCCCTGGGCTGCGATTAAGTTTCTGATTTCGGTGATTTTTCTTCGTTCCTTTTCTGTATGTAGTCATGCTGATTCGTTGAAATAGATTGGAACCAACGATATCGCACTGTTCACTAGTATCACAGAAGCTGTCGAGACGATCGCCCGGCTTATTGCGCGGTATACCGTCTTTGAAAAGCTATACCTTCATGAGGATTGCGAGACTGTGCCGAAACTCCGCGAGTCGCTGCGAGAGCTATATGCTGGGATTTTGCGGTATCTCTCCAAAGCGAAGGAGTACTTCACCGGGAACTGCTTGAGTATGTACCTGCCTCGGGGATGGACGTGCACTGACCTGTTTGCAGAGAGATTTGGCCGAGGGCTGTTGGACATGCTGCGCAAAGAATATGATGAGCTGTGGTCCAAGATCAATGAGACAGAGGTGGAAAAATGGGCAAAATTGGTGGATGCCGAGTGTAAATCGCTCATTCTCCAATGCCGTGAACTGGCTAATGCTTTGCGCAGTAAATCGGAAAAGTGCGAAAAATGCGGGCGAACAGCATGATCAGTTGAAGGCGATATTGCATGACATGGAACAGCCGATCATGCAGATCACCGACCAACTTGCCGCTATCCAAGATAAACTCGATAGTGGGTACTCCCTTCTAGCATTTGCGCAAATGCTGATAGTCTCAGGCGAGGAGCGCATCAAAGTGTTCCATTGGATTTCTAGAATTGAGTACAAGAAGCATCACGAAGAGCTTTCAAAAGGTGTTCTGCCTGGCTCGGGTGAATGGTTGCTTCGTAGCCCCGAGTATATTAACTGGGGGCAATCAAGCGTGTCTTCCATTCTATGGCTTCATGGCATACGTAGGTTGCCTTTCCACGCAAAGACACATCATATGCTAACCTGTCACAGCCGGCTCTGGCAAGACAAAACTTGTGTGGGTCTACGAAACCATGAAGAGCGAATGCGTTAAGCTAACTGACCCTCGCAGTTCAACCGTCATCAACAGCATCCGGCAGCATTCTACCGCGCCGATCGCTTATTTCTACTGTAATCGGAGTAATGCCGAGGGCGAGAGGTCCATGCCGCGAGAGATTCTTCGCGCTATTCTAAGGCAGCTGGCGAGCAGCGACCCCGATGTGCCCATCAAAGAGCCGGTGGTCAAGGAATATGAATCCCGCAAGGCACATGCCGAGAAAGACGGGTCGAGCCTGAGGGAGTTAGCGATCGAGGACTGCACCAAATTGGTTCGAGAGATTACGAAGTCCAACTCTGCGACTATCATCATCGATGCCTTAGATGAGTGTGATCAGTTCTCCTGCTATGAGCTGTTAGACGCCCTTCACGAGATAGTAGCCGACTCCGAAGAAGTAGTCAAAGTCTTCGTCTCCAGTCGTGATGATGTTGACGTTATAGTAAGTGCAGGCACAGTCGTAATGCAGATCGCTAGCTGACGCTGACTTATATTAGGGGCAAAGTCTAGAAAACTGCGCCCACATCCCCATAAGTCCCAGCCAGAATGGTGGGGACATTCGCCGATTCATCGATACGGAACTGGACCGCTTGATCAAGAAACGGCTTCTACTCAGAGGCAAAGTTTCAAAAGACCTGCGGAAAAAAGTGACCAAGACATTGAACAAGGGAGCGCAAGGTATGTTCCGGTGGGTGGCCTTGTCGCTAGAGCTTTTGCAGCGCCAGAAATTCGAGCCAGACTTTCGAAATGTCCTCGGTCGTCTGCCACCAGCGCTATCGGGGCTGTATGACGAGATTTACAAGGGCATAGAAAGCTCCGGTGTTCACAGTCATAAAACTGCCGTGCGGACTTTGCAGTGGCTTCTTTGTGCCCAGCGGTTGCTGTCCGTCAGGGAATTGTTAGGTGCGATATCGATGGGCTTACCGGGACCATCAGATGAGCAGTCTAGCTCGATGCTATACTTGGGCCAAGATAGTGACTCGTCCTCGGAGTCTGACCCGGACTATGAGGCTTATTCGGCAACAGGGTCTGAAAATGAGATAGAAGATGGCGACTCTCCTGGCGTTGATGGGGTCAACGGTATTTCGGTCACAACAACTGATATCCTTCAACTCTGCCAGAATCTGGTAGTTGTTGATTCGCAACTAGGCGTGTTTCGATTCGCGCATCTATCAGTCCGTGAATATCTGCAAACGCGACCTGAGTTCACCGAAGGGGAATTACACTCCCTAGCCATGAAAGGATGCATGGATGTGTACATGACCGAGGCCAATATAAATCCCTCACATCAAGAGGCGCTCAAATCTTACGGCATGTTCTTCTGGCCGCTGCACTACAAGGCACTTGAGAACCTAGTGCTCGCCAGCAAGTACACATTAGAACAGCTGGAGCAATTCTTGCCTTTCTTCTTGCAAGGAGAGGAGATATCGCCCTCGTATGAGATGTGGGCTAGAGAAACCACATCTGAGTTTACTGTCGGCCAGCGGATCAATAGTCATCTACGACTAGACAGGGACAACCCTCTGGGTATTCAACTTGAGTACGCAGCATCTACACCTTCAACTCCGCTGAAAGCAGTGTGTGCCTTCGGTTTTGACCTCTTAGCCAAGAAAGTTGGTTCGCTTTCTGATTTCAACCCCGACGAAAGCCGTCTTCAATTGCCCCAGATTGCCGCGTCAGAAGGCCAGGATGAGATCTTGCACTGGTTGCTACAAAAAGGCGTCGAGGTGGACATACAGGACCACAACGGTGAAGTCCCGCTCTGCCGGGCGGCGTCTCGGGGGCATTTGACCACCGTCGTCCTGCTAGTAGAGCGAGGTGTGAATTTGGAACGCCGCGAGGAGCCTCAGCGCATGACGCCACTCATATATGCTGTGAAGAGCGGCCATCACGAAATAGTCAAATACCTTCTGCAGGCTGGAGCCGACGTGGAGGCCAAAGACAGGAGTGGCTGGACGCCACTTGTCTGGGCAACCTACCGGGGGGACAAGCCCATCGTCGACATCCTGCTCAAACATGGTGCTGAATTGGAAGCCAAACCAGAAACTGGATTTACGGCTCTTTTCCACGCCGTATTTGAAGAGGATGTAGAGATGATCTATCATCTACTCGATCACGGCGCCGACATCGAGGCCAACGACAGATTCGGCCGAACCCCACTATTTCAAGCACTACTGCGAGGACAGCAAGCCATGGTGGGATTGCTTCTCAACAAAGGGGCCGATACAGAAACACGTCCGGAGGATGGCTGGACACCACTAACGTGGGCGGCGATGCAGCCAAACGAGCCGATGGCCATGCTGCTTCTGCAAGCAGGGGCCGACATTGAGGCCAAGGAGGAGAACGGCTGGACGCCATTATTCCGCGCAATAAGCCAGGGCAACGAGGGCATGGTTGAGTTACTAGTCAAGCACGGTGCTGACGTCGACGCCAAAGATAAGGACGGCGAGACACCACGCTCATGGGCGCGAGTGATGTCAGAGTACGAGCTGGAGGAATTGCTCGACTGAATGGTGATTTTGCCTCCGATCCTTGTGTCCTTGAGATAAAGAAACCGCCGTGTTCAGCAACGGACAGTCAAAGTCTGCAGAACTGGCCCAAAAAAAGGCCTCGGAAATCCCCCGACACATAATGAACAGTAATCATGAGTAATGCAATTTGTGCTCGGAGTGATGTCGAACCCTGGAATTGGCCACCGGGGGAGAGTCCGCAAGAGGAATTGTGGATATAGAGCCCACTTTTCGCATTAATAATAGGACTGTGAAGAGGATCGCCGCAGGGAAGTGCCGCGGCGTTCAAAACCCCTGCAATTTTTCGCCAGACGTCGAGGCATTGATAGTGAAATCCAAAGTGAAGTTTACAGCGGAGTATACACGAAGCCTACTCAAGCCATCATCGCCATGTCTACCGACAGTGTTGACGTTTCGCCTTTGGGCCAGCCGTTGCCCTTGCCTTTCAGTAAGCGTACGGCGCCCAATCGCTTCTACAAGGCGGCCATGACCGAGCGCCTCTCTTCCTGGTCTCCCACGGACCTCGCGGCTCGCGGGGTGCCGAGTCGGGAGTTGATCAATCTCTACAAGTGCTGGGGTGAGAGCGGATACGGCATGATCTCGACAGGCAACGTCATGATCGCGTACGACCAGCTAGAGGCGGCCGGCAACCCCATCATCGACCTGGAGAACCCGTACCACGGCGAACGGTTCGAGGCCTTTCAGCAGTTGGCCACCGAGGCCAAGCGACACGGCAGTCTGATCGTCGCCCAAGTCAGCCATCCCGGCCGCCAGACGATCGAGCGCATCCAGCCCAACCCCGTGTCCGCCAGCGATGTGAAGCTTGCACCGATGATGGGCATGACTTTCGGCCAGCCGCATCCTGCCACCGTCGATGAGATCCAGGATATCATCCGCCGCTGGACATATGCCGCCGTGTACCTGCACAAGGCCGGCTACGACGGTATCCAGCTGCACGGCGCCCACGGTTATCTCCTTGCGCAGTTCTTGTCCAAGACTACCAACCACCGCACCGACCAGTACGGCGGCAGTCTGGAGAACCGTGCGCGACTCATTGTTGAAGTTGCCCAGTCCATCCGTCGCGAGCTTCCGTCGTCCACGGGATTCATTCTCGGTATCAAGATCAACTCGGTCGAGTTCCAGGCCGACGGGTTCACGGCGGAGGAGGCGCGCGACTTGTGTAAGATTCTGGAGGACAACGAGTTCGACTTTGTCGAGCTTTCTGGCGGCACGTACGAGGCCTCGGCGTTCGGACCTCGCCGCGAATCGACGTCGCAGCGCGAGTCCTTCTTCCTCAATTTTGCCTCGCTCATCACGCCGGCCCTGAACCAAACCAAGAGCTACATCACGGGCGGGCTTCGAACGGCGGCCGGTATGGTGGAAGCACTGGAAGCGGTGGACGGCGTTGGGATCGGGCGACCGGCTACTCAAGAACTGGACTTGCCACGAGCCATCCTGGCGGGCACGAAGTCGCGAGCGACCGAGCAGAAGTACGACCAGTATAACTTCGGACTGACGAGTGCGGTGGCAGGGGCGCAGATGAAGCAGGCAGGCAAGGGACAGGAGCCTATCGACATGAGCGACGAGAAAAATGTAACGGGATTCATGCAGCAGCTGAAGGGGTGGATGCAGGAGATGGCGGAGGACGCGACGAAGGAGATGAAGCTGTTCGGCTTCATGGATTTGGGGGCGACGGCCTGAGGCTGCGAGTCAGTCACGGGATCCTCGGCTGGATGCCTGAGGTGTATATACTAGCGAGAGTTAAGCGAGCCGCGGCCACTAGCGCCCACGTGACCCTCGAGTCTTTCTCATAAAAGGCGGCCGCCTTCTTCCTCCTTTCCACTTCTTTTCTTTTCTTCTCCAGCTCTCTTTGCCTTTTGGCTTAGATCAAGTGTAGTATCTGTTCTTTTCAGTTTAATCTCTGAAAGTGTTCTAAGGAACACAACATTGATTATTCTCATTTTTGGATCTCGTGGCTGGGCCTCTGTGCTTGCGCATGCCTGGCCACACAGTGTCATCGGGCTTACACTACCCTCGATCGACGCGACCTTTTCATCAATACGGTCGGCATGCCGGCGGGTTGGAGAAGAGTTAGCATTTTTTTCATTTTTCATCTTGCCTATCTGTTTGTTGTTACAACTTGCATTCACTCGCCTAGTGTCAGTTAATACAGGCCCTCTCACTGGTTCAGATGCACCTCGACCACCGGTCCCTCGTACACCTTCCTCGCTCGCACGACGTAATACGCCAGACTCAGAATAATCACTCCTACCGTTCCCACCACGCTGAAATTCATCGTCTGCACCGTCACCTCTTTCTCTGGCGGCCAGAAGCTGAAGAACACGGCGATGGTCATGTAGATGAGAGCGAACGTGTTGATCAAGATGCCCCAGATCCCTGGAAGGTGGAATGGGCCCCAGACAAGTCGCGCGCCCGCCGTGTTCACCATCGTCTCGTCTCCGGCCTTGGACTTGCTGATTCCTCCCGTGACGCGTCGGTAGAGAAGCAGCCCGGCGACTACCATGTACGACAAATACAGACCGGAGATGGACATGGACACCAGGGCGTTGAACGCGACGTCCGAGCCGATGTTGATGAGGGCCAGGAGGCAGGACACAACCGTCGTCAAGGCGACCGCGTACGTGGGGACGGAGGTGCGAGTCGTCACCTGGAGTGAGCAAAAAGGTCAGTCAGTCGTGTTTCGGCAATCGTGGACGATCTGAATCAGACCGTATCACAGAATCGTTGCTTTCTTACCTTGCTCCAGACTCGCCACCCCGGAATTCCTCGGTCGCGCGCGAATGACCAGAACTGCCGCGACGTCGACGCGAGCATACCGACCGATGTGCTGATACCCATGGATGTGATGATGGCTCCCATCGTGGCGGTGCCGGCCACCGAACCCGTCGCCTGCAAGAAGATTCCCATGAAAGGATATCCGGTGGGTGACTCCAGGGCCGCCTCGATATCTCCGAGACAGAAAAGCAGAGCGATGAGCATGCTGAAACCCAAGGTGCCGTTGATGGCAACGCTGAGCATGATGGATCGAGGAACCAAAACGGGGGCGTTGCTGATTTCCTCGGACATCTACACCACAGCCGACGTTAGAAGACACAATGAGACATGGCTACCATGGACAAAACGAGGGAGGGGTCATACGTGAACAGCGGCATCTCCTCCGGCAAAAGCAAATACGCAGCCAACCAGGCCGATGAAGAAGGACAATCCCTGCGTCGGCCATCCGCCAAGGTTCATGAACTCCGTGAACACCTCACGGGCCGTGCCGTGGTCCGCCATGTACGTCAGTGGGATCAGGATGGCAAAGAATCCCAGGATGTGCAAAACTAAAATCAGCCCCTCGAACCGGGGCAGCACTTTTCCTCCGATACTGTTGATGCCGACCGAGAACACCGACACGGCCCAGAACAGCAGCGTTCCGTGCCAGGATTGGGGCTCGTAGCTCGGGTTGGTCAGGACGATCAGCCCCTGGATCAGCGTGCCGCACAGGAAGCACGACGTCGCGTAGGTCGCTTGCCATCCGATCACCGTGAGCCAGCCCGTGAGATAGCTGAGAAGTTTCATGGCCGACGGGGGTGCCAGCATGGAGCACCAGTGGTATTGTCCGCCCGACGTGGGAGCCCTGGAGGCGTTAGCAATCGGTCTGCCTGCAACCGGATGCGCTCTTACATGGATGCCAGCTCTGATAACACGACAAATGTCGCTGCCACACCGGCCCAAACAAATATAAATCCATAGATCGCACCCGCTGGGCCGCCACTGAAATCCGGTTAGTATGCGACGAAGCTGACTCGGATGGGCAGCGGTGATCCTACTTCTGGAAGGCTTGCAGGAAAAGTCTGTTATGTCGGTCAGCAAAGAAGCCACATCAATAACGCGCCAGGGACATACACCGTAATTCCCTCCCAGGTGATCAATATCGTACAACTGAAGCCTAGCATGGACATCAATCCAAAATTCCGCTGCGCCGACGTCAGTTTGAATCGAAGCGTTTAGGTCGCGTAAGAAGTACTGACCTTCAGAACCGGACGTTTTCCCATCCGTGCCAGCTGAATGTCGTCCATCTCCTTGCTGGAAGGGTTTCCTTCGATCTCGCGCAGACTGGCGGGCGCCATATGCTTCAGTTCTTGCGACGACATGACGAAGACGCTGAATTGTAGGCCAACGACACCTAAGACTGAGTATCCAGAGAATGGATGGCTGCACGACGATGCGCCAGATAAATAGAAATGAAAAAGCAGCAGGGAGGCCAAAACAAAACTAACAGAAAAGGACCGAGGGCGAAAATTCATGCGCAACGGAGGGGACTACTACCAATCCCTGAAAGCCCAAGACTCTTCTAGACCAGGGTCATATTGAATCCGGTGGGCTCACCCAAGGAAATGCACTTCCACTTGGCTGTGCCGTCGGTTCATACCGGTTTCGCATGGAAATATTTAATTAGTCCACGACACCACCCCTGCTAGCCCTCCGTTGGTGAGGACATGGCATGCAGCCACTGCGCCGATGCGACATTAGCGACGGTGCAATGGACTAATTGGTGACCCCTCGGAGCAACATCCCCGTCGCTATTGTGTCCTCCTAGCGGTGGCAATTCATTGGAATGTAACAAGCAGGGGGGGTTAGAACCTAATCCGGAGAAGAAGTCATAGAAATCTCGGGCTTTCGCAGGTTGCACCAAGCAGTTTCGTTACTCCGTCCAATCCCTTCCACAATTCTATATAGCGCTCCCACGAACCGGATCCTTCAACCACCAAACAATGGGCCCACCGACCGCCGAGTGCCAATGATCGCCCATTATTCCATTATTGACGTTGCACTGCTAAGGAAGCTAATCATGCGTCTGGCTCGAGGCCAAGACGCTGGGCCCTTTTATAACGGAGGCCTTTCCATTCCTAGTGTCCCGGCCGCCCCCAAACCCTATACTAAACCGACCATCTGATTCTAATTTAGTGCCATCCAGGGTTCAAAAGTACCATTATAACTAAACACAATACCGAGTGAGAACTGAAGCTGACTATTGCGATTCGCCCCCTGAACTACGCGGCGCATCGGTCACCGTGAACGTGCGAACCTCTCGAATGATACGCGACTGACTCGTCTGGCTCTCGGCATCCCAGTCATATCCGGCTCCCGCGGTCGTCACCGTCGCTTGATGATGGCTGTCCTTCGCAGGCAGGGAAACTAGCTCGTGCACCTCGCTCCGATGCCGACTGCGACTGCCGAGCGTTGAAGCGCGCGAAGCCGATTGCGATCCATAGCCCTTCTGTGAGGTGCCGTATCGCGTCATGCCGTCGATGCGCATGCCCGTCGATCGCAAACTTTCCATGAACGGTTTGAATTGGGGCGAGCAGGCCGTGACGATGCTGAAGCACTGTGCCAGCTGCGTGGAGATGGCCACCGGCCACGTGTCCGAGGTAATATTGGTAGAATGCGCCGTCTGTCGTGCGTAAACGATTTGGCACAAGATGGCGACAATCACACTGGGGGCGTTAGCAGGGTGCTCTTCGAATATGGGTAATTCTGGATCCACGAACAAGATGCGCAGTGCGAACACGCTGGCCAGCGTCACTTTCTTCTTCACGTTGGTCTGAACGCGAGCTATCACTAGGACGGCTTGCACGACGATCGCCATCTCAGTCAGGATATTCGACACCCCAAGATAATCCCACCATACATCCTGCGACGCCCATCAGTTGAGTCCAGTTATTATCCATACCACAAGAGCATACCAATCGAAAACATTGCCCCTCCAAGTAGTCCCAGGTTCGAGGCGGCTTACACTGGAAGGCGGCCGTGATGATGCCCACCAGAGCCCACACAGAGGTCAAGCCTTGTAAACTGACGGCAAAACGTCGGTCGAAGGAAGCAGGCGTCAGGTCGCGGACGAAGCGAATCAGAGCTAATTTCGAAAAACACATGCTCGCGATGAACAGAATGTTGGCGGCATACTGTGCCTGATGATAGAACCAGTGCCCGTCAGTAAGACCCTGAACGGCTGCATGAGGGTCGGCCCACCTTCATTATATTCTGCATGCCGGAATCAGAAACCCTTTCGTAAGGCTCGCCGTATCCATTCGCCGTGGCCATGGAGACCGCGATCGATTGCGCTGCGCATGTTATCTGGATTTCGTTAGCCAGGGTGCTCGCGGGCTCGTCCTCCGCGACGGTTGTATGTATACCAGCGAGACGATGCTCAGATAATCGTCGGTGGTCAGTTTGCGGAAGATCCACCACTTGGTGCCCAGTCGAGTCAACACGCTGAGAGCGGCCGTGACCAGCAAATACCAGGTGAGGACATTGACCGCGGGCGTCCAGCTATCCGGCGAGAATCTACCCATGACGGACGGCACGGATAGAAGTTGACGGCCATGGAGAGTAGTTTACAGGGGAGGAACCGGTAATATGGCACCGGCACAGCTCTCGGGCATGCCATCTCCTTGGGAATTTACTGTGTACCGGCCAGATTCGAAATTCTCCCTCCCCTGTTCAAGGGAGCGCGCTCATTTGCCATGCCATGGATGGGACCTCGGCGAGATTAATCGAAAGGAAATGAGTCCAGGTCAAAGGACGAGCACGCTAGGCCGATGCGAGTACGGAGACCGCCCATAATAGACTCCCAGCCTACCAGGATGCAGGCCATCACAAGCCTCTTGGATCGTGGCAACGCCGACAGGATCAGAGGCCATCCTTTGATCGGTGGGACCTCGTGTTGGGCCGTGCCGCAAGGATCACAAACTTTGATTGTGCGCCGTCGGAATAATTTTTGCCTTAGCGTTATGTTGATGACCGAGTCTAGTCTAGACTACGGAGGCACTTGCACCACCCCGGAGGTGGCCTGGTACATAACCCCCTTGTCTAGCTCAGTCTGCTGGGTGGTGTTACAGACAGAAGGGCGTGGCACTTGTGGCACATAATTCACCAAGCCGAATGAAACCGAGACTGAGAGGTTTCACCAAATGCAGACTCTGGACCTTCGGCATTGGGCTCATTTCCCACCGCATCCAGCACCCGAGCTAGCGCATCGCTTCTTGTAATGATAGGTATCTCTGTGGTCCCGTGCACTGTGTTACTTAGTTTCCTTCCAATCTCTTTCATTGTATGCTTATTTATCTTCTTTTACGGATTTCACAGCCGTGCCCTTGGATACTGACGCCTTTCCACAGCGATCTTTTTCGGAAATTCTTTTGTCAGCTGATCTCGGTCAATTCGAAATCCTGTGAACGGTCACAAAGTCCATCACACTGAGCAAATTTGAATTGTAGGCAGTGGAGTCAAAGACAGAGAGATGGTCACTGGTCACGTGAATGGTCAGCCCTTGGCGGCTTCAGATCCTGCTTTATCCCGGGTTCCTTCAGGTCAATCTCATAGACGAATGGGCAGGTCTGGACAAAGATGATCTCTCTATGCCTATGGCCCTCCCTGTCTGGTAAAATAGAACTGGGCGGAGATTATGGGGATAACGTCCGCCCAAATGAGGATATTATATATCGGTTGGCCGACTGCCCGCTACTCCAACGCGACGAGGCACTCTCAGTACTAAACGATGGGAACTTGGATTTCGAACACCGAACTCCAAGTCTACTATCCAAACTGTCAATATGAATAGACTGCTACATATAGTCAGTGACAAGTGACTGCAAAGGCCTGGGAGAGCCGGTTGATAGTTCTGCCGCATGCTAATCATGACTGTTTCTTGAATAGGAGTCATGACGCGCGCGGCGGGACATCCCGAGGCCGATCCCTTCCCGGCTTAACCGCGTTGGGCCAAAAGCGAACATCGCGATGAACAGCCAACACTTGGCATCAATCATTCATCGCTTCTACCTAGCGAATACGAGCTTTCTGAGTCACCCTCGCTAACCTCTTCGGGCTCCCTCGTGATCCATGTCTCGTCGAATAAATATCTATGGCCCCCGACAGCCACCCGGAGCAATCCAGGCTCCCATTTACCTCGCCGTCAGCCATCAGATAAGATCATGAATTCGTCCGGGCCACCGGAAGGGGAGGAGACTCACGATCAGGTCGGGAAAGAGGAGCAGGAAGAGCCCGCAAAGGGTCCTCCGCTCGCCAACTATGGGGTGGGTATCGATCCGAACATGCACGGGGCACGCCGCTCTCGCTGACGGAGACAGAGGATCCTGTCCTACGGAGCTCGACGAGGTGGCATCTTCGCCATGGTAGCCGGTTTGATATGTGCCATGGGCTCAGGCGTGGTAAGTGCGTCCATCTCCAGGCAGGATGGCCAACGCTGATTCTCTAGGCTCTTCCCCTGATGAACATCGTGTTTGGCGAACTCGTGGGGGATTTTAACGAGTACTTCGTCGATGGCAATCAAATGAGCGAGGACAGTTTCAAGTCCACGGTCGACAAAAACAGTCTCTACATCTTCTACCTGTTTATCGGGAAATTTGTCCTGACCTACATAGCCATGGTAGTCCGGTCCGCCCGACCATGACGATCTCTACTTACCTATGAGCGCATCTAGTTTTGTTTCCGGTTCATTAGTCTCCAGGCCTCGGCCACCTTGCGCTTGGAGTATACCACCTCCCTGTTCTCGCAGCCCTTGAGCGTTCTGGACGACATCTCCTCCGGCACCGTCACGCACGCTATCACCTCGCTGTCCAACCAGATCCAGCAGAGCATCTCGGACCGACTGGCCACGCTGTTCCAGGCAATAGCCCTTCTCATCGCGGCCTACGCCATCGCCTTCCGCTATTCCTGGGCCCTCACTCTCGTCGTCAGCTCAGCCATTCTTTTCGTCATCCTCGGTTTCAGCATAACCGTCCCCTTCATCATCAAGGCGCAGGCTCATGTGGATCAAGCCGAAGCAAAGCATGCCTCCATCGCGGCCGACGTGATGAGCTCCATTCGGACCGTGCTATCCCTCAGTGCCGAAAAACCGCTGGCTAAGAAATATTCTTCCTGGATTGCTGAGGCGCGGAAACGGGGGACCCGTCTGACTTTGGTCACTGGCATTCACCTGGGGCTGCTGATGCTTGCCCTGTATTCCAGTTACGCTCTTGCCTTCTGGTTCGGCCTGAAGCTGTTTCGCGAAGGCCACATTGACAACATCAACACGGTGATCACGTAGGTTATGCCGACAACTCACGTTGTCAGCACCAGGGCTAATCCCTACCAGGGTTTTCTTCTCGGTTCTGATCGTCGTCTCGATTATCGGGAACATCGCAAGCCCGATCATGGTGATCGGAAAAGCGACAAGTGCCTCCGGTCCTTTCTTCGACATGATCAACGCCCAACAGCCGTCGACCGAAGGACGGCGAGACCCAGATGTCTCCAGTCACGCAGATATCGTCTTTCGGGATGTCACCTTCGCCTACCCATCGCGCCCCGGAGTCCAGGTTCTCAAAGACTTCTCTGCTCGCTTTGAACGTGGCAAAACCACGGCCTTGGTTGGTCCCTCGGGGTCGGGAAAAAGTACCGTGGTCGGCTTGATCGAGAGATGGTATCAAGTCCAGACATCGACCGGTGGTGACGAGGTAGATGGCAGTCGCGGCGAGATCGAGGTGGACGGCCACAACGTGAACGATCTGGACCTCCGCTGGTGGAGAAGGCAGATTGGACTGGTCCAGCAGGAGCCCTTCCTTTTCAACGACACCGTCTTCAACAACGTCGCGTTTGGATTGATTGGGTCTCGATGGGAGAATGCCGAGGAGGACGTGAAGAAGGAGCTGATCACCCAGGCCTGTGTCGAAGTGTTCGCGGACGAATTCATCCAGCGATTGCCTTTGGTAATTGAGCCCACCAAACCTACGCGAAATCGGACGAAACTGACTAACATTCCAAGGGATACGAAACACTGGTCGGCGAGGGGGGAATCACCTTGAGTGGTGGACAGCGCCAACGTCTTGCCATCGCCCGCAGTATCGTTAGCCAACCGCCTATCCTGATCCTCGACGAAGCGACTAGCTCGATTGATGTTCGCGGGGAGAAGATAGTGCAAGCTGCTCTGGACCGCGTCTCGAAAGATCGTACCACGATCATGATCGCCCATCGTTTGTCGACCGTGAAACGTGCGGATCGAATCATTGTTATGAAGGACGGGACAAAGATGGAGGAAGGGTCCCATCCGGAACTGCTGGCCCAAGACGGAATCTATCGTAGCTTGGTTCACGCACAGCAGCTGGGCATGCTGACACTCGACTCCGACGAGCAAGACGATTTGCCTGCGACCATGACCCCCGATCTCAAACCGGCTGCTTCGGTCGTTCCGGATACGAAGGAAGAGGCAGAGGAACAGTCCCCGGAGAAGCGGAAGAAGATGCCAGGTCTGAGGAGCTTTCTGGCAGTTGGATCAGAGCAGCGAGCCTATTGGCCGCTCTATATTCTGGTTTTAGTTGCAGCAATGGCAGCAGGATGTATGCCGATCTACTACCTTAACACTCTGATCTCGCTGATTATTGTTAGCCGGCTTCGCACTCCAAAGCTGGCTTTTCGCACGCCTTGTCGAGGTCTTTCAATTCACAGGAAAGAAGCTGGTCGATGCCGCGAACTTCTGGGCTCTGATGTTCTTCATCCTGGCCCTGGCCATGTCGGGGTTCTATTTTCTTCTTGGAGTCGGCGCCAACTCCATCTCCGTGGTAGGTTCTCTCCGGGTCTGAGCTACGATCCAGCTGATCGTGTTAGAACATCGCGTCTATATACCGCACGGAGTATTTTGTCAGCATGCTTGCCAAACCGGTTTCCTGGTATGACAGCGACGAAAACGCGTCGGGATCGTTGATATCTCGTCTGTCAACAGACCCCAAACAACTGCAGGAGCTGTTTGGCATCAATGGCATCTTCCCGCTGGTTTCGATCTTCAACGTCATAGGGTGCATAGCCATCTCATTCGCTTTCGGTCCTAAGTTGGCAGCCGTGGCATTTTTCGCTGCTCTGCCCTTCTTGTTCCTGGCCGCGTATTCACGCATCCGCTACGAAATGAAGTTCGAGGAGCTGAATGCTGCGGTCTACGAGGATAGCTCTCGTTTCGCCACCGAGGCCATCCGTGCTTTCCGGACTGTCAGCGCGCTGACTATGGAAGAATCGATCATTAAGCGGTACTCTGGCATGCTCAACCTGCAAAGACGGAAGGCGATGCGAAAAGCGATCTACTCCACCCTCGTCTTTTCGTTCTCCGACAGCGTGGAGCTGGCTGTCATGGCATTGACATTCTGGTACGGAGGTCAGTTACTCGCGTCTCGGGAATATGACATCGTCACCTTCTTTGTCGTGTATATTGCCATTATCCAGGGAGGCCAAACCGCCGGCCAATTTTTCAGCTTTGGGCCCAACATGGCGCAGGCCTCGGCCTCGGCGAACCGTATTCTGGGCTGTCGCCCGCCGCTGCCTAGCGAAGGTCAACTCTCTAAGGAGCCATTGTCATTGACTAACGGTGAGTTCCGCGCCGACATCGAATTCAAAAACGTGACTTTTCAATATCAATCGCGGGTAACGCCCACCTTCATGAATCTTAGTCTGAGTATTGGGTCTGGGCAGTTTGTGGCCTTTGTCGGGCCCTCCGGCTGCGGAAAGTCCACCATGATCTCCTTACTCGAACGATTCTACGATGCTACCCGCGGAACCGTCGAATTCGGTGGGCGAGATGTTTGCTCTATTGAGCTTTCCTCGTATCGAAAGTCCCTCTCCTTGGTCAGTCAGGAGCCGAAACTCTTCGACGGCTCAATCCGTGACAACCTCATCCTTGGGCTGGACCACCCGGAAGAGACGATCGAGGCCGATATGATCCAGGCCTGTCGAGACGCGGAGATCCACGATTTCATTACCTCCCTGCCGGAAGGATATTCTACCGAACTCGGCGTCAATGCCCAAACGGCCCTCAGTGGTGGACAGAAACAACGATTGTGCATTGCTCGTGCCCTGATGCGCAAGCCTCTGCTCCTTCTGCTCGACGAAGCCACCTCCAGTCTTGATTCACAGTCTGAACGCTTAGTACAAGACGCGATGGAGCGCTTGGCCGGTAAACGCAGTATGACGATCATTGCTGTAGCCCACCGGCTGGCAACGATCCAGAAGGCGGATGTGATCTTCGTCTTTGGCGAGGAAGAGAACGGAAAGGGATCGCGCATTGTGGAAAGAGGATCTCATGCTGATCTGCTGCGTCGGAAGGGTGCATATTGGCAAATGGTAAGAAAACCTTTCTTCTCCTGGCACCATTGCAGTGAACGGTCTTGCTAACTAACGGCATTTAGTGTCAAGCACAAGCGCTGGATCAATAGGGCCTTGAGGACCTATCACCACGAGTTAACGAACCATGTAACGCACAGCATCTCATACCATCTCCTCTTCTCGGATTTTGTACATTAGATAGAAACAGATCTCCTCTTACGCAATCTTTCAGGCTCAAAAAGAAATGATTCCCGCGAATATAGAAGCCGTTTATGTACGATAGCTACGCGTCTCAGCTCAATGAAAATAGAAAAAGAGTCGTTGCTTCTCAAATCGGCCGTTAATCATTCTTAGTCTTTGAAGATTGTCCCCGTTCCCACCAAAATGAACTCCGTCTTGAATACACAGGAATGACTAGAGATAAGGATGGAAGAAAGAAAGAGAGAAAAAGTTGAACAAATAGTTCACACCGTCAGCGTCTCCTCCAGCAGCTCAGAATTACTGCCCAGATATCTTACCTGTGCCTGTCTGCCATCGCCAAAGCTATTGGCGATAGTCGTGATGCGCGCGCGAACGGGCAAATCCGCCGGTTCGTATGTCACACCCTCAGGAACCATTGCCGAACGTTCTTCGATCCTAGCAACTTTGGAGGCTAGCTCGGCGAACAGAAACGAGTCCCACAGGCCTTCGCGACGTCGGCTCCGCCTCATCAAGTCGATGGCGCGGTATCGGGTCTTTGAGTCGCGACAAGCTGTGGCCACAATCCACAGCGGCGGTAGTATGCCCTGTGATACGGAAAAGGTGCAGGGAGGGGGGAGGTCCTGCGTATGCAGTATGTGTTGGTAGGGAGAAAGTGTCGACTCCGGCGGCGAGAGCGATGCAAAGCTGGCATCTGCAGTTGGCGATGGGCATATCTTGCGCGTCTCTGGCGACTCTACGAGCATATTCATGACCTCTTCGGCCAGGTCCACCACCATTGCCAGTTCTGGCGTGAATCGGTCCCAGCTAGTTTCCACCAACGGCAGCTCCATCTGCAACACGACGCTCACCAGCGTGTTCCACATCTTGAGATTTGTGGCCAGTCGTCGGCTGGTGGAATCCATGGCCTCGAGGGGGTGGTACTCCAGGTATTTATTCAGCGCCGCAGACCAGCCATGCATCTCACTTTGGGCTCCAGCGTACTCAACAATGTCTGACTCGGAAATTTCGGTTAGTTCCCCGACTTTAGCAATGTCCGCATCGGCCGCCGGCGTTGATTTACTGATTAATCGTAGTAGTCGGTTGTAAACGAGGCCAAAGTTCTCGTCAAGCTCTTCCAGAGTGTAGGCCCCGTGAGAAGAGTCAATAAGGGGTAAACCGGACGGCTTGAGCGCGGAGGGATGCAGCTGGTCGGACACGGTGAGCTCGTCGTCCAACTCGAGCATTTGACTTTCCAAGTAGATAAACAACGACCGGATAACGTCTGCGGGGAGGTTGAGCTTCCTTTGCATCGCCTGACTTTGGGCTTCTTGTTGCTTCATGATGCGCAATCCCGACGTGACATGTCGTAGAGCCACGCGGAAATGACCCTGTAGACTCTCAAAGCAGTAGAACAAAATGCACATGGTCAGAATCACGTCCACCGAGCCATTCGTCGTGCCCTTGGACATCTGTGCTAAGCCGTGTCGAATCGCGGTATTGTACTGACGCAGAGCTAGCTGGGTTCCTTGCATGCGCACGTCGGGGTACCGAGTCTGCTCGAATAGAAACATGCGATGCAGCGACCCTAAAGCCATAGCTGCCACTCGAACACTGGAGTCATGGTACGCCGAGCGAAGCAAGAACGCCCCTGCTTTGACACCGAAGCAAGACGTGGTTTGCCGGTGGAAGAATTCTAAGGACTGGTACTCGTCCGCACGGAGAGGTTGGTCCCAGGAGGGGAACACGCTCATCTGAACGGGGCGATCCACCATGGGGGTATGATGTATGATGCGGATCTCATTATTCCTACTGGTCACTCGCTGCTGGCCAGAATTAGACAACTGCGATGGCGGCGATGGTGCGTAGCCGTCGCAGTTACGGCCAGTCGAACGGCATCTCCAGCAGCTGGGCTTCTCTTCGTCGCATTTTACTCGTCGAATCCTGCGAACGCCCGGTTATTCCTGAGCCCCAATCAAGGTTAAACAGTCGAAGCAGGAAGAAAAAGAAAAGAGTAAGAAACGACAACGGTGGAGACTGACTTGCAAGTAATGCACCCGGTTCGTGATCTGATCCGCACGCTCGGGTTGGTTCGTGCCATGTCTGTTTTATTTTCTTTCTAAAACCGTCGTATTCCGTGCGCCGAGCCAAAGGTATCATGTCACCGAGAGACCTGAAAATCCTCAGATCGGGGGTACGGGGAGGATGAGACCAGCTGGCTGCCTAGCGGACGATGCCTCTATACTCGACTCGGTTGGCGTCCCCGAATCGGCCATTCACCACGTCGTCTGCGCTCTCCACCTTGGGGGCCAAAGACCGTTCCAACTTTAGTTTATTTAAGCCTTCAGATTTCGGGAGAAGGCTTCTGCGAATTGCACATTGGCTCGCTCGCCTCCTCGAACACTTCTAACTTGAACTGGTTAGGGCGAAGAGGAAATCTGGCTGGCAGGACTGGCGGTAGGGTCTGTGAAGGATTGACCCTGGGATTTAGAATTCGATCCTGCAAGGCTCATCATAATGCTCAACACATGGGAATTACCTAGTATGGGCAATAGTGTTATTTATCTTTCGCGGAGCCAAATTCTCAACAAGCCACAAAGGGTAATACGAAGTTCTTTTTTTATCTCATTAAGTTTCTGCCTGAAGCACACTTAGACCTGTAGATTTGAACATTGATAGCAGAGATGGAGTCAGAGAGACATGATATAAAAGCCAGAGATCGTGATCGTGCAAATTAATCCATACTTGTCATCATCATCGACGCAACCCAGCTCTGACAGAAGCTAGGTCCGTCTTCTGGATTGTCTACAGCTTCTCTTTACAACCTCTCTATTTCCCCATAAACCTCGTCATGAGTACCACCACGCTTTCGCCAGCGACAGCCAGCCCCACCAGCACCACCATTCCAACTTGCACAACGCCCAAACCAGGGGAAAACGGCTACCTGCCCCCGGAGGCATGCGATGTGATTCTCTACTATGTACCGTCTTTTGGCGCTGCTGTCCTCTTTTGCGTTCTCTATGGTTTATTGATGATCGCGCATGGCGTGCAAGGGGTCATTTATAAGAAGGTATGGTTCTGATGTCCAGGATTGGAGCTCCGCTCTAACAAAAGGTGGCAGAGGTATACGTGGGTCATTGTGATGGGTGCACTATGGGAATTGCTGGCCTTTATATTTCGATCGCTTCAAACGCGCCAACAGAATGAAGAACGCTGGGACACTGCATATACCATTCTATTCCTTCTGGCCCCCCTCTGTGCGTCTTACCGTCCCTTGAGCAACCGTAGACATCTAGGCTAATGACCAGCCCTATAGGGATTAACGCATTCCTCTACATGACGATCGGTCGCTTGATTTACTTCTTCATCCCCGACAAGCGTCTCGCCGGAATCACCGCAAAGCGATACGGGCAGTTGTTCGTCTGGTTGGACATTGTCGCATTTCTCGTTCAGGCCGTTGGGGCTGTTATGACCACTGACACGCAAGCCACCAATGCCGAGGTTATGCGCGGCGTGCACATCTACATGGGCGGAATTGGCTTGCAGGAGCTCTTCATTCTCATCTTCAGCGGCCTGGCAGTCCATCTGCATCGACGCATGATCTCCATGGAGCGCATGGGACAGCTGGATGAAGAGAAGTTGCATGAAGGAAAGATGCCGTGGCGGTGGCTGTTCTACGCCATGTACGCGGCCCTCTTTATGATCACCGTGAGTACTCCACAGGAGCGAGCTGAAATGATATAAACGCAGATTCAACTTTCTGACTGGGTATGCCATTTAGATTCGCATTGTCTTCCGTCTCGCCCAATACGCCGACGGCACCAACCCCAAGAACCCCGTCTTGACACACGAGTGGTACGAATACGTCTGGGACGCCTTGCCAATGTTTATCGCTATCGGGCTCCTAAACATCTTTCACCCCGGGCGCGTGTTGCAGGGACCGGACTCGGAGTTTCCTAAACTGAGCCGCAAGGAGAAGAAGCAAATGAAACGAGACAAAAAGGAGGCAAAAAAGGCGTTGGAGGAGTTCAATTCCAGGGCGAGGCTAGCAGGTGGCATCGAGTTCGAGCAGCTGAGGAGACAGGAAGAAGGGGACATGGGCCTTTCGGGTGGAAGCTTTGCGCCGATAAATTCTCATTCGCGATGATTGACGACTGCCATAGAATACTGGTTGTATTACGATGTTATGCTTCCTTGTCCATAGCGTTGCAATAGGTAGATATAGTTTAGACTTCGTGTGAACCATTGAAAGAGTTACTGGAGATAGTAAATTATAGTCATTCATAAGGAAAAGTAAGTAGCTTTGGATTGATTATCTCACAGCAGATCTATTTCAACAAAGGGACTAGCATAACCGTGAAACTTTCGACTGAGAAGATATATAGAAGGACTTTAGACTCATTCCAATAGACAGGGAGCTAGCTCCTATATCTCAGTTCTTCAGACGATTGACCTGCAGGCCTCCCTCGTTGATACCCTGGACAGCAGTCAGAATGGAAGCCCAATTGTGGAATGGGATAAATGGCATTTCTCGTTCCGCACAATAACGCGCGAGATCTGCTTTTATCAGTGACCTATGCAATGCAAGATCCGCCTAGCATCAGTCGCTTACCTAGCCCTTGTTTCGCAAAAAGGATATGAGAACCAGTGGCGGCGGACAGATCAGACACTCCGTCTCCTGCAAACATAAGGATCGGTCGCATGTCTTCAGGAAGAGCAGCGTATGGTTTGATAGCCTGAGATTTGTCATGACCGTATTGACTGCCGCATCATCAGCGTGGGTGTCTTGCTATATGCCGATCGGGGACGGTGAAAGCATACCTATCATCCCGATAGCGTATTTGCCAGCCGCCAGTCTCATTGATCAGCTTTCCTTCACGCGCCTCCACGTCGTTGGCAATGATATAAATGTTGCCGGGGTTGTCACCTAGGGCATTCTGCAGTAGGGCCTTGATAATCGGGGTCATGCCCGAGGATAACACCACGATTGGAACGTTGTTCTTGCTTGTCCAGTGATAAAAGCTGATGAAGCCAGGGTCAAACTTTATGTTCCTTTGCAAGATGCGGACGCATTCATCGAAGGGAAGCGGGACGCTGTCGAGCATCGCTTTGAAGGCATCTCTGATCGTAGGTTGTGACTGATTAGAGAGTATACTCAGTTACAGCAACCAGTGAATTGAACGAACCTGAAGGCGAGGTTACCCTTCAGAACCTCGAGTTCGAGCGCACGGCGCTTCTCGATCCCAAATCCAAGATTGTCGACCTCGATAATAGCAAGTTAGTAAAAAGCGATCCATGCGTCCTGACGAGAAAGGATACCAGGAAGTCATTGCCTAAATGCATTCTTAACATATTTGTCAGTAAATAAATAAGGGTGGGATCCTACTGTCTTCTAAGGTGATTGTACCGTCAAAATCGGTGAAGAAGATGATGTTGGGGTCGCCTGTGATATAGGGCAGCTCTTCGTTCACGGAGGTCATACTGTCGTGAAGTCGCAATGACTGTAGTCAGATAACAAAAGGAAAGGAAATTCAAGAAGAATGGTTTTCCAGAATATTATCCAAGTACACTCCGAACGTTGAGAACAGAAGTCAAGAAAGGCTCCATAGTACCGGCGTGATTGACGCTGCTCAGGTGAAGGGAACAGATGTCCGGAAGCAGTAGCCGGTTTCATAGATGGCATGGAATACGCAATGGGATAATTGAAGGAAAGACAAATCAAAATAAAATTAATGCCTGCCTCTATGCAACTGAGTTCGTAAAAAATGCTACGCAACGTCAAAACAGCAAGGGATGGCCACCACAAATGCAGATCCCTCGCTTGGATGGACTCGGATCCGACAGGTATGAGAGGCTGCACCTGAACTGAGACAAAGGTAAAGCGCAGGGGGGGGGAGGGCTTTCTTGTTAGGATTAGGCACACCTCTTTCCACGGGCCAAGCAAAGATGTCACGATGTTTTCTTCGTCGAAGGTGCTGGGAATCTAGAGTGGAGCGTTGCACACCCCAGTTGGGAGAGAATGTCGCCATCCCTCGCCCACAGGACCACTCAATGAACACAAGAGGAAAACCTTGAGCAAATCCCCACAGGACCGGTCCGCTAGCCTAAATGCCGGTGTCATTCCCCGTTTAGAGCATTGAGGCATTTCATGCAACTGAGAAACAAAGTTTGTTATGACAGCTCGGTATTAGGCTTTTGATCACCAAGAGCAGTCTATGGGCCCACTGAAGATCGAGACGAGGCCCCCATAAAGCAAGATCACTGGTTACCACTGAATCTTCATGGACTGTCATACGAACACCGTTGCTCCCGACGCTTCCGGAGAAGTAACCGGGGGAATATCCGCCCAATCACCTGTGGAACTGGACGGCCACGATGCGCCGTAATCTCACCGAGAATTACAGACTGCTACACAATATATTGGTTGCATTTGGTGCTATGTCCGGAATCGCTTCCAAGTCCGGCTCTTTCACTTCGATCTGAGGGTAAGGTAGAGGTTTGCCTGCCGCCTTCTTGACCGCAATCGGTATGAACTTTAATGAAGCATCCAGCCCTTCCTGACAAGTGATTGAGTGGCTTTGCGAAAGAGCGCAGAGAGGCCCGTAGAAAGTCTGTAGTCGACCCAAAGATTTGCTTTCGTCTTTGATGTATATTGAGCTCCGTCACCGTTACATGAACGTGAAACGAAATTTCCTAACTAACTAGTACCGTGAACTGTAGCATAGGTGCAGAATCGTATAAATCCAAGAAGGACATGAGGAGCCTTTGCTCGCGCCCTTTGTCCGATACTTACACACAACTAACGTTCCCTTATCTCATGAGCCATGGGGTCCGTCGAAGAGCCAGCGTACTTCTACAAGAGTGTCTCTCAAAGTCCCGCAGGGTCGATGGTAACCTCCGCCCGGGGAATGTATCTGACGCTCGAGAATGGCCAGGAATTACTTGACGCTACCTGCGGAGCTGCTGTGTCTGCCATCGGTCATGGCCATGAGCGTGTCAAGAAAGCCATCATTTCCCAGTTGCAGCAAGTCGAGTACTGCCACCCAGGCTATTTCCCCAATGTTCCCGCGGTGCAGCTGGCCGAGTATCTCGTTCAGTCGACCGAGGGCCGCATGGCCCGTGCTTGCATTCTTGGGTCCGGTGTGTGATCTGCTCATCTCTCTCTCCCCCTCTCCTTTCGCCGGCCAGAGCTGGTTTTGTAAGTTTTATAACTAAGAGCATCATCCGTGAAGGTTCCGAAGCCGTTGAGTCGGCCATGAAGCTGGCCCAGCAGTACTGGGCCGAATTGACACCGAACTCCCCTCGTACGCGGTTTATAGCAAGAAAGGGATCCTGGCATGGATGTACTCTGGGTGCCTTGTCTCTAGGTGATTTTAAGCCCCGCAAGGCTCCATTCGACAACATCTTGCATGGGAATGTCTCGCACGTCTCGGCTTGTGACCCTTACCATGGTCTCGGCGAAGGAGAAACCATTCAGGCCTATGTGGAGCGCTTGAAGCAGGAGCTGGAAGACGAACTCCAGCGAGTCGGCCCCGAGAACGTCGCTGCTTTCTTCCTAGAGCCCGTTGTTGGCACGGTATGACTCTTGAAACTTTAAGAATGGAAACGATCTCCTCCATGAGACCAGACTGACGGATGTATGTCTATTACAGGCCCTGGGCTGCGTGGCCGCCCTTCCGGGATACCTCCAGGCCATGAGAGAGGTTTGCGACCGTCACGGCACACTCTTAATCTTCGACGAAGTGATGTGCGGCATGGGTCGCACAGGAACTCTGCATGCTTGGCAAGCGGATGGAGTTGCTCCAGATATCGAGATCGTTGGCAAGGGACTTGGAGCTGGGTATGGTCCGATTTCGGCCGTCTTGATCAACGAACGAGTAATCAGCGGCCTGAAAGCCGGTAGCGGCTATTTTCTGCACGGACAGACATACATGTCTCACCCCTTGGGTTGTGCTGCTGCGCTGGAGGTCCAGCATATTGTTCAGGAAGACAATCTGGTTGAGAACGCCCGCAAGATGGGTGATCACCTTGGCCGACAGCTGAAGCTCCACCTTGGGGGCCACCCATATGTGGGAGACGTGAGAGGACGGGGCCTCTTTTGGGCTGTTGAATTTGTGGCTAATAAACAGACGAAGGCATTCTTGGACCCCAAGCTCGCCCTCAGCAAGCGCCTGCAAGTCAAGGGTATGCAGGAGGGCTACGACATCTGCATGTTCGTGGCTACCGGAGCGGCAGATGGATGGAATGGCGATCACTTCTTGTTGGCGCCTCCATACAATGTGACCACTGAGGATATTGATGAGATTGTTCACCGAGTGGTGAAGGTGATTGACAGTGTCTTCGAAGATCTAGCTCTCGCTCTCTAAGACGAACGACTTCAACGCCTCAAGTTAACTTTCAAGGATAGTAGCTAGGGTCATCCTTTTTTCTTTTTCTTCTCTTTTTCTGTCTTTCTTTGAATTTGTTGATCCGTCTTGTGATTACCAATAACAGAGACAATTTTTTATAATAGTAATTCCAACTCCCATGGTTTTTTTTATATCTTACGGCATAACCTCTGCCTAACTTTCCCATTTGGCCTGTTCCTGGCACAATCGATCAATGCGAACATCGAATTATAAGCTCTACCAATAGCAATGGCTTCCTGCAACGGTTGTGTAAGAGGTCCGCTAAGGTACTAGCAGCCCTTTTTCTTTGTCACCATTTGAAATAAAGAACCGAGTGTTCGATACGATTCTAACCGCAGGGGAACGTCCAGGTTAGGTGGTCTTCTCCCTCTTCCGGATGCGGGTTTAGGGCTCCGACCCACAAATCCTCGACTGCTTTTTGGAAGCGTGGCGCAGTTTGAACACCGTCTAGACCTACGTAAGGGTCAGTGAACCACTTATCAGCACAGTGTAGGCCTCTTCTTATTTTTCTTTCGGCTTATCTTGTTGGCCTATTCTTTTCTTTCCTCCTCTCTCCCCAGACCCTAGTCTCATGCAAGGCCCACAGTGCAACCTAGTGTGATTTAGTAATTTTTTTTTTCTTTTCGTTTCCCTTTCCTAAACGGCTCAAGCGCTCAATCATCCCTGTCGTGGGTGGACGTCTTGAAAGGCACTAGTGTGGAAGATATGGCGCGGAATTCTCATGAGGACGATTCCACAACACCGCTCTTGCAGGCAGGGCAGCCCAGCTATCAGACTACCAGTCAAAATCCTTCTTCGTTTGAGCAAGATGCTGTCCCTACGGGAGCCTCGAGCCCGGAGCGTGTTCCAGAGAAGTGGAATCAACCCAAGATTAAGGCATGGAGGGTGCTCGCAACCTTCTATAGCTTCATTGTGATTGGTGCAAACGATGGGGCTTACGGGGTACGTTGTGCAACGGCTCTAGTAATACACGAAAGCTAACAATCTACTGGGAGATAACAGGCATTGATTCACTACGTACGTCTTTAACCGTTCTTCCTCACCCCCGAATATCAGGCGAATGGACACTCATATAACATGTTTTGTGATAGTTGGGTAGCTACTATCATGCAGACTATGCGGCGGTTTCGGTGGTCTTTTTGTCTCCATTCATCGGATATGCCACCGCAGCTCTGGCGAACAACTCCATTCACGAACGGTTTGGTCAGCGGGGAATTGCAGTGCTCGGTCCTGGAATGCACATTCTCGCCTATCTGGCCGCTACACAGCATCCCCCATATCCCGTGCTGATCACTATATTCATCCTCGCCGGTCTCGGAAGTGGAGTGGTCGATGCCTCATGGAATGCCTGGATAGGCGCCATGCCGAACAGCAGTCAACTGATGGGTGTTTTACATGCATTCTACGGGTTGGGAGCTGCCCTGGCTCCGTTGATTGCAACATGGTTGGTGACCCAGAGAGGCTGGCAGTGGTACGAGTTTTACTACCTGATGGCTCTTGCGGCGGGCCTGGAGTTTGTCACTTCTGTCGCGGCCTTCTGGTCAGCGACCGGATCAGCTCATGAGTTGGAACCCCTAGACAGTCTCAGTAATGAGGACACACAAGGCGAGGACGATACAACCGAAGGAAGGCGGCAGAGTCCAACGATCGAGTCCTTGGGCCTCGCATCTACTTGGATCATCAGCTTCTTTCTGTTCGTATATGTTGGCGTTGAAGTCTCCATGGGAGGCTGGATCTTTACTTTCCTCGTTGATCTTCGCCACACGACACCGTTCTCTGCCGGTATCGTTACTTTCACTTACTGGGGAGGACTCACGCTGGGACGCGTCTGGCTTGCTTTCCTCACGTCATGCTTCAAGACGCAACGCATGGCGGTGCTGATGTACCTTGTGGTATCCATTCTTTTACATTTGGCATTCTGCTTTGTGAGCAATTTCCTCATGTCCGCCATTGTTGTCACTCTTCTGGGGTTCTTCCTCGGACCACTTTACCCCGAAGCAGTCATTGCTCAAGCGAAGATTCTCCCTAGATATCTTCATGTCGCGGCGGTTGGATTTGCCTGCGCCCTCGGGAGCGCAGGGGGTTGCGTGATGCCCTTTATCACTGGATTCATTGCCAGAGCATATGGCATCAAAGTCCTCCAACCGGTAGTCCTAGTCATGTTGATCCTTTGCTTGGGTTTGTGGATTGCGCTCCCTTCGGGGCCGAGAATGTCCTAACGAAATAATTTTCCCCGCTGATCCTCAATCGTTCCTATTGTTCTTAGGTAAACAGCATTCTCTTGCCCTTTTATGGGATCTTCTCATAGCATGTTGAACTTTTTTTTCTTTAATTGTGGAATGAGTCACTACAGACGGGCCAACAAACATAGCGTATCAAGAATGAAGCATTCCTCGCAGAAATGACACCCAACCCCTTGGCCAACCTCCAGATATATTGACGCACTATCTCAGGCTTTACCCCTACATTCCAGAGACACGGCCCGAACCACCCGCGCAACCCCTCCCGGTGATCGTCGCGGGTTCATGAAACTCAAGCAAATAGTTATATTGGCCGATATTTCTGAGCATCACCGTAACTTCCAATTCCATGTTATATGAGAGCAAACGGGTAGGTGGGTGGCTATGCCCCGAGACAAGCTTCGAAGACAAGCGGAAATCAAATCAATATTAAGCAACTACCGTAGGCATCAATCAACGAGTATGGCGCAATTACAACTAGTGTGCCACTTCTGGTGACCCTTGTCCCATCCGATCAGGAACAAGTGCGAACGCATGTTCTTATTTCTTGGTAAAGCTTTGAAGTGCCTTGATGGATGGGGTGAAGAAATACTCTCCACCTCTCGGAACCACGCAGACTTTCAGGTTGATGCGACAGTTTTTACTATCCCCATCGCAAAGACTGACGTCAAAAGTGTCTGGTGGATTGGGCTGGCCGCAGATGGCATCAACGCCGGGTCCTGGATCTCCGGTCTCCTCGTCCTTGTCGGCGGGGAAGGTGTCCATATTGCACCATCCTACAGTCATGTTAGGGTAGTCATCGGTGCATAATAGGTTAGGGCACAACGGCTTACTCGCTTGTTGCATACGGAATCCATTAGCAATGTTGCTCTGGTAGCACATGAAAAGGAGTCCGCGATCCTCAGATGTTTTATGATCCTTCCACTCTTTATGCGTCACCTCGCCGCCATACGAAATACCCCGACGCATTATAACGAATCGTTCGGGGTGGGTGAGATCGGCGCGCGGATTGCACTTGCGCGCGTGTGCCGCAAATGGGCACTTATCCTGTTTGTCAAGTGGCTTGTAATCATAGTTGTTTGCCCTGGCAAGACCCGGGTCATCATTCCACGGAGTCATACAAACGGGGGCACCTGGGAAGGAATATCGATGAGGACTTGGTCTCTTTCATGGCATTCAAGGAGCTCGACACCTACCGCTCTTCCATCTTCCCATCAAGCGTGCTCCAAGCTGGTCGCTGTTTAGTTTATGCTCAGGTGCAGTATCATCAATCCACCTGAATGAGCGAAAGTGATTGTCAGTCCATGGTCCTGGGGAAAAGGGGGACAGGGTGATCTTACTTCTGAAACTCGGGAACATACTGTTGCAGCTTGCGGAAAACGAAGAAGCTACCATCGGTAGCCCAGTCCGGCTGCTTGGTACGGTATCCTGGCTCGCCATTGATGATGATCCTATTTATGGTAATGAATGTAAATACTAGACGTTTGCACCAGAGTCACGATTGCAGAGACGTACCCTGGAGGAACCAGTGCAGGTTCACCCTCTTTCACATCGTCGTCTAACCCGTCCAGCTGAGGTTGGGAAACGCCGTCTTCAAACCCGAAGCTAGAGTGGAGTTAGGATCCTGGCTTTGAAGAGTATTCACTGCCCACTCACTGTTCTTTCCCCTTGTTCTCACCGTCCCTGACATTCCCTTTAACGGTGAATAAACCCTCGATGCTCGAATTCCAGGGAAGAATTCCCACGAAGTGGTAGATCACCCGATGGAGCTTGGTATAGACAGAAGCGCGAGACTCTCCTGTTACCAGAATTACGCCATCAATGGGTTTCTTGGGGCTTGGGTTCCTAAACCTTTCTTCCCAGTCTTCTGGGTTGTCCCGACCCTCTCCGCCGGGACCTCCGCTTCGAAGATCGGCCAGCATGCCGTTCTCGAAGTTTCCTGCCTTCAAGTCATGCTTTCCCAGCTACGAGGCGGGACGTCAGCGTTTGATTCTGGGCCGCTTCGATGAAGGTATAGAACTGAAGGGGATGTATTACCTTTCCAATGCCACTGCTAGTAAAAGAGATGTTCACTCCGCTGAGGCTTAGAAGTTCAGGGCCTTTATTGCCCTTGGCTATCTCGATTTTATGCTGTCTGATTTTCCCCTTGTCTTGAACGGCTTGCTCGGCCGTGGTGATCTCGGGGATGAATGCAGCCAGATGATTTCGAAACTTCGGTTCATCCTTAATGGTGAAGAAGTATAGCTCCTCATACCTTTTTGGAAGGCCGGGCCTAGGCTGAGTTAGCCTCGAGTCTGCGGAACGTACAACGCTTTCTAGCAGCACAATACCAAATATCACCCTGGATGTTGGTGGTGTCAATCTTGGGCTTTTCAGACTCGGTAAAACCCATCGTGGCTTTTTGTTTACAGCTGCTAGAATTATCTGAAGAGGTAATTTCAATTTATGCCCCAGAATTGTTTCCTCAGACATAGAGGCACCCCTACGATCTACAACGTCCTTATAACTATAAGCCAACCGATTCCACGTTGTCCAACTCGATAGCTCTGAGGGAAGTATACACGTCAGATGTCCGGGAATCGAAGATGTCACTGCTCATGCCTCGACTGCAACATTGGCGTTTGTCATATGGCAGAGACCGCAGTCGATGGAAACCTAAACAGTGGTTTTCACCAAGAACTAGTCATCCCTGGGTCGTTCCGAAGGTGGGCTTCATCACCGAACCTGACACTAGGATTGACAGCTGATATCGCTTGGTTCCAACACTACTAGAACTTTATGGCCTTCTAAGTTGATGACGAGATCTCCCTTCATGGCTGGAGGCTCTATGTAGGATAAAATGCCTACATGTCTACGGAACGCCTAGGGTCGACATCAAGCTACTAACCGAAACGGTCCTCACCCTGCTGGCTGGCTGTGGACTGGATATACTTAACTGAAACGAACATGTTACACTAAGTCTAACAGGTTAGTACGGCACAAAACGCATATACTCATCAGCCTTCTACCCTGCCAATCACTCACAATTCTAGGAGGAACCAATAGGAATGGGCTTATTGCACAGCCCAAAGCCTCCACATTGAACCGTACATTATCTGGGCCCTCTTTACAATTCAACCGATGGACCGTCTATGGTGAGACAGAGTTAAGCTCGAGTTACATCGAAAAGGCGCGTCATCAGACTGGACAGTGAAGCCCGGCGGACGTGCAATCACCGCTAATGTCCCACTATTCTCTGCTAACATTCACAGAGACTTTCAGTCATGTATTGTGCAAAACCTTCTGTAGCCCCTCATGTAACGCACGGCAGACACTTTCTTGGATAGAATCCGTCTTAGACTGGTACTAGTCTCCGGAGAAAACATTAGTCTCCTCATAACGAGGATGCCACGGAACACCGCGAACGGAACCATGCGGCTTGCTCAGTCCGTGCATTGATCTGCAGCATTGGATGGATCAGGATCAAACCGCTAAAAAATGTTTCTGGCTATTTCTTTAGCTATCACAATGACCTAGCTGCTCCCGGCATGGTGTGTTACATTCCGGCAATGTCGGAATGATAAAAAGATATGATTATTGGAAGCCTTTGCTACACATCTTGTGGACTTAGCTCACCTTCCCCAATGAGAAGAAACTGGTATGTAACACGTTCGCTCCAGTATTTTTCAATCGTTTACCCTGGGGGAATGTTGACGTGTGAAGCGTGTGCTAGATGGTCACCATTGCTAGGGACCAGAGTGGGAGAAGTGCTCCCCAGTACAAGTCTGAAGCCCAAGGTCTCATGAATCTTACTCTTCTAGCAATTGAGCAACTCATGTTTGCTCTTGACACTGCGTCAAGTCTCTGCGTAGAAACTTATGGACAGTAGCGTTAGGCCTGTTCTCGTATCATTCCTATGCCCTCTTAGATGCGGGCATTCCAGAGAAAGAATCAAACCACAGGTTAAGAGGTCAAGGCTCGAATGAGCGGATAGTTTCCTTTGGCCGTAACAGTCCTGATTGAGGTGTGGGGGTTAGCTTTCCCCAAGTTGTCGGGGCAAGGGCTGATCGGAGTCCCGATTGGGAAACATGAAGCCTCACGGAATGCTTCATAACATGCCGTATCGCGTTCCCTCCAGCCAGCCACTCATCCCATCGCCTGACAGAAAAGATGTCCGGTAATAACTTCTTTCTATGATGAGCAGTTACTGGGGATCTGGTTAACTGGTGAGTATTGGCTCGTGCTACGGATACTCTCTCACGGTGGAAGTTCACAGCATATCGCCGCAACCATAATTTCTGTTCCTAATCAATTCAGGTCCAGCAATAACGTTCTTGAAAACATGGGTGTTTTCCTTTGCCGTAAATGTGGGTTCGCTGTACGTAGCGAACCCCCTGTGCACCAGCATGCCACTAGGCCATATAGAAACAATGAGGTGGGAAGCTCCTTGCAGACAAAGCGCACACCAGATATTTTACTATCCTCGAAGCATAGTGCAGGTAGGCTATTGGATAGAGCATGATCCGTGCACCCAGACACGCTCTATTTAATGGCCTTTTTTACCGCCGCTTGTTGGCTCTTGGATGTTGAGAGTCAACTGTGGTTCGTGCTTTCCAAAGCGTACGAACTCTGGACCTGCGACTCAATATGAGGGCCAAATGGGTTTCAAGGCTTCTGCTCCTTGGGCTGGTGGAGGCTCGAGACTATAGTATGGAGGGATCCGTGATCGCCGCCGTTGGCAGGGCACTAGGTCCTCCGAGCATGGAGTCGGTTTCCCCTCACGATGCCGGCGGAGAGGACACTGGCTTGTTTCAGGCACCGCCATGGAACAGTCGCCGACTTCCCCGTGATGATTGGACTGTGACTTGCGACAGCGACCACGATGGAAACGAATGCACCAAAGCCATCGACGGCGACAACACTACCTACTGGTCTAGCGATTATAACAGAACCGCTAATGCGCCGCCACCGCATAGTATTACCATTGACCTGAAGATCACGCAAAACGTCAGCGCAGTGGAGATATGGCCGCCTCAGGATGGGGGCCAGAATGGATGGATTGCGCGACACGAGGTCTACGTCAGCACGGACGCCCAGAGCTGGGGATCTCCCGTTGCCTACGGCACTTGGTGGCCAGATAATACCGTGAAGCTGGCCGTCTTCGAGCCTCGGGCGGTGCAATATGTGCGTTTCGTCGCCCTTTCAGAGGCAAATGGCAACCCATGGACCTATATCGCCGAGTTGGAGATCTGGGCCGCCGCCGATATTCCTGCGACACCACAAGGCCAGACTCTAGGCCAGACCGGGGTCTGGGGACCTACCATTGACTTTCCCATTGTTCCGGTGTCAGCAGCCGTCGAGCCCAGCACCGGCAAAGTGCTCGTCTGGTCCTCGTACCGCAAGGATCAATATGGAGGCAGCGGAGGAGGGACAACCCAAACTTCCACCTGGGACCCGGTCAGCGGCGAGGTCACACTCCGGGAGGTCTCGGAGACAAAGCATGATATGTTTTGTCCAGGCATCTCAATGGATATGGACGGCCGCATCATCGTGACTGGGGGAAACGACGACACGAAGACCAGTATCTACGATCCTTTCTCCGATGCATGGATCCGGGCCGCACCGATGACCATGGCCCGTGGGTATCAATCATCGACTATCCTATCCGACGGCAACATGTTTGTGATCGGAGGCTCCTGGAGTGGTGGTGAGGACGACAACAAAAATGGCGAGATTTACGACGTGGGCGCCAACTCCTGGAAAGATCTTCCAAATGCCGCCGCGACTCCCATGTTGACCAACGACCGGCTGGGCGCATATCATGCCGACAACCACGGCTGGCTCTTTGGCTGGAAGAATCGCTCTGTCTACCAGGCAGGCCCGAGTCGTGCCATGCACTGGTACTTCGTGGAGGACGAAGGCGACGTGACTGAGGCCGGAGACCGAGGCACCGACTACGACCAAATGTCAGGCAGTGCGGTCATGTTCGACGCCGTGAACGGCAAGATTCTGACAGCTGGAGGATCTCATGACTACGAGGATTCCGACGGCTCGAGAAATGCCTCAATCATTACCATTGGAGACCCCAACACGCCTGGCCAGGTGGTCAAGGCTGGCAACGACATGCATTACGACCGAGTATTCCACACTTCAGTCGTGCTGCCCGATGGCAGTGTCTTCCTCACCGGCGGCCAAATTCACAGCCTTCCCTTCGTCGAGAAAGACCCGGTCCTGACCCCTGAACGGTATATCCCCTCGGGAGACCAATTCGTGGAGCAGTTCCCGAACAACATCGTCCGTGTCTACCACAGCTGGTCCGTCCTGCTTCCAGATGGCACCGTCTTGAATGGCGGCGGCGGCCTTTGTGCCGACTGCGCAGCAAATCATTACGATGCCCAGCTCTTTACGCCTGCGTATCTGTTTGATGCTGACGGGAACCGAGCAACGCGCCCGGAGATCACAAGCGTCACGCCCACGAGCCTGAGATACGGAGGGACCATCACCATTCAAGCCGACTCCAACATCTCTAGCGCCTCGCTGGTCCGTTACGGCACCACGACCCATACGGTGAACACCGACCAGCGTCGAATTGAACTGCAGCTCAACAATTCGGGGGACCAGACCTATACGGCGGAGATCCCCAATGATCCTGGCATTGCCCTTCCGGGATATTATATGCTGTTCATTTTCAACGAAAACGGCGTGCCGAGTGTGTCAAAGAACGTTCAAGTAACCCTGTAATGTGGTGGGTGGATAAAATACGCTTGGTACTTGAAATCAATGATCGTTAATGTCACGGTCTTATTGTGTCTTTGATGGGAATCATTTCCAAATCATGTATTGACCTTGGCTTCATTGTTCTCTGGGCTTTGGGCAGACTATTGTCAATCCGTGTCTTTGAGAAATGCAGAGTTACTGCTAGTCTTTGGCCCATTTCCCCATTTCACTTCTCTCCTGAAGATCAAGCCGTAGCAGCAGTAGTGATGGTGGTGGTGGTAGTAGTAGTAGCAGTAGTCAATTCTCTCCGGCGGGTGATGTGTTGATGCTTCTCTGTGACCTTGCCCTGGGATACGACGTGACCCAAGCTATAGGATTATATATGGTCATGATACCAGGTATCCTAGCTGTTTTGAGAGGGGATAGCGGAGTTTGGTCAGTGTTTTGTTTGTTTCATGCCTGACTTTTAAAAATGATTGCACGTACCCTGGTTTGGGCAACAGAGATATATACTGGCTCCGGCATGATGGATGCGCAATTCACGAGATCATTTGTGTTCGGTATGTCCAGGGTTGCAGTCTAAAGTATGAGATAGGCGTTAGAACTGGGCCTTCAGTCCGAACTATCCCCAGATATGAAAGAAGTCCTATACCAACCGGCCTTTAAGACGAGGAGACGCCCACCCTAGTCGATGCCTGCACTGTAAGGCAGCAGCGGGCGGCAAGGGTGGCACGTGCTGAGCCGTGTAATTGCCCCGATCGGGTTAGACCAACTCGAGGCTGTCGCGAGTCTTCATGATTGGCAAATTGGCAACTAACCAACTTCCTCCGTACAGCTGCCTACTGTCATCTTACCATTCACCATCAATGCGCCCGGAATGATTAAGCCCGGAGGACCCTGTAACTCTCAAAATGCCCCTATCGAAGACATGCCAAAACTGTGCCCGATCGAAGGTGCGATGTCTCCGCAGTGCTGCCTCCCAGAGTTCCTGTGACCGGTGAGCTCTTTCGACGTGGTCCATGTCTAGCACTCGCCCGGTGCTGATCGACCTCATACTAGATGTCGTCGTCTAGGGAAAGAATGCGTTTATCGTCAAGCGGGTCGCCGCTTTGATGGATTTCGAAAAGACAAGTCAGTCCCCAACGACACCCTTGGCCAGGGCCCCATGCTAACTGTTCCTGGAGACAAATCGAGGCACTCGAGGCAAAAGTGAATGAGTTGATGGCTCATCGGCCTGCCATGATGCATTAGTCAGAGACATCCCGCTTTGCTTCCTCTGACGAATCCGGCGATCTCACCGCTCTGGGGGATGTCGTTGATCAAGGGATCCTGAGCATGGAAACAGCCGACTACTTCTTGGAAGTTTTCAAGAGCCGGATGGCCATACATTTCCCATTCGTAGTAATACCACCGCATATGGGACCCAGTGATCTTCGTCAGAAGAAACCCTTCCTCTTCCTGGCCATTCTTGCGTCCTCCACATATGAGGACCTGCCATTGCAACGCCGGCTGGCGAGGGAAATCAAGGAACGGGTTGCCAACCGCATGATTATAAACGGAGAAATCTCTTTCGAGTTGCTGCAGGGCTTGTTGGTATACCTAGCATGGTACTTCAGCCTACGTTATCCAGCGAAAGCCCAACCTTCTAAAACCATCCAACAGGTCACACTTCCACAAAAAGCCGCATCGCTATACCCAGATTCTGCAGCTGGCCATCGGCTTGATGATTGAGCTTCGTTTGGACCGCCCCCAACACACTATAAACGCCAAGACTGCTCTCCAGTGGAAAACAAATAATTCCTCAGATGATCGGGTTTACACTCGACAGTCATGGGGGCGTGACGAACAGCGAGCGGTGGCGGGGTGCTACTACCTGTCGTCGACGTGAGATGCTCAACCCTGACCTTGCTCTTGAGGCGAACCATACTGACCTCAAGTCAGGAACGCCATACTGGTACAGAAACCGTCAAGCTTTCCCAGCATTTCTACTTACCTCGAGGAATGCTGTCACTCTCTGTGTGAGGCAGATGAATACCCGAATGATCGATACATAGGCCACATTACCCAACTACAGCTACTAACGGAGAGAATTGTCCGCGTGGCGGCGTGTTATGGAACAAACGCCTGCGACCCGAATCCGGTGACCGATCTTTATATTTCCAGTCTCCACGAAGACCTCGAATCTTTCAGAAGGCGTCTCCCGTTCGATTTGCACAGTTATCGTATGTGTCATCAGAGAAAAGATGTGTTGGCCGCGAGCTAATGGCCAACTCTGGCTCTTCCACAGCTCTTCTAGCCATGCAGTTCCACGTGGCTGAACTTTGTCTATGCCAACTTAGCATCGGAAGCAATTCTGAGCACTCCCCTAGTTCGGACCGGCAGCAAGAACTGACATTGGTGGGGTTGCATGCAGCGGGGTCGCTTTTTAGAATGTACCTCTCACTCCCAGCAAACTACGAGCTTGGGCTCAACAACACCCAGTGGATTCAGATGGGGTTTTCATTGCTGGTGGCATGTAAACTTGTTCTTGCGACCGCAAAACCGTTCCCCAACGCAAGCAGCCCCCAAAGGATGCAATGGTTGGAAACCATGTCACAGCTGCACGATCGAGTTGGGTCTTTGTCGACTGCACGAATCGATCAAGATAGCGAACGTGATGTTTTTAGCGGCTTTTCTCAACGAGTCTCTCGAGTCATGTCCTGGCTCGGAAAAGAGCCGCAGAGTGAAGGGGCGTATGCCGATCAACCGGTTCAGCGCCCCCGAAATTCGCTCAGCGGCGCTTCGGTAATTGAGGAGGGCAGGCTAGGGAATACTGACCCTGCTTCCTTAATAGAGCCCGCGTTGTTTGACTTGGGATTCGACATGGGCAGTGACTTTGATTTGACCCACGATGCATTTTTTGCTACAGCAATAGACCAAATGATGGGTAGTTGGTTATAATTCACGTTGCAGGGAACTGATCTCCGGTCTCCCTTCCCAATCAACATGAGTCATCGTGAAATTGCATGGAAACAGGAGCGAACTGAGACCCCTATCTCATAGTGGCGGTACTTGACTTTTTGCGCGATGGATCTCGCATCTCCGACCCGACGCTCTACACTGGGGGCCGCGGGTGCCTCAGGCTCTCAAGGCTTGGGCATCTCCGATCCGACATGCAGAGTATATCTTCGAGAACTCCGGGGTCGTGTTGGAACACCTCCAACAAATTCAGCCTCAATCAGCCATAGTAATGCATTTCGCAACCCTCAGCATCAATTTGCTTTCTTCCCTTCTGGTCCTGTCTCCCTTAGTACACTCATTCACGCCATGTCCTCTTCTCGGTCCGGCCTTCCCTCCGTTTAAACTGGACCCAAGCTTCAAAGACGTGAGCGAGGCTATCAAAGCGCTCACGCATGAACTGGACGATCAAATCAAGTCTGGCAATGGGTCGCATGGAATAACTTACCCCAACACAACCTCTTTCAGCTTAGCCCTGTTCTCTACGAACGAGGGAGCCGGCTCCGATGGCCCGTTCTTTTACGACTACCATTATACAGCTCCTTCGCTGAAGGAGTCGGGACACTACCGCGCAGCTGATGTGAACAGTGTATATCGCATCGGCGGTCTAAGCCAGATCTTTACTGTATGGACCTTGATGGCCACCGCCGACGATGGTGTCTTGGATGATGTTGTGACAAAATACCTCCCTGAGCTTGAAAGCGCGAACAGGGACGCAGCAGAGGATGCGGATGGTTTTGTTGCATGGGAAAGGGTGACTATTGGACAGCTGGCCAGCCACATGGCGGGAATTGCCAGAGATTGTGCGTTATCTATATGATCCGATCCCTTGATACAACGATTGACCGACTAACGTTGAAACAATGTAGCCTGTGTGAGCAGTTTGAATGATGAAATAAAATCTGGCCCTGGCTTACCGAAGCCTCATGTGTCATCTATTATCTGCAATTCGATCTCCGAGGACGGTACGGAGCCTTCGCGCCACCCACACTTTGGAGTGATACTAACTATGGGTGCAGATGCAATTGCCCGCTTGATCCAACAGAAGCCGGCGGCCTTTCCTGACTCAACGCCCCTCTACTCCAACATGGGATTCGAGGTTCTGGGCTATGTTATTCAAAATATTTCAGGGCAGCCTTTCGAAGAGGTTCTCCAAAATAAGATCCTGAGCCCTTTGGCTTTGGAAGACACCAGTCTTTCCCGGCCTTCGGACTCCTCCAAGGGGATTATCCCAGTGAATGAGGGAACCAGTGGATGGGCAAATGAGTACGCAGGAGCGGCACCGTAAGTCCCCGAACTTCGATTCTCTTTCGCGCGAGACTAAACTTTCCCAATAGCGCAATTTCGATGTTCTCCAGCATTACGGATCTTTCGCTCGCCGGCAAGGCAATCTTGAACTCGACGCTGCTCTCGCACCTTCAAACCAGGCACTGGCTTAATCCAGTCTCACACACGTCCAACCCAGCTAACTCGCTTGGCTACCCTTGGATCATTTATAGCAGCGGCAATTACCCCAATACTTCCATGGTGGATATTTACACGTATTATAGCGATGTGGGCCTGTATAGCTCCTACCTAGGCATTGTCCCCGATTTCAACATCGGATTCGCCATTCTCGCCGCCGATAGCGTTGCTAGCCCGGACTTGAACGCTCACGCTGACATCATTGGCGATGTCTTTTTGGAAGCCATGATGAAGACATCCGCGACCCAGGCATTGATGAACTTCGGCGGCCATTACCGTGCTTCCAACAATAGGTCATCGATCACCGTCTCGGTCGATGATCTACCGGGGTTGTTTATCCAGAACTTCGATAGCCACGGATCAGAGTTCCGAAGGACCCTTGCTTCGTTAACCGGAGTTCAAGACCCCGATGACTTGAGTATTCGTCTGTACCCGACCGGCTTGATCTTGCCGAGCGAGTCCGGGTCTAGGCAGACCTTCCGTGCGGTTTTCCAGGACAAGACCGAGTTGGCCGACAATGGCACTCCTACGTGCGTCTCCTGGACTGACGTGGGCAAGCTGAAATCCAACAAGGCTCCTCTTGACGAGTTTGTTTTTGAGGTCAACGGCGATGGCGAAGCGGTCGGCGTCGAGATTCCGGCACTGGAAGTGACTTTGAAGAGGAACTAGGACTAGCCCGCGGATTCAGCGTATGATATTGGTTTGATTGGGGAGGGTAGGTTGTAGACTTGGGAACTTGTGTATAAAATATCAACTGTTTCTTGTTGTCAAAGCATTGCGCTATTTGGAGAATTCAATCCTAACGGCGCGGCCCCCGGATTACCCAAACAGGCAACCCGGCAGGATCAGCGATCCGCGGGCGTCGGGGTCTTTGGGCCTTCCCTTCTCTTCGACTTCACCTCAACTTCCACTTCCACTTCCACTTCGACTTCATTCCCACTGACCTACCAACCTCCTTTCCCCTGTTCTGCTCGATTAAATGCTTCTATACAAGTTCGCAACTGACTCCTTTCGCGCGGTTTTCAAAATTAAACCCTACACTTAACCCCACCTTAGATCTCGGTTGATTTTACTCCTGAACCCCTATTCCACCCACCGCACCCAGCATGCCCTCCTCCTTCAACCCGCACGACTACCGCAAGCTACAGAGAATCGACAGCGACGACGACGACTTCAAGCTAGAGTCCTTCGACCACGTACAACAGGGCCCCTCCGCCCTCCCCGCGCCCAGTAAAGACCCCGCCAGAAAGAACACGCGATGGATGATCTCCACGGTGCTGCTCTCCGCCCTCGTCCTGGCGGCCATTAGCCTGTTGTCGATTAATTTTGCCCGACCGCGCCATCGTACGTCCTCGTCGCCTACCTCGTCTGCGCCAGAACCCCAAAGCACCATGGCGTCCCAACCCTGCGGCACGTCGCCGTCCGAGGCCAGCGCCGCCGGATGTATATACGACGTAATGATGCACTCGTGGCTCCCTGCGACGTGCTTCGACGAGGAGCTCACGAAAGAGTTTCGTGGCCTGCGAGAGTGGCGGTTCTATGCCGATGCAAACGGCACGAAGATTCTGACTGAGAAGGAAGTGGCATGGCGCACAGAGGATGTCTATACGACGTTGGACTATCATTACACGCGCTGCGTGTATAGCCTGCGGAAGGACCAACGTGCCACGGAGCGGATGAAAGATCAGGAAGTTCCTGTCGCGGAGGAGAGCACGGTCGATTGCTCCGAGCTGTTCTTGAGCACGGCCAAGCAGTTGAACGAGACGAGCAGCGTCATTGTCCTGGGAGGCACGTTGAGGTCGCTGTCCGTGAGCTATCCGGTATGCACGCGACCGAAGATGATGTGAAGCCTTGGGCTCGAGACCTACAGGGTAGACCGAAGAGACGTAATACTTGTAGGTCTACCATGATTTAGAGCGAGGCTGTCACTGGCATTCGAAAGGGTCTTAGCGTGTATATAATGGACCTGGTAATTGGCATAATAGGGCTGCTGCCTTCCTGGCCTACTCATCTTTCTACCTTTACAACACTTCCGACCGGATCCAGTTGTGGAATTCTTAGAGCCACCCTCTTGCGGTATCACTAGATTTCCTTAACCGCATCGAGAGATGTCAAAGATACTGCTCCTTATCTTTTAACTGCCCACTTACTGTTGCTTGGCACGTTCCAGTACGGAGTATTGACATATCAATATCGGAGACTAAGGCTCGGTAGGAACTGAAGCCTTGCGGCGCTCGCACCTCTCTCGCCTGAACCGGCAACGGGTGGGTCTTGGGAGAACATTGAGAATTGAGGCGAATGAGGGTCTCTCGTAGAAGAGCTAACGAGGCGCAGTTCTCTGTGCGGCATCCACATTGGCCGAAAGGCGTATGAAGTCCACCGATCGTCGCGTGGGGGCGGATTCGCCGTTGACTGCTTATGGTGAATTATCCTTCTTTACTGTCACTCTTTGGTGCTTCTATCTCTAGCAGTATACACTGTAGACCAACGTTTCAGGCAACAGTCATAAGTGTCAGACCATAGAAAATACGAGTCTTTTCCCGCGAGGCTTGGTCACGATGACGATGTAGCTACGCATCTCTTTCTCTAGATAACCATCGACGAACCATCATATCTCACCGCCATGTCGAGTTCATTATTTTCCTCCATTCTACCGCTAAAATCCGCGCCATCGGACGAGATGGAGAAGCTCCCCGGCTACGACGAAGCGACGCGCTCCACTCCCACCGAGTCTTCTAGCGCCTTCGACGGCGCGAGCAAAAGCCCCAGTCTCAAGTACGCCCTGATCTCGATCGCCTGGACGGATCGCATTCGGCTGTTGCGGTTCCCCGAGCATACCACCGAGCGCATCTCGGCAGTCCTCCGCGCCGCTTGGCCCAAGGGTATCCAACATGTGAAGCTAGTCGCTGATCATCCCGAGATCAAGCTGAAAGGGAATCCGTTCTCGTATGCGCAAGACGACGAAAAGATCGCCATTCGGCGTTGTTTCCTTGAGATCTTCGGCGTGTTGGCGCAGGAGGGATGGGGCGTTCATCCGGTGTTGGCGGGCACAGGGCGCATTGGGACGTTTGGGAGCACGGCGGAGAAAGGTAGGTGTAGCTCTGTAAATGACCCTGGTGGATGCGATGGCTAACACGGCGCAGACTGCATTGTCTTCCAGCGTCAGCCCGCACAGCGTCTCTCCTGGATGTGCGTGTCCTTTGATTCGAGCTCGTATATCCACCTTATCAACAGTCCTCCGGAGTTTGGGCAATCCATCATCCAAGTCTTCGGGGATCGCGTCGAGAAGTGCAACCGGGACTTAGTTTCAGGGAACTTCGAGATCAAATTCCGCGATGGGCCCTGGTGGGGGTCGTTGAAGAACGCGGTTTCGAGCCGACTGATCATCCTGGACGTCCTGCGATGCCTGGAAGAGCATGGATATGCGCTGTGCGCCAGCGTGGATCTGGATAACGGGTCCGGGGGGAGTGTTTACAAGAGCAGTGCCAATACATGGTTTTGCTGTCGGTCATCAGAATTATGAGTGATGAGGCATGGAAGATTGCTGTTTGATGTCCTGTCGTCCAGATCGTTGCACATGGCAATTATATTATATTAAACTATATCTTATCCCGTTCATCCAGTCCCGGTTTCAGAGCCGGGGTTATATACATTGCATGAAACACTTGGCCTCAACGGACCGTCTTACGATCGCCCGTTATTAAAATAATCCCTCTCGTCCACCTCTCTGGTCGGCTCCAGCCTCCACTCTCCGTCGGAGCTCGAGAATTGCCCGCCGCTCTCGCCCACGCGCGTGCCGTCTGAGCTGATGCTGGTCTCCGAGATATCCGATACTTGGCTCGGTCGATGCGCATGTCGCGTCGCGCCGTCGTCCTCGTGGATCATGTTGGCGATGGAGAAGGACCGCACACTCGAAAGGCTGGAGATGTGACGATGATGCGCCGGTCGCACCGGCGGCGAATCCGCCTCCTGGATATCTCGGTTCGCGTTAGGAGAGGCGAGAGGCGAGATGATGCCTGTCGAACCGCTGCCGGTGCTTGGAGTCGGACTGGGTAGAGGGTTGCTGTTATATGGTGTCGGTAGCTCCACAGGAGGTGTGGTGCTTTCGTCTGTGGAGATTATTAGGATCAGTAACTGTCGGATGGCGTAAGGGGATAGATAGACATAATGAACGTACCGTGCATCTCGTAGATCGGATCGCTTCCTGCCTCGATCGTTCGGGGCGAGGCTGCTCCCGCCGCCGTCGTCACAGACTGGTCCACGTTGGAGTCGTTGGCCTGGTAAGTGCGATAACTGACTGACGCCGTCGTCGTATCGTTGGACTTGACTCCCTCCCCAACGGCCGGCGAGCCGGTGTACATCCAGCGCATGATGTGTGAGCGCTTGCCCGACTCCTCGCTTGTCTGCTGCGAGCCCTTGGCCCGACGGCGCCGACGGAAGCACCAGAACGCGAGAGCGCCGCCGATCAGGAAAAGACCGAGAACCACGCCGATGATGGCACCGGCCCACCCAGGGAACCCGGACTTCTTCTGGTCAGGGACGACGGAGACGGTCGGACTGGGGGTGCTGCTTTCAGTGTTGTTGTACGGGTACCAAGCCTTGACGGTCTTGGTGTACTTGGACGAAAACACGCCCTCGAGCGAGGAATTGGTCCAGGACTTTGGCGACGTCGTTTTGGCGCCGCCTTTGGAGCTGAGAGGTTTGACGTTAGCGCAGCTTGGGTAAGGTGCCAAATGAAACAACCTACTCTCCGCCAATCCGGCCGGTCACCAGGTCCGGTACTCTGTACTCGCTCCAGTCCTTCGGATCATACTTGTCCTGGAATCGACCGGTGTTCAGATTGAACACCTGCACGATTCCGCCGTCGAGACAGTCGGTGGGTGTCTTGTAGCGACCACCGAGAACCAGCATCTTGTCGGGGTAGGCCTTGATGCATTTGTGGCCGCGACGGCCGTGCTTGCTCTGGCCGCTGAGCAGTTTGATCCACTCGAAGGAGGGCAGCGACAGGACGTAGACATCGTCGGACGGAGAGCTATCCTTGCTGAGGCCGTCGTAGCCCCCATAGATGTAGATATTATGAGACGAACCGTCGGATGCACTGGCGTAGACCGAGCAGAACTGGCTGAGGGCCGGCGGGATGTCGCCCGTGGTCTCTTGGACATACCTGACAGCGATCACGGCGTTAGACGGAAAATGCTCCACGAAGAGGCCCTGTCGCTGTCACTCACCACTTCTTCTCTGCAACGTCGTACACCGAGACCGTCTCCATGAACCCAGGACTCGCGCGCCGACTCGCGTTCTTCTGGGGGTTGTTGAGTCCGTCGGTGCGATAGATGGACTCCGCATTGACGACGCCTCCGATGGCCACCAGCGCGCCAGAATCCGACACGGGCAGCCAGACCAGCTCGGCGTTGGCGCGCGCCGGCACGTAGTCGGGCAGCGAGGTATTCGACCACACATTACCGCGCATCTCGGTCATGTCGACGCTGATCATGCGAGCGGACGATCGGTTGGCCGACTGATCGTCGGCGATGGGCCCCCAGTTTGCGCCGTGCATGCCGCTGAAGTAAAACCCCAGGTTTTCGCTTGGGGCCGAGACGCCGGCGCCGTGAGTGATATAGCGCGTGACATCGTGGTCGAGTTGGTTCTCTATGAATCCCCGCTGCCACGAGCTGCGATAGGGACCGTACTGGTATACCTCATATCCCAACACCCGATCTCCGGCCGGCGGATCTTGACTCTCCGTAGCCCGCAGCAGGCCCCTGTGAACGAGATGAGAAAAGCGCTAACCGATACAGTTAGCAGGCCGTGCTTACCCGTAGAGATAAAGTTGTTCGTCGTTGGAAAACATCACGCCGTCGCGATAGTTCGGCGCCAAATTGTTGGCGGCCGAGGCGGCCTTGGGGATGGACCCGAATAGCGCGGTGAGGTTGTCGGAGGATGTATCAAAAGTGGAGGAGAGATTTAGATAATATAGCTTGCCATCTTCATTGTCTAGGTGGAAGGTCAGCTCGTCCATTTACCGTCCCAGTTCCTAGTATACGAGACGGGCTGCAGCTTACCATTGCTGGTGAATTGAGGCGCCCCCGATGTATACCCTCTAAAGATGATCAACAAAGACAAGATGACGGATAGCAGAATGAGAACTACCTACTCCTGACGCCATAAATACCCCCCATCGAGGTAGACCTTGTCGCGAATGGTGCTGACTGCAATGCGGTTAGAGAAAGCTACGACGCGCCCAACGGAAGATTACAGAGCCAGTCGTCGCACCTCGGAGCTGCGCCCAATTGCAGATAGAGACATTCACTTGATTCCTCCAATCCTGCGCCGACGTCACCCCGGCCAGCACTGCCCATAGGGCTGCCGTGGGCCAGAAAGGCAGCATGGTTAGTGTCGATGGGAAGAGAAAAGGGGATGGGCGGTTCCTAGTTGTTGCGCATGGTTTGCCCTCGGCGTTTGGTGGTCTCGCTGCTAGCACCGATTACCCAGCATGACCCAGGAACAGCGATCAAGAGAGACAAGACAGAAAAGGAGAGAGAGAGGGAGGGATGGAGGGAGATCCGTTCGCCAGAGAGTACCCGAAGGCGTTTGCCCACGGGTGGGACAAGAGCACAAAGAACGGACGGACATGCTATTTCCAGCGGTCGGAGAGGGGCGCTGCGGCTCAGTCGGTTTATTTTAATCTAATCATTTTTGTGTTTTTAATAATTTTTCCTAATTTTTGGTGGAAAGTAGCATATCTTTCTGGTCGTGTTTTCGGTCCCTCGGGTTTGCGCGGTTTCCTCGATAATGTACGAGTCCAATGAGCGACCGATGAGGAACGAGAAGAGCGAAGGAGGGTGGCTAGAGAAGACTAGGCGCGACTAGACTGTTCGCTACCGGTCGTTAGTGAGAAATGATATGATCCAGGGTCCGAGGTGATTGATTCCATTGACGTTTAGTGCCAACACATTCTTGCCCTAATTTCGGTCTAGTTAAGTCCCCGGTCGGGTTAATCCCTTTGGTCGCAACGCAAGGCATCTGAATCGGACGAGGGGAAGCTGGCAGAGTGCACGCAGTCTCAACTGATGGGAATAACTCATCGACTGCAGAAAATCAACATGATAGGGTATGATTCATGCGGACTGCTGACGACGTGTCGCCATGTTTCTCCTCTTCTGCCGGGAGATGCGGGGGGGAACGAGGGCAGAGACAAGCACCACCGGACTGTCCAGGTCGGAATAATAATTCTGACAATCACTACTGCTGACTGTCGGCACGATTGGGAAGTGGCAGGTCCCGTGCACATCCAACTTGCGTCCAACATGACTCTAACATGAGTCGTTGCAGGGAGATACGAGGGGAAGACAAGGGCGAGTATCCAATGGCCGCCAGTCCGACAAAGAACCTGCAGGACGAAGGATACACCGCTGCTTGCCGATCGGGTGACGTGCGCGGTCCCTTGCTTTTTAATAATTCGGATTAAATCCAAAGAGACATTTCTAATCCCGGACATTTCTGCCCAGATCCTGCCCCTTGTCTAGCCAGGTTCATACTTCATTGTCGTGACCGGCAGCGGGTTCGTCACCCACGGTACGGAGTAGGTCCTCAAGCCATCTTTCCAGACGAACCATGTCCAGTCCAGACTGGGGAAAAGGGGTTGGCTGGGCGACCTTCAGCGTTGCATTCTGGCAATTCGGCGTTGGAAGAATTGAGACATCTTTTTCCTCTCGACGAGGCGGGACTTTCCCCGAGGCGAGGCTGCCCTAGTAGAAGCCCAACAGGTCGCATCGGACGCTTTGATCAGGACGGAAAAAAAAAAGAAAATATAATCAGAATGGAGAAATCAGAGTGAAATGCAACCACACGGGTGCGGCTCAACACGAACTGGCCGGACAGTCGTCGACTTTCTCTCTCTCGCTCTCTCTGTTTCTCCACTGCACGACGCCGATGGATGCACGCCAGGATTCTCGTGCTAATTGGACCCGGCCTGTTGATGCCCCGCTCTCTGTCTGCCTCTGGGATGAGGTAGTGCCAATAGTCATATATGGACCGGGCTTCACGCCAGAATTGGGTCTTCTTTTCTTCTTTCTTTGTTGCTGGATGCCGCTACCCTCGCTTGCCATTCGGCTTTCCTAAAGGCAGCTAAAGGCAGGGTGTTTCCGTAGTTGCTTCTTCCCTTTTCTTATTTTTTGGGGGTTCTTTGTCTGTCTCCTTCTGATCCGCTTCTATCGCGCTTCGAAGGCAAGCACGTCCGAGTTAGGGTTTCTTAACTCCCGCCCATCGGTCGATGCGGGCAGAAGAGGTGATTGATTTGCACTCGCCTCTAATTTCCTGCGCTCCAATCATTGAGCTGGTGAGCCAACCCCGTAGACTGTAGCGCAAGGATTCCGCCATGAAGCCCTCGCGCGCCGTCGTCTCGCTACTGGCAACCTCACTGCTCTCGCCCGCGCTGGGCGCCGTCACGCCGTCGGTGCTCATCAAGGGTGGCGGAGGTCAACCGGTGACGGTGACGGAAACCAGCATCCGGACGGTTACCGTGTCAGAGACTTGTCAGGTGAGGCCCAGAATGCTCAATGGGGCGCAATTGAGGCTAATCGGAGCTATAGATCCCTACCACGGTGCTGCCTTCAAGCCAGCCGGAGGACACGAGCGTCGCGGTGCCGCCCACAACGGCCGCCGATCCGGGATATTCCACGCTACCAGAAATTTCCAGCGCTCCTGCCACCGAAACCTCGGCGGACAATGGCTATTCTACTCTTCCAGAGCCCCCTAGCCCGCCGAGCACGACCTCAGTCGAGGCCACGGCGCCTCCTGCGTCAACCTCCGTCGTCCCCCCGCCGGCCGTGACCACCAGCGCTGTGCCGCCGTCGGGGGAGCCCGAGGACTGCGACTGTTCGGTGACTGTAATTCCGATTACTACACGTACCTACACTATTCCCGTCCCAGGACCGACTCAGACCACGTCGACGGTGCCAGAGACGACGAGCAATCCGCCGTCCACGACGACTCGCGTCTCGCTGCCGCCGCCCAGTTCGACCATCACCACGCCTCCTGCTCCGCCGACGACAACAACGACGACGACGAGCACCATCGACTGTTACTGTGACGGCTGCGGTGGCTGCGGCGAGGACACGGTCACTGTGACGGTCACCACGACCTTCACTTCAGTAACGACGTCGGTGGTCACCTCTACGGGCTACATTACCTCCTTCCGCACGAGAACGGTGTCGCAAACAGTCACTTCAGCGGAGACCGTCCTGGTGCCCACCACCACCACGCTGACCTCGACTATCACTAACACCATCACTTCCTCGTACATCTCTACGCAGACCGTAACCACCACCAAGGGTTACACCCAGACTGATACCGTCTCTAACACCGTCACGCGGCCGGGAGAGACTGTCACCGCGACCCGAACTGCCAACGGCACCGTCACAGTCACGGACCGAGAGACCGTCACCGAGACCGAGACAGCGCCTGGCACGACAGTGACGGTCAGCAGGGGCAATCCCGGCCACACGGTGACGTTGACGGTGACAGTCACCGACGAGGGCGAGGGCGAGACGGCTACCGAAACGGTGACTCGCACGCAGACGCGGGACACTACGCAGACGGTCACTCTGCCGGAGAGAACGATTACATTGCCTGGCTCGACAGTCACTGGCCCCGGTGGCACCGTCACTCTTCCCGGGGAGACGATTACTCTACCTGGACAAACCGTGACCCAGCCCGGTGAAACGGTCACCCAGCCAGGCGAGACCATCACCCAACCCGCAGAAACGGTCACCCAGCCGGGAAGAACCATCACGCTGCCGGGCGAGACGGTCACCGGGCCTGGAGGAACGGTTACCCTGCCCGGAGAGACGGTCACCTTACCGGGAGAGACGATTACCCAACCAGGGGAGACAATTACTCGACCCGGAGAGACGGTGACTAGTCCTGGGCAGACCATAACGAGACCGGGAGAGACCGTCACCTCCGTGCAGACGTTGCCCGGAACCACCATGACTCTGCCTGCTTCCACGCTGACCACCACCATCGTCGTGCCTCCCACTACCATCACCGAGTCCGGATCGGTGACTACGCTGCCTGCATCCACGGTGACCTCGACCATTACCCAGCCTGGCCGCGTGGTGACTGTGCCCCCGTCTGTCGTCACTTTGCCCGGATCGACGGTGGTTAACACCAACACCGTCCCCGGCCCAACCTCGGTCAACACCGTGTCGGTGACTGTGATCATCAGCACGACCATCTTCGACACGGTTACTTTGCCTGGTAGGCCAGATATCCTTTCCGTTGTTCTTATCCGCAGGACTAACTAGCAGTAGGATCGAGTACCACCATCACCGTCACCGACATTCCCGCCACCGGCACCGTGACGGCCACCGGTATGTTGCCCCCTTGCTGCCTTAAAACCCTTCTATTACTGACGCGCATCGCGAGTAGGAACCACGACTCTGTCTATTTGTCCCAGCCTAACCATAAACCCGACCTACACCCCAGCTGCGCCGCTGCCTCGCGACTACACTTGGGGATGTCCGCCGGGGTATCTCTGCAAGCCCAAGCACGTTGGTGCCGACGCAGGATGCAACTTCGAGGCTGGACTGCCGGCGGAGAGTTACGTCTGCAGTCCGGACCAGTGTATCGAGAGCCCGCCGTTCATTCACAAGCAGCTCTGGGGCGAGCCGGGCGAGTCCGATAAGGTGGCGCCGACTTACAACGTCTCCAAGGGTTACTTCAACTTAAACCCTCACCTATTCCGGCTAGATTACTCCATCTTCAAGTATCCCGAGAATACATCGGACCTGGAGCACTACTACAAGCGGTCCTTCGGGTCGCGGTTCCGTGGCAAACTACTGTCGCGACAGTCGATCACCGACGTCCCTCCGGAGTGCTACGACGAATGTAACGACGCGGCGCTGGAGGTGGAGTCCACGGGCAAGTCGGAGAAGATCTGCCGGTCCAACTCGGTGTTCAAGCGCTCCCTCGGCAGCTGCGAAAAATGCAGCAATCGCGAGCGCTCCAACGGGTTCGACGAGGTCGTCCTGCCGAATTTCCAGCAGTTCTTGAACTACTGCGAGGATCAGCCGTCTGGCACGTCCACCGCGGCTGGTATCACGGAGAGCTCGTCGCAAACCGCCACCGATGCCACTACGTCGGCGCGGGAAACGACTACAAGCCGTGATTCGGACTCGACGACATCATCGGCGTCGGCGTCGGCGTCGGCGTCTGCTACGGTGACCCGGGCGACAACTACAGCGACGGCTGCGACAACGAGCCGAGGATTGAGGACGACGGACTCGGACACGACAGAATCGCAGACGAGAGAATCGCAGACGACAGGGCCACAGACGACGGGCGCAAGCAGCACCCATAGTGACGCCAGGACGACTACCACTCACCCGGATAGAAGAGAATCCGATCGCAGCACCACGATCACCGAGTCGACGCGCTCGTCGGCTCGCACCCTGTCCGGCGATAGCACCTTCACTGCGACGGACTCGACCAGGGTGACGGCCCCCAGCAGCGGCACAACCAGCGGCGCGACCCGATCCGCCACCTCCACCTTCACCTTTACGCATAGCGCCTCTACAGGGTCTGACGCGTCGACGGAGACCGGGGGCAGCCAGACGATCAGCGCACCCGGTGGCGAGAACACTGCAGGTGCCCCCGGCAGCACCGCCGGAGGTCCGTCCTCAGGAACAGATGCCACGCAGACTGCAACCGACTCTGCCGGAGCAACGGCCACCGACAGCGAGGAGGCGCCTCTCGCCACTGGTGCTGCCATGGCCCTGAAGGTGCCGTCACATTGGAGTGCATTGGCGTCGACGATTGCATTGATTGCTCTCCTGGTCTAGAGGCCAGGGTGTTTGGGTTTGATTTCGGATATTAACCGGCATTTCCATTTCTTTCTCAATTATTACTATTATTATGTGCCATGTTGTATTGTTAATCATACGACGTCCCCTCCTTTAATGTTTATATCGACGGGGAGGAAACGAGTTACGAGTGATGTGGAAAGCGTGGTTTACGTAGGATACCTACGAGTTTAATTTTATATAATGTCAGTGTGATCAGGCTATTGTGATAGAATGCTAGAAAATTGTTTATCCTTTTTATTTTCCCCCCCTCTTCCCACCCCTCTTCTCCTCTTCCCTGTCTGTCGCAATATCTGCCCGAATGAGCAGAGCGCAGAATTCGGCACGCATCCATGTCCTGCGAATCCTACGTTCGTCAGGGTTTCGCCGTGGGTGAAGGTCAACACGGCCAGGGGATACGAGGGATAACTCGGCCTAAACACAAACAGTCTACGATTGGTGGAAAAGCGCTCATTGCGTGCATCGAGCTGCAGATGGAGCATCTTGGCCTCGCCGGACTTCCCGTGGTATCGAGGGAAAGACCGGCTATACTGCCTTGGGGAAGGATTCGAGCTGCTGCATGTTTGTCTCAATTGATAATCCCTGCTATGGTTCATTGCACGCTAACTACTCGGGTACTCCGCGCTCACGCGGGCAACTATCTCCTTAGTGTGTCCTATCGTCCTTATTTCGTGGTGAGCCCCAGCTTGGCCTTCAACGCGTTCGCCGTCACTTTGGCGTCGAAAATGTGGTTGACGCTCTCCTGCTGCACCGTGGCCTGGGCCCATTTCTTGAATTTGGGCGTTCGGTCCAGCAGCTCGGGGAGCTTCGCGCTCAGCAGTCCGATCTCCGGGTCCGAGTAGGACAAATGTCGCAGCAGGAACGAACCTGTCAGCACCTCTGCCAGCGTCGGCCTTTCGCTGCCACCGAAGAAGGGACCGGTGCCCGTCCATTCGGCGAAGAGTGGCTCCAGGTCCTTCTCTATGGCGGCCACGAACGCTTCGCCGGCCGCGTCTCGCTCCTCCGCGTTCGCAGCGCGGAGGCTAGTGTTGAAGTGGGGCTGCACTTTGCTGAAGAAGGTGTCCACGAAGAAGGCGATCCGGGCGCGTTGCAGAGCACCTTCGATGCTGTTCGAGGGGGCCACGAGGTGCGACGGATGAGCGTCGGCCAGGAACTGCGACACGATTGCAGATTCGGTGATGATGGTGCCATTATAGGAGAGAGAAGGGATGAGGCCGCGCTGCAGGAGAGAATTTGTTTAGCTGGGCTGTCGACGAGTTCAATCCTGGGGATCTGAAGGGAAGTGGGCGACCTACCGGGTTCACCTCGAGATACCAGGGCTCGCGGGGCTTGGTCAGGTCGATGATGACCTCCTCGAAGTCCAGTCCCAGTTCCTTGAGCGCGATGTGCGCGCGGTGGGCCCAGGGGCATCGGTGGTTGGTATAGAGAGTGATCTTGGGAGCCGCCATTATCGTTTTCGAAGCCTTGAGCTGAATGCGTGAGATTAAGTTCCTGAAGTTCCAAACGACAGGGAAGGCTGATTTATAAGGCCAGATGATGTGCAGCAGTCCAGCGATGACGAGCTCTCGTGTTGGAGATCATCTTCTGGCCTTAGAAATGGACTTGTTGAATTATTAATCCATCGGATGCCCCGCCCGGAGGACTGAACATTCTGGTCTATAGCGATAGACTGAGAATGATGAATATTGGACTCACGAATGCAGAAGTTGAACAAATGCCGAGTTATCTGATCAGCTGTGTTCTTGTGTATTACTGCACCTCTCTATCCCCCGTTTCCTTTCTCTTTCGTGACTCCTTTGGCCCCATGTTTGCCCATCGTGTCCGAAGTATATACACTGTGTACTCCGTAGTCTCCACATTCCGAACAGCATGACCGCTCGTTAGAGGATGACATCAGGTACCAGAGGGGAGAATGCCATAGAATATGGTCGGGGATGTAATGCGAAGCTTGTCCACTTGTCCGGATATTCTCTTAACCAACTATAACCAGTTGATTGGTATCTACCGACAACCCCAGAGAGGACAGAATGCAGGCGCTGCATGCCAGCTCATCGTGCAGCGAAGATCGAGGACCGCGGGGAACGTTCCATAACTCCTCTCTCCTGTAACTCTCATCTCCGTCAGCCTTTCTTGCCCTGGACTCCTCGTGGAATTCATCATCCTCAGCCATGGAGAAGTACCGATTCCCCACCAGTCCCAAGGCCAACCCCCAGGCCATCATTGCAGGCCCGAATTATCGATTCACCGTCCTGACCGACCGCTTGATTCGATACGAGTGGGCAGAAGATGGCCGGTTCGAGGACCGAGCCTCCACGTTTGCCGTCTGTCGCGACCTGCCGCTGCCCGAATTCCGCACCGTCGACGATGCGTCGGGGCTCGAGATCATCACCAAACACGTCCAGCTGAGCTACGATAAGCAGCGATTCAGTCCCGCCGGCTTGGTGGCCCACCTCACAGCTCGCACCACCAAGTACGGCACCGCATGGCGGTTTGGCACTCCGTCGCCTCTCAACCTGGGCGGCACTGCCCGGACGCTGGACCTGTGCGACGGACGCTGCAGTATGGGCGAGGGCGTGCTGTCCAAGGCTGGATTTGCCACCGTCGACGACTCCGACTCCATGCTCTTCGACGGTGACGGCTTCGTGGCGGCGCGACCGGCGGGCGACCGGGTCGATGGCTATCTGTTCGCCTACGGACGCGACTACAAAGCAGCCATCGGCGCCTTCCACGCCGTGTCCGGACGCCAGCCGATCATTCCGCGCTATGCCCTGGGGAACTGGTGGAGTCGATATTATCCCTATCGACAGGACGAGTTCCTGCAGCTCATGGACCAGTTTCGCGCCCGCGACATTCCTCTGTCCGTGGCGGTGCTGGACATGGAGTGGCATCTGGTCTCCGACAAGCGAGTGCCTCATGCAGGCTGGACGGGGTATACGTGGAATCGAGATCTCTTTCCCCATCCACCTAAGTTCGGTCAAGAGCTTCGCCGCCGGGACCTGAAGATGACACTGTGCGACCACCCGCACAGTGGCATTCACCACCACGAGGACTCATACGAGGAGATGGCGCGCTTCCTCGGCCACGACACCAAGGACAAAAACCCCATCCTCTTCGACCCGACCAGCCCCAGGTTTATGGATGCCTACCTGAACATTCTGCATCGCAACCTGGAATCGGAATGCGACTTCTGGTGGATCGACTGGCAGCAAGGCCCCTACTCCAAGATCCCCGGTGTCGACCCGCTGTGGATGCTGAACCACTTCCACTGTCTGGACCACGCACGAGTTGGAAAGACACCGCTCATTCTCTCTCGCTATGCCGGACCCGGTAGTCACCGGTACCCCATAGGCTTTTCCGGAGACACGTTCGTGACCTGGGCGTCGCTCGAATTTCAACCCGAGTTCACGGCGACGGCGTCGAATATCGGGTACGGATGGTGGAGTCACGACATCGGTGGCCATATTCATGGCGGTCGCGATGATGAACTCGTCACGCGGTGGCTGCAGCTCGGGGCTTTCTCGCCGATACTGCGCCTGCACTCCACCGCGTCGCGTTGGATGTCCAAGGAGCCGTGGTTGTATCGCCCGGAATGCGAGTCAACCATGTCCGACTTCCTACGGCTAAGACATCGGCTAGTGCCATTCTTGTACACGCACAATGTCCTAGGGTCGAGGACAAACGAGCCGCTGGTGCAGCCCATGTACTGGGAGTATCCCTACCGCGAAGAGGCCTACTCGGTTCCGAACGAGTACTTCTTCGCCTCCACGCTTGTCGTCGTCCCCATCGTCCAGCCCCGAGACAAGCGAACGAATCTCGCCTCGGCCCAGTCATGGCTGCCGCCTCATCGCCGTCTCGTCGACATTTTCACCGGGACCGTATATGACGGAGACCGGAACCTCACCTTGTATAGACGCCTGGACGAGTATCCGGTTCTGGCACCAGAAGGGTCGATCATCCCCCTTGACGGGGAAGCCTCCCCCCGGAATGGGTGCCTGAGCCCGGAGAAGTTTGAAATTATCGTTGCCGTTGGCCAGGATGGACAAACAAAGGTTTTGGAAGATAGCCAAGCTGGCGAACCAGACCAAACAGTCGCGGAAATCAATTTCACGCAAGCCTCTGGCAAGCTGACGGCCCACGTCTCCGGTCGAACCTGGGCCTTCCGATTTCTTGCAATTGCCTCCATTCCGAGTGACTTTCAAGTCTTAGTTGATGGTACTGACCGGACTACCGACGCTAGCATCACCGTCGCGCAGCATCCAGAGACGCCGGGGCTGCTGGTGGAGTGCCCATCCAGTTCGCACGAAAGCCATGAGATCGTCATTCTCCTCGGTCGCGACCCCCAGTTCAGCGTGATTGATCGCACACCCCGACTAGAAGGATTGATCCGAGATTATCAGATCGAATTCGCCATGAAGGATCGGCTGTGGGATGTTGTAACCGGCTCTTCTCATCAGCCGCTCAACGTGACGGTTGGGAAACTGATGGCTTTGGGCTATGACGAGGCCATTTTTGGGCCGGTGGCAGAGCTGCTACTGGCCGATAGTCGCTCGCAGCATTGAGACACCCTAGGATTTTGCGGGGGTTCTTGGGGTTTAAAGCTGGCCTGGATGACCGGGGTGTCCTTTCCATACAACAAAGAAATCAGCCCCGGTGGCCCTGGGGCTGAGCGAGGGCTGAGTCGGGTCAATTGGAAACAGGGTGCTGACAGTGTCTGGACAGAAACGTGTGCAGTCTCATAGACCTAGAAAGAGTGCCTGGGAACCAAATGAACCGATGAACGCTGAGTCCTGTTGCTAAGACAAGTACCGCAACCCTTTCCCAAAGCGGTAACCAGGATGCAATCACCATCACATCACGCACTTCCATCGGTCACCCCCCTTCGTGTCGTTTTCGATGCTGCTCAGCAACCAAGATGAGCTCTCCCCTGCACTCCCAGATTCGAATTGTTTCATTCCACATCTTCAAAATGCCCGCCAGGTTGTCGAAGCGGGAGCTATGCCGTCTGCCTTCCAAGCTCTGATTCCAGCTTCCGATTACGGCGCGGTGATACTCTCATACAACCGGGCATTAGCCCAGACATGGGTAAGTCAGATTCAAGCAAGCCTGGAAATAATTAACGCGCTGGTCCTCTAACTACTGTCTAGTATCTTGCGATCGCACTGGGTGGGGTGGCGGTTCTCCTATGTTTCGGGCTCGGCTTCAAGAATATTGATGGGAAGTCTGGAGAAAAGAAGGCCGGCTCAAGATCGGATGAACTACCTACAAAAGACTCAATGATCTGTTCTACGATATATTGGTAACAGATAACTTGCTGCCATAAAAGGCTACTTTCACTTGCTTAATCTCACCGAACTCTCGGCTAGTTCCAATTGTAGAGTTCTTTCGCGCTACCTTGCTTATCACTTTTATTTAGACAGAGCTGTATTAGCAGTTGCTTGGTAGAAAAAACAGACCCTTGACTGCCATCGTATGAGAAGTCCCTGCGCTGAGCGAGTGAGTCGGTCGAGAAGGTTTAATCAGCACGCTACTGTTACTTTTGCATGCATTCGTCACAGTGCTGTGGGTGCAGTTCTTTGTTCAGGCCTGTCGGGAGCTGCTCGCGGTTATCTACCGCGCTATAAAACAGTCCCAGTTCCGTCTCGACTAAACTCTCTATCCACCATGGTTGCGGCGTAAGAGTCGGATAAGTAGGCATGAATGGTGGAGAGATACCCAACGTAGCTGTCATCATAGCATAGTTAGCACTAGTGACAACAAGGCCAGGTCCATTCTGTGACTCACAAGTGAAGTTTGAGACTTCATTTTCCAATAAAGGTGTCTCGTTCAAGGTAGCCAATTGTTCCTCAGAATATAGGCCCGAGATGGGCTCTAACTGGCGCATGAAAATCAATTCGTCCGTTCTGAATGCCTCGTCGAATTCATTCATTTCCACCGGTATTTCATGCTCTGTTTCTTCCGCCATTGCTTGTAGTCGTCCACTTGTCTCATCCAAGTTCCAGACCGTCTCTAACCAAGGTGCATTTGTCTGCTGAATCCGTCGTGGCCTCCCTATACGTGAAGGCTCGCTGAACGTGCATTCTCTTCCTGCTTTGTGACAGCGGCGACAAGTGCTTGCAGTATCCAACAGTTGCACACAGCGCAGCTTTTGGCTATGACAACGGTCGCACGCTTTCCGTCTTCGTGATTTTCGATCAGTAGGCATGTGAGGTTGTGAGAATTAGACTTTCTTTAAGGCAGATGACCAGAGGATTACCACGAAGCAGCTTTCAAAGATCAGTTCCTAGATCAGTGGGTCCTTCTCTTTATTGATTCTTTTGCAATCACTTTCACTCCGAGCTTTCCAAATCATAGATACTACTCGTCCCTATCCTTCACTAGGGTTTGCCGGACTCACCGGTGCCAAGCCGTCCATTGAGCAACAAGGTCATATATCTATTATGCGCCTTCGAGAGCTTGACAAGGCTTACTTTTACCGCCAGATCCTCTCAGCTCCTCTCAAAGGGGGCTGTTTGTCTCAAACACATCACCCGATCGTCGGATTCAACTTATCCGCCGACCCCGAGGTGAGCTTACCAACAACCCTGCGTGCAACACCGAGTAAGATATCATCATGCCATAGAGTTACAGAGAAAAGGCTTCCTAGAAGTGAACGCTGCGTTGGGTCTATTCATCGGCGGGCATTGTGCGGGTACGTAGCATATTCCATCAACTGTGCCTGTTGCTCAAGAGTAGTGACATGGGAAAGATAAGGAAGAACGAGAAAGACCCATGAGAGACCATCCCAACCTAGGGCTGTACATGCTTCGTATACCTCAATGAGAGGTCTATTGTTATGTTGCGCCCCCAACACAACGAAATCCTGGGTGAGTCGGATGAAGTGCTGCGACAGGGAGGAACAAAGACAATACTCGAGGCACGTTCATTTGCTAAGCCTCGCTACGCGCAGCTGTCATGGGGAGGTGAGATTCTATTCCAGACTGTCGTTGTGCCCTAGTCGCCAGTCCGACGACAGGCGGATTTGGTCTTTCATTGATTATGGGGAAATATTGTGTCGTATCGTGAGCCTTGCGGCCCCCAGTCGAAGTGCTTACTTCTTCTCGACTTGCTGCGATGCAACGCTAACCCCGGCTCCCGCACGGATCCTGCGGGGATGACCCGGAATTCCGCGATGGTCTTACGATCTGACGGGGAAGTTTCACCGAGTCGGTTACCATAGTTTATTTGGGGTGTTTGGCTGGAGCGAGGGCTCCGCAACATGTGCATGTTTTGATTGGATCAACCTCGCATCTCCCCCTATCTATGCTATGGTCCCATCTCGCGAAGGCCGACTTGGCCCGTGAGATGACCTATCGTAGAGCATGAGACTGCATGCCTAGAGGCTCTAGTTCAAAAGTCCTTTGACAACGATGCAAGCGTACTAGCGAGAGGAGTGGTCTTGGAAGCGAGGAAACCTCCCCATGTCGAAGACCTTATAGATTGGTTCTGCCGGCTGTCATGGCCAACAGGGCAAGATACCACTGGAAACAAAGATGTCGTGTTTATTACGGTGAGCCTTCTTATCTATCACTTTTACGTGATATAAGCGATGTCTTTGATTTAGACGAAGATGGGGGGCCCAAATTTCAGCTTACCCGATGGCAAGGCTGACAGGAGGAGTGAAGCCCGTGTCCTGGAAATCGAACCAGGTTGCCATCCATTAGAAATTGATTATTCCCTCGATCCTTTGTTTCGGATAGCACTGCGCCAACCGCTCCACGTGGGCATCTCAGTCTAGCACATGGAACGGTTAGATCTGAGTGGCGTTGCAGGTCGGACTCAAATCAGGCGAGTGGAAGGTCCGGGATACTGGGATTAACAAAGGACTGGTAGCAGGGGGGACCTAATCAAACCTCTACTGGGGGCAGGGAACGAAATGTTCGGCGAGTTTTCCATTTGCGGCAATGTATGCTTACTTGCTCTGTTGTCTCTTTGAGAAACAAGGGTTCGTAGGATCCCATGCATAAAGCCCTGGGCGTTCCCGTGCTTGAAATTGCACGCTGCTTGTTATACCGGGAAAAACCATCGAAATGAAGCCCAGTCAGTCAGAGCCTATTGCGATTGTTGGAAGCGGGTGTCGCTTCCCAGGGGGCTCTTCGTCGCCATCAAATTTATGGCAGTTGCTCCGAACGCCTCGAGATGTGAGCAAAGAGATACCCGAAGACCGATTCAGCGTCAAGGGATACTATCACCCGGATGGATTTCATCATGGTACGACCAATACTACCCGATCATACTTCCTGGACGACATCCGAAAGTTCGACCCTCAGTTTTTCAACATCCAGCCTGCCGAAGCAGACGCAATCGATCCGCAGCAGCGGCTTCTGTTGGAGACCGTGTATGAGAGTATCGAGTCGGCCGGGATGACACTGGAAGGGCTTCAGGGCACACAGACAGCCGTCTTTGTAGGCATGATGGGCTGTGACTACTCCGACGTGCTTCTGGGTGACCTCGAGTGTGCGCCGACCTACACCGGCACTGGGACCGCTAGGAGCATTCATTCCAATCGAATTTCGTATTTTTTTGACTGGCACGGACCTTCCATGACGATCGACACGGCCTGTTCATCCAGCATGATGGCGATTCAGTTAGCGGCACAAGCCCTTCGCAACGGGGATGCGCCGGTTGCTGTCGCAGCCGGTGCCAGCTTGATCATTAGCCCAAGTAAGACTTTCACGGGGATGGAGAGTGCAAAGCTAATCCCAACGCAGATAACTACCTAATTTTAAGCAATCTCAGCATGATTTCTGCGGATAGCCGAGCCAAAATGTGGGACGCCGATGCCGACGGTTATGCTCGTGGTGAGGGTGTCGGGGTGGTTATTCTCAAGACTTTCAGCCAGGCGCTGAAAGATGGAGATCACATTGAGTGTCTTATTAGAGAGATTTGCGTCAACCAGGACGGCCGTACGCAGGGAATCACTTTGCCAAATGAGCTGGCTCAGGCTGCCTTGATTCGTCAGACCTACCAACGTGCAGGGCTCGATCCCACCAAACCGGCCGATCGCCCCCAATACTTCGAAGCCCATGGCACTGGGACCCCTGCTGGTGACCCCAGAGAAGCTGAGGCAATATCGAGAGCCTTCTTCCCCGACGGCTGCGGTGCCTCGCCTGAGGAAACGATGTATGTCGGCTCGATCAAGACGGTCATTGGCCATACCGAGGGCACTGCTGGAATTGCTGGTATCTTGAAGGCTTCATTGGCGCTGCAAAAAGGCTATATTCCACCGAACCTTCTATTCAACCGTCTCAGTCCCAAAGTGGCCCCATTTACCCAGCATTTGCGGGTCCCTACTTCTCTTATTCCTTGGCCCCAAGGTATCAACGGAGTAAGAAGAGCCAGTGTGAACAGTTTCGGTAAGTCGCTTCTTCACTTAGACAACCGTACGACATGCCGATGCTAAAATCCACACAGGCTTTGGAGGATCGAACGGCCATGCGATCTTAGAGAGGTTTCAACCAGAATCGACCATTACTTCACTTCCTGAAACAGGTCAGCCGTTAGTGACGCCTTTTGTCTTTTCTGCTGCGTCAGAGCGCACCCTCGCAAAAGTGCTCAGGAATTACGCGCAACATTTGAAGACATTGGACAATGTCAACCTGCGCTCCCTTGCTTATACCCTCCATTCCCGTCGGTCCGCATTGCCATTCCGCACTGCAATATGTGCCACTAGTCTCCAGGACCTGCTCTCCAAGATTGACGAGCATTTGAATGATTTCGCCACCAAGAAGACCCCCTCGTCAGGAGTGCGTGCACTAAGTAAACCAAACAGGAAGATACTCGGCGTATTTACTGGACAGGGTGCGCAATGGCCTGCAATGGGCAAGCAGCTCCTCGAGCGCGTTCCATGTGCCCGCCAGATCATCGCTGAGCTGGACGAATCTCTTGCAAGCCTTCCCATGGAGCATCGGCCGTCGTGGACGCTGCTCGAACAGCTCTTGGACGAATCAGCGACATCCGCGATAAGTGAAGCGGCCATCTCACAGCCCATCTGCACGGCCGTTCAGGTCTTACTAGTTCGCCTCCTGCGCCTGGCAGGAGTGAAATTCGAGGCCGTGGTGGGTCACTCCTCCGGGGAGATCGCGGCGGCATATGCTGCAGGCTTCTTATCAGCCTCGGATTCCGTTCGAATTGCATATTATCGAGGATTTGGGGCTAGGCTTGCCGGTGGGCCAAAACAAGAAAAGGGCGCTATGCTGGCGGTTGGTGTCTCCTTAGAAGAGGCCACAGATCTGTGTCAGCTGGACAGGTTCAGAGGTCGCATTACGGTGGCGGCATGTAACTCGCCGTCGAGTGTGACATTGTCGGGAGACATCGATGCCATCGAAAGCGCTAAGTCTGTTCTTGACGGTGATAGAAAGTTTACCCGCATGCTTCGGGTCGACATTGCCTATCATTCTCATCATATGATTCCTTGTGCTGGGCCGTATGTGGATTTGCTTCGGGAATGTGGGATCACACCTACAAACCCTGGTCCGACGGCGCCTTCGTGGTACTCGAGCGTAAATCCAAGCAGTGAGCCTATGCAGGTCATAGGCAGCTTGGCCGTAGAGTACTGGAAGGACAACATGGTCCAGCCTGTTCTCTTCGCCCAGGCAGTCGAAACGGCCCTTGCATCATCTGGTCCTTTCGATCTGGCGCTGGAGATCGGTCCTCACCCCGCCCTCCAAGGCCCGTTCAATCAAACCATAGCAGAGGTTTCCACGGGTAAGGTCCCTTACTCAGGATCTCTGAAGCGTGGCAGTGACGATATTGAAGCTTTGGCGAATTCACTGGGCTTCATCTGGACATATCTTGGACCCGCAGCCATAGACCTCAATGCCTATGAGCAGAACCTGTTCCCCCATGACGAATACACCCTCTTCATGAAGGACTTGCCCAGCTATCCCTGGGACCACGAGCGGTCGTACTGGTTTGAGTCCAGGATCATGCGAGCTCAGCGCGAACGGAAAAGACCTGTGCACCCACTTCTCGGAATTCAAGGGAGCGATAACACTGAGAGCGAGGTGAAATGGCGAAATTTCCTTAAGTTAAGTGAGCTGCCTTGGCTCAGCTGTCACCAAATCCAAGGCCAGGCTGTTTTTCCAGCTGCAGGTTACGCCTGTATGGCATGGGAGGCAACCATGGAAATATCGAAAGATCGTGCGATTCAGTTATTTGAAATTCATGATATGGCCATTGGCCGGCCTATCCTCTTCGGCCAAAGCCTCGTTGGGGTGGAAGTGATCTTCACACTCTTCAACATTAAGAGAGACGACCAAGACGCAGGTCTTCTTCGGGCGGACTTCTCATGTCATTCATGCTCGAGCCACGATAATGTTCAGTTGATTGAAAATGCTCGCGGAACTATCACTGTCTCCTATGGTGAACCGATGGCAGACACGCTTCCTGCGGAAAAACCCGAGGTTCCGAATCTAGTCGACATAGACACTGAACCTTTCTATGATGCCCTCGCAGACCTTGGTTATGGATACACTGGACCGTTTAAGGTAATTGATTTATTGAAGAGGAAGAGGAATCACGCCAGGGGTCTTCTCCAGAGACAGCCCACGAATCTCCTCATCCACCCGGCTTTTGTCGATGGTGGTTTGCAAGCGCTGCTTGCAGCCATGAGCTACCCAGGCGACGGTGCCCTCTGGTCTCTTCATATGCCAGTCAGGGTGCGCAACATCCGACTCAATCCATACTTTTGCTACCTTGCCCATGATGAAATGCCTGCATTTGAGTTCGGTGCCATTTTGTCGGATTTCGGGCCTTTCGGTAACAATGGCAATGCTGAGGTCCATCCGCCGGGGAGCTCAAACGCCCTACTGCAGATAGAGGGCGTCAAGGCTATTCCCTTTGCACCTGCAACCGCCAAGGACGATCGCAACATCTTTTCGGAAGTTGTACTGGATCGGCTGGCTCTAAATGGTGAATGCATATCCAAGGGACACGTTGCCTCGGCCGAAGAGTATAATCTTGCGTACCTGATGGAGCGAGTCGCGCACTATTACTTACGCCAGCTCCATCAGAGCGTCACTTCACAGGAGAGAGACCAAGCTGAGTTTCATCACCAACGCATGTTAGCATTTGCAGAGCAGATTGTGGCATCTGTTGCGTCCGGCCAGCATCCTTGGGCTAAACAAGAGTGGGCTCACGATACCAAATCTGATATCTTGAAGGCCAGTGAAGGGTGAGAAGCTCCGAGGGTATGTGAGATTTCCAGTATCGCTAACGCTGCCAAGGTACGCCCACTTAATCGACCTTCGAATCATGAACTCTATCGGAGAGAACATGCACTCGGTGGTGCGAGGGGAATCACCATACCTTGAGCACATGGTTCGTGATAACATGCTGGAAGAGTTTTATCGGCATTCCTTAGGATTTCCAGTAATGAATAAGTGGCTCGCTCGCATGGCCAAGCAGCTCGTCCACCAGTACCCAGCCATGAGGATCCTAGAGATCGGTAAGACGGGCACCATCTCTCCTGGATTGAATGAGTAACTGACTGAAGGGGGAAAGGTGCCGGTACCGGTGGAGCGACCAAGTTGATTTTTGAGACCATCGGGCGCAAGTTCTCTTCTTACACGTATACTGACGTGTCCCCTGCGTACTTCGATCGCGCACAGCAGGACTTCGAACAGTTTGCCAGCAAGATGGAATACAGGATCCTAGACCTAGAGAAGGACATGTCTGAGCAGGGCTATTCCGAAGGCGAATACGACCTGATCATTGCGTCCAACGTGCTCCACGCCACCAAAAGTCTTGAACAAACTCTGCGCCGCGTTAGGGGACTCCTTCGTCCAGGAGGGCACCTGTTGATGCTAGAGATCACCAACACGGGCCCAATGCGATTTGGGTTTCTGATGGGTGGTCTTCCCGGATGGTGGGTGGGTCATAATGACGGCCGTCAAATGGCACCTGTAGTTGAGCCGGTTCGGTGGCATTCATTGCTGCAAAAATCGGGCTTTTCGGGGATTGACGCCATTACTCCAGCCTCTGATGTTCTCCCGTATCCGATGTCTATCATGGCGGCGCAGGCAGATGACTACCGCGTCCAGTTTCTCCGCGATCCAGTTTTTGAACCTAATCCGCAAGTCAGCCTAGGGGAGTTGCTAATTTTAGGAGCGGAAAGCCTGATTACCACTAAGTTGGCACAAAGGATCGCCCGAGCTCTGGCCAGCAAATTTGCTGACATCATGATCTTGAGCAAGATGGAGCACCTGGGCAGCCCAGGGGTACGTATCCCACGGAATGTCATCAACCTATGTGATCTAGATGAACCGACATTCTTGCGCATGAGCCAGGAGAAATTGAACTTATTGAAGCTCCTGGTGAGTAGCGCGAAGAATATTCTCTGGGTGACTCAGGGCAGCCAAGGGAAGGAACCATACAACTCCATGAGCATTGGATTCACGCGATCTCTGAGATACGAAATTCCCGACATGCGACTTCAGGTGGTGGATACCGACAATGCCAATCATCTAGACGCACAGTATGTCTCGGGCTTGCTTCTCAAATTAAGCGCTATCGACAGCTGGACGCAGCTCGGGAAGATGGATGATGTCCTTTGGACAGTTGAACCTGAGATTTATATAAAGAAAGGGTCAGCATACATTCCTCGCATCATCCAAGATCGGGTGCGCAACGATCGATACAATTCCAAGCAACGATCAGTGGAAAAACAGGTAGATCCAGATCAACAGCCAGTCTTCCTGGATGTGAGAGAGGATTCCTATATGTTGCGTGAGGTGTTTTCGCACTCGACTTTCACAGCAATAACAGACGATTACGTGAGAGTCAGGGTGGCCACGACAACCTCACACGCTATCAGGGCAGCATCATCTGAGGCGGCCTTCATCGCATACGGCACAGTTGAAGCAACCTCACAACCTGTCATTGTATTCAGTGATAAGAATGCGTCAATTATTGAAGTGCCCAAGAAATATGTCGTTGGTTACGAATGGGATCTTAGCAAGCAGCCTGCATTCTTACGGGCGACCATGCTTGAACTTATGGCTGACAGCATACTCTCCTTATGCCAGCCTAATGGAGGTGTCCTTTTGTACCAGCCGCCAGAATCTCTCTTCACCATCTTGCAGTGTCGAGCAGCCGAAACAGGTCGCCGCGTGTTCGAACTTACGCAGGGTCCAAAGAAGTGCACATCGACCATCTCCATTCATTTGCGTGCTCTAGAAAGCCACATTCGAGGCGTCCTTCCAAAGAACATTTCGGCCTTTGTCAACTTTTCGGTCGATGCAGCCCAGATTGACTTTTCACGACGCGTAATGTCCGGCTTGCCTGTTGAATGCAAAATAATAGGTGTCAACGCGATATATCAACAAGCAGCAACTTCGATGCCGGACTATGCCATGGAGAAGTTTCACTCGGCCTTGAACGGGGCAATTGCGCACGCCGCCGACATACTCGAGCACATGGAGTTTTCTTCATTCGCCGGAGTCGCAATCCATGACATCTTGAGAAGTAGCCCATCAAGCCAAATACTTCAGGTCATTAACTGGACGGGTGATTCTCAAGTCAGTGTTCAAATCGAACCTGCAAGCACACAAGTAGGGCTCAATCCAGAAAGGTCCTATCTTCTTATAGGTCTCACAGCAGACTTGGGCCAAGCTGTGTGTGAGTGGATGATCGACCATGGAGCTCGAAATGTTATTTTGCTCAGTCGCAACCCACGTCTGAACCGAAAATGGCTGGAGTTGCAGGCAGACAAGGGTGCAACCGTAACTGTCTATTCTGCGTAAGAATTCACATCGCAACGGATCAACGAGAAGCTAACCATGACTGTGCAGAGACGTGAGTGATCGACAAAGCATCCGCGAAGTTCATAGCAAAATCACCGAGTCCCTTCCTAAAATCGCGGGAGTCGTCAACGCAGCAATGGTTCTCCAAGACTCCATGTTTTCAAACACAAATCTTGACATGCTCCGGGCAGTGATGGCTCCGAAGGTCGACGGCAGTCGCTACCTTGATGAACTCTTTTCCGATCCCACTCTAGATTTCTTTATCCTTTTTTCCTCACTTGCTTGGGCCCTTGGGAACAGTGGCCAGAGCAGCTACGCTGCCGCCAATGGATACCTTGTCGGTCTGGCGGCACAGCGCAGGAATCGGGGCTTGCCAGCATCAGTGATTGATCTTGGCGCGGTCCTGGGTCTGGGATACATTACGCGGTCCAGTCAAATGACTGCCGCCGTTATCAATGCTTCAGGGTCCTACCCAATTTCCGAGTACGACCTTCTCGAGCACTTTGCAGAGGCTATCCTGGCCAGTCCAGTGGAAACATCTGCAGCCTACGAAACCATTTCCGGCATTCGCGAGGTTGATCCATCTTTGGACGATCGGGTAGCTTGGATCAGCAACCCTCAGCTGTCCCATTTCGTGGCCGACAAGTGCGACGTCAAGGCCAACAAAGCAGAAAACCGCGTGATGCCGATCAAAGACCAGTTGCGAGAGGCGCGCACTCTTCCGGTGCTCCGGCAAATCATTCAAGGTAAGTAAATCCATCATTCACAATGCGCCCATGCATGTTGTTTATGGTTCATTTAGATGGGTTCACGGCCCGCCTTCTCATCCTGCTGCAGCTTTCTGCCGATAACATGAGCGAGGAGGTGCCTCTGGTAGAGCTTGGAGTAGACTCTCTTGTGGCAGTCGAAGTGCGCACGTGGTTTCTGAAAAACGTGAATATAGACCTCCCTGTGTTGAAGGTTTTGGGTGGGTCGAGTCTCCTGGATATTGTTGAAATTGCACTCCAGCAGGCAGCCTTAAAGCTGCTTCCAGAATCCGGCGGTATTGAAGGCAACCCCAAAGATGGCACAGCATCCGGCGAGCAGGATACGCCCCCTCAAGCGAAGGCCATCACACATCCTCCGACGGAAGGCTCATCCTCGCCCCCTATTACCGATAAGGCGGAGCAGTTTTCGTCAGATAAAGAAGACACCAGACTGACACCACTGTCAACCCCCCATTCCGAGCAGTCGGAGATCCGTTTTGAACCTGTCATCGAGAGAACGGAGAAAATGTCTTTCACCCAGAGAAGGTTTTGGTTCATGCACCACCATCTAACCGACCCAACTACATTCAATGTTACATTCGCTCATCATCTGGATGGAGAATTGAACGTTGCGGAAATGTCCGAGGCCTTGACTGCTTTAGGCGAAAAGCACGAAGGCCTGCGTACATGTTTCTATGACGGCGGGTCAGAAAACCGTGAGCCTATGCAAGCAGTTCTGGATCGATCTCTTTTGCACCTTGAGCACCGTCATATCGAAACAGCCGACGCCACCCACGAAGAGTTCAAGAAACTTGTGAACCACGTCTACGATTTGGAGAAGGGGGACATCATGAGGATCACCCTGCTAACCCATAACCGCACGTCGCATTTTCTGATAATTGGATACCACCATATTGCCATGGATGGTATTGGGTTTGCGGGTTTCCTGCAAGAAATAATGCAAATTCGCACGACGGCATCATCCCCAGTGCCGTATCAGTACATTGACTATTCCATCAAACAACGAGAGGCTTATGAGCAAGGGAAAATGTCGGGTGAGATCGAGTTCTGGAGGAAGGAGATTTCCAACCCACCGCCGCCGTTGCCACTTCTCCCCTTCGCGAGTACGAAGCATCGACGCGCCCTCAGGGAGTATTCCCATATCACGAGCAGCTTCCGGCTGTCATCGATCGTCACAGCCAGGATCAAACGCAAGTGCCGCACTTATCAAGCTACAAGCTTTCATTTCTACCTGGCCGTCTTGGAAACAATGCTATTCAAGATGCTAGACTCGGACGAGCTATGCATCGGCATTGCGGATTCGAATCGCACCGATGGAGATATGCTGCGCACGATGGGTGCATTTATGAACCCCTTGCCCCTGCTGTTTAGGCGCCAAACGAGCCAGTCCTTCGGGGACGTAGTAAGAACTACTCGTCAAAAGGTGTACTCCGCCATGGAGCACGCCAGGCTTCCTTTTGATGTGCTCCTCGATGAACTGAAAATTCCGCGCTCTGCCGACTACCCTCCCCTTTTCCAGGTATTTCTTGAGTTCCGGCAGGGTGTGCAGGAGCGGATGGACTTCGGGAACTGCCTGGCGCAGCGGACGGACTGGGATTACGGAAAAACTCCATACGATATCATGTTAGATATCATGGAGAACACCAGTGGCGAGGCGGTGGTTTCTATTAACACCCAAAGAAGCCTGTACTCGCAAGAAGACACAGATTTGCTTGGCCGAGTCTTCCAGAACCTCTTGGATACTTTTACAAACAATCCGGCCCAGCAAGTAGGAGATCCTCCTCTGTTTGCCAAGGTGGACATCGATAAATCCATAAAGGCTGGTATTGGTAGGAAACCGCTTCCCCAACCCAGCATTTCGCCATTGTGCTTACTTGAATATCTAGGTCCGCAAGTGCAACCCACCTGGCCTGCCAATGTTGCGGATTGTATTGGCGTCAGTCTGGCTGCAAACCCTGACAAGGTAGCTTTGAAGGTCGACGGCGGCTTAGAGATCACATATCGTGAACTTTCCGATCGTGCCAACCGAATTGCATCTGCGGTGAGGAACGCAAACATCCAGCAGGGGTCAAGGATTGCTATTCTTTTGGAACCCAGCCCAGATCAAGTGGCCTCGATGATAGCGATGTTCCGACTGGGGTCGATCTATGTACCTCTAGACCTCCGGCAACCAGCACCCAGGATAAAGGTCCTTCTCGAAGACTGCCAACCCGGTGCTGTTTTATATCACGCCGCCACAGTCGAGCTGGCAGGCTCCTTGTTGCCCTCTGGTACAACAAAACTGCTAGATATCTCAGTAGTGGATACGGAACCGGCGCCCTCATACTCGGCTCCCATCGGCGGGGACTCTCCGGCAATGGTCCTCTATACCAGCGGCTCGACGGGGACACCGAAAGGGATTGTTATATCCCACGCCAACATTTGTCACCATCTTGAAAGCATGAGCCAGACTTTGGGCTTCGGCGCAGAGGTGATGTTGCATCAGAGCGCTCCCACCTTTGATCTTGCCGTCAGTCAGGTCCTGATGGCACTCTGTCATGGTGGCACTCTGATTGTCGTACCTCAATCAAAGCGCGGTGACGTCCTCGAGATAACGAAAATCATGGCCGGACAGCATGTGACGTCCACGATTGCGACGCCATCGGAATATTCTGCATGGCTTCGGTATGGCCGTGCGAATCTTCGATCTTGTACAACCTGGAGCGTAGCTCTCAGCGGGGGTGAACAATTGACCTCGAGACTAATTCAAGAGTTTGACGCCATGCATGGCTGCTCCCCTCGGGTTGTCAACATCTATGGACCGGCGGAGATCACCATTTCGAGCAATTGTCTAACAGTTCCTCGAACTGAAACCAATTTCGCGGTTCCCGTCGGGCCCACCCTGCCCAATTACTCCGTCTATATTGTGGATTCGAACACGAAGCCTCTCCCCTTGGGGATGTCTGGAGAAATCTGCATTGGCGGGTGTGGAGTCACGCTCGGCTATCTAAACAACGACAGCCTTACCCAGAAGAAATACATCATTAATCCATTCGTCCCCGAGGCCCACCGGGCTAGAGGATGGACCCGAATGGTGCGAACCGGTGATCGTGGGCGGCTTTCTCTTGACGGCTCTCTAGTCTTCGAGGGCCGGATGGGCGACGACTCGGTCATTAAGTTGCACGGAATTCGGGTGGAACTGGAGGACATTGAGAGTGTGATTCTGCGGCAAGCGGGCGGAGCCATAGACCAGGTCATCGTTTCCGTGCGTGGCGATCCTCAGTTCCTGGTTGCTCATGTCGTGCTGCCTAGCAGCCTCGCCGATATCGACCAGGAAGTATTCCTCGAGGACTTGCGCTCCAATCTCCCATTACCGCTGTATATGTGCCCAGCTAGAATCGTTTCCGTGACCGAGTTCCCTCTCAACGCGCACTCCAAGGCGGACCGTCTCGCCATCGCCAGGCTACCCCTGCCACCAACAGCTCTCCGAGGGCCTAGTGCGGGATTTGGACTGACCGACATTCAAAAGGAGCTAAAGAGTCTGTGGGATGACGTTCTTCCCCAAGAGCTCGTCGACATCTCCGCTGCACACTCAGACCTCAATTTTTTCCAGGTCGGAGGAAACTCCTTTCTTTTGCTGACGATTCAAGACTTGATCAGAAAGCGCTTTTCAGTCACACTGACCCTAGCCGATCTTTACGAGGCCAGTACTCTAGGGCGTATGGCCGCCAGAATCAAGAACGCGGAGAGAGACCGGGAGATCGATTGGGACTCGGAGACATCCATTCAACACATCATTCCAGCAGTACCTGTCGAAAGCAGCCCCCGTTCCAACAACGATGGATTGGTCGTCGTGATGACCGGTTCGACGGGGACGCTGGGTTTCGAACTCCTACGACAGTTGGTGGCTGATGCACGTGTTTCACGGATCCATTGTGTCGCCGTGCGCGAATTGAATGACGATGCAAAATCTGCCGCTCGCCGGTCTCGACTCGACATGGCCAAGGTGTCCTATTACCCCGGCGATCTCGCCGATCCTGATCTGGGACTCCCCAGGGAAACATTCTGTTCGATCGCCGCCGAGGTGGACCTTATCTTGCACAGCGGCGCTAATCGCTCTTTCTGGGATCGCTACACCGCATACCGAGGAGCCAATGTCCAGTCCACCAAGTCGCTTGTTGCTATGGCCCTCGCCCGAAAGGCGCCAATTCACTTTCTCTCGTCTGGGGGAGTCTCGGCAAGCACCGAATTGCCCGCCACCGACGGCACAAACGGATATATCGCGTCGAAATGGGCCAGCGAACGGATTCTTGAAACCACGGCGGACAGGTTCGGCATTCCCGTGCACATCCATCGCCCGATGCCTACCATTTCAGACAATCATGCAGCTCATCACAGGGCCTTGGCCGAGCTTCGGCGGATCACCCATGACCAACACATTCTTGTTTCCGCCGGAAACATCTCCGGCCACATCGATCTATTCCAAGTGGACCAACTAGCCGAGAAGATAGTCCAAGTTATGTTCGGTAAGCCGGAGAGCATCGCGGCGCTGGATGTTGACGGGGTCTTGATTTCCCGTGACCAACATCATCCTCTGTCATACATCAACTATCAGAGTCCAATCCGACTCACGACTGACGATCTTGGAAGCATTTGGGACGGGAGGGCCGGGAGTTCCTCGGACACAACAACTCTGACAGGGCCTGAATGGATCGGCGCCGTTAAAGCCGCCGGTTTCCCGTATATCGTGTCGTCACAGGATCTTCAAATTTTGGAACCGGGTCAGGATCGAGCACGATTGGTGAGTCGGCGGTGATTGACGCCAGCCTGGCTGCGTGTTGGTGGTTTCGATGAGAAGCGTTGAAGAAGCCGAGAAGAGTCGAGGACGACCCCGTGACGCGCCACGCGTCGGGATCGCTGCCTGAGGCAGGAGCTCCCCCGTCGGCACCAGCGGATTCTTGTGTCGCCTCTATGTGTGTTTAACCAATCAAAAGTGGCGGAGCCAATGGCTTCTATTACACTCACGGGTGAGAGAGCGCCGTGGCTCGATTTCCAACCATGTGGTAATGTAGCAGTGCTTTGCCGGAACAGGCAGGGGAAGTATATATATGGAGAAGTGGACCAAGGATTTCCTGGCAGCGATTCGAAGCCACCATCTTCAACAGACTACTAGAACACTCTTACCCTTTCAGATACTAATCTTCGCATTTACAAATCAAACCATTTAACTTTCACCAAGTCCACGCCACACGTAAGTAGACTGTTACAAGGTATAGTGAGATAGCATGGCCTAGTGTGTTTTTGACATGTTTGCACATAGCGACGGCAGAAGGCCCACCGCCTGCCTAGACAAGACAGAGACAGTTCGGGCGGTGAGCAAGAAGGTCTCCCTGTCTCTCTCCCTGTCTTTCCGTCTCAACGGCCTTTCCAAGGCACGCATCCCGACCGCAGCAGGATGCGGACCGAATCAAGCCCAACCAACCACTCCTCGTCTAGCATGGCTCGCACTGAATTTCCCCCTGCAAGTGTGATATCATACATACGAAAATGAATGCGACCGTCAAATGCGACCGTTGCGACCGTCGACCCTGACGTAATGTGCCCAGAAGAACGGATTCACTACGGGCATGGAACTGTGTATTCAAATCCTTTTCAATATGGATGACGTCCCCATGCAGTCATGTCGCTATCGGTCTATCCTCTTGGCTTCATCTTGATGGCATAAAAGCGAAGATGCTCGAGGTTACGGACAATGGAAGGAAGAACACTTCTCCACGCCAAAGACCACTCAACGCGAAGAGACGATTGAAACCATTCTACGCCGAAGCCCAGCGGAGATTTCACACCCACCATGAGCGACCAGATTCCCCGCACCATGCGGGCTGCGGCCGTCAAGGACTTCAATAAAGGTTACGATGTCCGCGATGTGGACGTCCCCGCCGACCTGGGACCGAACGACGTTCTGGTGAAAATTGCCGCGGCCGGCTACTGTCATACGGACCTGCAAGTCATGCAGGGGGTGTATGCATCCGCAGGGGCCAAACCGGGGCTTGTGGGATCACACGAACCGGCGGGTGAGGTTGTCAAGGCCGGATCAGATGCCGGGAAGTTCGGGATCCACGTCGGTGACCGCGTCGGCTCCATCAACACCTACGGGTTCTGCGGCGATTGCAATGCTTGTAAAAAACAAGGACAGCAGCTCTGCGAGAACCTGGTTGGCATGCTCGGGCTGACCATCAATGGCGGTTTCTCTCAGTACATGAAAGCCGACGCCCGCGTCGTCTCCAGGATCCCAGACTCGATTCCCTTCGACGAAGCGGCACCGCTCTTCTGCGCTGGTGCCACGGTCTACGGCGCGATCCTCGCCTCGGGGGCTAAACCCGGAGAATGGCTGGCCATAGTCGGCATCGGCGGTCTCGGACACCTGGGCGTCCAGTACGCCAAAGCGCGAGGCTGCAAAGTCATCGCGATTGACAACCGAAGGGAAGGCATCGACACAGCCCAAGCGGTCCCCTTGCATCTGAAACCGGACAAGACGTTCCTGGTGGACTCGCAGGAAGCCGGGCAACATGCCATCGAAGAGCTTCAGTCCTCGTTCTACGACACCAACCCTGGAGTGGACCGAGTGGTCATTAACGCCGAAGCCCGGGAGCTTGTCAAATTCTCTCAACAAAATCTCCGGAAGGGTGGCACTTTGGTGGACGTCGGATTACCGTCAAACACGACCTTGGAGGTGGATCCATTTGCTTTGAGCTTCAAGGAGCAGACGGTACGGGGGCGATTGATCTGTACCCCCGAGCAGTGTCAGGACATGATTAACTTGCATGCCAAGAACGGATGCAAGACCCATATCGAACGGACTTATGGTGTGGAGCAGATAAACGACATGTATGATCATTACCAGCGCAAGGATCTGAGGGGGCGGCTCTGCATGGTGTTCTAGGATGGAGTTTCATCCAGGCCTTGTAGTGACGCGTGTGTGGTGATTGCCGCGTTGTTGGGAGAAGGGAAGGGCGAGAGTAGGTGGGGACGGCGTTCAGAGCAGGTAGATGTGCCGTGTTTGATGAAAGGTCCGGTGTCTTCGAATCCGTTTATCTTGGTAGCTATGGAGTATGATCCGATGTTTGCCACGTTTGCTCACAGTACCACATCCGGCTTAGTGTAGTTCTGTCCGGAATGGGACAGGTGCTGCCTAAAGTCTGAGGCAGCACCAGCCTTCCCTGCCTTCCTGGGGGAGTCCCCAGCAATCTACCTTGTAGGACAGAGAATTATCCCGACAGTCACACGTCCAATGACCCCGTGGATTATATTTGGCACGGAAGCGTAACACAGGGTGATCCGTCGGCTTTGTCCTGCCTCATACGGATCCCAGCGTGTGTGACAACGCCCTCAGCTCCTGCCATGGGGCGTGCGCAATAAGTCTAGCCACTGAGACTGCATTGGCAACACATCTGATCATGCGTCGGATCGCTGCAAGATGTGGGCGACATGGTTATATGGATGTCCATCTAACCTGGATGTAGGGACAAAGCATAGACCGTACGATGGAAGCGTCAGCTGAATGTAGAATTTCATGCGTCTCGGAACATTATAGCTGTCTTACGCCTGAATAGCTTTCCTACATGGGAGTGATGTCGGAATTGAGTGCTTCGCATATGGCATACAAGCTTGTTCTCGGGATCATTTGGGATAGCTTGCACCAGTTGACGAAGTGAGGAGGATGTGGACATACATGCCAACTAGGATGGAGCAGATAGCCTAAATCTGATCCCCAAAGTTCTGGCTACACGAGTTTGAAAGGCTTTTCGACAAGAAAGCAAGAAGAAGTTCCTTTCCATCAAGTGCTTCAAGCTTTCAACAATCCAACATCTGTGTTTGAAAACGTTCCGGCATGATATGCTGTGGAAGCTCGCATGCATACTATCGCATCTTGAAGGCGACTTTAGACGGCACAAAGTTGGACAATCTTGGTTGCACGACCGTAGAAGGTAGTACATTAACTCATGGATGAGGAAGGCATAAATACTGGCACTCATGGCAGAGAGTCTGACGGCTCCGGGGGAAGAGCTCATTATCCACAACACCTGCTCGGCATACTGTCCGGCGTGCTCAGCACTATGGAGTCATGATATGATTATTCCGGGAGAGGCTTTTGCGTGCCATGGGATCACTCTTCAACATACATTAATGTTTCCAAAGAAATGATTATACCACGCGATGGAGATTGAACCTGGCCGAACCAGAAAAGGTAGATGTTTAGGCTCGGGAAATCTTCACTCCCCACTCAACCAATTAACAATTCATGATCAACTAGGACTTGACCGGACAAGGCCAAGGATGGCTACCAAGACTTGCCGACTCTCCGGCCGTAAACGATTACATACTCCAAGCCCACCAGATGACGGGGTTGTCAAGAGCCCGAACAATCCTAGTTGGCCCATGGATTGGGTTGCAGGAGAGAGGTCGCCTCAGCTTATGATTCCATTCACGGAGGGATGATACCCAAGGTTGAGCCTGGTGGAAAGACCTACACCGTGTTGCGGCCGATTCGAGATCCTAATTAACTAATTGTCTGCTAAGGGAAAGTACAGCCGTGACCATATCAATAGACAGGTAAATTAGAGCGACGGAAGAGGATGAGTCTCAAAATTGTCCAGAAAAACGCGAGGAGGCGCCTGCGTCCGTCACTTTCGGAGAAGTGAACTTGGAAAAGCAGGTGAGACTGAGTTACCTGGCCGAGACCAATGCCTGCCAATGTGTCGAATCGATGTTCATCAGCTGATGGGCTGTTGGATCTCACAACAGAGATATGTTCTTTGCGTCGCCTCCATAAATGTGGAACACCGGTCCAGCCGAGAGAGGGAAGTTTGCACAAGTGCTTTCAAGCTGCAGGCGACAGGTCGTATGAGGGAAGCGATTGGTATTCTGATAGACGGTGGTTAAGATGGTAACGCGAGCAGGATTATCAACCCTACATCTCAGACCGCAATTTTGTGAGACATGCAGCTGATTCCAATTCCATCACAGAGAAGTGCCAACATCACTCACGGAGATATGTATAGCAGGGCTGATGCAGCCCGAGGCCTTAACCGAAGGGAACTATACAGAGACATGGTGATAGGCCAAAACGCCGAGGGAGGTAAACGCCGATTGGAAGTCGTGACAGCATCGGACTGGGAACTGGCAAGAGTACCTCTCGAATACGACGCCGGCTTTGGGATTCGAGGCGTGGGACCAGCCCAACACGAGAATTAGATGCTGAGCTGCGCCCCACGGCGTCCACATGTCAGATTCCGTGGTCTTCCCACGGCATTGTACTCCCACCGTATTGAGGAACTTCAGAGTACTGGAACGAAGGGCATTTCGACGCAAGCAGGCTGAAAGGGCTGCTGACGGGATGCCTGGTTGCTCAGTACGTATGCGTCTCTCGTCTCCGAGTCGGTGAAGACATTTCTCTCGTCGGACTGTCGGCGGATACGAATAGTAGCCTTCGGGTACCGAATAAACGATAGAGCAGGTCAGTCGGAGAATATCGATCTAAACAGGCTCCAGGCATCTGCTGCAGTCGGTTCGACATCTCTGCCATACTGTCGGAGTATGACTGTAGGTGCATCGCCAAGGAACTTTCGACTGCGGGCAAGCCTCAGCGGACACGAACTCCAGACATCGAGATCCTTGGTTTACGACTGCATGTCTCAGAGGAAAGAGTGGCTCCACCTACCGTCAACAAGGCTTCCCAATGTTTGACATGGCAAGGCGGGCTAAGGGGCTGAGTATAGATGCCCACGGCAGTGTGAGGACCAGAGGATGGCAGCTCCAAGAATAGCCAGGCCAGAGAGGCCGCAGGAGGCATAGACAGGAATTCCGTCCCTCAATGACAGCAGGAAAGGGTATAAATACAGCCCATACGCTCCTCGTTGGAATGCACTAACTATCCATCAGTTTTATCGCAGCAATTCCAAGTCTACAAGCAATCTTCTTCAGATTTTGAATCTCCAATCCATACTCTGTTTCTGTTCTCACAGCATCCCTCAGAAACTCCAGCTTCTGCAACCAAAATGAAGTCCTTCACTGCCATCGTCTGCTCCCTCCTTGCGGCCTCCGTCTATGCCGCTCCGCTCGAAGAGCGCGCACCCCAGGTGACCGTCTCTCTGACCAACGATCAGTCCGGAGCCAATGCCGGCGTCCAGTTTGCGGCCGACGGCACCGACAGGAGCATTTTCGCGCTCTACGGCGGCACCCCCGTGGGCGCCGGGGGCACTGTGCTGGCTTCATCAGCGCAGCTCACGGCCTTCCCGCAGACGATCAACTGCGTCATCAGAAACAAAGGCGTTCCCATTGCCACCTTGACCGCGCAGAAAACCTTCGCCGACCTTGACGGCAATCCGAACGCGGCCATTCCTGTGAATCTGAACAACGGCGTGATCAACTGCCGTGCTTAGTGGGAAGCGGCTCGCTCTGGGGTCCGACCATGACAAGACGTGGGCGAGATATCGAAAGTTGTCGGATGAACAAGGAGGACAGCAGGAATGGCTGGTGGTTACGTGCTATTGTTAGGTCAAGTGACAGTTAGATTTTGTGGAGTGCTTAGTTTGTGGCTTTCGTCAATGGAGACTTTACCTTCTCGGATCGTTTGCCTTCAGCTCTAGATCGTAGAGTATGTGAGTTAGTATTATGCCACAATGAATTGACTTTGTGAACATATTTGAGGCACTCGACCACTGCGCCAGGAGAGACAGGCCTCTGTCCCGCGTCAAGACTGCCGGAGACAATGGGGCAGGTCTAGCATGGGGAGGGAGGCTGGCTTGATCTGAACCGTTAAACTCAAACGGTGTTATTAATAGAGCTCCAAGCACAGATCGGGCCCAAAATGTGGGACAAAGAGACCAAATAAAGAAATGGCATCCCCGCAAAACAGGTCGAGGTCGGAGAGCCCAGACTTCGCCATGTGTGGACGGGACGATCATGCAGGTGGCTGCCATGACCATCGCCAGAAGCCAACTTGCGTGAAGGACCAAAGGCATTGGCGTCTCATCTTCGGCCATATCGGATTTCGGGCATCCGATACGGGATTTCGAGGGCATTAGGCTGCTTCTGACGTGACGCATTACGGACTGGTCGAGTCGCAAGGTGGATAAGCTGCAGCACCCGCGGGGAACGATGAATTGCCACTCGTTGAATCTCGGATGGAAGGGTGATCCATTGGTGATTGATCTGGACCAAGCATCAAGCCGTCTGGAGGGATTGGTTACCGCAGAGCGGGCGTCGCTGGTATACGAGCTGAGCTGCCCATGGCTTGAGAGTCACACCGATGTGGTGCCCGTGGGATAGGGTGGCAAAGTACACCACAGGGATGAAGAGGGTGGGATGGGTGAATGAGTGAGTTGTGGTGGTGGTGGTAATGATGATGGTGATAGCAGGGAAGAAGGCGAGAGAAGATGAGTGATGCCTTGCATTTCTGGCAGCAGCAGTCTCGATCGGGTGGGCCATGTGACCGGTCCCGTGATCTTGTGGCCTGAGGCACTCCATGGTGGGAGTAGAGACGGACTACGATAACATGTGGTATTCTTCTTATGAATGACTTCTATCATGGAACATAAGAAGCCTTCAGAGACTCCCTTCCTCCCATATGATGAGGTCGATGGGTCCTGCGGCCGTACTACTATCCACTACCCAAGTCGATCAGGGCTCCCTACAACGATTACCTATTGGCGCTGTTCGGATTCCTGCCCGGTCTCCTCGCCTTCGCCGTCAATGGCTCCTCTTTCGAGTCCTGCGGGTTGGAATGGCTCATCTTGCCGAACAGTGCCTCCATGAACGCGTCAGACTCGGTGGCATAGTGGCAGCGCGCGCGGATAGCGGCGCCGTATCGATAGAACAGGAAGGGCATGGGCACGCAGGCGACGGCTAGGAAGGCGGGGATGGACGACGCCCAGTGGTTGCCCATATCGCCATACATATAGTTGGTGAATAACGGGAAAACGGCGCCGAAAACGGAGCGCAGGCCGCATAGATGGTATAGGCGTCGATCAGATAGTTCAGCACGGGCAGGAAGACCATCACCATGCCGTAGCCGAAGGGCACCCCGGCGGCGATAGAGGCCCTATAGTGGGCCGACGGCGAGTGCGTCCAGGAAAACCAGAAAAGCCCGGCTGGCAGCGCGATGGCGGCGATGAAGGAGTCCGGCAGGAGCGCCTCCGGGGGAACACGCCCTTGGATCGCGAGACACTTCGCCTTATACCCAAAGTACATGAGGAAGGTGACCACGGCCGCAAACAGATTGCCCACTAGGATACCCACAAAGGCCAAACTGCCAATGCCTTCGCTCCAGCCGCGGCCCCGCTGGTAGACGATCGGATAGGCGGCAAATAGTAGGTATAGTCTGAACGTCAGTGCTTTGTTAGCCAATGCCCGGCAGACTGAAGAGGGCATGAGGGTGATACGTACATTCCGTAGATGATGGACAGATAGACGGACAGCAGCAGCACGATGAGCTGGCGAATCAGTAGAACCCAGGGTCGCGAGAGGGTGGTTTTCAGCACGGCCCCGGCCGATTTCTTGCCCTGGTCCACATCGACCTTGCTGCGATAGAGCTTGCCCGTGATCTAGGCTAGGCGCGCGGCGCGCTTGCGCAGCAGCCCGGGGCGTAGGTTTCGGGCAGCGTCAGGATGATGATGATTCAGAGCAAGCCCAAGAAGGCGGCCAGCAGACCCTCGACCCAGCGCCATCCGGCTGTCTCGGACAGGAACCCGCCGATTATGGCCCCAACGTCGGTCCGAGGAAGGGTGCAGCGCAGTACAAGCCGCTCGCCAGTCCGCGACTGATGGCCGGAAAACAGTCGGCAATCGCGCCGCCGGCGAAGAAGCGCAGGATGATAAGGGTCCAGGTATTCTGCGAGCCCGCGGAGCCGGCTGTGCACGCGGTGAGACCGAAGGAACTGGCGATGAAGATATATCGACGACCGTAAATCTCGCTGAGAGGCGTCCAGATCAGTGGGCCGACGGCAAACCCGATCACGAACAGCGAGATGCCGAGGATGGCTACCTCGCTCACGCGAAAGTCGGTCACCACCTCGACGATGCCACCAGTGTAGGCGGATGAGACGAGGGCGACGGCCATAGTGGCGATGCCCACAAGGAAGGTGATCAGCCATCTGGCCACGGCCGAGTACTTCATGGGAACGCGCGGATCGGTTCCCAGCCAATTGATCACGAAGGGATCCTCGTCGGTGCCGGCGCCCTGGTAGGTATGATCGATCACCGGCTGCGTAAGGGCGCCTTGATCAAAGATAAGTCGCCAAAGAGGCGTCTTGGTCGACTGCGGCACTTCGCCCGTCATTCTGGCAATGGAACTTGCTTCTGCAGTCGATTACCTTCAGAGGGGACAAGCGAATAATTGAGAGCTCATGGAGGGATGGGGACAATCGAACGGCATAAAAAAGTTCCCATGGCGGTACACTGTAGGTAATCATAGTATCATTGGGATCTGGAAGAAAATTTTCAGGGTAGCTCGGTGCATCCCCGAGAGCTGGTCCCTACTCTCTAGTGCCGGAGAAGTAACTACGGGTTGGAAATCGGCGAACGTCGACCCTTACCGAGCATTAGTGACTTGACCCTCAGGCCACAGACTGCAGCCGAGATCGACCGCAGCAGTGAGCAGACATGACTCGCTGTCACTACTCCGTAGATGTTCTCGTGATTATTATTATTGGCAGATGCGAGGTGGACTCAGGGCCCGTCGCGGCAGAGAGTCAGAAGCCCTATGCAAGCCCTAACTGTTCGCCACCGGTGGAGCCGCAGATCTGACGCTAAAAGTGCCTTAAAACCTTGAGATGGGCCCGACCCACCTGAACTAAGACAGCAATGCTATGATCTGGTTCCTTAGGGTCGCCAATGAACTACCGCGCCGGGGTGATGGCGACGTGGACCACCTCAACCCAATCTGAGATCTGGAAAAGGCCTCCACCGAGGGTGACATCACGGGCAGACCAGCTCTCAGGCTCTCAATTACAGCCTCAGGTGTACTGCCAATGTCGATTACCGCTCCACGGCCCTCAGGAAGCGGTGGGATCGCCAATGACGCCAGGCATTACCGCTGCCCGAAGGAGAAAGTGGGAAATGACCTGGCTCTCTCGCCACGCACGGCAGGTGACGTGTCGTAAGTGACATGGGCTGCTCGCAGGCAAGACGCTGTTGAAAAAGGGCGAAAGGGCGTAAAAGCTGCAGGGCCCAAGAACGAAGAGGCACAATACCAAGCGCGTCCAAGGTCCTATTGTCTCACCGCAGGAACGAACACTTTATATCGTCGCCGTCTCCCAGTCTGCCATGAGTTCGACACTGGCTGCCGCCGTGGCAGCGTCCTTAGTTTTATATGTTCGTTGTCAGACTCTTTGCCCTGTTGATACTATGTTTTGGGCCTGATATACTGACCAGCGTGGGTCCCAGAGCATTGCATTGGTTATCTATCGCCTGGTCTTCCATCCCCTCTCGAAATACCCCGGACCTCGATTAGCGGCCATCTCGAACTGGTATGCAGCATTTTTCGCCTGGCGCAGGGACCTTCATCTCCGCATACGCAGCTGGCATGAGTCATATGGTAAGGGTCGATCCACGGGCGCGACGAGGCCTGTCGCAACGCTGACGACGCGCAGGCGATTTCATGCGATTCGGACCCAACTCGGTCAGCTTCAATACCCACACCGGCATGGGCGTCATCTACGGCGCCCATGCCAACGTGCACAAGGCTGAGGGATACGCCTCGATGAGCGCTAGCCGGCGCACGCCCAACACCATCACGGCCGTGGATAAGACGGTTCACGGCTTCAAACGGCGCATCATGGGCCAGGTCTTCTCCGACTCGGGGCTGCGATCCGTACAAGACCGTTTCCTGATGAACATCCGCGATTTTACCGGTTTGCTGTGCTACGACGACCGACCCGGCGGTCCCGACAACGGCAACAAAGACGGCGGTTGGGGGCCGACAAAGGATATGGGTCAGATCTGCGGCTGGCTAGCATTTGATATCATCAGCGGCCTCTGCTATGACGAGGACTTTCACATGTTGCACTCGCCCGATCTGCGCTGGTTTCCGTCCGTCATCCAAAAGATCGGGCAGCGGACCATGATGGTACGAGTCTAATAATTCGGCATCGCCCTCCCTTCCCATCTCATCTTCTACTCTCTTAATCCCCTGTCAAAATAGCTGACCGTGTGTGCAGTGCATCGTACAACCCAAGGTGTTTGACTGGAAGATTGACCGCGTTCTCCTGGCGACACAATATCGCGAAATGCTGGAGGCCGGCAGTTGGATTAGGCGGCGCGCAGTGACTCGCGCGCGTCTGGGCAACGAAATCAAACAGAAAGACCTTTTCTACACGATGATGAACGCGACGGATCCGAAGACAGGCCAGACTTTTACCCAGAAAGACCTGTGGCTGGAGTCGATGCTTTTGTTGACGGCCGGTATGTCCTGAGCTCTACCACCTTCTCCGGTCACTCCTACACGTGAATCTGATACCATGGCTTCGCAGGCTCTGACACCACGTCCACGGCCATGAGTGCCGTGTTCTTCTACCTAACTCACCATCCGGACGCGCGGGCGCGACTGACGCAGGAAATACGCACTACGTTCACCAACGAGGAGGAAATCTGTATGGGGTCGCAACTGAACAGTTGCGAGTTTTTGCGCGCCTGCGTGAACGAGACTATGCGACTGATCCCCTCAGTCTCGGGGGTGCCGCCTCGTAAGGTGCAGGCCGGTGGCATTACCGTAGATGGCGAGTATATCCCGGCCGGCATGACGGTGGGCACTTCCATCTACACCATTCAGCGCAATCCGTGCTATTTTTTTGCCCCGGACGAATTTCACCCAGAGCGCTGGATCGTAGAACCGGACGCCGGTATTGACCAGGAAAGCATCAAAAAGGTCTGGCAAGCCTTCTGCCCCTTTGGCATCGGCCCACGCTCTTGTGTTGGCTGGCGTCTGGCCTGGATCGAGCTCAATATCGCTGTGGCGTGTGCTATCTTTCTCTACGACATGCGCCTGGCACCTGATGCGCCTTGCTGCGGTGGGAATTTGACAGGATGTGACTACGGCTTCAAGGGTTGGATGGCCTCTGCCGTCGAGGGGCCATTGGTGCAGTTCCGGCCGCGCCACTCTTGACCAAGCTTTTTATTTATTATTTCCCCCCCCCTTTTCTTTCTTTCTTTCTTTCTTTTTTGTAATCTCTAGACTATGGCATCAGTTAATGATAATACCTTTCTTCCTTACCTTCTGCGAAGCGAGGCACGGAGCCTAGCAGTTATCGTTATCGGGGGTGGCCTGCGAATAAATTTGAGCCCGTGTTTAGACTACAGAGCGAGCGAAGTCTTGAGTTTGGGAGAGTAGAAAAGCTCCTTCATCCCTCTGTATAAGTATAAATCGATATAAGCCTCTTTTTATCTAACCGGGACCCATGGCTCGCAGGGAAGCACCTGCAGATGCTGCGCCAGCACTGATCGCTTGCAGTTCAAAGCCTCCAGAGCTTTCCCCTTCTCTCCCGACACAGTATCGACGTGGACCCAGATCTCGTCAAAAGCGTTCATTTCCAGTTTCAAGCTCCCGCACACCAGTTGTAGGTCTAGGTCGATCTGCAGCGTTTGGCTGGCGACGCCGTGGAACACCCCCAGGTGGATGCCGCACACCTCGATCTCGGCCATCGTTTCGAAGGTCAGAATGTCGACCCAGCCGTTCACCTGACGGTCATCGTTAGCTCGATTCGGCTTAGTGAAATAGTCGGTAAAGGTTAGGGGCTGGCAGTACAGTAAAGGCATCGATCGTGACATGGATAGGGCGGCGAGTTTTGTCGCGCATTAGGGAAACCCTCGAGATGATCCCATCGCCCCGGAGCTCTTGGACGCTATACCTGCCTGGCTGCTCATGGTTCGTGGCGAGAAGAAGGCCTATCGGCGATATTTAGCGCTTGATCGTCGTCTAGGCCATGTGCCATTGTCACTATACCGCTATGATGCATGGTGAAAACAAAATGGGGTGATATCTGGCACCAGTGAAGGAAGAGTGGTGTAGGTCATTCGGAGGCGGACTACCCCTTTATATTGTCGCCAAAAATCTTACTGGGCACGTCCTTGCAGCACTAAGAAGTCGGTGAAAGGTGTGAATCTGTGGCCAGCATCGTGTTTACCTCCCGATGGCTCCCGGGGGCGCCATGCAACGCAAGGGACGCTTTACTCGAAGACGCGGCTTCCAGCGCATTGATGTAAACTTGATTTCCGGCACCATCAAGGGGTTAAGCAAGCGGGGAGATGTCAGAGCTGACCACTGACGTAACTTCTGGTATGCGTCGTGCTACTTGGAATGTAAGGGGCGTCCGACGAGTCATCGTAGTAGACGCCTCCTCCCACCAAGGTCTTTCTATCTGCTGCTTTATTCATACGTGGACCCGGTGAATCTCATGAAATGTGAGGATCTGCATTCACGAATGAAGGGCTGCTACTAGATCGTCCACCTCCGACAAGCATGACTCCTTCAGAGTTGAGACAATAACTCGGCCCCTGGCTGTCAAGGCGCGAGAGTGCCCAAGTCCTTCTACTGCGAGCTATGTTAGCATGACTCGGCCTGCGTCGCGATGTGGCGATCCATATCGTATCTGTAGGCACTGTTAGCGTCCTCATTTTCCTCGCCAAGTCCAAGAGCTTGTCCGCTCACGTACTCGTTGACTTCTTCAATAGTCAGCTTTTGGCCTTCATGGGCTACCTTATACAGGCTGCTATTTCTCTGACTGGAGAAACCAATTCGCTCCGACAGATTCTCACGAGCTCGGGCACTGGCTTCCTGCACGCGACTAGCGCGCGGTTTGCGGATCTTTTCGTATAGACGCAAGCCGGCTACCACGTCCACGGTGAATGTGTAACGTGGGCCAAAGATGATGCCGAGAGCTGCTGCGTCTTCGATGGCTTGACACGCCCCTTGGCTCTGATCGGGGAGCATAGGATGGGCCGCATCACCCAAAATGCCCGTACGACCACGAGACCACTGGGGATAAGGGCTGTGGACATACAAACGCCAGGGCTTGATATCACTGGCGTGGCTTAGCAAGGCGCGCAAAGCCGGATCTAAGTTAGGGAAGGGCGCCAGCAACTGGTCGCGCGATCCCGAAAAGTTCCAACCTTCCTCGGCCGTCTCCCCGGTCGGTTTAGCGAAGAACGTGTAGAAGGAATGCACCTCGCCGTCGCGACAGGCCGAAAAGATGATCTTGCTCGGGCCATGACCGCCCCAATACTCCAGAGCGTTGTTCACCGACATGTCCGGTAAGCCCAGCCGACGGACTTCTGCCGTGGGAATCACACAGTGATACGAGGTCGATGTAGCTGCTTTTCGTTCAGGAAGAATCCCCAGGGACTTGCGCACGGCGGACTGTATCATTGAACGTTCATATACTTGTCAGGACTGCTTACAGACAACCGGATCGAGGGACTTACGCCGACACCGTCTGCGCCAATCACCAAGTCATGGCGGGCGCTGATTCCATTGTGGAATGTCACGGTTCCTGTCTCATGGTTCACGGTCTCGCATTGATGGTTCACCTTCAGCACTGCTGGTTTTCCTTTCCCGGGTCCGGTGGCAGATTGCATCAGCATGGCGTGCATATCGACTCGGTAGAAGTTGTAGTATGGCTGGCGTCCGTTAGTGTAGTCCGTACTCACTGGCTAAAATGAACCGCAACTCACGTATTTCCATCTCACGGCGTAGTCGGATAGGTCATAGACATCCTGCACCTCCCCAGTTTCGAGGTCGTGTCGAATCAACTTCTCGACTACAATCGGCCGACCAATGTCAAGATCCACCTTCCAGTCTTCCAGCCACCGTGTGCCGTTGGCGCCACAACTGATAGAGGCTCCCACTTCACCAGAGTAGTCCGCTCGTTCATAGATCGTTACGGCGTGGCCTGCCCGTCGAAGCGATGTAGCGGCAGCCAACCCCCCTGGACGAGACGATTAATGGCTTTGCTGAAGGTTACCGTCGTAGACCTTACCGATTCCTCCCCCAATCACGGCAACATCCAGCGGCTGCCATGCAGATGAGTGCGATCCCATATTTGTAGATAGAAAACCACAATAGCCCTCCGGGAAGTACCTAGGAAGAATATGGCTGAGGACGGGGTTGAGTTTGGGCAATGAAACGGACTCAAAAGACCTAATTGTCTGAAGTCTATCGTGGGTCACACAATAGATATATCCTTGTAGACGCGGTGGCCAACAAGATGATGGCCACGCAATCCGACCGATCCTGTGAGAATAGGCTGCGCGGCCATTCCAGACCTGCTGCATGGCAGAGGGTTATTGCTAGCCACACCCTACGCAATCATGCCTTATCCTTGTGCTTGGTCGCCCGGCGAGGGATAGTAGACGCACAGCAAATTGATGTGCCCACTGCCATCTCCCACCAGGAGTCACCGTGGCAGGAAGGACGCAAGGAGTTTAGTTCCGGAGGCCTGACCGCCATACAGCTAACCTGCGAGCAGGGATGAACCGGTGCATCTTCACAGGAAGGGGTGTGCCAGCCATTCTCACCCGCCCAGGGGTCCGATCCTTTGCTAGCCACATACGTGAGATGCGCGGAAATCAGCTAGGGTGATGGAAGATGGTAAATAGCTGACTGTTGGTCCACTTAGATGACTATGACAGCATCATGTCATGCAAATATCTAGCGGGTTGTAGCTAGAATGAGACAGTCGCTAGGGAGGCAAGTGAATGGCGACTTGCGGTATGGTCGTTACCCGAGGGAGTGGAAATGAGGACATCGAATCCGAGGCTATCGGTACAGGGACCTGATGTAAGGGTCTCAGTGTGTCCCCAATCATTGAGCTGCATGTTTGATATATCGGATCATGGCTTGGCACCTTGTGGACACTGATCGATGCCGGGGATTCATTGCATCCACCGAGATCACAGGCACGGCGTCATTGCTTATTATCTCCCCGTGTACCAAGCCTGCTCTGTAGAAGGGTGCGTCAAATAACTAACTTTACTTGCGCAAAGCGTCTAAGATATCAATATACTCAGGAAGAAACGAGATGACTGGAAAGGAACGGAGTGTGAACGCGGGATTGTTCCCGGCTTTGAACGGCCGGGACGATGGGGATATGACTGTCCATGCCCATCAAATCAAACTATCCCCGGCAGTGCTGAACAGAATGGTCACCTCTTGCGAATCTCAAGGAGGGTCGCTGGCGCAATTGGTTCAGGCCGCTTGGGCGATCGTCGTGCAGCAATATGCCGAGGCCGAACGCGTCCTGATGGGCGCTGGGGAGATGGGGAAGACGCGTGTATCCGGAGAAGACTTTGATGTACTGGAATGGTCACTGACTCCCGAAACTCGGGTCAAATGTCTGCTGAACTCGGAGAGCAACAAGACCTCTTATAACCGGACACGGGAGACAGCATTTAATACAGCCGTGCTGATAGCGAGCGATCAGGTGACAGATGGAGGGGTCCAGTGGATGGACGTCGTGGTGAACGGAAAACAGGTATGTGATGCCTCTTCGCAACACGGCGAGCGAAGTAACTGAGAAATACATAGGGTCAAGGTGACTACGATGTTCTCGTCCTACTGGAGGTAGACTGCTCGGCGCTGTTCAGGCGATTACGACTGGTTTACACTCGACGAATGCTGTCTGACAGCCAGTCAAGCAATGTCGCAACTACGTTGTGCCAGGTGATGCACGAAATGCTAGAGAGTCCGGATCGACGGATCGACGAGCTGCAACTTTTCAGCCCTCAGAATATGGACGACGTGCAGAAGTGGAACGACAGGCCGTGCAACGAGAGAGGGGATGACCGAACAATTATGAATGTGATCAGACAGCATGCCATGCAACGACCCGAGGCCAGGGCAATTGACGCTTGGGACGGGCAGGTCTCATACGGAGAGTTGAATGGGCTGACCGCACGACTTGGGCAGCGTCTGCGCGACGCCGGCGTGGGACCGGGCGTGATGGTCCCCATCTGTTTCCCACGCTCCCTATGGGCCATCGTGGCCGAAGGGGCTGTATTGCAGGCCGGGGGCGCCTTCGTCCCCATCGATCCGACCCATCCCATCGGGCGAATGCGCCACATTGTGAGTCAAACGAAGGCTCATGTGGCTTTGACCGCACCGCTGTTTGCAGATCAGATGGCAAGGCTGGTAGACCAAGTAATCGTGGTCTCTTCGAGTCTGAGAGAGAATCAAGCCGACGAGGACATGCCCTGGCCAGATACCGACCTCGATAGTCCGGCGTACGTCCTGTTTACCTCGGGGAGCACGGGACAGCCTAAGGGATGCGTCGTATCCCACCGTGCGCTAGCCAATGTGCCTGCGCAGGCGAGTGCCTTGCACCTACGGTCCGGTAGCCGGGCATTGCAGTTTGCATCGTACAGCTTTGGTGTGTCGCTCATTGAGATTTACTGCGTGCTGACGGCGGGTGCTACCATCTGCATCCCATCAGACGCGGACCGCCTGAATCGACTGACGGAGACCATGCGAGCGATGTGTATCAGCTGGGCATACCTAACCACGGCCACGGCCGGGTCGTTACGCGTCGGGGAAGAGCTGGTGGAACTGCAGACACTCATCCTGACGGGAGAACCATTAGACCCGAAGCAGGTCCGGAATTGGGCGCCGCGGGTGCAACTCTGCCAAGGGTTCGGATGCACCGAATGGGCCGGTGTCTGCTGCGTTTCACGGCCAATCCAGACACCGTGGGACAGGAGAATAATCGGGACTTCGCCCACGGCCAACCTCTGGCTGGTCGACCCCGCCAATCCCAACCGCCTGGCCCCCGTGGGTGCCGTGGCTGAGCTGGTGATCGAAGGTCCAGCTTTGGCGCAAGGATATCTCCACAATCCCGCACAAACGACCGCAGCATTCCCGCAACAGCCGGACTGGTGGGAGACCCTACGCCCAGGTGTGCCGTGTCGAGTGTACCGAACGGGGGATCTGGTACAGTACGAATCGGACGGCAGCCTTCGCTATGTCACGCGTCGGGACACGCAGGTTAAAGTGCGAGGAATGCGCGTGGAGTTGGGTGAAATTGAATATCAGATTCGGCGGACGGCAGAACTGGACCGCGTGGTTGTAGAGGCTGCGATCCCCGCCGATGGGCATGAGGGACCGGCGCTGGTAGCATTCCTGCACTCCCGCACCGAGTCAGGTTCAAATCAAAGCGACACAAAGACGCAGGATGGGCCGCTCCTATCGACTGACGACCGCAAGGGATTTGTGCTGCTGGCGGGTAGGATCCGGCAGTCACTGTGCCAGCTATTGCCGGACTACATGTGGCCGAGCATCTACTGCCCACTTGCCAGACTGCCGCTGACTGTCACCGGCAAGGTCGACCGAAGGGCCCTGCGAGACCTGGTTCGTAACAAAAGCCGTGCGGAGCTGACAGAGTACGAGGCGCCACGGAGGGAGATTGTGCCTCCACGAACCATGATGGAAGAAACACTCCACCGGCTATTCGCAGCTACCCTACAGATGGATGGTGCCTCATTTGGTGTGCTCGACAGCTTTCTGCGACTAGGAGGAGACTCGCTGCTGGCCATGAAGATGGTCAATCGGGCGCACGAGCAACATCTGCATCATTTGACGGTTTCTGATGTCCTTGCGCACCAGACCATCGACAAAATCGTTGAGTTCATGAGTCGGGCTGTTCATGACCATTCGGTTTTGAAGGCCAACACTACTGGGGTGGCCTCTCGAGCATTGTCGAGCCTGGCTGTCGAGAACAGCGATTTGATGGCTCTGGTCCCAGACATTGCAGCCGTCAAGGACGCCTTCCCCTGCTCTGCGATTCAAGAAGGAATCCTAGTCAGTCAAATCCGACGCCCGGAGCTGTATCAGATGCATTTCGTATGGGAGATCGCCACCATTGACTCCGCCCCGTTGGATGTGAACCGTCTGGAAGACGCCTGGCGACGGGTATGCGCCCACCATGCGATGTTGCGCACTCGGTTCTACACAAACGCAACTGCCCAGCATTTCGCCGTGCAGGTGGTGTTCGAGGAACCCTGGACTCGAATCTTTCAGGCGCAGGACCCGGTTCAAGGCCCAAGGCACCTGATGGAGCAAGCGGAAGCTTTTGATGGACCAGGGCTAACTATGAATATCCGATCCTCGAGCCATGTTTGGGCGATGCTGCAAATTTCACATGCGATGGTAGATGCCGCGTCGACTGCAATACTCATGCGCGATTTAGCCAGATTTTATGACAACTCGAACCCTGAAGTCGGGGTTCCGTGTGAATACCGAGACTACGTGTCGTACGTCATGCAGATCAATCACGACGAGAGCTTGCAATTCTGGAAGTCGCATCTGGTAGGCCTTGAGCCTTGCCTTTTCCCGAAGTTGCAGGAAACAGACCGATTGAATCGCTTGGAGGAGGTCCCCGTGGAACTGGAGGATATCGCGGGTTGTCGCAGCTTTTGCCAGCAGCATGCAGTGACTCTGGCCACGCTGGCGAAGCTCGCCTGGGGTCTGGTCCTACGGGCATTCACCGGATCGGAGGACGTGTGTTTCGGGTACATGACGGCCGGGCGTGATGTGCCGCTGTCAGGGGTTGATAAAGCCGTTGGACCCTTCATCAATATGTTGGTGTGCCGCATTGACTTTACACGCAGCGCGTCGCTACAACAAGCACTACAAGACGTGCAGGCCGACTTGATTGAGAGCTGGAGGCATCAGCAAGTGCCCCTGACGCAAGTTCAGCACGAGCTGGGCCTTAACAGCCAGCAATTATTCAATACCAGCATGACCTTCCCTCCGGTCCAGTCCACCGACGGTTCACAGCCCACGTCTATCACGGTGACCGAGATTGACCGCAGAGACCCTACAGAGGTAAGCATTGGGCCAGAGATCCAAAAGTTGACCAATCGCGCGATCACTGCAGCTAACCCAATGGTGCTGTGTCTAGTACGATATCATGGTCGAAATGGGATGGGACGGAAAAGACAAGCACGGCACAATCAAATATTGGTCATCACTGCTGTCCTCTGAGCAGGCGATTGCATTAGCAGAGGCTTTCGGCTTAGCCATCGCGCAGATTGTGAGCCAGCCTCTGTCTCCGCTACCCCACGTTGACCTCTTCAGTCCTTCAGACATCCGGCGGGTGAGAGATTGGAACCGATTAGAGCCCGAGGATTGCGAGAGTTGCGTGCACGAGCGCATTATGGCTGTCAGTTCGAGGAACCCGAAGGCTGTTGCAGTCGACTCCTGGGATGGCCAATGGACATACAGCGAGCTAGATGCAGCTGCATCCGGGTTAGCTAGGGAACTTCAGTGCCGCGGAATCGGGCCTGAAGTCTTTGTCGCTATTTGCATGGTCAAGTGTCGGTGGACCCCGGTTGCAATTCTGGCGACAATCCAAGCCGGAGGCGCCTTTGCTCTGCTCGACCCCGGGCATCCAGTGGATCGACTGCGCGGTATGTGCGACCAGTTACAAGCGGCTCTGGTACTCACAACGCCCGATCAGACGGTTGTCGGCGAGCAGTTGGGCCCAGACGTCCTCATAATTGGCGAAGATACCCTCGATATTCATGGTAATCAGAGCAAGCCTCAAACCGCCGTTACCAGCCGGAATGCCTTGTATGCTGTTTTCACCTCCGGGTCCACAGGGCGCCCCAAAGGGGTGGTTGTTGAACACCATTCTTTCTGTGCTTCAATGACAGCCACCATCAAGGCCACCAAGTTGACGAGCTCAGACCGCATGTTCCAGTTCGCCTCCTATGCCTTCGATAACAGCGTGTTTGACCATTTGGTGTCCTTGTTGGCGGGTGCCTGCCTGTGCATCCCCAGGGCCGAAGACTGTCACAATATGCTGGCAGCCACCATGGCCGCTTGTAACACGACGTGGATCATTATCACCCCGTCCGTGGCTCGCCTCATCTCCCCAGAGGAGGTCCCGAGTCTCCAGACGCTATGTCTCACTGGAGAGTCCGTCGGTGCATCTGACCTTGAGACCTGGTCAACCAAAGTGCACCTATTCAATCTGTACGGCCCGGCCGAGTGCTCCATTATCTCCACAGTCCAGCACTACCCGGAGGGACCAGCCGATCCGTGCATAATCGGTAATGCGCTCGATTCCGTGGCTACTTGGGTTGTCGAGCCGCAAAACCCGCATCGTCTCGCCCCTGTCGGTGCTATTGGTGAGCTAGTAGTGGAGGGGCCCGGCGTTGGTCGGGGATATCTTCACCATCGTGCCGGGGAACCAACAATGTTGCCATTCTTGTCGGATCCGCAATGGCTGTCCGGCTTTCGGGCTGGGACTGGCCGCCGACTCTATCAGACGGGTGATTTAGTACAGTATACAGCCGCCGGCCAGCTGCGTTATCTGGGACGCAAGGACACGCAGGTTAAGATCTCCGGCCAAAGGGTTGAGCTAGGAGAGATTGAATCGGCCATTCGCTCCTTTGGGGCTGGGGCATACGAGGCCGTTGTAGACGTTATCCCTCGACTGCACGGCAAAGGCATGTTGCTAGCATGTTTGGGTTACCTCGATGTCCCTTCAGGCCTGGACCCGGAAGATAGTGGTCTGATTGGTATCGCAGATGACACTTTCGGGCAACACGTGAGGCAATTGGGCAAGCACCTACACTCCGTACTGCCTCCATTTATGGTACCTGCAATCTTCTTGCCTCTGCGATACATTCCGCGGTCTCCGACAGGCAAGATAGATCGGAAGGCCCTACGCCAGGCGCTGGCAGTGTTGACTCCTGACCAGTGGGAAACCCCACATGCCAATCGTCCATCCGTCAGGACTTCTCCCGAGAAGGACCTGCAGACCCTGTTCTCGCAGCTCCTCCAGATCCCACACCGTCAGATCTGGGCTGACAGCCACTTCTTCCGTCTAGGGGGAGATTCTCTCCTCGCAATGGCGCTGGTGAAATCGTCCCGTAGTGTCGGGTGGTATTTAACGATGGAGGAGATCTTCCAATATCCGATTCTGTCTGATCTCGCGCCGGCCTTACGCCCAGTCAGAGAGTCACTCAATTTTGAGATTGTGCCGCCCTTCTCGCTTCTACCAAATGACGCGGCGAGAGACCTTCAAGCAGAAGCGTGCCAAGAGTGCCAGCTGGATCCAGTGCAGATCGAAGACATGTACCCATGTACGCCAATCCAAGAGGGCCTGATGGCATTGTCGGCCCGGGAGACGGGCAAATATACGGCGCAATGGGTCTACACGATTCCCAAAACGACTGAAACGAGACGGCTCAAACATGCCTGGCAGACCACAGTAGACATTAACCCCATTCTTCGCACCAGGATGGTTGCCACACAAAAGCATGGTGTGATGCAGGTAGTTGTCCAGGCGGGAGACTGTCGTCTAGAATGGAAAGAAGCTACAAACGTGGCCCACTATCTCCAGGAGGACAGCGCGCGTGCAATGAAGCTCGGGCAACCGCTGCTCCGATTTGGCTGGGTAGATTCGGAGGAAGAGACCGGAACCTCGCACCTGATATTGACGATGCACCATTCCATATACGATGCCGTTTCAATGGAGCTCTTCCTAGACCAGGTAGACGCAGCTTACCATGACAGCATCCCGACATGTCACACTTTCAACCACTTCATAAAGCATCTCATAACTGCAGATGGGAACAAGCAAAAGGTGTTCTGGACGGCCGAATTTGAAAACCTTCAGGCCTCTGCTTTTCCCACGCTACCCTTGGGCGTCACGACACCCAGACCAAGTGCAACCCTGTCTCGAAACATCACCATCCCCGCTGAGCACCGGGAGCTTGGTGTGACGAATACAACGATCCTTCGAGCCGCCTGGGCGATCGTCGTTTCCATATACACCGATTCTTCCGACGTCGTGTTTGGCGTCACTGTTAGTGGCCGCAGCGCCGCCATCGGCGACATTGATGAGATCACCGGTCCGACGCTCGCCACGTTCCCCCTGCGTACTCACGTAGACCCCAGCAAGTCCATTGGGAGCACGCTCTACGAGATCCAGGAACACAGCGCGCGGATTATTCCCATGGAGCAGACGGGGCTTCAGTACATACAACGAATGAGTTCCGAGGCGCAGGCTGCTTGTGCATTTCAGAGTCACCTCCTCGTGCAACACCACCGGCAAAGCAAGCGGGAGAAAGAATTACTTCACCTTCAACAGGGGTTCCTGGACTACGCTAGCGTCTCGAGCTATGCCTTGGAGTTGGTATGCGATTTGAACGAGAGAGAGGGGGCTGCCAGCACCTCTGTGGCATTTGATCCACGAGTTCTGTCTACAGGGGACGTAACCAGGCTACTGTCCCAGTTTGATCACGTCGTGCAGCAGATTTGCCTCAATACCGGGCGCGAGATTAGACATATTGGGCTGATTGGTGCTGAAGACTTGTGCACACTTCACCGTTGGAATGGCGAGATACCCGCGGCGCATGCAACCACCATCCCTGAGCTGTTCCTACGCCAAGTTGACAGGTGGCCAGAGAAGCTTGCGGTGTCTTCTTGGGATGGAGATCTCACCTACAGACAGCTAGAGGCATCAAGCGCCCGCCTAGTACATCGGCTCAGGCACCTCGGAGTCACTCAGGGAGCTGTTGTACCGCTATGCTTCCGTAAAAGTATCTGGCCAGTCGTCGCTATGTTGGCCGTTCTCCGAGCTGGAGGTGCGTGTGCCAATATTGACCCGAAGCTTCCACTAGGGCGAGTCACCCAGATGCTAAGAAGATTGAAACCGAATTTGATTCTCTGCGACGCCGAACAGCGAAAACTCATAGATGCAATGCCTGATGCGGTGCAAATTCACTCGGTCCCGGAGATGATGAATGGCGGGCTGGCCGTTGGAACCTCACCGCCACTGACTTCACCTGCAACGTCGGACGCGGCCTTCATTGTATTCACCTCTGGGAGCACAGGAACCCCGAAGGGTATCGTTCTCGACCATGGGAACCTGGCAACATGCATCCGCCACACCCATCGTACATTACGGATGACAGCCAAAAGCCGTGTGCTGCAGTTTACCGCCTATGCCTTCGACGTAAGTTTATACGACACCTTTGCACCTTTGGTATTGGGCGCGACCACATTCATCCCCTCGGAAGAGACCCGTGTTTCCCATCTCAGTCGCTATATCCAGCTGCACGGCATCGATCACGCGATGTTGATCCCGTCGGCTGTGAGTGTGCTTCATCCCATGCAGGTACCGACTTTGGAGACGCTCGTACTGCTCGGGGAATCCATTACGCGAGATGTGGTCGATACCTGGGCAACAGAGGTACATCTCGTCAACGGATATGGCCCAGCCGAGGCTTCCGTCGTTTGCGCGGCCGGTGTGATAACAGCGGACAACTATGTACTGGGAGCGGTGGGGCCAATGCAGGGCACCGTGGGGTGGATCGTAGACCGACATGATTCCTCTCGTCTCATGCCGCTTGGAGCGACAGGCGAACTATTGTTGGAAGGCCCGATGGTAACACGCGGATATCTCGACGAGCCGGACAAGACCCGAGAGGCTTACATCGAGGCGCCAGCATGGCTCAAGGGCTTTCGACAAGGGCAGCAGCCCGGTCGGCTATATTTGACGGGTGATCTAGCCCAGTGGACGTCTGATGGGGACTTGCGGACGGCTGGAAGAAAAGATAATCAGGTCAAGTTGCGCGGTCAGCGTATCGAGCTAGAGGAGGTGGCCTGGCACGTTAGACAGCACTTTGGCCAGACCAGCGAAGTGGCCGCCGAGATCATTCAGCGTTCCCAGGGAACCCAAGACTCGTCCCTTTTGCTGGGGTTCGTTCATGAGCAGAGCGTGCTTTCGACCCAGAGTGCAGACATCGTTGCGCCGGCAAGCGAAGAGTTCTTGACCAAATCTTGGGCAATTTACCACAAACTTAAGGAGGATTTACCTGCGTACATGGTCCCAGCTGCTCTTCTGCCTGTCTTCTTCATGCCACGTACACAGTCCGGCAAGATAGACAGACGTCGACTACGGGAGGCCGGCGCAGCACTCACCCCCGAGCAACTCCAAGGATACTGGCATCATGGACATGACGCCAAAGACAAACAGGCTCCGGTGACTCCATCCGAGAAGACGCTGCAGTTGCTCTGGTCTGCAGTCCTCGGGATAGCCACCAAGGATATTGCTCGGCAAGATCACTTTTTCCACCTAGGGGGAGAGTCCATCACGGCCATGAAGTTGGCCAGCATGGCGCAACGACAAGGGCACGACATCATGGTGGCCCAAATCTTCGATCACCCATATCTGTCGGACATGGCTGCCCTTCTGGGCAGTAATCCAGCCATAATTCCGGCTCCGGCCCCGTTTGAGCTGCTTGAAGGCGCCAGAGAACGCTTGGTTACAGCTGCATGTGTCCAATGCCATCTTTCCTGGGAGGATATTGACGACATCTACCCCTGCACGCCATTGCAAGAAGGCATGATGGCTGTGACCTCCAGGGACCCGGCCCAATACGTGGCCACGAGTCGTTATACTATTCCTGCTACTCTGGACTGGGACCGCTTCGTCCGCGCATGGGAGAGGACCTCCCAGGCACATCCGATATTGCGCACTCGAATAATCCAAGACAAGGAAAGTGGAAGTAGCTATCAAGTTGTGACTCGGACGCCTGTATGCTGGGACCGGCATGTCGTTGACAACGAATATGCCGCCTCCAATTTTAGTGTCAAGCCAGGGCTAGGTATCGCACTCTGTCGATGCTCTTTGCTCCTGTCCAAAGACTCCCGACCTCAATGTTGCGTCATCTCAATGCACCACGCGCTGTACGATGAGTGGTCGAATCATGTGCTGTTCGATGAGATTGAAAGGGCATATCATGAGCAAGTCTTGTCACACCAGCCGTTTAGTGCGGTCGTAGCGTATCAGTTGGACGTCAAGTCAGCTGCACGGGACTTCTGGGCGCACGAACTGGCGGATTACGATGCGCCTCATTTTCCGGCCTTACCCTCGCCTACTTATATGCCAGCTGCCAATTCCACCAGCAGCATATCAATTGGGCTAGCCCAAGAAACGCAACAAATCACATTGGCAACGCAGATCCAGCTCTCCTGGGGCGTGTTGGTTTCCCTGTACACGAGAAAAGACGACGTCGTATTTGGCGTGACGACGTCCGGCCGGGGTACGCCTGTACGTGGGATTGACCGCGTTCTTGGGCCAACGATTGCCACCAGCCCACGTCGTATGCGTCTGGATGCGTCTTGCAATGTAATGGACGTATTACGGCAGATCCAATCTCGATATCTGACACTCATGCCGTATGAGCACTGGGGGTTGCAGAACATCAGCCGTCTTGGTAGCTCTCACATGGCCGCCTGTGAGTTCCAATCACTCTTGGTAATTAATGCGGTCCGGGGAGAGGCAAAAGAGCGCTTGCTGCAACATCCACAGTTGCTATCTACTATCGGCCAATTCACGAATTACGCCCTTCAGGTGACCTGCACCGTGCTCCCCGACAGAGTCGAGGTGCACGCCAGTTTCGACGATCGGGTCATTCCTGCCCGCCAGATGGAACGGGTCCTACGGCAATTCGAGCATCTCCTGTTCCAGGTGCACGGCGCATCGTCGGCAACCACTATAGCCGAGTTGGACTCGATTAGCCAGATGGACCAGGGGGAATTGAATCGTTCCAATAGGCTGCAAATATACCCAGGCCAGCATTCCTGCATGCACGATTGCATCCGTCATTGGTGCCGTGTCCAGCCGCATGCGTTGGCCGTGTGCGCATGGGACGGTGAATTGACTTACGCCGAGCTAGACCGATGCTCATCTCATCTGGCAGCATATCTTCAGTCCCGCGGTGTAACGGCGGAGCGCTTTGTGCCGCTGTTCTTTGATAAGTCCCGGTTGACGGTTTTGTGCCAGCTTGCTGTCCTGAAGGCCGGCGGTGCCTTTGTGCTCTTAGACCCAGCCAACCCAATCCGCCAGGCCCAGCAGCTATGTGAGCAGCTACAGGCCAGCCTGATTTTGACTTCTGACAACAGGTCAAGTACCGCCGCGCAACTGGGACTTGAAGTGGTTGTTGTTGACCCCAATCTCACCTGGTGTATTGAAGGGGTTGACGGAGTCACCATGGGCAAGAACGATGTGTGGCCTAGCAGCCCAGCCTACGCAGGATACACGTCCGGTTCCACGGGACAACCGAAGGTCTTCGTGCTTGAGCATCACTCGGTTTGTCAAGCGCTCCGAGCACTCAGCGCACGTCTCCCCGTCGGCCCCGAATCTCGTCTTTTTCAATTCGCGGGCTATACTTTTGACATCAGTATTATGGACCATTTCCTTGCTCTGTTCGCCGGTGCCTGCATCTGTGTACCTTTTAAGGATGACCGCGAAAACCGCTTGGCGGAGACTATGGTCCAGTTCCAGGTGGATTATGCGTGTCTCACGACATCCGTGTTGCGGACATTGGCTCCTCTGGATGTCCCTTGTGTGAGGACAATGGTTCAAATCGGGGAAGCCATGACACAGGACCTTGTCGGCCGATGGGCCCCAGCCTGCTATTTTGTCAACGCATACGGGCCAGCCGAGTGTGCCCTTGCATGCAGCATGTATGGTCCTTTGGGGGTTGACTCGGAGGCCGCCAACATTGGCACTTGCACCACCGGAGCCCTCTGGGTGGTGGATCCTGATGATTGGAAGCGTCTTCTTCCTATCGGAGCCGTAGGTGAATTGGTAGTGGAAGGCCCACAGGTCGGACGGGGATACCACGGAGACCCTGAAAGGACCTCGGCCAGCTTTGTGTCTGACCCTTCCTGGTTGAGGCGGTTTTCGGATCGACCCTCCACAGGAGTGCGACTTTACAGGACTGGTGATCTTGCCTTCCTGGCACCTGACGGAACTCTGCGATGCCTGGGGCGCAAGGATCTGCAGGTGAAACTGAGGGGTCAGAGGATTGACCTAGCAGCCGTAGAGCACCATACTCTTCAAGCCTTCCCTGACGTAAGTGACGTGGTGGCCGACGTAATCAGCACCGGTGATAGCCAGTCGTCCCAGCTCATGGCATTCATCGTCCAAGGGATTTCAGAAGCTCCGGGTAACCCCAATCAAGGCCAAGAGCCCCAGTTTCTGCCACCCTGCCCTCAGTTTGCCCAGTCTGTTCGGGATACAGAGGCCCATTTACGCCTTCAGGTGCCTCCGTACATGGTGCCGACGCTTTTCATCCCTCTCGCGCGGGTGCCCCTCAACCTGAACGGCAAGGCCAACCGCAGGCTGTTGGCCTTCCATGCAGCAAAAATGACATTGGAGCAGAGACGAGCGTACCAAGGGGCAGAGCGGTCGATTATTCCCCCCGTAACGCAGCTACAAGACCATGTCCGCAACATCTGGGCTGCCGTTCTCAATTTGGAACCAGGCACCATCAGCATACATGATAACTTCTTCAGCATCGGTGGGGACTCGATCACCTGCATGCGGGTCGCATCGGAATGCCAGGCAATCGGAGTGCACGCCACGGCAGCCGACCTATGGCAGCACAAAAGCATCGAAGGGCTGGCCAGCCACTGTGTCTTGCATCCACCGAAGTCCGTGGATGAGGGCGAGTGGGCCGATCTGTCCCCTATTCAACAACTGTTCTTTCAGCAAAATGTTGAGGGAGATAATGCGTTCAGCCAAGGCTTTACGCTGCGAGCCAAAGAGCACCTCGAGCCCTCAGCCGTTCGACAAGCTATCCATACAGTCGTAGGAACTCATGGGATGCTGCGGGCACGGTTCCAGAGGTTCTCGTCGGATGGATGGCGTCAAAGAGTCTCAGGCGACATAGAACAGAGCTGCAACTTGCGCGAGTGGAGGGTTGAAGATGCGACTGCCGTTTCGCAAGTTACAGCTGCTGCTCAAGACCGGTTAAACGTCCATGAGGGGCCAGTATTCGTGGTAGATTTGATATATGTCGAGGACAATTGTCAGCAGTATCTCTCAGTGGTGGCGCATCATCTCGTGGTGGACACTGTGTCTTGGGGAATAATCCTCGCCGACCTGGACGATTCACTGCGCGGCCGACAGATTCAGCTTCCGACGCTATCTTTCATGGACTGGTGCTCCAGGCAGGCCGACTATGCAAAGCTACACCTTTCCCCTGACCAAGTCCTTCCAAAAGGTACAAAAAAGGAGGCAGAGAGCTGGACACACGAAGCAACGATCCATTACTGGGGTTTGAACGGAGTGCCCAATACTTTGGCGGATACGGTCGATCACACGTTCACCCTCAATGGTCAAGCCACCTCGACCTTGATCGACGCCACTCAAACAAAAGCGCGTACCCAGCTACCGGTGATCATCCACGCATGTCTGCTGCACGCATTCGCAAACGTGTTCGGTGACCGCCAGGTTCCGACCGTGTTCGTGGAAGGCCATGGGCGCGAGCCCTGGGATCGCGAGATCGACCTGACCCGCACGGTTGGCTGGTTCACCACCCTCTGGCCGGCCGCGTTGTCCGTTCAACCCGATCAGTCACTTGTGGATGTTTTCCAGAAAGTCAAAGACCTCCGTCAGCAGGCCTCCAGTAATGGATGGGCGTATTTTTCCTCCATCTTCTTGCATCCGCAGGGTCGTCGGCAATTTGAGAAGATCGGCTCTTTCGAACTCACCTTCAATCACAACGGTGTGATGTCATCAAACGGTCAGCCTGGCACAATTTTGGCTCACGACAATACCGGCATGGCAACCCGACGACAAGGCGGACCCCAAATGGAACGTTTCGCGCTACTAGAGGTTAACAGCGTCGTGCTTGATGGTTCGCTGCTCGTTAGGTTCAGCATAAATCGAAACATGAACCGGCAGGACCAGTTAGAACGTTGGATGCAGGAGTCACAGCGTCTTCTGACGGATGCCGCGACCCAGGTGCAGATGATGGAGGCGGAGTATCCCCTGTCCGAGCACCCTCTCGTCACTCGGGTTACGAAGCAACGCTGCGAATTGGCCGGCGAGATTCCGCCAGGACGTGGTTGCGTGGAGGACGTGTACCCTTGTACACCCGTCCAGCGTGCCATCCTGCTCAGCCAGTTGCGAAACCCGCGTAGATACAATACGCAGTGGGCCATAGAGGTCGCCCCGGTGCGCGGGAGTCGTGAATCAGTCGATCTTGTGCGATTGCAGACGGCCTGGTTGCGAGTCGTCAGCCGTCATCCAGCCTTGCGGACCGTCTTAGTCTCGTTCCCGGGGGCTGAATTCGTGGAACAAGTGGTCCTCAAGGATTTTGAGCCCTCCGTGTCGATCATTCAGAACACCCCCGCTGACGTCTCCTCCCTGGTGCAGGACAACATGGTCCAGAAGCCTCCGTGTCCGTGGACCCCGAGCCCTCGGGCAATAATTACAAGGACTGTAGACGGCCAGGTCATGATCACGGTGTCGATCAGCCACGTCTTCCTAGACGAGACATCCATTCAAATACTGATGCGCGACCTGCGGCTCGCATATGATGATACCTGGTCTCTGGACCGCAACTCCTCTTTCAGAGCGTTTGTTGAGCATCTTCGGGCCATTCCTGCGGACCCAGCGCGCATTTACTGGGCCAAATATCTACATGAGGTTCAGCCCTGCCATCTGCTATCGTCGAATTGGGGACCAGAGACCGACCCAGCAGACGATGGGATGGAAACCATCTCTCTCGATTTGGCTGATTCAACCCTACTACACTCATTCTGTGCAGAGCACGGTCTCCTAGTCACAAACGTCATTCACGTAGCTTGGGCCTTGGTTCTTCGCTGTTACACAGGCATGGATGACGTTTGCTTCAGCTTCGCGACGTCCGGTCGCGATGTCGCCGTCGCCGGCGTCAACGACTGCATTGGACTGTTCATAAACCATCTAGTAGCCCGGTTGAGCGTTTCGGCCGAAAGCACGCTGCTTCAAGTCCTGCAGTACAACCAACAAGCACTACTGTCTAGTTTGGAGCATCGACATGCTTCCCTTGCCAATCTATTGTATTTAACCAACATTGGCGGGCGACCGGTTTTCGACACCGGCATCTCTGTGCGAAAGGACCTTCCCAGCCGCGTGCTACCGGACGCATCCCTCTCACTTGAAGTGATTGACAGTTGCACCCAGACGGAATATCCGGTGCTCATGGATGTTGCAATTGGAGCGGAACGGACTCACCTCTCTCTCGTGTACTGGATTTCTCTTTTGCCCGAAAGCAAAGCGACCACGATCGCCTACACCTTCCGCAAAGCGCTGCAGGAAATCCTTCGCGACCCCATGCAAACGATCCGAAGTTTCGACGCAGTCCCCCAAGAGAGCAAGGACCAGATCATGCGCTGGAATAGTGCTCCTTTGATCGAGGTGGAGGATGTGATCCACGCAGAAGTCGAGCGCCGAGTAGCCGACGCGCCAGGCGCCATGGCGATCTGTGCCTGGGACGAATCGATGACATACGCGCAATTAGATGAGCAATCGTCGCGTCTAGCGGCGTTCCTTATCGACCAAGGAGCGACAGGTCGGGGTTTCATCCCGATTTACATGGAAAAAAGCGCCTGGGTGCCCGTGGCAGCACTCGCTACCCTAAAGGCGGGCGCAGCATTCTGCTTGCTGGACGTGTGTTTCCCTCCGGAGCGTCTACAGGCCATGTGCCACCAGCTCCAGGCGTCATTTGTATTGACCACCGCTCGTCATCGGGAGCAAGCTCTATACCTCGGCACTCCAATCGTTGTCGGGTCCTCCGGGTGGGCCGAATCTGAACCGACTCGGCGCGCCGCCCATCTACCGGCTGCTGCGTCACCCGGAGATCCGGCGTACGTCGTGTTCACCTCGGGATCGACGGGGACGCCCAAGGCGGCCGTCGTGGACCATCGAGCTGCCTGCGCCAGCATCCGGGGTCAGGTGTTGGCAGCCGCACGCACCGCCTCATCCCGCGTGCTACAATTTTCATCCCATGCATTCGACGTGGCCTCCAACGATCTTGTCGCGTCAATGATGACGGGCGCCTGTCTGTGCATTCCGTCCGAAGACGATCGCCTCAGCCACCTGGCTGAGACCGCGCGCCGATTCCAGGCGACATGGATCACCACTACCCCGTCGGTGGCCCGCCTCCTCTCCCCTCAGGAGGTCCCCACGCTAGAAACGGTCGTCGTGGGTGGCGAGACTCCGACCGAGAGCGACGTCACCCGCTGGGGGTCCAGGCTGGTTGTCATGTACGGCCCGGCCGAGTGTTGCATGGCCGCCACGATCCGCACGCCGGTGACGCTGGACGAGAGCACGAGTGGCATCGGACGGGGCCTACCCAGTGCAAGAACGTGGGTGGTTGATCCACGCAACCATCAACGCCTGATGCCGGTGGGCGTCGTCGGAGAGCTGCTCGTCGAAGGCACCTCCGTCGGCCGAGGCTATCACGACGACCCCGAGCGAAGTCGTCAGAGCTTTATCGATCCGCCTGTCTGGCGTTCCCAGTTTGACCTGCCGGGCACGCATCGTTTCTACCGCACGGGAGACCTTGCCTGTTATCTCCCCGACGGCTCGTTGCAGTTCCTCGGTCGGCAGGATTCCCAGGTCAAGCTCCGCGGCCAGCGAATCGAACTTAGCGAGGTTGAACATCATGTCAAAAGCGCTTTTCCGCAGAGTGAAGTCCTAGTTGAGATGGTGACGCCCTCCACGGGGGCCCAGGAGCCCTTCCTTGTCGCCTTCATCGGGCCAGATCACCGCACTCGAACACTGGGACCATCCTCGTTCTCGACTGGCGGTCCATTGTTCACCGAGCCTGCCGTGGCCCTTATGGAGGCCATTCCGTTGGCACTCTCTGTCATCCGGGCCCGGCTGCCGGTCTTTATGGTGCCATCGGCTTTCCTGCCCTTGGCCACGGTCCCAATGACTGCGGGCGGCAAGGTTGACCGGCGAACGATTCGCATGCAAGCCGCGCAACTGAGCAACGACGAGATCGCTCGATACGGCGTGGCCGCTCTGACTCGACGGCCTCCATCCACGGCGGCGGAAAAGCGCCTGCATTCGCTGGTGGCTGGCGTGCTTAACCTGTCCCCCGAGCTTCTCGGTGTCGATGACGATCTTTTCCAGCGCGGCCTCGACTCCATCTTAGCGATGAAGCTCGTCTCCGCAGCCAAACAATCAGGAATCGCCCTCGCGGTTCCGGACATCTTCTCCCATCCCAAAATTTCTGCCTTGGTCGGAACGCACGAAACTGGCCCGCCGACGATGGTCACCGAGAACGAAGCTCAGTCCATCCAGCCGGGGGCGCTCCTGGATACCGCGAATTACACGGAAGTGGCCGACAAACTCACGGCCGAACAGCCTTTCGACAGTGCCGACATCGAGGATATTCTGCCGACAACCACCTTCCAGCGACAGCATCTTCAAGCCCTGTATCGAGCCTACTTTGTCTTCTACCTTCCGGGCCGCCTTGACCCTTGCCGGTTGGAAACCGCACTTCACTCGGTCGTGCGCAAATACAGCATTCTACGCACAGTCTTCCTTCCCTTGGACGGCGCCGTTCTACAGGTGATCCTGCGTGACGCCGAAATGTCTGTTTCCGAACATACTCTGGATGATCAGGATTTTCCGGCGGCCGTGCGACGGGCGTGTGAAGGCGATTGGCTCCCAGGCCCCTATTTCACGGGTCGCTATTTCCAAGCGATCGTATCTCGGGGGTCGTCGGGTCGCTCGGCTCTTATTCTGCGCCTCAGCCACGCCCAGTTTGACCGATTCTCCGTCCCATCGCTGCTGCGGGATCTCTCGTCTGCCTACAGCGGCGGTGTCCTTAGTGTACGGCCAACCTTCCGCGACGTCTGCGCACATCGGCGCCGTCGACACACGTCGTCGGCCTTCTCGTTTTGGGAGGAGTTGTTGCGCGGGTCGTCTGTAACTGTACTCGGCACGCCTGGAATCGATGCTCCGGGGACGGCAACGCGCATCGACCGAGAGCGCCGAATGGCTTTGTCCCCGCGACCGGCCCGGTTCACGCTGGCCACCATCCACAAGGCGGCATGGTCCATCACGCTGGCGCGAACAACGGGATCGCGCGATCTCGTCTTCGGACAGGTCGTCACCGGCCGCAACACGAGCCAGGCGGGTATCGAGGAGGCGCTGGGCCCCTGCGCCAACGCGGTGCCGGTGCGCGTCGTGCTACCGTCGAGGAGTAGCGTCGAGGAGCTGCTAGAGCGAGTCCAATCTCAGCATCTGCAGACAATGGAGTACGACACGATTGATTTCGAGGACATTGTGCAACACGCCACCTCCTGGACTCGGGACACCTACTTCGGCAGCGTCATCCAGTACCAAAATCTTCCCTTGCAAGCCAAGGTCTCCTTTGGAGAGTACCAGGCGGCGTACGACGTGTTTCAATTCAACATTCCTTATCCCTGCCCCCACTTGACGTCCACTTTGATTGACGATGATACGCTCAATGTGTCGCTATCTGCATCGGCCGCCCATCTCGACGTGGATCATGCCGATCACCTTTTGTCGGTCTTTGAGGAAGTCTTCGGACGTATGCTAACGGATCTTGGTCAGGAGGTGGATCGTTTACTATAAGGTGGTGTGAGAACAATAGGATGTTAGCATATATGTTTTCATTGGGATTTAGGGAGTCGGACGATGGACAAACATAGACGAGCACACGCCGATAGTAGAAAGGAAGACGGCGGGGAAACGCGAAAAAAAGGGCCGGTGGCTGAGTCAGCACTGTTTACCTCGAGGGTCCGCAAGTCGAGGAAGTCCAGGTGGCCGTTGGAGCTTTCAGCTTGAATTTTGATGGATAATAAAAGCATTTAGACATTCTTCGCTCAATTATCCCCAATCATAGATATTCTTAAGGGTCTGTTCCAGTATAACCGGGTCGTGATGGGTGTATCAGCTTCTGCCCCGCTGTCATCTTCTCTATATATACAATCGGGTAGAGCACTTGCAATAAGTCCTTGAACACAACCTGGCCGTGGACCCAAGACAACGGAATGATAGCAGGTAGCTACTTCGAAACCAGTTCAGTATTCTACAGACATCAAACCTCCCAAAGTCTGATGACCTCCATTGACTTGGCTTCGAGCAATGATGTCACTGGTCGCTTCACCAACCTAGGCATCAAGGCATCAAGGCAGCAAGGCACTAGATCTCGGAGATAGCGTGAGGACCTAACTCCGCAGTGGCAGCCTGAACGCCCAGGCATCAACACGACCGTACCCTTGCATGAGAGGGAGGGAGAAAGAGAGAGATCGACCTCACGGCCCCCGTACCTTGGGTAAAGGAAATGCAAGGGTTCACCAGCCCCTCGCCGCACAGAGAAGGAACTGACAGGCATCGTCACTTAGTGCCCTCACCGCAACTCGGTTGATGTTAGCGGATCCATGAAGGCCGAGCGTAGCCTATAAGTCGGCTCGATCCACTCTTCCACGCCCATGATATCTCCCGAGCCAATACCCATCACCGCGAGGATAGCAATCATAGTAACAATGTGGCTCATACCTGAGTCGCTGGCCCTCGTCGTGCTCCTTGGCTTGACGACGACACTCCTGGTGCAGCAGGCCGTTGCCCGGTCCTCCATCCCTCTAGTGAACCCGCGCAAACCGTTCGAGCTGGGATACGCCAAGGCACGACAGCGATGCCTGGCGAATATGTCGGGCTTTATCCAGCAGGGCCTGGAGAAGGCAAGTGTGCTGACTAGTCTTTGTTCGCCGCCAGAGAACGTGTCGAGGAACTAACAGACGGTGCCGCAGTTCAAGGTGTTTCGCATGATGACGGATGACGGCTGTCTGATCGTGCTGGCCCCCGAGTTCGCCAAAGAGATTCGGAATAGCCCGGCCCTCAGCGTGGGTCGTTTCATGGCGGAGCGTCTCCATGCTCATCTCGATGGATTCGAACCTTGGCGCCAGATCTCCGCCCCGGATCGAATCTTCCCGGACACGATTCGCACCAAGCTCATGCAGCCTCTCGGTGAGTTTGCTAACCCCCTTGACCCCCTAACGGTGGTGTCGGGAGGGGGGGCCACCTCGGCGAGGACCTGAGGATTGATGCGCTGCTAGGAAGGCTGATTCAGCCGGCCTCTGTGGAGATGGCGAGCATCTTACGGCATGAATGGACCGACGAGACTGGTATGTCATGCCCTCCGCACTGCCAACCAGACTGCAGGACCACCGGAAGGGCTGACTAGAAGATAGAATGGCATCGTGTGGCTTTGAAGCCCAGCGCGCTAGCCATCGTCGTTCGCCTACTGTCCGTCGCTTTTTGGCCCGAGCCCCTGCACCGCGATGCCCGCTGGCTACGTATCGTCGGGCAGTACTCGATCGACTCGTTCGTCGCCGCCGACGCGCTGCACCGCTGGCCAAGGATGCTCCGTCCTGTAATATCCTGGATTGCGCCCAGCTGCCGCAAGATCCGGCTTCAATTGCGCGAGGCCCGTGCCATCATGGCACCCATCTTGCGGCAGCGGGAGGCTGACGCGCTCACGTCGGACGACGACGCCCTGCGATGGATGGAGGAATGCGCTCGAGGGCGTCCCTACGACCCAGTCATGGCGCAGCTCGGCATGGCGGCAGTAAGCCTGCATTCTACCGCAGACATGCTCACTCAAGTCCTTTACGACCTCTGTGGCCGCGACGAGTTGATCGTCGCCCTGCGCGACGAGACCAGATCAGTCGTCCAGCGAGAGGGGCTAACAGTGTCGGCTCTGAATAATCTTCACCTGATGGACAGTACCCTGAAGGAATCTCAGCGTCTGAAACCGTCTCTGGCCGGTAAGGTGTTCCTGACGGCACATGTGGCCTCCCCCTCATTCCATTTTCATTCTCCGTACCAGATCTGTCTTTTCGAGGGCTCGGTGTCTCACAAGAATGTATAGCGGCGATGCAACGCATCTCCACCGACCCAATCACGCTGTCCGACGGAACAAGGATACCGCGGAATTCGTATACGATCGTCTCGGCCGACCGCCGGTTGGATGCGAATGTCTATCCAGACCCGGACACATTTGATGCCTACCGATCAGTAAGGTTGCGCCAAACGGCAGGAAAGGAGACGTACGCGCAGGTCACCACGCCGTCGCCCGAGCACCTGGCGTGGGGATTCGGGAAACATGCGTGCCCCGGAAGAAACCTGGTTGTGACAGAGATTAAGATCGCGCTGGCCCATATTCTGTTGAAGTACGATCTGCAACTGGTGGATGGTTTGCGTCCACAGCCGCTGAAGCACGGCATTGTGTTGAGCGCAAACTCCACTGCTGTCATTTCGGTCCGACGACGCGAGGATGACGTTTCTCTATTATCGTAATGGCCGAATTCAATGCAACGGCTCTTTGTATTGCGCAGACTGGGAGATTCGCCCTAGGTTCAGAAGACGACCAAGGGACAAACTGTTTTACGCTGCTACGTAGTTAGAGGAAATCCTCCGGTCGGTAGTCCCAAAGAAATGGGATGAATACTTATTCCGTTTGCTCTTTACCCCCCCCCCCTTCTTCGATGCTTCGTCCAGGCGGGACCCATAATAACGTTCCGTGAAATATGGGCTTAGTCTTACTCCTACGGTATGTAGTAAATCGTCATCTGCTGGGGTTGTGCAGAAGGACCTATGAAAGAGAAAGACGTGGAACATACTCCAAAATGCAATGAAGTAACAATTTTGACTCATAAACTCATGACTAGGTACACAACATGGCAAGCGAAAAGCGAACCATCGTATAAGGAACAGGAGAGCGAATTCCGCTAGCCCGCAACCAAACTTAGGGCTGACTACAGACGCGGACGCGTAGGGATAGCCGAGTAGGTGAGGTCGAAGCGGTCCAACTGCATGACCTTGTCCCAGGCGGCGATGAAGTCCTTGACGAACTTGACCTGGCCGTCGGCGCTACCGTACAGCTCGGCCAGCGCACGCAGCTCGGCGTGCGAGCCGAAGACAAGATCCACGCGGCTGCCCGTCCACTTCTTGGCCCCCGTCTTGCGGTCGACGCCCTCGAAGCGCTCATGGTCGGCGCCGAGCGGCTGCCAGACGGTGTTCATGTCCAGCAGGTTGACGAAGAAGTCGTTGGTCAGCTGACCGGGCCGCTGCGTGAACACGCCCGTCTCGGAGCCGTCATAGTTGGCGTCCAGCACGCGCAGGCCGCCCACCAGGACCGTCATCTCGGGCGGTGTCAGCTGCAGCAGCTGCGCGCGGTCGACGAGGTACTGTTCGGCCCGCACGCGCGGCGTCGAGCCGCCGTAGTTGCGGAAGCCGTCCGCCAGCGGCCGCAGGTGCTCGAACTGCTCGACATCGGTTTGCTCCTGGCTGGCGTCGGTGCGACCGGGCGTGAAGGGCACGGGGTGGCCCGCCGCGCGCTCGACGGCGGCGCAGCCGGCCAGCACGATGAGATCGGCCAGCGAGACGCGCTTGGCACCCGTCTGAGCGCCGTTGAAGTCGCGCTGGATGCGCTCCAGCACGCGCAGAACCTCCTGCAGGCGTGGGGGGTTGTTGACCTCCCAGTCCTTCTGGGGCGCCAGCCGAATGCGCGCGCCGTTGGCGCCGCCGCGCTTGTCGCTGCCGCGGAAGGTCGAGGCGGACGCCCAAGCGGTGGTGATGAACTTGGTCGGCTCGACGCCGGACCCCAGGATCTCTTGCTTCAGCGCCAAGGCGTCCTCGTTGTCGATCAGCGGATGATCGACCGCGGGCACGGGATCCTCCCACAGCAACGTCTCCTTGGGCACCTCGGGACCCAGCCAGCGCGCGCGGGGGCCCATGTCACGATGCAGCAACTTGAACCAGGCGCGCGCGAAGGCGTCGGCAAACTCGTCGGGATTCTCCAGGTAGCGACGGGCGATCTTCTCGTAGGCGGGATCAAAGCGCAGCGCCAGGTCGGTGGTCAGCATGCGCGGCTTCTGCTTCTTGTTCGAGTCGTAGGCGTCGGGGATGATCTCGGGGGCATTCTTGGCCGTCCACTGGTTGGCGCCGGCAGGACTCTTGGTCAGCTCCCAGTCGAACTTGAACAGGTACTCGAGAAAGCCGAGACTCCAGCGGGTGGGCGTCTTGGTCCAGGTCACCTCGAGGCCGCTGGTGATGCTGTCGGCGCCGCGACCCGACAGGTACCCGTTACTCCAGCCCAGGCCCTGCTGGTGCAGGTCGGCCGCCTCGGGCTCGGGACCGATCTTGTCGGCGGGGCCAGCGCCGTGCGTCTTGCCAAAGGTGTGCCCACCGGCAATCAGGGCCACGGTCTCCTCGTCGTTCATGGCCATGCGACCGAAGGTGACGCGAATATCCCGGGCGGCTGCGACGGGGTCGGGGTTGCCGTCGGGACCCTCGGGGTTCACGTAGATCAGGCCCATGTGCACGGCGGCCAGAGGATCCTCGAGGTTGCGGGTGCGGATATCGCCCTGCTGCTTCTGCTCGGCGTCGGTCTGAGCGGCGTAGCGCACGTCGTTCCCCTGGGGAAACCAGCTCTTCTCGCCTCCCCAGTAGGCGGACTCGTCGGCCTCCCAGGTGTCGGGACGACCGCCAGCAAAGCCGAAGGGCTTGAAACCCATGGACTCGAGGGCGACGTTGCCTGTCAGCAGCAGGAGATCAGCCCAGGAGATCTTGTTGCCGTACTTCTGCTTGACGGGCCACAGCAGACGACGGGCCTTGTCGAGACTGGCATTGTCGGGCCAGCTGTTCAGAGGAGCGAAGCGCTGCTGGCCCTGGCCACCTCCGCCGCGACCGTCGAAGACACGGTAGGTGCCGGCGCTGTGCCAGGCCATGCGGATGAACAGGCCGCCGTAGTGACCGAAGTCGGCGGGCCACCAGTCCTGCGAGTCGGTCATGAGGCGATGCAAATCCTTCTTCAGGGCGTCGTAGTCCAGGCCCTTAAAGGCGGTGGCGTACTCGAAGTCCTTGCTCTGGGGATTGCTGGCGTCGCCATGCTGGCGCAGAATGTTCAGGCGCAGCTGGCCGGGCCACCAGTCTACGTTTCGGGTGCCACCGCCGCCAATATTGGCCGACTTCTGGCCATGGGGGAATGGACACTCGCTCATGGTTCAGGCTGGGAGGGGAAAAGACGGGGAACGGAGAGAGTGGGAAGGAAGATGAGGAATGAGGAAGACGAGGAAAGAGAAGAGGAGGGATACCAAGGCAGTTTTCCCTTGCCAGCGAAGGGAGACATACAGCGGGGAAAGCACAGAAGCACGAAGCACCAGATGGATGGAGCAGTTTTATAGGCAGCGAATGACGGGAAAGGGATTGCGAAACCCGCGGGAATTAGAGGAGGAAAGGAGGAGAGGAGGAGAGAGAAGGGAGAAGAGGAGGAAAAGATTGGCGGAGCTAAGGCACTAAGGCACGCGGGGGTGGTGTCCTGGCGAATCAGGCACGCAGGCGATCTGCGGGGGACAAAGGCGGGGTATCAGGCAATCGGGCAATCAGGCCGGCAGGATAACTCATCAATCACGCTCTCGTCTCTCAGTTTCGCAGCTCAGTTGCGCAGTTGCAGCGATGCAATGGCGGAGGCATCCATTCGGCTTTATAACGACCGTGTCAACCGCGTTGACCGTGTCAACCATGGACCTGTGGGTGGCAAGCGACCGAACAAGCCGGTTGTACGAGAATCGTGTTACTCATCGGATTTCCAAGCGACGGCGGTCCAGATCCGCTGGGGATTCGCCTGCCTAATCGGGACGGCTCTCCCCGCACGCCTGAGGCACCGAGACTGTTGGTGACGTCATCCGCTGATTCAGCTGCTGCCCGATTTGTCAGGCCGCCGTCCAGACGATCCTTGACCGGGTCGGTCTTTGTCATCCTCATCGTCTGTCGGAGCCTTCACCTTCCCGATGATGTCTGGGGGGAAGCACAAAGAAAAGCAACGGGACCTTTCCGATCGAAAGATCCACGGACGACCGAGCTGGCGGTTATAAATCCCGTCGGGCAGCGCCGGGAAGTTCACCTGGGGACCCCCCAACGGCTGGTGAGCGATGCCCTATCACTACATCTATATCGGCCCCTTTGAGAAGGGCGCCGTCAAGCGCCGTCACCACTGGATCGCCGCCTCGCGTGCCATCTTGGCCATCGAACGGCGATACAAGATCTTCGCCGCCTGGAATGAGGACTTGATGCGCGATCACTTTCTCCTGCTCCTTTGTTCCCCTCACGCCGCCAACACCCACGACGGGGAGCTGCTCCTGCTGCGGGACGCCCTTGACGCCCTCCAGGGCCACTGGGAAGGGTACGAGGTTTCCCCCCTGCCGTCCATGTACGTCCTGCCTTCCTTCGGCGAGGATGGGGTGCGCGAGCCCCGTAGGATTTATAGAATGAAGCGGCTGGAGCGGATGAGAGCCGCCAGTCAGAATCCTCCGTCTTGATCGTAGCATAGTAACCTCGCGCCCTCGCTCAGCTGCTGGAACACAGAAATTGGTCCCATGAAATATCCGCAATATGACCATATGATAGGTTTGTCTCCTATTCCCAAGGAATACGGCATCCCATACCCCACCCCCGTAACTCACCCACTGGGAGCGCCGGTTGATACCGGCCCATGGTAAGAATCGTAAACCCGCCGTGCACTGATGAGCTCAGGTGCGAACCGGCAGTCGTCGACTGTCAATTGGGTTGGCAGGTTGAAAGAAGGCTCGCCTCGTTCTAGATCGTACTCCGTGTATGTGGGATGACCCTGGAGCGGGTAACTAATCAAGTCCAGATTTGTAACTAGCCCGGACACTTGCGGCCAGGCAGGCCTTAGTAAGAGGAGAGATCCAGCCCAGCAGATAGGGTTGCGAGAGCCGACGATGACCCGCATGCATACCTTGCTAGTGGCGTGGGACATTCAATGCTTCGCTTTCAGGTCGTGATCTTGGCGGCAAGGAAATCTAGAACTATAGGATGTTTCCAATATCCTTCGTCGCATCCCCTCTGGTCTGGTGCCATGGCGTCCGAATATCCACCGTTAGATCCGACCGTGTCCATTTGCCGGAGTACAAGCCGCGATACAGAGTGGCGGTCTATTAAGAATGTTGGCACGCCATCCCGAGCGGTGAAGGCCACCTACTGGAAGGAATATGCCAGGAATGGTAGCGCCGGGCTAAAAGGGGGCGAGAATCGTGTTGTCGGAGACTTTGGTCAGAAGAACTCAGATCGATTGCTCCGGACTCCGGACTCCGTTGCCCCCGGCCCTAGCGGCTAGTCCAGAGGCGGATAGCGACTGTCTCAGTAGTTGGTGGTAGTGCTTCCTTTTCAACCGTCAACACTGCTCAGTTACTCTCCGAGTCGGATTTCGGCGTGGGGCCAGATCGAAACAAGACAAAGGTGTCAAATTGACAGACGGTCGGTAGCAATCTGAATCAGTGTAAAGAGCATGGCGTGATAAGTCTCCGAGGGACGAACATTCTGACCATGAGCTACCTCTGCCCATCGTCAGCTATATAAGCGGCGGGCCCTCATTCCCCCTTGCTAAATTATTGTCTATACAACATCCTCCATTCGCAGATCTTCCCCCTCTAGGCTTTCCCCCAACCAAGCAGAGCAAAATGACATCTACTAAGCTTCTTCTTACCGGAGCGACCGGATATATGTGAGCCACAACAACGTCCCAGTACGCCGTGTCGAGACAAGAATCTCTAACTGAACTTAGCGGGGGAACTGTACTCACTCAGCTGTTGAACTCGACTATCCCCCAAATTCAGTCCTTGGCCATTTCCGTTCTGATTCGGAAAAAGGAGCAGGCCGACATCTATCAATCCAAAGGAGTCACTCCCGTCATCTTCAATGGTCTAGAGGCAACGGAGGATATCCGACGCATCGCCAGCGAACATGATATTGTCATCCATGCCGCCGATTCAACGAGTCCTGCGGCGGCCGAGGCTTTGATTCTAGGTCTTGCAGATACCCAAGACAGCAGCAAACCCAAGTACTTTCTCCATATCAGCGGAACCTCGAGTCTGGGCGATCGACCTGTCACGAAACAGATCTTGGAGTCTAGAGTCTTCTCGGACAAAGACGACATTTACAGCTACTTGAAAGGACGCGAGGCGATCGAGTCTTACGCCCAACGCGCCACCGACATCAAGACCGTGGAGGCTGGAGAGCAAGCAGGTGTCAACACCTTGATTGTGAAGGCCCCGCTTATTTATGGTCGGGGCACGGGGCTCTTCAACCAAAAGTCGTTCCATATCCCCGCACTTATTCATGGAGCCGTTGCTGCCGGACAGGCCGAGTACGTGGGTGACGGGGCTGGGGTTTGGGATTACGTTCACGTCGTCGATCTCGCCGAGCTGTTTGAGCTTCTCGTCGCTCGCATCCTGCGAGGGGAGCCCGTCTCCACCGGCCGACAGGGATTCTACTTTGCCGAGACCGAGAAGCATTCTTGGAAGCACTTGGCAGAGGGGATAGCGAAGGCTGGCTACAGCCTGGGACGGTTGACCTCACCGGTGCCACAAGCAATCACCCTGAAGGAAGCTGCCGAGAAATATACGGGCGGAGATGAGCACATAGCGGAGGTGGGCCTGGCGTCAAAGTATGTATAACCCCCTGCGAACTTGTGTGGTGCCTAGACTGATGGTCTGTTGCTTAGCTCTTCCACTTCCGCCCAACGAGCTCGGGAGCTAGGCTGGAAGCCAACGACCAGCATTGAGCTTCAACAGACTCTACAAGATGATTTCACTCTCCTGTTTGGTCGCGCATGATACGCGTGAGTGGCTCCTTGAAGCTCCTAGATCCAATAGCTGTGTCTTAGCCTGGTATATACATTGAAGCCATGCCTTCGAAACTCTAGAAATGTGAAGAATGTTTACGAAGAAATTGTATGACAAGCAAAGTCGTTTAGACACTCCCAGCCTATGCCCAAAAGTCAACTCTACTCAATTTCGACTGGACACCAAGCGCTCTGATCAATGAAGCGACGTTGCTCGACGCCATTCCACCGCGTGGGTCTTGTAAGATTCGTTGAATTACAGTGTAATGTTGGTGATATGGCATAACCGAGCCAGCCTCTTGTCACGTCGACCGAAGATTTGATTCATAATGATGGTATTACGGAGCTATCCCTAGTTGCGACCTTTGTGTGTTATTATACCAATCCTTTGAACGTAATTTGGCCAATTCCGACAATGTGCGATACTGATTCTGGACAAAGGGTACAAGGGGTCTGAAAGGGGGTTGCCGGTATCTGTCAGCTATCGAGCAATGGCTAAGCTCTATATAAGTTTCTCCACCTTCTCTCGGTTGATCAGCCCAACATCAACCAAATACCAAGCTGTCCTATTCATTTGACACAGTCGGTGGCATCCGAGAGTCTAAACTCAGTCTTCTAATCAGAATACAGAACAAGCAGTGACACATCGGGAGCCGGGGCGATGACGCTTATCTTCTCCGTTTCAACAAGTGGTGATTTTATCGTGGAGAGCTCACTGAAGGAGGTGCGGAGGTTCTTGCGAGATACGGTGGGTGCACATTATGCCTTCTTGGAATTCGTGGATAATGGCAATGAAAGAGAAGAGTATAAGCTTTGTACACTGGCATTCCATGATCAAGATCATCTTTTCTTTGTGAAAGGTACATTTCTGGTTCCATTCATCCAGCGCGGGATCGGCTTCGTCCCTGAACAGGTGCTTCACGCCGTGAACTGCCATGCCTCTAAACTAGCTGAGTTGGACAGCTCTGCTCGGCAAGAAGACTTCATTCATGCACACAAAGCCCTTGCGTTGACATACTATGCGATGAATTACGCGGCTATAAACTGGGTGAAAGGAAGGTACGACGAATCTCGCATTCGATGCGAGATCGAGTGGCTCCATATTATTGACGAGATTATAGATTCGTTGGTTAATCGCCACAAAAATGACTTTCCTGAGATGGAAAAAGCCCTGCTCAAGAATCATAAAGAATACTTAGAAATGCTGAAGACGGAGTACGGCATTGCGACAGACAGGATCCCTCCTAAAAAGTTCAAACTGGCTTTATTTGGGGAGGATCAATTCCAAGAGGCTTTCGAGCAATACGGATCTGATGACCTTGCGGGTTCATAATCTCAGTCAGACATAGGCGATCCGAAACCTCTAGCCATCATCACCTTCCCTGCTGTCTGAAATTGGGTTCTACGCTGGAACCCTGTATTGCATATGACGGGAAGATCTGGATCAGGGATGTACCGTGGCTAGTTTATTATGGGTGACTTCACAAGTTGATTTTGTGTTTCCCTTCTATCTGCCTGTACGGCCCTTCAATTGTTCTATCGAAAGGCTACTAGACTTTTCTTCACTCATTATCATCCACCTAGTGATCTATAGGCGGAGCCTACAAGTATGGGATCAATTATTGCATTGAGTGAGTTCTTTAGAAGATATGGACGGTCACACTTAGAATGTTCTAAGCAGCAAGGAGAGAAAGAGCCAAAATGTAGATTGAAGAACCACTACTACAGGAAATCGTACCGAATGCAGTACTCATGGTCAGTCAGAATATGAAAAGCCAAAATACATAGAGATAGATCTAGCCATTGGAAAACAGATTCTTGAGCTAAAAGAATAGTCATCCCAAGCCAGAGAGGCGGTATTCAGCCATATGGCATGGAGTATTTCGCTCGCCAAGGGCCGATGTCCCCAGTGGCACGAATAGAATACCAACGGCTATCACAGCACCTTCTTCGCCATACGTCATGGCAATGTCAAGAAGAAGCCCTGCCATTCGAAGCTGAACTGAGCGACACAAGACCAACAAATATAGGGCAAAGCTGCTGATCGCTCAATCATCTTAAACCAGCAATAGCTGACGAAAAGGCATGTTGCAGTCAAAGGCTTATCTCAGCCAGGCCCTTTCCATGCATTAACGCGATGGAAGAAAAGCCAAGCTGCAACCTTTGAGGCTGAATGTTCTAGTAAAGCAATCTGTATTTAATACCCTGTAAAATCTGGATGCTGGACCCGGAATGCCACAGCGGCGATACGCGGCAACCTGAGGAATAGACGAGGACCCAAATAAGAACTACAGATCAGCCTCGTAGTACCGCACCAGAAGAACGATTTAGGCAGAACGAATCCATGATCAGCTCAGACGGGCTGATGCAAGAAAAGCACTGTGGTGGATCACGTATTTCTGCCGTCTGACCACCTCATTCTTGATGATCCCGAGGCGGCCTTGCTGGCGACTCATGCAATGCAAAATTCATGCAAGGATCCTCGAGTCACCACTCCATCTCCTCGTTTACAGCCTGGGCTTTTGCACCTTAATCTGGTACCATCAGTTTCGACGGAAAGTGAACCACACTGCCTTGTCACCGTGGCGTATGACCTGCAGCCCGCATGACGTACAGGCACAGGCTGTCCAGTAGGTAATGCTTTATCTGCCAGAACGAAGGGCAAGAACGATTTTGCCTTGCTCACTGATTTTAAGTTGAAATTATTAAATGCACTCAGCAACGTTTGCGGCTTTTCCTGTATAACTTGCTGTGCCCGAAACGCATTCCTTTGCTTCGAGCTGTTAAACGGGAGAAGGGATTACAAAAAAGGGATTGCTACTCGAACAACTATGATACAATACCGACAAATCCCGAGAAATAACAAGGGATGGAGGAAGTAGATTTTTTTAAGTGCCTAATCAAGAACACGAGGAAGCGGAATAGGTTCGTTTAATCCGAGAAGTTAATCTACACTTCAAAGATACTAAGCTCTGGACTTCGGAGGGTGCAACGATAGCAATTATTGAAGTAAAATATTTTTAAGTGAGCGCGCTGTTCCTTATGCCTTGTCTTCGGCGCCGTCACGACCCGATTATTCTGTTTCTTCTTCCCACTGATTCCCAATCCCGCCACTACTTATCATACCGGCATCTTGCAATTCATATGGAACGGCGATATTTGAGCAACAGTGAAAAGCCAGACAGTATTGAATTGGTTGTGTGTCTCCGCAATAAGCCCCCGTGGCCAGACATGAAGCATAATCTATGCCGTGAGTTCCACTAGCTAAATATGCACGGGAGCCAACTGCAGTAGTTCGTCTCCAAGCTGCCGATATCATGCTTACTGTAATATCTGATGGATAGTCGATACCTGGACATGGGTCATCTTTTGCCAAGGCGCTGATGTCTTACTCAGGCCTCGGGAAAAGCCTTTCTGTTTGACGTGAATAGAGAACGTCTTCCGCATGGAGGCACACCATATTTTCCATGCTAGTCAACTCGGGCCGGACTTGAATAATTATAGATATATTCTATCAGTCGCCCTGGGATGTGAAAAGTGTGCGTTCACGTGCCGAAGGCACGGAGTGATTCCTGAAACCAGCCATCCCACGCTTTTCAGCATCCCCACGTTCGATTTCAATAAGCGGGCCATTTACCCCGGTGAGATTCGACTATTTTGCCCCAAGGCAGTGCCGCCCTGGTATGCGGCCCGAGCCAGGGGTCATGGGTGAGATCAGCGGAGAATGTTGGATTCTCCCATTTGGGTACGAGAAGCGGCTCCATCAGCAAGGGCGCGGTGCCCCCTTCCTGGGCGGCGTGTTCAGATGGTATCGAGTAGTACCCTATTCGTGCTATAAACTCCCGTGTCGCATTTTCCAATTGCATGCCATGCCTCCTTTCGACTTCATAGGAATTCGAATCAATGGAGAGTGTATCGAGTCTAACACCCGAAGAAGTCGCCTATTACCAGGCACATGCGGATGATAATCGCCAATCGAGCAAAACAGCCGCCAACGTTGTCGGGATCGTGCTAACTATCATTGCAGTGGCAGCACGACTGTTGGCACGCTTCCGCTCGAGGGCTCGATTAAGTTGGGATGATTATCTTATTTTTCTCGCTTTGGTAAACAGGCCTCAGAATGTAGCAGAGAAACGGTTACAGCTGCTAATAAACAGTGGGTAGATGGGCCAACTTTCCTACGCCATCTTGTTGTTCCTGTCTAATGCGAACGGTGATGGTCGACACATGATTTTCGTAAAAAACCAGAAGCGCTTTGTCCAGGTATGAATTCTCGTTTCCCCCCTGGATTGTCCCTGGGCTGAGGGATTGGCCTCTTTCTGAATAGGAAAGTACCGCAAATGCTATCGTGTACTCGATCACCGTCATGGCCACCAAGATATCTATCTTATGTCTATATCGCCGCATCTTCCCAACGAGATCGCTGTTGATAGGAGCCTATTTTGTTGGCGTAACGGTCATCGCTTACAACGTGGCTTTGGCATTCGTGGCCGCCTTTCAGTGTGTCCCTTTTTCGTCAATGTGGACTGGAGAGCCTGGAAAATGCATCGGTATCTCCGTGCCGTTTACAATTTTCGCGTGAGTTCAGCCTGGGTTACTCGTCGACACTCCAATTGACTATGGCGCAGTGTTGTAAATGTGGTTACCGACTTTGCTATCTTAGCGCTACCCATCAAACCTGTGTTGCAGCTGCACATGCGAAGAAACCGCAAGATCCAGGTCTTGACCATCTTTCTCCTAGGCGGCATGTGAGCTTCGTCCCTCTTTGCGTCTGCTGCTGGCACCAATCTAATAGCGCTAGCGTCTGTATATTCGGCATCATCCGGGTAGTCGCAATCGCTACCATGGATCCCGTTGACACCAGCTGTAAGCAAGTCCTACCCCCTAACATCGGTACGTGCTGATCTTCCCAGATAACGCAGTCTTCTTCAGTATCTGGTCCTACATCGAGGTTTCCGTTGGTATCTTAGCAGCCTGTCTGCCTACCTTTGGTTCCCTTTTCGCGCGCCGCAAGCAAGATCCGCTCCGGACCGAAACTCACAGTTCGAGTTCAAGTCGACTCTGGAAACTCATCACCAGTCGATCAAGAGAAACACAGCAGAATGACACCTCAAACACGGAGACCTCGGATGTAAATGATTCCTGGCCGGATGCCAGAACCGGCCGTAATGGCATTATACAGCTGGATAGTCATTGTGAGGCTAGAAAGAAAGAGCAGGGTCAGATTCCTCGGTCGCCAAGCATCATGGTACACAAAGACATGCATCAGAGCGTGAAATTTGTTTAGTTTATCGAGTAGGAATCAGAATATGTGCCGCTAGGGAGGGTCGCAGTTGAGCCGGTGTAAGGATTTTCTCGCCCAATGTAAGAAAAATCTTTTGATATTTATATATTGAATTAGATCTTATCAGCTGATAAGTTCATTTAATGTAAAAAATCTCGATCTTTACATTGTATGAATTTTTTTAATATCGAATGAATTTCTTTTACATTGTACGAATTTTTTTTATATCAGATTAGATCTGCCAAGACAAATCTTTTATTTTTTTAATTTTTAAAACATAGTTTAAACTTCAAATATGCAAAAAAAAAAAAGAAAAACATCAAAATGAGTTTAAACAATATATATTGTGCATACATGATTGTTGTAATTTGTATTTTAAACAATTATAAACAAAATAAATAATTATTAGAAATCAGGATCTTTGTTTAAATTTTTTATAATATAATATATTCAAATTCAATTGGAATCTTGCATATTTGAAGTTCAAACTATGTTTTGAAAATTAAAGAAAGAGGATTCGCTTTGATAGATCTTGTCAAGGTGCGGGCTGGCGGGGGTGATAGAGCTGATGGCAGGCAGGCAGGTAGGCTAATAGCTCACAGTATCTCTGAATTGCTACAGGATCAAGCTATATACAGACTGATAGACAAGACGTAGCTCGAAGAGCTACAACAGGATCTTCAAGCAAACGGGAAGATATGCAGATCTTGGAACAGATAATATGGCCTTTCGGATCATAGTTAGAAGATGTTTTAGGCATCAAGATCTGCACCGTAACAATATATTTTTTTTCTATGGCCGAGCTCCGTGAGACCGAAAAAGATCAGACTTATTAGAATACCGGCGGTAATAGTTCTAAACGATCTGTTTTGCATGTTTAAGATATTCAGCAGATTCAACAGTAAGGTTCATGTATTTGACTCATTTAACAACATAGATCAGGCGGTGGCCGCGGTCGCGGCGATTTCAAAACGAATTAAAGATATTTTCGATTTCTCATTTTTTTAGTTCATTGACTTCCACATGCGGTGGCGGAGGATGGTGTTGGCTAGGCAAGGGTTCTGGACAGATAGGGATAAGTAGGCTAACATTAAATATAGAGTGTATCTTCATGCTGGACGGAAGTTCCAGGCGATAAGCGTGCGAGCTAATAACTTTCTTAATACGGTATGGATTCAAGGTATTCTAATTCAGCTTTTTGCTAGATTGTAAAGTTTTGATATGATGAGCATTTAGCCATACTAACTGGTTTTTCTTGAATCTTCGGGCAGAACGGTGTCGTTTATCAGCTTGTTTAGCGTAACGGGTCTAAGTTGATAACATTTCTGCATAAACAAATTTTATAATAATTTGCATTCAAATAATAAATTGTTCTGTATCTCGAACAACGGGTTGATTGCGATCATAATGATTTTCGATAAATATTGGTTCAAATCTTATACAAAGATGAAATCTGTAATTCGCAAAAAAAAGGGTTGTTTTGATAAACTCAGAATGCGTGATATTTAGAATAAATTTAGTCAAAGAAAGTCAGATACTTCAATCATCTTGCAGATAATTCACATAAATTTGCAGATATTGTTTTAATATGACATTTACATGTTCAGTTTGATCGTCGGTTTCAAAATAATAAACAATTGATAATTTGTTGATAATATCTAAACGTTTGATCAGATGTTTTCAGAATTGAACAATAAATTGAAAATCTTTATTGAACAAAATCGACTAAAATAATCCATGTAATTTTCATACATGCTGCACATATATCGCGACTACAGCTGAGGCATTGGCAGTTGAATTGCATAAAATCAGATGTTTTATTTTAATTAAACGGTTCACAATAACTAAAATCGCATCGTAGTTCTCGCTTTCAGGCAAATGCGTGATAAAATCCATAGAAATATCTTTCTAGACGCGCTCAAATACAGATAAAAGCTTTAGAATATCTTGTTTCGCTTCACGGGACGAGATTATGCGACAACAGATGTGACAATTTATTGTTCATTGAATCACATATTTATATATGTTGAATCAATAGTAATCTCAAAACAAAAATTTGTACGTTCGAGTTCTTTCTGGATATCCGGACGCAGATTTGTTATGGGTCAGACAGATTAGATCTGTTTTTAGCTGATCATTGTCAAAGATTCATAAACAATTCTTGTAAAATAAAAGACTGTCTTTTTGCTCATAAGCGACCAGAGTGACTCTTGAATGATAATCTTTATCTGTAATCAAAGCCTTTAAAACATTTTAGATCTCTTTATTTTTTTTATAGGTTTCACATAGACGGGATTGTATCTCAAAAAATAGTTGCAGACTTTGTTCATTTTCAAAAATAACAATTTTTCGAATTCGGATTTTAATAATAGAGGCTAGTCGATCAAAAATCTCATCTGTGTGCGAGATTTCAAGATTCTCAGGTGAATTAATTGATTCAGGCGGGCTTATTGATTCAGATGGGCTAATTAATTCAGGCTGATTGGTTGATTCAGACAAGCTGATTGATTCGGGCGAGCTGGTTCGTTCAATCAGATTAAACAGATCAAAATTTTCACGTTTTAAAACAATTTGGCTTTAATATAACAAACGTTTATTCTTTTCTTTGAAGAGATCTTCTGACCTTCTGATTAGGTTATCAGATTTTATTCCGTATTTTTCAGATCGATAAACAATTTTAAAGTTAAAACAAAACAAAAATTCAGACCAACGGACTTAACGGCGGTTCAGAAGCTTTGTTGACATAAAATATTTCAGATTGCAATAATCAGAGATAATTTGGATGAATAAAAGAGTCTTTTTGAACTTGGAATGTTATTTTTTAAAAATATCGAATAATAGCGAGTAATTTTTTGTCATAAATCTTATAATTGCATTTAGTCGGAGAGTGTTTCTTTGAAAAGAACGCAATAGAATGTAATATTTTGTTATTTTTGTATTGAGATAAGACTCCAACAAACATGTAATTAAAGACATTAGTTTCCAAGATAATGTCACGGATTCAGTTAAATAATTATAAGATCGGGGCATCAGTGAAAATTCTTTTTAAATCATTTAAAATTTTTTGATAGATAGACATCCATTTTCACGAAACATTTTTTCGAGTCAAAGCAACAAGCGGGACAGTAAGTTTTGAAAAATCTTTAATAAATTGACAATAAAAATTGTTAAATTTCAGAAATGTTTGTACATCTGTTACACAAGTAAGAATGGATCAATTAACAATTGTGTCAATTTTTGCAAGATTCATTTGGATGCCTTTTCGGCTGATAATCAGATTCAAGAATTTAGTTTCGGGAATTGCAAACTCGCATTTAGAGAGCTTTGTATACAAATCAGCGTTTTGTAACTTCTGAAGAATTAGACGGACATGCTTCATATGTTTGGAATGAATGCGGCTATAAATCAGAATATCGTTCAAGTAAACAATATAGAAAACATCAAGGTAGTTTTGCAAGATATCGTTTATATATCGCTGGAATGTTTCGGGGGCCTTTGTTAGTTCAAAGGGCATCATTAGAGATTTATATAGGTTTAAATGGGTTCAAAAGGCAGTCAATTATTTTTGTTCATTTTTAACACGGAAATTGTTAAACGCGTTAATAATATCGATCTTGGTAAAGTAATGCATGTCTTTGAGATTGTTCAGGGTCTCTTTTACAAGAGATAGCGGATATCGATTTTTGATAATAATTACATTTAAGATTCGATAGTCGATACAGAAGTGCAGATTTCTGTCTGGTTTTTTTATGAACAGGACTGGAGATGTAGCAGGTGAAGAACTTGGATGAATAAATCTTTTTTTTAGGTTCTTTAATAGTTATTCTCGAAGTGCTGAGAGTTCCTTTTGGGATATATTATAGAGTGGCCCAAACGGGAATCTTTTTTCTGATTCAAGGATAATTGTATGATCGTAATCTCGATGTGGGAGAAGTTTTTTTGTTTCTTTTGAAGAAAAGATATCTGCAAAATCTTTAAATTCATCTGGAAGCTCAGGTTTAGATAGTTTAGAGATAATCTGAATTGTTTCATCAATTTGTTCAACTGTTAAAGCATAAACTTTATTTTTTTTGCGGGCGTACGCAGCGCAGGCAGTTAATGAGACTATTTGGAAGTCTCGATCTTTTAGGGATTCGAGAGCCTTTAGATTTGTGGGTTTGGCTCGGGCAAGGACATCATGCAGGGTTCGGATTTTAGCAGATCGGGTTGGGATATTGCAATGCTTCTGACAGTATGGATTAGAAAATTGAAGAGTATGTTTTGCAAAACTCATGCGGGGATTATGAATCTTTAGTCATGATAAATCAATAATAATAGAGAAATGTGTTAGCTGAGTAATTAGGAATGGGACATTCTTTTCAACGTGATCATGGGTCTTTAGGGTCATGCGGATATAGTGAGTAATAACGTCAATTTCGTTTTCACAGTTATCAAAATCCACTATAGGCTTAGACTTGTTCAAGGGATATAAGGTTAGATGGTGGGTTTCGGCCCAGTTCTTATCCATAATACGGGATATAGAATAGCCAGTGTCAAACATAGCGTAGATGGCGATCTCGCCCTGTCCGGGATTCAGGGTAATAGAGGTAATCAATAAGTCAGTCTTTCGGAATTTTTCTTTGATTGAAAGTCTTTTAGTAGCAGCTTCAGATATTTGGTATACTTGCACGGGAAGATCTGTCTGGCTGCGACTTAAGCCAGACTGATTTCTTTTAATTGTTCGCTCGGATCTGGGGAATATAATCGTTCGGGCTGGAGCATAGCGCGGGGTTGGGGGGCCTGAATTGGAGAAGATACAGGCGGATTCTGGGACATAGGGTGCGATACAGAGGCAGATGACCATCTTCTAGAGGGCGAAGCAGTCCTAGAGGGCGAGGCAGAACGGGCAGTATAGTTGATCTGATAAGTGCAATTATCAGGCTCGGGGCAATCTCTAATAAGGTGTTGGCTAAAGCCGCAACGGAAGCATTCATCTTGCTCTTTGCGGGTTGAATCACGGGATC